AGTATCTGTTCAGAGAACAGAAAGCTGATATATTTTACCTCTCAACCTCTACTACAGGCTTCCGAAACCTTCAAATCCCCCTAATCGCGGATGTTTAAAAAAAAACGGCTGTAGAGGAGGTTAGTACTTGAAGAGCTTGTATGCATTGCCCAGATAGGCAATCAAATTAGGACCTTGTAAACACAAATAACAGTAGATCTTGTATTATCGTTTGAGATCCTAGAAAGACAATGAAGGTTAATATTCCATCTTATTCCTTTGTTTATTGACTGTAGGCACAGCTCCGAAAATGGTCTATTTCTGATTGAAAAAAAAGTTTTAATTAATGCACAATCATGCATCGCCGAACGCCGATGATGGTCTTTTTGCATTAGCTTTTTTGTCACCGTTATTTTCCGAAGCCACATTCCGGCAAGCGATACTTTGTTACCGGTCAATCAATGTAGTATTCATAGCGAGATCCTCATCCGAGACTTCTGAAAGCTGTTTATATAATCGATTAGATCATTTAGTCCATGAAAAACGACATTTTCAAGATATAGCACATGATCAATTATTAAATAATATATATTGACATCAACTCATTCCAACAAAGCCGACAAGACATCAAAGACACATTGTTGCTTTCGTAAATAGGCAGGATCTTTTATCGCAAAGAAACAAGGAACGCTAAGTTGTTGTAAACGTTCTTGTTGTCTGGTATAAAGACTATCCTATTTCTGTAGAATCCTTTTATCAAATTGTTGTAATTTATTAGCAGACACTTTTTAACGTTGATTAGCCAAAGAGTAGGTGTAGGAGTAGATTTGATACTTTGTTAGAGGAGAGGCAATAGATCTACATTTGATTTTCGTGTTGGCTCTGATTCGATCTTATCAGATATAGATACAAGAGGAGAGGAGGTACTACTTTAGATCTGATGATCGTTTCTCACTTATTCTACTTGACCATCTTATTAAGTGCGTAAGATGTTCAACAGCATTTGTATACCATGTGGATCATCATCTTGTTATTGCTGAAGGGGTCTAGACGTAGTGAGCTCAGCCCATGTTCAGTGCTATTTGACTATATACTCACCTTTGACCAATTCATAAGTCTAACAGCAACTGACTTACTAAACACAAGATAACGATAGAGATCTCAAGGGTATTTGACAAGCAAAAAGTGGAAATCGTGGATATATACAGCAATGACAGTCAAAAGCGAAGCACAACTTGGCCCGCGTGACAAGAAATCAGAGCAGAGCATCAATTACGTACGGAGATCATATAGAGTTCATTCTAAAATAGATCATTTTCTATTGTACATATTCACAGGCCGATCTTTATCAGACTAAGGGTCTTTGATCGATGTATTGACAAGGAATGTTGAAAAAATATAAATCGCCGCAAATATATCCAGGGTCTTTCTCTCTCGATCTCCCTCTAGAACGCTAACCTTTTCCTCTTCCAACCTTCTACATAATAGAATTTTAAATAAAGAATTAAACTCTGACGATATATGATATATTTAATGTTTTAAAAAGAACAACTACGTATATACTCTATAGAGCTCCAGAGAGAAAATATTAAATCGGTAGAGAAAAGGATGTATACATTAGATCGATTGATAAAGATGGAGATGTATGGTATTGTGCTTGCTTGAAAATCTCTCGATAAATAAGCCTTATCCTAACTTTATCACTCAACTGATTTTAGAGTTAATAAGTATAGATTAAGAATTAGAAGATTTATCTTTTATAGTATATTATAGGGATACTTTGCAATCAAATGAAAGGATAAGGATTAGGGTTAAGGGGTAAGGATCACTTATTAAGGAATAAATTCCTTGTCGTATGTTTCAGGGATATGTCGGAATGCAATAAAAGGAAAGAGATTAGATTTGATAGATACGGATCAGGAATTAAGAGATTAGATTTGATGGGTACGGATCAGGAACAAAGAGATTAGATTTGATAGGTACGGATCAGGAATTAAGAGATTAAATTAATCCCTTATCTTATAATTTTACAGAGACGCTATCTTTTCCTTAGTTTTTGTTTTTCGTCCATGAAGATCAGACTGAGATTTAACCCAAATCGATGCTTTTTTTAATCATACGCTATAGCTAAGTATCTTCTCTTCAAAAAGGGAGGAGAGGTCTCTAAGGAATTCAGGATTACTTGGTAATTTATAAATGACTCTTCTGTGAAGTAAATCTCAGTATCTATATAAGACAGAAACCTTCCGTCCTACTTTTGTCTAGCACCACCATCTTAACTCTTATTCAACACAACCACCTGATCATTATTAGGAGAAAATGATTTTCAAGAACACAATCATCCTTTTACTTACCTCTCTGCCTATCGTCTTAGCAGATTCTGCCCCTTTTCCGAAAACACGAGATTAGTAAGTATTATACAAACTATGATCAGATATATATTAAAAGCTTATACACTTTATCGAGGTTCTGGGCCAAAAAACCCGTACACATGGCCAATAATATTTGTTCAGACAACAGAAAGCTGATATATCCTACCTCTCAACCTCTACTACAGCACTCCGACACCTGTAAATCCCCCTAGTCGCGGATGCGAAAAATCAAACGGCTGTAGAGGAGCACCTTAAGAAGTTGTATGTATTGCCCGATCGTAGTATTCAATCGGGGACGAAAAAGCTAATAAATCCTCCTTTTTAACCCTTTACAGGCTTCTGTACCCTTCAATTCCGCCTAATCAAGGATGTCTTACAGAAGTCTGGCTTCCCAAATGATGATAGATATGTTATATGTATCTTTGCTTATATTAAGCGGTTTCGTAACCTCTAATCTTAACTTCCTGCAATCCGCTTTTACAAGTTGGTCAGAACTAACAATTTGTATTACTCCCATCTTTTACTCCCATCTTTTACTCCCATCTACTCTCTCTTTCACTCACTCTCTTTCACTCACTCTCTTTCACTCACTCTCTTTCACTCCCCGTTATTCGAACTTACTTCAAAGAATCTTTGCTCCATTACATGATATATCTGACTGACGTAAAGATATGAAATTTGAGAAAAGCTATCAACGGTATAGGCAATCAAATTATGACTTTACAAACAAATAACAGCAGATCTTGCATTATCACCTGAGATCCTAATAGGCAATAAAGTTTAATATTCCATCTAATTCCTTGGTCTGTTGACTTTAGGTACAATTGTCTTTGATTGAAAAAAACTTTAATTTATGCGCAATCATGCATCGCCGAACGCCGATGATGGTCTTTTTGCATTAGCTTTTTCGTCACCGTTATTTTCCGAAGCCACAATCCGGCAAGCAATAATATTTTATTACCGGTCAATCAATGTAGTATTCATAGCGAGATCCTCATCCGAGACTTCTGAAACCTGTTTATATAATCGTTTAGATCATTTAGTCGATGAAAGACGACATTTTTAGATATAGTATATGATCAATTATTGAATAAAATACATTGACATTAACTCATTCCAACAAACCCGACAAGACATCAAAGACACGTTGTTGCTTTCTTAGATGGGCAGGATCTTGTGTTGCAAAGAAACAAGGAACGCCAAGTTGTTGTAACCGTTCTTGTTGTCTAGCATAAAGACTGTCCCATTTCTGTAGAATGCTTTTGTCAAATTGTTGTGATTCATTCGCAGGCACTTTTTGACGTTGATTGGCCAAAGATTGTTCCATCTCGTCTTGTTGTGTCTTGAAAGGAAACTAGGTTAGAGGTCGTATAGACAAATGGCTTCGAAGGGAACAAAAACTCACCTTTATTGCTAGCAATTGCTCTAGAAATCTGTCATCCTTTGACAGTTTTGTGAGGTGTGGAAGTGCTTGAGCGAAGGAGATAAAACGTAGATCTTCACGAGTATCGGTAGTTGAATGAGTAAATTTAATACTTTGTTGGAGGAGAGGCAATAGATCTGCATTTGATTTTCGTATTGGCTCCGATTCAATCTTGTCAGATTTGGATGCAAGAGGAGAAGAGGTGCTACTTTGGATCTGATGATCGTTAGTCACACTTGTACCACTGCTTGCACTTTGTTCTACTTGACCATCTTGTTGAGTGCGTAAGATGTTCAACAGCTTTTGTATACCATGTGGATCATCATCTTGTTGTTGCTTAAAAGAGTCTAGACGTAGTGAGCTCAGGCCATGTTCAGTGCTATTTGATTATATGCTTACCTTTGACCAATTCATAAGTCCAACAGCAACTGACTTACTAAGCACAAGATAACGATGAATGTCAAGGGTAATCTTTCGATCCAACACTGTCAAAGCAAGCAAGAAATGGAAATCGCGGATATATGCAGCAATGACAGTCAAAAGCGAAGCAGGGGTGAAATTGATTGTAGGGCCCGCGTGACTAGAAATCAGAGCAGAGCATCAATTGCGCGTACGAAGATCGTGTGGAGTTCATTCTAAAATAAAACATCCTCGGCCATTCGAATAGATTTGATAGACGTATTCACAGGCCGATCTTTGTCAGATCGAGGGTCTTTGATCGATGTATTGACAAGGAACGTTGAAAAAATATAAATCGCCGCAAATATATCCAGGGTCTTGCTCTTTCGATCTCCCTCCACACCGCTAACCTTTTCCTTTTCCAACTTTCCACAAAACGGAATTTGAAATGAAGATTTAAACTCTGATGACATATGACATATTTAATGTCTCAAAAAAAGAATCACTACGTCCATACTCCTCTATAGAGTTCCCGAGAGAAAATGTTGAATCGGTGGAGGAAAGGATGCATGCATTAGATCGATTGATAAAGGTGGAGATGTGTGGCATTGTGCTTGCTTAAGAATCTCTCGATAAATAAGCCTCATCCCAACTTTCTCAATCAACTGATTTCTATTAATGGCTTCTTTGCAGATATTAGTTGGTATATTTTCAATTTAACACTGCTTATCTGCTTCTATACAATCGATCGATCTCTCATTTTTATGCACCAACATCCGGGCGGGCAAGATCTTTTTCCGATTTAAAAGGGCATTGCATCACTGATCGAAAGCTAACACTATTTCATGGGAATTAGCGCCAATTTCAAAGTCCGCTCACACACCGAAATCAATACAAATATTCTCCAAAACAAATACAAATAAAATCAATACAACGGCTTCTGCCTTACAATACATTTCTGGCGAGTTGCCACCCTCAACGCGGTCCGCGTAAAGTGTGTGTGTGTGAAGGGGGCATAAGAAGAGGGAAGATGCGATTTGTGTACAGTAGGTAGTGCCACACACTGCAAAATTGCATTTCATTTGTTGATCGAATGCATCTTTTGTATTTGTATATGCAATACCCTTGATGCAATTCCATTGTGCAAGATCTTGCTCTTTTACTTTTCACTCCGCTAAAGTCTGATTGATATATTGACAACGGGAATCAAAATAATTCATCATTAAAACGACCATTGTGAATTAATATTCAACTCTCGACAATCACACATTCATTCCAACATCATCAGTGGTCAAGACTTCATATACAAGAAAGAAGATCCACTCAGCACTGATCGTCGACATTCGTTCAGTTAGATACACTCTCTTTTTCATAGAGTGACTCTCTCAGGTTAACTCAACATCACTACCACGCCGACAATGGCTCCAGTGATCAAGCCAGCTACAAATCAATCGGTCGATTACGCCGATTTCAATCAATTAAAGAGAAAGTCAGAGGATGACATCGATGTTTCTTTAGGTTTCGAAACATTCTCACAAGGTGAAGAAGATGAAGAAGACGATGAAGGCGATGATGTCTTAGCTTTGAAGAGATCGACTAAAAAGACAGGCGATCAACCTGTTTCGAAGAGAACATTGCAAAACAGAAAAGCACAAAGAGAATTCAGAAAACGTAGAGAGGCTCGCGTTCGTGAATTGGAGGAAAGATGCAGACGATTCGATCAGATGGGATTAGAAGCCAACGGAGAGTTGCAACGGGCGGCAAGAGGATTGAAAGAGGAAAATGATGCATTGCGTGGATTCATCATGCGAATGGGCTTCGGTCATATGATCCCAAACGTACTTCAAGATGTAGGCAATCAGAGGAATAACGGGGATGATCAATTCTATCAACAGACTCAACAACAGCCTACATTCAGCGGTGGTATGTTCAGCAATGCTCAACCAAATTCGTCCAACTTTAATGAACCCACATTCTTCATCGATCCATCTACCGCCGTTCAATCTGCAAACGCACCCATGAACAATAGTCGCGGTAGATCACATACGATTGGTAATGGAAACGAGCATCGATCATCGTCATCATCATCTTCACCCAACAAGAATAACAACATCGATGCCGAAAAGATGGCTGGAGGAATTACCCTGCCGATGCCTATGAACTACGGCAGCATGACCCTTGCTCCTACGCCACAACCTGCCAATATGCGATCTGGCATCTCTCAACGCAGTGGTAGTGGAACACAAAAGCAGGACAACATCAAAGGAGGACAATCATCAAGCCCATCCAGCTCCAAGTCAACCGACAACGGTGATACACCTTTCTTGACCTTGAGTCTAAACAACCAATCACGCAAGCAGGATGGCAGACAGTCTGGTAATCAACAATCGCAGCCTCAATTCACTCAACCTAAGCAAGACAATGACTCAAACAACAATGACATGAACGGTTTGAGCTCCTTGTTTGGTGGATCAAACAACGGTATGGGCAGTGGAGGTACTGCAATGTTGCAAAACTTTAACAATTCGTTCCCCGTTCCACAGAGAAGTCGTCAAAATGCTGCTTTGTTGAACCCGAACCCTATCCCATTCTCATTCAATCTCGCTTCTGGAGATCTTGCGTCTCAACAACCAACATGGTGGGAACAAATGGGTGGTGGCTCAGAACAGGTTGAATTGGATGATAAAGCACAAGCTGTTGCAAATGCTCAACAAGGCAATCAAGCACCAAGCCCTTTTGACTTGGGCGCATTCTTGCAAGGTGGTATCACACCGGGCGGTGGTTTCCAACTTGGTAATATTGGAGGCAGCCAACCAGGCTCGCAGCCGAATTCCACGATCATGTCCCATGATCTAGGCAGAACAGGCTCGACTGATTCTGACCATATGCGTATGTTTATTCAATTAATGGAACGCAAGATGGCCGAACGTGACGCATGTACATTTGCATCGTTGGGCTTCCAGCCACCATCACAAGATCCTGCTCAACGCACAAAGCAACAGCAGCAGCAACAAGGCATCACTTCGGAAATGACTCCAAGTGGTGTTTATTCACGATTGGCTCAACATCCTGCTTTCTTGAGCACGAATGCCCGTGAGATGGAAGAATTGATGGATGCTTTAGGACCATCAACTTGGAATCGTCAAGATGGAAAGACTGGTGATGATGCAGACAAAGATGAATCGAAAGATTCTGGTAAAGACCAATCATCCAATCATGGCAAATCATCACGGTCAAACAGTTCCGCTTCCCCTCTTTCGCCAGGCAGAGTTCACGTTGACGAAAATGCGATTGGCAAATTGATGGGATTATTGGACCAAAAGCGTAATTCAAACGCTAAATCATTCAATACTTCCCCTCATGAAGACAATCAACAAAGGTTTACCATGGCTATGGCATAAATCTTTTCTATTATATTCCCGTGTCTTGTTATTTGGTTTTATTCTCCCGTAATAGTTTAGTTGTCGTTTGTATCATATCTATATAGCCCTGGGCCTTACTCTCTCAATATTCCATGCACATATTGCATTTTGATTCCTTTTTATCACATCTCTATTTCTGCAGCAATCATATAAAAAAAAGTCCGCATAACCTATCATTGTGTTTTTGCCAGCTGGTGTTTAAGTTCAACCTTAAGTGGCGAAAAAAAAGGTCGTACGATGGGAACGTTTGCTTGCGCGTGTGTGTGCATTTGGCCCCAACCGCTTTCAAAGGTTCTCTGTGCTTCTGAAGCTCGGCTTAAGGCAGTTCATCTGTGTTATTCATTGTTCAATTAGCGTGTAAACCGCCTAAGCTTTGAGAAGAAATGAAAAAAAATAAATAAAAGCTTTTTTCTTCTTCTTCATTATTTCCTGTGCGCACGCAATTCTAAACTTAGGCACTTTTCCAGTCTTGCATTCATTTGTTGGCCCGGGCATTCACGCTACACTGAGAAGAAAAGTTCAATCATTGTCGAGCCTTTTTTCATCAATGCGCAAGAGGAAAAAGGTCTGAGCATAAGAAGAAAGAAACTTCTTGTTAGCATCCCCTTCTTTGCTTACCACCATATCCCTTTTATACGTCAGAGTGTGGACTAATCTTCTTCCTCTACGTAAACATATATATAACATGGCGTGAGTATCACTTTATCTACACGTTGGACAACCTAGCCTGTCCTCATCTTCACACGTCTTTGTGGTCGTGTGACTCATTTTCGAGCACTTTTACTGACATTCTCGCTTCATCTCCCTCCCATACCTCAGTCAATCTGCAGTTCTCGGTTTCCCCCGTATCGGACCTAAGCGTGAGGTCAAGAAGGCTTTAGAAGCTTACTGGGGCGGTAAGATTGCCGTCGAAGAGCTTCTCAAGGTCTCCAAGGAACAACGCCTTTTGACATATGAGACCCTCAAATCTCAAGGTGTCGATGTTATCCCAACCGGTACATTCTCCTTGTACGATCACGTCTTGGACACATCAAACACCTTCAACATCATCCCATCCAAATATGCCAAAGCTGGTTTGAACAACCTTGATACATACTTTGCTATGGCACGTGGTCACCAAAAGGGTGACGTTGACTTGCCAGCAACTGAAATGCAAAAGTGGTTTGACTCAAACTACCACTTCCTCGTCCCTGAGGTTTCCCAATCCACAAAGTTCGCTTTGAACGACACAAAATTCGTTGACGACTTTGTTGAGGCAAAGCAAGCTGGTTACAACGCTCGCCCAGTCTTGACTGGTCCAATCACCCTTTTGGCTTTGTCCAAGATTGACAGCGAATCAAAAGATGCCGAATTTGACCCTGTCACTTTGGTCTCCAAATTGGCTCCTGTTTACGGTGAACTTTTGACCAAGTTGGCCGCTGCCGGTGCTGACTGGGTTCAAATTGACGAACCAATCTTGTGCATGGACCGTGCCGCTGATTACGCTGATGCTTTCAAATCCACATACGAAACATTGGCAAAGGCTGCACCAAATGTCAAGATTCTTTTGGCTACCTACTTTGGTCGTTTGGAATCCAACGTTGACTTTGTCAAGGATTTGCCTGTTGCAGGTTTGCACATCGATTTGGACCGTGCTCCTGAACAAATTGACACTGTTGTTCCTCACTTTGCCAACAAAACCACAACCCTCTCGCTCGGTGTTGTGTCCGGACGTAACATCTGGAAGACTGACTTGAACGACGCCCTCAAGACTGTCCAAAAGGCCGTTAAAATCTTGGGCGGTGACGAGAAGCGTGTTCAAGTTGCTACAAGCTCTTCCTTGTTGCACACTCCAATCACACTCAAGAATGAAAACAAGCTCTCTGCTGAAGTTTTGGACTGGTTCTCATTCGCAACTGAGAAGGCCAACGAAGTCGCTACTTTGACCGCTGCTTTGCGTGATCCCAGTAGCGCTGCTGAAATTCTTTCCACAAACGAAAAGAGCATCAAAGCTCGTCGTGACTTCGAAAAGAACTCTGACCCAGCCGTTCGTCAACGTTTGGCCGCCATCAAGCCTGAAGACTTGAAACGTAAATCACCTTTCAGCGTTCGTCGTCCTTTGCAAGACAAGCACTTGAACTTGCCTTTGTTCCCAACCACCACAATCGGATCTTTCCCTCAAACCAAGGAAATCCGTGCTTACCGTGCTCGCTTCAACAAGGGAGAAATCACACAACAAGAATACGAGAAATTCTTGGAAGATGAGATCAAATTCGTTGTTGAGAAGCAAGAATCCCTTGATTTGGATGTCTTGGTGCACGGTGAACCCGAAAGAAACGACATGGTCCAATACTTCGGTGAATTGTTGGACGGATTCGTCTTCACACAAAACGCATGGGTCCAAAGTTTCGGATCCCGTTACGTTCGTCCCCCAGTGGTCGTCAGCGATGTCAGCCGCCCCAAGCCAATGACTGTTCGCTGGTCTAGCTACGCACAAAGTCTCACAAAGAAGACCATGAAGGGAATGTTGACAGGACCTGTCACCATTTTGAACTGGTCTTTCCCTCGTGCTGATATCCCCAAGGAGATTCAAGCCAAGCAAATCGCTTTGGCATTGCGTGATGAAGTTAACGATTTGGAGAAGGCAGGTATCCGATCAATCCAAGAAGATGAGCCAGCTATCCGTGAAGGTTTGCCATTGCGTGCAGCTGAGCACAAGGCTTACTTGGACTGGGCCGTTGCTTCTTTCCGTTTGAGTACCTCTGGTGTTTCTGATGAAACTCAAATTGTCAGTCACTTCTGTTACTCTGACTTCGCCAACAAGCAAATCATGCAAAGCATTTTGGACTTGGACGCTGATATGATCTCTATCGAAAACTCAAAGAGTGACGCAAAGATTTTGCGCGTTTTCCAAAACTTCGAATACGAAAACGATATCGGACCAGGTGTCTACGATATCCACTCTCCCCGTGTTCCTTCAGCAGAGGAGATGTTCAACAGACTCAAGGCTTTCACAGCTTACTTGCCTGTCGAGAGATTGTGGTGCAATCCTGATTGTGGTTTGAAGACCCGTACATGGGATGAAGCCGCCGCTCAATGCAAGAACATGGTTGAAGCAGCAAAGAGAGCACGTACCGAGCTTGCCAAGAAATAAGCATATCACTCATGTTTGTTCCCCATATACATTATATCCCCCACCAAAATGCGAATTAGAGTATCAGACGCATCAACTGCTCCTGGACTTTGATTTGCTTTATGGGATGTTCATTCCTGGACATCTTTACTCTCTTTTTCTGTTATCGTGTTCCATCTATTTCGTGTAGTCGTGTTATATAATCATTTTGTCTTATTATCAATCCAATCAGCATTCAACATGGATCATCATCAGTTTGTGTGTATGTGTGTGTGTGTATGTGACTTTAGCGTTGAAATAGTGATAACCACCACTAGGTGTATGCGGATGTTTTGAACCGCTTTGCTTCTAATTTTAGTCAAGCGTGAGATATGTCTTGGCACGATTTGACGTGCATTTTTAGTCAACAATTGATAACACACAAGCATATCTTTGAAGAGGGGGGGACACAATTGCATGAATGAATAAGAGAAGATGTATAAATGTTCTATAAAAAGGCCTGCTAAATATGCTGCATACAAATTGTGATATCAAATGCTATAATATAGCCTTATGAATGCAAGGATGATTGATAAGTAAGGTATGTGCCAAGAAAAACAACGTTCGTCATTCCGTATTAAAAAAGAAGATTCTTACGGAGAAAGTGGCCGCCGTAGGTTTCTGGTACGGAGAACGCTTGCCGTTTCATTTTTACACTCTTTTAATACGCCGCTCGTTCAATCAGAATACACTGTCGTTGCACCTTCACCGCGCGGACACCCACACTTTTGATTGCAGATCCAAGAATGATCAATGACATTTGACATTCAATCTTAGTCGCCTGCACGGAAAAGTGCGCCGTTTGATGCATTTGCGCAAAGATGGCCGCTTCTGTCATGATTTTGTATGCAATCAGCGCTTCATTGGCCCTCCTTAACCCCCCAGGCCAACCCCTAAATGAACGTGATCGACCTAAACAATTCATACATTCTCTCCGCTCTTGGGCTGAAGAGTAGCTTTTATTCTTCTTTCCATTTTTAGTATCATCACTCGGAAGATATCACCGAGCTTTTTATTTGTGCTTGTCTTGGCGAGAGTTTTAAATCTGTTTGCCAAGAAGATCCAGAAAAAGAAAAAGAATCACCGCATCCAAATCAAATAATTTTAAAACGGTTATCCCTGAAAAGTATATAAACCTCATCCATCCCCCCCTCTTTTTGCATTTTTGTCCTATTCATTACACCCCCTTAATTTTTTGACCATTAACATCTTCACCATCATCACTTTGTTCTATCATCAACAGTCTTTACCCTTTTCTCTTTCACCTGCAAAATTTACAAAACGCCTTTAGTCTTGGCGGCCAATTACCAACTCTTGCGCCATTCTCATCACAGCCGCAACACGTTCGAGGTAATCTTCAGCCTTTCAGATAGGACCAATACGCTAAAATAAAAAGTGAGTATCTCTTTCCCGCATACTATTCAATGCTCTGTTAAGATCACTTTTGTCGTCGTGGTCGTCGTCGTCGGCAATCAAGCATCCTTCTCCGTGGCAGAGTTGATGTCACAAGCGCCGAAAAAGATAGGCTGAGCAATAAGCGCATACACGCATACATTCTCTTCCTCTTCATTTTCTTTCAAGGCGTTTCCGTTGGCAATCTACTTTTGCTCCATCTGTTTCCATTCAAAAGGCTTTTCAATGAGCGCCCAAAACAATCTTGGCATTTGTCAAGATCACATGGTACAACAATTCCCTTTGTTTTCGTAAAAGGGGGACAACTAAGCGTAAAAGCAGTGTTTTGCATTCTCGTTTTCATTTTGCCCCTCTCTTGGCGGTGAAGATGATGAAAAAGCGCAACATGACATATCCCGTTCCACCCAATTCTCCATCACAGCTTTGGCGTGTTGCGTATGCGACACAACAAATGTGCAAATGAAATGTGGGCACATGTTCATGTTACGCCGATCGGGCTGCAATGCGTAGTCTTGACAAAAACAGAAGCTTATCGATTTGCTAGAATCTGCTTTATGCATAAAAGCAACAGATTGAGACGTCATTCTTCTCTTTCTCTTCCCACCATCTTTCCTAACTTGGGTCAAGACAAGAAAATTATCTCTTTGACCTTTTTTTTCGCGATTTTGATTGCTTACATTATATTGTTTGCTTCTTTCCTTTTCACGTTCTCTTTTTGTTTCCAGCTGGTTCTGGTTTATCAATAAAAGTTACGAAACAAACATTTGTCTCTGTCTCTCTGGAAGAGATCAACAACTTTTATCATCATGTCATCTTCAACTGTCAACGTGAACCGTGGCGTTGGCGCTTCTTCAAGCACACTCGATGTCAACGCAGACAAAGCTCATCGTGCCGTGGATATGAGCACGATTGAACTCAAAGCCGATGATCTTTACGATAAAGAAAAAGTCGATTTGGAATCAATCGAAATGGACGATGTTTATACCCTTTTGCAAACAACAAGCGGTGGTATTACAGATGCAGAAGCAGAAAGAAGAACTGGGATCTTTGGTCCTAATGCACTCGAAAGTGAAGAAGTCAACCCAATCTTGCAATTCTTGTCGTTCATGTGGAACCCTCTCTCTTGGGTTATGGAAGGTGCAGCAATTGTTGCTATCGCTTTATCCAACGGTGAAGGCAAAGCTCCTGATTGGCCTGATTTCGTCGGTATCGTTTTGCTCTTACTCATCAACGCAACGATTGGTTTTATTGAAGAACGTAGTGCAGGTAATGCAGTTAAAGCTTTGATGGACTCTTTAGCACCCAAAGCCAAAGTCAAGAGAAACGGTGAATGGAGAGAAATTGAATCTTCTCAACTTGTACCTGGTGATGTGATTTCTTTCAAGATTGGTGACATCGTTCCCGCAGATTGTCGTTTATTCGATGCATTGAATGTCTCTATTGATCAAGCAGCCTTGACAGGTGAATCTCTTCCCGTGACAAAGCATGAAGGTGATCAATGTTTCTCTGGCTCAACATGCAAACAAGGTGAAGCAGAAGCTGTCGTTATCTCTACTGGTGCAAACACATTCTTTGGTCGTGCAGCTGCTTTGGTCGGACAAGACGATGATTCTACCGGTCACTTGCAAAAGGTTCTAGCAAAGATTGGATTGTTCTGCATTTGCTGTATCGGTTTGTTCGTCGTTTTGGAAATCCTGATCTTGTACGCTGGATACCGTTACTCTTACCGTCGTGGTTTGGATAACATTTTGGTCTTGCTCATTGGTGGTATTCCAATTGCTATGCCAACTGTTTTATCAGTCACTTTGGCAGTCGGTGCAAGTCAATTGGCAAAGCACAAAGCAATCGTTACTCGTATTACTGCAATTGAAGAATTGGCAGGTGTTACCATCCTTTGCTCAGACAAGACAGGTACTTTGACAACAAACAAATTGACAATTGACAAGGAGCTTTTAAAGACATACTCTACCTTCAACGCTGATGATGTCATCCTTTACGCTGCTTATGCTTCCCGAACAGAGAATCAAGATGCAATCGACGGATGTGTTGTTAACACATTGGGCAACACTGCCAGAGCCCGTGACGGTATTCAAGTTCTGGACTTCAAGCCATTCAACCCTGTGGACAAACGTACGGAAGTGACATACTTGGAAACTGCAACTGGTAAGGTCAAACGTGCAACCAAGGGTATGGCAAGTACAATTATGAATCTCTGCACTCGTAACAAAACACCCGAACAAGAGGCTGCATTGGAAGCAGATGTGAACGAATTTGCAAGTCGTGGTCTTCGTGCCCTTGCTGTCGCATGCGAAGAAGTTCCAAGTAACGAAAAAGAAGGCGAAGGTTCTGGATTTGAATTGATTGGTTTGTTGGCAATCTTTGATCCTCCACGTGATGATACCAAACAAACTCTTGAAGATGCTCAAGCATTAGGTGTTCAAGTCAAGATGGCAACAGGTGATCAATTGGAAATCGCAAAAGAGACCGGTCGTAGATTGGGATTGGGTGATAACATGTACAACGCAAAAGCATTACAAACAGGTATCCCTCCTGCCGGTTGCCCTTACGGTACTTTGGACGAAATGATTCTCAAAGCAGATGGTTTCGCAGGTGTTTTCCCTGAACACAAGTTTGAAATCGTTAAACGTTTACAATCTCTTGGACACTTGACAGCAATGACTGGTGATGGTGCAAATGATGCCCCTGCTCTTTCTCGTGCAAATGTTGGTGTGGCAGTCGAAGGTGCAACTGATGCAGCTCGTGGTGCAGCAGATATTGTCTTGACAGAACCCGGTCTTTCCACCATCGTTGAAGCAATTCGTGGCTCTCGTATTATTTTCCAACGTATGAGAAATTACAGTATCTATGCATGCGCTGTCACCATTCGTGTCGTGGTTTGCTTTGCCATTATGGCATTCGCATGGAAGTTCGATTTCCCTCCATTCATGATCTTGATTGTCGCTTTGCTCAACGATGGTACCATTATGACTCTCTCTATGGATCGTGTCTTGCCTTCTGATGAACCTGATTCATGGGACTTGTTCGAAATTTTCACTTTCGCTATCGGTTACGGTCTTTACTTGACATGCTCAACTCTGGTCTTGTTCGCTTTGACAGTTCACTCCAACTTCTTTGAACGCAAGTTTGGTGTCAAGGGATACCATGAAGACATCAATGCACCTGAATTACACATGATCGTTTATTTGCACACAAGTATCACCAGTCAAGCATTAATCTTTATCACCCGTAGTAAAGGATGGTTCTTCATGGAACCACCATCATTGGCTTTGTTCTTGGCTTTCTGCGTTGCACAAGCAATCTCTTCCGTTGTAGCAGCATTTGCAAGTTGGGGTTTCACTTCCGTCAAGCCAATCAGTGGAGGATGGATTGGAATCATTTGGGTTTGGTCTTTGATGTGGCTATTCCCATTGGATTTGGTCAAATTCGGAATTCGCAAATTGGTCAGATCCGTTCGCAAGAGCCAAGCAAGACACCGCAACCGTCATGCAGAACACGAAGCCGAAATCAACCGTCGTGCTTCTCGTCACGAAAGCTTGTACGCATCACGTACATCCTTCCTCAAACGTGCTCAACGCAAAATGGGCTTCGGCAAACGTGGAAAGCGTCTACATATCAATGAAGGAGAAGTGGCAAGGGTTAGCACGATTCAAACTCAACAAGCCAGCAGAAGATTATCGCGTGTTGGTCATTAGTTTCGTTCTTCCATCTCTCGTCACAGCTGGACTGTATCCACCTTTGATCTTTTGATGAAAAACAGTCGTTCGTATTCCATTTTTTTGATATCTTTTTCATACTTTCGCTACTTTTGTCTTTGTAAATGATCTTGGTTTAAGTACTTTTTGTCATAGAGAACGACCTCAGAATCATATCCAATTATCTCAGTAGCATGTGTGCGAAGTGGTGTGAATGATGGGCATGAAGGCATGAATACACATTAGGCCCCTTAGCGCGTGGCTGCCTCGATCAGTCCAACACACGTGCAAATTGGAATTTTTAAAATTTAGCCTCTCGTATGAAATTCTTGAGAAACAAAGCACGACATGTTCCTGATGAACATTCGTACCGTTCGGGTGTTCATCATTCATCAATCCACAATCGTGTATGCTGCTACGGCACATAGGCTTTCCACGAGGGGTTGATCATACAGTCTTGCCCGCTTTCGGCCATTCATCTGCAAGATCGTTCACAACCTTTCAGCCAAAGATGGCTCCTACACCAATACCCTTACCACGTCATATTTGTGATGCATTAGGACTTTCACAAAATGAAGTTGCTTTTCGTGAAGGTAGTGCAACGATTGTTCTGCCAACAAAAGAAGCAGCATTCTTGAATCCTGTGCAAGAATTCAATCGTGATTTAAGTGTTGCTGCTTTACGTGCTTGGGGACAAATAAGAAATGAAGAAAAACGAAAAAGATTCGAAGCTGGATTGGCAAAACGAATCGAAAAGAAGAAAGCACAGGCTTTGAGAAAGAGACAGGCTAAATCCAATGGTGATCATAATGATACCGAGGCAAAGAGGCGGAAAGTTGAAGGGGAAGGTGAATCAGCTAGCGCAGTCCCAGTACAAGAGGGAGAATCTTCGGGTACGACTGAAAACGCCGAAGGCAGCACTACTGTAAACGGAACGACACCATACAGCGAAGTATATAGGGACTTCAAATTCACAGTCTTAGAAGCACTAAGTGCTACGGGACTGCGAAGTATTCGATATGCAAGAGAGGTACCAAACATTCGTCAAGTGATGGCCAATGATCTATCGACTACCGCTGTAGAAGCTATGAAGCGAAACGTGGCACTCAACTTTCCGGCCGGAAAGCCAATCGAAAAATGGCAACCACCACTTCTTGAAATGGAAGATGGAAAAGTGAAAAAGCCGCAAAAGATCGATGAGGATACTATTGCAGAAATTGAGAACGGCATTTCTGCAAGCGCAAAAGCAGTCGAATCGATGACCGAGTCTGCTTCATCAAGCAAAGCAGAGGCAAATACGACCACACCAGCAGCTTCTACTTCCATTCATCAGGATTGCAATATCAGAATCAATGAAGCAGACGCAATCTCGCTGATGTACGCACATCGCGACGATAAACACAAATTTGACGTTGTTGATTTGGACCCATATGGAAGTGCGGCAATCTTTCTCGATGGTGCTGTTCAATGCATCGCAGATGGAGGTTTGCTATGTGTAACATGTACCGACAGTGCCGTCTTGGCCGGTACTTCGCATCCAGAAAAGTGTTTTAGCGCTTATGGTGGTGTGACAACAAAGACCGAATATTCTCATGAATTCGCTTTACGATTGGTTTTACATGCTATTGCAACTTCAGCTGCACGTTATGGACGACATATCGAACCCCTTCTAAGTCTCTCGATCGATTTTTACGTTCGCGTCTTTGTTCGTGTACAGACAAGACCTGTTGAAGTGAAAAGATTGGCTTCAAAGATGGGAGCGGTATTCACATGCACAGGATGTCAATCGCATAGTGCATTACCGTTTGGCAGACATCACGAGAACAATGAAACGAGAAGTGGACAAATCTTGGACAAATTCCAACCAGGCGCTGGTCCTACTATTGGAAGCGCATGTGATCAATGTGGCAGTAGATATCATACCGCAGGTCCGATGTGGTTAGGTCAGTTGCACGACAAGAATTTCTGTCAAGAAGTACTTTCGATCGTTCGTGGAGAACCTGAAAAGTTTGCTACACGAGCACGCATAAATGGAATGGTAGGAACAGCATCTGAAGAATTAGGAACGGAAGCTTTGTTCTTCTTTACGCCATCGAGACTTTCTTCTTTCTTTAGATGTTCTTCGCCTCCAATGCTGCCGATCGTGTCAGCATTGTTGCATGCTGGATTCCAGGTTAGCAGATCACACTGTCAACCGGGAAGTCTGAAAACGACTGCCACTCGTGCTCAAATTTATGCTCTTTGGCGTGAATGGATCAAGAGAAATCCTGTAAAGATGGAAGGTATCAGCACAACTTCCCCTGCGTATAGATTGTTGACGCGGCAAGAAACCGAAGCAGAAGCATCAACAGCTATCCAATGGAACTTGGAAGAACATCCAGGAGCAAAAGATGTCATTGATGGATCTGAATCGTCAAAAGGAACACGTTATCAAGCTAATCCTTTGCCGAATTGGGGACCTGGTACGGCTGCTCGTACCACAAAGGCCGCAAAGTGAGTCAATTTCAGGCATTTTCATGTATATTATTCTGTAAGTATAGTAATCAATGCAGTCTTTTCATTCAACTTAATGTGTGCAATAATTCACTATATGGATTGATGTGATAGCTGGTTAAGATTATTCGTAATACATAAGATCGATTCTGAGTCGAGACCAAACAATAAATAAAGAAAAGAGTATTGAGAAATACGAAGAAACGAAAGAAACATCTGGAGGAAAGGGCAGTATACATAAGGGTCATTTGGCGGATTTTGTCATGCATTGCAAGCAAACAAGGCATCTTGAGATGAAAGAAATGAGCGAATATTTGCAAAGTGCAGATTTTGAACGGATCGTTATCATATACATTATACCGCGCCGCGCTATTACAAGATCATCTCTTTGAGCTTTCATTGTCCGCTTTGGCTTCATTGTCTGATCCTTTTTCTGATGCATGATTTGAGCCTGAAGCTGGGCTAGCACTTTTGCCATCTTCTTCCGCTCTTCCATTCGAGCCTTCTGTTGCCTTTTCAACTTCTTTTGGCGGTGTTGGTGAACCTGCTCCTGTTCGGCGTTCCAAACGACGACAACGTTCTTCCAATGCATGAACTTTTTGTTCCCAAATGGCTCTTTCGGAGTTCAGCCTTCTTTCTACTGTAACTTCCAATACCCGTGCACTGCTTCGAAGGGTTTGCAAGAGCGTATTTGATCGGCGAACTTGATCTTCCAAAGTTGCTTTCAACGTTCTACTATCTTGCAAACTATCATAAAAGTTGGAAAACAAAGATAAGAACTGCGTTTTGCTCGATGGAGGTGAACGAAGATGATCAGGCAATCTTGCCGTGGCCGGTGGATTGAAACCTGCTGTTCTTGGCCCTGGTGGAACTTGCTCACGTGAAGATGAATGATTGTTTGCATTCACGCTTGCATTGATCGGACCTGCACCACCTGCTTGTCCGATGAACTTGGTCGTATGATAAGCAGGCGAAGGAAGTGTGGCTGTTTGAGGAACAAATGCACGCGATGCTGTCAAAGGTGTTGCACTTGGTGCCATTCCTCCACGAAGGGCTGCAACACCTGGTGCAAGGTTGGAAGGAGCAGCAGCATAATGTCCTGCCTCTCTTCGCTGTGAAGGAATTGCACCTTGACCTTCATTTGTCACATATCCGTCTGCCTCCAATCGACGTTGATACGGTCCAGCTGCTCCTTGAGGGTGACCGACACCTCCTGGTGCTTCACCTTGTACACGAATGTTTCCTGGTGGAGCACCTCCGTATCCACGAGGATCAAAAGCAGAATCTCCACGTTCAGAGAAGGAGATTTTGTGAGGCGGTGCACTTTTGATACCATGTGTGGCAGGTTGTGGTGCCAAGCGAGGTCTTCCAAACATGTCCACTTCTGTTCCGCCTCCATAGCCGGTATCGATGTGTAATCGACTTGCTTTTGCTTGTGCTGCATCACCTCTCCTTCTTGCAAGCGGTACGGTTGGATCAAAAGAATCTTCTCCGATCGATCGACGGTGTTCCTGTGGATGTGCATAACGTTCATCTATTCCACCGCCATTTCCGCTTGCCAATTCGCTTTGCATTCTTGCCCTTCTGTAATCCTCTGCAGATGCATATTCTGTTTCCTCGATTCTACGTCTTTTGTTGTATGCATCAGCATCTTCTTCTGCATATTCCATTTGACCATAAGCGGTAGCATAACGTGCTCTTGGTGATGCATGACCGTTTCTTTCCACACCCGCACCACTGCTTCCACGAGGATACATTCTTGATGGAGGTGAATTGGATGTAAACCTAGCCGCTGCTTGTCTATCCAAGCCGCCTCCAGCTTCTAATTCGAATCTTCTCTTTCTTTCACGAAATTCGTCCGTGCCTGTCATTGCCATCCTGCTTTCGTGAGAAGGACCGCCAAGGCTGGCAGAACGTTGATGAATTGAAGAAAGAGGTGGAGATGTTGTTGTATTTGGAGCTTCAAATGTTTGTAAAGGTCGATATAATCCTGTTGAGATTGAATGTGGTGATTGAAATCGTACTTCGGTTAAAGTCATGTGCCGAAATAAAGAGTATGTGAATAAGATTTGTGAGAATAGAGGAGGATGCACTAAAAGAATAAGATGGAGAGAAAGAGTGAACGACGGCAGTTCCCCTTTCTCCACAAAAAGATGCGATATGTTGTGGCTTGCACCTTTTGTTTTTTAGCGACCTGGATGATCAAAAAGTCGGTCAACCAAAAGGTGATGGCAAACAAAGATCAACCCAAACTCCGTTTGTCTAAAAGGCAACAACAAAGGAATAAAAAAGCTGGAGAATAAATGCTCTCTCTGTGAAACGAACAAGCTTTAAAGTTCTGTTTTAGCTTGGTGCGTGTGTGTGTGTTACTGCTTCCTTTGCTTTTTATTTGGCCGAATCCAATTTTGCGTTGGCGTTCGTTCTTTTTCCCAAAGGGCGTATAAAAGTTCGGCGTGGGCGCAGAGGCTTTGGATTGGATTTTATTTGCAATCGAGAAATTGAATCAAAAAGCGCGCTTTCTTTGGCTTTAGCGCGTAATCTGTCCGAATCAATGACACACTTTTCAACCAGCAAAAGTCAAGAAGGGGAAAAATGGGAGGGCCGAACTGCACAACGCTTTCCTTTAAATAAGAGAAATAGTTGATCCGCTGCTTGTCAAGAGAGAGTTGCCCGTAATGAGAGGGGAACTGCCGAATTTGCTTACTTGCTTGCTTGGCTTTTGCTTAGCGTTTGTTGGACCTGCAGTTGATTTTGGTTTGAATAAAAAAGTGGGGTGAAAAGGAAGCAAAAGAAGCTTTCCTTGGAAGATATGATTATTGTCCCGGAATGTTTTTATTGCAAAGGACGACGGTAGCGTTTACTTGAACAAAACCTTTCTGTAAAGATTTCAACTTTAAAACGGTACCGAAAATGAATTGCAATTAATATTGTGACAGATGATCGGTTTGCTTCCGTGTTGTTTTGATTGGTCACGAGAAAGATCCTATTTGAATGTCAACTTGTCACGAGAATTGTCTTTTGAGATCTGTTGTCAAGCAAAGATGATGGTGGTAAGAGCAAATCCTCAAAAAAAACAAAAGGAACACTTATGAATTGAAAAGGAGAATAGGGAGTAAATATAGACGCCCTTTATATATACAGCCCCCATTGATCTTGCTGACGCAAAATACAACTGTCCATGGCGTAAAGGAAAGGGGCATTCCGGCCTTTTTTCGGCGTAAGGTTCATTTTCATCATTTACTCACCTGCTTTTTTTTATTGTTGGCGTTTTTGGCGGTAAGGCGAAAAAGGAAGATATGAAAGATTGAACGACGAGATGTGATCGATCCTTGATGAAGAGTTTTTGTTATTTCGGCCCGTTTCTTGGTAATCGATCGAACTCGGCGTATAATGACGAGCGGAAAGAATGAATCGATTGATTATTTCAAAGTACGCTTTATCACTCTTCACAGTAAGAGCACAATTTCGATGGCGTTGATAAAATACGGAGCTTGAATTTTTGAAATAAATTATCACTGATGATCCCGATTCAGCGTCAACGAAAATCAAGGACGATCAAGATGAATTTTCAGAATATTTGATAACGATAAGACGATATAATTGCGATGTGAGTTGATGTAGTGTGATAAAATGATGGGGATGGTAAAGATGATGAAAAGAAGAGAAAAGATTCTTCCTGGCAAAAAGTACGAACGACAATTGAATAACGCCTTACTCACAATCTCCGATACTTGGCAAATGTGCCAATCGAGCACAAACGCCTTAGCAACTCAAACTTCGGCGTATTAACCGGCTTCACACTGAGATCACACAAAAAAAAGGAAGAATAATTCACATTTATGTATGTACATGAAGTGACACCTGCACGCCGGCAGAAGTAATCCCGTTTAAAGATGGCGAATTTCTACTGAAGAAGACCAACCATCATCATCACAGCACACACACACTTATTTGTCATGCCATTACGCCCAATTGCATAAAGACGCCAAACAAATACAAGCAAAAAAGTGTGGCAAAGTGCCTTGCTGATGATTAGCGTCAATGAAAGGCGTCTTTTGTTTAAGGTAAAGGACAGACACTGCTTTCATGCCTTTAAAGCGCGCTGCGCGTTCACATAAGAAAATGGATTTCTATTTTCATCATCAATTGATCATAATATTACAACCACATCACCATTCAGCCAAAGCTGCGTAATTCAATCTTTTTAGCTTCATTTCTTGCTAACAGATCCGCTCCCGTTTGTCTTTGATTGGCTTGATCGTTTGTCATTCCGACTGCTGTTCGTACGCCTTGCTCAACCCTTGTTCTTTCTTCGGCAGGTAAGATAGCCACAACGGAACGGAATGCGTTGGAATATTGTCTTGCTAAAGCTAAAATTTGATGAGCCGCTAAAGTTTCCAGTTGTTTCATCCTTTCCGCTTCTTGTTCACGTTGCAAGAATAACGAAAGGGTTGGCAAAATGATTCCAATCAATCTCGTCCTGTGCTCTTCATCTTGCACTGTACCTGCATACCCTGTCAATGTCTTCATTGCATCCTCTAAAACACGAACGCGGGCATTCATATTCACTTCATCCTCTTCTGATCTCTTTCCAATAAAGTCGGCACGATCATGATAAGCATTGACCAGCATAGTCACCAAACTTGTTAACGTTTGACCGATGCAAAAGGCAATAGCAGAGTGCAATGCCATTCCATTTGATCCGCTGGCGTTCTCGTTTCTCCTCGAAGCAACCAATAAGATCGTTTTTAGACAATTGATAGCAGTAGAGGCGATCGGCAAAGAGGATGAATCAATTGTCTTTGGACGCAATTTCTGATCCAACAAATAACAATATTGTTCCAACACAGCTTGACTTACTGCCACATCATTTGGCAAAGATGTAACGACGACCACCGTGGCCAACAATGCATTCTTAGTCTTATTGATAGCGACGATACCGGATCTAGACCGCATTTCATCAAGTGTGTTCAAATTGGCCGATAAGAAACCATGAACGCATCTTGACAGTCCATCTCCATACACCGACATCGAAGCCAAACAAACCTCTTTTAAGGAGGCCAACGTTGGTCCAACCAAATCTACATCACTCGATTCATTTCGCAGTAGTTCAGAGTAGGCTTGAAATCCTGCTACGAATAAGTGCTCTTGTTGGGTTTTTGTGTAAAAAGCGACCATGCTGCAATATGCTCCATATGCTGCACGAATCACAGCCGCACGATCTTCTGCAGAAGAGGCTTGAGAGGAAGATCTTGTTTGAGCATTCTGAATGCTAAACAATGCCAATCGAAGGCAGGTCGTCAGCTTAGTTGACGGTACAAGGCCTTCTGACAAAGAGTTTGATCCATTGGCTCCATTACTCAGTCCTTGATTCTGTAATTGAGATCCGTAGCTGCTCGCGAAAGCTGACACCATCTCGATCACACGGACTTGTACAGTGGCAGGTTCTGTCATAATGATTCTATAAGACAAATTGATCAATTCGTCAAATAGGTCATCTTGAAGCAAAACAGATCCGGCAAATTTTGCATTGCACAAATATCGCAAAGCAGCCAATGTCGTTCGTACACCTTGAGTTTCCCGTGATGAGCCAGACCCTGTTGCCAAAGCCTCAAATGCCAATCCATAAAGCGGATAAAAGTACATCACTGGTTCACTTCCTTCTCTTTTTGCCTTCTCAGCATTTGCTTTTTCATCACTTGAGATTTCCTCTCCTTGCATGGCCAAGATAATGTTGTTGTCTTTCTGGCCCATCAAGACTGCCACTGCATTCAAGATCACTGTCCAGGCACGTTGGTGATGAGGGACGAGAATTGCTCGAATGAGACCAGCATATGGCGTATCCATGACAGGATTGATGACGGGTGCGATTGCCATTCCTGTACCTTCAGGATCAGCTCGCAAATTTGCATATTCTGCCAAGCATCGAACCCACATTGGTGCTAATTGGGCCAACTGAGGCCGTACAACTTTAACAAGGTATGATTGTTTTGCGCTGGCTACTTGAAGTTGTCCCCAAGCAGCGAAGACGGCAATCTTGAGCATGGCTGCTGCGTTGATTGACAAATTTTCCACATCTCCCATAGAAGACATATCGCTTTGCAAACAATTGTCTAACGCTCTTGTTAATAATTTTAATATTCTGCCTAGCTTTTCCACCTCACGTACTACACCTGAACCAACAAACACAGCACAAACTTGCACTGCCCTTGCCAACACTTCGGGTGTGCTATCACCCAAGAATGCAGGTGTCAAAGCTGCTGCGATGGGTGCTTGATGTTGTTCAAGCAATAGAGCTTCTTCAAATTCTGGATCTTTTGCTGCTTTGAAATTCTCAATAACGTCTCGCAAAATCGTCAATCCCTCCAATCGGATTTCCATATTGAGTGCCGTACTTGCAGTGAAAGCCATTCGAATAAGATCTCCAACACGATTGCTCAACTGACCTGGAACACGCGGAGTATCAAAATGTTCCAGTTTACCAGCTCTTCTCACCGTTGAGAAAACATCATGCAAGCATTGTAGGGCGAACAATTGCGTTCGCCAACGGCTTTGCTGATTAGCCTGTCCTCGTGAATTAGCATCATCGCCTAAATCAATCGTTGCGGCCTCTTCATCCTGTAAAACGCCAATTCCGCCAGATTGTGTTTTCTTTATGCTTGTTTCGCCCGCATTGGCTGAAGATGATCCAGCTGAGCGACTAACCCTTTGACAAAGGTCAATCCATCCGTTCGGACTCATATCTGCAGTTTGACGTAACCAATTACGCAACACTTGTTTGATTTCATCGGTATCTGCATCTCCATCTAGTAAGCCAAAGAATTGTTCTACCAATTGATTTCCACATGCTTTGCTAACGAGGACTGCATCACGTTGTATGAGTTGATAGAAAGCATTGATCGCAGCGATCTTCAACGGCCTGTTCTTGCTCTTCAGATGAAGTTGTAATGACTGCATCCATGCGATCAAGTCAATGTGTTGAGGTGCAAATAGCGTGAAATGTTGCATGGCCTTTGTGCCTTCAACGACCACACCTTCGTCCGTTTCTAACGACAATTCTTTGATCAAAATCAGTACCAATGTTCGCACCTTGCTAGCATCTTGTAGATCTGGTCCTAAAACCCCAATCAAGGAGTTTACCACACGACAGATAGCCTGATTAGCCGGCAAATCTGCTCGTAAGTTCACCGAACCTGCACTTCCACCCTCAGGTTCATGGGTGCTGAGCATGTACAGCTTGACCAACATGCCCAACGTGCTTGTGACGTAGGGACTATAGCTCAAGCTAGCGGCATCGACGACCATTCGGAGAGCGTCCAAAGCTGTGAAATGTACGGTTGGATGTGGATCATTGGCAAGAGACATCAAAATATCAACGACAGTCTTTGTCAAGGGACCAGCAGCCAGACCACCAACTTCGTTGTAGATTGCTCCGAATGCCATCGCACATCCCGCACGGGCATCGGGATCGCGATTTGACACTACCTGATCCACCAACATTTGCACTTGTCCTGACATTGCGTGAGATCCAGAGATAGCTGCAAGTCTTCCAAATGCCTCACTTGCCGATGTTCGCAAGGCTAGATCTCCTTGAATTAAGTTATCCAACAACAACATACGGATCGCGGTGGTAAGACGATCATTGTTGAATCCGCCAGCAGTACGTTGATTGATCGAATGCATAGCCATTCGAAGTGTACCAAGGATTGCTGTACAAATGTTGGCCTGAATGGCCATTCGACGACCGGGATTCTTCTCCAGTCTAGTACTGCGGCTATAGGACAGTAGTTTCTCGAATGCTGCGATTTGAACGTCCCTCTTTTGATACGGGATCAGAGACGCAAATAACTCAATTCCAGCGTCCACCGCAGCGGTAGGTGGTGGCACTGGTAGAGCGTATTCTTTTGTATCAAATGGAGCGGTATACAAAATAATTGGATCATGCTCCGCAGCACCGATGATTGCTCTTCGTTGAAGGAAATCCAACTCGGATTCAATTGCATCTCGGTTGAGCAGATCGGGTCGTTTGATGTGCTGTGAGATAGATTCAGTCAAGACTTGACATTCATTCTCGTTCATGAGACTTGTGACACCATATGCGTATCCATCTGACAATTGCCATACGCTCGTAAAATTACCCGAACTTGCTGAAATTGCAGCTTGTGCAGCGCTACCAATGTATCTTTCTGGCTCGGCAAAAGTTTGAATGGCAGCAGTGACAAGACTCTCCTGCAAAGCTTCTAAGGCAGGGTTGCTTGACAATTTGACAAAACACTGCAAGACTCTACGTCGTACCATTTGTTCGCGATCCAAAAGCGATAATTGTGAACGTTCTGATCCTGGTACCTGTTCTTGTGACAGGGTGGGATGGTGAACATTGAAAGCATTAACGAATGAAAGACTGTTACTCAATAATGCGATCAAACGTCGGGCAGTATCTAAGGTGACGAGTGTGTTGCCATTGTGTGTCAAAAATGACAAGATCGATCCGAGCGTACATTCACGTACATGAAGCAAGAAGCTCCATTCAGCATCCGATCGTGTCACGTTCACATCGCCTGTTTTTGGCAAAGCACTTCGCCACATGTTCAACAATTGGTTCAAATGATCCCGAACAAAGTTCGGTCCCAATGACATCAGAGCGCCAATCAACGTCCACGAGACTTGGATTTCGATCGCAGAGATTGCAAGGCTATGTTCAGCACTTCGCTTCAAAAGCTGAAAAGCGAGGTCAAGGACCTGACTGCTGATATCAAACGAAACATAAAGAGGTCGATAATTGATCACGCTGACTAAAGCAGCCAAACCCCGTGCTCTTCCAGTGGTTCTTTTTGAGAGCTCCAAGCCTCCTCGATCACCACTGCTTTCCAACGAAGCGATGTCTCTCTTGAGCTCATCTAAAACGGTCTTCAACAGTGAAGAAAGATGGGATGGACTTATACTGCACAATTGACGCAAACACCAAGCAGCACTGATTTGCACAGAATGACTTGGATGAGCCAGGCACCGCAGCAAAGGTTGTTGAAGAGCTTCTAGGACTTGAGGTGGTACGCTTCCCAGCTGTGCAAGCAGTCCAGCTGATTCGTTGAAGGCGAGAACCAATGTATACTTTGTTGGTGGTTGCTGACCTGGCATTAGGACTGGCCACTTCTTCAAGAATGTATCACATATCTCTTGAATGGCGCCAACTTGTGCTGATTCGTCCAACATGCGCTCACCCACCACCATGCGGAGCACGGTAGCCACACCATTTCGGATTGATAGAACATCTGCTCGAGACGATGATCCTCTTGCATGATTGGGAATTTCGTCAAGTAGATTTGCAATCAAGATGCCATAATGTGATTGTACCCAAGCTGAGCCAAGTTTTTCGAGCAAAGAAGCATAAACATCCAATAGAGCACCCTTTCCTCTTTGTGTTGTAGAGGGACGTAAGATTGCAGAAGAGAGTTGGTCTAGCATCACTTTTGGCGTCATGATGCTTCTTGACATCCCATCCAATCCAGCCGTATTAGGAGCAGAAGGACCAGCTTCTTCATCTGAGCTATCATCTTGCCCTTCACGTTTCTTCTTTGACTTTTTCTTCGTTGGCGCTGCGGGCTGAACGACATTCTCTTTCTGTGTGGCCGCTAGTAGTGAAGATGATAATCGTGAGATAGCCTTCATCGTCACGAAATCTGCAGTATCGAGAGTTTTGAAGCAAATCGAAAGGATCGCTTCAATTTCAGTTCGAGAGCTCAGGTAGTCCGTATCTTCCAAGATGACGAGAAGACAATCCGCACATCCGCGAGCAACGGCACCTGCTCGATCTGATAATCCTTGCCTTAAGGGTTTGATGAGATCTTTTGCAGTCTGATCGCCCAAGCTCTTCGCACCAGATTTGAGTACCTTTGACAAGCACAATAGAGCATGGTATCGAGTGAGAACGGGTAAACCACTGTTTTTGAATAATCGTTGACACAAAGTCAAAAGGGCGATGAATTGCGACATAACAATGTGACCGGCAGATTGGAATAATTCACCTGCAACGTACAAAGCAGCAGCTCTTGCTTCCTTCTCCGGTAATACTCTCCCTTTTGACTCTTCTCCTGCGATTTGAAGTAGAGCTTGTATAACATCATAAAGAGAACGCGATTCCCCACGAGAGAACAAAGCTACAAAAGATCTTGCAATCAGATGCCTTGAAGGCCTTCCGACTTTTGGCGTCGTTGAAGATGCACTAGTTGCTTTTTGTATGGCAGCCGGGGATGGATCAATGGGAGCATTGAGATCCAAAGGACATATTAGCTTCAAAAGTGATCTTTCCAAACCAGTTTGAATTTCTAGAATTTCTCCATCTTCGATTTGACTTAGTGCAATCTCCACTTTTGAAAGCCATTGCAATGCGAATACTTCTCCTTGTTCATTTCCAACTGCGGCTGCTAATCTGGCTTCATCTAGAATGAGATCTGCTTTGCTGGCGGTTGTAGAAGTACTGTTTGGTGATGGGCCCAGCGATGATTTACTTGTCGGCATGATGGCGACCTTTGCTGTGATACCCTTTTGAGAAGCTTTTTTAGCGAACTTCTGTTGACGTAAAAGCAGTCAGATGGTGTTGGTCTTATGAAGGTAATATGAGAAGGTTAATTTCGGCTTGACACAACACACGCACAAACAAATATTCCGCCTTAACAGTAGTTCTCTCTTCTTAGCCTTTTCTCCGAGAAGCACTACTCTCTCTCTCTCTCTGCAGAGTTATTTAGCCTGTAAATGGTCCAAGCGCTAATAATGGGATAAATGCTATTACAGAGTGTGTGTAGTACGCGTTCGTTATTGCAAAGATTATTTTAAGGATGTACCTCTAACCGATTCCTATGACAACCCTATCCGAAGTGACAAAAGCGGTCAAGTGAAAGTGGCAATGACTGCTAGCGATTTGAATAGTGATGGAAGCAAGGCAGCTGCGATGAAGTCAGATTCACAAGGAAGCATGAGCGGGAACGCAGATGAAAAAGGGCAGGAAAATATAAACGATTTACCATCTTATTCAGATCTTAACTCCATACACCATTCACCTCGAGTTTCCACAATACCCATAACCTCTTCAATGGTAAGCGATGAAGAACCGATAGATATACGGCTAGACGATGATCCTGTCACGTCTTCATATGCTAATACGAGCGGACAAAATCAAAATAATGACCATTCATCAACATCAAAGCATTATAATAATGGTCCCTCCATTTGGCTCACACCAGCAAGGAGTGCTTCCCAGGTCACGTATGATTCTTACAACGCTTCGCAAGTCTACTTTGAAGCTACCAAACCCAATAGGTCCTTGAGTACGATACCAGCGCTCTCCAATTCACTACCGAACGCTGAACAAGGAGAGTCTTCGCAATCAAGTGATATCGCCTCATCGCAAGCAAAACTTACATTGGAGAATCTCACAGAAGCTTTGCCACATCCTACAGCAATTTATCACCCTGGTACATCGCAATGGCAAGTCGTTTTGGACGAGGAAGAGTTTGCCCGGGGATATAGGGACACAAGCAAGCCTGAAGCAATAGAGATAACAAGTAACGATTTTACTCTTTGGAGATCGATAGACGTCATTGAAGCTGACGAGATTGATAAAGGGATGCATTTGGTATCCATTCCGCCTATTGAGATTGGACAGTCTCAAGTAGCTTGGAAGGTAGTGAAGCAATTTCATCGATGGCAAAGTACCGCTGGTAAGTTCGTTTATTCAACTATACCTGAAGCTTTAAATAGTGTAGTCCCTACCAGGTTACTTGACGCCTTCAAAAATGAGAGAATGTCCAACCCTCGACCTAGTGTCACCGGTATAGCTCAATTTCAAGATTCTGGACTCACACTATTAAAGATTGTCGGCAACGCTGCTAATGGAGAAACGAGGTCATTAATGATCAGTGGTGTGACTATTTCGACAAAGCTTGGAATGGATCAACACACTGAAGGTATATTGACCTGTATGGGTTTTACACAATCTGAACAAACCGATGATCAGACTGGGATGTCAAAAAAGGTTGTTCGGCCTCCGGACATTTCTTCAAAGCATCTCCAGATACGATTACGCAGGGCATGGATTGAGCTTGTCCTTTGGTTCACATACGAAGCAAGTCTTTTACCCATTCCAACCGTTTGGGATTCTATACAAAAGTCTGATGTGCCCTTTCTTCCACAGAGCATATCTGCTACTGAATACCTGTGTAGAGTATTTGGCGACTCTGGAACGTCCTCCAAGCAAGATGTACCGCATGACCTTTTAGCAGAGCTTGCCGGACTGGGCCTAGATGGAGATGCCTCAGACGAAATGGTTCAAAAGGTTTACGAGCTCAACACCACTTCTGCCGGCTTCATTGAACGTATTGAAGCATTTTCAACTCTGCAAAGATTAGTGGAGAATCATAGAACACACAGTGACGCACTCCAAACACTTGTTGCAATCGAGCGTAGCAAACCAATGTACACAAAGCAAGAGATCCTCTCAAGCTATACGAAAGTGATTGGTGAACCTATCGATACCCTTGAAAAAGCTTCCCAAATAGATGATAGTTTCATTGGTGCTATGTTTCAAGTTAATACAGAAAATGTCGTTGCAGAACCTTCAGAAGTGCAATCGTTCAAAGATGCTCTACAAATCGTTTCTTGGTGTCGGGGTAGGCCAGCATCTCTCGAGGCAGTTTTGGAAAAGCCGATAGAGTTCAGCCTGGAAAAAGCCTACGAGGTCTTGGGTGTTACAGCTGAAACAGATGATGACTTTATCGCTTCTGTCTACTCAATCGCTGCCACAGACAAGAAACATACAGAAGCAGAATGCATTGAAGCACTTCGAGTGATAAGCAAAAATCGAAAGAGTACTGCTTTATCGAAAGTGTACCGTAACGCAACTGGACAAGAAGAGGCTTTGGATTGGGAAATGGCTGATACAGATAAGCCGGCGGGGTTGAACAATATCGGCAATACATGTTATCTCAATTCAGTGTTACAGTACTTTTACGCGATCAAACCGATCCGCGAACGTATCTTAGGAGCTGGACAGGTAGCTGTAGAGACAAAGAAGGTCATCAACGCTGAACGCATGCAAGTCGGTGGACGAAAAGTAAGCCAACGTGAAATCGATCGATCGCATCAATTCGTCAAATTGTTATCTCAACTCTTTTCAGCTATGATGACTTCACCGATCACAGCTATTACACCCGAACGAGAGCTAGCATACTTGGCGCTTGTGTCTTCTGCTCGTGAAGAGTCTTTGACAGAGTTTGTCGAAGAAGACGGTGAAAAGGGAGCGAGCTCGACTGCTTTAGAAGGTTCGCATAATAGTGCAGGTACCGATACGACACTGGTGGAAGAGCCCAAGACGTACAATACAGATGTTGATGGCAATACACAGGACAATACGGCAGAGCCAATCGGACCCCAGAACGCACCCGATATCCCATCAGCAGCTAGACCGCCTGCCCTTCCATCAAGACCACTGCTGGAACACACTGAGGCAGGCCAGAGAAGGAACTCACTTATGCAAGTGGGAGCTCAGCAAGACGTTAGCGAATGTCTAGACAATGTCATGTTTCAAGTCGAAGCTGCATTGACAGCTCAGGAGATTGAGGATGTATCAAAGACTGCCAATATCTCGGAAAGTGCAACCAAGGATGCCCTAAATTCTGCAAACGAAGACGAGTGGACGACTGAAGGCGACCTTCTTCGCCGGCTATTCCTCGGTAGAACACAGCAGCGTCTAGAATTGCAAGCTGAAGAAGAGCAAAATGACGTCAAAGGTGGTAGCATTCACATGAAAAAAGAAGTCTTTAAGATCTTACCCATCGTTGTGATGGAAGAGGAGGGAAAAGATATTCATGATGGATTGGACGGCTTCTTTGCTGAGGAGATTTTGACACATGCAAGTGGACGTCCGATGACAAGAGCTGTATCTTTGATCGATCCTCCTGCTGTTCTGCAAATCCAACTTCAGCGGGTTCAATTTGATCGTAAAAAAGGCAGATCTTTCAAATCGCAAGCGCATCTTGCATTCGAAGAAACAATTTACATGGATAGATATATGGACTTTGATCTTCAGAATGCTGACGATCGTAAGCGAAACGAGAAGCGAAAGGAAGAACGTGTAGCGCGTGAAAAGATTGCGGCTTTACATGCAAGGATACGGTCATTGAAGCCTACCGAAGAAGGAAGCAAGGTGGCAGCAAGAGCACTAGAACGATCAGCTTCGTATCTCTCCTCATTGCCGAAGATCAAGCACCCGTTGAACATCCCTAATGAGAAGGAAGATGTAAGTGACGACGAAGAAAATGTGGAAGCGCCAGCAGGTGGAATACCAGAGGAATTGCTGGAAGGCGGCATCAGTGCGTTTCTTGAGTCAGAATCGAAGCGAGTTGAAGAGGAAATCAAGGAAGCAGAAGAATCCATTTTGGAGCTCAAGACTGGAATTGAATCTTTGTGGGTAGAAGAACGTAGGGTTGAATATGTTTTGGCGAGTGTGTTCATGCACAGAGGTGAAGCATCCCATGGACACTATTTCCTCAATCAACGCAAGCTCGGCCCAAAGGTACAATCAGAAGAACAGCAATCTGCACCATCCACTTGGTTCAAGTACAATGATAATGTTGTTCAGGAAATTGCAGTAGGAGATGTTCTAAAAGACAAGACAGGCGCAACACCTTACCTATTATCATTCGTTCGCAAAGATCTACAAGATGAGATGAGCTTGTTTGATACAATCTGTCGGTACGTTGATAATGGAGTCCCAAATGCGACTGATGGCCTCGTACGACAAGATGTACAAACAGACACAAAAATGGACGAAGGCAAGCAAGAGAAATTGGAAAATGGACAAGGGCAGGAAAATCATTTGAGCAGGAACAACGACATGGAAGTGGAGAAGAATTAATTAGGATCTTGTCGTGTTGCAATTGTAACTTTATTCACACTCTACATATATGATCGTCATTTGTATTGAATAGAGCATCATCGATTTATTTCATCAATGTATCACAGAAGTACAATAAAGTATAATTATTCTTCCTTAATCGTGTCAGGATTACCTCTGTTTGCGGAAATGGATGCCTTTCTGACGTCATTACCCACTTTTCGTAAACCTTCATCTGCTTGTTGCATCATACGTTTCAACTCTCTTTCGGCTCGCTTGTCCGATCGAAGCTGATTTGCACCTTTCAAACTTTCCACGTACAATTGGAACTTGGTTAATTCAGACAAAAGATAGGCAGATCTTTTTTCCCAATTTGCCAATGCTTTATTTGCTAAAACACTTGCTTGTGTTGAAGGATGAGGAGCTGCAACAACCAGATCACTTCCTAAACCACTTCCGATACTGCCATTCGGTGAATTTGTACTTGTTGCACCAAGCGAAACTGAAGAAGCGCCAGCTATGGTTGAATTAGGAGACAATGAATAAGTAGATCTTGAATTGGCTGATTGTCCGTATCGATTTCCAAAAGAGGAGCTAGGCGTTCTGAACATTTGTAACATCGGTTGGCGTAAGCTATTGTGCAATGTAAGATCTTGTTCAATTTTTGTAGTCTGTCGAATACAGGCATCCAATTGATCTTCTTCATTTAATGTACTTGGCATCATAGGCGGCAAAGGGGCTTGCCAATCATATACCATCGTTGGTCTGTCCAAAGTGGAGACAGATGTGTTTGGTGTAGAGAGACTGGTCATAGATGCAACAGGACTACTGAATCCACTTTGATGACCATAAGCATTTTGATTAGACGAAGACGCAATCACAATTTGATCCAAGCTATTTCCATGCGATCTTCCTTGAAATAGGGCATTGGTGCGTATACGTAAAGAACGTCCACTACGTCCGCTTCGAACGCTGCGTGCATCTGCTCCGCTACTATGTGCGTTTGCCGACTTTGCATTGGGCCCAGATAAGAAGGCGTGTGATTGTCCCGAGGTTGGCGAGGGAATCGATCCTTCAGGTGAAGAATTGGCGACTTCTTCTGCTTCTTCCTTTTCATTTGTTGCACTCTCTCCGCCCCCAACGCTCATCGTTTCTGCTATACTGCGAGCGCTATTTTCATCATTCCTCGCGTTGGGATCCAATTCTCTCTGTGAGAATGATTGCAATCGATTCCAGCCGTATTCCATATTGCTGACTCCGCCTGCCAATGGTTCTTTACTCAATCTGGCTGCCCAATAATTACAAGTGGACGTCCATTCTTGTGCCAATTCTTCATGTGCTGTTTGGAAGAAGTACACACTACCAGAGGGTAATGTGAGAGCAAAAACGTGTGGTCGAGATCTATTGTAGCCAGGAGGTGGCAAGATATTTGCCAAGGAATGGGCAAGAGAGAATTCGCCAATGCAAGTAGCATTTGATAACCAATTTCCACCACCTACAGTTGGATCTCTTTGCTTCACTGTTCCTGAGGATGAACTGGCGCCAAAGCGGAACATAGACAATTGACCTTTTTGAATAACAGTGAAACAATCTACCCAGCTCTTATCTTTTGCTCGCTTGTGGGGTGCCTCCCAATATTGCTTCCTCGTCAGCATTCCTTCCTTCGCCCATGGCGGGCCCATCAATGCAAGTTCTTCATCGGTAAAGTCATCTTTTTCGCTATCGATACTGAGCGTTTCAGCTTCATCATTGCTTTCACGGATGATACTTTTGGACAAAGTGTTGGCAAAACCCATCGTTGGAGTATTCGAAGGACTGCTTTGAACAATTGAAGGTGATGTCGGTGCCAAACTTGAGATTGAAGGCCGCGGTTGGGCGTCTGATGCAGTACTTTGACGTGGAGGCGAAAAAGGATTATTGAACCGCATCATCTCCTCGCTATTCCGTATCGTAGAAGTATTCGAACCCATCAAACCTTGAATACCACGAATGCTACCTCGTTTGAGAGCATTAACCCTTTCTGAACCTGTCGAGCGCGCCATTCTTCGCGTGCCAGACCCATCATTTACTGGCAATGGAAGTCGAATACGATCACTTTTGACGCCATTGTACAGATCACGTAATACCAACTCCATCTTTTCTTCCCATGCTCTACTTCCAACAACTTCTGCAGTACCCGTCTTGCCTTTCTCTTCCGCATTATTGTTCGAAGAAGATTCAAGGATAGCATCAACCGTATTTCGAATGAACTGTTGCCTCGTCATTCTTTCGCTTAATTCGGCAACGTGCAGATCTGTATTGAGTAAAAGGATGGAGAATGTGACTGCATGAACGATATCCGCACTTCCAAACAATGTATTGGGATTGCATTCGAAATATCGATTGCTGAAAGCTGCCACGATACGATCCACTTGTTGTGTCTCTGCTCGAAGGAATAGCTTATCACACAATTTGCGAAGGGCAGCATCCACAGACAATTTACTGAAATCGAATTTAGCTAGATAGAACGTGCAAGCACGCTTGTTCGTAATGCCAACACCACCGAGCCATTCAGCAATCTTTTCGCGCTTCTTAAACGATTCGTCTTCATTCCAGCACTTGTCAGCTAGCTCCTTCGCTTTTTGCATATCGTCTGAATGGGTCGACTCTGATATTCCATCGTTTTGTTCATTTGCACTATTGTTTGATGTGACCAAGCGGATAGATTGTTCTGGAGGAGCGATAGGCGAGGTTGCAACAGCTTCGGTGTTTATACTTCCGCTTGGATCTCTCGACAGTGAACCTCGCCCACTCTCTTCTTGTTGCGCATGACGTAAGAATAAAGAGGGATGATCAATCGCTGTTTCATATGACTTTGTTGTGACAGCGCTGATATTATCATCACGACTTGGATGATTGTATATTTCGGAGCTGAAGGTATCATCGCTTGCAGGCTGATTCACAAACCTGGCCGTTGATCGTATAGGCTCCGTTTTAGGCGCATTGCTTGATTGAACAGAATTAGACTCTTGATTGACGCTTGCTGGATTTGGATTACTCGTCCTTGCTGTACGATTCGCTACTGGCTGTAAGAAGTGTGAATCGTACGACACTGCTGAGATTCCATTTGATGAGTGGGATTCATTGCTTGGATGAACAGAAATACCGAAAGCCCTGGAAGAAGATTCATTCAAAGTACGAGGACTGGTTGGGCCGTTTGCATTTGATTCACCCTCGTCCATAAAGCTTCCTTTTCGATTCAAACCTCTATATTCCGGTAATTGAGGGCTAGGTGTCCAATTTGCTCGAGGTGCTTCAATCTTTGTCTTTTCCTCCAAGTTTTGACCTGATGTTTCCAATGCAGCATCCATCTCTTTCTCCCAGGCCTTGATTGCGCTGAAGTATTCACCTGATCCACTTGACTTGTTTGTCTTACTAGCAGTCTTTGACTGCATTGGGGATGCTAAAACACCAGGCTTGGTCGTCTGCCCTTCTTTTTGTCCTTTCTGTCTCGATGCTTGTATAGTATTCTGTGATGACTTACTGACAGACGGTGTCATTTGGTCTCGGTATTGCTCTGGGATACTTGGAACGGGAACATCCGTCTTGACAGTCCACGTGGGAAGATCGTCAGTACTTGCAGCACCAGCAGTTGTAGCTCGAATATTCGATGATCCACCTACACCCAAACCTCCTTCCGAAACGAGACTGTTATGACTACCTTTTCGCAAAACTTGTTTCCTTGGCGTTAAGAGTGAAGTCTTTGGTGATGTAGCATTCTCTGCATTTGAGCTACTGTTTCCGCCTCCTCCCAATCGTCTTAGGAAACCTCCTGTCTTTTTTATTCGATCACGCAAGGCGCTACTACTCTTGTCCCCCGTCAAGGATGAATCCAAAACAGGGCTCCCCAACATAGGAGATTTGGCAGCTTTATCTCCAAAAGAAGGAGAATCGGCAAACTTTGGCGTGGATAGTGGTTTGGGTGTCTTTTCATTATCTCCTTCATCTTTTTGAGGTGGTTGAAGGTTCGTGGGCTGTACTTTAGTCAATGACGATGAAGGTGGCTGCGATCGAAATGGACTTTTGCTTGGCGGCAAAGGAGGCGGCATGTTTGTTGTTGATGGCTTGTGGGTATCAGAAGAGGATTCCGACGTATTTTGACTACGATGTGAAGTGAAGAGTGGCAATGGCTGGGTATTCGAATCCTCTGTCCGGCCGCCCCTGTTTGAGCGATGATGAGGATGTACTGGAAGTGAAGAAGTTGGTGAAGCTGGACTTGCACCTCCGCTTGGTGGTGTAGTGAAGTGGTTGGATCCATGTGTAGAGTAAGAAGCTCTACCTTCCGCTTCCGCATTCGATGTTCTAGCATCAGCAATCACACCTCCTCTTACGATCGAACTTTCAGATGGCCTGCTTTTGGAGCGAGAAGATGATCTTCGATGGTTTCGAGAATTGATACTGCTCCGCTTCTTTCTCGAACTTCGATCTTCGCTTGCGTTGCTATGCCCATCAGATGACACATTTTCATTCTCGATCGCCATCAAAGTTCGCCTGCTTGAAGTTGCACTTAGGCTGTCATCGTCACGAAATGAACCAGGAGGTGATCCATAAGAAGCTGTGTTTGCGCTTTTTAGAATGTCACGTTTGGTTAATGAATTTTGTCTGTTCAAGCCGGGTGAGATTAATAAAGTATCGCCATTATTAGCCATTAAATCTTCATAAGCAAATTCACTTCCATGCGATGAATTTGATACAGAATCGATTGATTGCGAAATGCCAAAAGCACGACGTGTTGGCGAATTTGAGTCTTCTAAAAACGGCTTGGCTGACATGTAAGAGCTTACTGTGCTTGCTGTTCCAGGTCGATTTTGATCCGATCTTCGCCTTATCTTTCCAGAAGAGGATGTAGCTTGTGATTTACCTTTACTTCTGTCAGAGGAAAGTGAAGTTCTTGCGTTTAAAGAAGGTGACATTTGTCGGACTTGTGATATTTTTTGTTCGTTTGCTGTACTATTGTTGCTTCCACGTCCTATTGGCAAAGAATATTGTTCGTTTTCGTTATTATTCTGTTGATTCTTTATTGCATAATCTGTAGGTCGTACCATGCTTGCTTGAGGTTTATGCCAGCAAAGACATGGCTATGATCGCTTGAAAGGAATGAAGAAGGTCCTTTTGATATCCGCACGCGTGTTAATGGGTGTGTGTATGTATGCAGTATTGCATCTTTAAAAGAACACTTTCACCTCTTCTCACGCACACACGCACGCACACTAACATATAATACTAGCGCACCCAAGCAAAAAAAAAGAAAGAAAAAGCTTAAAGTGGTGTGGTCTAACAAGGAGATCTATTGTAACCTAAAGATAGACACAGAATGATATCATTTTTCAAGCGGCGCCGGACAAAGGAACAAGAACATTCTTATGAAAGTAAGATCGAGACAGACAAGACATTTATTAGTAGTTTAAGCGAAGAAGATGATTACATAATCCAGGTAATATAAAAGATCTCCTTAACCAATGATAAATTTATATGCTATTTGTTTTTTAGTTTTCCCCACATGGGGTGAATTGGATCGACAGAAAAAGAGCCGAAAAGTTGAATTAACCGGTGATGCGTCGCTTAGAAAAAACGCAGGCGGGCGCGATTGAGTGCCGCTCTATTACCCCGATGTACCGCACAGATATTACGCCCGATTAGATTTTATTGAGTAAAAACGGTTGTCATTCACACGCATAAAAGAAAGCGGATAAAGTAGTGGAGAACTTATGTGCATATACCCAATACAACGACCACCCACTCATCCAACGAAAATGGTACCGGGTGCAAGTACGATATCAAGTGCTGCTTGTTCAACGTTTGATGCTGTTGGAAGTACTTTGCCGTACTTATTCAAACCATGGGAATGGAAACAAGAAGTATGGACGCATGAAGATATACCAAGTCTAAAAGGAAAAGTTGCATTGGTAACGGGAGGAACGGGTGGAATAGGATTGGAGACATGCCATGCATTGGTACGACATGGTGCACATGTATTCTTAGGTGCAAGATCTGAATTGAAATTCAAACAGGCACTTGAAACAATCAAGACAAGATTAGCATTAGAACCTATACCAAATCAAATCGAAGGTGAAGATGAAATCGCTTTAGGGAAAATCGAATATCTTCCTTGTGATCTTTCAACGATGGACCAAGCAGATCAAGCTGCAAAAACATTCTTACAAGCAGGAACAAAAAGGTTAGACATCTTTATTGCTTGTGCAGGAAAAGGATCGGGAAAGAGTGAGATAACCGAAGATAAAGTGGAATCATTCATGGCAACCAATACAGTCAATCATATGGTCATGCTGAGAAGGCTGATACCGCTGATACGCAAAACTTCTCATGAACAAAAATCAGGATCAAGTAGGATCATCTTTGTTTCTTCTTGTGCTCACAGATGGTGTTCTCTTCCTTGGCCTATAGGAAATCCTGCATCTTTTGAATCATGGCAAAGTGTGAACGATGAGAAGAGAAGTAGCAATAATCTATACAGTCAAAGCAAACTTGCACAGATCCTATTATCAAGCCGGCTAAATCGAGAATTACAAGCATTAGATTCTGATCGACCAGGAGGATGCAATATTGCCTGTGTATCCTTACATCCGGGTGAGATCAATAACGACTTTGTTCAAAGAAACTTTTTGAGAGAAGTGAGCCGGTTTCACATTCTCAAATTGGCACAATCATACCCCGCAATTTTGCGATTGGTCCTATTGAATGCTATGGAAGGAGCGAGAACGTGCTTGTTTGCTGCAACATCTTCACAAATCGACAAAAATAAATGGAGTGGTCAATATCTAACATATCCATGTCAATTAGGAAGAGCAAGTGATGCAGCAAAGAATGAAGAAATGGAAGAAAAATGTTGGCAATTAGTTCAAAAAAAGATTGATGAGAAATTCGGACAGATGCAATGGTGAACACGATATTTTTAATGTAATAAGCATTCCAAACGATTCATTTCATAACAGGTATATCCAGCGATAATCAAAAGCACGATCCTACAAAATTTGTATAAGAAGTAGAGCAATATTAAACAGTCGTAATAGTCAGAAGGCTACAGAAGAGAAGAGAGAAAATTGAGAAAAAAAGCGAAAAAAGCGAAAAGCGAAAAGCGAAAAGCGAAAAGCAGTAACGAAAGCAGGATCCGAAACGAGAAGTGGTATATTGAATGGCATTGTTTTGCTCACATTTGAGCAATTCTGAATCGCTTGCCAATATCGTTTGGATTCGATTTTGGCGTTGTAGCGATTCGTTTGCCAGGAATGAGCATTTGTTCAGGTTCATCCGCATCAAAGGCGCCGCCCAAGCCAAGGCCATCAACACCGGCATCGTGCTGATTGCGGTACTGGTGATGGTCATCATTGGACATAGCCATTTGTTTCAAAACAGCTTTACCCGAACCACTTTGATCAAAGTCGAGAAACTTTGCTCGACTTCTTGTGGCCCTTGTTGGGGTTTGATCAAGTGAATGACCTAACACTCCAGCAGCTGAAGGTAACTTGGAAGAATTTGGAGTGCCTAAACCTGAATACATTCCTCGCATCTTTGGTTGAGGAGAAGGTGAAACATGCAAAAAGTCACCGTAAGAAAAGTTTGAGCCAGGTGCTTTTGGCGTACGAGGTGTGTTTGGCAACGGAGGTGGTGTTCGAGGTGTTTGAATGGGTAATTCTCCGTGAGCAACAGAAGTAGACTTCTCCTCTGCCGGTACGTCTTGGGACACTTTGTCCTCTTCCGAACTTTGCATCTCGACATCCGCTTCACGCAAAGATGGATGTGGGTCCAATGGTGAAAGAGGGGATGTTGATCGTTTGCCACGGTGAGACATAGCATCTGAACGTGCTGCTTGTTCCGTCTTGCCAGTAGTTGTGACTTCATCAGAATGTGGTGGAGTCATTGGAGGTGACATGAGTCGTACTCGACCAGCTTGCGATGGAGTTCTTGCATGTTTGCGTGGCGAAGGGGAAAGATCGTAAAGACCTGAAGGAGGAGTTGTGGGTTGAGCAGATTCCAATAATGGAGCATTTTGCAACTTTGACTTGAAAGAAGAACGAATCGGACTTCCACCGTCTGTAATTCCATGCGAACCCAACGACCCTGTTCGAGCATGTCCACGACCAGCACGAGAATTGTTGGCATGATTGGAAGGAGTTTTGAGAATTCCACGTAGGTCCGATAATCTGCCTCGCTCTTCATGACGATCAATGTCATCCATCAACTTGTATTTGACCGTTCCACCCGATCTCATAGGAGATGCCAAACTAGGTGTCTTTCCATGTTCCTTTCTTCGATATGCAATCAGGTCATCCCGTAGACTTGGCGTGTGACCTGGCAGGTGAGAAGAACTACGAAATTGCGAGGGAGATGGTGATGGTGAGGATGCCAGATCCAACAGTGAATGGGCTGCTTCATTATTGCCTGCTTCATCTACCTCATTGATTGGGCTATTTTGCTGTAGATGATGATTTGCCAAACTTTGTCGACGATGTGCTGAAGAAGGCGTGTTGAAGCGTGTAGATGTGGGTGTATGAAGATCACCAACGCTGTTCCTTTGTCTTCTTCTAGGTGTAAGTGTGTTTGGATCAACGAATTTCGATGATCTAGGCGGTGACACTTTTGCCTCTTCATTATCATTTGAGCCTGAAGAAAGGCTTGCTAACAGAAAACCAGCAAGCATACTGGTATCTTTTGTAGACGTATGTTCGTCTCGAAGGTCTTCTCGATCATATCTGTTGGGGTGCGAATTGAATCCACCGATCAACCTTCCTGCTGCTGAAGCGTTTCGCGATCGAGCAGGACGTACACCGCCCGTTGCAATGCCCAAATCTTGCGCCAACGAAGAAGCTGGATGGCCATTTGGCAAAACAGATCCACCACTACTTCGCATCCTTCTATGCTTGCTTGAACCTAATTTTGGCGTTCTGTGCTTGAGGCTACCGAACGGAGTGGTTGTACTGTGATATGAATCTTGTTCCATTGGATCAGATGGTGTATCAAAGATTGTCGACTCAGCTTGTGATCCCCAATGACGAGAAGGAGAAGTGAGCGAAGATAATTGAGGCGTAAATTCTTGTGAGAAATTTCTTGGAGAAGGTGGATATTCGCTTGTGATGAAAGTACTGTTTGAAAGCATATTATGTTGTGGCGAAAGTGCAACTTGCTCCAAAAATGCTGAACTGCCTTGACGAACGTGAGGTGACCTTTGTTGTACAACAGGAGGCGAAGAAGATGATTTCGTTGACGCCTTTACTCCTGGCATAGCCACACGTCCGAACGTCGATCCAAAGATCACATCATAGAGTGACGGTTTGCAATTTTGTGATTCTTTCTCTGACGAAGCGTGTGATTGCAAACTTGATGCTTGATCCAATTCCTCTTTCATCATCACATCTTCGCATTGAGATTGACGGTCTTCATCCATACCGGAAGCCAAACCTATCCCAAGTCCTTGCATACTTGCAGGAGATGCAATTGGCTGTGGTGTATGCTCACTTTCCGGTGAGGTTGATGATTGGGAGGGCTGTGAAGACTGCCGTTGGGATGTGTTTTCCGCCTTTCCGTTGAAACTTGCAATGAATGGTGGAATAGGCGATCGTTTATGATTGGAAGCTAATGCCAATCGATGACGTAAAGCATGTGCGGCCTGTTCAACCTCATAGCATCGTAATTGAGGTGAGGCCTGCTCCATGATGTTGGCCTTGTCTGCCCAGCAATAGGCAAGAACTATATACTTGTCGAAATAAGAATCGGGCAAAAATAAAAAAGCGTTTCAAAGCAGCCGCTCTACTTCGAATTTGTTAAGATGGCAAAGTAGGTGAATAATTGACGGTGATGGTGGTAAAATGGATACTCGTTCACCTATCCATGCGCATTCAAACGTATGATTAGGTTCTTGATGTACGAAAAACCAATTTAGGTGAGGAGCAAAAGTGGACCTCAGGTATAATCGAACGAGATGTGGATCTAACCTAATATTTTCTCTTTAGATCCCTTTGTCTTTTTTTCTTGGGATCCTTTTTCGAGAGTCCGACTTTGAATGTGTGTGTGTGTGTGCATTCAAACTGCATCAACGGGAGAATTCGATCAAAGCATGCCATCATGCAAGCACTCCACTGTTCTTTTACCCGAGTTAGTCTGCATCGAAAATCACATTTAAAAAGCGAGAAACCCTAGGATTGGAAAAAGAAAAAGTATCTTTTGTGGTGCGCGCGCGAAAAGTTGACTGTTAAAATGCTCACCTCCGAAATCGAACACGCGTTCAATCGAACGAAAACTTTAACTTGTTCATCAAAGCGCGTAAATAGACGCGTTCCAACACACTTTACACGTTTACGCGACGCGTCTTGCCGTGTAAATCACTTGTCGGCGTACATACACATACACATATGCATGCGCTCTTTAAATAATGTAGAAAGTTACGGTGTGCATGCATACGATGATCATCATCAGCAGCAGATCTGACATTCCATTGATGATGACTAAGACAATGAGATGAGCATAAATTATAGCATTCAAAAGTAGCATCCACTAAATAATGTATATTTTATAGTAAAAGAATGGAGACAATAAAAACCTTTTATCCTGAACCTGTCCTGACAATCATCCACTTAATTCAGTAACATTTTTCACATCCGCCGTATCAACCGTCCATCCATTCTTGGTCATCAAAGATTCAGCATCAGATCCTGCAGGAATACCGGTAGGTAAAGTAGGAGAAGTGTTTCCACTGCCTGTATTGTGAGAAGCATCATGAGAATTGTGCGATTGTTGATGGGCGTTATCATGGCTATTGCCTTCTGATTGACCAGCAGAAATCTCTTGAAGTGCTTCTTGTTCTTCTGTTCGTTCAACTTGAGTTGGTTGTTCAGCAGTATAATACTTAGGCTTTTGCTGCAAAGCAGTGAGCAATGGTTGAGAAGCCACACCATGCTTGAAATCCTCATGAGACAAAACAGGTGTCACAGTGGAAGGATTGGAATCACTTGCGGGTATCTCTCCAATCACAGGGGAGGATGCATTTCCGTTCTCGTTCAACGTTTGTGTGATTGAATTGGAATCACCGCTGTTAGAAGCTGTGAACACACCAGGTGTCACTTCAGCTTCAGGTGATCTAGGCGGAGATCTTGAATCAATTCCATTGCTATCTGTAGAATTCTTCTTTCCGTTTGCACCAACAGAAGAAATGCGTGGCCGATTGCTTGACTTTGGTTGAATTGCAGGAGGAACACCTAAAGAGGTATGAGAAGCCGTGGAAGAAGCATATGCATCACGCAAAGACTGACTTGATGCTGTAGGTGGTGCAGCACTTCTTTCTTTGCGTCTACGTGTTGCTCTCATTGAAGATCGATCTTGAGTATTGTCTTTCATTTCTGAGGTCTTTGTATCGACCGTCTTTCCATCTTCGCTTGCATGATCGTTCAAGCTCTCCTCTGCGTTATTGACGCCATGTCCAACGCTGCTACGGTACTCGTATCTTGAATTGATACTTGCGTTACTGCCACGACGTTGACGGCGATTGATTTCGCGTTCATACGTTCCTGATCGGCGACCTTCCAAATTTGTCAAGGTGGATTCAAGCTGTTGCTGAATTCTACTGATTTGATCCGTCACAATACTGGTCCTTTGCTGAATCTCATAATTCATTTGCTCGTCTGGGAAGTGATTCACATGGGAGTTCACTGATCCACTGTAAGATCCGTTACGGTCACGTTCACCGCGATCTTGTGACATGCTTCTTCTGTGTCCTTGTTGAGAGGATATTCTGCTATTTGTGCGACTTTGATTACGTCCGGGCCTTCCTTCCGAGATTCTTGCTTCAGCCATTGCGCGGGATTTCAAGACGTACTCTGCTGCTTGAGAAGGCGTCATACTCACTTGAGATCCAGTAGGACTACTACTTCTGGAGAGTAGATTGAACGAAGGTAAATCAAGTCTAGTAACGCTCATATTCACATCTTCGATGTTACCGCCTCCAGACAAGACTGCACGAATCTCTTCCATCATAACTTCACGCTCTTGCTCGACAGATTCCATAGCCGTCTTCATTCTTAGCAATTCGCCCATGGCCTCCTCTCGTGCTTGTTCGGTATCCTTTAGCTGAAGTTGCAATTGTACATGCTCGACATCTCTTTGAGCCAGACGAGAGCTTAAACGTTTACTTTCTCTACGTTCTTTGTCTACTTTTGAACGTAAATCGTTCGCTTCTTTTGTCAATCGATCAACCAAAACTTGAATTTTACCAAATTGCGCTCTCCACATCTCTGATTCGCTCATCAAGAATGCCAAACGTTTGTTCAATCGTCCAATCTTGTTTTCCAAGCCATCGCGTGCATCAACGAATGTGCTTGCTCTCTTACGCAAAGCCATGATTGCAGCAATTTCTGATTCAGATGCAACGACTGCACGGCTAGTACGTCGAGATTTGAGCATCTTTTTCAAAAAGGTTGACTTTTGATCTTCCCGTAATGAATTATCGAAAGCTTGTACTGCAACCGTTTGATTCCACCATTGAGGCACAGGCAGTTGCTCATATGCAGAATTCAAATCCCGCGTGATCATTCTACTCAATGGACGGAATCTTGAACCCGGATAAGCATCAATGAATTCACGAGGTGGATGATAATCGACGTCATTAACGTGGACAGCTTGGTGCAATCTCTTGCGTCTTCTTTCACGTAATCCTTTTGTACTAATTGCGTTCAAAGGAGGACTGTTGCATGTGATACGGTTCATATCCAGATCCACGGTGCAGACTTGTGCAGGAGGTTGAACTAATCCACGCAATTCTGCATTGATACCAATAATCCAAGAGCCAGGATCTTCGAGGTAAATCCGAACGTCACGAGCATGACAAATTTGATGAACAACACCACGCCATCCACTCTGTTCGACAAGATAGCGCAGTGTTTCAACGGCCATACCGAGCAAAGCAGGGTGAGAAGAAACGAACAAGATACGTCCGTTATGGCCTAGTGCAATTTCGCAGATGGTCAAAATGTTGTCAAGCGACAATGTGCTGAATAGAGGCCACATCGTGAAATCGATACCGATCAATCCTGTTCCCCACTCTACTGCACCAGGGAAGGTGCAGTGGAAAGAGAGGTCCTTCTCGGGTGATCCAACACTGATCTCTTCACCCAATCTTGGAGCAGGATGTCTGAGAATGGTGGACATGAGCTGGTTGTGCATCTCAATGTTACGGCTATACTTATGCCAAGCCATCTTGTTCCAATCTCCCAAAAGATTGTAGAGTGGGAATCGAGAAACGATGCAAATAGCATAAGGCATAAAAAAGACAGAATCAGAAGATCCTCTAACAGCAGCCAAACCGGGATTTTCACCTTCTGCGCCATTCGTTGTTTCGTCTGCATTACTCTTGGAAAGATTACCTCCGTTTTGTTTCTTTGCTTTTGCTAATTCTTTTCGAATCACTTTTGCACGCTTTTCGTCTGCCGCACTCCAAACGGTCAAAGCAACACCGTAAAAGGTTGCCAAACGTGGTCCGTCATCGTTGCTATTGCCATATCCAGTGTTTGAGCCATTACGATGCGAGGTCAATCCATAACCTTCTCCGACTCCATTCGCAGCTCCTCCAACAGAAACACCAGTTGCCATTGCAACTTTGCGACCGTCTGCTGTACGTTCATATGCCTCGCCCGAGCTTGGAATCGTGGGCACGCTGAAAGAGAAAGTATGTGAAGTGGCTTTGGGTGGATAATGTCCTTGTTCAGCCACAACTTCGACTTCCCGAGTGAAAGACAACTTGAGAGCTTTGCTCAACACACGAGCAGTCTCGGCTTTCTCGGTAGCACCTCGACCATCGTTCATTTCGATGAATTTGGGACTTTGAGATTTCTTGCTTTCATCTTTGTTGCTGGTACGACCTTCCCATTTGCTTGCACCAGATTGTTCGTCTAAAGATGAAGAAGAAGCTTGTGTGTGACCCAAAACTTCTGCAGGAGGAGGGCAGATAGAACAACCCAACACTTCGGGTCTCCAGAATCGGTCAATTGCACCATCTAAGTGATGCACGCCGACTACGCAGTCTTCCTCAGCTAGGGTCCACACTGAAGGATCTTTCGGCAATCCAAACACAGCGTACAGCTGAGCAATTGTATTACCATCTCCTTCTCCGGTCTTATTGCCAGCCCATTGTGTTCCTGCACCAACACTGCTGGATGCTGCTGTAACATTACCCGAAGCAGAGACTGGCATGGGGTGTTGCGCACTAGAAGAGATAGCCGCAGTGATAGACTTTGCCGAATCTTGATGAGTAGATGCATTACTTTTCTTTCGAATACGTGTAAAGCTTTTACGAGCGACAGATTTTGCAGAAGATCCAATACGTTGAAGTGAATCTGATTGATTTGCAACAGATTGTTTGTCATCGTTTGTAGGCGTCTTTGAACCACTTTCCTCCCGGGTTTCGCCTTCGCCTTCTTCTTCTTGTTCAGCAGTCCAGCCGGCTATTGATGATGTGGCCGTTGGGCCATTCTCACTCAAAGCAGATGTATGCGAATAAGACCTTGTCGGCAAGCCATCTTGGCCTAACATGCCCAGACTTGCAGTGCGTGAAGAGATTGATGGAGGCAATTCTGCCATTGTGATAGAATGTTTTCTTGTTGTGGAATCTGCAGGACTTGTGAGATCACGATTACGAAGTTCACTTTCGTTTGTAGGCGTACGATTGTTCTGCTCACGATCTTTCTCGTGTGTTTCCGCTTTCGTTGTAGGTTTTCCCAACTTTACAGATGGATCCAATTCAGCTTCAGGTGGCATTTCGAAGTATTCTAGTGGTGGCTCTTCTGGAACATCATGAATGACACGCGAAGCAGCTGAACTTGATTCTGATCTTCTGGATAGATCGTTGATTTGCTCGTTTGGCGTTCTTGGATTGGGTGGTAAATCTTTGTTGACTGAATTACGGTAAGAATTCTTATCGGTAGAGATGGAAGTGGCATTCGAACCTTTTTGTGAATGATTTTGAGATCTTGCACGACTGCTTGTTGCACTTGCTGCACTACGAAGGCTATCGGTTGACTTTCTTGCTGATCGAAGTAAATTAGCAAAACCAGAAGTTGTTACACCTGATAAACCTAAATCGCGCCATCTCTTTTTATCGGAATTATTTGATGTAGAAGGAACGGATTTGATCGAATAAGAGTCATATGACGAGCTCATTTTGGATCGAGTATGATGGGTCCTTTCTTTATTGTTGAAAAAGAGGGATCAATGCAGAAGGCCGCTAAATGCTGTAAAATTGAGCGGGTCCGGACGTACTCCTAGTTAATGTGATGGTATACGGAGCAAAAATGAAGCAAAAATGAGCATGGAAAGCGATGAAAGAAGTCTTGTGTTTATGTTTAAAGCATTCCAGTACGAGCTGAAAGGCAAAGGTATGAGAGAATGGAGAGGAATGAAAGGGGGAAGAGTGATGGTGAAGTGGGGAGAAAGAATGCCTTTAAGCGGTGGATTAATGATGAGTGCTTCCTGGCTGCTGGCTAGAACTTTGTATTTGTCTAATAGAGTGGTAAAGTGCCTGTGTTTGAATCTGAATCTAGCTCGAGTACCTAGCGGGCAAGAGAGACACCGAATTGTTTGTATGCAATTTAACAGTGTAAATGCTGTTTGCATTATTTCAGTCTTAGCGTACAATATTAACATGCAATTAAAAAGCGCAAGGCATCTTATCCGTGTTTTGTATTACACACTTATGAAACAAAAATGAAAAGAAACAAAGATTATTTTCGGCGCCGTGGGAATGATCGTCATGAGTAACAATGAATTGAATCTGATTGCGCACTTTCAATAGAATACAATGAGCCCGTTGAAGGCCGTATGACCAAATCAATTGGTAAGGTTTCTCATTTCAACGTCAGACAATAAAGGGTAAACGGGACCTTACTATCCTTCTTATCAATGCTCATACACACAAGAGGTTGTTTCATCTTTTAGCGTTTCTAGCGTCTTAGCGTTGAAGAACAAACAAACAATCCAACGGCCAGCACATTACGCCAGTTTTACATTCTAGCGTGACGCTAAAAACGGCGTAGTCACTCAAAAAAGAAAGTGGGAAATTTTTAAAGTTTTTCTCGTGATCGTCCATCTCCTTGCATGTTTACCCTTAAAAATAGAATTGCCGAAATTCACATAGAAGCGAAGATCATGGATGATTCTATAACCCTTGCATACGATGCACATAGATGTTGGAAAAAAGAAGAAGTTGATTGAGGTGAATGCGAATCATATACACTTTTTATTTGATTTCGTACTGTACATTAAACAAAAAAAGAGAAAGGGGATTATGCATACTTCTTTATCACGACCACTCTTGAGGTGGTGACCAAACATATTTTTGATCTTGTGATTGTTGTTTTTGTTGTGTCTTTGTCGTTCTTTGTTCCCATCGCTTTACCGCATCTCCTACCAATGTGCCACCCGAAACTTGTTGATTACCATGTGGATTGAATAAAGGTGCACCTAGATCAGGAAGTGCAAGGGGTGGACTTGGTGCTTTCTGAGGAGGATTTGGAGGTTGCTTGAATTCTGTGGAGGACTTGAATGTTCGTTCAGAAGACATCAATGAAGTTACCGGAAGCAATTGTGGTACACTTTGCCATGCTTCCAATTCCACAGGCAAACGGAATCCTGCCTTTCTTGCCAGATCGAAATATCTTGCAAGTTCCAAATGTAATTGTTGATAATACGTTTGCGATGCTTTTCGAGTGATTGCCAATAATCGTTCAATACCGGAAGCAAATAGCAGACAGTGGAAATCATGAGCGGCATTTTCGACTTTAAGCAATCTACGTGCTACCAAATTGATCAATCGTACTTGAGAAGTCAGGTAGGACATCGCTTCAAACTCTACCCCACCCGTCATTCCACCTGGCACTTTGGGCGCTTGAGCTTCATCGATGTTTACATCTTGCAATGCCCAAAATCGATTGGATGAATGACAAAAGACCCAAAAGTAGTCTCTGTTCACATTCAACAATTCAGTCACCCATCCTTTGAATGGTCGAGGCGTATGCGTTGCCGAAATGAAATCCACAATGGCTTCCTTGCTCGGATCGCGTGCGTTGTGCAATAAGGTGACGAGTAAGGTGAAATGTAGGGACGACTTTCCATTCTCGGCCATGCAATTCAACAATGAAGATGTCACACGAGTTGAAGAAACGCCAGAAACGCTTTTGTGGAGCTCTTCGCTTGGTATGGGAAGATCAGGCAAGATCATTAGCAGCTCGACCAATAGCTTTCTCGTTGAAAGTTCACCAGGACGCTTTTCCGAGAAGAGCAAATCTGCCAAATCAGCATAGGGAGCCGGGGAGGTGGAAGATAATGCTTGTCTACCGCATTCTGTAGAAGTCAATGCAACAAAACAGCGTAACAATTCGTGTAACAGTTGATCGTCATGTTGTTCTTCTCTCCATTCCATTTCCAGTAATTCCCGTAGTCTGAACAGCATTGCACTGTATCCGCCTTCTTCAAAGAACTCTCCCAGCCAAGCAGGACTTTCTGATGATAAAACAGCACGCATCTTTTTCACCTTGGCAACTTCCAATCTTGAAGAATCGGTTGCTTTTAGCATTGTTGCATAGTATGGAGCAGTCATAATTCCTGCACTTGAATCCTTACTGAAACTTGCAGAACGTGATCGCATACTGACCAAAGAAGTGGAAGAAGGATTGTTATGCATTCCGATTCCATTTCTGGCACCAGAAGATGAGAATGGAGCACCTGTCGTTCCTGCTGAACTACTCGATTCCCCTGAGGCAGAACGACTTTGATTGCTGAATGGCAGACGTCTCTCGAATTCTTCGTCAGCACTTGCCTGAAGGTTTACGCTACTCTTGCTTCGCATGAATTTATCTGGGATCGCATTTCTTGCTTTGCCGTTCGAAGCAGCGCTCAATGAGGCCAAATTCAATGTCGCCTGTCCTTTCAACATGGATTCTTTCACTTTTGCATCCAATGTCATGAGCTTGTGCATAAGTGTTGCTGGTACTTGCATCTCATTCTAAGAGGCGGAAAGGAGGGTTGGTCAGGTATGTTGTTCTAGCACTACTTCTAAGCATACTCACCAGCATTTCTACATATTCATGATCGATTTGTCGTAAATCGCGGGGTTTAGATTCTTGTTCTTGACTAGCATTTGACTTTCCCTTGCCCAATAAACGCATTCCTTTACTTGGTGAAACACTTCTAGCCCTGGCTTTAGCCGGTTTGGCCTTTGAGGGAGATGGCGAACGTGCGGTTTCAAATGCATTGCCGTATAATGCCCTCTTTCCGTTCTCTGCTGGTAATGGGTAGTTCTCCTTACCTGGTGATGGAGGCGTACTGACCCGATCATGACGTGGTGATTGTGGCGGAGGTTTGACGAACATAGATCGACCACAATCTGAGCCAGGGATGGATTTTTCCCTTTGATGATAGGCCATAGATGTGGTCATTGCATTAGATCTTTGAAGTGTACTGGTAGACTTTGATGGTGAGCCAGGAGCGGCTATTGAAGTTGACATATTTTGCTGGGTTGTTGATCAGGATGATGGAGTAGAAGACATAGTCCAATCCAAGGACCGTCTTTTGACAATCAGGCACATTGCAGTCAAGTACTTTCCCCACTAAATTCTACAACACAAATTTGATTCCACTTTACGCACAAAAGCACACAACCAACACTTATTCGTGCACTCGCATTGCTGCAAAAATAAGCACGCGCGCTTAAAAGCACATTTGTGTCGCGTTACTTCACGTGAAGCATGATGGGTGTGGCGTCAACCCAAAAGAGATCCCTAATGCTGCATTACCGCTCAGAAATGGGTGAGAATTTCATGGTTACACATGGAGCATTGCAAGTCCCTCTTTTTCTTGATTTCATTTGCTTTTAATGCTTTGCGGACCGCGCACAAGATTGCGCATTTAAATTCAATTATCCGTTTCTTCTTGGCCGTCGGAGTGGACCACCAATAAAAAGCGGTTTTTGTAATTAGCCGTCCATGAAAGAACGGGAAGGGTTGCATTAAAATTCACATACGATCAAAAACAATCACAAATTGCAATGACCCCCGGATCGAATTGGGGACAAAAATTGCAACTCGCAACTTCGAAAGAAAAGAAAAAAAAGGGTAATATTCCACTCATCATGTTTTTTTTTTTGACAGTGTAATTCTTTTTTGAAGTCCGCTCTTCCTCTGCCAAACCCCACTTTGAACAACAAAAAGTAGAGAAACGTGGGAAAGTGTAACATGAAAAACATCAAAATCAATCAATCCAATTTTGACCCAATGAAAGGTATAAAGAGGGCGGTTTTTTTTATCTCAATCTCAACTTTCTCCCCACACTTTCCCATCCACACACGCCCCCCCTTTCCCCTCTCCAAAATGATCGAAGACCCGTCCACAACGACCACTTGGCCGAACATGTCACCTGATGATGGTGACTATTACACTTTGGACGAAGCATATCGCTTCGTGAGTGTTTTTTTTGTTGTCATTGTTGACCATTTGGAAAGCTGATCTTTTTTCTCTTTCAGGCCCAAACCATCTTGTGGAGTGCATTCTTTGGCATCATTTTCAATTGGGCACTGTTTGCGTGCCTTTGCATCCAAATGTGAGTGTTGACAGGCAAACAATCCTAGGAATACTGACAAACACCCGTTCTCAAAAGGTGGTTCTACGCAACCCGCTTCAAAAAGGAAAACGTTGCACCAATTCGTTACATTGTTTGGTCTTTGTTCATCATCGAATGCTTTTCAACGTGAGTACCATCAGCAATGCCATCCAAAAGAGCAAATGTTGACGTCATCAATTACAAGTGGCTATTTGACCTGGTCTACATACGTGCAAATTGTCAAGAATTGGGGTCATGACCCCACCTACAACCCATCTGCATTTGGCATGTTGTTCTTTGGTGAGTGTTGCTAAAGGAGGAGAAAACACAAACAGGCTCTAATCTCTTTCCCATGACAGATTGTTCCATCACATCCATCGTTCACGGCCTGTATGTCTGGCGCATTTATTCCCTTTTCACAAAGGAATCATCATCACCAAGGACACGTCATCAAATGTACGGCTTTGTACTTTTGATCAGTGCACTATCCTTGTGCCAGTTCTCATGCTGCGTTGCAACTGCATTCTTTGAAGCATTGCAATACCATCAAGGTCCGGGAAAACAATTTGTCGCTCGAAAATTGTTCCATGCTTGGTTGGCCTCTGCATCCATTGCCGACATCATCATCACGGTGGTACTGGTGTGCAAGTTGAGCTCAATTCGAATACGTTTAGGAGTCAAGGCAACTGATGACAAGATCAAAAAGATTCTGTACACCATCGTACCAGCAGGAGCAGCAGTGAGTATCGCAACAATTGATCACGACCAACATCACACTGACTTTTCTCATCACGCTTTTCAGACTGCCATTTGTCAAATCTTGATTTGGGTCTTGCAAGGCACCTTCCCAGGCGTTGCCTATTATCAGTTCCTGATCTTCAGTTTGAGCAAGATTTATTCAAACAGCGTCATTCTCAGCTTGAACCTCCGTGACAACAAGCAACAACAAATCTCAGTCGATTTCAATGGCGTTACCAGCGGTCACTCATTCGGAAATGGCATTGGATACACAACATTTGACATGACAAATGACATGCATCGACAGAGTTCACAACCAGGTCACACAGAAGATGAAAAGTCTGAAGAGGGTGGCATCAATCATGTACAAGGAAATGGAATGCAAGTTAGAGTAGACAAAGACAAAGTGGAGTTCAACTTTTGCCCATCAAGTTTTTCGTCAGGTACAACAATCAAGCAAGGCCCAATGCCCATCCCTACTCCTCCTCCTGTTCGTCCACATGAGAATGGCTTCTATTCTCGTTCAAATTCTCGCTCAAAGTCTTCTTTACAAAGTACATCTTCGGTCGCTCTCGGTAATCCATTGGGCAGAATCGGTCAATTGAACGCAGCCCAACAAAGTGAACATTTCGATTTCATGTCTGATTCACTCTGTTTTCCAAGCAACGTTCGTACAACGACTACAACGACAAAAAGTTCGCCTCCTCCTCCTCTGCCCAAGATGCCACCACCACCAGTTACGCCAGGAACAAGTGTTTTGTCACAGGCTTCTTATTCGCCTAAAAGTAGTACTCATCGACCGGTCAATCCACCGCCAGTGTTTCCCATTTCACCCAAAACTGACAAGATCACCACCGATGGGAACAAGTCAAATCGAAATGCAACATGACGCACGATCTGCGTTCTTGAACGATCGGCTTGTTGGCACAACAGGTACTTGAGCACTGCTGTCGGGCACAAAATGGCTTCTGGTTCCTCTTTGATCTACTTCTTCTGTTCTTGCCTACCTTTAGGCTTGATAGGGTAATGGTTTTCGTTTTGGACCCCTGGACCGCATGAGTGGGCATATTCTCCCTACATACCGCGCAACGAATACAAAAATAATGATTTTTATTTATGTTTCTCTCTGATAGCAATACAATTTTGTTCTTGTTTTTTCCCAAAACTTCTCCTGGTGTGACTGATCTTTTCCGAGAGTGCTTTAGTGCATGTCAGCAACCATTTCCCACTTCTTAGGGTCCCGCGTGCGCGCAAGGACAATTGGGGGGCCTTTCCCTTTTTGCCGTATGAAGTTGGCGGGCGATGCGAATAATAAACTGAAAGCACAACCAAAAAGTGGAGCTAATCAAGCGGAAGTTGAATCGGAATCAAAGAAACACACTGTTGTTACGCCCTTTTGTCAAATTTAACATAATGCATTGTTCATCCAACAGAGCATGTGACCGATCGGCGTCTTGGCGAGGGAGGAATCTTCTCAAATCGTACGCCAGCAGAGCGTTGACATACGTAACACATACGAACGAATGAATGCACGGATACGAAACTTTAGAAAGACACACAAAGAGGGGTCCTGCTATTCCCTTTTGAAAGTTTAAAACCCAATCGAATCATTCCCATCATTCTTTCTAATCTTACACCATCATCTAGAAAGATTCACTTTTTATAGATTCTCCTTGTTCCTCTTTTTTCATACCACAAAAACAACCACAATGGTGAGTAATCCTTTATTATAATTAAAGAATATCATTGTCATGGTCATCACTGTGACATGATCGCAACGACAATAATACTGACAATCACTTCTTCCATTTCATCAGTCCAACTTCGCTGATGCTGCTGGCGGTCCCTCCGTGGCCGAATTGAAGAAGCAAACCGAAGGATCCGGTGAACGTCGTCGTTCTTCGGTCACCACTGAAAAGGTTAAGCTCAACTCTGGTCACTACATCCCTCAAGTCGCTTTGGGTGTCTACAAGGCTCCCAACGATAACACTACCGAAGATGCCGTCAAATGGGCCTTTGAAGCAGGATACCGTCACGTTGACTCTGCTGCCCGTTACGCAAACGAAGAAGCTGTCGGTCGTGCAATCAAGGATTTCCTCAAATCTTCCAAAGTTCAACGTGAAGAATTGTTTGTTACCACTAAATTGTGGGACGCTGATCACGAACGTGCAGCTGAAGCAATTGACGAATCTCTCAAGAAGCTCGATTTGACCTACATCGATTTATTCTTGGTCCACTCTCCCGGTAACTTGGGTGAAGAAGCTCGTTTGAAGGCTTGGAAGGATATGGAAGCTGCCGTTGATGCAGGCAAGATCAAGTCAATCGGTGTTTCCAACTTTGACATTGAAGAATTGGACCACCTTTTGGCCAACTGCCGTATCAAGCCAGCCGTTAACCAAATCGAATCTCACCCCTTCTTTGCTCACGAAGATTTGCGTGAGGCTACCATTGCTCGTGGTATCCACGTTCAAGCATACTCTCCTATGGCTCAAGGTGCTGCTTTGGAACGCCCAGAAATCAAGGCAATCGCTGACAAGCACGGCAAATCACCCGCTCAAGTTCTTTTGCGTTGGGGTTTGCAAATCGGAAATATCATCTTGCCAAAGAGTTTGACTCAATCCCGTATCGAGGCAAACGCAGAGTTGTTTGACTTTGAATTGGACAAAGACGATATGGAAGTTTTGAACGGTTTGGATGAAGGAATGAAGATGGGTAAATTGGGACCAGCAGGTACATCTGCCCCAGGATCTCGTCGTTCTTCCAACAGCGGTGGTGCAGCAGGAAACAAATTGCAAATGACCAGCTCATAAGCATTCAATTCCGTACCTGACTACGAGATTACACACAAGATTATTCTCTTGTGTCTTAAGGTTATGATCAAGCAACATCCAATATAAAATCGTGCTTCAGTATATGTCTTTATTGTTACCCTTTATGTGTTTTTTGATATACAAATCAATGTTATACGAATATGTCTATTATTTGTGTCTGTGACCATCTCATCTCAGCTGCTCATCATTGGATGATCCGTTTTGGGAAAGGATGCGCGTTATACTTTCTTCCCTGGCAGATCGCCTCTCTGTCATTTGACCGTTGAATACGCGAGCAACTTGGGCACTTTTGCCCGTCTTGTGATTAAGAGTGAGTGAGTAATCTACATTACATACCACTAATGGATAAGGCAACCGGGCCAAGGGAAAAGAAAAACGAAAAAAACAACGAAAGAGGCGTAAAGTCGCGATATGCGGGAGCGTGTCAATATCCTATTACTATCTTATAAGTCTGAGGCATGTATGCAAAGCTGATCAAAGGATTGTAATGTATACCAACAAAGTGAAATTGTTTTTTATCATCCTTTTGTTCTGCTTCATCATCCGATCATATACCCATTCCCTTCTTTTGGAGATTTGCAAAGGCGGCGATAAGAGAAAGTGGATCACAATCAACTCCATCAAAAGGCCAAGCTAAACACACTTTCCATCCATTTGCCTTTGCTTTCTCTTTTTGATTCACAGAATGCATGCTTAATCGATGAAAAGGTGAAGAAGAAATCGCATATACCCCTGATCCCCTCTCCGTTTCCTAATCAATTCTTGGGAGTCAAACGATAAAAATAAGGGAGATAATTTCTTTTTCAAATCTCACCATTTCGCCTCATTGTCGTCACAGCCACTTCGTCAGTTCCGCTTCCAAACACAGACTGCCCGATCGACTGAACTTCAATTATCCTTTTGGCGCTTTAACGCCCAGATCAATGCGGATTTTCATACGTATTAAAAAGGAAAAAAAAAAAAGAATAAAAGAAGGAAATAAAAAGATTCTCCTCATTTCAACTTCAAAAAACGGTAACGGAATACCGGATCCGAAAATCTTTAACGCCGTAAAAAGGGCAAATAATCGCAGCTTTCATTGAAGACACTTTTTTTTAGGCATTGACATTAAGGTACGACAATTCATTGCAATTATATCTCGTCAAGGCTGAGTACGTGGAATTCAGAAAGAAAAAGGGCGTGCATTCTTTCAATCCGTTTCAATTTGCAATTCCTTTGGGGCCAGATTGACTTTTGATCGTCACAAGCGGAACGCCTCCAATAAAGCGCCGTCCGAAGTAAATCATCTTTTGCTGTCATCAACGCCATCGTACCCAATCTGGTCATTCAACCTTTTTTTTACCAGAGCTCGAATCGGCAAGTATGGCGAACATGGCAGCTTTTGCGAATAATTCGGCTTTGCAAGATGAAGCTTCATCTGCTTCTCATGCCTCATCTTCACGTCTTACTTCTTCGATGAATACAATTTCCTCTGGATCACAATCGAAGATTCAGTATCAACCTCTTTCTATGGCTGACGCTCTTGCACGAACGGGTCATGATCAAGTTCTTGCTTTGGATCAATTATTGGCAGAAAGGAATAAATTGTGTTTAGAAGCAAATAAGCTGTCTACGGAGAATATGCGTTTGTGGAATATGATGAAACGTATCAGAAGGGAGAATGAAGAATTGAAGAATAACAATACCGGAACTTTACGTAGTTCACCACTTTCCAATGGATCGCAAGTCGCAGGATCGAATAATGCATTCCCTTCCAGTTCATCATCGGCCACGATTGCAGGTGCAGGAACCAACCTCAATCCTGGATCAACAAGCCAGAGCGACGCTTTATCGTCCAACACACAAACGCTTTCCACCTCCTCAACCGCACCAGCTTTGAGCGTGCAACAGGCCTCGACCAATCTATTAGCAACTGATCCGTCAGGTAACCAACTTGAAAGTCAGAAATCATCTTTGTACGGCTCAGCGCCTTCTGGAACGGGGCATTCTATTTCTGGAGAAGGCTCTGAACCACGTGGGTCATTCACTTCAAATGAAGTGCAGGAACAACAATCTCCATCCAACATACCCGCGACCACTTCCACAGCCACAGTACATCCAGACACAGCTTCAACAACCGGGCCTTTGAATAAAAGTGATACGCAAGGAATAGGTATTTCGACTGATTCAGAATTAGCCAACAATCAATCATCCGATTCCGCCTCTCATTCACAACAACATCAATCAATCATGCAACAAAGAGCTGCTGCACAAGCACAAAGGCTAGCACAAATTCAATCGCAAAAAGCTGATGACGGAGCACGGCCTTCCAGTACAGGCAGTCATGATTTTGATGCTGTTGATGCTTCATCGATGGCTGGCTCAGAAGGTGCACGGAATAGTATGCGATTCAGTGGTGATAGTGGAAACAATAGAGGCTTGCAAGCTCGTGTTGTACCACCTTCGCCTCTTGCCATCTCTTCGCCCACGATGCAATCGACGAGCAGCGGTAGACAATGGTCCACTGAGTCACCGCGCAATTCCTTCTCGCCAAGGCTGGATGCTGGTCTCTTGCCATTTGTGAATTTGTCGGTTTCGGGATCAAATTTGCGAGCCAGTGAACGTGGTAAAGAAATCGTATCCTTCTATATTGCCATTGATGTCAAACCACCACAAGGCAGAGTTCCTCAATATTCTTCATGGCGTGTAGAAAAGACGTATTCGGATGTGTTGAATTTGGATGCAAGAATCAAGCAAAAGCATGGCAAAGTTGTTTCTAAACGTATGAGTGGTGTTCAATTACCTGATCAAACTTTATTCAAAGATCATGCGCCAAGCAAAGTGGATAAACGAAAAGCAATGTTAGAGCTGTATCTTCGCACTTTGGTCACTATACCATTGCCCGACAAAGATGATCTGTGTACATTCTTTTGCACTGATGCACTTCAACCAAAGATTCGCGAGCCAGACGCATTGACGAAGGAAGGTTTCTTGACCAAGAAGGGACAAAATCTTGGTAGATGGGTTACCCGATGGTATGTATTATCTGAAACAAGTCTCGATCATTATGAATGGCGTAATGGACTACATCTCGGCTCGATCAATATTCGTGGTGCTCAAATTGGACGACAACAGAAAAGCGTGGCAACTGATACGGATGAGAATTCATATCGGCATGCATTCCTAATTCTGGAAACCAAAGCACCCTCTTCAACAGGCGATCAAAAGCAAATCATTCGACATGTCTTGTGCGCCGAAACGGATGAAGAACGTGATGATTGGGTGGAAGTATTGGTCCGTGCAATTGGAGAAGCTGATAATCGTGATAGCAATTCCGTAGGAGGCGTAGATCCGGTCAATCCGTATTCTAGTCCAATCATGCCAGCTTCAGCAACACGTTCTGCTTTTGCCCATACGGCCAATGACCCTGGTGCAACGGAAAGCCCCTCAAATGCACCTATTCAAGTTGATGAGCTGAGATCTCCCATCACAGGGGAAGAGGAGAATTTGAACACGACTGCTGTGATACCCAAAAGTCCTAGCGCTTTACCTTCAACAACGCAAAGGCCATCAAGAGAGTACAGCCCTTTTGCTGCTGCTGCTGCTGCGCCCAACAGTCCTCATGGGGTAAGTCCACAAATTTCAATGCCAAGATCAAGATCAGAAGTTGTTGGATTGCAATCATCACAGGAGGAACGTAGCATGCGCACTCGACACGCGAATTTGGCCGCTATCACTGCTTCCCCTGGACAAAATACACAATCAGGCCAAGGATATCAATCGGGAAATCGAAACACTATCAATCCAGGATCTCCTATCCGTCCACCACCACGATCTACCTCACAAGACGTTCCGAGTAATGGTTATGGGATGGTGACTTCTTCTTCTAGTATCGGACATGGCGGTGCAACGTACGATAATGGCACTTATCGTACTTCATCACCTGGCATTGGCGGTGGAGGTACGGGAGATGAAAGACAAAGTATTTCTAGTACCGTTTCTAGGGTGAGCAAAGATCGTGCTCGGCCTTCGATCAGTGGACCGATGAATGGAACACCAATCCCGACCGGATACAAATTTGGAGGAAAAGATGAGCCTTCAGAAACACCATCAAACAAACCAAGTGGTCCCGTTTCTTCTAGCAAGAATGATGGCCCAAATGCACCAAATGAGACCAAACGCAGATTCTGGCATCGATTTGGCGGAGGCGGTGATAAATCGAATCAACAGAGAAAGGTGTTCGGAGTACCGTTGGCTGAATCGATTGCGGTATCAAATGTATCGGAAGGACTTGAACTGCCTTCTGTTGTGTACAGGTGTATCGAATATCTTGAGCATCACAACGCAGCTTCAGAAGAGGGTATCTATCGGCTTAGCGGATCGTCTGCTGTCATCAAAAATCTCAAAGATCGCTTTAATGCTCAAGGAGATGTGAACTTGTTGGCATCTAATGAGCCTTTCTTCGATCCACATGCCATCGCTGGTCTACTAAAACAGTATTTGAGAGAATTGCCTAGCAGTGTTCTTACAAGAGAGCTACATCTGGACTTCATGCGAGTGAATGATCTGGCAGATCGAAGGGAGCGTGTGAACGAACTAGGAAGTCTCGTATCTTTGTTGCCATTGCCAAACTATTCACTACTGCGTACGCTTTGCAGTCATTTGATCAAAGTGATTGAACGATCTGATGTCAACAAGATGACAATGCGCAATGTTGGAATCGTTTTCAGTCCAACTCTTGGTATTCCTGCAGGAGTATTTGCACTATTCTTGACGGAATTCGACTGGGTATTCTACACTGACGCAAAAGGCGAGCCAGCTCCACGTACGATGGAAGAGGATATCCTTCCACCTGATGAAGACGAATTAGGCTTGGCAAATAAAACAGATGGATCACCGCAAGGCCAACAGAGGCAACCACATCATCAACGTAATGCTGGAAGCTTTGAAGACGATTTCGCACGCAAGCCAGCGGTTTCCCATTCTCGCAATAATCGCAACAGTTTGAGCTATAATGAGATGGAGGCTGACAGATTACTCGGTGGCCCTCAAGCAAGAAACCGATTGAGCTCATACTTGGAAGAGGTAAATGGTGAAGGTGCCAATGCGTTTGACGATGCAAAGAATGCTCAATCGTATCCAGATGACGGATTAGAGCAAGAAAGCTATGAGGAAAGCCAAGGTGCATCGATTGGCAATGAAGTTCAACAGAATTTTAAGTCACGACAAGCCATCGACTATACTTCTTCAAACCAAGGTCATAACGGTCCAGCGAACTCACATCGCTTGGAAGGGGAAATTACGAAAGTCAATCAACCTTATATCAGAAACACGCCAATGAGTCCGCCACAACCATCGGTTCGAAGTTAGGAAAGTTTAAGAGATTTGAATCGGATTGAAAAGAGAACAAGATGCAACGAAAATACCCAGACGTTCTCTTTTTTTCCTTTCTCCCTTCGATCATTTGCAACATTTATAATTCCGAGATTTTCAATCAACCTGCCTTATTTTTCCGCCTTTCTTTATGATCTCATATTTGCACTTTGTATGCTTTCTCTTGCTATTTTGCTCGATATTTTATCATGAATCAATGACTGTATGTGTTCTAATTATATTGATACACTATATTACAAGATGAAACATTAGGCTACACGGATGTCGTATTAATATGTTTCCAGATGAGTAATTGCTTTTGCTTTTGCTGTAATTCTTCTTTGATTGGTGTACATTCCTGTTTGGTTGGATTTCCAAATTCAGCAGCATTAAGCGAAACATACGCTTGGAATTCATCCTGCCAAACATGCTTTGCATAACCTCGCATTCCCAAATCAGTTTCAATGATTTTTCGTGTTTTGTTGGAAAGGGATCCGTACAAGCTTTCAACGTATTCTCGATATTCTTTTGAGGCAAAGTAGAGGAAATGTAGTCGTTCATGAGGTAATGAAGAAGCAGCTTGAGATGCTAAAGAGGTGATCAGGTATTGTGGCCCATTCGTTGTTTTGTCGATGGGATTTGCTGGATCTTCCAAACAACCTAAAAAGTCCAAAAAGCTCAAAAGCTCCACCTCCTCTTCATTGCAGTGTGTCTGCCACCACTTTTCAGTGTGCTTTGGCTGATCTGTTGAATCATCAATACTGCTCTCTTCCTCTTTCTGTGGAGTAGCAATGACCAAGTCTGGACATTTGAACATTTGACCTAACCATTGATTGACCGCAGAAATAGGACAATTGAATGCTTCATAATTTGGGCACAATTTCTGCGATTTAGCTTGATCGATGGTCAAGAATCGATTCGCATCATTTGATTGTCCTTCTACTGCGCTTGATTCGTAGAATGATTCTATTCTTGCCAAAGCGGAATGTTGTGAGGCTTTATCACGAAATAGCAAAGTGAGCAATAAGGGAGAATCGGCACTGCTACCTTGATTGGATGTATGTGGGGCACGTTTGAATATTGCTTCTTCCGAGACTATTTTTGTTTTAGTGGGAGCAGCACCAAAGCCTCCTTTCTTTGGTTGTGGTTTGCCATGCCTCCCTTTGGCCATCTGACAAAAGATGATATGATGGTGTTATCTGGTATATGCGGAGAATGAATAGACACGCTTGTGCAGCCCAGGCATTACGAGTAAAGTTGCATGAAATCCACGTGATATACGCGTATCTCAACACCAACACTTGTGTTCGCGTCAAAGAGAGAGAGAGTCCACATGCAATTTAAGCTTGACTGTACGCGAAAGAGGTGCAACCTTTTTGATTCATCCGTTCATTCCTATTCGACCAATTTGCATATCTTACGCTCATCATCCGCTTCTCTTCTTTGATTCTCTACCACATGCCCCTACCCATCAACAATCATTAATCGAACGGAACTTGAGTGGACGATTGACAATCAATAGCTTGTCTAAAGATGTCACGCGTTTCACGATCACGTCCACGATTACACAACTTTAGCGAATCAGACATTTCGATCAATAGTGCTAATGATGATCAAGATCAATTTGAAAATTCTGCTGCTACCTCTAATCATGTCATTGATGCAGATGAGGGAGAAGACGGATATCAACATGGAGGCAAGGAACAGCAAAGAATGCCTTTAAAGTCTACTTTATTGACCGATCAAGGACCAGGCGGTAGCGGTAGAAGAAAAATGAGACAATCCAGAAATCCAATCCCTGATACTTTATGGGATAATGACCGTATGCTCAAAAGTCAAAACAATAATCTCATGTCCCTAGATCGAAAATCGATGGCAAGAATGGATGCAACACTCAGTACACAAAGGTCCGACTCTATACTGGACGATATGCGACATGATGAAATGATGAATAGGAAAGATGCCAGTATGATTGACGGTGTAGGTCAAGGTCATTATCGTCGCACTGGAGGTGGAAAAGCAGCTGAGGAGATCAGATTGGGACTCAATCAACATCAATTCGTACATCCATCTCCCGGTCCTGCTGCTCGGTATGGCCAGCTTCGTCAATCTGCGATGCCTTCCATTCTACGCAATCACGATATTCACCCTGAAAGTGCTGACGATAGCGACAGTGCAATCGAATCAAGTAGCAATTCAAGCGAAGCAACAGATGTACCGGACGTATTTCATCGCGCAAAACGATCAATTGGAAATTCTACTGGAAATCATCAAGGGTTCATGAGAAGTCCACAATTATCAAAGAATGCCGATGCTGCTCCACGACCTAAGCTACCGTATAGATGGAAAGACAAATTGGGCGAACTTCATGGCCCATCTGATGCGATTGCTGCGGATAGCAGAAAGCATGACATTGGTACATTCCCATCTACTGTTCGTCCACCACGTTCTGATTCGGCAAGTAATGAAAGTGGTTTTGCTGCAGGCTCCAATCGTAAAGTTAGTAGCGGATCTTCCAAAGGCAAAGAAGCTGAAGCTAGTACTTCTGGTGCTACTTTAGTGAACGAACAGAACTACTTCGCAAACGCTTCTCACTTTCGCCTTCCGTCCGGTCAAAGGATGGGCAAAGGCGTCCCTTCAAGCGGCTTCTCCCTGCCTGCAGACCTGACGGGAATGAGTATGGCATTGGAATCTCCTGTGAAAACAAGACAAGGTGTAGAACACCGACCAATCGTACCAGAGACCGTTCAGGCATTCGCAGCGACCACAGTACAAGAGCGCGAACGTGGATTTAATGGATTAAAATCGTACATCAAATACATTGAAGACAAAGTGGATAAAGTGGAAGATTCATTTGCAAACGAATTGGGAAGCTTGAAAAGCGAATGGAAAGTTTGGAAAGAGACTCAGCATGATGTGAAAGCGGAAAGAGATTTGCAACATCACAACGGCGAGGCACATCATGCACTTTTAGAGCAAGATAATGTCGATGGAGATGCAACAATTCATTACCGCTCATCATTGGCAAATGTTCGTAAAATGGCTTCTGATATCGGAGATTCGATGGAAGATCATCGTGCAACCCTGGCTAAATTACGCAAAAAAGAACAAGACCTTTTGGCTCGTGAGTCATTGCGCTCAAAGAGAGCAGCGCAGATTGACAGACATGACGAAGATAAGGACGATGTTGATTTGGATTCCCTCCGCTCACAAGTGGAAGCTGCTTCGCGAGAGGTGAACCGGCTCAAGATCATCATTGACCGACAAGGTAGGGCTAAAGAGGTTCTTTCTGCCAGCTCTCCCATTAAGCCTTCTTCACGCTCTCGTCCAACCAAGATCGGCGGTGGGAATCCATTTGTGCAACAAAGAAAGATCTCTGAAGAGCTTAAAAAACAAAACGCACCGGCTGCTCCTTCAGAATACGATGACGGCTTTGGACAAGCACCTAAGCAACGCTCAAGCTCAGGTCATGGATCTGATAGACACATTGAAGAAGATTTTGTCGTTGATGAAGTGGACGAACAACCTGCAGACCTACACAGGAGTCGTCTTGATGAGGTAGAAGATGTCAGCATGATCGCCGAAAAGCGAGCAGAGAGGGCAAGTGAAAAAGTGATTGATGCAAGATCGATTGCCCATGATGCAGAGAGCTGCACATGTTGTGCCCGTCAAGACGAAAATAAGCGTCGCAAAGATGCTAGAAAGATGAAAGCTCTTAGTCAATGGAAGAAAGAAGACCCGAAAACTACACGATCTCGCTCTTATTCTGCTGCTACGTATGTCAATCCACAAGAGGATGATCTGTCAGCTCAAGCTCTATTGGAAGAGATTATGGTTGATTTGGAAAACCATGCTGAGTTTCGACTGCCTCCTGCGCTGATCCAATTGGCAAACAAGCAACGTTCTTTACTCGAATGGACCATCAAGGCAGAAATGGACGAATTTTACCATGCAAAGAGAAACTATTGCGATTTAGCAGACGAACTCAAATCTTTCAGTCCGGACATTTCAGCTGCCAGAAGAAGGATCTTGGCCGATCACGTATTGATAGCCGTTGAAAATTTAGAACTTCGTGCAAACAGGGTTGATCGATTGCGTGCAGCTTTGGCAGCCGCTTTGCCTGCAGGCGTTTTGGACGGCCAGAACGATCAATTTGACGAATCTTTGCAAAAGCGTACCCGCAAACATCACACAAGACCACGTAACAGTCCACCAATAGTGGATAAAGCACTTCATTCGCATCACACGGACGCTTTCAGACATTTAGATGTCTGATTTATACCTTGTACATTATTATCTCTCACATTTCATCACTTTGTACTCTTACTTTATTCATTTACAGAACAACGCGAAATCATACGTATATTCATATTCTACAAAAATTTCTGCTACCTAACAATATCATTCTCTATACAAAGATTTACTCTATGACAATGGTATCACTTCTTTCTCTGCACTGCTTGTATGAATTCCCACTAGGGCCTTGATTTCATCATCTACTGGAGCGATTGCAGCAGCTGCCAATGTGGCCGCTTCATCTCCTTTACCGTTTTTCGATTGTGATTGTTGTGATACTTTCTCCTGTTGGTTGATGAGCTGTTTCAATGATAGACATAAAACTTGTGCTTCCGCCAATGTTCGATCGACATCAATTTGACCAGATAATCCGTTCATGTATTGCAATACTTCATCGAAATGGTGAAGGTATTTCACAATCACATCCCTTTGTTGTTCCAATATGGCCAAAGCGACAAAGATTTGGAAATGGTTAGACAATGAGGCGTTTGTAGGGGGCATGTGATCATCAGCATTCTTGCCATCTTGCTCATCCACTTCTGCAGCCCAAATGCCTTCCCATAAGATCAAGATTTCGGGATATTCAAATTCACGCTTGAACAAGACAAGAAGCCACCTGAAGCAGAAGAAAAGATTGAGTCCATCAATCTCTTCCAAATGACCATACAAGTTTGCATCCATGATGGAAATCAGTTTTTGAAGATTGAGCAATTGCATCTTCATTCCGCTTTGATTAGAGTAGAAATTGCTTCTTGCCCTTTTCATCAATCCGACCAAAAGCCAAAACGTCTTTGCTTCATCTCCATGACAGACAGCGTATAAAGGAGCACAAAGATCAGACATTCCTTGTACGTAACCTCCCAATTGGCCACGTTCGTCTTCGTTGTCGTTACCGTCTGCTTTTGCTTCTTGCGCTCTATCCCAGGCTACGTAGGCCAAAAGAATCTCTTCAAGCCTTTGAGCATGTGCATTTGCATTGATGTTCTCATAAGCATCGCCATCTTCACCACCTCCTTTACCGTATGCCTCATTATCGTAATCATTGAAGAAAGGAATCTTGCGATCCACACGTAAGCAATCAACGTGAACACGATGCCGCTGCTCTTTCCAAAAGGTTGTCTCTTCTGCTCGCTTTTGCTGTTCTTCTGCTTCTTCTTGTGATAGCTCCTCTTCCTTCTCTACCTCCTTCGCCGGTTGAGGGGACGATTGCATGCTTGTCAGATACTGCGTCTTGATAGCCCAGTATTCTTCTGATCGTTCATTCCACAGCTTACGTCTTTCTTCCTGTCCGATCGAAGGATCCCAAGGTTGAGCTTTCAGCAAGAAACTCCAGCATTCAGCACGAGGGTCTAGTTGATCCCAATGCGTTCCCATCGCACGCTCTTTGCCTTTCCCAAAACCTTGTTGAAACACAAGTACTTTCATCTCTCTTCTTGTGATTACTGGCTTTCCATCTTTATCAAAGAGTGATTTCCAGGCTTGTAAAGAGATGGCATTATCTCTGCTACGAGTGGCTTCTGGTCGATCGATATGCGGTAATCTATTCCATACCTCGAATTGACCCAATTCTGATTCTTCAACATCATCTATTGACTGTTTATGAATTGCACGTCTTGCTTCTGCTTCCCTTCTTCTGTTTGTTTCTCCTTCTTCTGCAACAATTTTTGCCCATCTGGCAAGGTAAACGTGAGCGCTATCAAAATCACCCGTTCCACTTTTCTGTGCTAAATCGCTATGTTTCCAAGAAGGATCGTTTGGCCCAAAAGGTCCTATAGGACCATGTTGCAAAAGACTTGTTGCCAAAGAAGCAGTTGAAGATCTTTTTCCTCCATTCTCATCACCGCTATCGCCTAATTGTTGTTGAAACAAAGGTGAAGAGAGCAGGTTATGAGCACCATTTCTAGCAACGTTTGTTACGTGAGAGAAATGATTCAAGACTGTAAATCTTGTCGCTTTTGCCCAATCCGTTATCGAATCGGTATTCATACCTCCTGGTTGTGGTTGCGTGTGTAGTTGTTGTGCTTGTGATCGTTTATACGTTTCTGAGAACGGATCGTCAGGAAAGGCTATGGAAGAGGATTGAGGAGGATAAGCAGATTCCGTTGATCTGCCATCAGGGGAGTCATGGGAGAGACTACCTTGTGCCATCTTGACCTCTATTTGGATGTGATGATGGGCAGGTGAAAGTGTTTGGTAACAATCATTTATAAAGTGTAATTGCAATTGCAATTGCTATCCATGCATATTTGCTCCACCCAAGCCCAGGCGGTGAATTTTTATTAATCGTGGCGTGCAGGCGCCGACTCAGCAATATTCCTACGCCGGCGCCTTTTCAATCAAAAAAGACTCGTTAAAACGGAATTGGATTTTTGAATAGAGAAAAAAGTGATACAGGTACACATGCCGAAAAAGTTCTGGTATGATGATGACTATAGATACAAAATGAGTTGAAAAAGAAAGGAAAGATATGATGGGAATTGTCAATTATATACCCAAATGATGAAATCGAATAAGGGGTTTGTTCTTGTACTATACAAATTTGCGTTTAAAACTCTTGATCAAATCATGATTGATCTGACCTTCTCTGAAATACGTTCAGGCTTCTTCCAAAGGGAGATAGGTACTCTTATACGAACACCAGTCTTTTGCCTAACAATCAAGCTGAATGCGACGGTAAAGAGTACTTGCATGTAAACATCTTCAATAGACACTTCCGGAATAGTTGTGCTGCTAGTACGATTGCTTGAATCGCTATTTTTGCTATTGCTCGAAGAGGATGTTTGGTCGTGTTTGTGCATATCTTGAATTTCTGGATAGCTGGGTAATTGCCATTTCTTGCTTGTAATGCTGCTTGGATCGTATTCCTTCACGGCTTCCATCAAAAACCCTTGACAAAGCTGAAGTCGATCTTTGTAGGTCTTTTCATCATTAAGCGCAAGGAAGAGGGCGTGCTCTAGATCACTTTTTCCTTCTTCCAGTTTGCCTTGACTGAATCGGCTTCTTGCACGTCTACACCAACTTTTGTAGTTTGTCACGTCAATCAAAATCGATGTTGAACAATCAAGTTCTGCTTCTTCAAATCGTTCAAGCTTGATGGAGCATTGTGCTCGATTTAATGGGATAACGGCATTCTCTGCATCATAACCAATCCCACGGGTATAATGTTCTGCTGCTTCTATGTAGCAAGTTCTTCCAAAGGCAGCATTTCCCTGTTCCTTGCACACTGTCCCAAGATGCTTACGACCATTGATTGCAAATGATGCTCGAGCACTGTCATCCTCCTCTTTGCTGTTCGTGATTTCCGAACATTTGAAGATTGACATGAGATTCTTGGCAGTCAAGATATCTTCTTCAGTCGTCTCAATCTGATCACGCTTCCCTTTTCCTTTATTGCCGTATGAAGTCCAAGTTTTCAATTCACGAGAAGCAACAGCATACCAAATTGCCACACCATTCGTTGCCTTGATCTTGTCGATCGCTGCTCGTATGGAAGGTATTTGCATAGGTTTGATCTTGCCTGAAACTTTCCAAAACAGATCATCCAATGCTTGCCATGTTTCAGCGAATCGATTGTACGATGATTCAGAAGATGTTCCAATATCAGCTGCTCTTTCTCGTTTCAGGATGTTTTTGATTGAAAATGCCGAATACTTGTCTGATCTGAATTTGTTCATATCTGGAATGATGGGTTGAGTTTGTAGTACTGATTCGGTCAACGTTTGCAAGCATCCCAAGCAGTTGGCAAAAGAGCAAGCACAAGGAGGTCCCCATTTATTCAAATCACGACCATGCCTTGCTGAAAGGTCACAAACAAGATCAAAAGTATCTTCTGTGGAGATTCTTGTCACTATGAGACACAGCTTGTCGAGGTATTTCTCCGTTTGTGTTTTGATCCTAGATTCTGTGTCGACGTCTTCAGCGATTGAGTTAATCTGCCTAGGATCCAATCCCTCTTCAATGAAGTCCATCACTGTTGCACGAATTACCTCAATCTCGATACGTTGCAATTCCTCATAGAAGAGCAAAGGTAGTGCCAAGATGAAATGAGTGGCGAACAAATCTGACAACAGCTGTGATACCCTTTTGACGCTCTTTTCATCGAATTTCTTGTGATCACAAATGTACTCTTCGTCTTGATGCGAATGATGAGAGAATACTTTTGAAGTGATTGTTTTGCCATCTATACGTCTTCCACATGCATCCATAACAGCGTCATCATTGCCATTTTGATCACCTTTTATATGCGCTGTCGTACCACTTCTTGAACGACGAATTTTGATCTTCTTCTTGCCTCGAGACATTTCGAGAGTAGATCAAGAAGATTTCTCCTTTTATTTGTTTCAAAATTGATTGATAATCAAACGTGTTGAGAGATGAATATGAACCATAGCTGAATGCAATCACATGAAACTCAGCGCATGAAATTCGATATTTCTCTCTTTCTCTGTTTACGGCCTCCCGTTTTTTTTGATTGATAAACGCCCAAAAAAGTACAGCTTTGCGTGTTGCTGATTTACCTCCGTCTTGTCTTTTTTTATTCCCCCGGAAATCAAAACCAAGACTTCTCTACTCCCCGTTATATCGTTGCAGCGTCAAAGATGGAAGATCGATCATTCAACCTGTTCTTCAGAAAGTTGAAGTAACGAGGATAATGAATATGGTCAGACTTGTAAAGAAACAAAAAAAAGCTTTAATTTACTGTGAGTGTGCATTTCAAAGTGTTGGTCTCGTATGTGAATTAGCGCATTTTGTCAGTCCCTTTGTTTTAGCGCGGCATACACTCAATCACAAATCATCACCCTACGCCTATACCTGCCGCATTCAATGGGAAGAGAAGGCTTGAAAGGTAGAATCTGATCATATAAATGATGTATTGGCAAAAGGTGAGAATAGCAATACATGCCCCGAAATGATTCACACGATGCATTTCTGCCCCCTCTCAGTTATTACCCGCTCACTGTGAATTGTACTCGTAGGCTACACCCCTTTTCCCACACTCTAATACGCGAAATGGGTAACGCCAAAAGAGAGAGTGCGTGAATGCAATTTATTAAATTCATGCAGCACCGGGCACGGGGCACTCATCACCTGCAAGACGCTTCCTCCTCCCACTCTCCACTCTACGCTAGCTGGGCAAAATTGATGCACAAACCCAGGCTCGATCTCGCACAGAGTGAAAAATTTGTCACTGATGAAAGACATTGAATAGACACCCTTTTCTTCCTTTCTATCGATACAACACGATCACACAAGGTAAAAATAAGGTCAATTATACCCAAAATTCATATTAACGATACCCTGAACGGATACGATTAGCTATACTCGACATGGCTGCTTCATCTGCCTTGAAGCCGAACTCTTCCGCAGCATCGGAAATTGGTAACGATCGCGCCAACGTGATCTCCGATGGGATCCGGGAACGGAAGAAAGCTGTCTCAGAAGCCAAGCACGACACTCTTTCAGACCCGACAAGTGAAGCAACGGCCAGAGATGATGATGAAAAGATTAAACAGGCTGCTGCGGCTAACTCGGAAAAGATTCTTGGCCGAACGCCGGACGGTACCGGTAAGTTGATAGCATAAAGTGTCACACGATACAAAGAATGCTAATCGGTCATCTTTTGTCCTTCTTGCAGTTTTCACCGTTCCCCATACTCCCGATATGCTCACTTCCATCTTTGCACCAAACAAACCAAAGACTGCACTCGATGTCATCACAATCGTAACGCTTTGCACTCAACTCGTTCTCTTTTTCGTTCTCAATGGTACATTACGCAAAGTCTTCTTCTTCGTCTATTTCGCTTTCTGGAGAGGTGCATACAATGGAGGTTTGGGATACATCTTAAAGGCACAATCGGAACGAAAATGGATCATCAAAGAAGTCAAACGTCAAGGTTGGTTTGATGCGCAAAGAAGACCAAAAAGTGCTGCTTGGATCAAGAACCACTTGAAAGCAAAGATGGATACAGATTACGTTTACGATGCAATGCCGTTAGAGTACAACGTTTGGCTTTTATTCAGATCAATCGTTGATGTGATTCTGCTCAACGACTTCACTGCTTATTCGCTATTTGCTTTCAGTTGCTTACGTTTTCCTGAAGGACATTCTGTCATGCTACATGTCCTGCGTTGGGTCGCTGGATGGACATTGATCTTTTTCAATCTTTGGGTCAAGATGGACGCTCATCGTGTGGTAAAAGATTACGCTTGGTACTGGGGAGACTGCTTCTTCTTATGCTTGCAAAGCTTAGTGTTCGATGGTGTTTACGAATGTGCACCTGATCCAATGTACTCCTTGGGCTATGCAGGTTACTATGGTCTTTCACTCGTTTCAGGAAGTTATGCTGTTTTGTTTGTTTCCTTGGCAGCACATGCATCGCAATTCTTATTCCTCAAATTCTTCGAAGGACCTCACATTGATCGTGTCTACGGCGAGAAGAAGCCACTCGCAGCACGGATTCCATTAAACACAGCACCGTACAATGCCGCTTCCCGACAAGAAGCTGCTACACCAGGAGCAACAAACAATCATGCGATCGGCAGTGATGGCATTTTGGGATCTTCTAATCCTCCCTCATCAACCAGCGGGGATACGGTTTCCGCAAGCGAGGATGAATTTAGCATAGATGACGACTTTGTTGGAAAACGACAAAAAGTGACAAAGATTCACAAGGATTCCAAATCTTCTACTGGCCGACCTAGAAGTGATAGTAATATGCATCGCATTACCAACCTCCATGACCTTCATCACAAGCTTTTCCAACATGATGTGGTCGTTTTCCAGAACATTGATCCTCTTCGTGCAACCGACTTTTTGCTAATCATTGCAGTCTTTTATGCACTGGTCCCGAATCTGTTACCCAAGCTCGGTCCAACATCTTCATTGGTGGTATTCTATTTGAATGCATTGTCCTGGAGATTGTTCCATTCCTTTGGTCTGGGTGCATTGTTGCACGCTCAATCCAATAACAAGTGGATGGTTCGACATTATCTCAAACATTACGTCTACGATCATAGTATCGATGCTGTCTATGCAGCTTTCTCGAACTGGAAAGTGATTTATAACACTTCCTTGGTGATGACTTATGTTTCATTTACGGTACTCTGTTGGAAATGCTATGTTCCAATCAATTCCGATTGGACGGCAGGATCGGATCTACTTCGTCACGTTTTGGGATCTTTGTTGATCGCTTTGCACGTTTGGACCGCAACTTCTTCTTATTCAGTCTTGGGACCTTTTGGATGGCTTTACGGTGATTTCTTTATTGACGAATACCCTCATCAACTATACTACACGGGTATCTATAGATTCTTGAACAATCCTGAACGTACTATGGGAGGAGCTGCATTCTTTGGACTTGTGTTGATCTCTGGTAGCAAGATGTCTTTGACGATGGCAGTAATAAGCTATTTGGCACATTGGATCTTTTTGAGCAGTGTGGAAAATCCACACATGACCAAATTGTATGGTGAAGCAGCAATTTCACGTCAAGGAGGAGTGAGTAAGCAATTGAAGAGCGTTGCAGAACGAAACAGTGGATTCTTCTCCGCTGCTCAGTCTCATCCAAAAGTTCAAGAGATGACACGTGAATGGCAAAAGTATCAAAAAGATGCAAGCGAACGTTTGGAAGATTTGATGACAAAGAGTAGACCTGCATTGGAAGAGATTGTGAAAGACACCCGTAGTCTGTATCAGCAAGGTAAAGATCGACTTTTGATCGTTCGCAAAGGTGATGATGTTGCTACGATTGATCGAAGTCAATATTCAGTAAAGATCTCATCGTCCAACGACAAATTTGCTCTTGGTGAACCTATCAAAGTTCAATGGTCTGCACCAAAGACTCACAGTAGACGGGATTGGATCGGTATTTATCTTGTATCAAGATTTGGCGATGAAGCCGCTGCGGATGAATCGAGATTATTGACAAAGATTTCAAGTCAAGGAAATTGGATTGCGGTCGAAGAGGATGAATGGGATGGTAATGCACCAATCAAATCACCTACTTCGAGCGATAAAAAGGGTGAGAAAGCAACCGATGACGTTGTCATCTTTCAAGGCAACAAATTGCCATGGCAGCCTGGAACGTACGAAGTACGATACCATCATGATGCTAAGCATAATGTCTTGGCGAGGACGTTGCCTTTCACGATCACCGCTGAAAAGCCAAAAGATTTAACGTCATACGAACAAATCCACGAGATCCTTAGCAACATCGTTCAAAACGCCCTTTTGGATTCAAACGATGGCGAAGCTGCCGATACGGAAGATGGTAGTTCTACACCAACAGAGGTACAAAAGGTCAAAGCGACGAATGATGAAGATGATTTCACCATTTGGCATATCGGCCAAGCAAAGAGGATCGCAAAAGCAATCCATATTTGCTTTGATATGGAATTTACGACTGAAGTAATCGTTGCTGAGGCCAACATTGGAAAATTGACACATGATATCATTGAAGCACATCAAGTTTTAGATGGTTGATAGATTATATACCGTCTTTGCTTTTCTTTTGCTATTCTGCATTTACAACAAAATAAATTATACTGCGTTTTATAGACTCTTGCTTTTCCGTATCTTCATGCAATGGGAATGATGATTAAGCTTGCTTGTAACCTTTGGGGTTGTTATTCACCATCACTTGCATGTTTATGAAAAGTACACTAGATAAGCTCAGCGCCTTTTTTTTTCGATAGGGTTCAAGGGTATGGCGTGAGGGCAAAAGAAGGCTTGCTCATACAAACATACACAGCGCATGAACCTTTGATTAGCCGCCTCACTGCTTGCCCTAAGCTTTACGGACAGAATACGTGCATGAGCAGTGTATTACAATTCCAATCCATATCAACTCTTTTTTGTGGGCTGCACTAGGACTGCATGCATACCCTCCCTATCTTACACACACACACACAGAATAGTCCTGCTGACTCCACCTTTTTATATTTGGATTGGAGACAAAGGATTCATCACTCTTACCCATCATCCTCTCTTAACACAAAATAGTACTTCAACATCAATCCTAATCTCATCCAACCTCAGCCCGTGTCTTGTGCTCTTTGAACCTGTACACGGCGCGAGACCCGGGCACAAAGTTACCAAACGATCATCAAAGTGCCAGATAAGCAAACACAAGCAACAATCACAGCATTCATCAAAACACATTCACTCATCAGTCTCGTTCATCTAAGCATCACAACCAATCATCCATCATGAGTAGTCCAAAGCGTCGTATTGAGACGGACATGATGAAATTGCTCATGTCCGATCATGAGGTCACACTTGTCAACGATAGCATGCAAGAATTCTTTGTTCGCTTTCATGGACCAAGTGAAACACCTTTTCAAGGAGGAATATGGAAAATTCATGTTGAACTACAAGATTCATACCCATACAAATCTCCAAGTATCGGTTTTATGAACAAAATCTTTCATCCAAACATTGATGAATTGAGCGGTTCGGTTTGTTTGGATGTTATTAATCAAACTTGGTCACCCATGTTTGATATGTTAAACATCTTTGAAGTGTTTTTACCGCAATTGTTGCGTTATCCTAATCCACAAGATCCTTTAAACGGTGAAGCGGCTGCTCTGCTAATGCGAGAACCAAAGACGTACGATGCAAAAGTGCGCGAATACGTTTCCAAATATGCAACGAAAGAATGCGCCGAAAAGGCTGGAGGCGATGGAGAAGAAGATGAACGAGGAAGTGAAGATGAAGAAGAGGAAGAGATGAGCGATGTTGGTAGCTTCTCCGAAGATGAGGCAGGTGATATGGAACTATGATTCATCTTACCTGCACGCATGCCATCAATGCAATCATTGACATCCAATCAAGACAACTTTTGCATCATTCATCATCATACTCCGCTCTGTCATTTTCACTGCTCCATCTCTCATGTTCGCCTTTCATTTTTGTATCTTTTGTATTTACTCTTAATTTGTCCGTCTATGTCCGACTCCAATGTTATAATGTTCAAATGATGGCCAGATGATTGAGTTGCATGTCACGATACGGTAGTCACTTCACTCTTCATGCCCTTAACGGCGCTGGCAAGATCATACGAACAGACTCTGATTCGACATATGTAATGCGATTACATCACTAAAAATACAGTTCTATACAATACAATACGGAAGACTGGCCTCAATAGGTATATGTTCATCAAATCATGTCATGATGGCAGGGGTGTCTGGTTTCCTCCCATACTTCCTACATCTCTCGGCGTATCCCTTCCTGAAGGTGTGGCACTAGATTTGAAAATGGGTGTGTTCATACTGCTATCTTCTTCGTCATCGCTGTCGGCTTCATTGGCTGCGCTTTGCATCCTCTTCTTGTCAGAGATGACGTCTTGCAAACGTCCGCGAATATCTTTCTCTAATCGTCCATCTTGCTGAGCAAATATGCCAATCTGATCTTCTTCTCCGCTCTTTCCTTGCAATTGTTTAAACAAATCATCAAAGATATCCGCTGCTCCTTTTCCCTCTTCGATCCAGCGGGTCAATTCAGCATGTTGCAACCTTTGATCTTGCCCGGCAAGCTTCTGTCGTTCTTTGGGAGACAGTGCTTCCATCCTTTCCAGAATATACTTTTCTAATCTTTCAAAGAAAGTTTCTTTCAACTTTGATGCTTGAAATTCTTGCAGAATCTCCTTACGGATGGCATCAAGATGACCTGATTTCCGACATTCTTCTACGACATCTCTAGGTGTCAATCGGACTGCAGGTGACCCTTCCGATTCGTCTCTATCTTCTTTTCCAGCGGCATCGGACAATTGACTACGCAGTTCAGTTTTAAGGTAATGATGCTTTTCTCTGCCGATGAATGCATACCCTAGATCTCTAGTCTTGATCCCATTACGGTCTTCACTAACTTTGCTGCCCGCATGATCGGCCCGATCTGAGTCGTTCGTGCGATGCGAGCGTGGCCCTTCTTCCCTGGTATGATTGGCAAGCGAGCTGCGATAAGAACTTGACGGCCTGGAGAGGTATGAACTGATATAGGGAGCTGAACGATATCTGTCCCTCTCTCGATCATACCCACGTTCGCCGTAGGAAGAGCGGCCGTAAGATCCAGACGAGTATCGATCATCGCGCCGTCCATAGACCCTAGCATGAGAGTTGTAAGAGTAGGACATATTTGACTGTAAGGTTTGCAAATGAGAAAGTAGAATTGTCAGTCACTTGTTCTTCATAAACACAATGAATGCAACTGCAATCAGTCAATCGAATTATCCGCAAGAGTACGTGCAGCTTGACGATCCGGTTACACAAGTTGGATCACCACACGTCTCGTTATGGTCCGCCTGTCGATTAATTTCATCTTGAAAAGTGGAAAGGACGAAATGCATACTTACAAATGGATTACTTTTAGAGTGACAGGGAATTCACATCTGCATGGCAAGCTGTAGGATAGTAGAAAACTGGTAAGCAAACCACCTTCAAAATAGACATTTGGAATGTGACAAAATCAGACAAGGCTGAAACTTTGGATAAACGATTATCTACATTCGCCGTAAGACGTGCAGAGTAATTCTAGAGCTAGTCGTTTTAAAATCATCATAGAAAGCAGTACTGTGCTTTTAATTAATTGAGAGGATACTCACAATTTGTCAAAGTGATTATCATGTTATCACCGTCATGCTGAATGCCAATCCTGAGAAGGATGATGGTGGATCTTTCTCTTTTTTCTAGCGAATGCATTTACGCGACTTCTTTGTATTCTGCTAAAGCAACACTTTTTCTTCACGTGAACGTTGTGCGTTTTCGCTGCGCCTAGAGCGGCTCATGTCGGAAGTATGCGCACTTTACTCTGAGACCTTCAATTCAGGGTTAACTGTTGTGTAGCGTGTTTTCGGTAATGTGGTACATGCATAATATACGAAGAACAGAGCACAAAAGTGTGAATGCTTTCAATGTTTAAGAAGAAGAAACGAGAAGAATTGAGGGGAGAGAGAGGGAGATGTACTCCAGAATTGATCGCATATTAGCTTGTTGTAGGCGGCTAGACTGTGCTTTTCGTGATCGGGCTTTTGTACTTCAGAGCGGCAAAACCGACGCCAATCTTCCTTTGGTTGGAGTATTGCGGGCGCCAGCGCACTTTATGAGGGCGTAAGGTTATGTCACTTTTGATTGTTAATTCTTTGTACTACACTTTCTTCCCTCATCTTGATCTCCTTTTAGCAGGAGGTCAGACAAACAGTATATCCTACCAATCATGGCTCCATTTCTATCGCCATTCTTTCGTCAATTGCATTGTGAAGAAGCTCAAGATCCATCTTCTTCCTCATCAAAAACGTTGGTTCAACAGGGTGGTCAAAATGACCAAAAAGAGAAAAATGATGGAAACGATAACTTCCAATACACTATTCCACATCTACCCGGTGAAGGAAACTTTACCGTTTCTGCAAAAATTATAGCAAGACCAAATGCTGATGCCGCATTCAACAGACATTTGGAAGCATTCAGAAGAGAGGTTGCTCTCTCTTCTCCGGGTATGCTTACCTATAAAACCACTGTCGTACGTGGAGCACAACCGGAGCAGAATTTGATCTCACACGAATTGTACATTCATGATGATCTAGATCCGCATCCGATAGCGGTAAGGCAAGCTGCTCAACAAGCAAAAGCCGCACAAGAAGAATCTACTTCAGCAACCGAACTGGCAGAAAAGGCAAAACAAGCTCCTACTACATTCTTGAAAGAAGCCGCTCATTCAATGTACAATTTTGGTTTAGGTGGTATTGCTGGTGCAACAGGAGCTACATTGGTATACCCTATCGACCTTGTCAAAACACGAATGCAAAATCAAAGATCTTCCGTTGTTGGTGAACCGCAAATGTACAAAAATAGTTTGGATTGTGTTGCTAAGGTCTTCCGTCGTGAAGGATTTAAGGGATTCTATTCTGGTTTGGGTCCTCAATTGTTAGGTGTTGCACCTGAGAAAGCAATCAAATTGACAGTGAATGATTTGGTACGTGCACATGCAAAAGATCCAAAAACAGGTGAAATTAAACTACGATGGGAATTGTTTGCCGGTGGTGCTGCTGGTGGATGTCAAGTGGTATTCACAAATCCTCTAGAAATCGTAAAGATTCGTTTGCAAGTAGCCGGAGAGATTGCTAAACAAGAAGGTGCCGATCGTGTTGCTCGTGGTGCTATTCATATCGTTCGTTCTTTGGGTTTAATCGGTCTTTACAGAGGGGCAACGGCATGTTTGCTACGTGATATTCCCTTCAGTGCAATTTACTTCCCTGCCTATGCCCATTTGAAAAAGGATGTCTTCCACGAAGGTGTAAAGGGTAAAAAGCTAGGATTTGGTGAAATGTTGATGAGTGCAAGTGCTGCTGGTATGCCCGCTGCATTTTTGACAACCCCAGCTGATGTGATCAAAACACGTTTACAAGTTGAAGCAAGAAAAGGACAAGCAACATACAACGGTATTGCTGATTGTTTTGCAAAGATTTTAAAGGATGAAGGACCAAAAGCATTCTTTAAGGGAAGTCTTGCTCGTGTTTTACGAAGTAGTCCTCAATTCGGAGCAACTTTGGTCGCATACGAATACCTACAAAAGTTCTTGCCATATCCATTCGATTCTAAACAAAAAGCTGATCCCGACAATTCAAGACCTTGGGAAGATCCTTCAAGACAGCATGCACGAAATGCTATGCGACTACTTATGCAACTTCATGATGACTTTGGCAGCAATACACCTCCTTCTGGATTCCCCAGCAAGTGATGTCGTCTTTTTAATTTAGCAATAAATCTAATATTCATACCTAGATAATTTGTCATACTGAGACACAAAATCAATAGACATTCAAAAAGAAAGCTCTTAAAATGATAGCATTGGTTTGAAAGGATATAGACACAGAGATATTCTACTCTTCTATTTATACAATCGTCATGCTTCTACAGTCTTGCAGAACAAGACGAATCCTTTATCAGCCAAAACTCCGCGATCGCGAATCAAGACTGTATATTTTAGCAGCCAAACAGGTTCTAGCCTTTTATTGGAAGACATGGCATGTGGTATCCTGCCTTCGAATTCACCTAGCAAAGTTGGTAAACAACGTTCGGGCAAAATATCCTTTTGATCATTGTGAGCGACCAATAAAACATTCTCTTCTTTACAGTATTCTGCCAATCCACGATCCCAACAAGAAGATGCATTTGCACTTGTTTTGCTTACGCTACGACCTCCAAGGGAATTATCATCACAATTTTGTTCACGTAGATTGATGGTGCATAATCTTGGCCGCCTGCAAGGACCAGGACCGTATACTCTGATCAACTCTGTTCGTTCATCAAGACGATCAGGTCCAAGCGAGACCTTTGAAGGTGAAGATGGGATTTCGATTGGCTCATTTGTTCCTAATTCTGCTTCTTCCGGCGGTACTGTCTTTTGTGATCCTTTCTGTACGATGGCATCATCCACCATCCGTTGTACTTCTGCTTGTGCTGCTTCACGCTTTCCTTGAACATCATCACAACTGGGACAATCGAGCTGGGAGACAAATGCACGAAGAGATCGTTGCGAAACATCAGACAAACCTAGGGACAAGATCCTTTTATCGGTCGAAATACGCTTCCAAACATCTGCCACTTTTGTTGCTTTTTTGTAGATCTGTTCATCACTTGCGTGTGGACAATCTAGTTTCAGCTTAGGAAAGGCAATGATGAAAGTATCTGCAGTTTTGAGTCCTGTCGCAGTTGCAAGACATCCAAGCGCTTCATCGATCCATTCTGCCGGATAATATGATTCTTGCGAGTTTCCATCAACTTTTGCATCGGAAAAATAGAAGAATTTTGTTGTAACATCGAATGCATCACGCAAGTCTGCCTCATTATCGGATGCGGTGCATGGATCGCTCAAGAGTGGTTTATCGATCGTGCTAGGATGAGGCAGTGTCAAAAGGGAGCTCTTTTCGTTCCACATATAAGATGCATATGGTCGATCAGGATCATTTGTCGCTACGAAACCAGGATGAACGACCTCTTCGGAATCGGATTCAAGTTTTCCATTTTGCCCTTGTGAAGCAAATGTATCTGAGGAAGACTTGCCAGCCGAAGCCGAACTTGAAGGTGCACAAGAAGACGCAGCAAGTTGAGAGCGTGAGATCAAATAATCATCCTCATTTCCATCTAAAGAGTAATGCAAAGTTTCATGAATTGCATGTGCTAATTCACCATCTTGAGAAGGCTTGAGAACTCGAGCGACATTGTGTGTGTAGACCTTTAGATACTGCAGAGGTTGTTGTTTCTCCATTTCGAGAGAAGAAGATGAGGGAAATTTTGTAAGATGCACTTTCCTAGTAGTGTTCCAAGAACGAAGTGTACAATTGCAAGATCAAGAGATCAACCGCTTTCAGATTGCGGTGCCGCTTGCGTGCTCCTCCTTTTCTTTGCGAATTTGTGCCCAAGGCTGTGAGGATGGGCTATGAAGAGCTTCGAAGATGATGTAGGAGAAAGGATGTGAACGTTTTATAGCATCATGTTCTTATGGTGATGTAAGGGTCGAGAAAATAAAAACTGGCCTCTGCTGCGCTAGGGGAAGATTAATCCGAAATAGAAGAAGATCTGATGCTCACCTCAACTGAAGTTTTAAAAATTCAACCGTATGCGTATATTATATTAGTAATGTTTGTATGACTGGGGCGTAGTAGAGTGTCCGCGTATAGCGCGTTTCGGAATTCACACACAATCAGTCTTCTTCCTCCCGCACATACGCTGCAATTCCTCCACAAACGAGTCCTTTTACTCAGCTTTTTTTTTGTTCCTACATCAGACGCAGATCGGGTCCTTCTTGATAGGTGTTCATGTTAAAGCTATAACATCCAAGCTGGATACCATCATCTGTACAATATCTTTTATGGGCATGATATGCTAAAATGCCACCTAGGCGGAGCAATAGGCAAAGAAAGCCGCCTGTCACACTACCACCTGGAAATCCGGATGACGAAGAAGTGTTCTCGGTTCATTCGATAGAGGATAGTAGTACAAGTCCACCGGAACAAGGAAGAGCAACAAGGGCATCCAATCGAGTGCGATCTTCATCCAAGCGACAATTGAGTCCAGAGGTAGCTCCAAAAGCTCCAAAAAAGAGAAACACGAAGAAAGCAAAGAAAGAGCCAAGCCCTCCTCCAGCAGAGGTTGCACTTACAATTAGCGATGATAGTACCCCACCTCAATCACCTAGAACGAACGGCGGACAGGAAGATGAGGATCACGACGAACTGGTCTTAGAAGATGTCGATATTCCAACTCAGAATGCACAACCCAACCCCCAAAATGGCAACGAAGACAGTCAAGACGACGAAGGAGAGCTTGAATTGGAAGACGTGCAATTCGAGGATAGAGATCAAGATGAAGATGCGATGGAAGGATTAGACCATACAACAGCATATAATGATGCCTATCAAGCTGCAAATGCAGATACCGGCACGGATGGAGAAACGCAGACAGAAACAGTCGTATTCAAAGATGGAAAAGGTCAGCCAAATGGCATCTCTATCTCTTTGGGAGCAGCTAAGAAAAGCTCGGGAACAGGTACGCCGCGCAAAGCAGCTATCGTCACACCAAGAGACCGAATGGTTCGCTTGGCAACTCACAAATGGACAGTGTTGAGCTTAATAGCTCATACCCGAGCTAGAAATGCGATGATCAACGACGAATCCCTGCGAGATCGTCTGTATGGACTCGTGCCAAATGCTTACTTGGAAAAGCTACGAATGATTCACAAGAAGAAAATACCGCTACAAACCGAAAGGGTGCGTTTGTTTGAGATCTTTCTAGAAGATCTGACAGAATGGTGGAGTAAAAAGTTTCACCTTGATCCAAAGATGACAACATGTGGTGCAATTCGCCAACCTGACTCGGATTCACTCGCAGGGATCTTTCCTAGGCCTGGCCGTAGGGTCGACGGATGGATTGTGGAAAGTGCACAGGAACGAGAAGACAGACATCGAGATGAGCGAAAACGAAGAGCGAAGGCGGCAGAGCAAGCGAAAAAAGCTGCGAAAACATCAGGTCGCAAAGGAGGAAGTGTTAGCTCCTCTTCGCGGCCCAATGGCAAGCAAAGGGCAGATGAGCAAGCCTATCCGGCGTCATTACCAAACACTTTACAAGGAGATCTTTTAAAGGAGATAACACTTTTTGGGATAGGCAACTCAACGAAACCGACTTATATGCGCCTTGCTGATGTTCAACATCGAACGAGGTCATCACAAGATATGCTTTCATACGTTGAAAAGATGTCCGGCTCACGCGAAGATAATGCTCAGTTGTTTGCCGCCCTATGCAGATCTTTAGGCATTCCTGCCCGACTGGTGATCAGCATTCAATGTCCAGGTTGGAGTGTTGGAGCGAGTAAAGTGGCTTCCACATCTGGCGCTGTAAATCAAGATAAAGGTGGAAACTTGAACAAACGGAAAAAGATACACGAAAAAGATGCTGAACGAACAAAGGCTTTGAATGTGGTCAGAAAAGCGATGGACGTGATGACGAGCGATGAAGAAAATTTTTCATTGGATGATTCGGCCAATGAATCGGCCAATCAGACGGATTCAAGCCCTCGTACCCTTCGTGTGAAGCTGAACAGGAAAAGAGCCGATCCGATAAGCTTGAGCGGTACCGTTTCTCCTGCTTCTTCAAGAGCAGCAAGCGTCACAGAGTCTCCCAAATCATCCACAATCCCTTTGAGACGAAGTGGTCTCAGAAACAATGCCTCAGCAGCAGCCTCTCCTTCCTCAACAAAATCGAATGCTGTAGCCAACTCCAATGAGACACCTGCAAAGATCGATGAAAATGATTATCGAGGGGAGAAATGGCGAGGATTGGATAAGCCACTCGAAGTCAAATACCAACCAAAGTTGCGAGCTATCAAGGCGAAACCATTGAAACCTACAGAAGTAGCTGCTGAGGAAGCAGATGCAGAACCTATTGATACACAATCGCCGCCTACGATGTGGGTTGAAGTATTTAGCAAACCATGGCAAAAATGGATCACTGTAGATCCTATTCGAGGAATCGTGACACCTACTGGAAACAGACGAATGGAACCAAGCAATTCGGACAAATCTAATCGATTAGTATACGTGCTTGCATTTGAAGAAGACGGTCATGCAAGAGATGTGACTGCTCGATATACCCGCACACTATACAGTCGTATTAGTCGTATGCGTCCCCCATCGACAAAGAAAGGAGGTGAAGAAACGGATTGGTGGTCTCGTGTTGTGGCTTCTGTACAGCGTCAAGAGCGTTTTGCAAGAGATTTTGAGGAAGATGAAGAAATGCAAACTGCAGCTTCTCGGGAACCTATGCCTTCTAGCGTTGCAGCATTCAAAGATCATCCAGTGTATGCTCTCGAAAAGCATTTGAAGCGAGATGAAGTCATCTTTCCGGCCAAACAAGCTGGAACATTTCAAGGTACACCAGTTTTTCTACGTGCAAATGTGATTGCATGTAGAAGTTCACGTCAATGGTACAATGAAGGAAGGGTGATAAATGAAGGCGAAGATGCATTAAAATGGGTAAAAAGTCGAGGCTATACCCTTGCTAACAAAAGAGCAGAAGAAGAAGCACGTCAACAAGGTATGGATGGTTTGCAAGAAGGTCTTTATGCACCTTTTCAAACGGAAGTCTATACAGCACCTCCTGTGGTGGATGGAAAGATACCCACAAATGCATTCGGAAATGTGGATCTGTTTGTTGACAGTATGTTGCCGCCAGGAGGTGTGCATATCCCGTACAACGGTGCAGGTAAAGTGGCTAAAAAGTTGGAGATACCCTATGCAGAAGCTGTGGTAGGTTTTGAATTTCGTAAACATCGCGGAATGCCAAAGATTAAAGGTATCGTAGTAGCTGAAGAATATGGTGAAACTGTTACGGAGGCATTTTTGGAGTACGAAGAAGAAGCAGCTGCAAAGGATGCCAAACGAAAGAAAGAACAAGCTCTCAAAGCAAAAAGAAAGGAGATCAATGCCGTCAAAATCAAAGCAAGATTGCAACGTGATTATCTTACAGGTGCCAAAGGGAAGGGTCGTCGAAGAGATGATGATGATTCGGATACCGATGATTCTGGTAGTATCGTATATGCTGACGAAGATGATGACGATGACGATGATGACGAAGAAGAAGAGGATGAGGAGGAAGAAGAAGAAGAGGATGAGGAGGAAGAAGAAGAAGAGGATGAGGAGGAAGCGGTGCAAGATGAAGCTGGTCAAGAAGACGGAGAAGATGCGGGTGGCGATCAACATGCAGGAGATGGAGACGGAGAGACTCAAAACATGGATGAAAACGAGAGGAAAAATTTAGAAGCATATCGAGCTGCACAAGCCCAGCCTGAAGAAGAGGAAGATGAAGAAGGAGGCTTCATCATCGAGTAAGAATTATTTAAGCACTGTATTATCATGTATTAATATGCCGGATTTCATAATGAATCGATATTACGCAGTATTTGACTAGTCACAGCAAGAATAGTATAGTACAAATGATACAAGAGGGAATGCTCAGAGTGGAATGGCAGATGTGACAAGATCACAAAGTGGCTACAGGCTCGATACTCTGTTGTCCGGTAACAGAGCCTTCTTCAGCACTTAATCGACTCAACACTGACCCGATTTGTTCAACATCTTCCACTGAATTGATACTCCAAACTTCGTAATCTCCTGTTGGATGTCCTTGAGAACTTCTGATACGGTCACGATAAGCAAGCTCTTTGCTCAAAAGATGTGCACAAGCACGACCGGGTCCCAAACAAATGAATCGTTGAACGCCATTCTCCAACATCCGTTCGATAGATTGCAACCACATCACTGGCCTGGCTAGTGCACCGCTCAAATCAGCCCGAATATCTTGCTCAGAGTTCAAGAGTGGCGCACCTTGATTGCTCGAAACCAATTGCAAAGTTCCCGAGTAACCACGACCGAATCCTTCAGGATCCAAGCCTCGTAAAGGTAAAGCTTTGACTGAAGGTATTAGGAAATCGGCCCCCTCCCGCATGAGGGAAGAATGGTAAGGTCCTGAAACAGGTAAATTCACTGCTCTTGCGCCAAGATTGAGTTGTCTTAGCTGATCACTTGCTAGACTAACACCGACACGAGTACCGCTCAAGACAATTTGTAAGCTTGAATTGATATTTGCAACTTCCACTACTTCATCACTTGAAACGCTTTCCAACTTTCCTGCTTTGATATCTGCAGCAATCTTCTCAATCGCCTTAAGACTGTCTTGTAGCTTACCAGGACGGATCATACATCCGCTCATCTGTGTACGCTTCCAACCTCTTTGCGGCGTTGCATCAGCCTCATGGCGAACAACGTCTGCATCTGATGCCGAGTTGGTAGGTGGCACTCCTCCAGCATCAATTCCGATGGTCGTCCTTGACAAAAGCTCTGCTCCTTTTCCACTACCAGCATTGGCAAAAGCCCAAGTCTCGTAAACACTTTCGGGCATCTTGCATCCGTCAGGGAACAAGATCTTATTATTGGCAACAAAGTGTGAGCTTGATAACCCGCGGTGGCGCAACAATCTGACACCGTCACGTAAATCGACAGAGCCGGCAGCACAAAGTGCAGCATAAATACCCGTTCCGTGACCTGCAACGTAATCAATATGATTGGCTATCAAATCGACAGGAAACTCTTGTCGAAGAACAGCAAGAATGGCAAGGGAAGAAACCATAATGCTGGGTTGAGCGTTTTCTGCTCTTGTCAAGTTCAATTGATCGCCTTTGAATACCATATCACGCAACCAGCCACGTGGATTGCGGTTCTTTGTTTTTGACGAATGACGATTGGCGAAAGGATCCCACTCTGCGCTTTTTGCCAACTCTTCTTCGAATCTTTCTCGCTGTTGAGGATCAGCGGCGGTTGAAATCATTGTTTGAATTTCGCGAGGAAGATAAGGTCCATACTCTAACGCTTCTTCCGCTACAGTCCATACTTGACGAGCTGCCCTATATTTGCGAAAGATGTCATCTGTCATACCGACATACTGAGAGCCTTGACCGGGCAAAATGAGTGCACTCTTTTTCCTCTTGATCTTTCCCGAATTGATCACTTCGTGTGTACCTGCACCTGAACCTAAGCCTGATCGAGGACCTCCTACACCAACAGGGCCCATGCCTGCGGCTGTCGCAGCTGCATCATCGTTGAAACTGGAAGATGGGTTGGAAAAGTATGTGTGGTGAGGCAAAGGTTTTGGACTTCTGGCAGTAGGAGCGTATTCATGACGATATTGTTGAGCATATTTGACATCTTTGCTGTTAGATGATGAATGCGCAGGCCCGGAAAGATCCATCGAAGAAGCCCTATCGTCATGGTGGGTATAACGTCTTCTCTTTCCATAATTCGGAACAGCACCTTTACCCGCATTTCCTTCAACGATGAACTCGATCTTGTGATCTGAATTTGGATCAGAATCAGCTTCGGAAACTGGACCGCCTTGGCTATTCACGCCTCCTCCAAAAGCCCAACTCGATTCATCCTCTTCTTCTGCTACGTCTGTTCTTTTACCTTTTTGTGGTTTTCCTGATTGTGTTGATAATCGTGATATGCAAACCAGAGATGCTTTCTGTGGAACGATCAAAGATGGTGTGTGATATATTGACCTGATTGAAGCCTGTCTGGGACTTGCTTTAGCCCATATCATCCTGCTTCGATGCATGATGAATAAGTCTTGTGTATTTGTGACTATGAACACGCTATATGCGTGCTTGTTCGATGAACACCATGGGAGATGGTGAGGAACAAAGAAGTGTAATAAACAATCTTTCCCGAATCATAATCGATATTCTTTCCTGGCGCACGCACGTTTGACGCATGCAATCATCAGTGCACTTTAACGCACACACATGCTCTGCCCCGTTCCTTACCCGGCACTTATTCCGTGTGTGCGGCTAAATTTAACATGCGGGCTGATTGATGCCTTAACGCGCTAAGCTTAAGCAGATTGATTTCAGGATGACCAATTTGTCAGGAGGTCCCTCTCACGACATCATCAACACAAACATAGAAGATCAACTATAGAGAATACGAGATGGGAATATTCAGCATTTTTAATTGTTTCAGTAGTAGGAGTACAATGTCTGACGATGCGACAATGATTGGATCATTGAACAAAGGTACAGAAAGTGGTTCGGTACCTTTTACGCAAGCAGACAAAGTTGTGGAGAATTGCATATTTTGTGACATTACACCGGAAAAATTCGACATCATCTTGGAAGATGAAAATTTTGTCGTCTTTTCAGATATCGCACCAGCTGCAAGGATACACCTCTTAGCCATTCCTAGAGCACATGTCTTCAATGTGAAATCATTGCACGGAGAGAAGGGAGCTCAAATGGTGGAGGACTTGGTCGATATAGGCTCAAAAGCGCTCGAAATTGCCGGTGGAAGGATGGCACGAAACAAATCCGAACCGCTTTCTATTCGATACGGAATGCACATAAGTCCTTTCAACAGTGTCGATCATCTTCATTTGCATTGTTTGGCTTTGCCTTTCAATTCCGCTTATCACAATCTCAAGTACCGCATTGCCCCCGGAGACCCGAAAGCAAATCCTCCAACAAACAAGGGATGGGGTTGGTTCGTCACATCAGATCAAGCGATTGCCATTCTAAGAAAGGGCAAAGAAGTCACAGTATCCCCATGCTAGAAGTGTGACCTTAATGGGCAGGACATACACGGAAATCCACATCGAGCACCTACAATTTTCTCTTTTGATGACTTTCACATCTTTATATCCCACAATGTATTTTAAAGAGCAATCTCCATAGACTTTTGGTATTTCATGACTAGTAGCCACTTCCTGCAGCTTGTTGGGATGTAGCACCCGTTTTGAATTCGGCCACAATTGCCCTCGTACCGCTTGCACCGATTCTAGAAGCTCCATTGGCAACCATCTCCTTTACCTTTTCCGCCGTTCTGATACCACCACTGGCCTTTACCTTTACATCGTGTGCTGATGCGATTTGATACATCAGTCTGATATCTTCCGCTTTTGCACCGCCCGAACCATAACCGGTTGACGTCTTTACAAAGGCAGCACCAGCTTTGCATGCCAATAATGTCGAAATGGCAATCTCTTCTCTTGTAAGATAGCATGTTTCGATGATCACTTTAAGCTTTGCTGGTTTGGCAGCTTGTGCGATTGCTGCAATTTCCTCAAACACTTCTCCGTACTTTCCCGCTCTTAGTAATCCAACATTTTGTACCATATCAATCTCTTGTGCGCCATCTTCTTGTGCTTTTTGTGTCTCTTGTACCTTTCCTTGTGTGTTTCCTGCACCGAATGGAAAGCCGATTGTGCAGATGGGTTTGACATGGGTTCCTTGAAGGGCTTTTGCTGCGATTGCGACCATGCTAGAGTTTACGCATACTGTTGCGGCATTCAATTCGATCGCATCACGACAGCATTGTTCAATTTCTGTGGGTAGAGCATTGGGTGCTAAAAGGGTATGATCGATGATTGATGCGACATTGTCCGGTATAGATGGAGCCGGATTCAATGGAGGTAAATCTTGTGGTATCTGGGATAGCAATGTTTGAATTTCTTCTAGTGATGGAGCAGACATATTGGATGCATATACTGTTTAATAAGAATGATGGTGGGGAAAGTTCTTCTTAGTCTTGAAATATTAATCTTAGTGCGGCGTAGTAAGGCTCACTCACTCACTCACTCCTAAAGGCTTTATAATGGACCCTAAGCATATATTCATATACAATTGCAGACACTCAACACGCGCCGGCGCCTTCTATACTCACTCACAAAGAGGCACTGTAGCAGGGTGATGCATATATGATCGGCTTTCAGCCAAAGATCATCTTTCATTGAAGCTTTACGTCTTGCTTCATCATCCATACAAAGGCGATGTTGTGATCCTTTCGATATTCAATACAACATTGCGAGTCACACAGATACGCATTTCAGGGCCTCAGTATATCGATTCACAACAAGCTTATACCTCGCATTCTATCTCTCACGACAACTAACGATCTTACGACCACTTTGATGCTTCATTTGTGAAAGGATCTCACCAAGCAACTCAGACTCCAGAAGGATTCAAGGCTGGGCTTCTTATAGTGGCGCATACTGCTTATGACTGAAGAGGAGCCAGACACTGCCTCAGACATAGCTTCTCATTCATCCTTGCTCAGAGATGATTTAACTTCTGTAGTCCAACCTGACAAGAGAAACACTGCAAACATGGCAGACCTTAACAAAAATGCAGAAGATGAAGGCAGTGTAAGCCAAATCTCGACAAGCTCAGATATGAGCTCTAATCCGACGAAGAACGTTGCTTCATCATCAAGATCATCATCTAGGATGGATCCCAGTCTTTCAGTAAGTTCTCAACCGCCTCCATCAATACACAAGCGAAAATTGAAAGGACCACCCAAAGGAATTTTAAAACCAGCTCCTCCTCCTGCAAAGGCTTTCAGCTTTCGTCGCGATGTCCTTCAACAACTAAACACTCGTCTAGCTCAGCAAGGAGTGAATGTTCAAGTACCTGTGCCATCAGGCAGTCTGGCCGGCACGGCACAAGGTACAGCGCAAGCGGCAAGTAGTTTGCTTGGGGGAATGTTTAAGAAAGTGAGCAGCTTGGCATCAGCATCTGCAGGACTGGGTATCGAAGATCATCATGGAAGCGGATCCGGCTTTTACGGCAATGGATCGGGAAGCAGATCAGCATCAGCAACCGTTGCTCCGACATGGTCATCAGATAGAGACGCTGCACGATTTCCAGAATCTAATAGAGCAAATTCAATGCGCTCTACTTCATCCGAATCGACGCTTGTGAGTGATGGTGGGATGAATGGATCTTCTTCTCAATCTGTTCATTCGATCTCAAGCAACAATCTACCTCAGCCTTCTGCTTCTATTCGACCATTGCGAAAGGTTCGCTTTATCGTTTCGGACATGACCCTTACATATCCTATCTCGGGTGCAATCGCACCGGGCGACGAAGATGCCACAAGGAGAAGGATAGAACAAGAGCAACGTCAAAAGCTAAAAGAGCGTAACGAGAAACGATGGACGGTGGCAGAGCTGGAACAATTATACCGAGAATGTTGTCGAACTCGTGAAGAGCTACCACTAAAGAAGATGCGAAGCGTGTTTCAAGATGCTCGACAGAATTCTCCCCCTGCTCTCAAGACGATTGATCTTTCTTTCATCCCGCTTGATAGACATGCGATCGAACCTGTAGCAGATCTTCTCAGCGTCGATTTCGGTTTGCAAAAGTTGGTTTTGGAGAATTGCGGCTTAGCAGATGATGGGTTGAAATCAATCTTGCATGCTTTGCTTGTTTCTGGCAGTCTACCAAGTCTCTCTTTGGCATCGAACAAGCGAATCAAGTATCATGGTTGGCGATATGTTGGAATCTTCATGCGCAGGGCAAAAGCATTGAAGTATCTAGACCTGTCTGAAAACAATATCAACAAGGCCAGTCTCGAGCACATCATCGGAGCTTTACGGAAAGATGAAAGTGGCAATGGGAAGGTTGGGAAAGAACCTAGAGGAGGTAGTTCGGCGCAATCGACATCAAAGGAAGATTTGGACGATGAACATTCACCTCTCACAATTCAGGCCAAATTGTTGAATGAAGAAACGGATGCTGTAGCGTTGTTGACCTCCCTGCGGTTGGAGAATTGTGGACTCAAGACATCTTCATTGGAGCTGTTATCGCAATCTATTCGCTTTTCCGAACTTTGCCATCTAAGCTTGAGGAGGAACAGAATCAACCAATTCGGAGCAGTGGCACTCGCTTTGATGCTCAAAGATTATCCTGATAACCATATCGCGACTGCTGAAGATGCAACAGCACCTGTGATGAATGACTTGGCTCATTTGCAAGGAGGATCAGTGAATGCCTCTGGAAATAGACAAAGCTCAACGTCATCACCAAATCTTCCTGATATACCTGTGATCGTCTCAAGTCCCGGTGGTGGTGTTTTACGTAGAACGTTGCCCCCTTCAGCTGTGGCTGCATTGCAAGAGGCTTCTTCTGAAAGTCTTGTATCCTCGAATGGCTCTACATTGGTTGATCAAAGTCACGATAGCCAGTCAAATGGTGATAACCTGACAGAAGATGAGAGAGCAAAGATGATCAGGACGAGAGAGGAAAGAAGGATGAAAGATGAGGCAGCTTTGGCACTTTATCGTGCTCAAAGAGCTAAACGTATACTTTCATCCATGCCACGTATGGGCCACTTGCTCACGCTCGATTTGAAAAGCAACGATTTGCGTGGCGGAGTGATCTATTTGGGACATGCATTGAAGAAGAACCGTACTCTCAAAGTCCTCAATTTGAGTGACAATTCGATCGAAGTGCAAGGTTTGGTGGCAATTGCTGATGCGCTAAAGTACAATTCAACTTTGGAAACATTGGATATGAGTCACAATCCTTGTTCAGGTCCAGGACTAGAAGGAATCACAACGCTACGAAATGCGTTCACTCTAAATTCAAACCTCAAGAGGTTGTTCTTGAGTGACACAGAGCTGTCATCGGAGGGTGCTATCGCCCTTGCCGAATTCTTACCTGAAGCAAGGTCTTTGATTCATTTGGACTTGACAGAAAATCTGCAGATTGACATTGCGGGCGTGATGGCAATGGCGGTCAGCGTCAAGATGAATAAGAGTTTACGTTGCTTGGATCTCAATATCCCCGCCAATGCGCCAGATTTCGCACGTCTTTCTCAAGATATTCTGAACTCATGCATCCGTAATACGGAATTGGCTCAAAAGAGAGCGCAACAGAAAGGAGTCAAAGCACCAATCGCAGCACCCATCTACAAATCATCTTTGGCACGAGCAGCAAAAGAGAAAGAGGAAAGCAGCAGATTACAAGCCGCAAATCGACAATTGGAACAAATGACACACGGTAGTTCAGACAGTCTTCGAAGTTCTGGTAATCAAGAACGTCGCGGTAGCACAGAAATTCCAGAAAGAGAAAGCAATACGATCACCGAAGAAGGAGCAGTACGAATCACCGATGCTGCACAAGAATGCATTTCCGTCTTGCGTGAACTACTTGCACGAGAAAAAGAACAAGAAAAGGAAAAAGTTCGAGATCGTGAGATTGTACGTCGTCAAGATGGCAGTATCGCCTCGAGACCGATGAGTGGATTCGCGCAAGACTTAATGACGCAAAGCAGAAGATTGCGTCATAAGCTCAAAAATGCTCTTGGTGTGATGGAAGAAGGAGACACACTCATTCGTGCATTGCAAGTCAATGATGATCTCGAAACCATTTCGATGCAATTGACAGATTTCTATAGTGGAAGAGATGAAAAGTTGGAGGAAGCGCTTCAAAGGGAGAACATCGCAGACGGAACACTGTCAAACACTCAGAATACCACATCAAATCGTTTGACTGTCCCAACTACCAATCCAGAAGAAGAAGGATTATCTTCGCCAAACTTCTCTATCGGATCGGATGATGAAGACGACGAGGAAGCAGAAGGTGCGCGCGCAAAGGCTGCCTCTGCTGCCCGCTCTCTTCTAAAGTCATCTAGCGACGTGGCTGCGAAAGGTTTAGAAATCGTAGATGAATCTTTGAATGTTGACGTTGTGCCAACTGCAGCAAGAGAAAAACCTACGGAAGAAGAAGATCAGGAAGTTGATCCAGAGAGCGAGATTGCCACGCATCGGGCTAAAGGTCAATTGAGTGAAGAAGGGGAAATTTTCCGTCGTGCAAAGAGTTTAAGCATCGGCGAGGATGACGAAGAGGATGAAGGAGGTGAATTGCGATCAAGTGAAACAGACGGAAACGAAAGAGAAAAGAGCAAACAAGAGGCTTCACCTCGACATAGCCCAAATACGGCAAAATCGGCTTTTGCTCTCTTGAAAGGCCAATTGGATGTTAACAGTGGCTCACATACCGATTTGGAAGATAACAAGAGTGAAAGTGCCATCTCTATCACATCGGAAGATCGCAAGGATGTTTCTGGAGAAGAATTACGTAAAGAACTTCTAGGTGCAAAAGTACCGAGAAGATCATCAAGTGCTAGTGCTTCAAGTGAAACATCCGAAAGTGTTCCAAGGGACACATAGACTTCTTGCCAGCTTCTCTTTGTTTTTCTTCTTTTGTCATTGTTTTCAAGTCTCATGTTTACGTATTTGTTAGGATCACCTATGTCATTTCGAGTTCTTATTTCATTGTTTTGTACAATCAATCAAATTTTCATTTATAGTATCAAAGATGGAATGATCAATTCAGCTTTCAGCATCACATAGCAAGAGCAGAGTACAGTAGACAGCGTCAACGCACATATACAACATAGAATTATTCCGAAAAGAGATTCAATATGTATTCAAAGCTCAAATGCAAAATGCACAGAGAGGAGAAGCAGAACTATTTTAAAACAATTTTGAAAGCGAATAGTATACTATTAGAGTGGTGATAAAATGAATTGAGCTTGAAGTTTTTTTTTTTTTTCTATTGTCCACCGAGAGAGGTTGCCAATGATTGTAGCATTTTACTCTCTTCGGGGAAATCTTCAATGAATCGCAATTGAGCTCGAGCTGCGTTTTCGTATGTGATAGCGTTGATCAATTCGGGTTCTGTACGTGCGATCTCAGCACTACGTTCAAAGAAGTCGATTGCATCCTTAATCTTGCCTTGTTGTAAGCTCAATTGGGCCAAAGTTGCAACGGCCACATCACAGTCTGGATCTTTGTCCAGTGCTTTGCGGCAAAGTTCTTCTGCTTCTGCCATTTGTTGTTTCCATTGGAATAATGCCAAAGCCTTGTTGATCATTGGTAAAACGTTTGAGCTGCGCTCTTTTTGTGATTCAATCTTGATTGCTTCGTCAAACTTCTCTAAAGCTTCTTCGTACTTTTGTTGATCGAGCAACAATTCACCATAGTAATTGTATGCCTCGCTGGCACCGGAGAATTTCTTCAAGAGAGACTCGAATGCACGTGTTGAAAGGGGTACCTTTCCGAGCTTGTATTGTGCTACAGCATGTTGAACTTGTGAGAAGATGAATGTATCGTCCAACTCGGTAGACTTTTTGTAATCCTTAATAGCTGCATCGTAATCACCCAAAATGAAGTGAACTTGACCACGATGGTAGTAAATATCAGGATCATTTGGATTGGCTTCAATAGCCTTCTCGAAATCACGTAAAGCTTCTTCTTTGTCGCTCAATTCCATATGAACGCTGGCTTTCTTTACCCAGCTTTGAACGTAATCAGGTCTAATAGATGTACTCTTTTCCAAATCATCCAAAGCGCTCTTTGCATTTCCGATGACGAATTTGAAGGTACCGCTCATATTGTAAGCTGTTGCTTTGAGGTCATCTTGACTCAAACCTTGCTCAATAGCTTCGGTGAACAAGGTGAAAGCGTGAGGGTAGTTGCGAGCATTGACTGCATCGAAGGCTTTGATGAGTGTTTCGTCACCTTGGGATGGATTTTCGGGCAAAACTGGTGTATCCTTATGTCTGAAAGCTTCCAAGTAAGCAGTGACAAAAGTGGGAGAAGGCAAACGAGGTTCGCGTGTCTCCAAGATATTCTTTGCTTTTGAGTAGGCGATCTTCTTCAACACTCTTTCAACGCTTTCAGTTGCATTGCTGTCCTTGAATTGTCCCAGAATGGCAACAGCTGTGAAATCGGACAGACTGTTAAACAATTTTTCTCTACCTTTGTCTCCTTCTTCACCTTCTTGTTCTCCGTTACCGCCCAAAGCTTCTTGTGCAACAGCCCTTCTGTTGAGGGCTTTAACGTATGTTTTGTCCATTTCAAGAGCAGAGTTACAGTCTGGAATGACATTTTCAGGTTGATTTAGGTTGGAGTAACATGCTGCTCTGTTGCTGTAAAAGACTGCCATTGGTTTTGCAGCGATTGCTTTTGTGTAATATTCGATGGCTTGTGTGAAATTGCGCTTTTGGTATGCTTTATTACCGGCTGTTTTGAGAGATTGTGAAAGAGATTCACGTTTTTCTGCTGGTAATCGCTTGATGTCTTCTTCTGATAGTTCAAACAATTGTTCGTCACTTGCCTCGTCCAAGATTGCTCCATTTTCTGCGCCTGCACCGTTTTCATGAGCTTCCTTACTCCCAGCCTTCTTCTTTTTGTTCTTCTTTTTCTTTGAAGAGCTAGATGCTTTTTCGTTACTTGATAAATCATCTGATTTTTTGCTCCTTTGGGTAGATTTATTGTTGCTAGAGAAGTAATAGTATCCTGCACCTCCAACGACTATACTTCCTACACCCACAGCAACGGCCACTTTGTTCTCTTCGATCCATTTTACAAGACCGGAAGATGAAGCATTACTGCCACTTGAAGCGGCCTTTTCCGTGATTGGAGCCATTCTGATTATGTCTCTCTCGATACGAGAAAGGTGATGATGGTTTTGATGTAAATCAGAAGAAAGGGAAAGAAAGTGGAGATTTCGATTGGAGGATGATAAATGCGTGTGTGTGTGTAGAGTGCGTGCGCTGCGCCGGTGTTAGAATGGTTCCCTTTGTACCGTGCGTGTGTGTGTCTTCTTCATTTAGCGCACTGCACACCCGCATTAAAAATCAAGATCAAAAATATCAATCACGTGTCTAACAATTTTGGAAAACATGCACCTTCATGCATATTAAAGAATAGAAGAATTGATGATGATGAACGAGGTGCCTTTCTTACATTAGAGTGGTTGTTCCAAAAGACATTTCGATCTTGAATATGTCGGTGGCTAAAAGCCATAAGACGGCCTCTACCAGCCATGCTGGCAATAGCTCTGAGAAGGTTGTCGCTTCGGAACACAGCTTATCGGATTTGGTAGTAATGCTTGATTCAACTTCTTTGGACTCTTTAAGGCTAGCATTGGTGGAATTAAACAGAAAGACAGCCGTTTATCGCTCTGATGAAAGGATAGGTCCATCAGATGCAAGAATACAAACAGCTTTGGAATTGGTATCGTTGGGCGGTGTCACATCTGATACATCTTCAATGAATGCAAGTAAAGGTATTTGGCATGCTTGGGAAGTAGCAAATTCTCAAAAACAATCAGGACTTTTGCCGCTCGTACTTCATCTTTTGGCAAATTTGATCAATGTTCTCGGCGCCCATCAGCCTAATCATGAACAAGCAGAGAAGATTATACACTCTTTGATTTCTACGCCGGATTCTGTACATGGCCAAAGATCTTGGAATGATCTTCAGACATACCTTTCCGAAACCGGAGGAGCAAAACCAAAAGGTTCAGGGAAAGATAGAATCAAAGGAACTTCTACGGACGACCTAATCTCGGCTACTTTACGTTTATTGTTGGCAATCACTTCCTTCGCAGGGGCAAAATACGCACGTAATGTGTTTGATAATATGGCATGGGGAATGAAGTCTCTTTCAAAACTTTTGAATATGCGTAGAAGAAATGCCACAAAAAAGAGAGACAATAAAAGTACGCCCGTCGTGCGCGGTCTATCCACAGCGACTCTCGATAGACCGGATATTCGAACTCTATGGATCATGTTCCTATTGTCATTCTTGCGTTCGCCGTCTGGTGGTTGTACGGCAGTATCCCTGCGAATCGCTGCACTTTCGTTAGGCAAGGATATGTATTCTGCCATCATGAAGGGCTTGACGAAAGATCCTGCACAAATTGTTGCATTTATCCTAATGGGCCTACACGATGGTCTTTTAAGCGATGAAGCTTCTGCCAAACTACCACGTGGAAGAGTAGTATCACTATTCAACGAATGGACGTGCAAGGAATTGGTTGCAATGTATGAACGAGAAAATGACACAATCAAGTTGGTGCAATCTGAAGAGGAACATAGCATTGCTGATGTTGTCCATCATTTCTTGCTGGCTCTTTGCACGCATCCAGGCAGAGGAGTGTGCTACATAGATAACGGTTGGTACGGACGCATGAATGACAAGACAAACATAGATGATGATGGTAGCATAGAAGCAACGGAAGGTACAAATGAGGACGCTGGTCAAGTAACCCGATTGAGCATCTACAATAAAGTCCTTCTTGGAGTCCTGCGATCGTTGACTCCTTACAGATCACCCAAACAAGGAGAATTAGCGATACGTATTCTCAAAGCCGCACCAGAGCTAAGCGGGCCATATTTCATCACTTTGACAAATATCATTGACCCAAAGCCATTGTCTATATCGTGGCTCAGCTCGTCTACATTCTTGGGAAGAGCATTGAGCCTTCCACTCCCAACATTTCAATCAAAATCAGGCAAATGGCACTCTCTGCCGCCTTCAAAAAGAGCTTGCACAGAAGCATTGTTGCCAACGTGTTTATCAAAAGCCATGTTCTCTCGCGGGATAGCAATGCAAGACAGACTATCACGATATGCGACAATCACTCTCTTGATTCGAACGCTTAGTCGTCTGCTTTTATTCCGGGACGTTTGTTTTTCAGCTAATGAAGGCTCAGCTCAGATCCAGCAGGGTACAGATATAGATATCCATCAAGACGCGGAAGAGGCAGTATTAAGAGGTGAAGTTGGTCTACAAGCCAATACTCAAACACCTTGGATTGCGATTTGGGAAGAGGTTGCTATATCATCCCAGGAATGCTTACCGGATCTTACTCAATTGATTCACTCATTGGATGCATTCCAAAAGAATGTCGGGAACGAAAAGGTGGAAAAGGAAGGCGAAGCATCATCCGCAAATAATGCGACACTGTTGGAGTCTACATTAAAAGCTTGCTGGTTGCTCCTTGAGGTGACACCTTCCTCTGAACACGTGTCTACTGCCGATTTGGACAAATTGTTCCAGTTCAGCCTCTCGGATGTGAAAGATGATCAGGATGATAGCAGTGGACTCGTGTCTCTGTCTAAACTTCATGCAATGCGTGCTGTTGCTACGAGAGCTTTTGAGAATGGTCAAGGCGAATTCAACATCTTTGCCAGAACTTCTTCATCCCTTGCTGGCACGAGCTCGTCGGCATCATCTTTGAGTCGACTTTTGCACATTGCAAACTCGTCAAGTCTGCCTATGCTACGCTCTACATCACTGGCTCTCATAAGCTCTGCAATGAAGGCATCTGTGATGTTCGAACATGATAGTGCAGAATGGCAAGCGTGGCAATATGCTTTGGACGGTCAAGATTGTCATTTATACGATTTCATAGACGAATGCGCTCAAAGGTGTATCAAAGTACCGTACAAGTACATCGAAATGGCCCGTGAAGCGGTTCTCAAACAGAATGGATCCGAAGAGAGCATGACAGATATTGCGTTCAGTCCACTGCTGTATACAATGCTGGAGCAACTGACAATCCGAATTCAGAAGAATCTATTGTCCGACGCACATTTACCGATCGCGTTTTCAAGCTTCTTGAGTCGTTATTTACCCGCTATGAGGGTGTCAAATAGGCCGACAAAGATTCTACTGGCTTTGCTCGAAGAATGCAGGAATTTGTTCACTTCGAGCGAGTTCTCGAGCAACCCAGACCTCTTCTCGAACCTTAAACGATCATCTGACCTCCTTACAGCCTTGACTTTGGGGCCATCTACTGAGAAGGTCAACGGACATGTGAAAGACAAGGCTGCCAAATCTACTGATGGCAGTAACATCCATCAATTCATCCTCAATCCTTCCAGTGAAAGCAAGATCGACTGGTCTCTTACCTCACCGATCGAAGCGAAGATGGTCTTTCTTTCATCTTTGAGCAAATTGCTGGATGGGCAAACCAAGCTGACGTCTGCAGTAGTTATTCGTCAAGCTTTAGAAAATGGCGCGAATGATAGATCGTATCTGCAAACGTTCCTTTTTGACAATATACAGCTTCTGCGATCCATCGTCCAAAGTCCAGAGAGACTTAGTTTTCTCATAGATGTGATCACCACATCAACATTCAACTCCGCAAGCGAGCTGGACCGAGAAATGATGAGCAATTTGATTCGTCTTATTGTTGATGACCTCTCCCCAAGATCTCCTTCTCTTTGCCAAGCATCTGCAAGACTTGCAAGCTTCATGCAAACTTCTGACCGACAACGTGTTATTGATACTCTGATTCAGGAAGAAGAGTATCTCGAACAAGTGTCTGGTATTTTAGCACTGGATCAAGATACAGTCTTGAATGACGAGGTCCCGCAAAAGATTATCTCGAAAAGAAACGGAACAAAGAATGTGGAAGATATTCTTTATCTGCTCCAACGATCTCACAAGGGTGCAAACACGAATGTTGAGAAGCTGATAGACTTTACCGTAAAGAACCTTGATGAACCGCTAGCGAGCACGGCTCTGAGAAGCTTGATGATCCATTACGAGGCAAGTAGACCTCATGCGATTCAGCAGTTGCTCACAAGACCGAATAAGACAATATCTAAGTATGCTGCAGAAGCAATCGCAGAGGCAATTGGAGTAAATGCAACGAATTTACCATCTGATTTAGCGCACGATGCGATCGCTACAGTCACTTCTCACATATTCTCAAAGGATCATGCAATCAGTACAGCCATGGTGCGAGCTACCGTTTCCCTTACCCGGACTTTCAAGGATCAGGTTTACACCACTTTACTATCAAATATACCCGAGAAGCCGATCAATGTCTTTAAAGCAGAGGCTGTCTTGTTGGCCTTGCATGCCGCCAAAAACGATGATGAATGTCCTGCTGCCAAGAAAGTGGTGCATGCGATCTCGGAGAAAATCTTACAATGGCTAGTTAGGCGTTTCGCAGAGGATGAGGAAGATGGTGCAGAAACATTGGAAGTTATCAAAGCTCTCCTTGTATTGATCCGATTCCAATCCAGTCTTCTCAAAAATTTGTCTCATCTTGTCGAACCAGTGCTTACTGCAGCAATTGATCGACGACTCCAATCCGAGTTGCACGCGGAGTTGATCACTTCCCTGTTCATTTCCACACCTTTGAAGAGCAACATAGTGCAATTGTTCATGGACAAGATGCTACACGATCGAGCAGCACTGGCAGTTGCTTCTATTAGAGAGAACATCGTTACCGCTGTAACGACGTACATAGAAAAGGACAGAACTTTGGCGAGCAATGCACTGATGACAAGATTAGTCAGCTTATACCGCGGTACTCTTGATCTTTCTGATCGTCAAATCTTTCAATCGTTGGCCTTCTATGAACAATCACACGCCAGCGTATCGATGCTGTCGATGTTGAAAGAATGGAACAGTTCGAATGAGGTATCTGGATCAAGTGAAGAAAGTTTGATTTACAGATTGGATGCAAATCGAGTCTTGGATACCATTCAACACTTTCCCCGTGCAAGATCATACAGAGATCTCAAATCGGCCGGCTATGGACAGCTTTCTGTTAAGCAGACGGAGCCTGCATCTTTATATGATCCGCTATTCCTCTTATCTGCTTATGCACAATTTCTCTCTGGCGATAGGGATCCGTCTGGCTTGCAATTAGTGGAGATGATGCGAACGAATGTCCTTGGTGCTACAGTGTGTTGCTTAAGCTCAATTGATCAGTCAGTGCGTAGCTCTGCTTCTTTGATGGTAGCAAAGACGTATGCATTTGCCAAATCTGCTGAATTCCAAGAGAAAGAACAGCTATTGCTCATTTTGGATGCTTTACGCAATTCTATAAAGCAAGCAAAGCTGATTGATGGAGATGGTGTAATGTCACGTCCATTGCCTTTAACGATTACAATGTTTGTTGCACATGCAATTCGTGCTTTGGCTCAACCTACGATCTATCTTTATCCGTTGATCTCCCGTTTCTTATTGCAAAGAGCAACACCGTTGGATCCAAGCGATATTCCACTATTGTATGGATTCTTGTATGCATCCTCGTATCAAACACAAACGCACAAACAACAAAGGCTTTTCATCTTACGCTTCTTGACATCTGCTGTTCGATATGGCGGTCAAGCTGATTGGAAGATTATGCGGCATCGTCATGTTTGGCAAGGAATTTGTGTTTTGTATACAACTTCTCGTTCTACGGGCGATACAAGCTTGAAACGTGCAATCGAAGAATTTTGGTTATCAGCAATGCAGCAGGAGCACGTCGTCACATATGCGATCTTGCGTATTGGTTTTGTGGAATACCTACAGCAAATGGTCATCACAATCGGAACATCAAACGATCAAGAGAAACTCTTTTTGCTCCATCTCGTTTGTTGCATGATTCAAAATGGAGATTTACAAAAATTACGCAAAGCAACAAATAATTTGTGGTTATCGTCAATCTGTGGCTTGGTCACGCGCTTGAAGGTCGAGAAGTTGATGTTATCCCCAGACTTGGCAAAGGAACTCGATCATACTGTTCAAAAGCTTTCATCGTTTTTGCTAGAACTATCGCAAATAGGAGGCAGTGCTTCGGTGTTGATGGAATCGGATCTGTTCAGGACTATGGATTTGCTGAGCAGCATTCTATTGGATTATTTCTCGATGATTGAAGAGCAGATTCCTGAGATGAGCCATGATGACGTTTTCAGATCAACCCTGGAGCACATCACGCAAATTTCGCAAAGGACAAAATCGGTTTTAAAATTGAAGAGTCTTATGAAGGAGTGCGATGGAAAGATTGATAAAGAATTACTGCAGAGGCTCAACTAGAAAGGGTTGTACACTATTCTATAGAATCAATTTCACATCTTGTACAGTAGCATGCAATTGATAAACTTATACACTTACGATAGCATTGAAAGCATAAGAATTGCTTCCACGAGTCCGCCGGCAACAAACGAAAGCCACAAAGCAAAACGCAGATCAACACGGGGGATTCCCCACGCTAATTAACAGAAATAAGCACACGTTCCTTCCTTCTTCAACAGAAAAGACGTTCAAAACAGATATTCAATCATGACTTGACTATCGATCAGCATTCATCAAATAATATGAAAATCATCAATCCAACAGGATGGCAGATACTTCGACAAGAGAAGCATGGTCAGAAGCCTTCACCGATTATTAGCTTGATCAACACAAGAGGCCATCAATTTCACGTTCATCCGATCAATGCTCGTTTGGTTCGAATTGTGCATTCTTTGCCTAAATCTGAAAATGGAGCACATGGCGAATTGGCCGATGTTCGACTTCGTAATCATGATCGACAAGACGATGATGTTGGGCTAGACGGATTTGTATGGGAGGAAAGAACGCATGCATGGGAAACATCTATAAGTGAAGAAGAGAAGATCGCATACATCAAGCCAACCAAAGAAGCACCATCAAGTGGAGGCGTTGAGATCGAATTGAATTATTCAAGTACAATCACATTGACATGGTATTGGGAAGATAAAGTGGGAGAAGTACAACAGAAGCACACGCTCTTACAAGACTTTAAGACTGCTTACCAATATGACGCACGCACTAAAAGGGTATATCATACCGTTTGTCGAGATCAATCTTACATGCCATTATCTGAACATCAACTTCCCGCAAACGAGAACCATGTCCCTCAAGAAGGTCGTTATGAGTTCATTTATGGTCTTGGTGAAGTGAAAGGTCCGATGATGAAAGATGGTAAAAGATACATAATGGAAGCAAGGGATAGTCTTGGAGCAGATCCACAAGATACCGATCCTTTGTACAAGATATGCCCTTATTATCTGCATTACAATCGAAATTCAGATCTTTGGTTCGGGCTGTATTACAATACTCTTGTTCCAAGCATTTTTGATTTTTCCGGTGAACATGATTTTGCTACCGGTCAATTTCGTTCATTTTCAGCAGAAAGAGGTCCGTTGGATTATTATATGCTACTAGGAGATGATGGCACACTTGATCGCAAAGCTGATGCAAGACCCAGCGTTGCAAATATTGTCTCACAGCTTGCCACTTTGGTAACACCAGCATCTTTTGGACCGGCAGGTCGAAGAAGTGACTTCAACTCATCTATGAAAGGATGGCAAACCAGTCCGACCCTACCGCCTCACAATCAATTTGGCTATTTGGCCTCAAGCTTAACGCTTTCTGAACGTCAAGATGCTCAAACTGCAGTAGTGGAATATGTCGAACAAGCCAGAAAGGAAGGATTTCCGATTGATTCGATGCATCTTTCATCGGGCTACTGTGTTGATTCAAAGACAGGAGAAAGGAATTATTTTTATTGGGATAAAACAAAATACCCAGATCCTGCAAAAATGGGAAATTTATTAGAACAAGAATTATCGTGCAAAGTGATCATCAATGTCAAGCCTTGGCTATTGGAATCTCATCCATACTATGAAGATGCTGCACAGAAAGGGATTTTTATTCGTGCCGCGAAAGATGCACGTCCGATCGAAGCTGGCAAATCACCACAAGATGAAGATAGATACGGATCATTTGAATCGGTTCCTTCGAGAACGTTGCACTGGGCACGCGGGATGGGTGATACAGGAAAAGGGTCTTACATTGACTTTTCAAGCAAAGCAGGAAGCGAAGAATGGAAAAGATTGATGAAAATTGGTGTGCTAGATAACAACATCACCGGCTTCTGGATCGACAATAATGAATTTTCCTCTGTGATTGATGATCAGGTGGAATTTCAAGGAGATTTGAACTTGTGGTCATTGCCTAAAGGAGACATTTCAGATACGAAAGCGTCGGAAAGAGCGACTGACATTCAACGTGAAGTGGCATCAAGAATGGGCTGGGGATCTCGAATGGTAGAATCAGGAGCAGTTGGTCCTGCAACGCAAACGATGGGAATGGCAAGGGCTACGTTTGATGGTCTGTTGCAATCTTCTTCTCCGTCTAGTGAAAGACCTGTGATTGTAACTCGATCTGCCGTTCCGGGCATTCAAGCATTTGCACATTCTACATGGTCAGGAGACAATAGTACGACTTGGCTCAGTCTGAAATGGAGTACAAAGCTTAGCATGTCAGTCGGATTAAGCTTTGGATTGGGCCTTTATGGTCATGATATCGGCGGATTTGCTGGTCCTCATAGCCCAAGCGCCGAATTATTGATCCGTTGGTGTCAACAATCGATGTGGATGACACGGTTCACAATTCACTCATGGAAAGCGATTTCTACAACTCCATGGATGTACAAGCATATCTGTGACGGAGAAGAACAAAAGACGGTCAAGGATGTATTGCGTGATATTATTTTACTACGATACAGACTCTTGCCTACTCTCTATTCCCTTTACGTTACTCAGTATCATCGTCACGGCTGGCCAGTCGTTCGACCTTTGCTATGGCATCACTCGAAACATTTCGAATGCCTCACGCAGGACGAACAATTCTTGGTTGGCTCGCATATCTTCGTCGCTCCAGTATGCACACACGGAGATAGATCCACCTCTTTCTTCCTTCCCCATCTCGTGGACGGTGAACAAGTCTCAAGCGATATCTGCTGGTTCGACTTCCACACAGATCAGGTGTACAGACCGCAAAAGGAGGGCAACACCATCACTTTGAAAGCACCACTTTCACGATTACCTACTTTGATTCGTGAAGGAGGAATGTACGTTTTAGGACCGACATTAACGCGAAATATGCCAACGCCTGCATCGAAAAAGAAGGAATATGATGTTTATATTTTCCCATGTCCAGCCGATGTCGAACAAGAAAGGCAATCCTCTACTCGTTCAAAAGGCTCATTTACACTGATTGAAGATGATGGTATAACGAATGCTGCAACATTCCGAGGTCACTTTACAGAAATGGAATTATTCTTTGAGGTTGCTGAAGATTCAAAGGATACGGTATACGTCGGCATAAACATTATTCGTGCTGACTATTCGGGTGAATGGAAGATCAATTTTAAACTTCCAAAGATGGACGGACGACAATTGATCTTTGAAGAGGAAGATCAAAAGGTCAAAACAAGTAATACTCAAATCACAGACCATAAAGGTGGTAGCATCTACGTAAAGATTACTGAACCTTGACGACGTTGACGCTCATCAGTCTCACCCGTAGGTCTCGATTACCTCTCTCACTGTACATCTACACATTAAGTCACTTCATCAGCGTGCCATGAAATGAGCATGTATTTTTCCCCTGTCTTTTCAGAACATCAAGCTTGGAATGCATAACCACCTTCTCTGTCTTTAACTTTTAAGAGCAATTCGGTGATCAAGCCTTGTCCTTCGACTTCTAAGCCGGCGTGAATCTTTTGTCCTGCTTTAACGGACCCGACACCTTTTGGTGTTCCTGTTAGAAAGAGAAAGAGAAAAGAATGAAGGTCAGATTGGCAAATCAAGTCAGTATACTCTATACTCACCTGTCAAGAGAAGGTCACCCTCTTCCACAGTCATGATGGAAGATACATGCTGCAACAACCTCGAAACGGGAAAGATCATATCTTTTGAATTACCGTCTTGACGCATTTGATCGTCAGTTTTGAGCCAAAGACGAACGTTTTGTGGATCAGGAATTTGAGAACGTTCGATAAATGTGGAAACGGGGCAAAAAGTATCGAAACCTTTTACGGCAGACCAAGGTAAACCTTGCTTTTTGACTTGTTCTTGTAGATTACGTGCTGTAAGATCGATTGCTAATGCATATCCACCGATATGTTTATGTGCATCTTCTGGTTTGATATCCCTACCACGCTTTCCGATAACCACACCAAGTTCAACTTCAAAATGACAATCTATTCCTTTTGGGATTTCTACTGTTCCTCCGTTGTCAAGGTAAGAAGATGTTGGTTTCAAGAAAAAGAATGGTTCTTTTGGGATTGCATTGTTTAGCTCTTTTGCATGGTCGGCATAGTTGCGTCCGATTGCCACGATCTTGCGACCGGTTGTACGGAAAGTGGAAGCCATCTTTTCTGGGGTGATGAGGGTATGAGGAAGGATATGCTCTTGTCACTTTGCTGGATCGGGATATGCGGGTAAAAGGGCGTACGTACGGCAGGTACATTACAGTAGTCTACTGATGCCGAATTGCAAATCGACGCGGGGGCACATTTTACAAGGAAGGCTAAATTTTCGTATTTGACATGGCTATAATACAATTGAGATTGGCATATACACTATGCAAAGAAATCATCATCTGCCAGATTGTTGGCATTTGGATCGACCTTTTCATCATCATCCTTCTTTTGCTTCTTGCGTGGTGCAGCTGCGAGAGAAGCGGCCTTTTGTCTCTTTGGAACGCTGCTTCCTTCCTCCTTTGATCGATTCTCCAGTTCAACTTCAGGCTCTTGACTCAATTCTCCCTTCTCCATCGCTTCTACAATTTGTTGCTTTACCTTTCTCATACTATGACGTGATTTCTTGCTCTCTTCATCTTCTTTCTCGTCCTCTTCTGCTAATGGTGATGGGCCTTGACTTGGGTATAGAGCAACGTACTTTTGTGACATGGGAAAGTGTAATACGTAGTTGAGCAGCACTCTTGCTTCTTTCAAATCAGCTTGAAGGTCCTCTTTATCTTTGTCTTCATCCAACTGCTTCTTCAGCTTTCCAATCCTTCTAGTCAACTTTTGACGCTCAAAGAAGCGTACTTTGTGATAGCGAGTCGAATTCTTGCGTTCCTTTTGTGAGAATTCTCTTCTGTTCAATTCATCTTCCAATGCTGTCAATCTACGTTCTGCATCCGTACGTGCAGAAGCCAAAATCTTTTCTTTTGCTAATAATCTCTTTGTTTGTCGTATTGCAGCTTTGATCTTGTTTACTCCACTACCTGCAGTTGTGTCTTTCTCTGCTTCTGCATCTTCTTGTGCTTCATTTCGTTTTACCTTTTTTCTTGGCTTGCGTTTGGATGGTTCTGATCCATCTCCGTTCCGATGATCATTTCGAGATTTGTATGACGTTCGCGAGGATGAATCGCGTGGCATTTTGACAATGATGAAGAAGAAGTCAAGAATGCTTGCTTGTATGCAGGAAGATCATTTCTGTTCAAAAATTCCAAAAGTCTCATCCAAATTTTTATTTTGTTTACCCGAAATCCGTCTTTTAGCATACACGCGTAGAATTAGACTCAAAATGTAGTAGTGTGAACACCACCAGACAACGAGAGACAATCAACTCTGTGGAGATTGTCCGAAACGATCATCACCTACCTCCAAAAATGGCTATAAGGGCAGCTTTGATATTCAACAATCATGGTAAACCAAGGCTGACAAGATTTTATTCTCAGCTGCCTACATCGCGACAGCAAGCATTATTGCAAAAGACGTTTGCACTTGTTCATAAACGTACAACAAGTGCTTCATCTTCTTCTTCGGGGAGAGAAGCATGTAATTTCTTGGATGCTCCAGAGTTGAGACCTTTATTACCCCCTCCTGCAACAAGAATAGAGAATGAATTGACTAGGGATGTAGGCAAGTATGAAGACGATATCGATATTCGGACTTCAAGTCTGAATAAGGGAAAAGGAAGGCTGAACGACACAGCAAAGCCGACAAGAAGGCAAGATGATCAATTACGAGTGATCTATCGACATTACGCAACGCTTTATTTCGTATTTATCGTTGACGAAAGTGAGAGTGAACTCGGTATATTGGACTTGATCCAAGTATTCGTAGAAGCATTAGACAGATCGTTTGAAAACGTATGTGAGCTAGACCTAATCTTTCATTTTGATGAAGTACATGGAATATTGGACGAAATCATTCAAGGTGGTTTGGTTCTAGAAACCAATATAAGTGAAATCGCTCAAAATGCAGAATTAGCAAATAAAGCAAGAAAAGCTTCGGCTTCAACCAATTCTATAACCGGTTCAGCGGGTGTGATTCCAGGCATGGGGGGAAATGCGGGTGTCAATGCATCTGCTTGGACACCACCTGCAGGATTGGGAGGAATGCCATGGGGCGGAGCAGCTGCTCAAGTTGGAGGCTGGGCTCGTGATTGGGGAGCGAGATTAGGCTCCGGAAACACAATGACAGGCGGTTCTACTTATGGAAGAATACATCATTGACAAGGATAGAATACAACATTTGTAAAATACATTCATGTCAAATAATTAGTAATTGCACATCATACATGCAAATCAACAAATTCTTTAAAAACAACATCATCTATCTTTGCGATCGACTGCAAACACTCATAGGAAGTTGCTGCATAATGTTGACGAAAGAATCCCACGATACTGTTAATCACTTCGTCCAACCTTGCAGAATGCGGACCTTTCATGTAATGATTACGGCAGTTGAACCAGCACTGTGCACAAATCAGGATGCATTTCCCACACCAGTCTTCAACGTAAGGGCAATCACTGCTTGCCTGTAGGATGCTCAGGACCGCTTCTGCTGACACAATCTCTCTGTGTAGATTGACCAAAGACACTTTACCGTTTCCATTTAATTTCTTCTCTCTTGCCCGCTGTAACTTGTCCTGAATGCCGCTCAATTGATGCATCAAAAACTCCAGCGTCACATCAAGGTAACGCACAATTCCAGTACCAAGATTGTCACTTTGAGCTGCTTGTTTGAGTATCTCAATCGAAGCATCAATCACATCGACATCTTCATACTCGTCCCCTTCCGCTCTGTTCTGAGCCTGTTCATCTTCTCCAATTTCAAAGAGAGTCGTTGTAGACGGAGCAAAGGCCCAAACCCGAAGTACACCATTCTCGACAAGTAGACTGAATTGCTCAAATCTTGCTCGTCCTCCATCTGAAACCACATGTGCTGGGGAAGGATCGTCGTTGATAACGAGATCTTCCGTCGTAATCCTCATTAATTTCACAAATGCTTCTGCCGTACTTTGCAATAGCGCTCCGGAGATCTGGACAGAGATGAATGTGAAATTTATTTCGAAGATAGATCGAATTAAATCTGCCAAACCTGTGCGTAATAATAACGACTCGACCTTAAGTCTCCTACTTGGGTCTTTGTATCCAGCCAAAAGCGTTGTACTTAAGATTTGCGTTCCTGCCAGACGATACCTTGGTGAAGGATCTTCGAGTAGTTGGAAAAGAGGCGGCAGGATTTCCGCCGAGTATCGATCCCAAGTATCTCCATCTTGTAATGGTGCTGCTTCGATGCTCTTGCAGCAAGCAAACAAGACAGACTCTGCACCTATTCCCATATGCCTTGATTGCAAAGGTGTTGATCCGTCTTTGGTAATTAACATATCTTGACCGAGACATTTCATCTGCGCAGAACGCTTTGGATCACCACCTTTCCAGACAATTTCATCTTCTCTTGGTCCGGAGCCTGCCGTGTGCATCTTGGACTTTTGCTTTGCTCTTCCACTGCTTTCATTGATACTGGCAGACGGAGTGGTGCTAAAGAGAGGCCGTATGTACGACTGGAGTATCGTATCAACTACATCAAGAGGCAGCGTATCGTTCGATTCAGAGAATATGGGGAGACGTAGAATGCGACTTGCGATTTCACCATTTTCGGGAGATGTGAATAGGTATCTCTCACTCGAAGTCCAAACGTTGATCGAGAAAGGCTGTGCGATCGCCTTGCGGTAGGAGATGAATTTGGATACAGTGATAGCGATCAAAGCTCGTAGCTGTATCGAAAAGTGATCTATTGGAATCCCTTCCATCAATTGCTTGAGAGACTGAAGCTGCTTTGGCACTTCTACCTGTACCCAATCGGTCACCACTTTAGCATTTTGTACCACTCGATCTTTTGCAGATATGCCTGTATTGTTTGCCAGTTGATCTTCATCTTCTACTGCTCTCCATCTACTAGGCGTAGACAGCAAAAGAGTTGGTGTGAGTTGCATGCATATTTGCCGTATTGCTTTCTCTTTGTCATTCTCCATTCCTTCTTGGAAGAAAGGAAGAAAGTGAAATGAATTGTTGGCGTCAAACTGATTCAAATATCAAAATTGGTCAATGCGTCCGGGCAATGCAACTTCGCGTCTTTTTATTTTTGTGTGACTTTAGAGTTAGGCTTGCGTATGATTCATTTCCTTTTCTTCTCCCCTTCATTGTCCTATGGCCACGTCAAAAGAGAGACGGAGACAATTGTCCCGCACAACAAGTATTCAAATGTGATATCCCGTGGCTGAACGGACACTCTTGAAGGGGGTAATCACACCTCGGCCCGCTACAAAACACATTTTTATGCGAAGAATGAAATTGCGTACAGCTCATAATTCAAGCTGAGTCAATCTTTGAGCGCATTCTTATTTTTCTTTCCTTCCTTTGTACCACCAAGAGAGTCCTTCACGATGTCTTCTCGTTTCGTGATCGATCTGACGCTGGACAGCAGTGATAACGAAGATGCAGGTGAGGCATCCAGTACGATTCCAAACACTCCTTCTTTGGTACGCTCGCCAACTGAGTCACCAAGAAAGATCAAAATTGCAATGACTGCGCAAAAGTTGACTGCATGCGAAGAAGAGCTTGCATCTCAAACAGAGCGAATTGCAAGTATGGAACTGACCAAAGAAAGTAAAAGCCCCGAGAGAAGCAAACTTGATCTGTCTTCGCCTGAAGTTTTGGCACTTTCACCCTTTCGAAACGTAAAAAGATTGCCGGATATTATCTACGCGGAGCAGAAAATTGGATTGAATAAGGCCACTCATCGCGTGATTATGGAAGCAGACATCCAGTACAATTCACCTGGATCGCCAGACATTTTGATCGAAAATGAAGTTGACAAACAATGGGCACCTCCCTACAACTTCATTTATATCAATGACTATCTTCTGGATACAAACATGAGACCGGACCACACGCAAAAGAATGATTACCTCACGGTCAAAAAAGGTTGCAGTTGCAGGGATGGCTTTTGTGATGCGAAAACATGTGACTGTCGCAAAATTCACTCGAAGCTTGCGCCGGATTACTATCAAAATTTTCCTCAAGATCAATTTGCATACAAATCAGACGGTCTATTGCACAAAGAGATATTGGAACAAGAGGATACGCCGATTTGGGAATGCAACAAGGACTGTACCTGCGCTGGCGATTGTGAAAACTATGTTGTCAGTAAGAAAAGAAAAGTCGGTCTCACAATCTTCAAACACGCAAAGAAAGGATGGTGCGTCAAATTGGCAGAAGATGTCAAAGCGGGTCAATTCATTGAGACATATACTGGAGAATTGATCACTGCGGCAGATGCGAACAAACGCAATCTGGTGTACTCAAAGCTGAACAATACCTACGTCATGGACCTCACACCTTTTCATGTCAAGTGGCACGTTCATGCTATGCCATATTTGCGAAAGACCGGTCAAACCAAAGATCAGTACGTGGAAAAGAAGCTCCGAGAGAGAAATTTCAAAGGTACGATAGAGGAAAGACTCAATGAACGATCAAATATTCTGGATGAATTGGTTGAAGAAGAAGAGAAAAAGTGCGAAGATGACAAATTGTTGTCGATCGATGGTACGCTGTTTGGCAATGTTACTCGATACTTGGCCCATTCTTGCGAGCCCAATTTGGTTCGCCACATGGTATACACGTACGAACGTGACATTCGTCGTCCACTTGTGGCCTACTTTGCCAGTAAAGATATCAAAGCAGGTGAAGAGATCACAATGCATTATGAGGGATTGTCCGATCATAACTTTGAAGGACCACATTCGGCACAAATGTCTGAATTTGTTGAAAGATTGGAGAACATGAAGTGTTACTGTGGTACGCCATCATGCTCCCAACTCGTGTTTGGTGGAAGGCGTGAACAAGCAGCAAAAACTCGCATGTGATCAATAGAATTGTAGAAGAAGTAGATTGTAAATAACACCCGCATTGTACAAAATTTCATGTTTTTCCCATTTTGTACTTTGTTCACTGTTTTGTCTTCATTCTCCCATCACTGATCGCAGCAGACCGACTTATGACAACAGAATCCTACAAATTAGCAGCTGGTGCAGATCTTCTTATTTTTGGGGATGATTTACATCTGCTTCATGATCCTAAATTCATTTCATTGTTTTGTCGGTGCCTGATCTCGCCTCGGCGGCTTTTCGGCTTGATGGATCATAAAATTGGGCTTTAGTCCGCGGCGCTAAAGTGTCAGTCAGAATGACACGAGTTTTAATCGCGCCATTATTACAAGACAAGCAGCCCGATAGATACATTAGACACAGTGCATTAGAAACACACTCCCTTTCCGCAAAGCAAGTTTCTCTTCTCCTAACCTCCAACAAACAGTAATCTTTGGTAATACAGCCTTGATCGCCATGTCACGATTCTTCAAAAGATCAACAGATACTGATGTGCTACCGAACCAGCTTGAAGCAAAAACATTGAATGATGATGGATCAGCGTTCGAACCTGCAATTTCACACGATATCATCACAATGCCTTCAGCATCTTGCAAGGTACCCGAAGCACCAACATTTACCGAATCACAGACAAAGGTTATGGCAAATCTGAAAGAACATTTGCTAAAAGAACATGAGGGTCTGGAACAGATAGATAAAGAATACGTCCCTTGGGAAAGAAGATGGATCGAAGATCCTTCTACAGTTCGAAGATATGCAAAGGCTGTCAATTGGGATGAAACACAGGCAAAGAAGAGAGTAATTGATACCCTACATTGGCGTCGTGATTTCAAGCCGGATCTGATCGTTCCAGATGAAGTGAAAGGGGAAGGCGAGACGGGAAAACACATTATAAGCGGATTTGATAATGCAGGAAGACCATGCCTATACCTAAGGCCTGGAAGGGAGAACACAAAAGCAAATCCACAACAAATTAGATTTTTGGTATTCGATCTAGAACGTGCAAGTGACTTTTGTCCACCGAATCAAGACAAGATTTGTTGGGTTATCGATTACCATCGTGCAACCAATGCAACACAACCAAGTTTCTCAACCCAGTTAAAGGTATTGAACATTCTACAAAATCATTATCCTGAAAGATTGGGTTCGGCAATCGTGGTGAACGTGCCTTGGTTCTTGTCTACCTTCTTCACTGCAATTTCACCTTTCTTAGACCCGATTACTCGTGAAAAAGTTCAAATGTTACGTACGCCGGAAAAAGTGAAAGATTTCATTCCTGTGGATATGCTCGATTATGAATTCGGAGGATCTTGGAGATATGAATTCGAATTTGAAAGGTATTGGAATCAAGTCTTAGACTTTTGCGGAATCGCTCAAGACGGAACGAGGAAGCATGAGACAAAGGCAAGGTCGTCTCAAACAGCTGCCGAAACGAATGGTGAAAAGAAGGAGGAGGAACCCAAAGAGGAGAACGGACATGTGACAAGTGGAGAGCCTGAAACACATGCCGAAGATGCTCATGTCCAAGAAGCAGACAAGCCTGCCACATCCGACTAACGTTGCCTTTCCACTCCCGATCTCAAGCCCACATAGAGTTATACCATGTCACTACATTTCTATAGACGATTACATTTATCATGCGTTGGGAAATCTATGATGTTCTCATTAAAAATACAATGCCAGAGTAACTTCTATATGGCAATCATGAGACTGCAATCTCTTGTTTGACGGCATGATCGCTGCTGTCTTTGGACCAGTCGACGGGTGCTTCACGAAGTGTTAATGCGAGATCACGCTTTCTGGCCTCTGCATTGCTCATGTCTGCACCTTCTAAATCGTAATCCTGTCCGATCTGTGTACCATGACGTTCTGTACTGCCGTAGCTATCACCACTTTCTCCGTCTCCCCATCTACTCTTCTCTCGAGGAGCACCCGAAAGAATCCGCTTGACGATATATGAAACCCAATCATCCCAACTAGGCTGTAAAGATGAATACGTTTGATAAGTTGGACCTGCAAAAGGTGAATCTCTATATGCATGAGAAGCAACGTTGATCAAGATATCAGCGGTCAGTCCTTTGATGAGCTGATGCGTGGATCGGAATCTATGCAATCGATAAGGTTTATTTTGAATCCATGGGACTTCGCTGTATGAACGGAATTCCATTTGAGGTGGTCTATGTGTGTCTACACGATCTGGCTCCATTAAATGCATGAGCGGTTCTCCATATTCGATCGGCTGTCCTTCGACAATTTTGCTGATCTGTCTAGGTTCAGTACTGTTCAAGACTGCTCTCAATGGATAGCTCCAAATAGCAGATACTTCATCAGGCGAAGGGTGTAAACTGTTGAGTGTTTTGGTTGTTGTCTTAGGCGGAAGCCAAAATACGACTGGATGAACGATCAAAGCAGTTTTGCTCAAGAATGGTCGCATTACACATAGTGGGATGATCTCACCATTCTTCATTGTTTCCTCAGGAAGAAGGATCTCTTCACAAGTTTCTCGAAATGCAGTTTCCATCACACTACGATCTGTTCTATCCACTTTTCCTCCTGGCAAACTACCTTGACCTGGATGTGATGAAAGATGCAAAGCACGAGTAGTGCAAATGACATGCAATTCCTGTTCGTATTCATCGTATGCGTTTGTTTGCTTTTCATTTTTGCTTAATCGGACAGGAATTTCGTGATTTGAATTTGGTATTGATGGCGCTTGATATAAAATCACTGCAACTGCTGCTTGTGCTTTGACCGAAACTCCTTTAGGTAGAGCGGGGGCAGTAGGCAAAGCAGACAATCGCTCAATTGCCTTTTTGATGATAGGCGAAGCGCCTTCTAGGTTTGAAGGATGAATTGTCATACTGGATCGATGATGTGGTAAGAAAAGTAGATAGAGTATGCATTGCAAAACCTTATCTCCGTCTTGAGAAGATGCTTCTTCCCTTGTTCGTGTCAAGAAGAATGAAACCTTACGCGTACCCCCCGCGTACCAGCCTTTGTGTTCTAGTCAAATTCATCAGGGACCACGCGACTAAAAATAAGCATTCTTCTCTCCACCATCTGATCCTGGTATGGCAATCGTGCTCAAGTCTAATTCAATAGGTGACGATGGAAGATGAGGGAGCTCCGGAAGCATCAAGACAGCTTCCTGCTACTTCAAGCATAAGCCAAGCAGTGGAAATGAAAGACGCAGAGATCACAGAGACCAATGATCATCATTATGTAGAAGCAGGTCCTTCTCAAGCACAGCGTGCTTATATCGCACATGCCGCTCCACATCTTTTAAACGGAATGCAGTCAATTTCTCCTTCTCCTTCATCAAGTGATCTTGATATTACCTCTTTACGAGCTTCTCCTGCTTCCAATGGTAAAATGAGCGGTTTCAGTAGTGCAGCATCAGATGGTTCACCTTCACAATCTTTACGACCAAGCCCTTCCCCTTCTGAAGAGGATCGTGATCGAAGTAAATCCAGAGACACAGCCCAATCTCCCATGCATGCGAGCGAATCGGAGAGACAAAGGAGTCATCATTCCGTACCCAAGAAGTATCGAGGACCGCAACCAATGATTGGCGATGCAGAACACATTTCACCTCTTCCTATCCTAGCGCCAATTGCAGGCGTTAATGACATGTACAATATGGTCAATTATCCTCTCAATCGGAACGGATGGCGATATGTGGCTGCAGGACCAGCATCAGAGTCCCTTCCTCAATCGGTATACAAGACACTGGAGACCGAACCGCATGGAATTCATTGGAGTTGGGCAGATCGAAGCGCATTCACTCACTTATCACAAGACGCTTGCACAGCTTCTGCGAGTAATGGATTTCGCTGCTTAAGGGCAAATGTACCAGTACGTGAAGGCTCCTGGTACGTAGAAGTACAGATCCTTGAACCTGACGGACCACCTTCAAACGCAAAAGATGGCAATCATATACGGCTAGGATGGGGAAGGCGTGAAGCACCTTTGAATGCACCTGTAGGCTCGAATGGATACAGCTACGGACTGAGAGATACGACTGGCGAAAAGGTTTACTTGGCTCGAACATATCGATATGGCACGCCATTTCAGCCTGGAGATGTAGTTGGAATGTGGATTTCGCTACCTCCATCAAGACAGGCTGATCCTAATGATCCATTAGATTCCGCTAGGATTGAGAGAAAGAGAATCCCAATTCGCTACAAAGGCAGATTATATTTCGAACAATTGGAACTCGCGGTACCTAAGGAGATGGATCGATTGATGGATCGTAGTCGACGTGGGGAAAAGCTACAAGCACCTCGTGGAGCACCACTGAATGAGACCATGATCAATGTCAACTCAGGCTTGCTGTCTGATCCAAAAGCCAAAGAGGAAGGCGTCAAGAGGAAAGGAGGTGTCCCTCCGCCAGGCTCTGGGCCCGTAAAGGACCCATCAGCAAATCTCCGACAATTGCCTACGTTGGGAGCAGAGTCTTTGATTGGCTTTTTCGTCAATGGAGAGCCACAGGGAGTAGCCTTTCAGAATCTGCTCGACTACCGTCCTTTACGAAGGCAGAGAGCTGGTCAGCAGAACAGTACGTTAAAATCGAAAGTGACTACGACGAGAGGTTTGGGTGCGGGCGATGAAGATGAAGAGGAAAAGGCTATCACAACGTCATCGACAGCTGCGTCAATTTTGAAATCTAGAGAGAATCATTTTGACGATGGTGCATTAGGCTATTTCCCAATCATCAGCTTATATGGTAACGCAAGAGCGAGAATCGTAAGCAAGCGGGATGAAATGCGCTTTCCTCCGCCAGAAAACGTTCGACAGGTCTTGGAGGAAGCAGACAAACGGAAAGATCGCTTCTTCATTGATCAAGCAAATGCAACGCAAGACAATGTTCCATGTCGAGCGCTGGAAGAACGTTATGAAGAATTCCTTCAGGAGATGTGGCAACATGATCTAGCAGATGAGGCAAAAGCACAAGCTGAAGCGCGCAAGAGAGAACTCGAAGATAGCTCAGATGAGGATGAGGATGATACGACAATTCAATCTAGCGCCAAACATACGTCCAAGCGATCACGTAAGAAGGGATATTCGAGCAACAAAAGGACAGCAGCCACTACCCATCCCAGCACGCGGGCTCATACACCTGCAGCTGATTCACGTATTGCATCCTCTTCTCCTCCAATCCGCTCTGACATAAAGTTGGAAGAAGAAGATGAAAATAACGTGGGAGATGGGATGAAGGAAAATCCTGGATCGCACATCGATGAAACGTCTGCGAAACAATCTCCTGCATCATCTGACTATGCTGTAAAGATGGAATGGGACTCTCACCAGACTGAAGAGGGAACAAATTCTGGCATTCAATCGCCAGATCGATTGGGAGATATGGAGGTAGACGAGAAAACATAATGCACTTAATTCTCTGTCAAATCTGTAATACTTGATGTACATTAGCACTTGTTGTAAAAACATGCAATTCTTATACCATGACAAACTCGCATCACACTCTGTTGGAGGATAGTAGGTCCAAAAAGAGATTCTTTGCAAAACTGTATCGAGAAAGTCATAAATAAAATACATGAACACATTTATCGTTCTTCAAAGCACCAATTCGTTCTACGCGATGAACAATCCATCATCACCGTCGCCATCGCCATCATCACCACCTGAGCCACGCTTGCCAACAGTAAATACACCTTGAACAGGCAAGTTTGATAACATCAATTTACCCAAACCGCTATTCCAAATCTTTGCTTTTGATTTACCATCAACACCGGCAAGTGCGCCTTCGCCTGTGATGATCTTCCAGCTAAAGCTTTGGAAATCAGCTCTTCTTCCAGGTAAAAGTGTGAATGGAACATCTTTCAATTCCGATCGCAATAATTTACGTTCTCCTTTTGGATCTTCTGGATCGATATATGTTTCAGCTGGTGCCCACTTGTGAGGTACAACACGGCCAAACGCATGTTCAGGTAATGGGTCAGGCAAAGGATCAGGGATGGGTGTATCGTCATCGCCTTCGCTATCATCATCATCTCCGTGCTTTTTGTCACGCTTGCTAAATTTCTCTGGTTTCTTGTGATCACCGTCCTTGTCATCTCCATGTTTCATACTTGGAGGTTTACCGTTGTAGATCAAAACATCAGGCCAAAGATCGGTAATTTGTACATCCACTGTAGCCAATTGACCTGGCATGTTCATAACACCCATAATCGTTCCACTACATGTAAATTTGTCTTCACCGAATGGATGTGGTGAGATCTTCAAGTCGGCAATTGTGACATTTTGAATCAAATCTGTCACGGGCGAACCAGGGAAACTAATTGGTACGGACATCGTGCGTAGGAAACGATCCAACCAAACCGGCAAATCGTCCGATCCGCCACCTGGCATTGGAAGCATTTCACCTTCTTTTAAATTGTTCTCTTTTGGAGCTGCAAAGGGCGATCCACCACGAACAATGAGTGTGTTAGGATCTCCACGCAAGAATCGACTCAAAAAGTCACCAAGGGCTTTTCCAGCAGCATCCTCTTTAGGAGGTGGAGAAGGCTTCTTGTCGCCTTCTGCTTTCATTGGTGTTTGTGAGCGACGGCTGAACGATGGTGGTTGCGGAGGTGGGATTACGCGACCGTGCAATTTCAACGGAATCTTCTTTTGTCCGTCAATGTCAAAAGGCTCAGTAGCGACTGCTGCCAACAACACGAAATCGTCATCGCTACTTTCAAGAATAGATGAAGCATTTGTCGAAGGTTTGACGGGCAAGTATGCTCCAAAGGGCAGGCTGTACGGTACGTGACCCTTGAGTAATTTACCCAATGGGTTTGTAGCCTCAGCGTATGCATCAAGACCTAAGGCACGTTCAGGATAAGGAGATCCAGGCCCTCCAAGTTCGGCAAAGTCATACCTTGTCAAGTTCAAGAATTCATCCGTGTTTGTATCATTTCCGTCAAACTTTGGCACTTCTTGTGCCAATCGCTTCCATGTTTCTCCTGCGTTCATATTAATCCAGCCAGGAATTCCCCACCATGAAGAGCTGGTCACTTGTCCACGAGCCCAATCCTTGAAGTTCAATCCGCGCACACGAGCTTTTGTCACTTTGATGTCGACGTATGCGGTCTTGTTTTCCAATGTGTATTGTGCAAATTCAAGAAGGGCAGGTCCAGAAGGCTTTACTACGATTGTAACATCGATTGGTGTATCAGCGACAGGTGCTGACAGACCTGTGCTCTTACCGCCTTTGCCTACCTGTGGCACAGGAATGAGCAGTGGATCAATCTTAAATGTGACAAGATCAGCTGGCGTAGGCGGGAGAATTTCCTTCTCGCTGATAGATGCTTGGTGCTTTTTCTTCTTCTTTTTGTCATCATCTGGGATCAAATTGACCCGATCAACATCTCTGTTGACGCTCCAGTCTGGGCTACGCAAGGCAAGAGTGTCGACATCAACTTGGACACCCGCCACTTTATTTACTGCCCATTCGACGATATCACGATCTTTGCGTTTCCACCAGCTGACATCCTTTCTTTCACCAAGCCATTCATTCAAAGCGACATCAGCATCAATTCCAATTCTGCCTTGAATGTTGATCGTTAATCCATTATCTGCCAAATCCACCACGCGCACGTTGTCTGGTCCGTCTATACTGAACGAATTGGCCATAATACGTTGTTGAGTGGCTTCATCAGGATTGCGTAGTGTCACAAATAACAAATGGAAGAGGACAATGAGGAAGAGCACCAAAACGAATAAGAAAGAGCCTGCAAGAGCAGACAAAACGATGAATGCAGTCGGATGCTCTGAACGGTAACGAAGCACTCTAGCTTTTATTCCGGTCGAATTCTGAGCGTCCTCATCATTAGATGCACTTCCAGCCCCATCTTGTTGACGCTGCTTTCCACGATCGATGTGTTTCTTTCGCATTGTGTTAACGTATTCTTTTGACTGCGCCCACCATTGTGCGGGATATTGCGTCCAAGTTTGACCGTTTTGGGTATTTGATTGACTTTCTTCGCCGCCCAACAAGGGAGCCGATTCGCCTCTTCCATCTTCCAATTCATCCAAACTTTCACGATATTGCGATTGAGGGGCGGACATTGTCGAAAAGATTCTTATCCGGTCCCTTTGTACAAGAGATCACCAGATATGGATGACAAGAGGAGGATTCAGGAGAAGGGAATATCCATAAAGTGATATGCGGGCTTGGGATTATGGCAGAGCTTGCACATGAGGGGTTTGAACGATATGTCTCAATATGGGGCAGTAAAGCAGTGTAATTTGTCTCCACTTGCAGGCATTTAAGTACAGGCGGTGCAGTGCATAAGCTTAACGAGTTTACTGCACCACGCCAAACGGCAAAGCCTTGTAAATGAAGAAAAGCCCAAATGCGAATAGAAAGCAGAACGGCTTATATAATTCTGTCAAATTATATTCAATAAACGCGTGTGTGGTTTTGGAAGATGAAGGATATCCAGCACAATGTTGCACTCTTCACCTTTCATCACAACGAAGCATCACCACAATGTCGCTGTTTGGTGGCTCCAATCCTGTGAGCACGTTTGGAAGGCCAGCTCAACCGGCTGCTACACCAGCAGAACAAGACATCGAAGTTACACAACCGCCTACGGATGGCATTTCTGCTTTAAGCTTTTCGCACGTTGCTGATTTCTTAGCAGCCAGTTGTTGGGACAACAATGTACGCATCTATGGAGTTGAACAAAATGGATCAACACAAGCAAAAGCAATGTATGCTCATGAAGGACCTGTGCTGGATGTAACATGGAGTAGAGATGGAACAAAGATCATATCGGCCGGAGCTGATAAAGCTGCAAGAATGTTTGATGTTTCTACAGGACAATCCTCACAAGTAGCAGCACATGATGCTCCCATCAAAAACCTACGCTTCGTTGATCAACAAGGCGGTATTCTAGTAACAGGAAGTTGGGATAAAACAGTGAAATACTGGGATTTACGATCTCCCAATCCAATTGCTGTTGCCCAATTGGCCGAACGTTGTTATTCTATGGATGCAGTTTGGCCTTATGTGGTGGTGGGAACTGCAGAACGCAAGATTCAAGTGTTTGATATGTCACAAAATCCAACAAATGCTATTATCAATATGGAAAGTCCATTGAAATGGCAAACGCGCGTGGTCAGTTGCATTCAACGTGCTGATCAACCTGGCTTGCCTCCCGTTCAACCTGGTTTCGCTGTAGGAAGTGTAGAAGGAAGAGTTGCGTTCCAATACATTAAGGAAGAACACAAGGGAAGTAACTTCTCATTCAAATGCCATCGTAAGGACCCTGGTCCGGGTCAATCACGAGAACCTCATCAAGTGTTCAGTGTGAACGATATCCGATTCCACCCTATTCAAGGAACCTTTTCTACATGTGGAAGTGATGGTACGATTAATTTCTGGGACAAAGATAGCAAGACTCGTCTTAAATCGTTTGAGAATAAGGGTGGTCCGATCTCAGCGTCTGCCTTTAACAGTACAGGTTCCATCTTTGCATACAGTGTTAGCTATGATTGGCATAAAGGTTACTCCTACGCCAATCCCCCTAATACGCCTAACAAGATTTATTTGCACGCTACAAAAGATGATGAGGTGAAAAGGAGACCCAAGAAGCCGTAAAAGATGGAAGAGGTAACCAAAAGGGAGGATATGTACAATAGTAAAATTGTTATGACATTGATGAAATAATATTGGTGTACTTTCTTGTGTTACTTTATATTGCCCAACTCACAGCCAAATCACTGAGTAGCGCTGCGTGTGTCACATTATCTCAACCATCACTTGCCTTTCTTTTTAGATTATCCTTTCCACACTTTGCCGATAGAAGAGACAGACATCGTGATCGATGCATGTTTGAGACATAGTTATGCAAAAGTGCCGTTCAAGTAGAATGCAAGATTATCCGAAGCTCGATCGAATGTACTGAAATAGATGCGAGTGTATGTCAATAGAATCGCTTACAAAAAGTTTCCCGCCGGCCCTCTCTAGCAACAAAGAGGGTTAATTTTAGCAGCAAAAATAGTTAGCCGTTCGAACGATAGATTAAACTGCAGTATTGCCTCGTTCCTTAGCGTGTTTTAAGTTATACAACAGATGTCATTGTGCTGTTACGGCCTCTTTAATGTTCTCGGTCGCTACCTTAATGTGCCTTAAACTTACGGTGCGCCCCGCGAAAATCCCCTTTTTTAACTTTGGGTGTATTGTGGGCACACATTATTAATTCCGAATTCCTTCCCTTTGATTCATACTTTCTCATTCTTTACATCCAATCAGTCATCGTCATATCGGCAACCATCACAGCATTCAGACACACCTTTCAGACATTTCACCACACAAAGACGAGATAGAATTGAATGGATCACAAATCAACACGCCACCACTTCTTGTAATCTCAATAAGGCAATCGAGGTTGATTGTTGACAACAAGTAAAGGTGGCTTGCAAACAACTGCTATTCACACAGAGATGACATACCCTGGACAACCAAGCGGGATGGTGTCATCAGATACGATGGATGGACTGGATCCTGAACTTTACTTGAATGATGACACTCCTGCTCCCTTGGAAAATCTATTCACTCTTCCATTCGCCCTTCATTTGAAGCCGTTGCCCCACCAATCCTTTTTGGCCGAACAAGATTCATCAAATGCATCTTCCGATCAAGATGACAATGGTGAAGACTCAGACGCTTCTTCGGCCAATAGCAATTATAAAGCAGGAATGCATAGACTAAGACAACATACGAGTCATGTTCCTCCGCATTCACTCAAGATGATTTCTATGCTTTTAGAGCGAACAGGATGTTTGGACGCCGTTCCTGTTTGGGGTCAATTGATCGAAATGCTAGACGGAGCAGATGAAGATCCCCATTTCGCCAATTTGAGAGCATTCTTTGATGCTCGATTTGACACAAACGGAAGAATCAAAGACGAATCGAGTGGATTGCAACGATCAATATCCGGACGAAAGAGAGGCAGCTTTACACGCAGTCAAAATACTGGCATATCACCTCCCAAGTATGACTACGATATACGAAGACCGAGTGTGGCTTCCAGTTCAGGTGCTGCAAATCTGTTCAACCTTAAACGAAGAAAGAGCAGCAAGGTGGTCGGACAGGAGGAGTATGAAGAAGGAAGCTTGGGAGACCCAACAGGCACCTCCTTTAAACCTCGTCAACCAGAAATCATTGTTGTCGGAAAGGAAGGAGTAGAAAGTCGTGCTGTACGCTTCAAAGTACGCTTGGATCTTCATTCTATCGGACTAGCTCCTCCTCCACCCCGACCACCAATTATGACAAGAGGCTCAGCTCGATCCACGATAAGCAAGCGTCTGACCGCATCACCCCCACAAAAATATACGTCAGAGTTTTTAGGCGTACATAGGGTTCTCTCCAATACGTCATCCAATCATTCGCATTCGGACAGCCTCTCTCTTCATCCAATTGGTAGCCCGGACAGCTTTCGATCACACGCATTGTCTGAGGATAGCGACGAGAACCATCAGAATCGATCAGGATTTCTGCCCCAAAATGGCTCTCCCGCTCCATCTTCTCGAGCAAAAGATAAGAAGAGTTCAAGAACATTCACAAATAGTAGTGCCGCATTGACATCCGTTACTTCTGAGTTTGGCACAAGCCCAGAGTCCGCAGATGCTAGAGCCAAGGCTTCTGGCAATGCTACTAAGGTTGGAAGCTTTTCCAAAAATGGTGAAGCCGTCAGGAGGCCATCAATGATTAAGAAGCTAATGGATTTCAAAGGCCTTCGATCAGGCTCCACGAGAAGCAATCGTTCCGCCAGCAATATGAGTAGCCAAAGTACGGATGAAATTATCCCTCAGCAAGATACCACTGCAAAATTGGTGTTGAATACAAGTACCGGTACACAACCACCACCAACAGTTGCTTCACCTACGTCAGACGCTCCTGCACAAGGATCTTCTGGCTTTTCATTCAATCATCTTGACAGACGCCGATCGCAAACTGTTCAATCAGATATGTCGAATGAAGAAGCGATCGATATGATCGATGATGAAGGCAGTATTGCCTCGTCTAATCATTTTGGCTCATTGTCTAAGCGAAGGGCTTCCTCTTCCGCAAACGCTAACTCTTTACTAGGCTTTAAGCCTGCGCCAGGTATGAGGCCAGTACAAGAGGGTACAGTATTTTCTACTAACCCAGTTCAAAGTGATGAAGATGACGTCGTTTTGTCTTCGTCTGAAGCCACAGGGGATGTGTGGAAAAGAGGCGAAGGAAACGATTTCTTGAATTTGTGGCGTAAAGCAGCAAATACATCTTTGACTTTGCGTCAAACGCTTCGACCGACGATGACAAGTCCTGCACGTACGCCAAAAGGTTCTGCTTCTGCTGGTATTTCGCCTTTTCCAAATGCTCAAACTCCACCTGATTCGATCGAGCTAGAAGACCAAGAGCGAATTGAAGCTCTTTTGGCACCTTTCCGCAATAGCGAAGCGGGATCTTGGTGGTTGTCTGGTTCCGTGGACCCATTGCCGATCAGTATTGCGTGTGCGCTTTCTGAAGGATTGGGATGGAATGGAATTATGGATTTGTGTTACGGTAAAGGAAGTAGAAGTGAACGCTCTGGATCTTATCAACCATTAGGACGAGCAGCAGAGTTGGACAAAAAGCAAGAAGCAGATAAAAGTCGAGTACAGAACTGGGCACAAGCAGTAGCAGGAAATCCTACAGAGACCAATGACGCAAAAGTGACTACGCAAGGCTCGCCAACCAATGAAGAAATTGTTGCAAGAGAGAAGTTGGCATCATTGGCTTTGACCACGGAAGCAAGCTCAGATGCTGTTGGCCCTTCAGAAAGTGCTTCAGTGAAAGGCAAAAAAGATCAGAGCAACAATTTGACAAAGATTGGTAATTGGCTTAAGAAAAAGTCTGGACTGGAAGAAGAAAATCCAGAAGAAACAAACTCAGATCAAGAAGTCAAATTGAAAACTCCTTTTGCTGATTCAGACACACGAAGCTGGCAAGATTGGGCAGAATTGTTACGTAGCATTTCAAGATGGCTGGTGGAATATGAAACCACGCGTGTACGAAATGGAATGGCAGGCGAATATGGTCATGATATACTACAAGGCAAAGTGGGCTCACATGTTGATTCAGGATTTGTAGATTCCAATTTCGATATGGGAAAGACAAAGTACGTCAGCCGAGCAACATACCAAGTACCTCGCTGTGTAATCAAAGATGCCTTAAACAAACAAAATGGTTTCAGGAGAAGGCATGGAATTCCTGAAGGTTTGCCGATTGGACCGGACGGCACAGAAATTGGTGAATATCGTTGGTCCAGAAGTCGACTTTCTGGCAATCATTTTGCCACAGCAACCACTTTAGCGGCTAATTCCCTCTTTCATTGTTTGGAGCAAATTGCAACTTCTGATTGGACTCATGCATCAGCATGGGAATTGGATTATATGGAAATGTGTGTTTTCCGTAGCCCAATCGTGGGTCGAAGGTTCCCTGCTCCGGGCAGTAAAATCGTTTCGAGTAGTCAAACATTTCATCCTGACGAACAAGACGAAGATGCTCGCAAACGTGCAATGCCATGCCCTTATCCATCGGCTGACGGTGTTTGGAGTTCTACCGTTTGGCGTAATTGGTTGAGCCAAGTACAAAATGGTAATATCATCGTTCCTGCTGTTTCATGGCAAGCCTGGTGGACTTTGATTGCCGTTTTGAACGGTGGGGATGGCTCAGATCGAGCATTGGATGTCCAAATGAAAGCAGAATCGGAGCCCTTTTCTGCTTTGGACGATCTTGAAGCGGTGTATTTGTAGTGAAACTCTAGATAAAGTCATTTTCCTTTCTTCTCTCCTTGTTTGTGTACATTCATATACCTTGCCTTTCTTTTCAGTTTTCATCGTAGATACCTCTGTTCAATGGATCAATTTGCACTTACACCAATCTTGCCTTGCTCTACCGTTCCAACTTTATTCCTGCTAGCATTCAAGATGCTTAAGAATACTTGCCAAGCGATTCCGATTGCTCCTGTGAATGGAACACGATAACGTAAAGGCATGAAACGAAAGTTGATTGTTTGAACCAAAGGCCAAACTTGCCAATTAGCCAATAAAGCAGACATGTACATCTCATCGAACTTTTGACCAACGCCTTGGACTGAACGACCTTCCATGAAACCCATCGCTCCAACGAAGCAGACTAGACCAAAAGGGGCACTGATAGAGGGTGTATGAGTTAGTGTACGAGAAAAGACCAGACAATCTATGAGATACTCACAAGGCAATTTGATCAACTGCCACACGTTTTCCCAAAGCTGTTAAACTGACTTTACCGGCTACTGCTCCTACTGAAGATCGTAGTGGGAATCGATGTTCGATCCATTTATTCCATTCGGCCAAAAGAGGTGCCATACCCACACCAAAGGCGAAGAATCTACTTGTTCTAGCGAAGTCCCATTGACTTTGTGTTCCTTCTAATTTTTGAGTGACGTCCTCTTTTGATGGTATTTGTTTGGCTGGCTTGCCATTATACTTCTCCAATGTTTGTGCTAACGTATCAGCCAATGCTCCCAAGGTTCCATTAGCAATCGCTAGCGTTAGCCATGGTCTTCGCTCGAATGATCGGGCATAAAATGCACCGAATCGTCTATGAGCCATGATGAAGTTGATAGCTATGAAAGTACATGTCCAACACTCATATCCGAGCGTTATCTTCTCCACCATTCACCTTCAAACAGTGCGGCGCGGGCGGGAATGTTACGCTAAAGAACAAGCGGACCTTTACTCTTAGCGCCTCTTAACGCCAATCACATCTCAGCCTCTTACACGTGAATTTTAATTGGATTTTTTGTCTTACAGCCAAAAGAGTATTCTTCTCATCCTTTCCTATCTGACTATATACACATATCGCAATCATGGCGTCTTCGTTTGTCCGTATCGCAAGGACGTCTCTGAATACACAACGGACCACATTCGGTCAAAGAGCTCTGTTCTCTTCATCGACAAATTCGCAATGGAGAGCAACTTCTATACTACAACAAGAAGCAATAGCAGAAACCAGTTCAAGAGGTTCGGAAGCTGTCACAGGAAACATTCTCAGAGCTTCAAAGCGAGGAAGAAGTGAGTTCCAATACGATGCTTTAGGTAAAGTCTCGAAACTTACACATAATTTCTTTTATTCAATCCTTTCTTTTTTTTTTCAGCCCCGATCGAAAAGCCGGAAGATTTTATTACAGCTATCGCAAAGCCCAGAAGAGGAGATTTGAAAACCATCTTGACCGCTTTAGGTGAAGAAGGTACGATGGACAGCTTGCTGGGATTAAATGGCTTCAAGCTTAAGGAAGCCGGTGTTCCAGTCAAAGAGAGGCGGTGAGTGCAGCTACGGTGTACAACTTAATTCTCCTTTCGACCTTTACTGATGATGATTCTCTCTCTCTCTCGTGTACAGGTATTTCCTTTGGTGCTTAGAACGTTTCAAACAAGGTCAACATCCCTCAGAAGTTGCATACGACATCAAACCAAAGAAAACGATTCGCGGTTGGGGTCCTCGTGTCCAGAACGGGATCAGAGTCAGAGGGATGAAGCGACCTGGAGAGAAGTGAAAAGGTTTGCTATCAACCAATGTATGTATCAGTATTTGTCAATTTATTCCTTCGCTCTCTTTCAAGCTAGAAAGCTGTCTTCTTGCAATGCCGGGTATTGAGCGTATCTTTCATTCGACTGCTCGTAATACGTGCTGAAGTGACAAAAGGTGCACCATTCTTTCCTCAGCGTATTGCACATAGCTTCGTTACACTTTACAGACTAGAACATTGAGCATTTTTAATTTCACCGGGGGTGCGACTATAATTACAAATGATGGGAAATAGGTATCGGGACGGGTAAACTATGAAAACACTTGCTCAGCTAACGAGTATATGAGCTACTTCTTATGAAGTAAGAGCGAGCAGAAGGTGGAAAAAGCATTTATAATACAAAGTGAAGTTGAGGTGACCGTATGCCCAAGGATGCCAATGATAAATTCGAGGTATCATGCCAATTTCTCGTTCAAGGCCTTTTCCGAAAGAATAGATGCATTCGAACGGGAATTGCCCATCTCGACAATCGTTGAAGAAGATGATGATGAAGTAGAATATTTCCTACCATCTTTTATGCTCGAAAGTGAAGGTTCGAGATACAATCCTACTGCTTGACGAATGAGGGATGTATAATAAGCGCGAATGACGATCAAGAAATGAATACGGACGGCAATATAAGCTAAACAAGCAAACAAGCCGATCGGTACCAGAACCGAAAGGAAGATGTCATCGCAACTTTCATTTTCCAGCATATCGTCAAATAGCATATCCCACCAATACACATGACCAGAAGAATTTCCATTGCTGCCATCGGATACTGAAGCACGTTTCCAAAATGCTGAAGCGCTTCGAGAGATAAAATTTGCCGCTGGAAGAACTGTGTTTGCTGAATCAGAAAGGGTAACGGAAGCTTTTGTCGTGCTTGAATCAAATGAAGAAGATGAATCTGTAACGCGCATATAGTTCAAGAGTGAATGCAACTCTCCTGACGAAATTTGTTCGCACAACATTGCCCTAACTTCCGGGTAAGTGACGATAACGCACAGCGACATGACCGAAAGCGTGAATAAGAAAAGGTCGATAAACGAAGAGACGAAGAACAACCTTGTTGCAAGCAAGTTGGACTTCACAACACCATATACGCCGAACACACAAGCAAGTGCACTGATGATTGAATAGATACGCATGATCGTGGTCAGAATACGTGCAGCTTCCCAGCTTTTTCGTTCTTCGTCTTGATCTTTGAGTTGTGCACGCCAAATTGCCGCTTCTTCGGGTGTTGCTCTCTCTTCTCCCATTGGACGTTTAGGTAGCATGTTAAACCAAAGTGTAGGTTTCACCATTGCAATCATATCTTCGCTCGACATCGCTGCTGCTGCTGCTGCCGCATTCTTTGCTTTTGAAAGGGTACTTGAACCGGTCATATCTGATGTAGGCCATGAAATCGATGCAATACCGGCAGATGAGGACTGTGCATTCACCTTGTTCGTCGAAGCTTGTGATTGAGCCACATTCAATTTTTGATCATTGTTGACTATATTTATCTCTGAATCCAAAACCACGTCTGCTGGAACGCTTGGCCGTATGATTACTGATGGTCTCGGACCATTCTTTCCGTTTGCGTATTTGTGATCGGTCCATAATCCAATTGGAACGGAAGCGGGTAAAACTCCATTTCGTGTATGGGGTATTTGTGGGAATGAATCTGATAAAATTTCAAGATGTTTGAATGTTTGCATATGAGCAATTAAGCCAAACAAAGCCAGTAATAATGTTGCAACCCTACTCGAAATCAAACCAAAACAACGTGATCGCTTTGTGTTCGTCAGACTTCTTGATGAAGCCAACGAAGGCGATCTTACTCGAAACATTTGTGGAGTAAAGAATGTTGAATGGAGTGAAGTGATGATGGTTTCTTAGTTAAAAGAGGTAAATCATGATCAGCTTCTAAAACTGGAGTGTGTGTGTGTGCATATTCCGGTGGTTGAGTTATTTTGAAATTGATCTTTGGTTTGGCTTATAGGAGAAAAGCCATAAGAAACGTAATCTTTATCAGCTGCACACAAAAGGGTTAATGCCATTCATGCATGCAACCGGGTTCTTTCAGCCGCGTTTTTATCAATAACATAAAAGGGTTTTCCGTACTATGCGTAGTGCAAGGCAGATCTTGTATGCAGAAGTGCACGACCACAGTCTGTTTTACACGCTTGCTTACACAAAAAGGCTCTTAATGCGGATCCGATCAAATAATCCGCCTACCGGGCGCAAGTGCCCCACGGAGTTAACGCCAAGCCAATTATCTCCTGACCTTCGATTGAAAAAGCAAATCGAGCTTAAAACGATCTGTGCTCATCATTTTCATTTCCATGGGATTGGTCATAAATACTTTTTTTCTCAGTAAATCTTACAATACATTCTCAATTGGATGATTGAGCAATCATCTTTCTCGGTTGTCCTTCAACCCTCTTTGATCGTTTTCCATCTTGTCCCATATCAATACTGATTGCACACCATTTATCCTGCAACCAAATCACGCTCCATGTTCCTTCTTCTGCCGTTTGAATGGTAAATGAATGCTCTTCAATCCCAGTGACGGTATGTGTTTCCAATACTTCTGGTCTTGCAAATCGATCAACAGCTTGTGTACGTTGATATGTGAAACTAAATGGTGGCTCACCATCCAATTTAAACATAATCTCCGCTTGATTGCCTTCTCGTAAATCTTCAACGTAATGAGTTCCTTCACGAATATGAACGCTTGGAAGGGCATGAATAACTTTTTGCATTCCTACCTTTTCCTTTACTACCGTTTCACAACGGTTATGTTGATGAGAAATCGCTTCTACCTGCAGAGTACCAGGCTGTTCTGCAATACGTGAAAATGTTGTAGATTTGACCGTTGCACGAGAAATCTTTCCTTCAAAGTTATACGTCACAGTCCATGGAGATGAACCTTGCAAAACGAAATCAATCGTTTCACCTACACAATAATCTGACCGTGTTCCAACGGGAGAAATATTGGCAGATTCTACCACCTCAATCTCCATATTTGATTTTTGCTTGCTTGAAATGCCGGATTCGATACCTTCTCCGCTATTCAGTGAACGCTCACAACCATTTCCGTCTACGATTCTGATTAGATCCACACTCCACTTTCCTGTTCTATCGAAAGGGAAATCACTCTGATGGATCTGGAGATTGAAGGTGTGCGTAGTAATGTCGCTCTTCGTCAGAGTTGTTCGAATTGCTCCAGTATTGTCTTTGATAGCATATTCCAGCGTAAATGGTGCTTTGCCGCTCAACGAGATTGGTGGTACAGCACGATCTTTATCCGCATTACTCAACGCCTCTCCAAGACAAAGCGACACATGTTTCGATCTTCCAGCGTTATTGCTCGTGGGGGCAAAAGCGGCAAACGGTAGTGGATGAACGATTTGTTCTAAACGAGTACCATCTCCAGCCTTCAACGCTTTGAAAGGGTAGACGGCATCGCCAACTTGGGATAATTCATATACATGCCTTCCTTCAACCTCAGTATCCAATTGTAAGGAAGTACGATTTTGCGCTGCATTGAAGCTATGTTCACTTGCTTGTGAATTTTGAGGTAAGACATGTCGATAGGAAAGCGCGACAGGGAAATGTCCATTGACTTGAATACCCACAGAATCAGGCGTACCCAAACAGACTGGCGGTCTACTGAGAATATCCGCTTTTACTTTCTGTAGCCCTTGTTCTTCAAATTTAGCAGTCGGTCTTGCTTTGACTGTTACAATGTGGGTTTCTCTTGACTTCAAGACCACACCCGGACAGTGGTGGTCATGTACATCAAGGATTTCATATGTACCAGGTTCCAAAATCGATAAGATCGAATCAGATTTGTCAAGCTTGACTTCAACTGGCTTTCCGCCTTTCTCTTTGTGAGCGTATCGTACAGTCCAAGGCCCTTCTCCTGCTAACCGAATGGGTAAATCAATCGCTTTGCCTTCCAGCATATCTGACCGTCTAGGATCGACGAAAGAAACGCTAGGCTTAGTTCGATGGACGTTGATGGTCAGGTCAGGAGCAGTGAGCGGTCTTTCACATCCTTTAGCATCTTTAATGCTGTCCAAAGCAACGATCAGGCTACCGCCCTTTTCTGCAATTTGTTTTGGTACCTCAACTTCAAGCTGGTAAGAATTGTCTTTAATGTCCTTCACCTTCTTCTTGCCGATCAACTCACCGCTACCGGAGCGAATGGCGTAATTGAGTTCAAATGGACCAACTCCTTCCATGGAGATTTTTGCTTTTGCTACATTTCCTTGACAGCTTTGTAATGCTACCGTTGGCCCAACGCCTGCTTGTGGTCCTCCTTCGAACGATGCAGATGCTACAGGGTGCAAGACTTGCGTGAAACTGGGTCCGTCCAAATCAATCTGCTGATAATTTGAATCTGAAAGGCCGGTGAAGGTATATGTAACTTCACCTTCGGCGCTAGGACGGAATTCGATCTCTTCTCTTGTCCTTTTGATGACCTGCTCATACTCTCGAGCTGTTCTTCCTTCTCTTTCCACTCGGTACTTCACTCGGAACGGCGGTGAGCCTGTTAGGACTGCCAATGCCTTTACTCCGACGGGACCAGAGCAAGGATCTTGAATTGCATCAAACTGAATCGATGCAGTTGGTGGCGGTACAACTCTAGCCGGACATGTCCATTGAGCACCCGATTCACCGCTGCAGAATCGTCCACCAACTTTGTTTAGGTTGTATGTTCCTGGCTTATCAATAGTGATCGAAGATCGCTTATTCATCGTCACGTTCTTGGTCCACGTCTCAGTCTCTCCTTCGAATTGAACTTCTGCGATAAAGGGACCATCTTCGGTTTCGACACCATCGATACGAACAGCCACTTCACGAGAAGGTCCACCTTGTAAAAGTTCTATCGGACGATCCGTTGAGCATCTTTCAAACACAATCGTTGGACGAGCATGAATATGAACGTCCTCAAAATACTTCGTTGCCTTCTCATCAGGTTCGAAAGCATTGCCACAGGCATCTCGTACGCTCTCTAAATGGTAAATTCGTTTGCCTTCTTTTGAGGTGTCAATCGTGATTGGTAGAGTAATGTTGCGAGAAGAGGCTTGTGCAAGATGCTGCAGCTGTTTATTTCTAGGCTTAGCTCCTTTGAGTGCGACCGCCAATTCGCTTGCTTGATCATCTCCGGAAGATTGCTCTAGATCTGGTTCTGAGATGTGTGATATGGAGAAGGTCTTTCTGTCACCACTCCCTCTTCCATTTTGCGGTTCGATGAGCCGGGAATAGTCCAGCTTTAATGGTGCAAATCCTTTCACCCAAACATCCATTGTGGCCGCATCTCCTGGACAAAAGTCTTTGCCGTGCGACGGTGTAGATGCAATACTCCTGGGATTGAAGCCCATCTTTGGACATTCTACCACCAAGATCTCACTCCTTGAAAGTCTTGCATCGAAATGATTTCTATCTAAAACTCTTTCAAGTCGGACTCGTCCAGGTTGTTTGACAGGCAAATGGAACATGACTTCTTGTCCACCACTTTTCTTCCCTCCTGACAACGCCCTGCCGTTACCATTCCTGTTGCCTGACGAAAGTGCTTGCGATTCACCACGTCGTACAATAGCCAACTTTTGTGCTTCCTCCTCCTCGGCTTCATCATCTGCATCGTTTAGTTCTAGATCCAGTGGATCTTCTGCTCCATCTATTGACTCTTTCCTATGCCCTCCCAGCCTGATGAGGCTATTTTTTGATACTGTTATGTTATACACAGTCTTTTCCTCTTCCGAATAGCTTCCTAGTGGAGAAATACTGTAAGATAAAAATTGCGGCTCAGTATTGTTGAAGAGGATTGGTATTGAAAGCTCTGCTTTGGGATTATCGGTATCCAAGCAATAGCAGGCTGGAATAGCTGCAGACCCTTTAGCGGAAGTAGAGAAAGCTGCTGTAGAATAGGGCAAAACATGAATTGTATGCTGACCCAAAATATGGTGGGATGGTCGAATGATATCTCGTAGACGAACACGATGTTCGCTAATGCTCACTTGTCGGTTGAATGTATCAGACCAAGAATTGATGAATGTATCGGCCAGCCAGCCTAGAACGGGTAGATTTGCCATCATACTGAGTACCAACCGCCATCCTCCTGTTACTATCCAATCTGTCGATGCCAATAGAGTGAAGATGACTATCCACCGGCTGCGGGTATAATCGAATCTTGGAGTACGCAATCGAGACACAGCAACGACGAACAGCAGATCGAGCAAGAGAAAGGTCCCTAGCAACGCGAAATCCTCATCTGTCCAAATCGAAGCTGAAAATGAATATAGCTTGTAAGTCTGAATCGCGACAAATGCACTTGCAATGTAAACTCTTTGACTTGGAGCATCCACAACCGAAAGTGGAATGAGAGGCTCTGAGTTTGCGGCAGGATTTGACAGAGTCGCCTTTACACTACTTCCTACTTCACGTAAAGGCTGCAGTGAAGCAGGAGGTTTTGATCCTGATGCCATCTCGTTTGATTGAGTTTATGACATCCACCACCCTTTTCAATATGGATGATGAAGAACACAACAAACATTCTGAAAATCTTTCAATGTTCTTTGTGTTTTTGTACGCGTGCTTTGTTTTTAGCGTAGTGAATAGAATTCCTCCACGCATTTACTTAACGTAGCACGCGTCTGTAATGCGAAATGGAAGAAGGGGGTGTTGCTTTCAATCATTCCTTCTCATCTAGATAAATGCTGACAATCAGACATCATCATGTCTCGACCTACCACGCCCAGAAGATCGACTAGATCTCAATCAAGAGATCCTGAAGGGATACTATCGGACAATGATAGTATCGCATCTTCTTCTGCTGTTCGCGAATCAGGACCGGTAAAGAGAAAAGTGAAAAACAGTCGCATTTCTGCTAGGCCAAAGAGTAGAGAACAGCCCATCGTGGAGGAAGAAGTAGTAGTTGAGAATGGAACAGAAGGTGACAAGACTGTGACAAAGGTCACTTCAACAAAGATCTCCAGTAATCGAACGAGCTTGACAGGTGGGGACAAGAGCTCCTCCAATGATCATGATCAAGAGGGAGACGTGACATTCATCAAATCACCCAACAAAGCTCGAAGAGCATTATTCAAAGGATTGGGAAAATCGTCCGCTCTACTACCTTTCTTGCCGCCTTTTCTGCTTTTCGCTTCTGTCATCTTGACTTTTCTCCTTCCGATACCCGAGAAGCCATTTCGCAGAAACGTATACGTAGACGAGAATGCATTACAGCCAGGAAGTGCAACAGTGGAATGGGGATGGGGAGAAGTAGAATTTGCAGATCGACTAGCAGATCGAATAAGAAGTGTGCAGGATAAAAGAGATGAAGATCGAGCCGAGTTGATCTCCACAATATTTCAAGAGATCGGTTTGACTCCGTACAAACAACATTATACCTTCCACACACCTTCACGCTCAATTTCTGGAATCAATTCGTATGCAAGATGGTCATCTGCTCGTGGAGACGGAAGGGAAGCTTTCATCATCGCCGTCCCATGGAAAAGTGCTTGGAATGGCCAAGATGATCCTGACCTCCCGATAGAGGCAAAGCAAGACATAGACTCAAAAGACGGATCTCTCTCTGCCTATCAAAAGAAGAAAATTAGAAGGACAAATGTTCGTGGTATTGCAACGGCATTGACTATCGCAAAATTTCTCTCGGGATATCGACATTGGAGTAAAGATTTGATATTTGTGATTGCAGATGATGAATTGCACGGAATGCAAGCCTTTACAAGTCAATACTTCGGACGTCATCAGAATAACCTGGATTGCGAAGAATTGCAAACGCGTGGTGCTTTGGTCTGGAATGCTTTATCGATAGATTACCCAAGTGATAGCTTCTCTGGGATCATACTGAAACACGAAGGACTGAATGGGCAATTGCCCAACCTAGACGTTATCAGTACATTGACCAATGTCATGTATCGAGCAGACGGCCTGCCTGTCGAACTTAATGACGCAACAGAAGATGATTGGGAAGAACGTCCGTGGGGTGAGGTCGGTGACTTACTGGAAAAGCACCTTCTCCAGAGTGGAGATGGCACACGCAAATACCTTAGCGGACTATGGAATATGTTCGGTCAAATTAGCAGATTGACGATTGGCAGACCGACTGGAGTGCATGGTCTGTTTCACAGATATCATGTGGACGCTATCACAATCTTTGCTAGCCCTGCCCAAGGCCCATACGGTTTCTGGCATATGGGACGTACGGTCGAATCAGTCACACGTTCGATGTCAAATTTGCTCGAGCGTCTTCACCATTCCCACTTTTTCTACATCCTCACAAGTCCTGAACGTTTTATTGAGGTTACAAAGTATTTACCTGTAGCAATTCTGTTCGGTGTAGCTTTGTTGATTGCTGGTATTGCACTTTGGGTGGACGAAGGAAAAGAAGCAATCAAAAGGCAAGACGAATTGATCGATCTCATTCAGAATTGCATTCAAGAAGAACACGAAGATGATCTTGCGAATGGCTTTGCGAATGGGAATGGTAATGCTGTGGAACACATGGATAATGACATCAAGCTGAAAACACCTACAATTGCACAACGTACGGCAGCGCTTGTATCAGCTCTAGTTCAACGAGCTTCGCAGAAAGGGGATCTCATCGGAGGCTCCAAGATTCGCACTATGAGCTCTTTATTAGACATTCATGGAAGGCCTTCTGGTGCAGCATTTGGGATTGTGTTAGTTTGTCACTTGATTGGTGCAGCGGTATTGGTTCGATTGACAACAGCACCTGTGGATTGTGCCCAAGATGGTATTGAATATTGCAAGCCAATTCGACTTATTTCCGTTGCTCTTCCGATTGTTCTTGTTGCTTCAGCTGTGGTCACAAACAGGTCAATAAAAGCACAATTTTTCGATCGTTTACACATCTCTCAAAATATTCTTCCACAAGGCAGTATTCGTAAGGTTTATGAGCGAAGGCATTTTGGTGTGTATAGCACTGCACGTGTTGCACTCTCGATGGCAATGATGGAAGCAAGTATTGTGACGACAGTGATTAGTATCGTGAACTTCAGCTTGGCAGCCACTTTGGGCGGTTTGATGGGATTCACCCTGTACGTCACATCTTTAGTCAGCGCAAAGAAATCAAGTCCTGACAAGGAAGTTGTCGAGAAAAGTGTACCGAGAGGGAGGATACGCGAAGGTACGCCAGCGTCGGATGACTCAGACGAGGTGGACTTATCATTGATTGCAATCAAGAGACCTTCAAAAGCATTCTTGCGTGTTCGAACATCAATACAAGCCACAGTGGTGATGTTATTCACACCGATTTATGCCCTTTTGTTGATCAAATTCATTCAACTTTTGATAGGCAAACAATTCAACCTTGGCTGGTTCGCCGATTTGAGTTTGATGGATACAATGTTGGATAATGCATTGTGGGATTATCAAATTCTTTCATCAACCTTTTTGCCGATCGTCATGATGACATACTTGCCCGTCTTGCTTGTGGCTGTACATAGTTGTTTATTAGTTGCACTTCATTAAATTGAACAATAAATGTGTATTTTCTTCTCTTTTGGACATTCATTGTTCACGGTTTGCCGTCCTGCATGGTATGCAACGATGAACCTTGCGTACCTGCGTCAATAAGGCTAGAAAAGTTCTCACAGTAAAAACTATAAACAGACACACGTTTATTAGCGGTGGAAATCTTCTAAAGGGTTGGCGTTAAAAGAATACGCTAACAAGAAAAAGAGTTGGCGTTAAATGACTTTTTGGTTTTTGTTTTAAGGCAAGGCAGGCATTTCTCGACTAACACTTCATCCCACCGAGATGCGGACGGTAACACACCGCGATCCTTTTTTATACACGCACATCCGCATGAATGCATTTCTTTCGTTTCGGTTGCATGATGATAAAAAGCATGAAATTGAAAGAGAGAATGCCGATCTTCACTTAAATACGTTAAATCTACTTTTCATGCCGAAAGAAAGACGTTGACAAAAGAATGCTGATCTTCAATGCAAAGCGGAATGCTGTGCCGTCCTCTGTTACACTTTCGTTGGAAGAATAACATTATAATACATTATATCTTATCACTTAACATGCAAGGGTTCTCTCACTTTGTGTGTGTATTTCGTGACAGTTCTTCTCCCCACGCGGAGAGAACATTCAAAGACAGCAAGCAGCAAAAGAAGAGAAGAAGAAATGTAAAAAGGCCGCATTATATGCATTGCACATCCGCCTGACATCTTTTCTTTCTTTTTCTTTTCTTTTTTGTTTGATTCGGACAGCGCTATTGCGCCACTTGGTTGATAGGAAATAAAAAGAGAACCACTGCGTACGTGCGCTGTTCTGTTCTGCGCTTTGGTGCAACAGGGCATTTTATAGGTGTGTGTATGTTGTACACTTTAAGGCCCTTTTGATTGATATTTTAGCAGCTAACTCATTTAGCTCGAGTAAAGAAAAAAGAGAGCAGATAATTGAAACATTTATCATCATTCATAACCAGCATTCATCCTCTCAAATATATTGAGCTTTCATGCTCTTGTACATGGCAATTGTACTCAAATAAGGTCTCGAAACGATTGATAAATATAAAACTGTTTCGCAGGCCGAAGCAAGACCCTGGACGGCACGAAAAAAACCTTTCCGCTTTTCTTGATTGGCAATTTGGCAACTTTGACAACGGCAGCTAGGATTGCGGACAAGAAAGAGAAGGCCACTCCAAGCTTATCATTTAGGTGCTGATTGCAAGCTACGAATGAAAGTTTGAATGTATCACACTTTCCTAACGAAATCTTGAGTATACATCAACTACTGCAATCATTCAAAATGCCTGCTACGAAACCACGAAATGCTTCACCAGCGACCAATACGCTCAGCCGCCGTGCCTTTTCAACTCAATGTGTCACCTGTCCGCCATTAGAGCCATGTCCAGTTTGTCCAAAAGGTCAAGTATGTCAATTAGCCTTACCACCTTCATGTGCACAATGTCCAAAGTACAATTGTATACCTGATCCCGATGCAAATCATTCAAGCTCAGCCGGACCAATTGGAGGAGCAGTAGGTGGTGTCTTGTTAGCATTCGTTTTAGCAGGTTTCTTGTTTTGGTCTTGGAGAAGACGTCATCAAAGAGCAAAAGCTGCACTTCGTAAAGCCCGTGTTGACGCAAAGATTCGAGCAGCAGGTGCGGAAAAGTTTAGACCTGGTGCAAGTAAATCGAACTTGATCGGCATGCAAGATGATGGTGAAAAGAGTCAACATTCAAGTGCAAGAGGAGATGGAGCAAAAAGTCCTTCTACCAATGCTGCTGCTGTCAATAACAAAGGACGCAAAACACCTAGTTCCACAGATGGAAAAGAAGGAGAGGAAGATTTAGATGATGAAGATGTTGAATGGACAGAATTACGTGAAGATGGTTTGACCGCATTCCGAGCAAAGCCAGGTCAAAAAGGCGAAGTTGAACAAGACTTAGCAGCCCTTAAACGGAGAAGTATAGGTGCAGCAACCCATCTTTCTCGGATCACAGAAGGTGCTGAAGATGAAGAAGACGATGAAAAAGAATACCGGAGACGATCGCGAGTGTACGACACTATTATGGAAGAGGCCAATCTAGGCGGTTCGGATGAGAACGATTTCCGTGGTGGTGAAGGTCACGTTCGTGCTCATTCATCGGGTGCATCTGTTGGTAATGAAATGAATAAACCGAGATCCCGCAAGTCAGGGCTCGGCCGTGCTTCAAACCCCTTCTTGGACGCATACGATGTGTCCAGTATTATGAGCGGCACTTCTTCTCAGAATATGTTACAAGAACAAACTGCCGGAAGCTCTAATCTCGAACATACGAATTGGCACCTACAAACTCCTCTTGAGGCTCCTTCGCGTGTTCATCGTCCTATAGGAGCTCCATTGGTTGATCTGCAGGGTAAGCCGAAGCAGCTCTCGCCTTCAGCCGCTTCTTCTTCTTCTCGAGGGGGAGGCTCACCTATCGCTCAATTACTTTCACCTTCGCCCAGTGCTAATTCGAGCATGCATGGTTCGGCACCCAGCCGTCCTATGCGAAAGCCCGATTTAAATCTCCGTTTGGAGGATGGGGTCGAACCAGGAAAGATAGGAGAAGATTTACGCAAAACACCAAGATCTCCTGGCTTGTATTCGAATGATGCAAATAGCGAGCGTGGATTGCTCAGTCCGGCAGCTCCTTCATCTCCTATCTCTTTACGATTCGATAGCCGTCGTAATACGATGGACAGCAGGAAAACGCAAGATTTCCCCGCTGAATTGGCAAAGAGTCCTGCATACAACAAAGAGATAAACAAATTCGACAGACGAAACAGCACAATGACGACAAATACAGTCAGTACTGTTGGCACATTTGATTATGTTATGAGTGCACCTCAGATTGTCACCCCTGCCAATACGCAAGGACCTAAACGAATGCAATTAAACACTGGAAAAGCACACCTTGTTCGCAGTTTGAGCGCAATAAGGAGAGAACAAGAAGAGCAAAAAGCAAATCGAGCACAAATGAGTGAAATTGATTCAAATTCATACCTCGGTACAGAATCACACACTGAAGATCCATTCAGCGATGTTCAGGGTACGTCTACTCCACAAACACGAAGAAGTCCAAGTCCTGCCAATACATTCGGACGTGAATTAGCCTCTCCAGCCGCAAGTTTGTCTACCTTGGACGCCAGTACCATGCCACCTTTTGCTTATCGTGGATTCCAAGCAAGTAGACCTCAAAGTACGATGAGCGGTGCCAGTTTGCCATTTGTTGATCGACCTTTGTTCGAGCCAACTGATAGATCGCCAACGGATGCACATCCAAGAGAAAGTATAGCAACTTTAGGCTCACAAAGAGAAACACTCTTACCTTTGAGAGCGTCAGGAATGTCAGGTCGACCACTTACCAATGTTTCTCGTCAATCAGCGGCAAGTATTGGCGGATTGAGTGTTTTCGATGAAATTCCATTCCATATCGGAGCAGAAGATGTGGCTAGCAGTAATGGACATGGAGGAGGTGATAGTAGCACCCAACATACCAGCCTCAGTCAGCACGTGAATATCGAGATGCCACAAGATGCCCATTCAAAAATTCATGAAGCTAAACAAAGGATTGCCAGTCAAGCATCATCTCATCATACGGTCGAAATGGGCGATGATGATGAATCGTCACCGTTCGGAGATCATAATGCTTCTTCTGACCCAAGAGATCAAGCAGGTTCCGATATCATGGAAGATTTAAGATCGGTCAACAATGATGATCAATTACGCGATGTAGAGGAGGATGAAGTTGATGATTTGGATAGCCTTTCGATCAATAGCGCGATCAGAAAAGAAGCTCCTTTACGAACGGGCACAAATCCAGAATTTGATCAGATTCGTCTGAGACATGAATTGGATAATTATCCGTTCAACGTTGAAGCTTCTTCTTCCAAATCGTGAGAAACGATGCACGATCTGATACCCACATGCATACACACACATTCATTTTTTATTATTATTTTGTATATCTGACCCTCTTCTGTATCTATTGCCTGGCGATCTTTTAGTGATCGTCACACTCTTTTCTGTATCGTGATGCTTCATCTATTTGAGCTTTGTATTTACATGCTCACAATTCAATAATTCAAAATATTACTGAGTCAGAACTCTCCATTTACTTGTCGGCATCTTGATATGTTCGCATCTCTCGAGAAATACATTAGAAGCTGTGTGTCTTTAATGCAAACATTGTCCCGCCCTAGTTTCCTTATCTGTAGGTTAGCTGAAATCTGTCAAATTAAAGTTTGCCATAATTGGCTTAGCGCGCTGGGGTAACATACGTTTCAACAACCACCAACACTTTTTCATTAACGATTAATTGGAAAACAATGAAGAGATAATGGAAGTGAAGAAGAAATTAACCTTATCTTGTTCGAAATGTAGAATTGCAAAATTGAAATGCGATCGAAAGGAGCCATGTACTGAATGCGTAAAAAGAAATCGTACTCATTTATGCGTAAAAGATGAACGATTACCGAGACGAAAGAGGACAAAGGTTGACCATTCATCGGATGATGTACAAGAGAATTACGAGGAGAAAACTATAGAAGTATTAGAAGATTACATATTCGATGCTAAGAGCGATACTTTATCAGCCAATGGGGACATGAATGATATTCAAACTCAACACCGGAACAATGACGTCAAGCCTGATAAGCACAATCCATATTGGCAAAACCTATCGAATGACGGCAAGCGAGAGAGGGAGCATTTAGAGCTCGTTGCAGAAATCGCAGCTTCACTACCTAGCTTGGAGCTCATCAAAGCATTAACAGAAGTCTTTGTCACAAGGTGTCAAGCACCGATTGGTAACGTTGTGCACACACCTACGCATATACTTCGAATTGAAAGATTATGTGCATGTATTGACTCAAATGAATTCAGAGAGAAAAAGTACGCCATCCTCGAATCCTTCGGTATGGATACGTTGGCTTGCTTGCTATTATCATTAAAGCTGGGATTAGCATTTCATCCTTCTCCAAAATTTTCCGGTTGGTCTCCCAGCGAAGAAGCACTGCAAGTAGAAAAAATTCGGTCGTCTGGTGAACATAGGAAAGATGAAGAGTGGGGTAAACTTGCTCAAAGATGTCTGAAGAGCGGTTTGGTACCATTTACAGGATCGATTGCCAGCCTACAAGCATGTATCATGATACTCTTGGACGGACAGGAAGACAGAGCGACTTTGGACAACATTCTCGCTTGTGCTATTTCTGGTGCCCGAAGTTTAGGCTTGCACAAATTGGGTAGAGCTGAGCTAGGACCTTTGATAGGACAAGGCGGGTCCAGTATGACTATGCCTAATCATATACGAACCGAGTTAGGAGTTCGAATATGGTGGGCTCTCTCAATCCATGATTGGTCTCATGCACAGGTGACTGGGCAGTTTACAATCCATCCCTCGGAAGTGTCTACCCGTAAGCCATTACATATTAACGATCAAGATTTGATATCGGAGGCATTATCATTCGATGATCAAGGCTACATAGTGGAACAACCAAAGACGCAATTTACAATGCTTTCTTATACGGTTTGTGTTATAGGAATTGCAAAACTGTTGCGGGACATCCTTCAGATGAGCATTAGTTCAACATCATCAAGAAGTATGGAGGAAATTAGGAAGAAGTACGGAAAAAGATATGAAGCACTTCTTGCAGATCTGCCGCCCTACTTTCGTCTTGGCAGTACGATAGGCGTAGGCGTAACAAATGGACTGGAACAAGCAGTACCAATTCATCGTTGGATGATCCATCAACAATTATGGAGTTTACTTTTACGTTTTCATAGAAATTACCTTGCCAACTCAATTGGTTCGCAACATTCTGAAATGTTGGCTTTGAATATTATTGGATCACAAGCACAATTACAATCGTCTTGCGTCGTTTGTGGATCACTAACTGCGGGTATAAGTCAAATGTTATATGCAGCAGCGGTTCTTCTTTTCGAATTGTTACGACGACGAAAAAGCAATTCTAACGATCGACTTGTCCGATTAATGATAAGAGATAAAGTTAGTTTGGCTATCGAACTGTTGAGAGGACGAATTGATCAAGATTACAAAGGTTATGTTACAACACGAGGGATTCGTCTTTTGGAAGCATTGATGGAATTTGAAGAAGCTGAAGCAAATAATAATGCGAGCGATGGTCGGATGTCTACAGATCCTTTAAAGGAAAAAATTACAAGGATCATCTCCTCCTTGCAAAATCAGCCAAAGAATACAAATGACATCAACCCTTTGATTGAAACAAATGCTTCCCATACCCGACCTGTCATCTCTGCGACAGATTTATTGATGGATATGAATGTCCTTCCCATCACTACCGAAGATCAGTTTAGCCAAAACTTTGACTTGGATCAATTTATTGATTCTTTCACCACTTCACAAAGTGATATTCCGGAAGAAGATTTCGAATTGGGTGAATTTCTAAACATGATGACGGCAAGCCCTTTTTCGAGCTTTGATACAATGACGACCAGTTCGCTAGATGCTCCATCAACGTCTGCCGCTGCAAATTCATGTTTTACTCCGATCTTTCAATGAATTCAATGTGAGCACTCTTGTTCCTTAATCTGTATATTTACTATCTATAGTTGTATTGACAATCACTCGGGAAGTTCATCACGGAGTTTTCATTGAAGCGCTGAGCGCCAGAAGTCGTTCATCACTAGCGTCGGAGTAATGCATTATGCTCCTAAAGAATTGAAAGTCCGAAAGGCCGTTGAGGTAAAGTGCCTCGTGTTCCTGATTGGTGTCCTATAGGCGCCAACTATAAGATCGGTGCTGCTTCTACGCCATTATCCTAATTGTATAAATACAGATACTCTAGATATATGTAGAATCGTCTTTCAATCAATTTCATCAGATAAAAAATAGAAGTAGAAGATGGCTTTCACAGTCTTCCACTCAATTTTGGAGGAAGGTAAGAACTCAACGGAAAAGAGTGCAAAAGAGACACACACTAACCAAGCCAATTCAAGTAATGTTGCAAATCAGCACTTTTCTTCAAATTTGCATGAAGCACTTTTGATCTTGATCATAGGTCTTTCTCAACTATTTGCTGTTGGTGGTTTAAGTAATACTGCTTATTCTATCGTCCAAATCGGTCAATCTCTTGGAGCAACAAGTAACGGTCAAATGTCATGGTTTATGGCATCCTATTCGCTTTGTGCAGGCGTCTTCGTTCTGGTAAGCGGTAGGATGGGAGACCATCTTGGTCACAAATACGTCTTTTTGTTCGGTTGGGCATGGATGGCGATTTGGTCTTTGATCAGTGGATTCGCTCATAATATTATCCTTTTTGACGTTGCTCGTGCCATGACGGGTGTAGGATGTGGTGCTTTGGTACCAAACTCTTTTGCTCTTTTGACTCGTTCGTTTCCGCCTTTTTCGACAAAGAAAAGTATTGCTTTTGCTTTTCTTGGCTTTTGCGCTCCTTCAGGATATATTTTTGGTGGTTTTATTGGAGCGATTTTTGCCGAAAAAGTTACTTGGCGTTGGGGTTATTGGTTCTGGGCGATAGGTTGTCTGGCCTTATTTGCGTTGTCGTACTTTACGATTCCCCATTCTGTAGGTTCTCCCATCCCCGGATTACAAATGAAGGACTTCGACTATTTAGGATCGTTTCTTGGTGTAACAGGATAAATTCTTTTCTCGTTTGCCTGGAGTCAAGCGTCAGTCATCGGTTGGCAAGAAGGGTATACGTACGCATTTTTGATCGTCGGAGTTGTCCTTATCGTCGCTTTTGCATTTTCTCAGTCTTACGATAAAGCTTCCGTTTTACCAAACAGCTTATGGAAACGAAAAGGTTTCACGCCAGTCGTTATTGCAATGTCTTTTGGTTGGATGTCGTTCGGGATATTCCTATATTATACAACAGTTTTTATATTATTCGTTCACAAAGCATCACCACTCACTGCTGTTGCTCAAATGGTTCCATTAGTAATCGGTGGTTTACTAGCAACAGCTTCAGTTGGCATTTTTATCACAAAAGTGCCAGCTCAATATATCTTTGGAGTTTCAATGTTTTCCTTCTTTATCGGAAACCTTTTGATGAGCTTTGCGGATTATTCAAATATTTATTGGGCTTTCATTTTTCCGGCTTGTTTATTGGTTGTTGGAGGACCTGATCTATCTTTTGCTTCTTCTAGTATCATTATCTCGAATGCAGTCTTACCAGAAGAACAAGGTGTTGCAGGATCTTTCATTTCAACCGTAGTTCAGTATTCTATCAGTATCGGTTTGGGTTTTGCTGCAACTGTTGAAACGCACGTCAATAATGCTCAAGGTACTAAGCTGATTCTGGCGTATAAAGCCGCGCATTGGTTAGGCATCGGTCTCGCGGCAATTGCGTTTCTTATAGTCATTTTCTTTGTTCGTGATCATAGATTTGATGATAAACATGATGATCAGTAGGCAAGACTTTTATTACTTGTCATATCCTGTACCCTGAATTACAAATTCAATTCTTCAAATACGTTTGCGCCCACGTCCCTATTCTCCGATAATTAAGGCGTAGCGCGGTGCATGCTGCGTGCATTAGTGTGTGTATTTCCGATTGAACGTGGACATTACAATACTCGGAGAATAAAAATGAGAAGAACAACGCCCAATCATCAACACCATCATGGCATCGATGACAGGGTATAAAGGATCACATGACACCATGGAGTGATTACTCAACAAGATGCCAATTGCAAGAGTGATACGGCATAGTCCACTTTATCTGTATCTCAAATTATATGGATTGTCAGTCTTGGTTTCATTGTTTGCATCTCGTCCAATAACCGGCAGGTTGAGTGGTCAAACAATACAACAAATCGATCGTATCCGCTCGGCCGCAGAAGAGGCTTTGATAAGAAGAAAGACGGATAAAGCTAAACAGGCATTTCGTGATGGAAGGAAACAATTTAATGAGATTACAAAAGTACAAACGAAGCATTTACTAGATGCATTATCCATCAATAGAAAGCATAACGATTTCTTCACTAGTGCTCGAGCAGCACATACAAGCCAAAAGAATCATTCTTCTCATCCTTTCCCATATGCTATCAAAACGCTGGCATTGGATGCAGATACACACTTTCCTGCTTTGCCATTACAAGGCGTTCGACAACGGGTTTCTCGCGTTGTACAAAGATGGGGTCGTCGATACAAGGATTTGAATATGGTAAAGAAGATGGTAAAAGAAGATAGACAGGACCTGAAAAGGTATCCAGAAATTGAATCGGTTGCACACGTTCGCTGCTCAAATTCGGCACACGAAGAAGAGATAAAATTTATCCGAAAGCGTGCGGAGAACGTTGCTTCCGATGCAGAATTCTTGAAAAGACTGGGAATACCCGCTTCGGAATCGTCTACTGGATCAGTTCATCCTGATGATATACCGAGGATTGCTATTGGAGGATCAGGTGGTGGATATAGAGCCACATTCGGTTTTTTGGCTTCTTTGCAAGGGTTGCATTCAGCAAAAGTGTTTGACAGCACCTTTTGGATCTCAGGCGTTAGTGGTAGCTGTTGGACGATTGCAGCCTTGTTTACCGTCGCACAACAAGATCCTAATGCTTTATTGCAACATTACAAAGATGTAGCTGATGAAGCAGTTCACCCTATGAGTCGTGGAGCATTGGACGTCGTAGCAAGAAGTCCAAAAGGTGTCTACTTCTTGCTGGCACCTCTGTTGACCAAATTACGAGATGGCTATGTGGGAATTGGAATTATGGACATGTATGCCACCCTCACAAGCTCGTATCAGCTATTGAGCAGATCACCACACGCTCGTCCAAGACTTTCCAGATCAGCCTTTGCATTTAGTAAGATGTGGCAATCGGCTGGAATAGCAAACGGAAAGGCACCAATGCCAATCTTTACGGCGGTACGGATTATGCATAGGGTAGCAACAGGTGAAAAGAATGGAAAGATACAATTCGAAACCAAAGATGCATCTCTATCCAAACCTCTGCCACCTTCAGAAGAAGGTCGATTTTCAAAAACGCTGTTTCAGTGGTGGGAGATGAACCCGTTAGAGGTGGGTTCTAGTGAAGAATCAGCTTGGGTGCCCACTTGGTCGTACGGCAGGGGATTCGTATCTGGTGAATCTGTTTCAAAATCGCCAGAGATTTCTCTCTCTATGCTCTTAGGTCAAGCTACTAGCGCTCCTGCAGGTCCAATGACAGGTTATATTTCCACGCTGTTAGCAACACTACCTCAAGGCACGATCATGTCCAAACTGTTGTCCAAATTGAACGACTTTATCAGGCACAAAAGATGGGAAAAACGATGGGGTAATCCTATCCGAGGTGCTGATGAACCGAATCCGTTGTTCGGGTCCGGAAGTAGATCTGAACACAATCAAAAGGAATGGGAAGGAAGGCGTAGACTCAAGCTGATGGATAGTGGAATGAGCAATAATTTGCCAAATCACATTTTTTCAACTGAGGCCCGATGGGCTGATATCGTTTTAGCATTTGATCAATCGTCTGACGTTCAGACGGGAGCAGCATTGGCAAGGCTCAATGAGTTTGCAAAGGAGCGGAATCTTTTCATGGCACCAGCAAATGACTTAGCCGAGTGTGAGGCCTGCGTGAATAGTGTAACAGCAGATGAAAAGGCTTCCCTTATCCGACAGCAGTTTCATGGAAAGTACGCTCAAGTCTTCCGAGTCTGGAAAGTGAAGGACGATGAATTCCAACCAGGTCTCGATCTCAATCCGGAGCATACTCCAATTACGGACGCAGAGATGTATTTGATATACTGTCCTCTGCTTCCGAATGCTTGCCAACCCGATTTTGATCCTGTGACATCCTCTTTCAGTACAAGTTATAATTTGGTATGGAAACCGGAAGAGATTGACATTCTAGCAAATACAGCAAGGGCCAATACGATAGACTACGTCATACCCACGCTCAAACGAGTGTATAGACGAATGTATAAAGAGAAAAAGGCAAGAAGATTACGTGGTATTTCTCACACTCAATAAATGCGAATGCAGACATAGATTTAGACTTTCAAATAATAATGTACAGTACTGTAATATATAGATATGCTGGGGTATATTTCCATGTGAATGAGTGAGCCGAATTATTCTTGTGCAAATTTGCTCTTAGAACGTAATCTCTTTCCGTATATGCTGAAAAGAACCGGCATAGGAATGGCTGCTCCTGCAAGTGCCCCCAATATCGATAGTGCTTTTGCTGCTCCTAGTGCTTCGAACATTGGTCTTACTGCGAATGGTAAACCGGCAGCCATCAAACTTCGCAAGAAAGTGTTTGCAGAAACGGCAGAAGCGGCGTAAAGAGTATAACTATCGACCAAAAAGTTGATACATTGTTGAAAAGAGCTATTGAAGCCTGCACCCAAGAATCCAAGACCAAATACGGGCAAGACCCAAGAATACTTTGGATCAGCCGTCCAACCGATCCAAAATAAGCCTACGCAAAAGAAGATCGTTCCAATGAACATAGGTGGCAATCTAGCTTCAGGTACAGGTTTGCCTCCAGCTTTATCGACCGCTTTACTGTAATAAGGAGCATTTCCGAGATTGATCGCCAGAGCTGCCAAGATACCGACAAAGATTGCAAGGAAGGGTAAAGTGCTTACCACTGGTCCCCAACCACGAAGGTTTGTGAAGATGAGGGGGACAATTTCAAGTGACATATACAATAGCGCGTAAATGAAACTGGCGTAGAGAGCAATCACGGTGACGATTGGCTCTGTGAACAACATTCTGACCGGTCTTGTGACTTGCCTTGTGAGAATGCTCTTTGGATCCAATTTGACTGATTCGTGTGGATGATAAAGTTTTTCGTTACCTGTCTCTTTGCGTAATTGTATCGCTCTCCGTTTAAGTAGAACGGGTTCGTAAGTTTCTGGCAAAACGAAACATTCAAATACGGCAACTGCGAAAACCCAAATTGCCGTCAAATATTCCGTCCATCTCCATGAAACTTTCAAGGTTAAAGCAGCACCGATCAAAGGTGCAACCACCGGTCCAGCCACGACGGCAAGAGCATAAAGACTGACGGCAACTCCACGACTTTTGGGTGGATAAAGATCTCCCAAACATGCGGCAACATTGCTCACTGGAGCACTTCCAAAAATACCTCCAAAGAATCGAGTAATAAAGAGTGCTTGTGGTGAATTTGAAACGGCTGAACCGATACTAAAGAGAGCCAAACAAAACATTGCCGGTAATAAACTCCAACGACGACCAAGAGTTTCACTAATACCCGAGAAAATACAAGGTCCAAATGCGAATCCAAGAACGTAAAGACTTACATCGAAAACCATTATATTTTCTGATAAGTCGAATTTTGCGGCCAAGACTGGTGCAGATGGTGAGATGATACTTGAAGCCATACTTGCCGAAAATGCCAAAATTCCTAATTGTAATGTACAAAAAGCACGATATCTATTTGACCAATTTTTCGGATTTCCAGGATCGTTTGGTCCCCATTTTACACGATTTGGATCATCGTTTGATGGTGGTTGTACGGGTTGCTTTTCAAGATCTTTTTCGTTTGTTTGTTGCTCTACATTCGTAGATCTGAGAGTTGTTGCCGTTGTTGTATCACTCTCCCTCCTATGTTCTGTGATTGATGGATCATGATGTGAATCGTCAACAGTGTTTTGCATTGTACTTTGCTCTTTTTCTGATCGATCTGTAGTTGGCGTATTTTTTCCGTCTTTATTAGACTCGCTCTTGATAGACGATGTCATGTTGTCAAAGTTGAACCTGCAGTTCTTATACTTGGTCGGATTGACGGATGATAAAGTAGGAAGGAGAGATCAACAAATTCTGAGAAGGAACATCTTTCTACCGAATTTGAGGATGACGTTAACAAGAATTAAGTCCGAAGAAAAGATCGCTTTTCCTTCTTTTGGCCGAAATGCCGGCGGAAGAGGTAGTAGGAGGTGGATCACTACCGTACATACGTACGATATCTATGCCTTCGTATTATTGTATGTATGCATCATCTTACATACACACAGTACAATCAAAATGCAGGGTTAAATCGATAAAATATTTATCCGTTGAGTACTTAATTTCGAAATCAAAATCCCATTTCCCGTTTGGATTGTTCAACGGTTTCTTGTTGTTGTTTTTTCGGAAATAATCCAAATTGGATGACTAAAACGCCGATAAAAGGATCTTACGCGATTCTCCACAAACACACACACACACGACCCAAGAGCGGGATTATTGCAAGTGTCCGCTTTCAGGGCGGACATCGGACAAATGCCGAAAACTATTAATCCGGCATTGAAGCAGTCAGGCGTTCACTCAAGATTGAAGTCGACGCGGCTTACTTCGGCTTTAGGTTGAGGCTGGGATACATACATACAAGAACATTTGGTGTAAGCATGATTGTATATTTTAGTGATGGAAGATGTATGTACAAATGGTGATTGCAAAGGATAATAAATAGTATTATTCATAATTCAGAGAAAAGTTGCCAATCTGACGTTGACTAGATGTTCTTCTGATCTCTTATGCGGTTTCAGTGGTGCTTGCTTTGGTAGCATTGATTGGCGAGCCAACAGTCTCTGCAAGAGCAGGTATAGCCTTCTCATCTTTGCTTGCATCTGCACTTTCATCATCAACATTGAGCGTTTGCAGCTTCTTCTCAACACGTTCGATGTTTTCTTGTGTTTTGCGCTTTTGATCACCAATGAAGAATGCCTTTTTGCGCTGCAAGTTCTCTACCACACGGGCAATGTCGCTCGAGTTGGTTGGCGGTGGAATGTTGAGAGATAGCAAAGCAGACAAGGTAGAAAGTGGGACATTGAGCTTACCAGATTCAACTTGTTGTTCTTCTGCTCCTGCATTGTCATTACCCAAAGACAAAGGCGTTCCTCGGCTCTTCTTCTTTCCCTTGGCTTTGTTCTTCTTTGCTGAGCCAACAAAGTAACCCTCATCGTCATCTTCACCTTTCTTCTTTGCAATCGTTGCACCTGCAAACGCATCTGTATCAACAGTACGCAACTCTAGAGGCTTGACACCTTCTAATGCCTTCTTGGCTTCTTCGCTCGCACCGTTCTCTTGAGCTTCTCCAGCATTGTTGGAGAAGTATCGGATCAAAACGTCACAATCTTCAATCTCCTTTCCATAAGCAGGCAAAGCAGCTTCTTCGCGTAGAGTCTTCTCTTCCTCCTTTCGGCGGCGGACTTCTTCAGCACGCTTTTCTTCTTTGTACTTCTCATTGCGCTTTTCACGTTCTTGACGAATTTTTGTTTGGAAAGTATCGTTCTCGGATCGGAAAGCGGCTTGACGTGCTCTTCTCCGTTGCCATAAGCTGTCTAGGTGTGTTTGCAATTCTCCTCTCTTGGTCATCAATTGTTGTCTACTTTCACCGCTCTTTTCCGTCTTGGCTTTGAGAGCATCTAATTCATTCTTGATTTCATCGAATCGCTTGGAAAGGGCACGGCTCTGAGGATCATCAAGTTGAGCACGTAATTTGTCAACTTCTTCACGTTCGGTGTCAATGGTCTTTTGTTGTTGCGAGAATGCTTCCACAGCTTTGCGTGATTTGCGAAGGTTAGAGATTTCGCTTAAAGCACGTTTTTCGTCCACCAATTTCATTTGACCGCTTTCGATTTGGGTGTCCAAACGAGCGATTGCAGCATCGATCTCTTGTGGTGATTTGTAGGCAGATTTGGCTTTTGATGTTTGCAAAGCTTTGATCTTTGTACCTAGGTTATCTTGACGACTTTTCAAATCATCTAAAATCTTTCCGCGTGCTCCTTTGCTACCTGCTTGAGATTGTCTGATGGTTTCCAATTCACTGTGCAATTCCGCACGACGTTTACCTTCAGGTGTGTTGGAAGGAATAGAGCCCGACAGAGAAGCCTTGACGTTATCCAAATCTGCAGTGACTTTTTCGATTTCAGCCTTGATAGCATCCAATTGCGCATGATGATGATTTACATCAGGCTTGCCTCCGCTTTGTTTGACGATTTCATCTGTTAATTCCACAGCTGGAGCTTTGGAAGATGTTCCGTTGAGCTTTTTAGCCAAGGAACCGTTTCCTGTTCCTAGTGACATTGTGATGTGTAGGATGGTGATGATGGTTTTGTCAAAAAGGAGGGGAAGCGGGCATTTGATTCAATTCTTCTCATTGGACGCATAGGCGGCATCAGTCAAAGTACATACATGTACCAGTCAAGACAGTAGTAACTCTAAACTGTGAACAGTGCGGGCAACGCCTTTTTGTTGACACGAATGCACGGGTGAAGTACCTGTTTGGCGCTGCGTGCGCTGTGTGAAGTTGTTCCTTAAGAAACAGCGATTATAATCCTTGGCAAAAGTGCCTTTCTTCTTTTTGCTTTTTGAACGCGTTTTGCCCCAATCCTTCAGTGCGCTTTAACACGCAACAAACAACCTTTTGCCTACGCTGCGGGTTCGGAGATTGATGGCTCTTGTCTGTAAGAAAAAGGCACAATTTCGGTCCGTCAAAAGGTATTGATTGATCATTGTTGCCCAACTCTTCTTGAAGGACAAGGAGCCGAAATGGCTTTTCAAAGTGTGAGCTGATTCGCAGAGTGCTAAGCCAGCTAGATCGTGATTAGAGTGCTCTTGACGTAAATATCTCGAAGAAAACCCATCATCCCACGATCTCATAGTCATGTTGTTGTTGACTGGCTGCTTTCCATGTTTTCCTTTTTCAGTGGTGATCACCATAAGCCGTCTCTCACGTGGTCACGTCAAACAATACGGCCACGCCCCTAAAACAATAATGGCCCCTAACCATTGAATGCCAATGCCTTTTCTTGTTTCACGCTAAAATGTCACAGCTCTCTTTCCAAAAAACGCGTCTGTTTGTGTTGTTATTTTTGTGAACAACAACACCGCCTTCATGTGCGGTGCACTACACCTTGAATTGTGTGTGCATATTCTATGTTGGCGTCCAAACGGCCTCAGCATAACTTGCATGAATGCTCTTGACTTGTTTCTATGATCATCTCAAAGAGATCTTTGTAACATAAGAGGATACCTGATTATAACAAGAGAGAGAATCAAATCATCTTTACCAATGGAGGGCACAAAGGCATTCTTCAAAAATGTGGTTGGATTAGCATCACCAGTCAAACAAAGTTCTGCTACAAAAGAAGCAAAGAGTAGATTTGGAAATGGAATAGGCAATACCACAATTGGCGTCCCGATGGACTTGGGAGGTGGAAGTGGTTATATGGGTATTTGGGGTGAAGATCGAATGACAAATATCGCAATCGGTATTCGAGTCTTTCAATTGGTTTGTGTGTTTTCCATGTTGATCGTTTGTATCGTTTTGGCTACTTTTCAAAATCAGTGGATCGGAAAGCTGTCTGGGCTGACTGCTCTACTGCTCATCGTTACCGTTTTGACATTCTTGGTCGTGGCATTCATTTTGGCCGTTTCATTCTTACCGCATTCGCTTCATATCACCCAAGATAAAATCATACGTGTTTTGGAACAGCCTCGATTGGGTTTGGTAATGAACGGTCTTGGATCAGGTGTTTGGTTGATTCTTGCAATGACGCAGACGATCTCTTCGTATACCATGCCAGGTTGCAAAGACCCAGCCAAAGACCCACATGCTGACAGTTCAAAAGGCAAAAAGGAAGATTTCCAAAGTGCTTTACCAAGCTTTTGTACCACGAAGAAAGCTGGAGCAGCATTTGCATGGTTCATCTTTGTGACCGCATTAGCTACACTGTTTTTGTTTTTACGAATGTGGAAACTTTCTCGTAAGAATGGACCTAGAATTCCACCTTTTGTTCATCCTGCAGATGATGGTGCATTTGAACCAATTGGAGAGGATATGGAACACGATGAAGAGGATAACATTTACGCCAGAGAACAAGCCGGAATGCCGATCAGTAGTGGCCGCTATGGAGAAGGGGGTGATGGACGATATGGATATGGAGGATACGATGATCCCAATCAGCCACAACAATACAACCAACAACAATATGATGGCTACAATCAGAATGCACAATACGGTCGTGGTGGAAATGACCCTTTTGCTGATCAAAATCCACCTCGTCAATCGTACGATTATGGAGCATATGCTGCCAATACGCCATCTGCTCAAGATCCATATGCGATCATCCAACAACAATTACGAGCAGACAGACCGCCTCAATTGCCTCCGCTGTATCGTGGATGAGATGGTTTCTTTTCATTGACTCTTTGTATCGGTATCTTTATTCTGTTGTATTATTTTTCTTCTTTATCCTACAGATTTGTATTTCAATGGCAATTTGAGCCAGTTTGTATTCATCTAAAGCCATTAATGATTCCCACCATATTCCATGAATAATGCTAGTCAGGGGTTGTGCATGTAAAGGTATATCATTGAATGCTAACAAGAGGCACAGCACAAAATCGTTTACAATAAAACAGCACCTGCACCTGCCAAACCAGCAACGGTTAAACCAGCAAAAGTGAAAATGTTACCGTTTGAATTAAAGTGTGACAAAGATCCTGCTGCACCGTTATCATGACTTGAAGCTGCTGTAGTGGATAATTGAGAACTTGCATTACTTACACCGCCTTCTGCACCACTGCTAGCGTTTGACACGATACTGCTACCGCCACTGGCTATGGCTGTTTGTGAGAAGGGAGAAAGGCAGTTGTGTCAATTGATGCTGATTAGTAGAATGACCTAAAGATGAAATACTCACTGGTAGCTACACCTCCAGCTCCGGATGTTACGGCTATTTGTAAGAAAAGAAAGAAATGATGTGTCAGTCACCAACACGGACATGTACTAAGATGTACTCACTAGTAGCTATACCACCTGCACCTGAAGTTACGGCTATTTGCAAGGGAAAGAGAGGAACGGATTTGTCAATTGGTACGGTATGATTATACTATATCTTCACAGCATATACTCACTGCTGGCTGCACCTGCAGCACCTGAAGTGATATCACCGCCAACACTTGCAGCACCTGAAACTGCTGAACTGATCACGCCGCCAAGACCTTGAGCGGAAGCAATTGTGGCCGTTGCCAAAACGGTTGTAAGGATGAATTGGAAACGCATTTTTTTTTTGATTTGGGAGTGATTAAGATGATGGTAAAGAAGGTTATTAAAAGTTGTGGAGGATTTCAACTCGGATCAAGTTCTCCATTAAACTCTGCTTTTTATATCAATCAAACTAGAACGCCGTCATTGATTTCTATATGCAGCCAAGGCATACTAACTGAATAAACTCAGCTTCTATTTCATACTGTTCTTCCATGAAACAAAAGCACCATATGGACTTTTGTTGGAGGCAGTGCATCCCATGTTGTCCCTCTATTGAAGCAACACCGCATGCATGAGAAACATAAATAACTGCATCTGGCTTATTTTCCCTCCTTTGATGATGATCAATTATGCCTCCACAAAATCCTACGTCAATGGCTTCTGATTTGGGTTTGTTTAGTCTGGCTGTGCGAGTGTTAAAAGAAAAAAGACTCCCTCTCTTGAATGGCTGTGTCCGGCGCTACGCGGGAAAAATAAGACTTCTTAGACGGGAATATTCTCCGAGAAAATGGAGAATATGGAGAAATCGCGTGCGCTGTGCAGGTCTAAGGAGACAGAATCAAGGCCGAGATTGCGAGCAAATAATGAAAATCAAAAAGTCAACCATGAGGATGAATGGATCATTGATCACAAAAAAGATGTTATTGTATCTTTCTAATTGAGCTGGCGTTCATTTGATGCGATCTGAGAAAATGATTCATTCTTTCAAAAAGACGAAACGGAAGTACAAAACTAAAAAAAATTGGATTGCTAAACTGAAATGCGTCATTTGACATTGTCCTGATACGAAAATGAGATGCGACTAGGAAATATGGCTGCTGACTATAGCCTCTACAACAGAATTGCACCAGCACCTGCCAAGCCTGCTAACAGCAAACCAAGGAATTCTACCAACTGATCATTGGAATTGTAATGCACCAGAGATCCTATTGCGCCATTACCGGAAGACGCGCCTGTAGTGCGTTGAGTACTTGATTGGTTTGATGATCCACCTTGAGGATGACTTGATATGGTGTTCGAAGGGATTGGCAAAGAAGACTGACCTTCATCACTGGGATGTGCTGTGCATTGATATAAAACTTGATAAGGCTAAAGATCGAAGGGTACGATAACATAATCTTTACTCACCACTTTTTTCTGCACTGGCTAAATTTTTACCACCAGAAGCTTTTTCACCGCCTGAAGCCTTACTAAAAACACCTACACTACTTGCTGAAGTTCCAGTGGAAGTACTATCGGAGCTGTCAAGCCAAGTGGATGCATCCGATTGAATGCTGCTTCCCCATGAAGACACATCTGTTGTTGTAGCGAAGAAGTGTCGGTAAGAAATGATCGATTACTGCTGCTAACAAAGCGCAAATACTCACCGCTCGCTAAACTGGGCGCTTCTGAGGTTGCACTTTCAAATGCACTGGAAGCTTGCGAGTAAAGACTGCTGCCAACGCTGGAAACAACTACAACATAAAACGAAATTAGATGGTAGAAAATACAAGTCGTTGATAACGCAAAATTCACTTACCACTTGCACCGTCGGCAACAGCAGACGTTACGTGATCTCCTACTTGACCTCCTACGCTGGTAATATCTGAGCCAATTTGATCAAACACGCTACCAATATCTGCTTGAGAGCCTGTAAAGAAAGCCAAGAAAGCGAAAAGGACGACAAAGTTGCGCATTGTTGAAATTATTGGAAATTGGAAAAGATTGCTGGGATGATGAAATTGAAAATGGAAAGTGAGACAAAGTATTCAGTCTTTATACCTTTCTGGACACCATGATCGGATTATTCGTATAAGCAAGCAAATCAAACCTTCTCCTATGTTGTGATCCTACTCGACTCGGAATGCCGCCATTTACACCGCCGCTCTTGCATCATTTTCATGCATTGGCTGAAGAAGGCGATCTACGGTGAAAAGACGCGCCGAAACAAAAGTAATTCAATCAACATTGAAGTTGGTGACTTGTTGCATCGGGCAGTGCTTCCTTGCATCTGGGCCGCGTGTTGAGGACGCACGCATTTATTCATGCAACCTATTGCTTGTCAACCTCAGTGCGGAGCTCTCCTTCTTCTCTTCCACTTCACACACTCAAACCATCAAATTTAGATAACCAATGACATTGCTCAAAAGTGAATGTTGTAAAGTAAGAAGACAAAGGTTTGGAAAAAAGTACGAGACAAAAATAAAAGGGAAAAAGAACAATGATCGATACAAAGTATGAACGTTCAAGCATGAAAACATGCGTGAGCATTCTGGTATGTTTGAGTGTGAGAGCGAAATTAGCACAACAAATGTACCTTTTAAAGAAATGAATTGAATGAGAATAAAATGGAAAACCAATGATTAAATGAAAGTTTTTTTGATGCACATTTGAGATTGTTCTTTTCTAAGGAAATCAAATTTGAAATTCGCCTCTTTCGAAAATCTTTGATCCAGCCAATGGTGAATTTTCATCCTTCTTTGCAATATTTTCTTCCGCAAGACGTGCAAGTTTCATTAGAATTTCTACTCCACGTTCTTCTGGGTCAATTGATGCACCGTTTCGACGTTCTGCTTTTGGTGTGATTGCGGGTTCGGCAACATCTCTTCTTCTACCGCCTCCTCCAAGTACTCCACCAACCACCGAGCCTACTATTCCACCTGCAGTTGAAGCCACTCCTGAAACTTTACTTGCTGCTTCTGACACTACACTTGAGCCTGCTGATTCTACCTTAGAAGCTACACTTGAAGCTACACTTGACACCGTTGAGGCTGCACCAGAAACATCTGCACTTGGTACACTTACAGCAGAAGAAGAAGTTGAAGATGCAGTTGTAGGACAAACACCAATGTGCAAGAGTGAACATAACACTGAATTGACCGCGCCCGGCAAACCGTTGACTTGTGAAGGAAGTTGAGATCCAAGTCCCAATGCACTCAAAAGTGGATCCAAGATTGGTTTCAATTCTGGACTGCCCGTGATCGCATTAATCAAATCACCAAGACCAGAAAGTCCATTCACTGGAAGACCAGCTTGACCTGTTTCACCAAATGCAAGGAAGTAATTTGCAGGAATGTTGTGTTGTTCATATTGAACGGATGGAATGATGTATTGACCGTTTGGACCACTGATACCAGTCGTAATCGTAATCTTTACGTTGAGAGGATGTAAATGTCCCAAAGCAGTAATCAAAGATGTTTCCAATTTGATATGACGTACTTCTGGCGATTGATGTTCACCATCAGGTTTACTCGTTGCAAGTGCCGCTGGCAAATCAAATTCGAATCCTGGAACCGTGTCCAAAGTTGCCAGAAGGAAGGTAGGATCTTCTGCATCATACACGGGACCTTCAATGTGAGTGATTTGCAAAGCTGAAGGAATGTCGTTGATAGCAGTGAGGTATGCGTAAAAGTAAATGTTGCCTGCATCACCACCATTTGCACTTTGTTCTTTACCAGCCAAGCCGTTCAAAATACCAGTCACATTGGCAATTCCTCCGAGAACGCTTCCTAAGCCATCAACGCCTGCTTGCAAAGCTGCAATAATTGTCTCCAAAACAGCAGAAGGTGGAACGTAAATATCGGCTTGCTTTGCGATTGCGGAACCGATACCCATCAAAGTTGTATCAGCAATAATACCTTCCAAAGCTTCTTCCAAGGAAGGATAAGGTGACAATGGTGGATCTGTACTTGCTTTTCCGTTAATTTGCAATGGAATCGAGTTGCCCTTTCCTTCCGTCATAAAGTCAGTTGGTTGAAGGTACAAAGTAAGTACTTCTTCTGCTTGCGTTCGTTCTGGTTCTGTACTTGGAATCACAAATTCGAACAAAATGTCGATATTGTTTTGACCGGGGAAAATACCAACTGCACCGGTTGTTGCTCTACCCAAGTATGGGTTACCAGGACCCTTGTAAATGACTGGCAAGCTTAGACCGTTGGTGTAAAGGTTGACAGCAGTTGGGTTGAACAAGCCAGCAATCAAATGAATACCAATGTATTCTGGCGTTGGATCATCAACGGTAACATTGCTGACCGTTGCAACTTGGTTGAACGAATTGATACCCTTGAATTCAGTTGTCACATTGAATGGAATACCTGTGATCACGGGATCACCAATCGATAATTGTGCCTTGACAGATGTTGTTCCTTTCAAGCCAAAGTCTACCGAAGGCGTATCTGCCAATTTAGCCAAGAATGCTTCAAACGCTCCTTGATCGATAGCTGACAACAATTGATTCTTGAAATCGATCACCAATGGAACTTGTTGACCGGTTGAAGTTCCAGAAGAAACGACTGGAGCAAGAGGCAAGTTGATTTGTGCAGCATCGATACCGGTGTAGGTGATTGTAATTTGTGGTCCAGCTTCCAATGCAGTCAAATGGAATCCGAATGGGTTGGCAAACATGGCAGTCGTCTTGTTGTTGGATGCTTCTAAATGGAAAGAATCCATTCCAGGATAAGGAACAACGGCAGTCAAATCGGATAAAACGATCGAATAAATAATTTGATAAATGTGTCCTGGCAAAACGACATTGGTGGAGAATCTTCTGAATGCATTACTCAACCATGAAATTTCTTGTCCGCCACTGTAAGGTCCAACGACGCTCTTACCGTGAGCAGATAAGATACTGTCTTTGCCTCCCAAGAATTGACTGAACAGGATACCCAATTGATCAACACCGTTTTGTGAATTTTGTCTGATCAAGAAACCTGTCAAAACGGCACTTGTAGTTGCTTTGTATGCCAAGAACAAACCATTAGAAGAAGCTTGACCGAGATCGACACCATTGAAGAACAGTTCAAATGTGGCCATACCTAATTCCACACCCAAAGAAGCGGGCGAAGGAATAGCTGCAGTTGTGACAATATTGATCGTATCGTCCGTATCACTTGGAGCGTTAAATTCTGTGATTTTGATGCCAGGTAAACCATTGAATGCGTCCAATTGAATCTGCTTTTCCAAATACACATTAGAGAATTTGATACCCAAAGCACGAACTGAAACTGTTCTACTTATCAGCGTCCATTGGAAGCTTGGTTCGGTCAAGAGATAATAAGCGAAATTCGTGAAAGCGTCTTGGTTTGTGATTGTCAATTGACCTGTTGTTAGCAAATCAGGAATACCAATTGTGTGAATGTTGCACAATCCAGGTAATGCAATTTCGGCAATTTGTGTTCCTTGGAAAATGATTTCAACTGGATCAGGGAATTCGATATAGGCATCAGCTGGAGCATTTGCCTGTAAAGCACCCATAATGGTTGCTTGGAAACCTTCATTGGTCAACTTTGTTGCATTTGCACGATTAGCGATCAAAGTCGATGCATTGACGACCAATTGAATCAAAGGTGCACCTGCAGGACCGACCAAATACAAAGCAGTGTTATCCGTCTTTGTTGGAACAGGCTGTTGGATGAAGTTCAAATTGGTTTGATAATCATCAATCTTGAGCACTGATTGAATCGGAATGGAAGTTTGCAAAGGAGCCAACAATTTGAGAATTGCGCCAAGAGTGTCGAATGCCGTACCCGAATCACACGGTGGAGGCGTACTATCAGGGTAAGGACTGATTGTGGTGGCAGTTGAAGGCAAATCCAAAACTTCTTGGAAGAATGGCGGCAAAGGTCCAAGACTGACTCCATAAGTATTTGCAGCTGCAAGAATGAATCGAATCAAAACTTTCGGATCAATATTGATATTGATTGGAACTTCCTGCGTTTGAGTATTTTGATGTCCAGGTGCATGGATAATATTGTTCGTTGCTGCAAGATTTTGATTGATGTTACCAATTGTAATTCCTTCGAAGTTTGCCTGTGCAATCAAATTGATAATATTAATCGAAGCCGTGAAAGGGTTTGCAATGATAACACTTGCGGAAGCAACACCCGTCTGAGCAATGTCCTTTGGCACTTCTAATGCAGCTTGGATCACGATCAATTTGTCCAATGGTGGAATAGCTGCAGTCAAGGAGATTTGTCCTAGACCTTGTTTCAGTGAATCAATTGGGGTCGTTTGAGAAGTACCTGCAACGACGGCATCTGATGTGATGTTTTGCACGTAATTCTCCAAAACCGTTTGACCTGCTGCAACATTCTCAGCACCAATTGGCATGTAGAGCAATTGTGTCGGAATAGAGTTGTTTCCTGGAACGAGGAAGATGTTGTTAATCAATGCCGTACCGATCAATTTGTCTGTGTACAGTGCTCCAAATGAAACATCTCCAGCTCCAATACTGATATCGGATGGATTGGTCAAGAACGTTGTGATACGAACATCCAAATAAGTTGGATAACCGTGGTAAACATCCAAATCAGCCACCTTTGCTGGAACAGAGTTCAAGTTTTGCAAACCCAGAATATTCGTGTTCAAATTGAACGGAATATCTGAAATTGTCAAGTCACCTGCATTGGTGGTGGCAGTACCAGTTGCCGAACCGTGTAAATTGAATGTAACTTGCTTTTCTCTCGTTACATCAGCAACGAATTGAGAGAACGTTTGATGAGCGGGATCATAAACAGCGAAAGGAACATTTTGGAAGGCAAGGTACAAAATTCTTGCTTCAACATTCGTGGTTGACGGACTTTGGGGAATGTTCAAAACTGCCATGTCTTGATTCAAATAGTTGGCAATGAATGGACCTGCAACGGTAGAAATACCAACAGGGAAAGCAAACGGCAAGAAGAAGTTTGCACTTGTGTTGGTAGTATCTGACATTGGAGCATACGCAGATGGCACCGTGAAGAATAATGATAGTTGATTGATGGACACAAGTCGAATGACTTGGAAGTCTTGCGCAGGCAAAGCGACTTGCACTTTCAGTGCTTTAATACCTTGATTGAGCCATACAACATCTTCAGGACCAGCGTATTCACCCAAAACCATCAAATTGGTGTTTTGATTATGCACAAAGCGAGTAAACACTTCTGATAAAGCTGCCAAACCTTCTTGAGAATTTTGACGGTTGATTGTACCGGCCAAAGGAACTTGCGTTACGGCCAAAGCTTGCAAGGTAAATGCATCAGCAGCACCTGCAGGTCCGATCATTGTATCGTTCATCATAATGTTGGTACCGAATCTTGTAAGTGAAACACCAACTTGAGCAGGATTATTGATCGTACTGATCGCAGTCAAAGCCAAACCACCTGGAGCATTAGCGGGAACATCGAAAGAGTTAATGATAACTTGTCCTGTCAAGCCGTTCAAACCAGTCAATTGAACATCTTTATTGATCGTAACACCTGGAATGATGATACCCAAAGCGCCAACGGTAATATTTTCTCCACGAATATTCCAAACGAATGATGGGTTAACGATTGCATATTCCAAGAATTGTGTAAAGAAATCCACGTCTGGGATTTGACCTTCAACTTGAACATTGATCGAAGAGCCCAAATCACCAACAAGGGTCACGTTGGGGAATGCAGTTTGTGTCAATGATCTGCCTTCCCAGAAAATTGTCAAACCTGATGGGAAAGTAACCACACCATCGAATGGACCTGCATTTGTCAATGCACCTTGCAATGAAGCAGTGAAGCCATCTGGGCGTGCTTCGGTAATCGTAACACGATCAATGTTCAAAACAGCTCCATCGACAATACGTTGCACAATTGGCAAAGCTAGAACGGGCAAGAGTTTGAACAAGGTCACATCCGTGCCCAAAGGAACATCATTTTGAGAGAATGTCAATGTTGTTCCGTATTCACCAATCACGACATCAGAAATGATTGTCAAATCAGCTGTTGCGACCGAGAATGCCTTTGCTACGTAGGTTGTAAGATCGAAGCCAGTGTACAAGTTGTCACGCTTTTGCAATATAGGATCATACACCAAAGGATGAGCACGCTTGGCAAGTCCGTCCGTTTGTTCTTCCAATTCATCACGTTCGAAGGTTGATTCATGATCGCCATAAATACCTGGATTTGAGCCAACGCCCATCAGAATTTGAGCCATTTCGTTGTCTTCTTCCAAAATGTATGAATCAGCATCTTCCTCACTTCTCTTCTCCAGAGGTTGCTCCTCCTCCTCATCAATGCTTCTCTTGCTTGCTGGAGCAGTGCCATTGTTTTGATCAGTAGTTGGCGTCAAGGTGAAACCTCCTAATTGAACAACACCATCGATGTAAGCAGGATTTTGACCGGATTGAATAGCAAGAGCACGAACAAGAGCAAACAAATCTGGTGGATAAAGATTCAAAGCCAAAGGAACCACGGGTGAAATTGTGATTGCTCTTCCTGCTGCAGGGAAGTTGAGTGCTGTGTCGATATTGGCAATATAGATACCGTGAGAAGAAGCGTTTGCCGAAATATGCGTGATGGTCAAAGGAGCCGTGAAAGGATTGTATGCAGAAACGTGTGAATTAGCAATATCGTTGGTAATACCTGTGGTATCCAACACTGTCAAATTGGCCGCTTGAACGATTTTCTGTTGAAGACCTGGAAGTGTAGCATTGAGACGGATACCTTCAAGTGAAGGAACCAATGAAACAATTTCACTTGAACCCGAGAAACCCGTGATGTTAAGATTGGTATCCAAACCTGAAACGAATCTGTTCAAAGCTTCAATACCTAGAGGAGAACGATTCGGGTCAAAGTAGGAAGTTGCATTGATATCGTTTCTTCCAATCTTCAAATTCAATCCGGGTAAAGTGACATTTCCGACGACTACTTGGTTTTCCAACTGGAATGTGGCATCACCTGTTGATAAATTCAAGTTGGAAGGATTGACAACAGTAGTTCCAACAACCAAACTGATTGCATCCGGTGCACCACCAACTACATCGACACTGTTGATGATTGTTGGATATTTGGTCAAACCGGATAAACCCGTTAGTCCAGTACCAACGCTGAATCGAATACCGTTGAGCAAAATACGTCCTACTGGGGTATCTGTGATAGCTTTTGCTGAACCGGTTGAATCAAAACTTGCCGAAGCGGAATACAAGAAATTATTCTGAAATTCGATCAATTGTTTCTTTGCCGCATCAGTATTATTTGGTAAGGATAATCGTGATGGCGGTAAAGCGATTGTAATATCAGCAGCAGTTTCCCTTTCAGTTTGAAGGTAAACGACCGAAGATGAATTACCGTACGGTGAATAAACTGTTCCAATTTCTGCGCCATTAGAAATGATGTTTAGAAGTGTGGAAAGATCAACAACATTGAGAGAGAAACCGAAAGGAATAGCAAGTTTACCCTTCAAATCGTTGGAGAACAAGTCGGGATTGTAAGGTAATTCACGGCTGTACACCAAACTGACATAATCGATCGTGATACCTTTGATCGGGTTGATTGGTTGAGGGGGAACGAATGGAATTTGTGCCCTCAATTCTTGTAAACCGGTTGTGAGCCAACTGATAATATCACCATTTGCTTGTTGTGTAGAAATACCACGACCTTCGACGATGGACAAATCACCGTTAATATAATTCGTGAATAATTCTCCCAAAATGTTCAAAGCGGTTTGATTATCTGGATAAGGTAAAACTCGACCGCTAAGAGTAACAACGTTGGTACCTGTGGTCAAATTGAGATTGTGCACACTGACAGGACCGACATAGTGATCCTTATAGTATAATCCCAAATTCAACGTTCCAACTTGTACACCAAACGGTGAAGGGTTGACCAAAGAAGAAGTGGCAATAGCCGTGATACCACCTGCAGGATCATCACCTGGCAATTGTAGATCCAAAATTTTGATATCGTGGAAATTGTCAATACCGTTGAAGATGACATGCTTGACGAACTTCAATTCTTTGTAAACTGGGAAGAATGCGAAACCTTCTGCATGCACTTCATCACAGACTGTCTTCCATGTAAATTGAGGTTGGGTGACGAGGAATTTGGAAAATTCTCCAAATCCTTCAACATCGGTGATGTGGAATTCGGTCAATTGATTGATCGTTGCATGACCTGCGGCCGCACCTAAAGGAGCCAAGTTAAAGTAACCCAAGTGCAATTCACGCATTGGTGTACCAGTCGTCATCCAGTACACATCAACAGGTTTGCGAAAGTACAACTTTGCAGGGAAGATACCCGTCTTTTTCGCTTGACCAAAGATGGTGATTGGGAAACTGTCATTTTTGATATCGGTAATGTTGGATTCGTAAACGTGTAATTGGGCGGTATGAAGTGCATGTTTGGCGATAGCCCATAAGACGGGTACTAATGCGATAGCACCAACGACTAAAAGGATGGGAGGTGCCAAGAATAGACAACAGAAACCAAGTTTACGTGTGAAATATTTCCGTTCATATGGCGTTCCGCGAGCTGCCATATAACCGATTGGCATTCCAGGTTGATACATATCACTTTGTTGTCTTCCTCTTGAATCTTGACTGCCCCTTCCTCTCCTTTGAACCAATTCATTTTGTGATCCATAGGAGGAACTGTCCCTTCGAACATTTTCCGCAGACATGGTGTCGAAGGAAGGCGGGGAGGTGGTGACGGATGATTGAATCGGATATATACGGTTTTTTAATTAGAGTGATCGACCTTGTTGAATAAAAGTAATGGTCTTGAATTACCAACCTGATCGGCTGGTGGGGTATACCGCCTTTTTTTTCTTTACCTTTCTTTTATCGAAATGAAAAGGCGTAAATGACCAAAAGGGTGATGACAAGATCGAATTGACGGAGTGATGGTGTTGAGGATGGCGAGAATGATAGCAAATGTCACCGGAAGCGAGGCAGTACCAATGAAAATCCCCCTACTTTGGCCCCGCAAATATTGACCGACCCTATCTTTTGTCCGGGTTGAAACGTCTAGGTTTGTATAGTGTCCTTTAGAAAGCTTTTACGGAACTTTTCTTTTGCTTGTCAATTGAAATGTGTATATGTCTTGAAGCGGGGTTCAACAAAGAAGTGAAGATGTAAAGTGCAATCCCGCCTGTCTTTTGTTTAATAGTTCATACGGCAAGTGATCATTGCGGCGGTACATGAAGTGTCTGAAGGTTTAAGCAGTAATTTCTTCTATTCAACAAATGCGGGGTTTTCAATCGTATTCAAACTCTCTGTAACCGTACAAACAGATTCTGAACCCTAAATCAAGCCTAATCTAAGCAGAAATAGAGTCAAATTAAGCGAAAGATCCCAGAAACAAACGATTCAATCCCAAAACCCAGTTGCCGATTGAGAGTGTGTTCTGGACCTCTGCCGTTTATTTGAGAATTGAAGCCGTTTGATATAGAAGATAAAGACGCTAAATCGTTTCATTTTGCTATTTTGATGAATGGGTACTTGCTCTCACACTTTGTGATCATCAAAAGATGTTTGGCAAAGGGAAAGAAGGGGGCAAACGGAAGGAGAAGTTATTAATTAAAATTGGGATCAGGTACGCAGCATTTAACGAGTGACTTTTTTGTTTTATTAGCGAATGTTTAGTTCGTGTGATTTAATGCGGGGAAACTATGCAAGATGCAAAAAGACTGTTTTAATGCTTGACATGCACCAACAGATCGTTCAATCCTCTTTTTTCTTTTGGCTACATGCATCATGCACAGTGTGTACGATCCGGATGGAGGCTACTCCGGTTTATATTTTCAGCACAATAGCACTCTATACATATACAAAACAGGTTAGATTCTTTACGATTGCTCTACCTTGCAGCAGATTGACGTACATTGTTGTCATGAGAGAGCTTTAATGCAGTACGGCATCTATTCTTAGTTTAAACACTCTTTCCGCTTTTACATGCATGGGAAAACAGAAAACGACAAAAAAAGATGTCAACGAAGTACAAACCCCACGCGCAGCGTATGCACTGTATCGTACGATTGTCATTACCACCTTTCCCACGCCCGCATCAAATTCAACTCCGACTGAGACTTTTACCACTCAAAATGCCAAGCATGCACTATAGCCGGCAAAGATCATATTTCGCACACAATTCACACAAATTCGAATTCCCACTTTACCCCACATAAATCAACCATGTGAAGCATTAATTAAAACTTTTAAAAAAAGCAAGTGCTTGCAAAATCTCATTTCATATGTCTCACGATGTCAATTCCGATCGTCACTTTACTGCCTGTGCATGCTGCAACGTCGATCGGGCAACCTATATTATCGTGAAAGTGATAGTCTAGAGTGTCAAAATATTGATTCTGTAAAAACATGAATAAGGACTATCATCATCAAGAAGAGCGAAGGAAAAAGAACTCTATTCTTTCTATAGAGTGAGGATAGTCGTGTTAGAATAAATGAAGTTGAATGTAAAGTAAGAAGGAAGAAGTGCATGCAAACCGGTTTAAAGTGAATCCGGTTTATAGTTTTATGCAGCACAGGGACATTGCCGAAAAACCAAGAACCGGTCATTTTACGCTAAAATGGCAACCATCGAAAGAGATCAATTTCTTTCCGAATAAATTGGCAAAAAAAGTTAGAGATTCATCATCTAAAAGACGTCAAAGAAGAACTATGGAACCTTGCTAAACTTCAATTGATTCTAGCTTATCCGGAGAATATACCGGAAGTTTTTTTTTTGGCTAGAATCAATCATGCTTACTAATCTGCTATGCTTTCAAGAGTTGTCATCATGGTCATTAAAAGTTGATTATAAATACATACATGGTTAATTAGCAAAATTCGATATATAAAAAGAAAAAGAAATAAAAAAAACTTGTAAAACTTCCTTCAAGTACCTCTGGCTGCCATCCTGGATAACGATTGAATCAGATAGAGTGGCCCTTCTCGATTCAGCAGTTGCACTCTTTGACGATCTGGATTAGCTCCTCTCGAAACAGGTCTAGGAGAAGTAACGGTTGACGTTGAGCTGACGGATAAAGGTGTTGCACTTCCGCTAACGCCCTTCTCACGAATTCGATATCCTGCCATTTCTTGTACATGTCTTCTTTGGGCGATAATAGATGCATTCCAAACAGATTCAGGGATTTTGCCTTTCAAGTGAACTGGAATATCAGCAACTTTGGACTTCTCAAACGATACGCTGGACCGAATTGTTTGACTGATACTGTGATGCATTCCTGCATCATTGTAATCGCCTTCAAGTTGCGAATCATCCCCTGTGCCTATTGGCGGATCAGACTGTCGTACAATTCGTAAAGCTTCTGCCGATGCCGTACGTTGTCGCATCTTCCGAAGTCGCAACTCTTCTTCTGTTCCTACGCTCTCATCCATCAAGCCATCCTTGTCAGAGTCAGATCCAGATTCATCAGCTAGAGCCTCAAATGGATCTTCTTCCTCCTGCCCATCTTGTCGCTTCCAACATAATTTGATCGGATCAAACACCATTCCACCTACAACATTAAGTGACGCAGAAGGACTGCTGATCGCTGTAGGAGAGGTCAAGAGTGCAGTGTTGAAAGTTGAAGAAGATGAAACAATGACCGGAGGCGGCGGACTCATCGCATCTGACGAGATCTTCATCGGTCCAAATGAAAGATGAGATATAAGCGCCGGTCTCCCCGTGCCACGAATAGCGTTCTCAAAATCACGTCCTTCTTGTTCATTTCCTTCCCACTTTTTCAAAGTTGGATTCCATCGCATATCACCCACCATTTTCGAAGATGAACCCGATCCGCCAAGATTGCGAATCAAGATTGGCTGCTTCTTTTTGCGATGCTTACTTGACCCCTTTGTAGACTCATTCGGCCTTGCGATTTGTTGCTGATGTGATTGTGCGCTTTCCTTGGATCCTTTTGCTTTTTCAGGTTTACTAGACGGTGATCTCGGCACGGGCAAATCAGCAATGTCTTCCAGTTCCTTCCCATCGCCATATTTGCGTGGTTTGCGTGGCTTACGCATAATCTTTGGGGCTTGACTTGCGTTCAACATAGACGATCGAAGATCCCGCTCTTGCGGAGGTGAAAGACGTGCAAGTGAAGCCGCAGTTGGCATCGCATAGCCCATGCTTCCGGCTTGTTGAGTGGCCACTCTACCACTTGGTGAAAGAGTCCGAGTAGGTGTCGATGGTCTCGAAGTAGAAAATCGATTGGTCAGTGTTTCCGTCCATTGACCTACGTATGATTTTGTACCACTGGAAGAATCTGGCAAGCCTTCCCTTGATCTCTTATTACCCTTTAAAATTGGTGAAGAAGCCCTCTTGATCATCCTGCCCACGCCTAAACGGTCCTTAGAGGATTTTGTGCTGCTAGAATAGATGCTTGCTTGATCATCAAAATTCTCCATTTGTTCTCTGTGCTTGCTCTTGTGATCCAGAAAGGAAGACTGCGTCTGCTTTTCACCCTGTCGCTTTCGACGAAGATGTGCAGCTTCGCGTAACCTGCTACTCAGACTTCTAGCTTTGAGTCTACTTGGTGAAAGATCCAAATCATCCGTAATCACCAATCCTGATGTCAATTCCGTCTCTCCATGACTCAAAGTTCCTTCCTTGCCACTTTCACCTTTGCCGCGTTTAGCAGATGATTTGCGTGCATTTAGTCGTGCTTGTAGCTGCTGAGCAAGAGTCAAGGGCTTTTGTTGTGATCCTTCGGGTTGACCGGAATCATCCTGCTCGTTCTGAAATGAATCAAAGTCAAGCTCATCAAAGTCTTCTTCCGTCACGTCATTTCCCAAATCACCAGCAGCTGAACCTCTTTCTGATGGATCGATTTGGTTTTGCTTGTGTTTGGAAGGAGACAGGCTGTCCCAACCTTCTTCACTCGGATGCGAAGAGATCACGCTTTGCCTTTCTATATCATCGCGATTTGCACCCCTGCCCAAATTTGCAGTAAGATGCAAAGCCTGCATTTGATCGGGAAGATAGAAGCCATCCTCTTCATCGTTATCCTGATAATTTCTGGCAAATGTATGGAACGGGGTTTCAGAAGCGGATGTATCCAATTCTCGTGTTTTCCCTTCGTCCTTCTTTCCACCTTCGAGCGGTCTGAGCGATTGATCAGCGCTGATGTCTTCTTGATGGTCGCTAGTGATACTCAACGAGGTTGCATCACTTGCTGATGTTTGGCTTGGTGTTTCGAAATCGATCTCGCTGGCGCTACTGCTATGTCTGACTTTCAGAGATTGCAAGGAGAATGAGTTTGGAATCTCGAGACCTTCGTCCCAATCATCGCCGCCACCATCTTGTTGGTCAATTTGTTTGTACTCATCGTGCTGATCATCGAGATGCTGTAAAGATGCCTGATTGAGATTCGCCAAATCGTCGTCCTTGCTTGCTTCTGCGGTTTCAGTACCATCCGCTTTCTTCTTCTTCGCATAAGTTGCCAATTTAGCCAATGTTTCAGTGGTCAGATCAGACACCCTCAACGTGTCTCCTTGATCTTCTTCCTCCTCTTCGTCATCGTGTAGATCTTCCTTCACGATGTTCATAATTTGATCATCTTCACTTGACTTTCCAGTAATATCGTCAGCTTGACTCACTAGCAAATCGATGGACTGCCTTCGCGAAGAAGGTAGCTGTAAAGCATCTCTTGAGTCAACATTGGAGAAGTCTAAATCTTCATCATCGTCCCAATTTTCCACTTTAGGCGAGGCAGGATTGTCGATTATGTTGGCAGGAGTAGACATTTTCGTAACCGGCCACGTAAGTCTGTCCTAATTCTGTTTCACTGATGGCTCCCGCCTTGATCAATTTGGTAGTGCGTTCATGATGCTGTTTCCTTTCTGTAAATTGCGCAGATTGCAGGGCAACGTACAAGTTCAGGTTGACACTGCCACAGGAACGGTGTAAAAGCGGTAACTGAACCTCAAAAAAGATCCTCAAGCCAAGCCAGCTGTAGCGTTGCACCAAACTGGATGATCTACACGTTGTTGTGGTCACCTTATGATGGTTTCCTGTTACAAAAGATTGGGTTTGAGTAAATTGAATCTCAAATTTACCCTATCAATCAATCATACATACACAAATCACGCACCGCACACAGCGCGTCTCAGCACTTACACGCAGACAAATACATAGTCCCCACGCTTGATTCGTGTTTACAAGGCACTCCGCCTGTGTTTGAGTGTGGCCCTCCCTATATTATTATTATATAATGTACATCCAATAATAATAGGTAGCAGTCAGACAATCATGTACGCCATAACACAGCAATAGAACAAACCCCTTTGTGCGTTATGGGGCTCTGACATCCTTATACTTTTTCCTAACAATCTTTCAAAGAGGGGCGGACCCCTTTCTGGCAGTGAAGATAAAACGACCCCATCCCTCGAAATTATACAATGATAGAATGTATTAGTCATTTGATAAAAATACAGCTGGGTAAATTATATACATCACGGTAGTCTTATCTCGATTCTCCTCGGATTTGTCCTTCTAAATCTTTCAAAACCGTCAAACTTTCCCTACATCGTGCTTTGGTTGTATCCAAATACCTGTTTAAGCTTGGCATCGCTTCTGATCGCATTGCCATCTTTCTAAAAGCTTCTGATGCTTCTTCAGCTTGCTTTTGAGCTGCCAAATCCAGATGATCGGCTGACATGACCCTCATACGATTGGCAGAAGAAGATCCTTCGTGTAAGGTCCAATCACTTTCGCTCGACCTACCGCCACCTTCAAAATTGACACGACGTTCTTCGCTCATCGTTCGCGGAAGCGGTGGAATGGAGGTGGGCGAGGTGAAATGCGATGGGCTGGAAAGATGTGCTTCGCTTCTATTATTCCGCAAATTAGAAAGAATGCCATTGTTTCCACGTTGATGAGCATTACTACTGCTTGGAAAATTGTTCCACTCCATATTACGCTCGTTCTTTCGTGCTCCCATAGGTAATGCTCTGCTAAGCATGGAAATTGTACGTCTATGTGCATGTGATATGGTCTTGGAAGGTGCAACGTCAAAGGTATGAGAGTTGCCGTGGCCATTGATATCCTCTAAATGAGACGTACTCAATTCGGCTTCTGTCCATGCACTGTCTATGCTTGAGTCATGACCACTTCCTTCCAGAGAGAATGCACTACTGCTCGAAGAAGCCCTGGCAAATCGAATAAAACGTCTTGATGGTTTTGCGTCTGCCGCACTTTTCTCTCCGTCCGCATCATAGGAGCCACTACTTTTCGGAAGTCTAGTGCTAGGCCGTTGCAAAGACACTTTGCTGGAATTGGCTTCTGAGTTGTGTGGATAAGGCTTTGCTGGTGATTCTGCACCTGGCCCAGATCCGAACGGAGGGTTTACTCTGCGGCCTGACGGAGTTTTGCGTCCTCCACTAACCTCTGAAGAAGATTCACCGAATGAGCCTCGGAGAGAGACTTGTGATGTTCGGGCTTCGTCTCGATAGGTAGTTGTCGTTGAGTTTCTGCGGATAGTCACGATCAAATCTTTCAATCCTTGAAGACCTTGTTGGCCAGCACTTCGTAAGTGTCTCCGACCACCGCTCGTTTGTCTCATTACTCTGTTATGCTTAAGATGATCTAAGTTAGTGTTCGAAACATTCTGCTCGGGAGCGAAAGGCAGATATTGCACGTTCGGATCTGCTTGTTTTCCCTTTTCTTTGCCGGGGTCAGGATCGGATGTGCGCCTGCGAGATTGAATTATCACGCTCTGAGATGACATTCTTCTGTTGTCTCGAATCGTGCGATTTTCCAGCTGTGAATCACGAGAGGAGGGTGTATCAACACTTGCAGTTCGATGCCGTGGCAATATTGCGGAAGATCTAGTTGGCGAAGCTTGCTCCGGCGGCGTACCCGCCAACATGGCCGCTAAGATGTCTCTTTCTCGTTCAGGATGGACATATCGCGATGCCGAAGATGACGCACGACTGTTTGATATACTTTGTGCTTTCTCGTTGTTGGCCCGCCTGACCGAAGAAAAGCGATCGTTGGAAGACTTCTGGTCTTTGGGCTTGCTAGCACCTTTCCCTTCCCCCGAAGCTTTTTCCAATTCATCCTTCCCATTTGCCAAACCTATCAAAACCTCCGCACATTCCCACCAGCTTCCATAGACGTACTCCGAATGTTCTAGCTCTAGTCTAAAGGTTTCAATTTCTTTACCTCCTTTTTCCTCTACCTCTGCGTGATCATCAAGTCGGTCTAGGATACGATGATAAGCATCACGCAATCCTTTCAACTCTTCAATTCCAGTAGCAAAGTTACGGATACGCATCATATCTGCACGAACGCCTTCTTGCGCTTTACTGATAAGAGAGGGGATTTTCAAGTCGCCTGTCTTGGAAGTTTTTGCACTCGCTTCATCGTCACTTTTGCGAGAAACAACGCTTCGTGAATCGGACCCATTCAAATCGTCCTCGTCCAACGACTCTTGTCGAGCATCGGCTCTGTCCTGCGAAGACATATCTTTCAATTGCATCGCAGCTTGTCTTCGTGTCAAACTTTCTATACCACTTGACACAGGAGGTGGCCTACGCGTTCGAGATAATTTTGAATCAGTCGATGAAGGTAAAGATTCCGCATCACTCGGCAATTGCCTTATGATTTGAATCTTTGGCGTATGACTTTGTGTCACCATAGGCGATGAGACTGCAATAGATGAATCGGTAGACGCATCTGTCAGATTGCTTCCAGCCATACTTGATTTGTCATAGTCGATTGATGAAGTCACACTAACCGTAGTTGAGTCTGATGCTGTGCGGTTCTGAGTGACGCCAGTTCGAGAATCTCTACGTGTGGATTCAGATGGCATAGCTCTTGTTGGACGAATGAGGCCTTTGGGACTGCCGCCTGGTACGACTTTGTGGGCAAAGTTCAAGTCTTCGATGTCCATCTTTCGCTTTCCATTTCTCTTCTCTTCTGACTGCTCCGCATGTTGCAGAGAATCCACGGTTGTTTGGCTCGAGCCTTCGCTTCTTTTCCTCATCGTGCCTCTCCGAGGCGGCGATTCTTTATTCAAACGAGATGCCCAATGACGATGCTCCGAAATAGATCCGTATGCATAATCTTCCTTTGCTGGGGTGCGCTCAGCCTTTGGAGAAATTTTGTTGTTCTGCTCAAAAGTGTCTGGCAGAGATGGTCGGGACTGCGCTTGACGTGCTGGCGGTCTCTCTTGTACTTTACTAGAATTCTTTGATGGCTCATTCGCACGAATTGTGCTATTCTCCGTGATGGTGGGGAAGGCTTTGTTAGATGGCTCAGCAACCTTTCGAGGTGATACGATCGTCTTCTGTGAATCCTGTACATTCGATGGGCGCGCTGGCTGAGATGTAGCTTTCGCCTCGGATGGCCTTGACTCTGATTGAGCAACATTTGCACTTTGTTCTTTCTTTCGTTGAAGTTTGCTTTGCAACAATTTTGTCCATGTCTTTTCGCCTAAACCAAATGGTTTGCGCTTTGAGGTAGATGTCTCGAGCTCTCCTCCGTTTTGAACATCATTTCCATGGCCTACTGTAGATTGTTTCTTCATTCCTTTCGCTTGATTCTTTGGTGTCTCAGGAGACTTTCCTCGATTTGTGCCTGCTAACGGACGGTTGGCTGGCGAAGACAGTGAAGTAGGCTGTGATGAGGATTTTGCTGAAGCTGTTTTGGAAGAGTCCTTCTGAGATTGCTTGGAAAGAAGCCACTTTTTCTTTGAAGTGGGTGTTGTTGGTGTAGTAGCATTATTGTTCCATTGAGGCTGAGAAGATGATTGCGACGTTGATGACTCTCCTTTGTTGGATGGCTGGAGAGGGGTCGTTCTGTCACTGTTGATGCTGTCTTGAGCTTTCGTTTTGTTGGCCTTACCCTGCTTGGGAGATAGGGCCTGCGATTGGTTTTCTTGACCAGAATTTGGGACTATGGTCTGGGATGAAGCTGTTCGGAACAGGCGATTTTTCCCTGACTGGTTCTCTGTAGTATTGACCGGTGCCTTGATGCTGCCTTCACTTCCTTCGCTATCCCAATTGGAAATCTCTTCCTCTTCTGATAGATTGTCCCTGTTCAAAGTTGATTTCTCCTTTGATGGAGCAGAACTATTTGAGCTCTCCGCATTACCCTCATTGGCAGATGTGAAGATAAAATCATCATCCCAACTTTCAGCAACAGTTTGACCGCCTTGTTGCGATTTGGCGCTTTCTACAGTAAGAAAGTCCATTTGACTCTCATTATCTTCAAATTCAGAATCGAAGCCAAGATTCAGGGCTGCCGTCGTACGTGTGAAGCTTGCAGCGATGGACAGATTTCCCTCGCTTTCGTACCCCTCATCAAGCCCAAAAAAATCACCTTTTGCTGGCGGAGTAGATGCATTTTTCCGCGATGGTGATAATGAAGCATTTTGATATATGCGTTTCGATGATACTGAAGACGAGGATGCAGCCTGAGGCTGCACCTTCACTGATTTCCGTTCAAACATCTGTGTATGCTTAAGCTTGCAATGTTATCGAGAACATATTGGAAAATTTGCCTATTGAATGCGATGTGGAAGAGAAGATCGTTCCAGCTGGATCGTACGGTCCCGTATACCGTTTTTTCTTTCCTTGTTTCCCCTAACAAGGGCGAATAATAAATCTCGATTCAATCAACGCCGCCGAAAAGTGTAAAGTCCGAAAAATGATATGATGAATGCTCCTATATAAACACGATCCGTCTAGGAGATTTGCCGTTTAGAAAGGAGGAAGAGGTTTTTGAATAGACTCCTTTACGAATAATGTTTCATTAATCTCCTTATTTCGGCTGAGATGGATGTTATCATCAAGAATGAGTTGACCTGTCATGATCCATGTCGGTCAATGCAATGCATGCTTAACACGCTAATCAAGCGGTTGGCAATTTAATAAATTCAACACAGCATATCTCCTATTATAAGAAAAGTGTTGCTCGAGACGCGTCCGGCCCTCTTTAGTTGCGACAACACTCAATTTCATTGCAAGGTCACGTGGATTGGCCGATCAACATTTCTTCTTTTTGCGAAGAGCATACAGTCAAGCGTCGGGGAAGCAATCGCGATAAAGATCACTTCCTGCTTTCCAACAATAACCACCAACCAAATAGCATAATGCCATCAAGTATAGCCAGACAAGGCACTAAAGCCATTCACAGTATCACTCGCTCTTCGTCAGCTTGTACATCATCAAATGCGATTCGATCTCCATGTCTGACGCCATCCAGCTCGCGAATGACATGCGATATGATGATGGGACAAAGTCGATCTTTATCAACAACAAGTGCACTATCCCGAAACACACCTGCTAGAAGACCGAAAGACCCGCTTGATTTCGCACCAAATGCTGTTCGTCATGCATTGCCATCAGGTGAAACATTAATCGTTCGTCCCCCTCCAACAGTTGCAAGTCCAAGATACACTACAATCGATCAGGGAGACATTTCACCCGAACAACTACCTCTAATTCAACGAAGGAAGACTCATGCATACGAATCGAATAAACGTCTAAGCGCAGAGGAAATTGCTGAAATGCAGAGACTACGTCAATCGAATCCTGACGTTCATACTGCTTTACAGCTTGCCAAACAATTTGGTTGTTCAGCAACTTTCGTGCGAATCGTTGCACCTGCTCCTAAGCAAAGAAGAGAAGCCCATCTCGAACAAACAGTAGTGCAGAGATCTACATGGGGACAGAATAAGACCATGCAAAGGGAACTACGCAAAGAACGCAGAAGTTTGTGGTAATTCACACCTCAAACATAATTCAACGCACCAGAATATGATGATATTTGTATGCATATGTAATGATAGCGATACAATTTTGGGATATAATAATAAAATAATACAGTACATCATACACTGAAGAGAAGTCAAATTAGAGTTTGTAATTGGCAGCGTTGGCTGCTTGGCCGTTCGATTGATTAGATCGAGCCTTTTTGGCGTTATTAGAATCACCTTTTCCAACAACGGAAACACCTTTGTTGCCCATAAGCTTTCGTAAAGCTTCTTCTTTTTCTTCACTTGCCTTCTTTCCATTTTGCTTTCCGCCACCACTCTTTCCGGCGAATCGGCCACCTCTGTTTTGTCCAAATGCTTCACGATTGATTTCAACGGTTTTCTTGTGTTCGGCAATACGTTCGTTCTTTGAACGCTTCTCATCACGAAGTTGACGATGTCTTCTGCGTTTCTCTTCTGGTGTCAATTCAGATGAAGCGCCTTCCAGAGCTTCATTATGTGCTCCTGCAGCATACACCTCTTCTGGTGCCAATTGTGTACCATTAGACATGGTCGTCGGTAGACTTTCTTCCATGGAGATTGTTGGAGCATTGTTGATCGTTTGAATGGAAACTTTGGGAGCTTTGGGTGTAAAGTGAGCATTGCTCAAAGCGTCAAGTTGGGATTCCAAATTCTCGTAAAGCTGATCGATCTCTTCGTGCTCTTTTTGTAATTCCTTGTCAAGCTTTTGTCCTTGAGCGTCACCCACGCCACCGAAATCATCTTCGTACACTTGATCCAAACTTCTGGAACTCTTTTGATCACTGAGCTCTAGCATCTTGCTAGGCATGAAATCCAACGGCTGCAGTGTTGCCCTGCGTTGAACGTCATCAAAATTGTTTTCTAAGATGCGACTTTTGATCAAATCTTCAATAGACTTTGTCGTTTCGGGTGTGTTCACCGGCTTTGATTTACGGTTGCTTTCAAAATCAACATCTTCTTCCAACAAGCTATTCTCTGGTCTTGCGCGGGAGCCAGCTTCTCCCATCAATGTCCAGTCTTTTTTGCCTACATTTTCTCTCTCAAGTCGTGCGATTTCTTCTTGCAAGGCATTCAGACGTCGCTGATGACTCGATATGCCTGCAGCAGCATCATCTTCGGGATCTTCCTCTTCGTCTGCGAACAGGTCTCCAGCAACTCGTTCAGCTGTCTCTTGTTCAGCATCCGAATCCAAGAGTGCGTCTTCTTCAACTCCATTTGCATGCATTTGTTCGCCTGCATCAGAATCTGCTTCCATAATATCTTCATCTACCTCGTCCTCCTCGTCTTCCTCCTCATCTACTTCCTCTCCGCTTTCTTCATCTTCTTCCATACCATCCTCTTCTCCATCATCCTCGCTATCGCCTTCTTCGAAGTCCTCTTCATCACTCTCCTTCTCATCTCCCTCATCCTCGAAATCAGCACTATCGGGATCGGGATATTGTTGGAGCATTTGAAGTAACTCTGGTGTGATTTGCGTCTCTTTGGCTTTTCTTGCTTTGATACGCAGAACAGAGACTTCATCGTTGAAACGCACAGAAGGTACTCGCTTCGGTGCCTTTTCAACAGCAGCGGGTGGTTTTGCAGGTGATTTCTTGAATGATGGCTTTTCTTTCCCTGTGTCCGATTTGAATGGCGGTGGACCAAAGAAATCCTTGTAGTATACTTGTCCAGATCCTTCTCCCTCTTCGTCCTCGTCATCATCCTCGGGTTCGTCGACACTTTTGAACAAGTCAATTTCCTCACCCAAGTCGACGCCTTCATCACCATAATCATCTGTCTCTTTGTTGAATTGATCGATGGAGAAAAAGTCGTCATCCAATTCTGCATTTCGCTTGACCTTCTTTGCGTTTGAGGTCGATGAGCTTTCGCCTTCCTCATCAAGATTATCTAGGATTGATCTCTTTCGTCTCTCTTCCTCCTCTTCCTCTTCATCACTTCCGTTGTAATCTTGATCTTCATCGTCGTCGTCTTCTTCATCTTCTTCTTCCTCCTCCTCTTCATCATCGCTATCGTCTTCCTCTGGGCCCCCTTGCATCCTCTTCATCATTTTGGCGAACTGCCTTTGACTTCGCATTTGACGCTGTTCTCTTGCTTCAATCTCTGCTTTGCGTTTCTGTTGTTCTGCCTCGCTTAGAAGAGGCTCTGTGAGAATGACTCCGGACAATTCGTCGTCATCGCTCAAATCTGAGGCACCAGGATATCCATGAGCATCATCATCGGACTCTTCCTCATCTTCTGAATCATCGAATTGGCCCTCTTTGATTGCACTTTCAAAATCTTGTCTCTGTGAAGGATCGATTCCGATCGATCTTAATTCCGCATCGGTAAGCTTGTCTAGATTGTTTACAATCTCCTCTTCATCTTCTTCGCTTTGATCAAGTTTGGCTCGCTTATTGTCCTTCTTGCTCATCACTTCATCCTTCGCAACGCCATCTGCACTCTTACCCCATCCTTCCATCTCTTCTTCGTCATCTTCATCTTCTTCATCGGCATCTTCGTCTTCTGGCTGTTCAGTAACAATGATAGCATCCAATAAAGTTGAAACTTTTGCATTTCGCAATTCCATTTGATCCCATACCTGTCCTGCTGACATCCCATCAACAGATAATTCGGTCAAAGGTGTTTGTTCGAAAAGACGATGAACGTTCGTGTTCTTTTTCGCATTCTTTCTTTTTCTCTTTGATCCGGCCTTTGTTGATTCATCCACAACTTCATCATCGGGAAACGTTGAATGCAAAGTAGCAGCAATAGGTGGAATTGCAAGATTTTCCGTTTCTAACGAAAAATCAAACAATGCTTTCAATGCCTCCAAACCACTAGACGCTAATTGTGGGTCACCATGTAGAGCAAATCGATGCGGCTCTTGCATGATCAAATCTGCCAATTTGTTCGCTTTTTGCAACGCCATCGCTTGTGGTTTTCCATATGCAAAATTATCTTTGCCTTCTGCACCATCGGCGGCAGTGCCATTCTGTAATCCATTCGTATTACCCCCATCTTCAATACCGGCAGCAGAAATCAAAGCGTTTTCCATATTTGAATCATCGAGCTGATCAAGCGTAATCGTCATGGCGTTTTATCCCAATGGTCAACTTTGTCGATCTTGAACTCAATCACACCGACAAAAAGTATTGTTCTCCGAATCCAAAAGTCGTGATAAATGATGAACAGCTTTTTTTTTCAACAGCAAGGATCGCCTAAAGCTGCGCCAAAAGTGGAACCGAGTGTAAAGAGAGATTAGAAATGAAGATGGATTCAAACGTTTACGATTGAAAATCCAATCTCGAATTCTGTTACACCCAGGAAGGTTGCTTTGGCTTGCACTTTAAATGCGCGCGTTTGTTCCATAAATCAATCGTAAGCTTATTTTAAAGAATTGAAATTTCAACGTCACGTGGCACGGCCAGGAGCAGCATGAAGCAAAAGAAATGGTCATGATCATCAACTCCTAGAGGGTGTTCATGATTAAAGCATAGAGCGATGAATGTAAATTGCATGATCCCAATAAATTTACAAGTGGTATATGAATTCTACTAGTCCATCACCAACACAGCCACGAGAAAACCGACCATGATTTTTGAACGTCTACAGTAACATCCGTGACACTACTTGACAAAAATCGAATCAAATCCACATCGGCAGGATTCACGCTGCTCAAGCCGACTTGTGTAAAGTCTTTGGCAGAAAGGATTATTTTGCTTCCTCCTTTTACCTCTTTTCTTCCGTTCAATGGAGCTTGACCGGGATGAACGCCGTCGTCGGTATGGGAGCCATTTGCATCTGAATGGCCATTCCCTTCCCTTTCCAAAAGACGACCTTCACCAACTTGTTCAATAATCTTTTCATGAATTAAATCTTGAATAGAGACGACCAATTCATCTATCCAGTCTGACCAGCTGACAAATAAGCATAGTGCCAATCGGACACCTTCTCTTGCTTCACGGGCTAATTGCCTCTCCTCCGAAAGTGATTGATGAAGGTTAGCGTTAGATCCTTTGACAGATTGATCTGGGGAGACACTTGCACCATACTCGCTTGCCAAATGAGTTGCGCTCTGTTTCGAAGCCAAAGAGCGAGAATGACGTCTACGAGAGGCTACTGAATTGACTCCTACTGCAGCCAAGATGGGATCTTCCATGTACTCATCTCGATCTTCATTCTCTTCTGGGTTTCCATCTAAAGAGCGACGTCTCAAGATTGGACTTGAAGAAGGTATGCTCAATCGATTCGATCCTGATCGGTAGCCTCTCGTACTGCCACTTTCATCCGCTTCCCCTTCATCATCCTCTTCATCCTCCTCTTCTGAATCAGAGGGCAGAAGCATTATACTTGCTCGAACTCCTCCATCACTTCGAATGCTCAAAGGCACATATCCGTAGCTCTCGCGTAAGTTGAGCCGCCATCTCAATGGTAAAATGCGCAAACTTGAAAGCCAATACGTGAGAAAAGCCAGCATAGTTGAAGTGGAAGGTCTGGAGGGTGAGGAGCGAGCTACGTTCAGTTGACGTTTTGTGTTGTTCTGTGGCACATCTGACGAAATTGTCATACTTGATTGACTTTTGCGTCTGCTCAATGCACGTCTTGACTGTCGCATAGAAGAGGCATCGTAACTTGCTCTTTCATCCAAACCTCTGTAGATTGAGAATTCGCGAGTTGTCCACGTCTGCTTTTGAAGCGTAAAGGTTTGCTTTCCATCTGAATTGGTGACGACACGACTTCGGGAGAAGCGCGGTAGAGAAGTCGAATCGATAAAGTCAGAATCTTGTGTGGGTGCCATTGGACTTAGATCAAGAACGGCATCAAACAATTTGGGCTTCTCAAGCAAAATACGATCTGATGTCCATCCGATCCAGCTATGACCTTCTTTTTCCGCATTTGCCGATTCCAGTCTAGAAATATCATGCAATCCTAAGATCCCTATAACATCTAATCCATGCTCATCCGTCTTTTTGGAACTTCTGCCTGTGGCGGGGCACACTGCACCATTTTCCGGGGATTGACAAGCAGCATGTACTAACTCTGCCAGGTTGAATGCAATACTTGCAGCTTGCAATGCGGGACCTCCATGGGGCGTGAAAATCAACAATCGAAATGGTGATGCCAATAATCTTTTCAGAATGCCCGGCAAGAGCGGACCCAATGCATTGCTAACGGCAGGTAATTGCAATAGAGGATCATGTGGATAGAATGGTCCATCAGACACCAGATCGCGAGCAGATGTTGTGATGAACGTCGATGCACTTTTGTGGATTTCTAGCCATTCTTCCATTATACCATGACAGCCAGGATCAGCTGCAACCGCATCGGCCAACTTTTCTAATTGACAGATATGCGGCAATGTTGCAGCTAATTGAGACCAAGGCGTTCTTTGCGATCCACAATCAACGATTATGCCAACAGCGATCATCCTTGCTCCACGTTGATCGTCATTGTCGTTCCCGTCTGCACTTTCACGTTCTGCAATATTGATCTTTCGATTCTTGAATGCTGCCACTCCTACCAGATGACCACGTTCTGTGTTTGATCTTTGCTTATTTTGTCCTGCATTAACAACGTCGAAAAAGAGAATGTCACGTTCCAATAAATGTGATCCACTGGGTAAGACTTTCCATTCGATTCCCATCTTTGTTAAATCTTCGGTTGAATGTTGACCTTTTGCCCAAAAGATTTCATTACCCCTTCTTACGTGAAAATGAGCAGCAAAGATTGTGACTCCATTCTGTACAGGAACAGCATCTTCTACCGTCTGTCTTGCATTGCCCATCTCTGAACTCTCTGCCATGCTCATATTGGCTGGAGGTGTGTTGTGGTTGTTGTTGTAAATCAAGAGTGAACAATAGAGTACTTGAATGATTTACTCCTGTAATAATTCATCAATTAACAATTAATCTTAAAGCCCCGGCGCCTTTTAAGTTTATGCACCAATCAGACTTTTGCTAGTCCGCGCTTTGAAAGAAATAGGGTTATTACGCATATAAACATGGGAAACCGCTTAAGCCACTAATTAATGAGCGGCCCTTCTTCGAAGAGTAAATATTTGATAAAGATTAATAAATAGAGTACATACGTTTAAAATGATCATTCTTGGCATATTGTATATCTACCACTCATCCCTCTGCAGTACTATCAGAATCACTTTCGTCTTGTCCATAAACAATCAGCGCTGCTCCTCCAGATTTGCGACTATCATTTCTTCCAAGTTCAAATCCTCCTTGGAAACTTGTGTCAATATCACTATTTGACAATTTAGGCGATGATTCTCCTCTTGAACGAGATGAACTGGATCTTCCTTTCAACTTTCGGTACAACTTATTAGATCCACTTGCAATCTTTGCTTTACTCTCTGCTGCTTTGACAATCGATTCACGCAATGCAGATGCGCTTTGAGGAGATTTAAGCCCGTTCTCATTAACATTTTGTCCTTTCTCTGTAGAAACGTCTTGAGCTTTTTCTTTGCCTGAAAATGATTTACTCGAGTCTTGCTCGATTGGTTCACTAGAGTCATCCAATCGGAAATCGGCCGTGGCTAAATGTCTCTCGCTCAACGCTCTCGGAGGATCAGGAGGACCCGCAAGGCCAAATCGATCAGGGCTGTCCAACAAAGATCGGCTTGAAGGTTGAATGATACCATGCTGATATTTGCCAGTTGTTGAATTTGATGTGAGAGAGTCAACACTTGATTCTTCACTTGGGCTGTACTTTTGCTTTGCTTGTGATGATGAATCAAATGTGACTCTTCCAGAAGGTGCACTTCGGCTACTACCGGCTTCCACTTTACCCCTACCAGTATCCTCCGTGCTCATTGAGGTCATAGGCTTCAGGCCAAATAGAGGCAGCGATGTGGCACTATTACTACCGCTACCTGGTAGAGAAGTCGTCGTACCATTGGACTGGCTCCTGTGCTGATGCGAGTGATGATGGTGGTGGTGGTGGTGATGATGATTGCGTCCTTCCGAAGTAGTCGAATGACGTCTGCTTAGATTACTACGAGAACCTGTCGGACTATTTGATCTCGTAGCTGCTGCACTCGTATCATCGATATCATACTTTTCCTCTTCTCCTTCATCATCATCCTCTTCATCGTCGTCGTCATCATCATCCTCTTCCCGCGATCTGTGGTGAGCCAGTGCTTTGCTCTCTTCTTCTTTGCCCAGATGAATATTCGTATCGGGTTTCTCTTCCTCTTTCTGCTTCTGCTTTTCGATCTTTTCAACCTTTTCTTTTCCTGGCTTCTCATCGTGGGCTTGATCTTCTTCCCCTTCCTCTACCACGACAAAGCTTTTCTGTCTCTGTCTCTCGTTCCATTTCAATGTCCTGCTGATACTCTCGAACCAATCGATACTTTGATTTTCCGCACATACGGTCGGGAATGGATAACGACTTGCAGTAACTTTGATATGGTCACCTTGCTTCAATTCGACTCTTCCTCTTCCATCAAAACTGGCCCAAGCCGTACTGCGGGAATTGTAAGGAACAGCAATACGCAATTCCATACTATCAGGCAATAACATCGGCCTGAACGAAAGCGTGTGTGGACAGATAGGAGAGATGAGAATTGCAGGAATCTCAGGATGCACAAGAGATCCACCAGCAGACAAAGAGTAAGCGGTAGAACCTGTGGGTGTGGATATACACAATCCATCCGCTTGAGCTGTTGTCAAGTGATGTTCATCGCCAAATACTTCCAAGAGACTGACGTACGGACTTGGTCCGCGATCGACCACAAGATCATTGAGAACTTCAAACGTTTCCACAGGCCGTGTACTGAAGCACATGACTTCTTTATCTCTCTTTGGCCTTTCAGTAGAACGTGAAGCAGGCTCTTCTTCATCACTCCCTTGAGATCGATTAGCGTCACATGGCTTCTCAATTTGTTCCCAGCCTCCTTCTCGTACTGATTTCATGATGATCTCCCCAGTCTTTCCTGACTTGATAGCTCGCCTTCTCCTCTTGTCTACAGTAGCATTGTTGGGTAATGTTGCCCTATATACGGTCGCAGTGAAACGCATGCGCAAATTGACTCGAATGCCGGTATCAAGGGCAGATTTGAGCACCTTTTGATAATCCTTAAAGTCAAAATTGGTGAGAAAACCAAGAGAGCCTAACGCGAATGGCATTACTGGAGGCACAATACGTTGAAACAGCCAAGAACAGAACAGTACTGTACCATCTCCACCTAATGTGACAACGAAATCGAACAGATGTGGGGATCTACTACACATATCGCTAGTCCAATAACGCAAAAGACTCTCTTCCCTTGTAGGGCTTATCCGACTTCCATTCATACTGCTTTGTCCGCTCTTGGGAGGTTCGCTTTGGTCGTCTTGTTCAGATGTGGTGCTATTGCCGTTACCGTTTTGTGATTTTGGTTGGCTGAAAAGGTGAGGATAATCGCGTCGAATCCCTTCAGCATCGAACCGTTTGGATGCTCTCAATTGACTGTCAACATACACAGTCAAGCCTGAATCCCTTCCATTTCTTGGCGTTGTCATGAGCCAGATTGCCAGTTCTCTCGTTAATTTGATCAAATGATTATCTCTTGCTTTTGTAATGATCATGACACTTTGAATGGTAGACTTAACTCTTGCCCTGCCTAATTGCTTGCTCATTTCACGTACGCCTACAGCTGTTTCAGCAAGTTGTCTGGTCAAGCTTCGTACCCTCGTTTCTTGTTCTTCACTCGAATCATAGCTGCTATGATCTCCTTGACTCGTACTGGCACTACTGCTTGCACTGCTACCGCTTCCATCTTCGTCGTCACTATCCGGCTCAACCGCACCTCGCATACCTCTATGCATTGGCTGAGGTCTGGATGATGGCCTTCTAGAGCGTACTGCAAAATCATTCGACCCTTCTGTCTGTTCGAATGTATCTGTGTCGTTGGGTTTCTTTTCATTAGCATTTGAGTGTTGTACCACTTCTGGCTTTCGATATTCACTTTTATGAGAAGTAGTCGGGAATCCCAAAGCAGGCATAGATTGATATTGTTGAGCGTCAAAATAGCTTGGATCTTTTCTTATATTTCCCAAACCACTATCCAAGTAAGAATGAACAAAGCATGGACTTTGTAAAAGGCTTCCAGCTTGTCGTCCATGTTCGATAGATGTGTTGTTTGCCGGTGCATTTAATGTAGATGTTCCCCCCACCGTAACTCCATCGACATTTTTTCCGCTTAATGGTAGATCACCAACACCTGACATGATGATGACCTTACCTCCTTTCGAAGGTTCCTCTGTAAAGATGGCAAAAGGAAAGAGGAAAGAGGAACGAGACCGGCAATCTTTAATCAACATAGACTTCCCCAATAACGTACCACAACACAACGTGTGCAAAAATACCCTGCCGTCCCTGCGCCGGTCAAAATTTAGTAAGCCAAAGACTGTGCACGCAGCAGAAAAAGCACTTTGAGAGGTGCGGGAGGCACGCAAAGAGTGCAGAGAAAGTGATTTTGTATCAATTGAATATACAGTAGCAATGGGTATCAAGGAGGGTATAAAGTTGCATTAAAAGCATCAGGTCGATTAAAAAGTCTCCAAGTAGTATTCTTTTGCACATCTCCGTATGCTTCATTATTGTCCAAATACTTTTGATAGAGTTGATCGGTTGTATCGCCATAAACGGCTAAAGCAGTAGCAACGTGGGGTGCTAATTCTGCCTTTTCTACCATGGTGGAGTTCTGTGTTGCAACACCGAGGCAAAATTTGATCGCATCATTGATGGTTGTTGACACGTTTGACTTTGCTGCCCATTCATTCTTACCAACAAAGGCTGACAAACGTGCGTTCACAATCATAGGCTCAATGCCAAATGCACGATAGTGAGCAGGTCGAGTTCGGTTCGTTTCATTTGGTTGATCACCTTTTGCGTCAATAAGTCCGATGAAATCCTCGAGGAAATATTTATCAATCAATGAATTTGTCATATTTCGATTCTCAATCAAGACATTTGACGCAATTGCTTGCGTGTACCACCAAGATTTAATATTGTTCTTTTTGCTTCTTGCCGTGATTGAGACGTCAAGATCATTCAATAACCATTCGGAGAACTGTTGTGTCCATTGCCGCATTTTAGCATCATCTGATTGTGTCCAAGGCGAACATTTCGTCTCTCTCAAGATGATCACAGCATTCCAAGCTTTCACCAAATGGCGTGAATCAACAAGACCGCGAAAGGTACCAATCGTCCAATTATTATCTGATCCATTCCGAGCAGGACCACGAATTATTTGACCATATTTCATTTGCGGTCTCATGGCGGTTGCTTCATCAAGGAAGAAGTATCGAATAATCAAAGACGAGCGCTTTCCATATTTCATATCTCCCGTTAAAACGTACAGAACTGCATTCAAAAAAGCTGCTCTGCAAGCAGATCGTAAAACAGTTGGATCGCTGAGCAATTCTATGTCTGGATTCGTTTGTCCGTCAAAATTTTTGTATGGACAATTCTTCCACACCAGCAATTTGTCTTGCTCGGCATCAGGATTGGCGCAATAATCAGGAAAAGTTTCATTCGTGCTTGTGTCACCAGTCACTGGCTTGGTCGCATTGACTTGTGCCGAAGTTTGTCCTACTGCTGGAGATGTCTTGTTCTGTCCCACTTCAGCTGTGGTGGGAGCTTTATTGGTCTCTGCTTTTGCGAGCGTACTGTTGTTGTGCTTTGCTTCAGTCTTGGAAGTTTCTTTGCTTTCTGTCTTTACACCAGAGTCTTGTTTTTGATCTTTGCTGGCGGCGCTAGCAGAGGAGGTTTTGTTTTGACTCAAGCCATTGTCAACCGGTTTCTGAGCATAGTCATTGCTGGAATCAGGTGTTTCAACCTTCTTTGAGTTCTCTGGAGTTGAAGTGGTGTTTGTGGTCGCAAATCCACTTGCTTTGTCATTGTTATCGGTCGTATCACGCTTCATCCTTCGTTTCTGCATGTTCGATGATTTATTTGGTATTGTGCTATTGACGGGCCAGAAGTACCTTGCCCAGCTCGTATACTGGTGGACGTCTCCATCAGGAACTACTAATGGACTCTTGTTTGTCACAGTCCAAGGGCCACCCAATTTGTCGTACGTTTCTGTCAGAAATTTGAGGTTTTCTAGAACAGCAGCCAGCTCCTTCAATTGATCGGGTGCTTGTCGTAGTCGTACAAGGCTTTCAGGAACCACCCAGTCCACCCTATCCAAGTCGATTTGTTGAGTATCGGATAGCATATCATTAATGTCTTTATATGGCGTTGAGAAAAGGTTGCCGATAGAAGTTGTGAGAGAGATTACAATATCGTTATCAGCCGCACATATATTCGCAAACGCCAAGAAGCCGCAAAGAAGGAGGGTAGAAATTTTAATCAACATCGTGAGAGATCGATGATGGTGTCAGGGGGTAAAGAGAGTCAGTGAAGAGCATGATGGGGAAAGGGCAAGAACATGCTTGTCTTACCTTTTGCCTAATAAACTCGAATAGCGGCTCGCAAGAGCGTGCAGATTAAATTACGTCAAATAGGAGAATCAGGCTCCGCGCTCGTACTTGTAGTCGCAGCGGTCGCCGTCTAGAAAACAAAGGATAACAAAGTGAAATGAGCCTTACAGTGTTTTTTTGCCGAATGAATGGTAAATTTACGCCTTCTTCTTTATCGAATTCCTGCCCTTTTCGATTTGAGTGGTTACGGCGCCGTTACTATGAGGAAATTGAACGGAGAGGACCTTCTAGTATTTGGCGGAGCGTATAGTCAAGGATATCGAATCTCAACAAAATTGTGATTTTTTTGTGAGGTGGTGATGATGATGATGATGATGGTGGAAACAGGAATACATGCAATGTCCGTGGAATTGTGAAATAACGCTAAATCAATCTACGCTAAAGAAGTGGTGATACAGTGGGGATCACCACCGTATTCGAATGAATGCTGTTTGATAATCGAGCAAAGGTCTCGAGTAGAGTAAGCATAATCTCTTCTGCTTAATTGATGAAAGTGTTCTTGGGAAACGGTGTTTCAATTAATCCAGAAAAAAAAAACAAAGAAAATTTAATCACTGCGGCTGAAGAAATGAAACGGACTTTCAAATCTATATTGCGAGAAATTAATGCATTTCATGCCGCTGTCCAAGCTGTTACTCGATTTGACTCAGCTCACCATCATGTCAAGCAAATAGCAGTAGTAAGATGGACTTCATGCTTTTCCAAATCTTTGTTGCGATACTGATTACACTCAAGTGTATCACTGCAAATCCGCAAAATCCAGAGCCTTGTTGCACCTGTTTCTCTAAAGGATGCAATGATCCTTGTTGTATGAGAGGAGCAACGACATCATTTTGAATCAATGTGAGTGATGAATGAGAGTCAACCTTTGCCGGATACTTACTTTGTTCTTCCTCACCTCTTTTACGCTGAGCAGAATACCGTTTTCGGACGTAACTCCACTATTTGTTTATTAAATAGCGCCTGCGCAGATCCCTTGTCGATTATTAGCCTCTTTTTTCTTAGTCTGCCTTCTCGCGTGCTGTGGTGAGTTTAATTTTTTCCAGCGTGCGCTTTGTATATGCATGAGAAGAAGGCTTAATGCAAAAAAAAAAAGAAACGAAAAGAGGGAAAAAAAGTGAAATTTTGGCAAAATAAAGAATGAACAAATTATATGCTTCCAATCCTTCTTTCGATCACCTTATCATCACATTTCCATCCATCCTCATCCTTTTCTTCACCTTACGATATCTCTTCCTTCTTCCTTTTAAACATACATCCATCATGTCTGACGCCAACGCCATGCAAATTGATTCTCAATCACCAGCAAAGATGGAAGAAACAGAGCAAACGGCTATGAAACCAGAAGAGAATTATTCAGGAGATGGTAGTCTGTCAAGCGAAGCAGCAGTTTTCCAACAACAAAGCAATAACGGCATTCATGGTATGGGAAGTGCACCTACAATTCTCACTTTACGTTCTTTAGTGAGCACAAAAGAGGCAGGTGTAATCATCGGAAAAGGTGGTGCAAATGTGGCCGAATTACGTGAAAAGAGTGGTGTAAAAGCAGGCGTAAGCAAAGTCATTCAAGGCGTTCATGATCGTGTTTTGAGCATCACAGGTACGATCGAATCAATCGCTTTAGCTTTCTCTTTGATCGCTGCTACAATTTTGGAAAACCCTTTAACTCCTGGCATGCCTGCCGTTCCTGCAAGCGATGGCGCTGCTGGCAGCGCTACAATTCGCTTATTGATCGCACATAGTTTGATGGGCACCGTTATTGGTCGTCAGGGTTTGAAAATCAAGCACATTCAAGACACTTCTGGTGTACGCATGGTTGCATCAAAAGATATGCTACCATCCTCAACCGAACGTATTGTTGAAGTACAAGGTTCAGTTCAAGGTATTCAAATGGCTGTTGGTGAAATTGGTCACTGCTTATTGGAAGATTGGGAACGTGGACAAGGAACAATCCTATATAATCCTGCTTTGGATACTAGTGGTGCAGGTGTCTTGGCCATGACTGGCGAAGGTGGCTTATTGCCTCAACCTCAAGGCGGCCGTCGTGGAATGGGCGGTCAAGGCTTCAACGGTCCTTTTACCGCACGTAGAATGCAAGGTATGCCACACGCAAACAACAACAACACAAGTCGTGCTGCTGCTGTGAACCCAGGTGGTTCGTTTGTTCCACCTACCACAGAAGGTGGACAAATTCCAGCACAAGTGATCGAAGGTGATATTCGTGTACAAAACATCAGCATTCCGTCTGATATGGTTGGTTGCATTATCGGTAAAGGTGGAAGTAAGATCACTGAGATTCGTCGCTTGAGTGGAAGTCGTATCTCTATCGCTAAAGTACCTCATGATGATAGCGGTGAAAGAATGTTCACCATTCAAGGTACCGCAGAATCTAACGAAAAGGCTTTGTTCCTGTTATACAACTCATTAGAACAAGAGAAAGAACGCCGAGCATCTGCACAAGGTCCTTCAATGGGAGGCGAAGATAGTGGAGTTAACGGAACGGAGAATGTCAAGATGGAGGCTTAAGAAAGAAGGAGGGAGAGACTAGAATTGATAATCGATCTAATGTGTAGAAGGGATTCAAAGCATCCCACCGAGAGAGAACGTAATATACGTTTTACCAAATCCTCTGATCATCATCATCATCCAATCTTTGTACGGCTAACTTGTATTTTGTAGAAGAAAAAAGAAGAATGAATCAAAAAGATGTACTCTCTTTCTTACGTGTCCATGGTGAATTGTACAATCGTGTAAGTTTATGATACACTTTCCAGTCGTTCAGGCTTGGTTATCTTCCTCCATGCGCATACATCCAAGCTGAGGTCCGTCTTGTGGAGTCGGTAAAAGCTCGTGTAGATCAACATTGCCTACAGTTTCCAATTCCATCTTGAAGCCAAGCATGAGCAATTTACTTAACTCGTATTTGAACGTTTCTTGGAGATCATCTTGCGTGAGCAAAGAAAGAGCTCGCTCAATTTCCGGCGTTTTGAGTGCGATACAATCGTCCTTGCCACCAACGTCCAAGATACATGCGGCATCTTCTCTAAAACTTCTTTGAGATTCAAAGACATCTTGCATTTCTTCGTCTTCTTCTTCGGCAGCAGACTCTTGCTGTGAATGCGTCATTGCCAATTCTTGATTTCGCCCAACAAAGTCTCGCCAGCGTGATGGTCGTAATCCTATCCATTCTAAAGAACATTTGGATCTTGTCACATCGTGAGCTTGATGCTTTAGATCGGACAAGTACACCTTTGCTATGTTCATCCCGTACGCATCTATGAGAAAGAGGTGATCGTGTTAGCTGGTCCTTGCAGTTCAAATTTTCTGTAATACGTACCTCCATCTGTTAGTATATGGAAAGGTGTGCTTAAATAAAAAGATCTGTTAGTCAAAAATCAAGGGACGATGTTGTAGCTCGTCAACTCACTCAATAGGCAGAATTCCACAAAGATGATCGACAAACCTCCTCGTTGCGAAATCAGCAAACCCTTTTCCCTAATTGGATCATGAAAGAAAATGTAAGCCTAATCTAATCGTGGAAGCCTTCACGGGCCTTTTTCATTGTACTTACCGTGATGATGATACCGTAGCCTTTGCCGCCGTTGTCACTTTCATTTCGAAGGGCTCGATTGAGCTTCTGAACGCATTCGTTGAACACCGTATCCTTCTCGATAATGAGGACCCAAGGTACCGGCTGCGTGAAGAATATTTCTTCGATGATCGAAATATCTTCAATCAGAGTCGGCGTGTATACTAAACGCTGATTTGATGTCCCAGAGACGGTACTACTCTGTGTTGCATTCAGGTTACCCGACGTGCTTTGACTGCTTCCTTGTTGACTCGGAGAAGAATATGGCATACTGATATCATCTTCCGCTACCGTCTGACTGTAGTCTTGCGACTCTCCACTTGACATTTGTGAGGAGGTGATTGACGACTGTGAATCATTTGCTGTCGTTTGAGAATCATCAGATCTTGCCATTCCTCCTCTGACGACATAACTCGTTTTCAACTGGATGTTTATTGGTCCGGCAACCAGACCTTTGGGACTTGGTAAAATGTTGAATGCACTTGAATGAACGCCCCAAAATTTTGACAATTTGTCCACCCAAGTGTATACTTTGGCCATATCGTTCTCGAATGTTTGTTTGCTTTCATAAAAGATCCTTCTCATTCTTTTCATTTCTTTTTGCTTCTTTGCTCGTAGAATGCTGCGCAAAACGATTAGTAGTTGTGCTATGATCGTGTGTGTCAGTATTTTGAGAAGCAATGCCTACCTAAAAATTCGACTCACCTCTACGCTGATAATCTTGATGGGCTTTGCACGGCAATGTAAGATGGGAAATGAGTGCACTGAGTGAAAAGCAAGGCGTCAGAAGTGCTTTTACAGGCATTCTGCACGGTACTCACCTTTCGTCGATTACACTGTCTGAGCTAGGACTTTCGATTGACATATTTACATCAATTTCCAATTCATCCAACCTCTCTTGTATTTCTCTAGCTTCGTCCCTACTGCTCTCAAGCGCATCGGACTGCGTGTCACTCTCTTGATCTGATGCTGCGGAACTTTGACTATCATTCTGGCTACTGTTTGATCCATTTTGGATCTCTATGCCCTCTGCAGAAAGCCAGTGACGGTCGACTTGTGTAGGATCGTAGATAATGCGAGGTCGTACCTTTCGACCAGAGCGTCTTATCGGGTGACTTTTTTCATCCCAAATGCTTTGACATAATTGACAAATCAATTTACAAATGACCGTAACAACGTCCTCTTCGTCGATCTTGACATGATTCATTGTACCTTGTTGAAAAATTAAGATGCTGTAGTGAAGGTAGAAAGAACGAGGCGAATGTATGCGCTTCAAAAGGCTGAATGTGTAGCGATCAATTAACGGCCAGAATGAACCCGAGTATATGCATGTTGCATTTTCTCTTACCTCAAAACTTACAACCAATCCTTGATCACAGATATATGCTAGAAGCACATCTGAAAGATAACAAGCTCGTTATCGAATCATCCCAAAACTCTCCAAAAGGGTATGCATTTACGACGCGATATTATACAGTATAACTCAATCCAATAACTCTTTCATGCTCCCGCCGCTTCTTTGTTTGCTTTTCTCAGTGCATTGCCTGTTTTGCTTCCTTTAGATCGAATGGTGTTCTGATTGGATGACGTACCAGATTCTTCAACTGAATTACTTGCATTTCCCGAAGCACCACCTTCCGGAAGAGGTGATGGTGCAGAAGGCAAAGTGAACTCTTCCGTGATGAATGGATGCTGCAATAATTCCTCCGCTGATGGTCGCATATTATGATCCAATTCGAACGTCTTTGTCAAGAAATCAACAGCTTCTGGTGAAATTTCATCCGGCATCGAAGGTTTGGCAAGTGATCCAATTTGATAAAGCGCTTGCATTTGATTCAAATTGGCCCACGGATGAGTACCGCTAATCATTTCTACAACCAAACATCCTAATGACCAAATATCTGCCTTTCGTGTGTAGGATGTTTGCTTGACCACTTCAGGAGCCATCCAGAACACACTTCCTTGCAATGATGGTCTGTGAGTGACGTATAGACCACTTTCCGTCTTTTTACTGATACCGAAATCACTAATCTTGATACAACTCTTGTTGTCAACCAAAATGTTAGCCCCTTTGATGTCACGATGAACGATGTCTTGACTATGCAAGAAATTAAGTCCATGCAAAATTTGTTTGACAAAGTTGCGCACCAACGGTTCTTCAAACGCACCATAATTGCGCAGCAAAGCTGCCACTGAACCACCCGGAACGTATTCAAGAAAAATGTTGAGATGGGTGCCGTCAGCATAGGAATCTAAGTACTGTACAATGTTGTCGTGTTGCAAAGTTTTGAGTAATTCGATCTCACGTTCCAATGCCTCAAGCATGCTCTTTTTGCGTTGATCGCTATGAGAATCGCCAGAAGGCAGCTCAACTTGTTTGACCGCCATCAAAAGACCATTCTTGGCATTCATTCCCAAAAACACATTACCGAACGATCCAGCTCCGATGAGAGCTCCCTTGATCCATTTGATCGGTTCACGACCCGGAGCTGCAGATTGATAGACGCCTCCTTCACCATCACCTTCTTCGTCGCTCAAATCATCTTCGCCATCATCATCGTAATCATCATCAGTTTCCAATCCGTCGCTTGGATCATCTTCGTCACTAACACGTGTGACTGCCATCGGATCGCCAAAGTGCCTGTCAGTTTCCTCCCCTGGAGCATCTGCGCTTGGCCTTTGCGTGATATCTGCATCGCTTTCCTCGCCAACAGAGACTTCATCATCTGTCGCACTCAGAGACACGCTTCGTCTGCTGCTCGGTCGAGTATTTCCTACGATAGATGAGTTGAGTGTATGTCGTTTGGTTGGTGGTAAGGGAATCGGTACACCATCTTCGTCGACTACCCAACTTGAGGATGCAATCGTGTTGAAACTTTCTCTTCTATTTTCAACCTCTTGCGTAATTTCATCAACTGTCAACAGACTTGCCGTTTCGCTTCGATCACCTTTTGAGAAATTGGATGCAGCTCCGCCACCCACGCCATCCTCTGCACCAATGCCTCTTGCCATGCGCAATTTGGTGGCCAAACTTTGTCGACTACGAGAGCTTTCTCCTGACGTCCGACGATAAGACGAAGGGCGATTGCTATAACGAATGCTTCCGGCTGCAGATGATGAGCCGTTTGGTGGATGTATGCTGGCTGCCCATTCGCCCATCGAGGCACGTACTGGAGGCAAGATGGGTGCTTGTTGATCGTTATCGTGCATATCACCTCCATCCATTCCTATTAAGATGGCAGGAGCAGCATTTTCGACATTCTCTTTGCTAGGCAATGGAGGAGCATCTGGATCTGCTGCAAAACTCCAAGTTGAATCACGTTTAGATCGAATACTGGTAGAAGGACGACCATAAATCGATCGACGTGCAGTTCGTTCCAAAACCTTTTTCTCAGTTGAAGGGAAATAATCGCTCAAGTGTGAACTGATCAATTCGGAAGGCGGTCTTTGGCCAAAGAAGTTACGTGCTTTCTTTGGAATCATTGAAACATGTGGTGGAGATCGCTGTGATCCATCGCGATTTTCTTTCGCATTCTTTGCTTGATTCACACCCAAGCCTGAGAGTATGCTCATCGTGCTAGCCCTGTTCATTCGTTTTCCTTCTATTGTCACATGTCCACTTGTTGAAGATGCATCATCTGGCAAGCTAAAGGCGGAATTGCTCGACATCTTATCCTGCGAAACACCAAAGAAGGATTCAAGCTTGCTTCTTTTCGCTGTTGGTCGCTTGCCTGGATCTTCACCTTTGCCTATCCTGCGCAGAAGCAATCCACGCTCTCGCAGAGGATCATGTGGTTGCGGCGCATGACAGATAGCAGTCAGTTCATTATCTGTCAAATACTTTATTTGTCCTTCCCCGCCTGTAGCGAATATACCCCACAAATCACCGCCATCATCGCTATCGAACATTTCGTCGTCTGCAGTATACATCTGACCTGCTGTTGGGACATAGCTGTTGCCTTGGGAATGTTTGCTGAACTTGCGCAATACACGAGCTAGTACATCATGTGCATCTCTGCAATCAGCAACAGGTACAACTTTTGAAGTACCATCTTCTCCGATAAATTTGATCGTCTTCTTTCTGACATCATCTAGAGCTAATGCGCCTGGAGGACTACCGACGAGCCTAGATCCATCATTGGCATAGCTATAGAATCCTTTATTGTCTCTTGGCGATGGACGAGATGATTCGGCGATGGGTGATAGAGCTGCTGCTGAATGTGCATTGATGTTTGGATTGGCAGAAACTGCACCACGTCCTCCATCAGATGTCGAAGGTCTAGGAGCGGGAAAGTTGGTATATGTTGGACTATTGTTCGAGATTGAAGATCCTCCTATTGCAGTGTTTGGACGAGCATTATTTGGATAATTTGCAACCCGCAAAGATGAATTGGGTGATGCCATTCCGTTTGTATCGCCTCTCGAGCGGGTCATTGTCCAACCACCAGTTGCGCCCATTCCCCGCATATCACGTAAAGTCGGTGTTCCTCTCCCTCCAGCCGTAGAAGGTGAGAGAGAAGATTGTGAAGCATCCATTGATGGTCCTCCATACATTGGTGAATGACGGAGGGAGGATGCGTTACCTAGTTGAGGCGCCAATCCACCATCTTCAAATTCCCTATCCCCAGACATCTCACCATCCATCCATTCTACTTCATTTTGTGCTGCTTTTGTCTGTGCTGAGCGTTGAATAGACTCCGTTTCCGCACATTTCTTCTTTAGATTTTTGATTGCACTCGTAATTCGTATCCGATCGCCAACACTCATGACTCCCATCTCTTTCAAGAATCCGTTATCGATATCGAAAAGGACTGCGCCAGAAATGTCATTCTTTGTGAAAGCAGAAGAATGTGCTGAAAGTCTGACGGATTGTAGCCATGCAATAACTTCATTCTCATCCCATCGTAATACATCATCAAAGACCAGTCCGCCCATATTGCCATTGATTGACATTGTGCCGGAATTTGGTGTTTGGGGTTTGCTATTTACACCGCTTCTAGAGGGTGTGCCTATTGTTCGCAGATTATCTCTTGGACTTCCGCTGATAGAGGTGAAGCTTGGTGTTGTAGGTGTGACAGCAGGCATGCCGATTTGCAAGGGTTAGGAGCTGATGAACCTCCAAAGCTATAATGAATGCGAAGTATCGTTTGCACTACCATCCGATGCCCATCCCTCTTTTAAGGGACCTTCGATAAAGCACGACTCTTGCGTTTTGATTGTTATGGCTATTCGACAAGAGGTTGTCAAAGAGGATGACACTGCCAAATGAGAAAGGTACGCACAAAAGTAAGCCATGGGCAAGCATACTTATTAAATTGCGTGTGCATACACACACGCACACGCAAATGCAAACGCCCACAGATAAAGATTACCAACAACAACATGGGGGGAAGGGCGCTAATATGAGTTAGCGTGGCTTTACTACGCCATCATCGAAATTATATAATCACAATACTCCTTGTCATCGCTAAGAAAGTGAGATGGAATTGTGTTTCTTGGCGATCTAATCGAGTCGATGATTGTGACCTTGTAATATACATACTGGCTTTGACTCTCTTCATGATCCCTATTCCACACCTGTCTGATACGTAATATGCTAATATAAAGGAATGGTTATATAATTGATCTTCCTTTCTTTTTTACATATCCAGTTTCTTCATCACACGACTAAGGAGCTTTAGCTGAAAAATCGACTTTTAATGATATGCATGCTTTGATTCTAGTTGTAATCTATACCTGGAAGATACATGTAGCCTTATATCTTTAAATTTTTCATGGTCCATTTTTTACCAAAAAGAACTTTATTGATACAATAAAAATATAGTCCATTTTATAAACATGTGTAAATCTGATATGACGAAGGATAAGAAACAAAGTTGTTGTAAAGCTTATGACTAGTATAAACAATGGAAATGTGTCATGAGTATAGCGTTTCGAATTAAAATAGAAAAGGAACATTAAGCTGATGACACCGTCTTAATTCATTAGATATAGCAGAAACGGACAACCTTTAATTTAGTTTGACTGTTTCTATAATTCTATATATGCTCCTGTCATTCATATCATAAACTTTAGAAGACAATGAAACAATAAATTCTATTGTATGGATCACAATTTTGTGTGCATTCGCAATATAAGTGCAGCCTTTTTAAGTTAAGCCGAGATAATCAAACCTTAAGGACAGAAGAAGTTTAAGCGCGGCGCGTGAGACAACACAAAAGAGGAACGCAAGCACGCACTCACGCATGCACACGTCGGACTATCGGCACAAATCGAAAACAAGAAAAAGAGCATGCGTGTGCACGCGCAGTCAAACGCTAAAGCGGATCAGTGTTTTTCACTAAAAAGAAGATAGAGCCTTTAGTGGAGACTTAGACTACTCAATCTTCGATCAGGGTTGCAACTTTTAGCGAATGAACTAGAAAAATTGAGAAGAAAAGGTGGCTGATTACCATTTCACCTTTTCCATTCATCCTACCGTTACTGCGCCGTTCAGTAGAAGGGAAGGGAAAATTGCAAAGGGTGATCGTATTCATTTCACATTCAATAAAATTCAACTTTTATGAACACAACATGCATTCATCAATCTCACTTCGATCAAATCATCATCAATTCCTACTAAGGCATTGAATACAACAATGAGGCCAAACAACAAGGCTCAAAATGGGAGAAAGCATGCCGCCTCTTCATCTTCAACTATTGATGGTGGCAATGAATTCATAGGCACACATTACACCCCTTCTCCAGACAACCAAACATTTGCAACTTATCCTGGCATGGAATTACATGACGCAGGATCACAACTAGACATGAATGCATACACCGGCATTCATCAATCTCAATCTCCCCATCCATCAAATCAATACCATTCACGTTCCAACTATCATTACGGCAATCAAGCACGACCGCCACCATCGCAAAACCAACAACATTATTTGCCGCCAAACTCTTATCAACCGGATCCACTAAGTCCATCGGGCATACATGGGCAATACGCTCAAAATGTGGCGGGAGGAGAAATGGGACCTTATACTACCATGTCTGGGATGAGTGGAGAATCGCAAATGCAGGGCGGCTCTATCGGTCCTGGCATTTCGTCAAATGCAGATTTGCCTTCTGCCACTGTTTCGCCAACCGATAGCGTTCATGATGTTGCCCAAGATCCGTATTATGCGCCTTATGGTGCTCCTGGAAATACACAGGTAGGACCGCAATTCTATTCTGCTGCTACTGGGCCCACATATGGTCAAGGGCAGTATCAATCAAACCCATACGGGATGCAATACTATCCACCCTATGCACAACCGCCTTACTATAACCCACAACGACCGCCGCCCGGATGGATCGGCGCACCTTCACCACAGCATCAAGGTTGGCGACCATCTCCGTATTACAATTATGGCGGAAATTTGACTGTTGCACCTTTTCATCGTACGCCGAATGCAAATAGGTCTCGGCAGCAATCCAGTCAAGGAACTCATGTAGGCTCAAGAAGTGCAAGTACCTCATCTCGAACATCGCCCAATTCTAATACACCATCGCGTTCAGGTGCCCCGTCAGGTATACCAACACCTGAATCTTCTAGAAGTGGCTCAAATCGAGGTGTCAGAGCACCTTCGCAGTCTTTACAGGGTCAAGGACCCAGATCCGAGTACGTATTGTGGTGTGGCAACGTTCCCGCAGATGCAACTGTGGATGAGCTGTATGCTTTCTTTTCGCGTCTGCCAAATGACAATGATGAAGGTAATCGAAAGAAGACAAACACCTCCGGATCATCAACTCCATCAGCAGATCCTCAAGATCCAGCTGTTCCAGCACATGGCGTTTTATCCATCTTTATCATCACCAGGTCCAGCTGTGCTTTCATCAATTACGCCACTCCATTGCACCTCGAACGTGCACTAGTATTCTTTCAAGGTCAATCATTACGTCCAGAGGATCCACGCTGTCCGAAATTGGTTTGCAGAGTGCGGAAGAAAGATGACGAAGCACAAGCAGGAGTTGCAGGTCAACGAGGAAGGGGAATACATGTTGCATGGCTGAAAGAACACGAAAGGAAAGCTAAAGAAGAGCGTCAGCTATATGAGGAGAATGACACAAATGCACAACACCTTGTCGCTCCACAAGCTGTTAGGTCAAAAGGTGGTGTTGCTTTGGATAGGGAAGGCGTAGAGCACGATGCGACAGATGTACCCTCAGCTCTTACACCAACACCACAAAGAGCAAACGTGTCGTATTCTTCGCAACAAAGACCTTCCATTGACAGTTCAAGTGGAGGGTCAGGATCGATATCATTGGCTTCAACAAATTCTTCCTTGTTCCGGCATCCTGCTTTCAGAGAAAGGTTCTTCATCTTAAAGAGTTTGCGAGTTGAGGACTTGGATCAATCTGTCAAAGACGGCACATGGGCTACACAATCTCACAATGAAGCCGTCTTGGATCAAGCTTTCCGTAATAGTGAATCGGTTTATTTGATTTTCAGTGCTAATCAAAGCGGTGGCTTTTACGGCTATGCCCGCATGGCAGGACCGATCAACGCACCAGCAGACAGAAATGCAACCATTCGACCCGACTCCATCCCCGAAGGTGACGAAAGTGGAAGCGACTCACAACAAAAATTAGCGCTACCGCCTCAAACACTCACAGATGTGGGTAGTGCATATCTCTCTCCATTGCAATTGACTCCCTCAAGCGAAGGGCACGATGATGCATTGACTATTCAGAACATCAATTCAGTTTCTTTAGATGTTCCAAAGAGAGATACCGAAAAAAGAGGTCCCCAGCGATCTACGATCTCGTCCACCCCTTCTATCAAAATCAATGAAAGGACTGATACAATCTCACCAACGGATTTCGTTGCGAAACCATCGGCTGCACCTCCTGTGACAGTGACCGCTCAAACGCCCGATGCATCTACGAAAGGTGTTGGAGAAACATTGGATCCTACTTTGCAGGTACCTGATAGCACAGCCGCTATTGTGATCTCGCCCAGTACTGAGGAGGAGAGAGAGCTATTCTCATCTGAGCTGGATCCGGATCGAACAAATCAGCGCGGAAATCGGACTAACCCCAATCGACAAACCCTCTCTCTTGGCAGCACGACCAGTGAGCCTATCAGAGGATCTCCAAAAACGATTGAATCTAATGGCGATAATAGTATCGGACCGAATGAATCAGCGTCTTATCCTACCGATGCTCGAAGTCAAAGTCAACTGGCGATCAAAGCACTCATTCATAATTTACGATTGGATGAAAAAGAATCCGTGCACAGGGCAAAACAACTTGAAGCAGTAGAAGCTGAAATGAAAGCAAAAGATCACTCTGGACATAATTCTCCCGATCCAGAACATTCAACAGCTCAAACGACGATCAAACCTCAACCTTTAGCATCCTGCCCCGAAACATGGGGTAAATCGTTCAAAGTGGAATGGATTAAAGTGCATCCGATCAGCTTTTCAAGTGTTCGCAGATTACGCAATCCTTGGCGTGATGATCGTCAAATCAAAGTTTCACGAGATGGAACTGAATTGGAGCCAAACGTCGGCAGACAATTGCTGGAAGAATGGACTAAAGCAGAAAACGAGGGTAATCGTACCTCAAAAGGTGCTTCGAGCAATGCAGACGACGATGAAGAAGAGGAGGATGAATGATCATTATCAACATATCAAAATAGTATTTTAATCGCATATCACAGCATCACAAATAGCAAATACATCAAGCTATCATATCAAATATACAAATAAGAAATTCATTTTTCCCAACTCAACAGGAACCACAATATACCAATACACGCAGGCCTTGGGTTTTCTATCAACTTTCACTTCAAAATTGTTTTTATTAGCCAATCTTCCTTTTATACATGCAAATACCTGGCTTACACGAATTCGTGGTTTCTTCTCTTTCTAATAAATCAACTTTTTCATTATTGTTGAACAGAGGGAATATTTCTGTTACACTCCATCGATCTATACATTCTATATCGTTACATAAATTGGTTGTACTACTAGAAGTCATATACACGACGTCATCTAATTGTACCTTTATATAGTTTTCAATCAGCAAGATTTCAAGTCACATCCATTAACAAGAGTGTTTTTGACGAATTAGTGAAACGGGTCAACATGATTTTCGACAGCGCGAAGTGTTTAGCGCGAAAATAAAAGAAAGAATTTACTTTTTCACCTTTTTGTCTAGTTGGTATATATACCCACCAAAGTTCAGGCCTTGATCATTGATGGTGCGATGGGGAAGTCGGATAGTGGCTATTCCGTGTGCTTAAGGTGCCTCTCGCTTAGGCGACGGTTACAATTCGCACATCCTTCGGGGCGTGGGTTCGAATCCCACCTTCCTCAACTACTTTTTTTTGGCGTGTTTTTCCTTAGCTTTATAATTTAGAGGTCAAAGCCACACACATTTGAATCTTTCACAATGCTCATATTTCGTATGCTACAAGGTACAACATTTTTACAGTAATCTTGCATTCGTCATTCTTGCTTATCGCCACCATCACCCAAGATATCCTTCATGCTATGCGATGCTTGTCCTCTCTTTAATGGCTTCCTCTGAGAGGCATCTGGCTTCCAACCGATAAGGTAAATTACGTGATATGTTGCCGGAATAGTTCCTTCTTCTACGTTTCCATGAATGAGGGGGTAGATTGCACTTGCTGCTAAAAGAGTGTCTCGTTTCATTTGCGTTCTCCTGTGAATCACTGCATTGCTTTCGCCCATTGATCGAAGATCGAACATTAGCTCAAAAATGGAAGGATAATTGACTTCAATCTCATCTGTATCGACTGTAGGAATATTGAAGCCTGCCCGAGAAAGAAGAGAGACCATATCACGAGAATCGGCCATCGGCGATATCCTAGGAGAGATTCCACCTTCACGTTCTTGTTCAGCTAGTTGGAAACTTGTTCGTAACTCAAAAAGAGTGTCTCCACCGCATACTGATCCGATAAAAAGGCCGTCTGGCTTGAGAGCACGCTGAATCTGTACCAATGCTCCTGGCAAGTCATTGGTCCAATGTAGACTGCCATTGCAAACGACACAATCTAGACTGTTTTCCTCGAACGGTAAATGCTCTTCATCGATCACCCTTCTCTCGAATTCCAGGGGATAATTGCCATCTTCGTTGACGTCACGATTGAGAGCTGTTTCGCTTGTATCGCACATGATAATCTTTTTCGTCCCCGTTGCTTTGGCGTCTAAATGACGACGTAATAGACCTGGCCCAGCACCCAATTCGACAATCGTTTCAAAATTTCTCTTTACATCCAACAATCGTTCGCATAGATTTGCCATTGAAGCATCACGAACATAGTCCACTTCTCGAGAAGATTCGGGATTGTTGTATGCTCTCGTTCTTTGTTGTAATTTTGCATCTCTGTCAAATACTGTGAATGGATTGTTTGGTGCAGGTGCACCTGGTTTAGGATTGGATTTCGTTGAAGATTCGGAAGGGTTCAAAGGTGAACCTTCATTAGAGCTAGTCGTTGTAGCATATCGTACTCCAATCGATGAACCACTACGAGCTGCTTCAAGCTTTGATCTGATCGCTCGAGCATTTCTGATTGATGTTCTCAATGCCATCTTTGTATCGATCTTTGGCAATTTGACTTTGGTGGAGGTAATGATCGGGAAGAAATGGCGTTTGTCAAAATTACCAAAGCGTAAAACGCTAAATAAAAGAGGTTCGTAAGGACAAAACACGTGAAACATCCTTCCTTGACAAAAGTGGCTTGTTTGCCGTGCGGCTTTAATTGGCCGTCCAGGCAGTAAACACGCTTATGCATCAACAACACAGCATCAATTGATTATTTATTCGGAATCACAGGCTAAAAACACAAGCGGTGAAGTAGTGCCGAAGGAAATAATTATTAGAAAGAGTGTTGGTTCTGTGAATCAACATCATCATTACCATCTTAAACACCACCAAGTTGAAAAACAACAACAAAGTTCAACATTTGATCGTGCTGATTGTTGTCATACGCCAAAATGGCCAGCTTTGGCACAAATACAGGCGGAAGAGGTGAATCGTCTAGATCAGGATCTCAATCGGAAGATCGTAATTTGGATCATGATGCAGTCAAATCAGCATTCATCGAAACAAATGGTCATGCAAATGGACTATCACCAAACCAAAATGGTCAAATATCAAGACCTTCCACTCCAGCAACAATCTTTTCCGCTGCTCAGAGAGGCGATAATGCATTAATCACACATCTGATCTCTACTTCTCGTGCGACAGCAAGCGATCGTGATGAAGAAGGTATCACACCTTTGCATTGGGCAGCAATCAATGCTCATGTGGCAACGTGCAAGCTATTGATCGATATGGGAGCGGACATTGATTCTTTAGGTGGCGACCTCGTGGCAAGTCCGCTTCAATGGGCAGCAAGGAATGGACATTTGTACGTTATGCATACCCTGCTAAGCCATGGCGCCGATCCAACCATCTGTGATGCCCAAGGATTCAACACCCTTCATCTTACAGTGCATTCTTCAGCTGTAATGCCACTTGTTCTATTGCTACAACATCCTTCTTTCGCTTCAATCTCTTCGTTGGACTCCCCCGACTCTCAGGGGCACACCCCACTCATGTGGGCAGCATATCAAGGTGATGCAATCTCAGTCGACCTCTTACTAGCCCATGGAGCAGATGTTCATCGTTCAGACGCTGCAGGATTGACACCCATGCATTGGGCAGTGGTCAAAGGAAATCGACTTTGCATTCGCAAGCTGGCTTTAACGGGAGCAGATCTTTGGGCAAAAGAGGAAGGGGGTAAAACGCCAAGAGATTTGGCAGTAGAATTAAAGAGTATTGCGTCTTACTCCAAAGCGTTATCAGACGTAGGATTTGAAGAAGATGGAAGAAAGCGATCCAAGCCGCTAGGGGAATGGCAAACAAAGTACTGTATTATGGTCACTCCCTTCCTTTCGTTTGGACTGATGTTCAGCACATTGAATGTTCTGCCTTGGTTCACTGGTATACCCCTGGTTCTCGGAGAGTTTTTCGGGATGCACCACGTTATCACTCGCGTATTGCTCGATCCGAAAGAATTGGAGAGTATGCACAAGTCCAACTATTTCCTGGCGGTTGTTAGCGGTAGTATTGTTTGGGTTGGATGGGAGTGGACAAGGAAATTGGTTTATTATACCCCAGGAATGGCTTATTGGAATTTGTTATTTGCAATCTCGTTCCTGCTTTGTGGCTGGAACTTGTTCCGCGCTGCTACCTTGGAACCTGGCTATGCACCTCGACCAACGAATGAGACGGATAGACGAAACACGGTCGCATCACTTATCAATGACGGAAGGTTGAATGGAATGAATTACTGCGTTGCATGTATGGCCAGACGACCTTTACGTTCGAAGCATTGTCGTCATTGCAATCGATGCGTTGCACGACACGACCATCATTGTCCTTGGGTGAACAACTGTATCGGAGTCAACAATCATCGACAATTTATGGTCTTTATCGCTTCATTAGTAGTGGGCATCACTACATTTGATTATCTGGTTTATCAATACTACGTTTCCAATGCGCCACCCTACATTCCAAAAGTGACAAGCTCATGCATTTTGCCTGCATCAATTTGTGGAGCAACAGATTTCGATGGTTTCCTTTTCAGTTGTATGCTTTGGGCTACCTTGCAATTAACATGGACAAGCGTTTTACTAATCGCACATTCTTGGCAAATCAGTCGACAAATGACAACATTGGAAGTATCAAATCTTGGACGATATGGATATATGGGAGGAAAAGCTGGCAGCAGTATGTCAAGTCAAACAAGCTTTATGGAAGCCAGAGCAGAAGCAATGCGAACCAATTCAGTCGTTTCAGGTCAACAAGGCAGTGATGCTGGCTTAGATGATGGTAATGACGCTTCTAGCGCAGGAGGCAATACCGGTTCTTCGCATGGACATAAGCATGGTTCTTTGCTTGGTGCACTTGGTGGAACGGGAAATTGGATTTTGTCGATTGTTGGTTTGGATTTGTATACCAAAGGAAAAGCAGGCGAAGGATTAAAGAAAGCAAGCCGAAGTCAAAACCCTTTCGATCAAGGAATTGTGGTAAACTGCCAAGACTTCTGGACGCGTGGTAGGGCTCTTGGTGTACGATATGAACAACTTTATGATGTTCCTTCAGGTGGCTTCAAGCCAGTCGCAGAAGCAGGTCAAATACGCTTTGGTTTGTACGACCTTGATGGCGCTACTGCCAGTGGTGGCCTTAGCAGCGACACCGGCGAGGGCCATTCACGCAGATGGAGTATGTGGACAAGCGTCAAAAATTCATTACCCAGAATGAGTAATGCCAGAGGTGATTATGCTCCTATTGAACGGGACGACATGGCATGATGCTCTTAGCATTGTATTATAGTATATATTTGACACATTTTTAGAATGAATTGTTGGAAAATATACAAGTTTGAAAATTTTACCTTACTCTTTGACACTGTACAATATATGGATTCTCGGAGCCACTCACTGAGGTCTGCATGTCACAAAACACCAAAAGGTCATCTTGGCGGTCTTCATAGAAACAAAAAGGATCTGTGCATGAGATCACGAGAGAGAGGAGGGGAAAAGGTAGAATGAGCGTTCGACGAAGATGAAAGCATCTAGCTTAGCATAGAAACAAGGAAACCTTCGCTGATAAATGTGGCAGAAATCGAACGACCACCAAAGAAGCGTCCATTGAGTCCTTGAACGGCTTTCTCAGCACCTTCTACGTCTACGAAACGAATGTACACTTCACCCATGCTGTTTATATCAACTTTGACCGTATCTACTTTTCCGTATTTCTGCTGGCACTCTTCCTTGATATCTTCGGCCAATTCTACTTCCCATCCGCGTTCGGTTTCTTCTTCAGGATTAAACATATTCTTCAAATGAACACCTCTGCTCTTTGCCTGTGGGATATTCGAAGGACGATTTTGTTCAGTAGACTTTTTTGCATTCGCTGCATCACTGACTTCTGATTGGCGATCGATTCTGGCAAGTTTTTCCATCAAAGCAGCACGACTGCTTGCAGTAAGACCGCCTGTAGGATGGAGAGAGATATTTTTGTCAGTAAATACGAATTTCCGAGACATAAGAACAAGAGCACTACTCACCTCCTCCACCTTCATCGAATGACGAAGTCAACGTAGCACCTGCACCCGACATATCATTTGAATCGGGGACGTTATGACCCGATGCATTAGCAGGTACATTACCTTCGCTTCCACTCGATGTGGAAGGCACTGCTCCGGATGCACGAGCAGAGTTAACATGATTCACCTTGATATTGCGACCTGCCAATTCGAAACCATTCATATGCTCGATAGCCTTTTCTGCTACATCTGTATTGATAAATTGGACAAAGGCAAATCCTTTACTTTTTAGCGTTCCAAGCTCACGATGCAAGTCAACACTCAAGATTGCGCCAAAAGGTTCGAAAACGGATTTAATATCAGCCTCGGTTAGACTGAAGTGCAAATTACCAACATAAAGTCTTGCTGAAACGCTTGGAATGTTACCGGGGTCGATGTGAATCGGATTGCCATCTAGCTTGATCAGATTTGCTGCCTGTTCGGGTGAGAGAGCAGATAGAGCAACAGGAAGATTAGGTCGAGCAGGAGCACCTGCAGCAGAGGATGCTTCACCGCCCTTATTACGAGCTGCATCCGTTTTTTGCACAATGATAGGAATCCCGAACAGCACTGTACCTGACAAAAAGAGAGCTTTTTCGACTAGTTGTTCTTCCTTCAGCTCTACATAGCCAACTCTGCAAAGGAGAAAAAGAAAAAGGGTCAGCATCCTGGACGGAAATGAATCTTTCAAGAGCATGTCACTCACCCTTTACTGCGACCCGTCACTTTGTCCATAACAATTCTTACATCCATCACTGTTCCTTCGCCTAATTTATCCTCAAAGAATTCCCCAAGATCACGTTGGGTAAGACGGGCTGCCAATTGCGAGCAGAAGATCGAGCGCATCTCGTAGTCGTCGAGATCGGGAGATCTTGCTCTGCTTTCACTGCGTCTTCTGCGTGGTGGCGGGCTTTCGTATCGATAAGGTTCATAGTACGGCTGTTGAGGCCCGTACCTGTTGTCATAATGTCCGTAATACGAATCATAATATCCTCCGCCGCCGTTGCTACGAGGGCTGTCAAAATAGCGTCCTGAACGATGGTCTGATCTTCTACTTTTACGCATTGAATCGTCTTCTGAAGCTCGAGATGAGCGACGAGTGCGACGATCGCGCTTCTCATAATGACTGCCACTTTCTGAATCGCCACCATGACGAGAATCATAATCTTTGTTGCTACTTCGACGATCGAAGTCATCGTCATGATCTCGCTCTTTTCGACGGCGTCTGCGCTTTGAGCTTTCTTCCTCTTCGCGACCTTCATCGTATGCGCTGTCTCTTCGGCTTCTGTGTCGTTTAGAAGACTTCCTGCCCTCATCATCTGACCTGTCTTCGGAGTGTCTATCCAACAAGTCACGACGTCCTTGCCTTCTTTCACTTCTTTCTCTGGTTCGTCTATGATCTGCATCAGGACTTCTGCTTGATCTTGCTTTGGCTGTTCTTCTTGAATCGTCTTCTTTGGCATCAGGTGAGCCAGAAGGTTGATCGTTGGATGCATTGACAGACGAACGAGATCTTTTGGACATCATAGCACGCTTACGAAGCTGTTCTTGTAATTCACGTTCTCGATTTTCAACATCTCCAGGACGACGAGGGGAAATGCGAGATGGTGAGCGTGAACGAGATCTGGATCGAGATGGCGAAACGCTACGACTGACTGAAGATGAATAAGACCAACTCTCTCTTTGTTTTGTACGTTTCAATGTACCCTTCTCTTGGCGTTTCTTTCTCTCTGCCAGAGCAGCCTCTTCACGATCTGCATACATTGTGAGGAAATCACACCCAAAAAATTGCTTTGATGGTGAAAGTGAGCAGAAGGGTTATTTTGAGTTTTAAGTAGCTCATGTTTGGCGTTATTTATCTTTTTCGCGCCCAAAGTTTTAAGCCGCGCCCGCGCTCGCAAGCATGAAATGCCCCTTCAATGCGAAACATTGCATTGCCGGTGCGAGATGGCGAATGAATAAAAGCTGACTGTATGAATCGATCGAACCAAGTATGATTTGTGTAGGCAGGGCGAGTCTTGATGGAAATTCTTTTTCACTTTCTGTAATTCGTGTAGATTTCCGTGAACAGCTGGGAGACATTATAACAAATTAAAACACTTTTTGATCTGGCATCAAGTATAATTTCATTGTGGATTAGTCAATCATTGTACTCTAATACATGTACCATCTATTGTGACGTGTATTCCAGTAACCCTGAATGCTGTGATAATAGCGCATACATTTGTGATTGCACTCATAAATGCGCTTACCCGTGCACTGAAGCTCTCTATGTGCCTTTTCATTTGTTCACCCTTGATACTCTTCGTCTTGCTGAGTCAAATATGCAATCCTTTCCATCTTCGCCATTCTCATTCCAATATCATAGGCAAGATGTATGCACCTATTCGAAGATCTGCTTATCCTGATACCCGTGATGAGCAAGCCATGAGAAGATTCATGCTAGGCACATTAAACGTCGGTCATCATTTGACTTTTCAACGTAAAGGGAACGTTGTCAATCTTTTTCCTCAACAGGATGAGAAGGAAAAACTTGTGAAGATTTTTGAGGACAAAAAAATCCATGTAAGTGAAACAATTTGCCAAATAAATGCTGTCTTATACTGACCATTCGTTTTCAATCTTCTTTTTATCCATTATAGAAAAATGAACGCTGCGTCAATGCCAGGTTGATACTGCACGACGTACCATTGCCACCAGAAAAACAGCTTTGTCGAGATTTGTGGGTGTATTGATTGCCACGAAATTGAAAATCCTCATTTATGCTGACACTTTTTATCTCTTCTCCCTTATCTTTTTGGCTTCCTCTTAGGGAATTTCAAATTCATCCGTACAATCTAGCTGAGGTCACCTTGATGCCAGCTGAATGTCTGAGTGAGACAGGCAAAGCACGAAACATGCATATGCAGACGCACAACGATTTGCCAGACGTTCATCCTGTTCATGTCTTCGGCATTGGTCAACGCAAAGGACAATTGGCTTTACTTCAATTTGTCAAAGATTCATATGATTTCAAAAGAGATCTTTTGTTAGATGAACAAGAAGATGCTGCAAGAAATTCGAGATCGTTTGTTTTACCTCGTACTTTAAATCCAACTGAGCAATTGGCCAACATTCCAGCAGATCCAAACAGACACTTTCGCGACCTTTTTGAAAGTCAATCGCAACAAGCCACCACTCCGAGCGAAGTCGGATACAATGCACACCAGGCTGCAATGCAATATTTTCATGGAAATTTACAAGCGGGAATGGCAGCTACACGTCCAGTCAATACAAGTATTCCTGCGAGACGAGAAGGCGACGTTTTCGGAAGTTCGGCCTCAGCGGATAACCAAAGATTCCATCCTTCAACTCTTGTCTCGCGTTTCCAACCTCAAATTCAACCGAATCAATTAGCAACCGAAGTAACATCTTCACAAGCCGTACCGTCTCAACCGCCGCCAATGATGAACCAAACGGCATCAGCCGAGCAAATTGTAAATGCCGGCAAGGCTGCTGCTCAAAGAATTTATCAAGCTTCTCCTCCAGTCAACCCGAGTGGCGAGCAGGCCATTCCGCAATTGCCCGATGTGAGAGAATTTCTCGATGTGGAACGTTATCGCTATATTCTGCAACAACAAAAAGATACACAAGCTTATGAAATGTTTGCAGCCTGGCAAAATAGTCAAAGGTATGCTTGTCAACCTTCTTGGGCTGGTTATGCAAAATCGAACTTGGCTGGCCCAAGTGCTTATGAAAGTACTGGTATGGACGATTCTGGAATTGCGACTAGCACCCAAGATCCAATGAAGCAAATCGGCGAGTCTTCCCGTCGAGGCAATGCAAGCAGTGATGCAAATGAGGAAAATGTTCCGAACGAAGGCGGATCTGCCAATCAAACAATTCCTGCTCAGCATTTGCTCTACACCAACGCCCCTTCCCATCCTTTAGACCGTCAAAAGGACCAAGAAAGGCACGAAGAACATGAAGATGCTCCCACTCCAACTATGAGCGCAGCTTCTACATTGTTGTCTTTAAGTCCTGCCAAGGTGAAGGAAGTAGGACAACCCAATACGCATTAATTCAGGCTTGACAAAAGAGTTTCCTAATCGATCGATCGCGTATACCTACTCACAAGGACGTGAAAACAAAGACATCCATTTCTAACATAAATTTGTTTAATAATGAGACGCAAAAACAGAATTGAGATCATGAGTAGAGAAAGAGTGTGTATGTATAGATTCTTATGAACGATTCCAGTGGAACATGGTGTAACAGATTTCTGCGGTCTTAAACCTCAGAGATGAATGTGGCTTCGCAGAACAAACTTCCTTCCACATTCAGCTCTTTGGATGGCAAATTGATCTTCAATGTGGCAGGGTTGAGGTATTGATGAAGGTATGGCTTTGTACCTGCAACATAATTGACCATCTTACGTACCATGTATGGAATCTCTCCCAAAATGTCCACCTTTTCGATCAAACCTTTCAAGTCTACGCTAACTTCGGCATTCACGAGATCTTTGCTTGCCTTGCCTTCAACGAGTTGCGGTCCTTGCCATTTGAATTTCATCGCTTGTGGAACAATATAACCTGTTTCAGGATCATGAACGGTGTTCAAATGATAAACGCGCGTATCACTTCCTTTGGATGGCTCAGATTCAGGTGCTTGTAACCCTCTCGAAGCACCAGTCACTGCAACCAGTTCACCATCAACAGTCACACTTCCGATCGTTACTACAATCGGTTCACGTTTACGAACAGCATTGCCAGTTGCTTCATCCTTTACCGTACGTGAGCCAACCGGACCTCCATAATCTGAAGTGGTGGTGAATTCCATCATAATAGCGGCAACATTCTCGTCTGAGCCATATTTGCTTTGGAAGTTACCAAAATTCCAGCGAGAGGCTATCAAATTTGGTCGCATACCTTGAATCGCATGTACAAACATACCTGCACCTTTTGCATCGATCGCCTGACCTTTGTAAATGATGTGACCATCAGAAACGGCATGAGGCCAGAATCGGTGAACGACATATCCATCAGGTGTGGCTGGATTTGCACCAAAGTAGCTCTTACCGCCTTCATCTCCAGAGCCTAGCTTCCAGCCTGCAGACTTTGAAGGGCGCTTGAAGGTATAAGATACTTGTAGATCTGTGTCCATGTTGGCTTCAATGGTGTAGGATTCGGATCCGTCGGGCAAAGTGTCAAATAGAACGGTAAATTGTTCGCCCTTGCAACTTCTTTTGTCGTACACTTTACTCTTATCTCTACCACTTCCTGCAGGAGCTGGTGTGACGAACTTCGATACATTGATCGATTTCCAAACTTTTTCGCCAGTTTTGGGGTTAAAGTATTTAAAAGTGATTTGAACTTGTGGATACCAAAGACCGACGGAAGAATGAATGATTTGACTTGTTGCCCATGAACCATCTTGCATGACAGTATACCATGTTTGTGTTTCAGTTGCAAATCCACCTGCACATGTCCATTCAAGATCTTTTGCTTCTAATGGACCGAATAAAGAATCTTGCGAACGATCTGTTACTGCGCGAAAGTTTGGTTTCGCATCAGTTGCGCTTGTATCGCCTGAAAGCCAAGAACCCCAGCCTGACATTTTAATTGATTGTTTGGAGATATGTGGATGATTGGAATACAAAAGAAAGCAACCAATGATGGTGGAATGAGAATGAAATGAAGATCCCACGTGTGATGCGTGAGTGGTCCGCGCATTTTATGAAAAAGAGCGCACGCTTTAGTTTTACACTGTTCTTCTGCCTAGTTATTAATCACACCCCCATTATTCAGATTAATCTTGATCAAGCGGCGCACAATAATACATAGCTAAGCGGAGTGAGTGGAGAGCAACACTTATTCGCACCGATCCTTTCTTTGATAGCGTCTACCATACAAGATTTTAAGAAGGTCCGAAATGCCATACAGGGCAAGAGATGAACGAGCAAGGCCAGTGACAACCCAGATACAAAAGCCATGGCAATCATCCTTAGGTGTATCAGCATCCGTTTCAGTTCTTAATCTGGTCGCATTCTTGCTGCATTCATCGGCTTCAATTGTATTCTTGGTCTTTCTCAATGCAACGCAACCTTTCCTGATCGCTCAGCTGGACGGAAAGCATGGCGGTGAAGTAGGTAACAGACAAGGATCATTAAGCGGAACTTTGGTCTTTGCCGATGAATCATTGAGCATCTTTCTTGCTTTGATATGGGGAAGTTTGGCAGATGTGATTGGGACAAAATATGTGGCAGTGATTGGATATTGTTTTATTTCAATCGCTTTGTTCACTTATACTTTTGCTCAAAATGCATGGCCGCAATTACTCTATTGTCGTTTGATATTCGCAGTCGGTGGAAGCAGTGTGACAGCGATGTTAACAGGCATTCTCAATTCCTACTCTGCAACATTCAGCGAAGTGAGGCAAAGGACTTCAGTCGAAGATATTGCAACAGAGACAGAGGCTCTTCTAGGTGATAGGTCAAACACAGGGAGAGGGAGACCAAAGAAACAATCACATGGCCGCTTAGCTGCTTTAGCAGGCCTTACGACTGGCTTTGGAGCTCTATTAGCTGTCTTTGTCCTATTGCGTTTGCCGACAATCTTGGCCGGCATTCATGATCAAAAAGACAAGTTCTCTTCTTCGAACCAAAAGAGCCATGATGATGAGGCAATACGACAAGGAACAAAAGAAGCATTTTATATCGTGGCGATATTGGCATTACTTGTTGCTGCTGCTCTGTCGTTCGGACTAAAAATGGACGCACCATCGTCAAAGCTAGTGTCAGGAAGACATACACCCTCACCTGAAGAACTCAATGCTAGCAATCTCAACATCACTCAAGCTTCAACTCGCGAAGCTAGACGACAGAGACTTCGTTCACGATTGCAAAGACGGACTGAGGCTGGTTCTTGGTCCAACTTTTTCTCTGGCGTTCAAAAATTGGCTAAAGGGGTTCTTGCTGGTTTCAGATTGGCAGGTAAAGATGGCAATCTACCCCTGGCATACATTGGTGGAGGACTGGCCAGAGCGAGTACGATTGCAACTACTGTGTTCATTCCGGTGCTCGTCACTCGATTTTTCTATTCTTCCGGCCTCTGTTCCGATCTTTCGACGCCAGATGTGCCAAATGAAGAACTCAAAAAACGCTGCAGACAAGCATTCACGGTGGCATCCATCTTGTCTGGTGTGATTCAACTTGTCGCACTTCTGTTGGCGCCTCTGATTGGCTATCTGTGCGATGCATTCACTCCATCTTCTACCCTCTTTCTCGTTTCCTTGGTCGGTACGATATCCTACCTTGTAATGGGAACTGCTTTGCCAAACGATGGAGATCCTCGTACGCCTGTCGCTTGGGTCGCTGCTGTCGGAATAGGATTCGCACAGATTGGTGTTATTGTCGCTTCTTTGGCACTCTGTGCAAGAGGCAAAGCAAATATAGCAGAACAGTCAATCAAATCCGCACAAGCTCCTGAGGATGATGCACCGACAAACGAAGATATTGCCGATGACGCAGGGGTCTCTGTACCTATAGAAGCAGAACAATCCTCTTCAGGTGCCATCGCAGGCGCCTATTCCGCAACGGGCGGTCTTTCAATCTTGCTGGTATCCAAATTGGGTGGATTACTCAGTGATCTTTATGCACCTGCTCCTTTTTTGCTAATGTCAGGTCTTGCTGCTGTTGTCACTCTTGCCTCGCTTACAGTCATGATCAAAGAGAAACGCAAACAGCGAATAGAATGAAGTCTATAATTGAATTTTATAATGTAAGCATATATACAAGATGACTCTATAATGAATAACGATACACAAAATGATCCATGTCAATTGTTTTAATGAAGCTCAAAAAAGCTATTTTGATGTTGACGATTTACTCGTCATCCGTATCCGGTTCTCTTTCACCACCATAAGTTAACCATTTGCTTAAGCGCAATCTTCTGCGTTCTTCTTGAGCTTTCTTTTCGTTACGTGTCAACTTCTTCTTCTTTCCTTTGGCAGCCTTTAATTTACTCATATCTTGATCTTCATTATCTGATCCTGCAGGTGTGGCAGCTGCACTGCTGACTGGTGTACCTGCTTTTGAGTTGAGTCTACTTGCAACCCGGCTTGCAGGAACAGGTGTTGCTTTACCTCCTGGAGTAGCAATACCAGGTGTGCTTGCTCCGTCTGGTGTTTCGGCTCCATTTTCACCTCCTTCTGCGAAATGATCGCTTGCCAAAGCAGTCTTGTATTTGTCCATAATCAAACCTTTATCAACGTTCCAGATCTCAGTACACAATGCTTCGATGAATTGCATATTGTGCGAAATCATTACCACTGCTCCAGACCATTCGCGAATAGCGGTTGCCAACATAGCAATTGCATCACGATCCAAGAAATTGGTTGGTTCATCCAATACCAAGATTTGTGGGTTGTTCCAAAGAGCTGCAGCCAAGACGACTTTGACTTTTTGTCCACCTGACAAGCCAGACATTTCGTGATGTTCAGCAATTTCTCCGTTCAAACCAAGATCTTCAAGATGTTTACGAATTGCTTTTTGACTTAATTCTTTGCTACCCGCACCTTCACGACTACTTTCGAAATCGTCAAATCTTTGTACTAATTTATCAAATCCTAATTCGATCAAACGTTCACGTGGAATCCAAGTGTTACTCTTGTGCAACATACCGACCCATTTGATTTCGTATTGGAAACTTTTCTTGTGTTTTTGTCTTCCAACGATATATTCCACTTTACGTTTCTCTCCTGTAGATGCTGTGATTGGCTTTTCCATCATCTCCTTCTCTTCTTCGGAAATCTTACGTGTGGCCTTCTCGGAAATTTCACGATCGTGTCCATCTTGGAAACGCCAAATGATATATTGACATGCAGTCTTTTCCAAATGTTGTTCCAAATGATGGAAAGCGTGTTGATGTAAAACTGAAATACGCAAATTTGGATGCTTTTCCACCTTTCCGGATTGTGGAATCATTTCTTGCGTCATAATCTTGATCAATGTCGATTTACCGGCACCATTTGGACCAAGTACACCAATACGACTGGAAAGGCTGACTGCGACACTTGCATTGCTCAAACTTGGCTTAGCAGCACCAGGATATGTGTATGTTGCATCGGAAACCTTTAGAATGGTACGAGTCTGCGATCGAACACCCATCAATGAACCAGGTGGTGGGAAGGTGAACTTAGCGTTTGTGGTCGATAAGGTATAATAAGCTTTTGCTTCGGGGTACTTGGCCACAAATTTGCTTAGATTTCCTCGATGGTATTCGATCTTCTTATTTTTGTAATGCAAGATATCTGTACAGACGTTGTCCAAGAAGCCAGAGTCGTGACTGACAGTCAAGACTGTCTTTTCCTTTGCATTGGTCAAGTAGTCTTCTAGCCATTTGACTGATCCCACATCCAAGTGATTGGTAGGTTCATCAAGCAGCAAGACATCGGCTCCGATGAGCATCGCTTTAGCTAAAGCCAGCTTCATCTTCCAGCCTCCTGATAAAGATCCAACAGGCGCAACCCGTCTTTCTTCATCAAAGCCGACTTCACCCAATGCTTGTGCAACTTCGTCGAGAGATTTACCGATTTGAACAATTTTTGGATCTTGATGAACGAAATCAACGATTCTCAATTCACCTCCTTCACCTTGATTGTGTTCGACCATGATTGTCTTCAAACCATCAGCTTCGGTAGGATAGTTTTCCACCTTCCCGTCACGCATTGCTTTGAGCAAAGTGGATTTACCAGAACCGTTTGCAGCGACAATACCATATCTGTGACCACGATGTAAGCGTAGCTTTGTATGGTTGAGCAATAACAAACCACCGTAAGCCAAAGAGAACTGAATGTTACACAAGCATTCACCTTCGATATCTTCATCATCTTCTGGTGGAGCACCGAATCGTTCTGTATCAAGGGCAGTGTATTCTTTCCGTAGAGCATCAGTTGCTGCTTTTGCATAATCGGCATTTCCACATGTTCTTCGGAGATATGGTAGCACATAGACTTCATCCCATGCACTTGCATGAACGATTCTCTTGTCGGCCAAACGTGGTATTAGACTGGCAACCCATTCGTATCCAATTTGACACCATGCATCTTCTGCGACTTGAGCACCAGCAGTTTGAGTGACGACATCCTTGATACGTTGAAGGGCTTGTTTCTTTGCTGTGAGGTAGATTTTCTTTGGGTCTTCATCTTCTTTTGCTTCTCCGACAACCTTTGTAGCCTCACGCAAGGTATCCAAAGCACTTTGAGCATATGCACGTACTTCAGGGAAAGATGCTCCTTCCGCAATGCGTTCGACACCAGGTGTCAAAGCAGGCAAGAATTTGGATGCCTCATGAGGATCTTTGACCAATTTTGTCAAATTTTCAACAATAATTGATGTTTGTCTTTGCACATTTTGGCTTCTTTCGTTCAATGCACGGGCAAGAAGAGGTACCATAACAGCCAAAGCAGGTCCAGTAACATCGGCAACAAAGGTGGTAGCAGAAAGACGTTTGATACATTCAGGCACCGTGTCAGGAGCACGCATTGCTTCGACTAGAGATGCCAAATGGGGTCGGATATCGTTATTATCGATCACACCACATACTTTTGTCGTTGTTTTGACTGCTTGTTTAGCAACTTCTGCTTTTGTGTCGGACATTCTATTTTTGAGATGAGGAATGAGATCTACTAATTGTTCACCAATTTGTTCAGGTGCTGAATCACTCATACGACCGATTGTCTTGAGAGCGGCAACCTTTGCTTGCCATTTTGTAGCGCTATTCTCGAGTACTTGATATAGTTGTTCCAAAACTTCTGGTACGGCTTCTGGTGGTGGTAATGCCATGAGAGATTTGATGGCTGATTCAGCTGCTTCCCTGACAACATCTCCTTTGTCTGCATGTAATTCAAGCAAGATAGGAAGCGTTGATAATAGCCATGGTTCCGCACCAAGAGGAGAAGGAGAATTCTTTCCGCCTACATTTGTGAAAACGGCGGTCAAACCGATTGCGCCTGCTTCACGTTCATAACCACTCTTTTTGTTCTTGCAAGCATTTGCGAGGGTGATTAGAATCTTGTCATCCCCTAACGATTTCAATCCGGTTTGATTAACGTATTGTGTTAACTTGTCAGCTGCCAAATGACATTCTTCCGCAGATGGAGCTTTTAGCAATGCTTCTAGAGAAGATGTTGGCGAGACCACGCCATTTGATTGGTTTCCATCAGTCGTCATTGCCTCTATATGATCTGTTTATGATTGGCTCCTTGACGAGAAGGATGGGTGAGAAAAGATCAACACTCAATTCAAAAAAGTTTCCGATTGGCTGATATTCTTACTTTGCATGCAAACCCTAAATTTGAATAAACAAGCAAGGCAAATGGTCAGTGTGTGATTTTCTTACTCCTCGTAGAAATTTTCACAAATTGAAATTTTTAAAAGTTAATGCACGCACGTGTGCTCTTTACTCACACACAATTCAAAACGCGCCATAACCGCGAATTATCTAGACACCGATTGGCCACAAGGACAATCAAGCAAATCCTTGAAGATTGTTATTTATCAAAAAGTAGAAACAATAAAGACAACATATACATTAGAAGCGGCTAACCTTGACTTTCTCGAAAATAAATTATATAAAACTAATCAGACCTGTTGAACCGTATATCTGCCACTGTTTTTAGTATCTTGTCGATGAGCGGGACCGAATGTAACCCTTCATAATTCTATTCATATCCTTGTTCCTTAGCATTACAATTCGGTCAGCCGCGAACGTGTTGATGTCTCATAACTTTCTTTAAAGGCGCTAGCGTACTCATACAATTTAGCGTTTTGCTTTCTTTCCTCCTTCATTATAATATAAAAGCAAATGAATGTGTGCCGAATATAAAATCAAATTTCAATTTCGGAAATAGAGGCTAAAAGGAACATAATTAGACACAATGGCCGATCATTCCGTTTTGACATTTTGCTCATTCTCACTCCGAATCCTATCAATTCTGTATCTATACTCCGGTCTTGCGTCCGATGTACGTTTCTGGAAAGTGAAAGAGGTTGTCATTATAGAGATTCCCTAGGATGCCTATTTCATGCATATAGGAAGATAGTTGAAAGTTCAGTATATTATCTGTTGATAGCAATGTGATAAAACTTCTTCCTATTGATCGGTAATCCTTGTCTTTCATTGATTTCTGTTTGCTTTGCGCTATAATTCATATTAGCGCCGTTTTTCATTATTCAGGCAAAAGAGCTGTGTGTGAGCGAGTGCTCCCCAATTAAAGTGCATCTACAAGCGTGAGCCGGCTTTAAAGCACTACGCGACTTTCTTCCGGTGTATCCTATTGTAAGTAAGGTTCTCTTTAAAGACTTCTATCATCATCATCATCATCATCTTGTCAAGGTTGAGAAATTGATATACGCAATCTCTCATACTTTCCCCTGGGTATCAAGACACTTCATACTAAACCATAATCGGGGCAATGAAGAAATAATGCAAAAGATCACGAATACATAAATTATACCCCCCGATCGAAGAAGCAATCACTATAATCTCAATGCTCACATTCTGAAAGACTCCCAATTGAAACTAAACTGCGGGGGAAAACACACACGATGGCTAATACGGACCCACCATCGATACCACGGCTATCGCCTATCGGCTGGTCAATCGACGAAGGTAGCGATCTACATAATGCCGTATTCGATATTGCAGATGGAATGCATGATTATATTGCAGAGAGTGAAATCGATCACAAGAAAACAGATCAGCAAGTGACTCTACCAGATGATTCACCGATCTTGGAATCTCGAAGGCAGCTGCCGCCTAGCATACAGCAACAATGGCCACCACAGAAACAACAAGTCGTATCAGATCAATATCGTAAACCTCTTTTGGAACGCAGCAGCTCAGGCAGTCTTGCCAATCGATCTTTTGAACAGTCTACAAGTACGAAAGCAAACAATAAAACTCTTGCTTCAAGAGAATATCCACCTCGTGTTGACAGAAGAATGCCACGCACTATCAAGAGACCTTCGACCAGCGATGGAGCATACTCTTGGCCGAGAACGGAATCCAACACCGAAAGGTCAGTCTTAGCTGGAAGTACAAGCAAAGCTCGCGGAGGCAGTAACCGAATCTCTTCTCGAGACACGGATAGTGATGTGGATATGAAAGACACAAAAGCTCAAAATCTTACCGAACCCAAGCAAGAGCAAAATTTATCACGATCGTCATCCTTATTCAAACTTAAACGACCTTTTCGTCGAAAAAAGGCTGCAGAAGAGGATGAAGACGTGACTACTATGCCCCAAGTGTTCCCCAAAGCAAGCATACAAGCTGACTCAGACATGTCTATCGTCCCGTCTGACTCCGATATTGGTGCACAGCCTACCAAATCTTCGAAGTCATCGAATAATGGAAGCAGTTCCGGTCGCGGCTTTAGTGGCTTCAAAGATCTCATGCTCACTTCATCACGCAAGTCAAACTCCAGCTCTCGCCACGAATCAATGAGCGGACAAAGTGGTCGTGCTTCCTCAGATCTGGACAGCGTTGCGGCCGTTAAGCAAAAGATGCCAGGCAATAGACCAAACGGTATCAGCATCTCACACCATCCGGAAAGACAGTACGATGAAGGGACCCCGCAAAATCGAAAGCTTTCCGTATCTCCTTTACCAAATTCATCACTGGCGTCTTCTAGTGGTGGGGCTGGCGAATCAAGCGGTACACATTCCAACTTGGCAACACCGACGAGCAGTATTCGAAGAAAAGTACGCCCACCACAAGCACAAGCGCCCAGTATGCCCCTGCCTCCACCGCCTACTTCGCTTCCAATCGCTGCTCCTGCAGTGGTGGTCGGTCAATGTGGTGACCCGGCCGATGAAGTTGAAGATCTTTTGTTTACTCCTTCAACACATAAAGCTCCTTCTCCGCGAAGTACAGATATCAGTAGCGACGGTAATGGACGTGATACGGTTAGAAAGGTGAAATCGCAATCTAGCTTAAGACTTTTGCGCAAGCCTTCGATGTTGGTAAATCTAAGGGCGAATTCGTTCACGAAAGAACAACCTCCGGAAGATATCAGTCGAAATATGATAGCTTCTCCACTATCGTCATCTCCATCTCCTACGGCATCCAGACGAATTGCTAAAGAAATGCCATGGGAGATCGTACAGCCTTCAAAATATGGAGAGATCAACTCTTCTCCGGAGGTGGAACGATTGTCGTTATCGCATACGGATGATTCGCGCGAGTTGACCAGCTCTCCTTCCTTAGAGGAGGCTCGACGAGCACTCAGTCCATCCACGCCAGCAGAACAAGGTATACCAACGTCCAATGCACTAGCTATACCCACAAACACCTACGCAAACGGACAATCTGCTTCGCGTTTGGACAGCAGTGGTGGTGCAGCTGGCTTGTTTGGCTCTTCCGGGGGCAGCAGTGGCGGTAGCGGGTCTAACGTACGACCTCGCACCTCTTCCTTGCTGCCATGGCGTTCGAGATCTAATTCTCAAGCCGCCCATAGAGAAGGGAGCGTTAGTCCGAGTACCCCATTCTCACGTTCGATGGGAGATGGAACATTCTCTTCACAACAATCTCAACCTCCAGCTCAAAAAGAGGTCAAAAAGATGCACAAGCTTGATATTGAACAATTTAAGGGCGATTCCGATGCATTCGTTCGACAAGTGATGAAAATATATCCAAGAGAGGATGTACCTGCTGTTCTCGCTTCGGCAAGTGATGATCTTCATAAGACTGCATTGCGAATCTTTATGCAAAGGTTCCTATTCACTGGTCATCCTCTCGACGTTGCCTTGCGGAAGTTGCTCATGACTTTATGTTTACCGAAAGAAACGCAACAGATTGATCGAGTTATGGAGGCGTTTGCGCGAAGGTATAATGAGTGCAATGAGAATCTCTTCGAAAGCGACGATCAACCTTACATGCTCGCATTCTCGTTGATGATGTTGCACACTGACACATTCAACAAAAATGCCAAACAAAAGATGAGCAAAGCTGATTACGTTCGCAATACGTCTGCATCAGGTGTGGCGACAGAGATTTTGGAGTATCTTTACGACAATTTGACGTTTACTCAATTCATCTATGTGGAAGATGAAGCATTTTTGCATCGAAGAAAAAGCGAGAATGATACTACAGCAGCGTCTGTATTTAAATCAGCGTTCACATCATCAAGCAGTGCAAGCAAAGCACGGGTCGATCCTTACCATATCATCGTATCCGGTCAAACGCACACTTTACGTCCTGATGTTCATATTGATGAAGATAGCCCATTCTCAGCAAAAGGAACGAAATCGTCATTTGACATTGAATATTTGCTGCAGACATTCACTAATTCACCATCTATCGAAATCATCACTGCGCAAAAGACTTCATTACCTCCTGCTACTGCTGGATTTGGAGGATATTATGCAACTTTGCCAAGCATTTCCAAGGATGAAGAAGCAATTGTTACGCTACGAATCACGAAAGTGGGCTGTGTAGGAAGGAAGGATGATATGGATGATAAGAAGAAATCTCAATCTCGGAAATGGAAAACGTGCGGTATGATATTATCGTCATCTCAATTGTTGTTCTTCCGAGACTTGGTCTGGACGAGCGCTCTAGATCAAAGAATTACAGAGCAGATGGCAGAACAGCCAAACAAAGAAGGTGGTGTACTGATCACACCTAGGATTACCTATTTCAAACCGGATGGCGTCTTGGCTTTGGGTGATGCGATTGCTGTAAAGGATTCGACATATTCCAAGTACAAGCACGTTTTCCGATTGGTGACCAGACATGGGGATGTTATGAAGCAATATCTAATCCAAACACCAAACGAAGAAGAGATGAATGATTGGATACACAAGATCAACTTTTGTGGTGCATTCCGTTCAGCAGGTTTGAGAGTTAATGGAATGGACGTTTCGAGAGATGCATCATATAGCAATCCAGCTAGTCCTGCAGGAGTGAATATCACGAATGGCAATCCGTCAGATGTAGCAACGCCTTCATCCTCCTCTTCTAGCGTTATACCACCCATGTCACCTAGCACGGTCACAAGCATGAACTCTGGCGAAGATCCGCCTACACTACGTAAAAAGCTGAATGCTCGCTTCAGGCAATTCAAGCCTGTCGTTGAAAAGATGACAAAGAATCTGGAAAAGCATGAAAAGCTGTTGGACGAGAAGCTTAGGTTGGCACGTCATTTGACGATAGCCACTCCATTTTCAAAGGTGACCAGAGATCGAATTGAGGGCATTGCTACTGTTTTGGCACAAGAGATTCGTCAATTGCGTTTGGACGTCGCAAGGTATGCTTGTAGACGTGAGATTTTAATTTTGGAGTTGGAAGAAGCGGAAAGAACAGCGAAAGCAAACAGTCCGCCTGGCGCATTTGATGGACACCAATATGACGAAGATGATGATGCTTGGCAAGCGGCAACATCTTTATCTCTAACACCACGCGATACCAGCAGCCGCTCAGGCTCTTTGTCTATCAGTCGAGCCAGTTCTTTCTCTCAGAGTAGGTCAGGCTCCAATTCTTTCGTTGGAGATCCAAACGTTCCGGTACCAAAGTTACCTCCTCCTGCGATGAGCTTTGGAACCAAAGCAAATGAGAAAGCCGCAAATGCAGAAAGTGAAATGGCCACGCCAACAATGAAGATGATTGGTTTGCAAGAGCCGTCAGCTCACCCGGAAAAAGAGCATGGAAGTATGGGACACCGATCCAAATTCCACTTTGGCACTTCTTCACCGTCCGCCAAACATCATCATCACAATTCACCCAACGAAGAAGCGATGGAGATGTGGGATAGAACAAAGATGGGAAAGAATGATAAACGGGTTAGTCTTGTTAATTTACCCGATCCACATCAATGGCAAGCTCTAACGCCCAGGTTAGCCATGAATGCAAGTTTAATTCCAACGCCAACTTCATCACCACCTCAAAAAGATTCACACTCTTTTCATCCACAACCAAGGACTGTTTTGAATGAAGATGTAGAGGATTTGTTTCGGTAATCGATAAGGGTAAAAAGCTTTTAAAAGATCGTTTGGGAATTTTGCGCTGGCGCACAACGTCATCTTTTCTCTCACCTTTTCGTTTTAATCTTTCTTTTTGATGTATGCTCGCCTTTGTACTATTTATTCTTTCTTTAGCATCTAGCACAACATGTACAGGTTTAATTTTATTAATCTATTTATGGCACTTTTTTTCTTTCACTCACTCACAGATGATGGTACATTGTAATATCATTGACTTCTAACGTTCTGGGTCTCACATACAAGGGATAAAATTTTGACGATTCACAACAAGAAAGTGGCTAGTAAGGTATGCCCTCTTTTAACCCAACAAAGAGGCACCAGAGTTGATCTTCTTTCCACCGGCTGTTCCTTCCAATTGGAAATCCTTTGCTGCATCAGGGACGGTCAAAACACGCATCGAGTTTGTGAATCCTTGACCACCGCGCCATCCTTGCAATGCAACAACTGTGTCTCCCTTTTCGAGAATGCCAAGTTTCAAAGCTTCAGCCAAACCGTATTTGATACGGTTATCAACATCTTCTTGCCATGTGCTGTTATCACTTGGACGTGCGAAGGGATACAAGAATGGATAGCATCCACGGTACAAGTGAACATCCCGTGCGGTATGTTCATCACGGGTAACTGTCAAGATTGGGCATCTTGGACGGTATTTGCTCACCAAACGAGCTGTGTTACCGGATGTGCTCATCAACAAAATTGCACCTGCTTGTTGTTCCAAACTTGCACTAACGGCTGCCATTGCAACTGTTTCGCTTGTGTCTGTTGGCACTTGTGTCAATGTACGCATTTCGTTGAACAAAGGAATGTATGAGATACTTTGTTCGGCCAAGAAACTTGTTTCAGCCATCATCTTGACAGCTTCGATTGGGTAAGCACCCTTTGCAGTTTCACCACTCAACATAACACAGTCAGCACCATCGAGAACTGCGTTGGCAACATCGCTCACTTCTGCACGTGTTGGGCGGTTGTTCACGATCATGCTTTCCAACATTTGTGTTGCGCAAATAGATGGTTTACCGGCGATGTTGCACTTGGCAATCATCATCTTTTGTGCCATGAAGACTTGAGGAGCAGGAATTTCGATACCCAAATCACCACGAGCAACCATGATACCATCAGATTCTTTGAGAATTTCGTCAAAGTTCATAACACCTTGGTGGTTTTCGACCTTGGAAATGATTTTAATATGAGCACCCTTCTCTCCCAAAATTTCACGAATTGTGCGGACATCGCTACCACGGCGAATGAAAGAGGCAAAGATCATGTCCATATCATTTTCGACGGCCCAGATCAAATCCTTGCGGTCCTTCTCTGAGATGGCTGGCAAATCAACTTCTGTGAGTGGAAGATTGACACCCTTTTTGTTGCTCAAAACACCATTGTTGACGGCCTTGACTTTAACCATTGTGTCAGATTCAATGGCAATAACTTGTAGGGAAAGGATACCATCATCAACGTAAATCAATTTACCGACTTCGACCTTCTTTGGAAGGTTTTTGTAATCGATATAAAGGTATTTCTCTGAGCATTTGTCTGCGTATTGATCATCGGTTGTAACGTAAAATTCATGACCGATTTGAATTTTAACATCTTCTCCATTTACCATAACACCTGTACGCATTTCAGGACCTTTTGTGTCCAAAGCGAAAGCTAAAGGACGACCTTCAGCATCAGAGACAGCCTTGCGACCGTTTTCGACGACAGATTTGAAGTAAGAGTGATCACCGTGACTGGCGTTCAAACGAACGATGTTCATACCAGCCTTGCGTAGGCGACCTAACATTTCTGCATTGTTGGTCTTTGGTCCAATTGTAGCAATGATGGAAGTTTTACGCCAATATTTGTTATTAGCATCAAATGTGTGCTCGAGAGGGTTGAGGCTTGCAAGCCATTCTAGTTGTGATTTAGCAACTGGTTGGAACAACATGATGATGCTCAAAAGTGATGATTACCAAGATGGAAGTGATGAATGAAGGTTTGCAAAGTTTTTCCAGTGAATACGAAAACGTGTGCTTATGTTGAAGTTGATGTTGTTCTCTCCTTTACAGCAAAAAGTAAGTAACGGCATGAGTACTGTTTTGTTTGGGCGTTTTAGCGGCGGAAATCTTTTGATCAGTGGGAGGACCACCTTTTGTAAAAGATAGGCGAATGAACATTTTTTTTGTTGTTGTTTCTTCTTGAAATTATGCAGGAAAAAGTCTTATGCGAGGAAATTTTATGAGGCCGTGCACAGCTGCAATTTTTGACCGGCAAAGTGCTGCGTTGGATAAGGATAGCTGCTGTTCACAAAAAAAATTAAACATTTTTCGCGCTTTTAGCCCATCTTACAGCCTTTTTCGTCGTCGTCGTCTTTTGGGCGTACGCGCTGCTCAGCCAGTCAAAACGCCCCCATTGCGGTAAGAGAGAGCGGACGCATCATGCATTAACTCGTGGCGTAGAATCTGAAGCCCAGCTCGGACCGTGAGCATGGGCTGCATAACTACAGTAAAAGGCTTTCTTTTTCGGCGCGTTACTAAGTTCAAAAACTTTTAGTGTATGCATGCAATATGTGTGCCGTGCCTACCTTATTAATGCAGGATCAAGTGTTGGGTGCTTTGCCTATTTTGCAGCAAGAACCTTCAACATGTATTTGTTGGGCTTTTAAGTGTGCATAAGCTGATGGGCTAAAAATGTTCAACAGACTCGAATATTTTCGGAGGAACTTCGGTCAAAGGGTTCTGATTATGGGAGCTGTGTTCTCCAACACCTTCTCGAGAAGGATTGATTTCAAATTTGATTAGATATGATACAAATAAGCAGATAAGATATGATACAGTATACTCCCAGCAATCCAATCAGTAGATTAATTGTCGAAATGTGATGGAAATCCGCGGTTGTTTGATTTTGGGCTCTTTTGGTATTTCGTGCGTATACAATTTCTGTACATCACCTTGCATCACTAAAAGCGAACCATTGCCAAGTGTCCATTTAAACTTCTTTGGTTGTACTTTCTCCTTATTTCCCATTGCATCTTTCTTCCTTTTAATCTTTTCTTCCATTATCCAAGTCCTTTCCGCTCCTAATGAAACGGTAACGATGACTTTATTTTCAAGATTATCGCTATGCTTGCCAATATTGATACTGCCATCTTCGTACATGTTTAACATGCAATGATTGAATTTCACTTCTTTTCCCAAACATTCATCTGTTGCCAATCTAGCAGCAATCTTTTCGACTAGAGGTGGAAAAGGTGAATGCATTTCAACATCATGACCGCTATACTTTAATTTCATTCCTTCATTCGTACTGAAAGCGGCAATCTTTCGACTTTGTTGAATTTCACGTCCATACACTTTTAGCTTTGGTCGATACCATTCCAATAAATCATTCAATTCACGTCTCCATTGATGTGCCAAAGTGGAAGGTATCCAATTATGCTTGTAATACACATTCTCCATACCTTTGATTGCATATGCTTTCAAGAATTCCGGTCTTGTGACAGGGACTAATTGGCTGTCATCTGTTGTTGTGCCGCATGCTGTCTCTAACTGCTCATTTTGCTCTTCTTTTGGTTTCTTATTTGCACTTTCTACTTCATCTCTCCCTCTCTTTGCTCCTAGTCGTAAGTTGTACATTTTGCCTTGCCCGTTCGCCTCTACAGCAATGCAGTGATCCCCATCTATTCAAAAAGGTTAGGTCGCTTATCCTTATCTGCCAGTTTGAATCAAATGGGGACCAGAATGATGGTGAAAAGTAGAGAATGAATGAACAATTTGACGTTCGCTTCTTTGTCTTGACATTTTAGTTGGCTAGACCAGTTGCATTTGCTAAGCGGGAATTCTCCACCTGTGCCTGCAGTCTTGCTTAAGCTGGCTGTCCACCCATTCATCCTCTTCTGCTTGTTCAATTTATCCTTTTCTGACCTTTTTAGCGTCGTTTGTCAAGATATGATACGCGTGCTTGTATGTGTGTGTGTACGCGTCTGTCGAGTGGAAGTTACACACTCATGCAACACACACAAAGCCGATTGATTAGTCTGCGCCGCGCCATGTGCCGGACAGGCCCCTATTCTTCCATCGATCAGCACAATTGACTTTCAATCAACACTAACCGTCAATCAAAACTCTCCACACGCGCTGTATGTGGGTGGGTATTGTGTTTGTTTCATTCAGGAGAGGCTTGCATTTGTATGTCTGGACAAGAAGTTTAATCAATCATCAACGAATGTATGCAAATAAGATATGACAACTCTGCTCTCATAATATATCACTCCTTTCACAACACACCAAAACATTGTGATGACAACAAGATAAACAATCACCCACCAATCCCACTCAAGACACTCACACACCCCACCACCCAAGATGGACCTAATCACCATCGTAACAACATCTGCAAGACAAAAAGGGAAAAATGTCGAACGAAATCAATCAAGACGCAGACGACAGATATCAATAAAGCAAACCTTTATCCTCGTGGCAGGTGCTGCAATAGCATTCACATCAAATACATACGCTCAATCCTCAACTGCTTCATCTTCCACCTATTCACCAATCGCAAGATGGGGAGCAGCATCAACATTAAGTGATTCACTCTTTATCATTCATGGTGGAAAGACAAATGGGGATGGTATAACGCCTGGCGGTGGAGGATATACCTATTCATCCGGCCCGAACACAAATCAAACAATTTCAATCGACCTTTCTCAAAGCTTTCAAACAAGCTCACCACCATGGCAATCGATCGATAGAACCCTAGCCTCACAAGATTCTTCACCTTCAACTGCTTTTCATTCTTTGACTCCGTTGAATAATGGTAATTTACTCATTTTTGGAGGAATGCCTGACCCTTCAGCAAATACACAAGCGGGTAATAATTCAGCATACATTGTCAATTTGAGTAACGGCGGCGGTCATGCATCTTTCTCAAGAGCAGCCTCTTCGTGGAATGAACCTGAAAGGAGGATGTACCACTCTGCTGCAGGAGATGAGCAAGGGCATGTATACATCGTCGGTGGAGAGACAACAAGCGGATCTATGGCCCCGATGGATCAATTGTGGACGATAAATTCAGCAGCGAACAATCCTCAATTCAGGAATACGGCTGCCAGTAATCCTCCGGCTGGATTGATTGACGCAACTGCAACGATGCTAAGCGATGGAACAGTTTTGTCTTTGGGAGGAATAGATGGCAATAACACTATGCAAACATTTGACACGATATCATCCTATTCGCCTTCCTCACAACAGTGGAGATCGATTGGCACTCAAGGTGTAAATTCCAGTACGCAAGGCTATCCAACTCCTAGAAGAGGACACGTTGCTGTCGCTCTACCAAACCAAAGAGTGTTCATTCATGGAGGTGCAAGTATAAACTTTGATCAAGCAATGAGTGATGCATGGATATTAGATTGGAGTCAAAGTCCACCAAGATGGTCGGACATACAAATGACGAGCGGATCCGCACCTTCTGCACGATTTGCACATTCAGCCGTTGCATATGGAGGAAAGATTGCTTTGGTTTTTGGTTGGGCAGGTAATAATCCTGCTGATGCAACTTTGTACACGTTTGATACTACCACTATGACCCAACAAGGACAAATATGGAGTGGTGGTCAATGGACAACAAGTTATACTCCTGATCCAAATGCCGCAAAGAACGGCTCTGGTAATCAAGCCAACAATGGAGGCAAGAGCGGCAAAGGTGGCGGCAGTTCCTCCTCCGGATCAGATTCTGGCAGTTCAAAATCTCAAGATCCATTCGCAGCGCCCACTACGACCGATTCCAATACGACAGGATCAGATGATGGATCTTCCACGGCCGGCACAAAAGCAGGAGCAGTGCTTGGAAGTTTGGTTGGTTTAGGTTTGGTTGCTGGTGTTGGCTTTTACGCTTACAGAAGACATCAACAAACTGAGATGAACAATTGGCGAAGAGGTGATGGAGATGCGGCCTTATTGGGTGGTTCAGGACATTATAGTGGCCCCGATGAGCTTTACACCTTGGAGAAAGGCCTGGCAGAAGGTGGAGGAGGAGCGGGTGGCTATTATCAACCCGGTATGCATCCAATGGGACCTCGTGAACCTTCTCGTCCGAACCTTTCTTCTTCGCCTTGGAGTATGGGTAACATTGGACATGCAATGGAAGGTTCAGGTCCTCATTTACGTGAACGGTTGGCCTTGTTGACGGGAATCGCTGGTTGGACTGGAAGCGGAAACGGTCAGAATGGCAATTCCAACCAACGATTCGATATGTTGGCCGGAGAAATGGACGACGAACGACATGCAGGAGAGATGTACGCAATGAAACATCGTAATGGCGATCACATAGAAGAGGACGATGAAGACGCATATGAAGCAGAGATGGACAGACACATCAAAGAACGTAGCTATGGCCGTGTACAACAAGATGATTGGGATGAGATGGGCGCATACGACACATATGGCGATCTTGGCACAGGTGCGGGCGGAAGAGGTCAGATCGACACATACGTTGAATCTCCATTTGAGGAAGATCGTCCGATTCCCCCATCAGATTCCAAGGACAGAAAGAATAGCGCCGGTCCAGGAGGTGCTGCTGCGTTGTACAGTGGCGAATACGTTTCCTATGATAGTCAAAGCGTTGCAGATGGAGTGAGCCTGAATGAAGCAAATAGCATGTCAGATGTTGGAGCTTCGGGTAATTCTAGTCAGTCGCATGGCAACCTTTCCACATCAAACAAATCATCCTTATCTAAAAGCAGTGGCGGCCATGTTCAACCAGCCGCACTTTCCTTCAGCGATTCCGTTCCTCAACGTAGACGAGGAGGTGGACTTGCACCTTCTCCTTTAGTACGCAGAAGTCCAACATGGTGGGATCGCTTCATGGGTCAAAGCTTTTTGGAACGAAGTGCTTCCGGACGAATGTATCCTGGACCAAGGGCAGATGAGCCCATTCGTGATCCTGCTGATCCACCAACTCTAAGCGCCATTCGAGAGGCTTCTCATAGTACCAATCCAAGTACAGGATCTGATCCGTTCAGAGATGATAGTCAGAGGGGACGGGATGGTGCTGATGCATACGGAACTCCAGATGTTGACGAACATGGCAGGAGATTGGCCGATGAAGGTGGTCAATACGCAACAAAAGACTACAATCGTTCTTTGACAAGTTTGCAAAGTGCACGCACTGGTGATACAACTATGCTAGAAGCCAGAATGAGAACGATGGACGTTCAACGTGCGGGTACAGTGAGTAGTAGAAGAACATACAGTAGTGGCGCAAGAAGTGATCGTATGGGCAGCACGGGAGGAAGTATGAGCAGTGCAGGTGGCCTAAGTCGTCATACCAGTGTTCGCAGAGATGCCCAATCACAAGCACATGAAGCTGCCGAACAAACGCCCATGTCTGAATCTACACCTGGCAGTGTTGTTTGGGATCCTTCCCGATATGCTATGCCTGGTACTGTTTACGAACAAGATGAAGCAGATGAAAGCAGAGATATTGCTGATACTTCTCGTCAAGAGGAAGAAGTCGGTGATGATTTGCTCTTGTTCAAAGAACACGATCAACGTATGCCTTCAGAAGTGCCTAGTCTTACGCCATCGACTACCAAACGTGCACGTCAAAATCCCGATTTGACTTCACCCTTAAGTCCCGTACAAAAGCGGGCAAGAAGTCCACCAATTCGTGGAACGGTGAAAGATCGAGCATTAGCAATAGAACGTAAATGGACAAAAGAAGGTGCAAATGCAGTTTTACCTGTTCCACGTTCGCCTGCGATTAGTATGCATAGTCAACAATCTGGCAATAGTGGTGGTCACTCAGGAGAAGAGGAAAGCAGCTCTACAGCGCAAACATTTGTTCCGGGTAGAGGAGGAAGACCGATTTTGACTAAATTGGTTTCTCCATCCAAACCATCCAATCGAATCTTGGACGAAGGGGCTGAGAGCGATGGAATGGTTTTGAGCCCAATCAATGTTACCTCACCTCTTTCTATCACCAAGAAACAACCGCAAACAGAAGGTAAACGATTCACACACGATCTCGTACCTAAAGCACAATTATACATCGCCAATCCGGATAAACGAAGAGGAAGTTCAAATGATACTTCTGACCGTGCACCATTTTAAAGTCACCTTGCGATGGAAGGCTTATTGTATAGTATTTCTTATAGATGATTTTTGTATTCCTTTTTTGCAAGCCACCTGGGCAAAACATTCCTTCCTTTCCCTTTTTGCTTCTGGATCGTTATCTTAGGGCTAGTTTTTGCCACCCTTTTCTCTTTTCGCCTTCTCAATTTTTGTACAAATTCATTCATATTCTTTTATAGGCACAATGCAATTCTTATGGTTAAACAGGGCCACTCACGGTGATAGCATAAATGTCAAGGGTCTCTCGCATTGTTAAACGTTGAAACATTAGGCATGGATTGCGTGATGGAATGCGTAGATGGCGCGTTTCCCTTTAAAAATCCCGCTAATGCATTCGTATGTCAACATTCCCACTTTAACTGTCTATTCTCCCCCACATTTGGTTTTTACATGATTCCCTCTTGCGTGATTGAAAGAATCAACAGTCATCAAATGCTGCAATCTTACGGGATAAGCCAAGATGAAGTCGGGATGGTGCAATGAAGAGAGACATGTACTACAAACATACTGTACTCCTTCCGAGCAATCCGAGTTCATGGGTCATTCGGCTACCGACTCAACCGTTTGAATAGGCACAAACTCGTTTCTTAGCTGCCGTTTCCAGTTCAGCCGTTCCTTGCAGTTTTCACCATTCTCTTGTTTCACCGACTGTTCGGGATTAGATAAAGGCAGAAAAGCAGACTAGTCACTCGATCGCCCACGTTGATAAGAGAATCAGAAGAAGGTATAAAATAAGTACATGCAAACATTGAAAGAATTTCTTTCATCTTCATCTTCTCCCCCCATCAATCATTCCTACGACCTTTTGCCCCTCGAGGAGATCAACCAAAACACGATGTCAAACGTACAAGATGAAAAGATTGATTCCGGATCATTGGAAGCAGGATCCGAATCAGCCAATCATTCCTTACATGCACAACCTACAACCGATCATGGCAGAAAACGTAACCCATTCCGATCAACATTCACTCAAGCAACCATCTTGGGTATTTGTAGTTTTTTAGCACCGGGTTTATGGGGAGCAATGTCAAGTACGGGTGGTGGAGGAACACAAAGTATTTCACTCGTCAATGCAGCAAATTCATCCACTTTTTGTCTTATGGTAGTTACAGCTCTTTTAACACCTGCAATGATTCATTTGACAAACGTTAGATGGACTTTGGCTTTTGGTGCTTTGGGTTATGCTCCTTATGCTGCTGGTTTGTATACTTATCGTAAATATGGTACAAGTGCTTCTTGGTTTGTCGTGCTCGGAGCAGTTCTTTGTGGTATTTCTGCTGGGGTATTTTGGGCAAGTGAAGGTGCAATCATTCTTTCGTACCCTGAACGTAAGAAGCAAGGTATTTATACGAGTTATTGGTTGATGTTTCGAGTTATGGGTCAAATGGTTGGCGGTGCGATCAACTTAGGATTGAATGCAAACAACGGGCAAGCAGGTTCATTGAGCACAAATACGTTCTTGGTCTTTGTCGTTCTTCAATGCATTGGTCCATTTGTCGCTCTTTTGATTTCGCTGCCTCATCAAGTTCAAAGAAAAGATGGTACACCAGTCGTGCTCAAACTCAATCCAACACTCAAGTCAGAACTCAAAGCAATGTGGGTGGCCATCACCGCAAAGAAGGTTTTACTCCTCCTTCCACTTATTTGGCAAACAACTTTCTCGGAAGCAGTCATCTTTTCCATCAATGGAACGTATTTCAGTGTACGTTCTCGTGCTTTGGCTTCATTCTTGGGTGCAGTCGTAGCTGCTTCCGCTTGTTACATTTTGGGATTCATTTTGGACAACCATAAATGGTCTTTGAACGGTCGTGCTCGTTATGCATTCTTATCGATTTATGCTATGCAATTCGCTTGGTGGGGATGGAGTATCTATACTACACACGATTATTCGAAATCAAGTCCAACTCATGATTGGAGTGAAGGCTCTGCATGGTCACCAGGTTTTGCTATGTTGTTGATGCTACAAATTGGGTTCAATCTAATGTACGAATACACCTATTGGCTGGTAGGTGCCACTTCCGAACAACCGGGTGAAATCGTTCGTTTGGCAGGAGTGATTCGTTCCGTCGAATCTGCCGGTCAAGCTGTTTCATATGGTATCAACTCTACTTCATGGCCTTTCTATGCCGTTTGCAGCTTGAACCTCGGCTTCACTTTCCTCGGTGTTATCTTTGCATGGCCCGTAGTAAGAAAGACTGGTATTCTTTCTGATGGCACATACCTTTATCAACCTCCGATCTATGCAGACGAGGAAGAACGAGAAGCGATCAAAAGAGAAGTTGCCGATGAAGCAGCCGTTGTTGGAACTGCAAAAGAAGGCAACGAAATCAAGAAAGTTGATGAAATTACAAGTGCTCATTAGGTAGAATGAGTATGCAATGTATAATTCTATAATGCTTAAAAGAATGATAATACGATTATTGATGTACAATATATGGATAGTGAAAAATGAAGTCAGAAGTGTTGCGGGGTCCTGCATAAGCCAAAGGGAAGAGAAGGATAACGTGATATGGGATGCGTTTATATGAAGTGACATGAAAAGCCGTTATTTCAGTGGCTTTGGACTGTTGCTCCTTTGTTTTTCTTGCTCTCGCCAACGTTTTCGTTCTTCCATCTTACGTTTCTGCCATTCTTCTTTAGCCTGAGCTAATGCAACCTCCTCGTTCATCTTTGTAGACAGGGGGCGTTGTAGAGCGCTCAGACGAGCATTATGACGGGCTTGTAGTTCGTTTCCGGTCATTTGTTTCAGCATGGCTTTTGCAGGTACAGCCGTTTGAGCGGGCAGGTGTGAACCCTCACCCATCTCAACAGGAGAAGTGAAATGCGAGGAAGTTGGAGCACCAATGATGATTCGATCTTGTGAAACGACTAATCGGTCATTGGAAGATGTAGAAGCGGATGCTGGAAAAGGCACCATCGAATGTACTCTACGTCGCTTGGATTCAGATGTGACGAGCTGTTCATCATCCTGTTCAACTTTTCGAGATGAACCGAGCATCATCGAACGTGGTCGTAAATTCTCTGTCAAGCTTCTTTGTGATGCTGACAAGACGGCAAACTCTCCCAAATGAGCTTCCTCATGTTTGACTGGTGCACTTGGCAGAATACGCTCCTGGTAGCTTCTACGGGCATACTGACGATTGTTTTCGCCACTGCTGCGCTGCTCTGCATCCTTTTCAGCGTCATTCTTGGGCATTTCCCCAAATTGACCGCCAAAGCTCACTGGTCTTGTTGGATTCGTTGTTTCACTTCTAATGAGAGGCATAGTCATCGCAGAAGCTTGACTTTTACGAATTGAGCGTGCGTCTGAATCACGTAAAGCACGTGTATACATCATATCGGAAGTGGTATGATAGCCTGTACCAGAAGGCGAAGTTGAACGAAGGTCATGAATGCTTCTGCGTATAGCAGCAATCTGTTCGAGATATCGCTCCTTCTCTCGAATCTCATCAGTGATCGGATCGGAAGAAAGAGCCTCAAATGGTGTTGCTGGATCTGTATCGACTTTGGGTCCTTCTGTGTAATCGATTGAAGACGTTTGCAGGCCCAATTCATTCGCCAACTCAGAGCTCAAGATGCCGCTGCGTTGGGCAGGCAAGTCGATGAAAGGTCGATCCGGGTCTGGCGATGTTTGCTTCTCTTCCATTGTATCGTGCTTCATCAGTGCTGTAGAAGGTGTTAGGGTCAAATTGGGCGAGTCAACTGCATCTTCAACAGATGATGCTTCTTTATTGTTGCGCTTCCAGAATCGCAAATCTTGCTGGGCACGAGCAAAGATACCTTGTGCATCTTGATCAGCTTGTCGTTCGCGGGCTTGACGTTCTTCATCTTGTTTCTTCATAATTCGAATGCTGGCTTTAAGTTGAGACCACATCTTTCCTTGTAATGCAACTGCCATGACAAACGTACCTGCAAGAACGCCAAGTTCGATCACCATTGCAGTGCTCATAGGCCACCTTGAATCAGCAAATGCGGCTGGATAACGTTTTTCAAACAGATCATCAAATCCGATATTACGAACATAGAATTCTTTGAGATTTGCACGAATGAAACAGTCTATACCCAAAATTGCTGCAGAAGCACCAATAATTGCAGTAGAAAAGATGATCATAAATCTTGTCAAACGCGAGTAACAAGCAAGTGCAAAACTGAGCGAAATGAGAGCAATAAAGAAGATATATCGAAATCCAATCACTTCGATCAATCCATTTGGTCTACAAGCTTGCAAGAACAGAGCAAAGGCAAATCCACCCAAAGCACATGTTATCAACAAAGCACCTTGTCGAAAGATGATGAAACAAATACCTCCAATGATGCCGGCAAAAATGCAAGCTAACAGAAAGAGACCTTTTACTGTATTTGATGGATCGCTAACCGCACGAGCTTGACCGAATCGTAAGATGAGCGAAAGAACGACGATTGCAGAAGAATAAAAGCCGGAAATGAATGCTGTATACCACGTACAACGATGACCTATGAATGCCATCGGAAGACCACTGAGGATCAAAAGTGCACCAGTGATGCTAAAAGCTGGATCGATGATTGTATGCAGTGGCAAAGTGCCGTCATTGCTGAGTTGAGGTGGCGGTGCTATGGTCGAATTAGTTGTGCTATTTGATGGTGAGGTGATATTTGCAGGTATTATCGTTCCTTGTATAGTTCCGTTGTTGGATGTTGGGATTGTCGTATTCGTTGCAATCGTCTTATTTGTCGCAATTGTCGTATTTGTGTTACTTTGGGCATAAGCTGTTGAAATCATTATCAAAAGCATGGCTTTCATCAACCATGCTGCTTTGTTGAATTTCATTTTGCAATTTGTTCTTTCACGCTACTTGAATGATCTTAACGTGTGCGATAATGAATGAATGAGTGGGGAAGGGGGAAAAGGGTTTCCAGAAGTAAGGGAGATTTTTGAATGAGAGTGTAAATCAAAACGATTGCAATTTGAACAAATTAATTTGGTTGGCGAACTCTGAATTTTTCAAAGACCGAGACTAGGAACGGCATATTGCGTCAGTAATTGAGGTTGCTTTCGCCCACCCGCGAAGTCTTGGACATCCGTGGCATGTTCGGCGAAATATTTGTATTCCGATGTGATTGTTATTCAGCCTTTTGATTGTGCTGCGTGTTTCCCACACGTTTACAGTTTAAAAAAGGATCTTTTTCTCAATGAGGGTGTAGTTTAAATTCAAAAGATGTCACATCCCCAGAATTATTTTAGGATACATCACATCATCTTCACTGCTTTTCTTCTCCTGCACTTGTCACGGCACACAAGATGACGTTTAAGGTTCAATGCAGGTAATGTATATTCATTGCGCCAACTCAATCACATAATTAACATTTTCACGCGGAGGTGCGAGAGGCGTGCCACCCAAGCAAAAAGACGCGAATTTGCACGTGAAGAATTTTTCTCATTTTTTCGTCAGAACACAAGAAATTTAACTCAAGAAGAATGCGAGCCTACCTTTTAACTTTACCCACTGCATATATTTATATACCCTCTCTTCCTCCTTGACACGAGTATATGATGTACAGCAATCATGTCTCGAATCATTGTCAAGAATATACCGGATTACCTTGACGAGAAGCGATTGAAGCAACATATTGGCGCTCATATCGGTAATGAAATCACAGATATAAAGATTGTACGAAGACCAGATGGAACGTCAAGACGGTTTGGTTTTGTTGGATTCAAGAGAGAAGAAAATGCGATCGAAGCGCAGAGATACTTTGATAGAACGTTCATTGATCCCGCAAGAATCAATGTTAGCATAGCCAGGGCAATCAACGATGAAGCTCTAAAAGAAGAAAAAGCCCGTAGAAGAGGAGGACAAGGCGTTGTGGTGGAGAACAAAAACGCAAAAGCAGAAAAGAAAGATGACAAAAGTGGCGAAGAAGCCAAAAAGTCATCTTCCAAAGCAATCTCATTTGAAGAATTCATGGAAGTGATGAAGCCTCGTTCTAAACGCAAAGCATGGGGAAATGGAGAAAACCAAGATGCAGATGCTGCACTAGATCCAGCAACATTCTCAGAGGAAGCACCAAAAGCTGCAAAGAAGAGGAAGTCGACAAAAGAAGATGAAGCAAATGCCAAAGAGGCTGATGAAGCGGAGAAAGAGGTCGCCGTAGATTCAGCTGTCAATGACGAAGGAATGACCGATCTTGAGTACATGTACAAGCGCATGAAAAGAAAGGTCGGTGCAGACCTTGAAGAGGAAGAACAAAAGGCATTCGAGCAGTCTGACGATGAAGATGCAAGCGACAAGAAGAAGGAAGACATAGCTCCCTCTGCTGAAAGCGAAGAGGAAGACGAGGAAGAGGTCGACGAAAAAGAAGCGCAAAAGCAAGAGCGACAAAGGATAGCACTCGAAAAGAAAGCAAAGAAAGACCAAGAAGATGCTGACTCAATCATGGAAAGCGGAAGATTATTCGTACGAAATCTTCCGTTCGAGACTGTTGAAGACGATCTGGAAGAGTATTTTTCCAAGTTCGGACAAGTAGCACAGGTAAGTATCTTCTCTAGAGCAATAAGCACAAATGTGCCTAAAATGATGAACAAAAGTATAGGGACAACCTAGAAGACACAAAAGTGTCTGAGCGGAGAAAAGTACTGGGAGACATTGCTAGTAACAATAGTCTATTTTTCTGATCATGAATGCAATTGGTGGAGAAAATGAACATATGCTTACAAAGAATATCTTCTTCCTCCCTCGACATCAGGCACACATCACGCTAGACAAAGCTACCAAGAAACCAAAAGGAATCGCATTTGTCACATTCGCTGAACCAGCACACGCCCTATCTGCTTTCCGTGCTGCTGACGGTCATACATTCCAAGGTAGACTGTTGCATATCTTGCCAGCCGCTCAAAAGAATGAAAATGCTACCGATCCCAGCACATTAAAGGGAAAGAAAAAGCAAGAGATGAAAGCAAATGCAACCAAAGACTTTAATTGGAATACTCTATACATGAGCTCAGATGCAGTTGCAAGTAGTGTAGCAGCCCGATTGGGAATCGAGAAGACTGATATCTTGAACCCTGAAGATGGAGAGCAGAATACCACGATTAGTCCTGCTGTCCGATTAGCCTTGGCAGAAACAAGCGTCATCAATGAAACACGAGACTTTTTGAAAGGAGAAGGGATCAATGTAGATGCATTCGAAGGCGTACAAAAGCAGAAGCGATCGGACACAGTCATTCTTGTCAAGAATATCCCATACGGAACCAGTACCGAGGTTTTACAGTCCATGTTTGAGAAGTATGGCACGGTGGAAAGGACCGTTATGCCCCCTACTGGCACTATAGCAATCGTTGAAATGCAGTTGCCTGGTGAAGCAAAGGTCGCATTTAGATCTTTAGCATATAAGCGTCTAGGTAATTCCGTTTTATACTTGGAAAAAGCACCAGTCGGTATAATGGGAAGCAAGCCTGTGACGTCTGATGTTGCTGGTAAAGCAGACGATCAAGCCAAAGAAGAGCAATCACAAGTGGCTAACGCAAATCCTGCCGTACCACCCACAGAAGGAACAGCGGCTGCAGGCGCTACATTGTTCGTCAAGAATCTTTCATTCTCCACTACTGATGAACGTCTTGCTTCGGCATTTGGCAAACTTACGGATGTTACCTTTGTTCGAGTACAAAAGAGATCTGTTCGTCAACGTGATGGAAAGGGTGAAGTCAAGTTGAGCATGGGTTTCGGTTTTGTTGGATTCCGATCGATCGAATCCGCACGTATTGCACAAAAACTTATGGATAAGTCTATGCTGGACGGTCATTTGCTCAATGTCACATTTGCCAAACGAGGTCATGATGCAGATGACGAAGTCGTAGGTGGCAAATCTGCAAACGAAGAACGAACAAGCGCTCCTTCCACGAAATTGATCGTCAAAAATTTAGCTTTCCAAGCAACCAAGAAAGATGTTCGAGCCTTGTTTGCTGCCCATGGAAAGATCAAATCTGTGCGTGTACCAAGAAAAGGAATGTCATCCGTCGGTGGAACGGCAGGTGGTGTTCGTGGTTTCGGTTTTGTGGAATTTGTTAATCGAAATGAAGCTTTGAACGCATACCAGGCTTTACGTCATAGTCACTTGTTGGGCCGTCATATGATTCTAGATTGGGATCTGGAAGGTAATTCTGCCGCCACCAGTGCAGACGCTTCAACGGCCGAAGATCAAGGCACTTCTGTTGACAGATTGCGTCGCAAAGCTGCTCAACAGGCTGCGATCTCACAAGCTGCCTCTGGACCAGGCGGTGCACATAAGAGGGGAAAGTTACACCTTAACGATGAGGATATCAAGCAAGCGGCGCTTGACGAGAAACGTCGTGCAGTAGAAGACGATGATGAAGATGAAGAAGAGGAAAATTGATTCATTCTGTAAAATATACAATTTTATCGCATTCTGTATTAATAATAAACACCTTTTCTGTACTGTACAATTTGGATAATCATATCAAACAATTTTTGTTCACCAAACCCACTTCATCGTCATTATTTGCCATCCAAAATACCTTTTCGCCGATCTGTGTAGGATCGTAAGCGGAAACAAATTCGATCAATCCTTCTTGATGAGCGCATCGAATCAAATAGCAAACATCCATCCTTGTCAGTGCACCTTCCCTTTGTAATTGACAAATAAGTTGGGATAATGTTAAGCCTGGATTGATCGTGATTGCCTGTAACACCAGCGCACAACAATCACGCCAAATCCTTTCGATCGGCCTTCCATACATATCGAACCATGGACGAGGAATAATCGCATTTTGTGAGGTTTGCGATTCATCCAGAATAGTCATTGTCCAATCATTCACATAGATTGATGCAACAAGCTTGGATTCGTCCCAGCCTGCCTCAAATGCAAGAGCAGGAGAAGTTTGAAGTAAATCGACAATCAAATCAGCCGCAAGATCCAGCGAGAAACCTTCGTCTACACAGATGGCTTTGACGTTTGATCGAGCAATACCTTCTGGCCCGGCAGATTTCACACGTTCCAAGATTGCAGTCGCTTCCGACTTACTTTTCTTAGCAAGTGTACTTGTTCTCAACCATGATTTGCACGCTTTCTCCCAGCGATTGGCTTTCTTGGCAGTATCAAAATCGTCTTTAGCCCATTCTAGAACAGCTTCTTCTTTTGGTATCTTTTCCAATAGAGTTTCTTGCTCTTTTGAAATGCCACCAAGCATATTGCTCAACAATTCACCTTGTTCAGCCTTTACTCTGACCGGTACTTCCAGCTGCATATCCGTTGTCTTCTTGGCATTGAAAATGTGATTGGAGCTGAGGCGAGAGACAGGCGACAAATCGATCTCCACGTCAACATTACCTCTATCGGCCAGGAGAATGCCGGCTGCCGTTTCGACATTACCCGAAGCACGATAAACTTCCAAACATTTGTCTGTATTGCCATTTTGTATACTTGTAGAGAGAGCTGTAGCACGCTCTATTGCGCTTTCCGTGATTTGCCAAGTGGGAATCGTTTCAAAGTTTTGATCGCTCATAAAAGAGATCCATTCGCTAGTCCATTGGTCCGGATCGCCTTCTACTTGCCTACCTTCTTCATGCTCTTTTGGCTTACACAAGCGTGCAGAGATAAGATGATTCCTAGCTTGTTTGACATTTTGTTCTTCAACACCATTAATCTCATTGAGCTTTTGCGATAGTGCTTCGTCGTACGCTTGGTCTGCCGTGCTCAAGAACATCCTCTTTAACGCATATGCTTCTTGCGATTTCTTTCTGCTTTCAAAGGTCCCTTGTTCTTGCATTGAACTTTTGGGTGCAAGTGTGCCGTCAAGCATAAACGTTGAAAATGCTGCACGGAGGAGATGATCCGTTCGTAGGTCACCTGCTCCATCTCCCGCGTAGTGTCTTGTGATGACGTTGGCATTGTCAAGAACAAGATGCGTATGAGGCGGGCGATCCAAATCGTAGAGTAGATCAAGATTTTGAACATTCAAGGGCAACGATTCATTTGTACCATTCCGTAGCGTTTCCAAAACGGCGAATTTGTCAATCCTTTCTCTCAAGAAGTCAACGTGTACTTGTAGGTCAAAAGCAACAGCATCTTTTGGATCATCGTCTGGCAAAACATCAGTTTGGCGAAATGCAAACCACAACTTCGTCCATTCCACCTCCAATTGAGCAAGATATGCTTCTTCTCCTACTGCACTTTTCAGCTTTTCAAATCTTCTGTGAAGAGCAGTCATAGTGCAAAAAGGAAATATGCGTAACAACGCTTTCCAATTCTTGCGAACGTTTCCAGTGGGATGACGGTCTTGATCACGAGCCCTTAAAATCACGCAGCAATCACGTAAAAGTTCATCAGCCTCCAGCGACCATTCAAATACAGATTTGCGCGACTTCCTCCTCTCATTGAAACTTCTGATGATAACTCGATTCTTCTTACTCCTGTCTCTTTTTGGTGCCTTGCTACGTACCATTGACCGGAAAGTGCCCGTTTCTCCCGTCTCGATGAAATCTTGAATGGCTTGCAACAGTGCCTTTACCTCATCTATCTTCATATGAGCGGCACCATTGCTGTATGCTTCACGAGCAGTGGCCATTCCTTTGGTAAATTGATCTCTCTCTTCTCCTGCAATATCATGCCGTGAGAAGAAAGTATCAAGAAGGTTATCAAACTCATCTCCACGCTGTTCACGCAATTCTCTTGCCCGTCTTTTGATTCTGTTCTCTTGTCTTTTTACTTGATTCAAGGTCAATGGTCCTGTCACCCGCGTGCGACCTTGTGCTGGTGCTCTCTCTCCTCGTCTAAACTTGTTGCTAATGAGATTGTGCATTTCTTCTGTCTTACGATCTGTTTTCGCTTTCTTGATTTCTGCCAAGCCGAATACTCTGCGAAGATGCTGCTGGACAAAAACGATAGGTGTTACGCTGGCATAGCTCAGCTTCTTCAACATGACATGATCGTCAATGTGACTTGCATTGATGCCCAAACGCCGAGCTTGTTCGAAAAATGCTTTCTGAGCTTTGAAAAGACGATAAGAGGTGTCCCAAGCCGACGAAGATTTAAGAATTTTTGCATTGTTAATCCACTGAACCTCTTCTGGATCGTCTGGATTATTTGGCTCATCCGGAATGCCGGTAATTCTTCCTTTGCGAAATTCGTCCAATTTGCCCCAAAAGAGGTGTACGTCAATCTGACTTGTGAACTTCATTCTGTCCAGATGCGGCTCGAAGTGACCTTCCGCGTTCCAGATCGGCTTCTCGAATACTGGTGCGAATTTATACAGCATGTAATTTTCATCCCATTCTACCGGAGCATACTCATCATGGCCGATATACGATACCGGCACCGCAAGCTGCATTTCGCAAAGGAATTTCATGACTGGTGCCAAAGTTCGACGACATCCTGCACCTCCACCATCGCCATCGTCGCTCAATTCGAGCGAATCACGCAGCTTTTTGTCCAAACTTGAGAGGGGCCGTTCAAGAAGTCTAGCATTTTGACTGGCGGAGAAAAGACCATTGTCTTGAGGTGCTGTGGCAAGTTGTAAATATGATTGAAGTCTGGGCTCAAATGCCCAACAGGCCAAATCAACCACATTGTCGCCCTTGATGAATTGATACATGTTCTCGCTGGGAGGATGATTGAGCATCTTCCAGGTCTCTTGATGGACTAGTCTTGCTCGAGCTACCAGTCCTTCAAATCGACCCGTGAAGGCTGATCTGATATGAGGATGTTTGATAATCTGAGCACGGAATCTGGGATTGGATAAGAGATCATCTAGACTGCTGGTCTCGAAGTTCATGCGATACGCTCCCAGCACTGAGCCTGCAAGAGGAATTTCCAGATCACCCTCTTTCAGAATGGTGTTGTCCGAGACATAGCGATGAACTCTGTCATCACCTCGACTGGCCTCCAGCAAATTGGTTTGCTTTGCGTTCTCCAAATATTCGCTGATCCTTTGACCGGAAAGACCTTTCAAGAAGAGCAAAGTTTGCTTGGTGTCTCGGTTTGCAATTTTGATAGAAGTGAATTGACGTACAATTTTTCCATTCTCAATCAAAGCAGCCAACAGCTTCTTTCTTACTTTCACATCCATTTTCGAATTCTTGCGCTTGAAATCAGTCATAGTTGCATTTGCAACGAAATCGGAATACTCTTTATCGAATCTTCTGGCAATGACGATTTGAGCTCTTTCAAAGAATTCCAAGAGCAGTTCATACTTGGCTTGCATCGATACATTAAACCGAGGCGCCCTATTGTTCCTACTACCTCCCACCATGACAATGTCGACTGTTCGATCAACGGGTCTGTCATCATCTTTGTGAGATTGTTCCACAGTCAAATCTTCGTCTTCTTCTTCAGGCGCACGTGGGAGATCTTCCATAACTTGATCTGGCTCATCTTCAGGTGCCTGTGTACGATCCTCCATGTTCTCACCTGGCTCATTTGCTGTAGACGTCACTGTTGCATCTGCATCTCCTGTCTCTGATTGCAGGACAGGGTATGATTCATCAGGATTGTTCGTACTCTTTTCATGGTCCTGCGTCGTCAGCTCTGCTCCGGAGTCGGTCTCGATTCTTGCTAGCTTTCGAGGTCGTCCTCGTTTCCGAGTGACTTCAGGTGTTGATGCTGAAGCAAGCATACCATCACCATTCTCATCAGGCAGACCTTTTTTGGCACGATAACGAGCAGCAGCTGCTAAAGCTTTTGTAGAATAATCCTTTCTAGGCCTTCCTTTAGCCTTGGCAGGAGTTGATTGTGCCGAAGCTGTTTGCTTTTTACCAGGGCCTCGCGTCTTTGGTGTGTTATTGTGGTGCACAAAATTGCCTACATCACTCTCATTCAATCGAATTTCGGGCATTTTTTTGATAGATGACCTTAGATCTGACAACTTCAACTTCTCCACGCTCGCCTTGCCAGAGACTTGATATGAAAGCCATTGTCGCACCCTGAACCTGCCAATCCTCTTCCTTCCTTCTTGGCCCAAAGCAGAGGATATGAATAGATCAGAGTACTGGGGAAGTGTCACTTGTGTCTTTGCAGTATTCAAAATTCGGTCAATATCACGTCTGCGAGTCTCATTGCCTCCAAAGAAGCGATTCAAATCCTCGATCGTCGTTCCATTCGGACCTGAGCGTGCGACTTCCTCCATTAGCTGTCTTTCAAATGGGACTTCCGCCTGAATACCACTTTGGCCATATACCTCAGCTTGCTCTTGCAAATTTGCTTTCAGGGAAGTGATATGTTTTTCGTGTACGGACGTCTTTTGACGATTATATTGAGCAAGACCTTCCTCAGTCAAGACCAAGCAACGACTGTTTTGTGGTGTTCCGTTCAAGTCAATCTTAAAAGTGCGACAGTGTAATAAACCACGGTTTTGCATTTCCTCAACGGCTCGAACGACAGCACGACCTTGAGTGGCATATTCTAATCGTAAGCCGAGTCGAAAAGTAAGCCCTTGACGTAAAATGATTCCTTTTGGCGATTCGACGAGTAAACGTAAGATACGTTCACGCATTCGCATCTTATTATTTATCAGAGCAGCGATTGCGTCTTCGTTTGGTAATTGTGGAAAGGCGGAAGTACCGCTTTGAGTGTTCAGCTCACTTGCAGAGGGCTGCACCATAGATTGATCACCTTCGACATCCTCGTATACTTCTCGTGGATCGTCTTCAACTCCCGTTCTGCTAGTATCACGCTCCTCATCATTCTGTAAGGTCATCTGGCCTGCCATATCTTCTTCAGTCACATGCTGCAAAGTCACGTCTTCTTCTTCATTATGTTCCTCTTGTTTAGCTTCGGCCCTTTCTCCGTTTTGTTCTATAGAGCCATCGAGGATCATTTCGTGTGAGTTGTAGTATGAGCTGAGATGGGCGAACTTTTTTGCAATAAGATGATTGTGCATACTGTTCCTGAGTTTATAAACCAATCCTTTTTCGAGTAGGTTAAGCATTTGCAAATACAAATTTGAATTCGTGATCTTTAGGTTGGACATGATTTGAGGAAATGAAGCACCTTGCCCTCTTTGACGCATGATATACACCATGACTGTACGCAAATTCGGAGTCAATGGAGCTTGATTCCCCGAAATCGCCCTTGTGATTGATTTTTCGTCAGCAAAAAGACGCAACTTATCGCCATGTCTTTGTTGAAGAGTGATGAAATCAATCTCACGGGCTTCGATATCCTCATTGATGAATTTTGAAGCTGTTCCTGAAGCTCCTCCTTGATTTTCATTCTCATCATTGTCTTCATCTGAATCATCACCAGCTTTCATTTTAGTTGCTCCATTTATTTTCTCTTGCTTGACAATGGAGGACGAAGAGCCGACGAAGCTTCCGGCATGAATGGTTGGATGCTGCAATGCGATCGCGATTGCATAATCCCGCGCATGTCGATCAAATTGTATTTGCTCTTCATGTTTTGCCTTTTGCTGCTCATATTCATCGATAAAAGAATTCAACCGTTCGACAGATGAACCTTTTCCCACAGAGGATAAGGGAGGGATTAGTGTCAGTATATGCTAATCATCAGTCCATCAAAACCCTGATCAAGGTGCGAGCAGGTATAGTGCCCGCGCGCATGTATGAATGAGTAAGCGCGTAAAAAGTACTTTTTGCATCATTTGATCGTCTTCAACAGTATTCGAACTTGTTGCTTTTCCTAACGATGGCTTGACCAAATTGTCAACATTTGTCATGATGGACAATCTCGTCAATTCAGATCAGCATTTATTGTCGCTAATTTCGCACTAATGTGATCGTGATCGACATTGACGAGTGATGACAACAACACAGTTCACTTCGAAAGACAACTAAATATTTCACATCATGATCATCGCACTTACCTTCATCTCCATCAGCAGCAATCTGTTCCACCAAATATCTGGCTAATTCGACAACCATCTTGTAGCGAGATCACCATTCCATCCTACAATGCAAGAACGAGAAGTTGACAAACGCTCACCAAATTCTAGAAGTGGATGTGGATGTACCTTCTGAGCCAACCAGTGAAGGTGATCGGGTGGTTGCTTTACCTCTTCTCAATCGTTGGACTAGGTCCCATGAATAGGGCCAATATAATTGCGAATTGAATATTACTGGAATAAAAAAAGGACAGTCCAATGTGCTCCTTGCGATCAGACGGATTGGCCTAGTGATGGCGGTATGAACATCGAGAAGAGAAAGAATGATGATGACTTTCTTCTGCAAGAGCACGGACGGACGGACAGTGTTTGAGCGTCAATTGATGCAAGCCAAATAAAAAAATATTAATGTTCACTGATTCATCTTCGTGCATGCATGCCCACAAAAAAAAGTAACACGACGCGTACAAGCAGGCAGGCCGGGAGAATGTATTTGAGTGTGAGAGTGTGTGCCTTAAGAAGTAGTGGAGAGGGAAGATGGTATTCCAACTACCATAACCATAATTCTTCGGGCCGTAGGTTTGTGCTCTTTATGAGCTTTGCAATTGAAGATGTTATCCTTATAAGGGCATCAACAAGTACGGATGAGTTCAATTGGGAAGGAACAGATGCAGAGATTGAGCAATTCGAAGCATTAATAACATCGTGCGAAGAAGGAACAACGGCAGAAGAGGCTATCGCTCACAATGTGGGGTTGGATGAATTGACTTACCGAATTCGACTTTCAAATGACATCTGGCTAGATGTGAGAACGAAAGTCGTCGGTGCGAAATATGAGCCGCAGATAGGCCTACACGGTCCTTCCCTACAGAAAGATGTATGGGAAAAAGCAAAAGCAACATTGGACAATTTGTACAAGAAAGCAAAGGAAGAAAGCATTGATAATATCGTGTTTGATGTGTATACTGGCCTGCAATCCTACACGACGACAGAAATTCCACAAACAAATGAGAGAACTTCACAATCACCTGATAACCACAGCACTGCAGACGAAAGGAAGGGCTCTCAGTCGTCCAAGGTGGAAATGTTACGTGTGATCTTTTGGACTCATCATTTGAAAGCACCTTCAAAGAAACGTGATATGAATAAATGGTGTGCTGAGCTACAAGTGTACGGGCTGGTAAAAAGTGGTTACCCTGGATTTCTGTGCTTCGAAGGAATGAGAGAAGATGTTGAAGAAATTGTCCGAAGGATCAAAGCTCTTCAATGGCATGCAATCACTGTTAAAACAGAAACTCCTTACTCTTTTGAAGAGAAAAATACACAAGATATACAGTCAATGGCAATTAGACAATGTTTATTGGCCAAGACGCACTCTGCAAAGGGCAAAAGTTCATCAGATGTGGTACGAACTTCGATGGATGAAGTAGAGACGGGAGGCGAGCTTGTTCAAAGGTGAGTGATTCCGAGTGGCTTAATGCATTCTTTATGATTTATAGCTCACACACACATGCCCTGCAGACTACGAGAGGCTGGCATTCCAGAAGACGAATTGTTGTTTGCTTTGAACTTACGATCTTAAGAAAGTTAGCAGAGATACCACTGATGTGCTTATAATCGATATTTATTCGTGTATGATAAAATCTTGTATACTATTTATATAAATCTGACCTCGAATTCTTTTCACTCTGAGTGACCATGTTTCACTTCTTGTGCGTGTTTGTGGGGAGTTTTGGAATTGTGCAATAGACCAAAAAGAGATGTGCAGTTGCAAGCGAGATGCTTGATAGATTGCTTCGAGTCCATTGAGTCCGACAGATCGAATGCGAGCGTGAATTGGTTCGAGCTGTTGAGCATAGGAGAAATCCATCCTGCAAACCACCGTTGACGTGCACATGTCAAATAGGTAAATGCACATTCCTGGAGATGTAGAGAGCATGGTGAGGGTTGGGCGAATACATTACAGAGACTTGCTGGTGTAGGGAAAGAGACTTGAAAAGAATGATAAATTTTAGTCAAAAGTGAAAGATTTCTATGCGTTTGCTTGAGGAGGAACGGGTCCTGCACTTTGTCCTTGAGCATCATCGATGTTATGGAAATCAAGAATTTCGCTGTACATCATCACCTTCCATGTATCAACAGGCAAATCGGCATCATTGAAACTCCAATCGAATGCTTCTTCAGCTTCAGGTTCATCGGTAGGGTCGTGGTAAGGCGCAAGGTATGGATGAGATAACGCCTGTGCTGCAGTGATTCTTGTTCGTGGGTCAAACACGAGCATCTTCTCTAGTAAATCCAATGCTTGTGGATCTTGATTTTTGAACTTTTGTGAGAATGGAACACGTTGTCTTTTGGGTAAAGATTGAACGAATCGTAGAGTATTTTCGCTGCAGATCGTTTGTATAACCTCATCTGGAGGTGTACCGAGCAATTCTGTGATAATGGAGAATTGATTAACGTGATCCTTTCCTGGGAAGAGAGGTCTTCCTTCTAGCATTTCAGCAAAGATGCATCCTGCGCTCCAAACATCTACCGCAACATCGTACTTTTGCCATGTGAGCATAATTTCTGGTGCTCGGTAATACCGTGTGCTGACGTATCCTGTCATCTGAGGGTCTTGAATACGTGCCAAACCGAAATCGCAAATTTTCAAATCGCAGTTTTCATTCACCAAGATATTTGATGGTTTCAAATCACGATGAACGACACCAGCGGAATGAACGTATTTGAGTCCTCGTAGTATTTGGTACAAGAAGTATTGGATGAATTGCTTTTCCAAAGGTCTGCTTGTCAATAATCGATGCAAATCGGTACCCAATAATTCTGTGACAAAATAAATATCTTCCAGTGGAGAGATGAAAATATCCGAAAGCGAGATGATGTTTTCATGTCGAATATGCTTCAACAATTTGAGTTCACGATAGGTTCTCTTGGATAAGACAGGAGTACTGAAAGGCTTCATAATCTTTTTGATTGCGACTGATGTGCCAGTCAATTGATCTTTTGCCGAACATACCAATCCAAAAGCTCCCATACCTACAGGCTGAAGATCAACATATCTTGTCGTAACTTCAAACACTGTACCGAAAATGCTCAAACGAGCAAAATCTGCAGATGCCATTTTTGATGAGTGTTGTTATCGTGTATGACCTGAATGCTTGTTGTTTGGGGTTGGTGTGATTATCAGTGTTGCTTCCTCCGATGATATTCACAGTCAAAGCAAAGTCAACACTGTTGCTTTGATAAGAAGTGATGATCCAGTAACGCAAAGGGGGGATGATGGTAGGAATGGCTAATCAGTGAAATCCATCCCTTTACGCTCAAAGAAGAGAGAGTGTGTGTTGTGTGTGTATGATTATGTACTCAGGCTGCTTGTGCTCCAATGTGAGAAAAGGGCCGTCTTCCATTTCAAAATGGAGCGCCGCCGAACAAGTTTTCAATCTTTTGTTTTTCCTCTGGAAAGGTGCGTTAATCGCCTGTGCGTCAATAAACGCGTGTTGTTTTCCTACGCTTACCAGATGCATACAATAATGCTGTGCACACTCACACACACACACGCTTCAATTTGAATCCGTGTCTTGTTTTTTCTTGGGCCCCTTGTGTGTATTTTTTGGCCTGGGCCAGAAGAAAGTACGTACGTACACATTTATCTTTTGCTGGCGAAGTACATCGTGTCGGTGTACGTAATTAAGCTTGGGTTTTAATGCGTCGGTGGCTGTTTAAAGTGGAAATCTAAACAAGTCGATCACATTTAGCATAAACAGAGCTCTACTGCAGTATATCGCTTGAGCCGGAGCCTTGATGCCGATACTTTGTCGGATTTAGACTGCCAGAAGATTGGTTGATGCTTGTTTAAGATGCATCTTCCTTCTGCGTGCCTGTTTTACAGTATAGCCAAAGGGGTAATGATGTGTGTGGCTGCCTATCCTTTCATGACTTCTTCAATGCGTAACCATTCTATCAAGATCATAGGTCATTCACAAGGCCTTCGATCAAAAGTCGACTATTGGCAGAATATCTCTATCTAAAGCACAAATCTCAATCTCGATCAAGCCTTACTCTGATAATAAAAATGTCCGAAGAAGGTGCGGCAGGCACAACTCAAAGAAGCTTCTACGCTGCATTGAATGAATGATTGTGTGTATGCAGTGCGGAAGATGTATTTTGTCTTTTTTACACAGGTGCCCCGCACATAGGATTTCTTTTCCTCTTTTTGCGCTGCGCCGGCACTGACTGTCGCGCATTGACTTTTGCCCTTTCCGGGGAGACAAAAGTAGGAAAAGCTATAGAGATAGAAAGTCAACCTTCTTGAGCTAAATCATCAACCCTCAACGATCACCTACACATCGACACTTTCTACTACCTCAGAAACCATTCATCTTCCCACACAAAAGCAGGATGAGTGGTGCAGATACGGCCACTGGACTCGTTCCAAGCGCATATGCGGATGCATTCGTACGTGGCCCACCTCGTGAAGGCGTTCAAAGGGTTCAGAATAGGTTGCACAAAGCCAGAATCTTGGCAGACGAACTTGCGGATTATTTCGCTGCTCGTCGTGAATTGGAAAGTACCTATCTCAAACAATTACAAAAGATTGCTAAACGGTCTTTCCTTTCCGATGCAACCGCTTTGGGTCCAAACTTTCTTCCCGTATATGAGAGATTGATTGCCGAGATTGGGGAAGTAGCCCGCATTCATGGAGATTTGGAAAAGAAATATGAAGTAGAGTGTGAAATGCCAATCCGCCAGGCAAGTCAAAAAGGAGATTGGGGACGGATAAAGGAACATGATGACAATCTGGCAGGAACGTTGAAGGAAATCTCCACATTGGAATCGCAATTGGCAAAAGATCAGAAAAAGGTTGAAGCAGCTTCAGCAAAGAAAGCACAACAAGCACAACAAAAAGTGCAGGAGACCGAGAGATCGTTAAGACAAACGATGGAGCTATGGGAAACTGAAGCGCCCTTTTCATTCGAAGCCTACCAAAGAATTGATGCTTCACGTTTGGAACTGATGAAGGAAGTCGTTGCTAAATTTGAAACTGCTCAAAGTGATGCAGCCACAAGATTGATGCAGATGACTGAACAATCAATGCAAGTAGCGCTCAACTTTGAACCTCAAACTGATATGCAAGAATTTGTACTGAAGAACGGAACTGCAAAAGGTGCTTTAGGAAGACCTACAAATGGAAGGGGCAATCGCGCTGCAGAGGATTCTTTGCAAGGAGGAGGTACAGTGAGACAAGGAAATGCAAATGCTTATCCCACTTCAACAATCACACCTTCAGCGCCGATTAATCAACAAAGTAGCAATGGCGTAAGCGAATTTGGACGTGCTGTTCAACCTTCATCAGCATCCCTGCGATCGGTAGATCGGCCAGAAAGTCGAGAACAGACTAACACTCCAAGCAAGAGCGGCGGCAGTACCTTAAAGAGTGCTTTGACAAGATTTGGCCGAGGTAAATCAAACAAAAATGCCAATGAGGCTGCATCTTCCAATTATGGAACACTATCTGAAGGCCCATCAAGCATGGCACCACCAAGCGGTGCAAGAGGAATGCAACGAGCAGAATCACAAAGAAGTCTTGATTCTCGTTCTGATGCTGATACTTCAGCCGCTTTACCTGGCAGCTTAATGGCTCCTATGGCCCCCACTACTCTCTCATCAGCAAATACACCATCAAGGATCCCGGCCGCTCCACCTCAGATCGACGCCGAGGGATTCACAATCCCACCCGCCAATCGAGACAGGAAACCTTGGGAGAATGAAAACACGGCGGATGTATCGTCACCCTCTAACCTCATGGATGACGATACTAGCACATTCAGTGATCCAAACAACGCAGCTTCCAAGGTGGCAGCGATGAGTATCACTCAACAACCCATCCTTGAAGATGAAGCGTCTGATCAAGCTGCATTGGAAAGAATGCGATCAACTCTACTTACAGCCAGATCACCAGCCATGCCACCACAAAGGAGGAATACGACAAGACGTGATCGCAGGGATGTACGTAATACGACATACAATCCAATGATGGAAGATGGTGCAGGAAACAGGATCAGTACATTTGGACTTTCAAACTTTACCGGTTCACCTGCTCAGACCAGTAGTCCTTCTGCCTTTGTTGGTACACCTGGCACGGGACCTGAAAGATCACAAAGTATTGTTAGTAGCGGATCTGCTTCAAATGTCGGTAATGCAACCTTGGATTCCATCGCATCTGCAGGACCGATTGCTAGTGGATTGAATGGTCAAATTACCGAACGTGTTAATGTTGTGACAAATGGACGAACGGTTTCCAAGATCATGGTCGTTGGTGAAGTGAGCATTTCTGTTCGTGATATTCCTGCTTCTGCGCCTGTTCATCTTCGCATTGATGATTTTGAGCAATTGGAAAAAGCTGCTGCTAATCCACAATTCCTCAAAGAGTTATCTGGCAAACCCGGTGAATACACTCTCGATTTAGGAGCAATTGCTCGCTATAGCGGTGGCGCCGGTGGCGTTGCCGGATCTGGTCGTGCAGCTGTGCTGAAATATCAATTACACGTTCCACAACACAAGGCAGAACAATATGTGCCATTGAATATTTCGCCTCAATGGAGATGTGAAGACAATCAAACTTCGATCTTGATCAATTATTCTAGTAATTCAGAATCTAGACTGGTCTCTGCTGCACAACCAGTTGGAGGAGCAAATATTCAAGATATCACCATGTCTGTCGATATCACTTCATCAAATGTGTCGAATATAATGTCCAAGCCCAATGCGACTTACTCTGCTGATCAAAAGAAGCTATTGTGGCGTTTGAACGAACCACTTCCGGTCATTGGTGGATCATCTGCTGCTCAAAAAGCATTAGCGCGTTTCCAAGTTGGCAACAAGAGTGAGATCAAGCCGATCGAGGTACGTTGGAAGATACCTGGTTTGAGCGTTAGTTCATTAGGCTTGTCCCTTATGCAATCGGACAGCGTAAGCTTTGCAAGTATTTCTCGACAAATCGTTTCCGGTAAATATGTTGCACATCCTTGAATTATCACTTTCTTTCGGACCTAGTTACTTGTGCTTTATTTTTTATACCAATGCTGTACTGCCAATGCGAAAAAAATGTCATCTTGTTTGCCTAAATTACACGGACTGCCCAAGGATTGTGAAAGAGGCATGAATTGGTTTGCTGAGTCGAAAAAGGACTCGTGTGAAACATACGATTCTCTTTTGATCACATCACACGAAAGAGATAAAAAGGCAGTAGATTCACAGATTCTTTTCTCTTGACCACAACAACTCCATCTTCAAATCATCAATCTTCCTTCAACCAAGTTCAACCCAAGATTCTTTACTTCTGAGGTAAGATCGGAAAAAAATGCTACCGTGATGATGAATTGCACACTGAAGTATTTAACCCTATCCTTCTACCTCCATGAAAGAAACATCATGAACGTCAAACTTCTCGTTTCTTTGGTATTTGCCACGACTTTGGCTCAATTAGCCATTGCTGGTCCTACTGCTTATGGTATCTGTCAAGCTGGCTGTGCTAGCCCTTCGGTTGCCTGTTATACAGCAGCAGGTGCCACTTTTGGTACTGTTGCAGCTGCCGCTGCGCCTGCTGCCATTCTTGGTTGCAATTCTGCTTTTGGTACTTGTCAAGCAGCTTGTGCCGCCGCTTTTTTGCTTCCGACACCCTGAAAGGCAAACAAGTATCGATTCAAAAATTTCCGTTAGTCATTTCTTGAAGTCTACCGATATCCTTTATCTTTCGAATCTGATGCATTTCTTTGATTCCATCTGAATTCTGTATTGACAACAAAGCCACCGTGAACTTGATTATATGAGTGTCATGTCTGAAAGAGAGTGAAACTTGAAATTTACTTTAAGATTGTGTGATTGTCACAAACCTGTAATGTTCATTCCGCTCAAAATGCAAGTGTGCTCTGTTTATTATCCGGCTGAAGAATTAGTCACCTCAATATCCTCTGCTGGACGGAGAAGTGAAAAATGTGAAAGAGGAATAGGCAGCGTTGCTAAGCAGTTACACTGTGGTCGCGAGATTGCTCAACCAATTTGATCATCCCCCAAAGGCATAGAAAACATAAGTGTTCGCATCTTTGTCTTTCACTACAACAACTTCATCTTTCAATTCATCATCTGCTGCTCAAAAAGCATTGGCACGATTCCAAGTGGGCAACAAGAGTGAAATTCGGCCAATCGAAGTACGCTGGAAAATTCCTGGTTTGAGCGTTAGCTCATTAGGTTTGTCCCTAATTGAAACGGACGGCGTCAATTTCGCAAGTATTTCACGACAAATCGTCTCCGGTAAATACGTTGCTCATCCTTAAATATCACTCTCTTTCGGACCTGAATGTGCTTTATCTTATACCAATGCTGTACTGCCCATGCGAAAAATGTTACCGTGATTGCTTGAGTTAAAAGGAGATGTCACAAGAATTGTGAAAGAAGAACGAGTAATACTGCTGAGTCGAGAAATGAGTCGTGTGAAACCTACTTTTCTCCTTTAATCACATCATACGAAAGACATAAAAGGAAGCAAGTTTTTGATCCTTTTTTCTCTTCACCACAACGACTTCATCTTTGAATTATCAAATTTCCTCCATCCAAACACATTCAATCTCACGAAACCTTCCCACCTGACAAACTAAACCAGTTGAAAATGCAAATTGGTGAGTATGGACACGATTGCAACCGTGATCACGACAGACATGCTGACACATTGTGCCTTCCTTCCCTTTCACCTCTTCCAAAGCTTCAAACATGAACAAATTTCTCGTTCTCGTCACCATCTTATCTTTGATTGGTTTCGCAGAAGCTGGTCCTTTAGCATATGGCATTTGCCAAGCTGGCTGTGCAGCCGTAGTTGTAGCCTGCTATGGCGCAGCTGGATTCACATTTGGGACTGTTTTAGGTCCAGCCGCTCCTGCTGCCATCGTTGCCTGCAATTCCGCTTTCGGTACATGTGAAGGAGCTTGTGCCGTCGCTTTCTTGCTCCCAACACCTTAAGATGCAAGTCAGACGTGGGTCAAGGAAGCCGGGTAATCTTTTACCGGCGATAGCAATGTCTTACTAGAAATTCTTTCGCTTTCCTTGATGTCTTTCTGTTTTTGTAACGATCTCTCAAATCACTGTTAATACTATCGTATGAGTGTCACGTCAAGAAAAAGCCTGAAAGTGTGAAAAGTGAAAAGCATCGAAAGACACTGTTTATGATCATGAGTCTACTTAGTCAAACTTTCAAAAGTCACATTGTGCTTTATCCTGTAATGCTCTATTCATGCCTCGGCTGAATTTGGTCACCTTAATATCCTCGGCTCATCGGAGAGAAGTGGGAATGTGAAAGCCAGAATAGATAGCGTCGATGAGCGGAGATAATTTATTCAATTTGCTCAGTCTTTTTGGTCATTCTCTTCAAAGGTATAAATTAATACGTTTAATTTTCACCTTTCTTTTTCACTACAACCACTTCTTCTCGTGACAATCGATCAAATCTTCAATTACATTCACACTTGACAGAAAGCTGTCGAACGATCGCCACCGATTGGCAAGTATGGGGTCGCATTTTGCTACACGGACAGAGGACTTACTTCCATTCTCTTTGACCTCCTTCTAGATCACCATGAACATCAAGATCTTCTTCATTTGGGCATTTGCTTTAATTTTAGCTCAAATTGTCTCTGCCGAATGTTCGGCTTACTATTACTGTCAAGATTCTTGTAATAATATCAAAGATGCATGCTGTGGAGCAGCTTCTCTCGTATTTGGTACATTGTTTCCCGACTTTGCAGAATATCTCATTTCAGGCTGTTGTGCTATGTATGACAGCTGTATTGCTCGCTGTCCAGCTCAGTATGAATCAAAGTCCTAGACGCAGGGTCACAAAATCAACCATAGCATAATTTTCTCCAAGATTCTGACTACAAATACCATCGATAAAAATGATTTTGAAACGTCCTGAGTGTTCTATAGCTTAGATCACATTCTCTTCTCAATATTTGAAAACGCTAATCATTCACAAATCAAAGAAGACTACATAGGTTCATCGGAAAGGTGAACAACAAAGAGCGAATAAGAAAAGGGAGAATAGATAATGGAAAAGGAGACAAAGGATGGGGAAAGGTACTAAAAGGGGAAAGATGAATAAAGACAAAAAGAAGTACTAGATTTTTTTAGACATAGAAAGTGAGAAAGATAAACGAGATCTTAAGTCGTTTACAAACCATTGCGATCGCCACCGTGTGGTAAAGCAGATCCAGGTGCGCCAAACATACCGCTTCGAAGAGGCAATTGCTGTGCATGAGCGTTATGACCTCCAAAAGGACTCATAGGACCACTTGCATTCATTCCACCAAGAATGGACTGTTGGTGAGAAAGCGAAGACAGATTCATTCCATGTTGTTGGGGATGTTGCTGTTGATGATGTTGCGGCATTCCCAATTGAGGAGCATGTTGACCGATCGGAGTAGAAGGTTGCTCAAACGCATATCTGGCACGATCCCATCCTGCATTCACATTTGAAGGACCACGCGACCATGGGTCAATACCTGATGCATTCGAACCTGGCGCATTATTGCCTGCACTTCCACTGCCACCATGCATTCCACCGATAGCGGAACCAAATGCTGACATGCCAGAATTTCCATTCGGTCCCGTTGGAGATGTTAAGTTAATTGGACTTGTCATTCCACCAAGACCGGCAGAACCAGAAATCGAACCTGAAGGAAGTCTACCGCCACCGATTGCTGATGAACCGGGCGCTCCAATGCTGCCACTTCCACTACCGCCACCAGCAACAGGTCCAAAGGAAGAAGCCCAAGGACTATTGATCGAGCCATACGCATTCCTTGAACCAATTGCACTGCCACCAGCAGCAGAGCCAACACCGCCAAAGAATGAACCTCCAGGGGATGCAGTGACGGGCGCGTTATGACTGATACGTCTAGGTTGTGGCTCAACCAATTCATCATCAGCTCCCAACGCAGAACTTCCTAAGATACCTTCTGGCAACATCGAACTTCCACTTGTCGACTCTTCATGAAGCACATCACGAGGTCTACCGATAGGTCCAATTGGTCCTGGAGCAGGTCGCGAAATGGGTCGATGAATGTTTGATGCTGATCCTACCTGATTGATGGGCATCTTACCATAATCATCTTGCGATGCAGCACGGGAATGGTTTGAGCTATTGCCCAAAACACCTCCGATCGGACCGATTGGTTGATGTTGCTGAGGAAGTGCTTGCTGTTGCTGTTGATAAATCGCATTGGAAGATGTTGGTGGAGAAGGACCAAGGTTGAGCGATCCAATGGCCGATGCAGCAGCATTCATGTTCGTTGGCGATCCCAAATCAACGTGCTTGTTACCAAACGTAGGCATATAACCATTGCCATTCGATAGCACAGGTGGCGAACGGATACCAGGAGCTCCAAAGGACGCACCAAAACGGGAACCTGTGCTTTGTTGTGATGGCACCGGTTGCGATGTTTGCAATGTAGTGGGCGGTGAAGTGGGAACATGATTTCCTTGCACGCTCTGTTGCGGTACAGCTACAGATGATGTCATTCCCGGAGAAGGCGTCGCGGACGACATGGAGCTTCCACTCGTAATCACCGAGGATGCAGACGTAGCCGTGCCATTACTGGATGAAGGTGCTGCTCCCAATTTAGTTTGAGCCGCATTGCTAGCCGTACTGCTACTTCCTTGCACGGGTTGAGCTTGCTGTTGAACAGGTGGTTGAACGGGCGGGCGTGGCAACGAAGCAGGTAACGTAGATGGCTGTGAAACAACGCTCGTAGTGGGACGTGGAGGTAGTCCTTGTGGTGGTGCCGGAAGCGAAGAAGGATTTGAGCTGCCAGATACGCCATTCGATTGTGAAGGTAAAGCAACAGCAGCAGCCCCACTGGGCACTCTTGCATTCGAAGGAACAGCGTTACTCGCAATTCGTCCATTGGCAAGAGCATTCTGACCAGATGAAGCAGAAGATGCAACTCTTGACCTTTGTTGTGTAACAGGCGACGTACCACTTTGCTGAACAGTTGCAGGTGCTCTTGGTACGGCATGTCCTTTAACGCTAGAAGGGGAGACAGGGATTGAAGCAGATCCTGGTGATGCACGACTTGGAGATTGAGCGGCTTGTTGTGCTGCTCGCTTCTCTTCAGCTGCAGCAGCTGCTGCTTTCTTTTCACGCTCCTCTGTCTCTTTCTTTTGGCGAACAGCAGCTTCAGCTTGCTCCTTTGCTTTTTGCTGTTCACGCTCTTTGGCCTCACGTTCAGCACGAATTCTCTCTTCCTTCTCACGTTTCTTACGCTCCTTCTCCAGCTCCTTGGCCTTTTCTTCCTCCTGTCGCTTTCGCTTTTCGTCTTCCTTACGCAAGCGTTCTTCCTCCTTTGCTTTACGTTCAGCTTCACGCTTTTGTCGAATTTCTTCTTGTTTCTTCAATTCGACTTCACGTTGTTTCTCTTGCTTTTCACGCACAGCCGCTTCTTCTGCTGCTTTCTCTTTCTCAATTCGTAATCGTTCTTCTTCCTTTTGTTGTTTGGCCTGCTTTTTCTTATCTTTCTTCTTTTGATTCTCTTTGGCCTTCTTTGCTTCTTTATCTTTTTCAGCTTGATCTTCTTCTTCTAGCTCTCGCAAAAGTTGCAATTGACGTTCTTGTGCAACACGTTCGAGGTATGCCTGCAAAACACGTTGTTCAAACATTCTAGCAGCAAAGATTTGGAACATCCTTCTACCTTCTTCCATCCTTTGTTCGTCTGTTAAAGGATCATCGTCCAAATCATCTTCCTCTTCGCCATCAACGTCAGTATCACCGCCGACAGCATCATCGCTACGATCATCCGGATGATTTGATGCATGGGCTCTTCGATCAGCCAATTGCTCCATCATCTCGAGGAACTTACGGCCGTCGTTGCGTAGAAGATCATCGGCAACAGTGAGAATACCTTTGACAGTAAGTGAAGAACCAAAGCTGAAAAAGTCTCCAGATTGTCGAGCATTGGGTCGATCAGTGCGACGGCGACCGGTCTTGCTCAAATCGGGATCATCCAACTCATCTTCCTCATCCTCTTCATCTTCGTACTCATACTCATCATCGTATTCGTCGTCATCCAACTCTTCATCATCATAACCATCGTCATCTTCCGGAGGTAGAGGATTTCGCTTAGTAACAGGAGGTTGCAAGTTTCCGCGTTTTGCGCTGGCCTTTGTCAAATTATTTCCGCCGATCACCGCTCCTTGATTGTCTAAAGCGATACTTCCCGGGAACGGACCAGGACCAGGCGGAGGTGGAATTTGACCATTTGATTCTGTATGTTTCTTCAAATGACTTGCATATGCATCCAATTCATGATAATAAGCATCATAAAGCGCATCTAACTCTTCCTCGATCGAATGTCTCTTACGTTGACAGATTGCACAATGACAGCCGTGCCTTTGTTGTTCTCTTGTCCTTCGTAAAACAGCATCCTTTTCTTCTCGAATCAAACTTCTACGATCTTTCTCGCTTAATCTCAACCAGTACCCTTTAATCCTCTCCCTTTCCTCTGCATTACTCGAACTCCACGAACGGCCATCCACAGCGTGTTGGCCATTCACCGATCCGTGTCCATGAGAGCTAGTTGCAGCTGATGCAGCACGCTTTCCAACCCCATGTCCAACACCGTTCGTTGCCGGTCTTGCTGTATTGGCAGGTGCTTTTCCGGCTGATGCATTGAACGTCATCGGTTGCTTGCCTGCAGCTCGAGAGCTTGGCGGAGGAGGTGCTTGATTGACTGCAGCAGCTGCTGCCGCCTGTCGTGCTGCCGTTTGATTTGCCGTTGTATTATTGGACGGATAATTCTGCGTTGGCGCTGGCATTGGAGTGTTGGGCATTCGAGGTAGTGGTGATGGATTGGAAGGAGGCGGTCGGGTTACCAGTGCTGGCGCATCATTTTGCAGAGGAGAAGAGACGTTTGTCGTAGCTGTTGCTCCAGACTTCTTCTTCTTTTTCTTCTTATTCTTTTTCGAAGAAGGAACAGATTCGACATAATTGTTGTTCGGATGCGATCCGTTCATCTCTGCTTGCAGATGTGCATCTCTGGGATCCATAGTATTGATCGATGCATGATTGTGCGAATGATGGGGATGATCGTAATCGTGCGCATCCAACTCTTCTTCCGAATAATAGTCTTCATCAAAATCGCCGTCATCGTACTCGTTCACCAACACAACAGGAGCGGCAGGAGCCGGTAAAGGCTCACCAGGAGGTTGAGTAGGTGGCGGATTACCATGATGTGAATATCCGTAAGCATTGCCGTTCAATGGATTTGGGTTCGAGTTGGGATGCGGATGAAGGGGAAGAGGTGAATCGGAATGAAGTGCCAAATCGGCAAAGATTGATGGGTCGAACGGGAAAGGCGGGTAAGCGTTTGCATTCACTGCTCCATGGTTATTTGATGAAGGCGAATGCTGTTGAAGTTGCCTTTGCGATGCATGCGCTGCTTGTGCCAATTGTTGCGCCACTGCAATCATTGCTTGTGTAGATGCTTGACGAGCGTTGGGGTCATTCATGTTTCCTGACGCAGCTGTTGGCAATTGACCGATAGGCAAAGCATTTCGAATGAACGTTCTGAGATGAGCCGGAAGAGATGTCCAGTATGCTTCATCATCAGGTATTCCTTGTGGATCTGCTTCAATTCTTCGGTAAAGGTCACTTGCAGTCGCAATCAAATCGGCTTGTGCTTGAGCGGTAGCGGAGAATGTATGATTCGAGGAAGGTGGTGGCATACCGAGAGCGTCGAGAGCATCATCGGTCTTTTTTGCCTTTCCCTTTTTCTTCTTTTTCTTGGCTGCTGCTGCTGCAGCGGCGGCGGCAGCAGCGGCTGTTTGATTTGATGGTTGCATATTTGCTACACCAAAAGGGATTTTGTACGAATCAAGTCGTTCTTGTTCTTTTTATCGGATCAAAGAGAAGTCATTCGCTTGTGTTTGAGCAAGATGATTGAAACTGTTGCAATAAATCTCTTGAACTAGAGAATCTTCCAACTTTTCTACTTCCGATACAACCTGTAGATTTTGATCTGCAAGCCTGTACCTTCCCTTCTACTTCGAATTGAGACTTCTCAAGAAGATTGTCGAATTCGGGGCTACTCAATGACGCTCTTCGGCGAAACAGTCGCTCAATATCCGATTGAATTACGAAATCTATCTTTTTGTCCCACAATCGAAGAAATTGGATCAGGAGGTTAAAGTCGAGACAGCCAACCCTTTAATCGAAAAAGTCGAAAATCTTGTTATGAGAAGCGCAATGTCTGATTCTGTTTTCGAAATCAGACTTGTCGTTTCGTTGATTGGTACACAATTGATGATATGATGTGTATAAGAATGAGCAGGACATTAGAAGTCCAGCAGGCAATCAATCCACAATCTTTCTCTGGCCTGTTGCGCACTTTATGGGCATATGCTATAGTAGTAGTCTACTCACACACTCCCAATTCTCGGCTCGTGTGTTTGGCTTTTGTGTGTGTGTGTGTGTGTATTGCAACGCTAAATAATAAAAATGGTCAATGCCGCCAGTATTGGAGCGAAGGGAGGGAGGGGGGAGAAACACATGATTTAAAAGATTGAATTGCTTATACAATACTGTTTGTATTCATAAAATTGTATTCAGCGCCCATGCTAATATACAAAACATTTGAAGCCAAGCTAATAACCCTTCTTTTTTTTTTCTATTTTCACTTGACCGCTCCTTCGCTAATCCGCTTCTTTTTTGCGCATAATAAATGGGCCCGACATGGGCGAGACAAATTATAGGCGAATTGTATTGACACCTGTGCAGTGCCATACATTATCAACCTTGATTGGACTCATAAATGCGCGCTGCGCAGCGCACAAGCTGACAACAATCAACTATTGGCCGTTGCTGACCGAACAGGTACGACCATCAAAGTGTCACTTGATGACGATGGAAAAAAGGCACACCGCTACAGATTCTTGAAATATTCTTGAATGATCCTGCTGCTTGAATAAAAAGTTTGATTGGAAAATTTAAAGAATAATTTACAAGCACTACAAAGGGAGAACGCGCCCTGGGCATATACAGATATCATGTGCTGTAATCATCTTGTACTTCTCAACATAATCCCTTGATTGATCGTATGAGAAATCGTCTTCCTCATGATTATTTATCTCGTTTTTCGTCAATATGATCGTTAATTGGTCATGATGACACAATTTATCCGCCCGCTTGCGCTTCTGCGGTTAGCACGTGAAGTAGAGCGGACTGCGTTGGTGTGTGAGGCTAGAATAGCCTGCCTCGTTCAGCCACAGCGCGTTAACAGGGACACTACTGTACAAAAGGAAAGGTGACCATGAAGTTGAATAAACAAATATGTACCTCATGTAATTTGCTCGTCTTACATGCTTATCATGCCATGATAAACAGCAAATGATCGATCTTTTAGCTTTGGTGCCATTGGCTTAGGTTGAGGTCCAGCGGCCAAAACTCGATCGACAGTATTTGAATCGTCAGTTGTTTGTGTTTGAATTGAAACGGGTGATTGACCATCAACCGTAAGTGGTTCAGCTTCACGTATTGAATCAAATCGTACTTCTTCAGCAAAATTCCTCATTTGATATTTTCGATTGCCAAATGTGCGTAACTTTTTTGTCCAACTGACGCCATTGCCATTATTGTTAGGCGTATTTGAATGTTTTGGATCTAATGATTTTCGGATCGAATAATGCCGTTTTAAAGGTTCATCATCATCCCAGCCAATATCACGAACTATTGATCGTTCGGTTGACGTACTTTTGAGACTCATTGCGCGATGTCGATCTTCGGAATGCATTTCTCGTGAAGTGCGATAATGTTCTTTTGAATGCATTTCGCGTGATGTTCTCCTGCTTGATTCATCAATCTTTAATGTCAACATATGACGAAGATGATGCGCATATGTATCAAACGTGACTTTCTCGCCGTCCGATCCTAGATGCGGCCATTGTAACAAAGCAGAAACTGGCCTTATTGCTTCATCTTTTGTTGTGGGAGGTGATCTTATTGGTTCTGACTGAGGTGATGTAGGCGAGGGTATCCGACTTTCAACAGACGATCTTGGAGAGATTGAAGGCGAGGCGAGCGGTTCGTCCGTATCTTCTCTAACCCATCCGACCTGTTTTGCGCGTAATCGAATATCCTCTTTTGCGCCTTCGTACAAAGGAGACGAGAGGAAAGAATCCGATTCACGTTTGCTTCTTTGACTGTGATTTATACGATCAGGAACGGAAGAATGTTGTGGAAAGTTAACAAAGCGAAAAGCATCATCTTCTCTAATCTTTTCTTGAAGTAAAGAGAGCAACAAAGGCGATTGCATCTTTTCTGTATCAGGACATTGTGATGGTGAGAAGCGAGAAACAAGATTGTTTCCCATGTTGTTTGTTACTTGTTGTTGGGTAGCTGCAATAAACGAGGAAATCAAACTCCTTCTTTTAATGCAACATGGCGTAACAAAAGAGGCAAGAGTGGGCAACTCATTCCGATCACATTTCATACTTGATTATTATTCTCTCAAAGTGCCTAATTTTAATTCACCATCAAACGGCACCGTCATTTGCAGGCGCATAAAAATAGCAAATCGTCTGAGCGGAAGTGACCATGCGCCTTTATGAAGTGTGATGCACGAGCCCCTTTTTCACTTGAATTTTGATCAATTTATTAGCTTTTTGGTTGACGATCTTCTTCTCACATCATCTTCCATATCCGAAATGAGTTTACCGGAGACAGTCAACTCGCTGGGCTTAAGAAAAACTCGGTATACTAAAGATAAAGTGAAAAAATGCTATTCTATTCTTTGGAGGGTATCATTCAAGTAAAAGTCCTTAACGGGACGAATAGGGGCGCTTACATCAGCTGATTCTCAGGCTCTTAGAAGTTCTATTATAGTCAAATAAGTACAAGAGAGTACAAGAGGTCAAGAGGGTGGTGGCTCTGAATTAAGGTTTATGTCTTAACTTTATCAAGAAACACCCTTGCGTATAAAAGAAGCTAAAGTAGATTATACTTTCAAGAAGTACCGATAAAGTAACTTGCACAATACAGATTTATAGAAAGACACGAAAGCCTGCTCTTCTTTTTTTGTGACAGCTTGATGTTTGTATGTCTAACACTCTAATTAAAGACCTTTGCGTCGTCTTCTTCAACTTGCAGTGGAATCTCAAAGCCACAGGAACGCGAAAGATCATTTCTATCACTAGAGCATTTGTGGGGAATTGGTCATGGTGTGGGAATTCCGTTCTCCGCTTTCCATATTTATCCTTGGCAGTAGACATACTCGACTTTCTGCTATTCGTGAGCGCTTGAGAATAATTCTAGTACCTTCAAAAATTGCTGAGCATAAATTGAACTTCATACTTTAAAAATTTTCGCTGCCTTGGAAGACCGAAAATAAGGCCAAGAACAATATATCCGAACAGCTCTGTATATAATCTTATAAATTCTGATCTTGATTGATATATCTGAAACTGAGAAACAACAAATACTTCTTCTTCTTTCTAGAGTAGAAATGTGTACGACAAAAGTGTATCTAGTCGAGCACCAAGTTGAAGTTCCTAGCGGTGGTCTCTACGACCAATATCGCATGAACCCTGATTTGGAAAAGATCAAGCAGATACCTGAAATTACATGCAAAGACTTTTCATTCTTTCAAGAAAACCCAAAAAAGGAGGTCACCACTAAAATTGGTCCGACATGGTCTCCGAATTATTACTACAAAATGAAAAGTGTTCAATTTGTTATGCTTGCTCCTATAAAGGAATGTAGAGCAAAAGTTGCTCAAAAATTTGTGCCTTTAAGCCCGATTTCAGATTATGGTCTTGTGGCTATAACGTTTTACAGTTATGACGTATGCGATAAAGATTCGTACAACGAAGTTTCTGTTGCGGTAATTTGTCGTCAACCAGGAAGCACAGGACCCCATATCCTTGAAATAATTCGCTCGATTCTCTCTAAATGGTTCTATAGTTATGTTATCGCTCTTCCGGTAACGACGGAGATTGCTCGTGTGAGAGGAAAGTTCGGATACGATTTACCAGAATGGCTAATGAAAATTGATCTGGATATTGGCAATAAAGAAATAACATTAATGGTCTCAGACATGGACGGAAGAAACGACCTTTCTATAAAGGCTCCTGCTCCTTCTAGGTCTAAACCAATCCCTTAGAGATCTAAGATTTTCAACAACACATCCTTAAATAAAGTTGACGGAAATTGGACGGAAATTACCGTTAAACTTAATCCTTTATCTTTCGCTCAACGTATTTTTCCACGGAAAGTCAATTTTACTTATGGCTCAGGACGTTTGTATGATTTATTGAAAGATCTTAAAGTCTCAACTGTTCTTCGAATGGACGTTTGGCAAGATGCACAAATGGCGCTGTTCATGCCAGAAATCTCTACACTTCTAAATTAGTCTTCCCTTTGTTACACTAAGTATGAATCTTTAATTAATTAATGTTTATTCCTCTAGATGCTTATGGGTGTATAAGTACTATTTGTGCGATTCAGTCATGTTGCTGATAACTCCTGATAATTGCCAAAATGAAAATGGCGATAGAGATATATATGTAAGATGTATAAGGTGTAGTGGTCCTTTTTATGACTGTTTCTCTTTAACTTTCATTTTCCCACGCAAGGAAGTTCGGCATTCCCTTCAAGCACAATATATAGACTAGTGTATATTGAAAGACCTACGCCCAATTCCACTGCTGCTGAGCGATTGTCTTACATTCTCAGGATTGCCCCTTCTAACAATTCACAGCTGCTAAATGCAACATCGTGGTGACGTATGTAGACAGTTTTAACTCTGTTTTAGCGTCCGCGCAAGCCAATGCTGGAGCAAATGGGATATAAAATAAGGTAGTTCCCGGGGTTATATTCAATCACAACAACTACATCTATCCTACATGTCAAACATCACACTCGAACCTGCTGCTCAAAAATTTGCAGAGTGAGTAAGAAGAAGTGCTCAGTTCTCGTGATAAATCTTAGCTAACCCCTTTTTCATCAATCAAGCGCCACGTCTAAAGAGCCTTTCCTCTTCCAACTTTCGCCTGAGGAAGGTAGAAAGATTTTTGACGATGTTCAGAAAGAATCAATTGCCTACAATGATGGCATTCAAAGCGAATTGATCAAATTATCTGATTTTGAGGTTAAATTGATTAAGCCTAAAAAATCTTCCTCAACCAAATTACCGGTAGTCTTTTATGTTCATGGAGGCGGTTGGGTATTTGGTTCTCCAGACGGATTCGGTAGATTGTTAGGAGAAATCTCAAAAGGCGTTAATGCTGCTGTGTTCGCAATTAATTATACTCGTTCTCCCGAGGCAAAGTATCCAACTGCTTTAGACCAAATCTGGCAAACGTTACAATACATCACTGAGAATGGTGATAAGCACAATGTGTAAGTGGCAGAAGCACAAAAGGCAACATTGTGCTGAAGTGTAAGCTGAAATATTCTCTCTATCTCTTGCAGAGATACAAGCAAGATTGCTATCTCGGGCGATTCAGTAGGCGGCAACATGTCAGCCATAACAGCATTGCGCGATCAAGGCAAGCATTTGTGTGGTCAAGCATTATTGTACCCAGTAGCAGATTTTTCCTTCGATTCTGGATCCTATCATGAATTTGCAAAGGGCTTTTTCCTGCAACGTGATGGTATGAAATGGTGAGTAAGAATTTGAATACATTATCAACAATTCATTTAGCTAATCTGGATCAAGATCACACTTTCATTTAGGTTCTTCGATCAATACACCGGTGGTGTGAATGAAAGTTCAGATGACACAAGAATCTCTGTATTGAGAACAAGTAAATCTGACTTGGCCAAAGCACCTCCAGCCTTGATCTTAACTGCGGAAGCAGATGTCTTGCGCGATCACGGTGAACAATACGCCAATAAGTTACGTGATGCTGGAGTTCAAGTCACCAGGTAAGTATGGTGTTACTTGTTATAGGCAGTGATTTCCAACATCTACTTACGAAACCTTATCTTCTTTCCGTAGTGCTCGTTTAGGTGGAATCATTCATGACTTTTTATTGCTCGATCCTCTTAAAGATACAGGTGCAGCCAAAGCTGGTCGCACACTTCTCATTGCTCAATTGAAAGAGTGGCTTGCCTGAACAAGTATCTTTTGCACGGCCATGGATGATATGGTATTCTTGAATTCCATTAGATTATCGAAAAGAGATGGTCTTACGGTGAAAATTTTCAAGAATCAAGAATTTGTGCCTCGTCGGTACTTTACGATAACCAGTCAAAAAGATAGCTTTTCATCGAATACGAAATCATTAAATGCTCGTGGGAAAATGTACATATTCATTTTGAAGCTTAATGATAACTTTGCCCGTAGCTCTGTTGCTCATCAAATGGGCAAAAGCATCTAGAGACTTTTCGAATTCATATTCAGAGTCAATCAATGGGACAACAACACCTGTGTTGAAAATTGAGAATAGAGAAGGATTAGCTTTGAACTTCAGCTCGTTTTTATCGGTTAAATTCTCACCTTTTCGTACTAGCTCATCCAATTCAATCATATTTTCTTTTGTGGCGATCTCTTCTGGTCTTTTATATGCTCTTCCAACGCCTCCCAGCCAGGTAGGCAAAAGGAAGTAAGAGACTAACCTGCGAAGAGCAGGGATAATGCCTTGCGTTAGATCCATTCCTACATTCGTGTATGAGCCATTGGGTACCTTTAAAGAAATAGAAAGCATCAATATCTCGAAAATTGTATGTAACAGCATGACAGTATCTACTTACCAAAACCTTTTCACCTATCTTCCAAATGTCAAATGCATCTGCACAATCTAAAATTACGTCGAATTGACCTTCCTTTTGAGCAAATTCGATTAAAGTCTTTGTCATGTCTGGCTTTTTATAATCGAAAGTTTTATCTGCGCCTCTGCCTAGCACTAGATCATACTTTGCTTCACTGTATGTTGCTGCAACATAGTATCCCTTGTGATGTAAGATAGAGATCAACTGAAGTCCTACGGAAGAAGCACCGCCGCATACAAGAACACGAATTTTGGCCGAAGAAGAAGAAGAGGAAAATTTGGCTGCTAAGTCTGCTTGTTGTGATAGTACAAGACCGGTCAGGCCAACCAGAGAGATCCCAGCAGCTTGAATAGGTTCAATATTTTCCGGTCTTTTAGCACAAGAATGAGCAGGAGCAGTGATCTCTTCTGCTAAACTTCCCAAACCAGTAGCAATTTTGAGGGAGCTATATACGATACCGTAAACTTCATCTCCTGGTTTGAAGTTTTCGCTTTTAGATTCAAGAATTGTACCGCTATAATCAGAAGCAGCAACTGCCGGGCGTTTACCAATAAATGTAGGCGCGAAGGCCATTATTTTCCCTAAGACAAAAGAGAGGCGATAAGATAGTTATTTATCTTTATTGTAATCTCACTCATCATCATACTCACAATCTACAGGATTTAGCCCAACTGCTTTGACTTTGATGCGAACTTGATCATCTTGAAGTGAGGGTGGATTATAGTCCTCAACATGATTCAATGTATTGGCAGGCTTTCCCCGTTTAGAGTAGGTATATGCTTTGACCATTTTTGAATATATGATTTGATGAATTTGATCATCAAGACCTAATAATTGTTCTCAGCTTTTATATTCTAAGATTCTAAGATCGGCCAGGATATGGTTTGTATAAAAGACGGAATTCGGTGACAGTTATCTGCATCGGGCATTTGACCGAGCGTGGGTATTGTTATTTTGAACTTTCTAGACTATTCTGCTCGTAAGACTTATCCCCGACACTCTACAATACATACATGACAGATTATAAAATGGAACAGATTCGTAAGCATTCCATTTCATTCAACCTCCACAGGATCGTCATTTATACTAAAAACTAGCAATGGCAACCACAACTGACAATAGAACGCCAAAAAAAATAATATTGGTGGTAACCAATGTCGACCGGTACGATGACCCAAAGCATCCGACCGGACTCTGGATTTCCGAATTAACACATGCATACGATGTGTTTGCTGCTGAAGGATTTCAACAAACAATAATTAGTCCAAAAGGCGGAAAATCGCCTCTTGAACCTAGGTCGTTAAAATGGCCAGTTTATGATGCCTCAGCAAAAGCATGGGTGAATGATAAAGAAAAGATGGCTTTATTAGAATCAACACTAAAACCCGAAGATGTTGATCCGAATGAATATGATGCAATCTACTTTACTGGCGGACATGCTGTCATGTGGGACTTCCCTCAAGACGAAGGATTACAAAAGCTCACAAGAGAGATTTACGAAAAAGGAAGGGTAATTTCATCAGTTTGTCATGGATATGTCCGTTTATTAAACGTTCATTTAACCGATGGAAAATTATTAGTAAAAAATAAAAAAGTTACAGGATATTCTTGGAATGAAGATATTCTTGCTGGCGTATCAAAGCAAGTTCCATATAACTCTGAACAAAAGATGAAAGATCAAGGCGCAAAATATCAAAAATCATTATTGCCTTTCGTTTTTACTGTTTATGTTGATGATCGTCTTGTTACAGGGCAAAAATCCTCAGTCTGCCAAAGAGACGGCCAAGAAAGTAGTTTCTTTATTGCTATAAGATGTAAAAAAAGGTCGAATTGCTATTAATTTCATTTTTGATAGACTGCCAAAATTTTCTTGAAGCTGTACAACGAATCTATCTCAAGCTCTAAGACCCTTTTTCGATGTGATAACATCACGAGCATACGTTGTAAGGTAGATATTTGCTATACTTCCGATAAAGTTTGCAGAACTCCATCCTCCCACTGCTGCACCGTACCATGCTATTCCTGTATCGCCTTGAAGTGGTCCTCTGGTGATGTAGACATTTATAGCGCCTGTGACGGGTACCAAGACCAAACCGATCAAATGGACAAGCCAAAATTGTTGTGCATCTTGATCTTTTGCCCGGTAAGCTCGTAAATGTAAAAGACTAAATGAGAGTGACTGCAACGAAAAAAAAAGGAACAGTCCACCAACACAGCATTTCAGGTCTCCACCGGACAGTGCTCGAAACTTGATTCAAAAGAACTAGTGTGCCGGCTACAGATGCAGACAAAACACCGATTGAAGTTTTTCTGGACACAGTAGATTTCCGTCTAATTTTTCTACCTCCTTGCGTTGTACGAATATAGTATGCTACACAAGCCAACAAAACGGTCCTGCCCATATGCCTCCAATCATGTTGATCGTCTCTTTTGTTTCATTCCAGAAAAGTGGTGTAAGTATCCATCCAATCCGAAGGAGAGGCGCAGACAGCATCATTGTAAAGTTCAAAGCCATGATATCACTATGCCGTTCGAATTTAAAAGCTATAGCAGCTTGTAAGGCTAACACTCCGGAAGTCAAACTGGTAACTGCCAAGGACCAAAGAATAAAGGCAAAGCTCGGTCCGGAGAAAATATGTGTTGGTCCAGTCTTGATTAAATAGCATATAGCACTTAGGGGAATAAGAAGAGAGCATGAAAGATAAAGATACCCCGTGAAACGATGAGCTTATGGGTATTTACGTCTGAGTGTATCATTGAATTGTGCTAATCCCATCAAAATTGCAATTGTACCGGCCAAAGAATGGAAAAGCATAGTAAGTTATGTTTTCCCATAAGTGCCAATGTGACCATCTAGGTAACCTGAACCTGTTCCGTGAGCAAATTCGGCCTATGCTAGCTTTCCTAAGACCCAATCTTGAAACCTCTTGACGAAAGGATCAGGATGTATAAAATATGTAGCCGAAAGTGGTGCATAGAAAAGAACGGTTGCCCACACCACTAAGCTACCGAACGATAGTCCTTTGATGCTCTTTGTTCTTTTGATAGCATGTTTGGATAAACTTTTGACATGTAGAAGAAAAGTTATAGAAATTGCTTTGCTATATATACCCTTCTTTGATATCTTAAAGTTCGGTCAATGTAAGAAGTCAGCCACTCCTCTGGCATCTAGTAGCGTTAAAATTACGTGTGAGCGTATACCGTATCACCATCTTGCACTTATTCGGTTCCTTTGTTACTTTCAAACGCATATTTTAAAGCTAACAATTTTACCTCATTTTGGGGCAAAGCGGCTTAATGCAGACGTGTAATGTATTTAAATGAGAAACGTATAATCTTACCTGGAAATATGGATGACGATAAAAGTACACAACTAGAATTAAAAACTCCTCCTTTTTCAACATCATGAGAAGTGTTTCACTGCATTGTATAATAACTTGTCGGAGTTCGGAGTATATTCACAGCCAACTCCGTGGACTGGAAAATATCTGATCTAATTCGGTATACTGAAGATATATGTCAAATAATGCGATTCTATTTTTTGGGTATCATTTTATCATTAAAAGTACATGTACACACACTCATTGAAGGCCTAACCACGTTTGCCATGCCACGCCATCATCTATATGAATATGCTCAACGATCGCTTTAATCTTTTGTTTCTTTTGTGATTCTGATCGATTGTTGATGTCATCTTGAATGCCGGTCTCATTGTTTGAGAATACCGCACTAAAGCTTAGTGTATCGCTTACGCTGCCCATCCGTCTTCTTGCAATACCGTTCTGTGGCTTAGTCGGTTGCGGAATACTGTCCAAAGAGGCCACTGAAGAGACCAACGTACTCTCTTCATTCTCTTCTGGATGTGGTGTAACATCATTGAAGCTTCCCAAACGGTTTGGTTGATTGCGTTTGGGTAGTCGTGATGCACTCAAGCCGCGTGTGAGTGATTGTCGTAATCTCGGTCTACGTGCTTTGGCTGTGCTTTTGTCGATCTCTGTCAAAACATCTATACCCAAACTACCCCTTCTATAAGCTCTTCCCAATGCTGCATTGCCCGCATGTTGATTATCGGCCTCGATCGGAGGTGTAGAAGGCTGATTTGTCTTAATGTGACTAACGTCATCAATGATAGATCGTTCAATCCGTCCATCTTCCGGCAATGATCTAGGTTGAACGTCTGCAGGTGTGGAAACTGTTGAAGCATCGGAACGCTGAGGCATAGATTGGGGCTCAGCTGATTTTGCGGTAGATCTTCGTTCCTCTTCCGATAATTGTGCAAGCAATCTAGCTTTGACAGCCAAGGCTTGTGGCGTGAGTGGGTGATGGAAGCCATCTAGATTGAACAGGTCATACGCTTCATGTATTTCACTTCTTTGTTCGACCAATCGCTTCTCTCTCGCACACAGCTCAAGCGGTCCTTCATCTTCATTTCTAAGGCTTTCCAATAAATTCCATCCTTGTCCACGCAAAACATCCATCTGTCCTTCAAACTTCTTTGCATCGAAATGATCGTCCTTTTTGAACAATGCTTCTAGCTCATTCCTTGTCTGCTGCCACCAGGATGCGCTTCGCAAGAGTTCGATGAACGTCTGTCGTGTCTGCAGTGAGAATGGACCGCCGATCAAGTCAGTAGGTAAATAGAGCCAGCCCCAAGGATAAGATCGAATGCCGGCAGGATGTTTCCATGGAAATGCTAAACTGTTATCGATGGCAGCCAAGAATAACCTCCTTCGCTGTGTTTGTTCGCCTTGTTCGTTAAATGAAGGCTCAACAACTTTCACCATAAAGTTATCCAATCCACGATCGGTGTTGCGAATAAGGTAATCAAAGCAAACCAGCTTTTCCAGCTCCAAGCGAAAATCTTGCATCAACTCTTTTGTCCATTCGAATGTGATGGCATTGGAAGATGTAACCTGTTCAGCGCAATTCTCGATATGGTCGTCATCATATTCAGGATTAAATCCGATTGGAGCCAAACAATTAACGGAAGCAAGAGCAGACAACAACTTCTTACCAAAAGATTTCTTGCGATTCTCTGCCTTTGCTTTGCCCTTTCTTGCACGAGCTTTTGCCCTTCCATGTGCTGCATTTTCTGCTCGCAGATCTCGTTCCAGTAATGATCTTGGTCTACTCGGCCACGGATGAGCACGTAGGAATGCAGATGCGTTCACATAGCCGTTCAAAAAGTTTTGATAGGATCCTTGTTTCTCAGGAAATTGACCTTTAGAACGAAGATGTTGTGGATAGAAAAAGCTTTCGCTAGCCAGACTGACAAGTTTGGTTGTCGGAACGATTCCCAATTTCATACGTTCATCCAGCAAAGATGCTCCTACTTCCGACAAATATGAAAAGCTCGGTATTAAGCATGGTCTGCCCATAGCCCACCATAGGTACCTTCGTAGGAAAACACGTTTGGGATTGAAGTCTCCGTAAGGTTCTTCATCGTGAGGTTTGAAAACTGCAACTGTTGTGTATTCATCATTTAGCCTTTGTATCTGTCCTGAGCCGTTCTCTTCGTAGACATAACTTCTGACAAAGTATGAACCTGAGCTACCAGTTTGAATCATCTTTGGCTGTAATCCTTCTGCGATTGATCCTCGAACACGAGCAAGCTGCTTTTTGAATTCTTTCTCACTGATATAGCCATGTTCGAATGACTCTTGGGATAATCGATCGTGTCCTGTAAGTTCGTCATCTGAGGAAAGAGGTTGGAAAACACTTATTAAGAATTGTGCTTCCCGTTCCATAGGCGAAAGTTGTGTAGACTTTCGCTTCCTTTTGATATGATCGATCCATCTCTTGAATCGTACATCAATATCTTTTGCGTCTACTGGTGCATTTATGGAAGATGTCTCTCCTTCCACCTCTTCTGCATTACGATTGGATCTATTCGACTTGCCATTCCCCAACAATGGCGTTGTCTCATCCATCGTCAATCAAGCAAGCGATGATTGATTGGTGTCGATGAGCAGGTTGACAATCAACAATGTTGCGTTCCTTGCATTTGCATCTTTTACTAATTTGCCGAAAGGGAAGGGTGGAGAGAGGGGTGGGCTTAATCGATCGACAGCCCTGAGGAATATTTTATGAAATGCAGGCGCCGAAGCTGAGCAGAGAGAGAGAGAGAGAGTAAGCAGCACTCTAATTGTGTCTGTGCTCAAGCAACACGATGTTGTACACGCGTTTATTGATGCTTCGCTGGTTTGTCCTCTACAGTTTTCCCGCTAAAAGGAAGCCAAGGCATGTTAGCAGAGAAAACTTAAATGCCTCATAAAGCTTCATTTCTTCTTAAACATGTGTTGAACTTCTTATAACCATTACCAACATCATCAATTCGTCAAGGGTAGGATATTGACTTTCTCAATACCTTCTTTGATGGTGAAAGACAAAATGATGAATCGAGGTTCGACCGTTTTCCTCTTTGCCGTTTTGGCATTGAGTATGATGCTCAACGTCGTATCTGGTGTACCTGCAGGATCAAATTCACCACTTTTATCGATAGAAAGGATTGGTGTTCCATATCCATCTTGGACTTCACCTGCTCATGGGTTCAACGCAACAGAAATGAATCTCAATCCACACCTCACACGATCAAGTCATCTTTCTCCAAGATTTCATAGAATGTTACGTTACGGTCAGGATAAATCAGCTAAAACTCAAACTGCAATCTTTGTTGCCGGCAGGACGAGCTCAGATGAAGAATATGGTAGACCTGGAGCAAGTATGTTGAGTGCCTTGAATCCCAGAAATGGCGCAATCGTATGGAGAACAGCAAGAAATGATACAGATCCAGTTCATTCCATGCATCTCTCATCTGATGTAATGGTCACAATCAGTGGATTGGACGAGACAAGGGTATCTCTCTTACACGCTTTGACCGGATATACTTTATGGCAAGGCAAGATGCCCAGTGCTACTGATGCTGCATTCACTGGTCTTGTAGACGCTGCCATCATTCCACCAGCATACCTTCAACCTCTCGAGACTGCATCTGTTGCAGCATTAGCACCAGATGTGATTGCTATGGACCGTGCTGGAACTCTTGCTCGCTTTGCAGGTGTCAATGGTGGATTGATGTGGAAAACCGATCCAATCTCGACCAAAGGTGCAGAATCTGATAGCAAACAAATCATTCCGATCAAGCTTCACTCTGACAAGAAGCATGTGATCATCGTTTCTTTGGTTCAAAGTGCTTCAAAGGGATTGTTATCTTCGTCTGTCTCTCATTCTCTACGTGTCAACATCTATCAAGCCTACGGTGGAGCACCTCTCACATCATTCGATGTGCCCGGAGCAAATGTTGAAATGTCCTCAACAATGTCAGATCGCGACACTACAGGTAACGTTGTAATCATTGGACGAAATGCTGAAGGCGATTTCGGCCGCAAACCTCACCTTGTCTGGCTTCAAATCGACGGAACCATCAAATCATTCGAAATCCCTTTGCCGGATGAAAAGTCCGACGTTCAAATCGAGAGCTCAGCCATAAGGACGTTGAAGCCTAAACAAGCAAATCGATTCAATGCTCTGTCCGAGCTTGCAGCTTTGAACAATCGAGGTCTCCTCGTAGCTCGAACAAACAATGCACGGGCAGAAGCTCTCCGCATTGGCAAGAAAGAAAAGCATCTCATCAGCTTTTGGGAGATGGAAGAAGAAGCATGGGATTCGGTTTACACTGGTAGTATCGATAAACAAGGCAACCCATACCTCAATCGTGTATTCTTTGGCCGCAGTCAACATTTGCTCAATTTCCACTCACTTTGGGCGGACAGATACGAAGAACAAGGTCAAGTCACCGGAGCTTCCTTCCAATGGGACCACGATTTGAACGGTGACGTTCTTGCTGCACCATTTGAGGTCTCACCTGTTGCCGACTATCAATTGATGTGGCGAACTGCATTCGTGACAAGCTCGTCGTCGATTCGTATGCTACAGGACGAGAAACATGAATGGATTCGTGAGGAAGGACTTTCGCATACGACTGCTTCCATTATGATTGACTTGCCCGAAAGCAAATTAAGTGCAGGTCATGGAAGTGAGACTAGAGCAATTCTTGAAGGTGAAGGATTCGTTAATCGATTAGAAAGACATTTGATCGCATTGCAAAACTTGCCAGCCTGGACAACAGCTACTGTGCTCAAGCTTGCGGAAGAAATTCCGAAACTCAGTTTAGAGTCTTTCGGTATCACTCCACCCAAGCAACAAGTGCTCAAAAATGCTCCGCAAAAGCAACCTGTTCCCACTGGAGCACGAGGAGCAGCGCCTTTGCGAGGCGTTGGAGCTCAAAATGTTGGCTCGAAAAACAGGGTTAAAAAAGGTATGCCGGCGGGCGTGCCGCAACCAAAACACAGAACGTCGACAAAGCAAGTTGAGCCTGAAGGCCCTCCGCCGCCAAGTCACGTTGCCCCAAGAGAGGCGAACTCGACAATCACCAACCAATTGGTCCGTGACGCTTTTGGCTTCCGCAAGTTGATCATTTCGACAAGCAAGAGTGGTAAGATTTATGCAATTGACAGTCAAACTGGAAATTACATCTGGGAAAAGAGTTTGTTTGGATTTGGACAAGGAGAAGGCGCTCCAACTCCCACGATGAATGTCAAGCTCTTGGCTCTTGTCCGCCCTATTGCCGGCTCTGGAGCAGATATTAGCTCACCTATCGGACAACAATCTTCAAACGAAAATCTTACCTCACATGCAGCTACAAGTCAATTGGATTTCAATGGATTGATCACCGTTGTGGCAGAAGTAAACGATGAAGGTGCTGTATTCACACGTATGTGGGAGATTGAACCTTTGACAGGAAGATTCCCTGGCGGAAAGGAAACACAGACTGGAATTGCTTTATTCCCAGGAGAACCAAAAGATGTGTTCTTACTTCCTATTGAAGATGAAAAGAGTGGTCAAATCGCTGCTGCAGCCATCAGCGAACGCAACAAGATTATGGTTTGGCCAACCACATCAAGTATTCAAGACAGATTTGTCGAGATTGCAAACAACTTCTTCTACGCCGTAGGCGAGGTAAACCCATCAAATGGAAGACATGTATTGGTTGGCTATACTCCTGCCCCGCGAGCAGAGCTTGTCGGTGAAAAAGCTTGGCAATTACCTTTACCAGCTGGTGAAGAAATTGTGAGCATTACAAGAGCGATTCAAGACCCTGTCGCAAGCCAAGGAAAGGTCTTGGGTGACAGAAGGACTCTATACAAATATTTGAATCCTCACTTGCTCTTGGCAATCACTCGCAACCAAGAAAAGAGAAGCAGTACTGCTTACCTTGTCGATGGGGTGAACGGTAAAATTATCCATCAGTCTATTCTCGCGGCAAGTAATCTTGTTTTGAAGGGTGAAGATGGTGTGCCGTTGGATCCAATCGCTGTCATTACGGAGAATTGGGTAACCATTACATTCAGTGTTGATATCCCTGCTGATGACCCACAAGCACGTTATAAAGGTCCACATCGTCAAACACGGCTAGTGAGTATCGAGTTGTATCAACCTTTGTCTGATGATGAAGAGATTTGGAATTGGAAGGGTATCTTTAGCTCTTTTGCTTCGTATACAAAACGGTCAAAGAGTCTAAATGGAAAAGCGAAAGATATTGTTGCGGTTGACAAACCAGTCAATGTTTTCTCACAATTGTACATCTTGCCGTATGGCGTTCGTGCCGTGGCTGCTACACGTACAAAATTGGGCATTTCCTCAAAAGCTTTGGTATTGGCAACGGATCAAAATCGATTGCAAATTTTGCCAAGGCGAATGTTGGATCCTAGACGACCATTGGGCCGCAAGCCAACGCAACACGAAATGGAAGAAGGTTTGATCACGTATGATCCCAATTTGATGGACACAGGCAAATTCCATTTGGGTGGCAGACAAGTTCCTCTCCCTAAGCGAATTCATATCAAACCATCTCAATTGGAAAGCACGAGTGTGGTTTTCGTTGATCAAGGTTTGGATTATTTCATCGCTACAGTTGCACCGAGTGGCAGCTTTGATCTTTTGAGCGCATCCTTCAACAAATTACAACTCTTGTTGACTATCGCCGTTCTCACTATCGGGCTTTTCGTTACCAAACCAATGGTTGCTAGCAAAATGCTGCGTATGAGATGGTAAACAAAGAGCTCTTCTTCTTAATCAATCAGGATGTCTATAGAATTCAACATTGTACTCTCACAGAATGCATCTTTACAATAACAGTATACGATCACAAAGCCACCTAATAAGTCTATTCTTAAGCGATTGATTTTCTTCTACAGATATAATATAAAATTATGAGGTGTCCATCGGTGTTCATCTAAGCATTTTGTAGGGAAGCCAAATGTGCTTCTGCATTTGCTACGTTCAAGTGTTGTTCAACCTCTAACCTTCTTCTTGCTGCGCTTAACCAATCTTCTGCCAAAACCTTTGGCCATCCTTTCAATGTGTTCAATTGACGTGCTGCACTGTCCAAATCACGTCTTTCGAGGTAATATTGTGTTCTTGCCAACACACTTGGAACATCTTCCCCTTCGACTGGGAATCCACTCTTTTTGAATAGAAGAGGAGCAACTGTTCCACTGAACAAATGACTCAAAACGCCCGCTTGATCAGGTACCAAAGCGACCCGTTGAACGGCAGGTCGAACTTTTTGCGAGAACCATGCATAAAGTGAAGAGAAAGTTTCAACACCTTCATCGGGTTTGATAGACTCTAGCTTTTCAACAGCCAATTGCAAGACATCGTCTTTCTCTAGATCCGTCTTTAGTGCACCTTTGACACGTTTTAGCTCTTTACTGAACGATCTCTTTACGTTTGCTTCATCTGCTTCGTCTAAAGCAACATTTGACAATTCACGCAATGCAGCGCTCAATGCCAAAGCTGTTGCACTTTCTTCCAAAGCTTGACTGTTATCCAGACTGATCTTTTGAATGCTATCGAGATCTTTTGATAGTTGATCCAATTTAGCCAATCTTCCTCCACGTTCTGCTTCTACTCTTGCCTTGATCTCTTTCATCCATCTTCTTTGCATTTCAACACCTTGTTGTACGACTTCCTCTTTTAGACGTTCGTTGATGATGCTCGATTGAGTCTCTAGTTCTGCCTTTAGCTTAGCTGCATATTCGTTTGCTTCATTCTTGCGCAATTGCTCTTGTTCTTTCTTGTATGCAGCGTCTACTTTGCCCACCTTTTCTTCTGCATCTTTAGCCGCTTTCTGCAATGCATCATCATACTTTTTCTTTTGTTTTTCAAGTCCTTCTTGTAGTTTGGCTGCTTCATTCTTCTTCACTTGCTCGAGCCTGTCGTAGAGTTTTGAAAGTTCAGCTTTGGCTTCGTCCAATACACCGCCAGCCTTGATGCCTGTTTGTGCTGGAGCCTCGCGAATGAAAGCGGCTAGATCGTCAATTGTGTTTGCCAATTGAGCAATCATTGGTTCACTTCCTGACAATGAGGATAGAGATGGCGCCAATTTGGGCAACTTTGGCAAATCTGGTGGGTCGCGCAAACGAGCTTCCTTCTCTCCTGCATTGGCCTTCACGCCTCTGTCGCGGTAAGAAAAGCCTTGGTAGCCAGCAGGAGCCTCATGCTGTATGGGTAAGGTCTTACCGGAAGATTGCAATTCTGCTCTAGCCTCACTTGTTGCAGCTTCTGCTTTAGCTTTGGCCTCACCCGCCTTTCCTTCAAGCTTGCTCTCGAAACGACTGGCTGCATCCTTTGCACGGCCGAGCAATTCTTCTGCTTTGCTTTTTGTTTCCTCGGCTACCTTCTCTCCCTTTCCTTCAAGATCTGCTCCGTCTTCTTTTTTCTCCACCCTCTTTACCATGTCCTTGGCAGATTTACGTGCTTGTTGGGTGTTGTCGTTGTCGATCAATTCTCTTCCTTTGTTTTGTAAGCCGTCAACTTTATCTTTTGCATCGGTAACAACACGATTGACAGCATCGGTGATACGCTCGTATCCTGCCGAAGCTGCTTCAACAGCTCGTCCGGAAACATTGTCGATATTGGATGATTTAAGTGATCTGCCGAAAGATGAATCCTCTACCAAATCATACACCTTATCTCCTAAAGGAACTTTTTCTGTAAAGAAATCGGCATATTTCTGATTGGTCAAAGCTGCATAAGTTGAGCCTCCGTAGAAGACTGCTACACCTGAAGTTGTCCAGATCAGAAATTTACTGAAAGCTGACCGACCTGATTTTGGAGGAGGCAAAGCAGGTGCTTCAGGTGGTGGTAGGGTAGCTAAAGTTCTTCTTTGTGTTGCATTCAAACCATTTCGAACTGCTACTTGTCCATTTCGAGGCAATGCTCTACCCACACGTTGTGATTGAGCTGCCAGCATTGTGCAGCCGTTTTATCAGGAGGAGAAGGAGAATGGTGGAGTAAAGCTTGCAACGATCTAAAACTGTAGCTTTCTTCTATCAACATTGCGAAGATCCAGCAGCATACAATTATATCTATATATTGACTGCTATTGTACCGCGCGCTTTGTTCCCCCCAATCCGTAATTGCCGCCCAAGACGCTTTCTTCCGAGAGCCAAAGAGTTGCGCCAAAGAGTTGCGCTTAACACGTGCCTTCACACGCTGAGAGAATTGTACGCGTAAAAAGGGATCTGATCGTAATTGCATTCGAAATCATGCACGGCCCTGATAGCTTCCTTTTATTGCATTTGAATGGTGGAGTCGACACTCAACTTTGTCATGACTACCAGAAGAGATTGCCAGAAAATGCAGGTCATCATAATAGGAGCGGGAATTGCAGGTCTATCGTGTGCTAGAAGGCTAGCTCAAAGAAGTGGAATAGAAGTTTTGATTCTAGAAGGTCGAGATAGAATCGGAGGAAGAATACATACATGGGATTTGAAGGACAATAAAACATACAATCCAAAGGAAGCTCAAAAAGCTTCTTTTCCAATTGATCTAGGAGCAAGCTTTATTCATGGTGTATCGGAAGGTCATCCTGTCAAAGCATTAGAGAAAGAAGTTGGGTTTACAACATTCGATTCAGAAGAGGATGAATCCGCATTGATATTTTATGATCGTCAATCGGGCAAAAAGCTGCAAGGAGAAAAAGCTGAAAAGGTTGCATTCTTTTCGCAAGGGTTGATTTTCGATCTTCTAATAGAGAAACTGAACGAGATTCGCAAGGATAGTAAGGGCAAGAGACCTCTTCCGAAGGAAAATTTATGGTCAGCCTTACTAACAAGAAAGGACGATCCTGTATATGGAGAATTGTGGGAGCAGCTTGAGTCAGAGGAAGAACGTGAAATGGTGATGACAATGTCAAAGTTGTGGACAGGCTGGACCGGCGCACTTCATTGGGATCTTTCGCTGCGTTGGTGGGGTGCTGAGAATGACTTTCATGGGGGAAATGAAGTCGTCTTGCCTGGATATCAAACTCTGATACAATGGTCAGCAGATAAGGCCACTTTCAAAGGAGCAAAGGTTGAACTGAACAAAGTCGTTGAAAAAGTGCAAAGATTAAGAAATAACAAGATCTTGGTGGAAGTTCAAGATGGCACAAAGTATTATGCAGACTACTTGATCTCTTCCCTTCCACTTGGAGTGATGCAGAATTCTCCGCCCGCATTTGAGCCTGACTTGCCAGAAGGCTTGAAACAATCTATCAGCAATCTGGGTATGGGACTACTGAACAAGATTGTCCTGCGTTATGAAACAGCATGGTGGCGTGAATTGTCTCCACCATCTTTCTTTTGCATTCTTCCTACCCAGATCGCGAAAAGAGATCAAGGCTACAGATGGAAAGGAGAACAGATTCCTAAAACAGTTGAAGAGGCAAAGTACCTGGTTGAGAATGAAGGAATCTTTGCTCAGAATTATGACATCATCAATCAATCGCCTATCCTGAAAATTTTCCTGGGTCCGCCCATAGCCCATGCGGTCGAATTGCTCGATGATGATTGGATCATTAAAACAATTCATGATCGTCTTATCAAGTCTATGTTACCCAATGACGAACAAGCAAGCATATCTCCGCCTGCTTCTGCTCAGGTAACCCGCTGGAATAAAGATACGTTCAGCCGCGGCAGCTATTCGTACATTCCAGCAGCTAACGAATCACCCCAGTTTCCTGGTGGTAGCCGACAAGATATGGAAGTGGCAGCTACTTCTATCTGGGATGGCACTTTGGGCTTTTGTGGAGAACATACATCTGCTGATTGTTATGCTTCGGTGCATGGAGCACTTTTATCGGGTGAAAGAGAGGCCGATAGAATATTGCACACTTTACAAAAAGAGAGATTATGATTGTACTTTTAGCTAATCCTCATTTCTGTTGTAACAATAAAGTCACATTGAAGCAAGCGTGGATACTGTGAGATTAGTGAATCATACCTTTCATGCTGTATCAGTAATTTCAGACGATTATAGTTGATTTGGTATACGCAACATGCAGCAATACAAATAAAAACGCACATCAAAAAGACATGCTAACATCCTGTTCATAATCAGTTTGGGAGCCTCCGGATATATCCAGGGGTGGAGCATGTGTAGCTCCGCTTATTGTTCTTTCCGGCAATGAAAGACCTAAGCCTAATTGACTTCTTTGTCTCCTTAATCTTCTACCGAATTGATCAAGTTGAGGAGTGATGATGTCATTGTCATCATCGATAGATTCTCCAACCTGATCGTCTCCCGGTGAGGGATTCTCGTACCTTTCTTGCTCATCCCCGTATGCATCTCCTTCTTCTTCCAATGTTTCTCCTGTTCCATCGTCTTCCACAACGATATCCTCGCTTTCGCTCACTGGATCTTCCAAGACATGCTCCCCAGTATTGTCTTCCAATTCAAGCATGGAATCCACAATTCCTTCTGTGCTCATTCCCGTTTGATCGATCATGAAAGATGCACTCAATGCGCTATTATCGCCCGTAAGACGAGCAGCAGCACCACGTAAAGCAGCACGAGCACCTTCTCCCATCGCTTTAACATAACGAGATAATCGAGGATTCAAATCGATCGCCGTACTTAAGTGCTGAGCAATTTCTGCTCGATATTTGTTCGGTAATGTTGCTTGACCTGTCGCCCGAATTTGTTGCTGTTGTTGCATAATCATATGAATCGGACCTGATCCGATTTGCGCCAATTCCGATAGTGAAACTTCTTCTGGACCATCTTTAACATCTTCACGATCCGATGCAACAGTATTCGTATTTCGATTGCCATTACGCAAAAGGGTTGCAAATGATCCTGTTCCTTTATCCATGTACGATTTTGCCAACATCAAGTGAACGTGTGCTTCATCAGGAGCGAGCTTTACAGCTTTCAAAAGATGATTATGAGCGCGTTCATGTTGTTTGATTAATGTGGAATGATCATTCTCAACAGTAGAACGACGTAGGAGGGTTTCGGCCATTTTGATGTGAGACATTGCCGAATTATTATCCAGGCGTAAAGCACATTCGAACGAACGTTCTGCTTCACCCAAGATGCCTTGTGCCATCTTGATTCTACCAAAGATGTCCCACAAAACTGCATTACTACGTTGCAATTCCAAAGCTTGTCCGTAGTAATAGGAAGCTGCATTCAATTTCTCTTCTTGCAAGTGAATTTGACCTATTCCAGCGTACGCGTTCCAGTGTCTTTTCTCAATACGAATTGCTTCACGGAAGTATTGCAAGCTCTTTTCCTTATCGCCCAATTCGCTCGCTTCATAGCCTGCCAAGGTGAAAGCATATGCATGATTGGGAGCAGCAGAGCAAGCTTTTTGAAATGATCGTAAAGCTGCAGAATGTTCATGCTGCAATGCGAACGCATTTCCAGCTGCAATATGGGTGATACTACTGGTAGGATCGAGCAATTGCAACTCCTTCACAAGCTGTGAGAGACGTACTTCGCGCTGTAAATGGAACAAAGACAAGCTAAAGATATCCATATGCGCAAGAAATGATGGTGAAAGATGGCGAGCATGAAGGAAATGCTTTTCTGCAAGATGGTATCGTCCCAAGTCATGATACGCTCTTCCTAATAGACATTGGATATCAGCGCAATTTCGATGGATGGAAGATAAGCCGCCATAGACTTGAATTGACTGATTGCGCAATTGATCACGCTCTGATTCCGGTACAGACAAGACCGCCTCTCGAAGGAGATCATCAGCTTCTTGTTTGCTCAACGTCCCACGAGGACGTAACAGAGCTAAAGCAAGTCGACCACGAGCATTGCGTACGGCATGATATGCTCTAGCAAGAGTGCGTAAAAGCTCGGAAATTTGAGCATCAATGGCATCATATTCTTGCGCTTGTCGACTGGCCTCTAATGCAGCTGTCTGGACAATTTCCATCAAGCCTTTGTCAGACGCTTTTGGTCCCGTTTCACTCTTTGATGTGAAGCCACCTGTCGGTACATTGACTGATTCTGCATCGGAGGAAGATGAACTTGAAGTGGGTATAGATCGCATAACGGGTCGACTTCCTACCGTTCTTTTGATTGTGGTTGCAGGGGTAGTACGTTGTTGTCTTCCTACAGTTGCCGTTGGCAAAGGTGGATTTTGCGGTTGACCATCTAAAGGCATCGCAACACGAGCGCTTCTTCTTGGCGACGGTTTCAAATTATCATCATCTTCGTTGCCAGTCGATTTACCGCTTACGCTTGTTACACTTGCAGGCCTTGCCTGCTCATTTGTACGTGAAGCGGATAGTGTTCCTGTCATCCGTACTGAGCCTGTTGTCGTTGTTGCGGCGGGAGCCGGTCGACTCTTGGCACCAACAAGATTCGATGCAGGTCGATTAGCAGGATCATTAGCTGTTCCAACTCTACCAGTCACATTTCCTCGACCTCCATTCATTCCAGCACCAGCTTTCTGTGTTTGTGGTCCTGGCTGGCTTGATGGCATAGTTCGCATCCGCTTCGATGCTATCGTTGCGTCAGTCCGACTACCGGGTCTAGCCAGTGATGATGTGGTAGACGAAGGGGTGATGGTTTGGGCTACAGTACGCTTGTTGCTTGCCGTCCTCGTCATCTCTTCACCATCATTGAATGCAGGAGCCGGAGCTGGCGCTTGCGATCGTGCTGTAAGACCTCCGATTGGTGCTCTCTGTGTTGCGTTCTTCTGATTCATACCTGCTACTCTTGCTACATTTGATGATTCGGAAGCTTGACTCTTTTGATTGAAGTATTCAGCTCCTTGTTGGGTGATGGAGGATATGACTTGTGTGACAAATTCTCTATCGTGCCCTTTCGAGAGTAAAGCTTGTTCAAGATGGAATGGATAAAGTGTTTGAGGGTTATTGCTCGTAGTAGAGAAGAATAGATCTAAAGTGTCCAATTCTTCCATCTTCACGCCTATATCGCATAAACCTGACCAAGCGCTCCAGCTCCATTGATCCAACTCTCTCGCCTTCTTAAGGTGAATTTTTGCGTCATCCATTCGATTCGTTCTTGAAGACATTCTTCCTAGCTCAGAAAACATAGACGCTTTCCTAGCATTTTCCGATGAGGTCAATGGTCTTTGGGCGGGCTTTGGATCATCTCCCTTTGTTCTGGAAGAAACGGAAGAAGAACTTTCAGAGCTGTTTTCACCATTCTCCGATTCTCGGATTGTCCAAGAGAGCGCTTCTTCTGCTTCTTTCAGCCTTCCCAGAACTGAGCAAGCAGTTGCGAAAATACGTGCACATCCGACGTCCATAAAGATATCTTGTGGACCACTTTCAAGCAATTCAATCGCAGCATGGGCATTAGCACGAAGGATGGAAGTAGAGGATTGTGATGCTGATTGAACCACACTCGGACCAAAAGGAAAGACTTGTGCACCCTGTAATAGTAAAGATGCCAACAATCTCCTTGCCGGTATGGAAGCGGGATCGCAGTTTAGTGCTAATCTTGCATAGAAACAGGCTGAAGTGAAATCAGCTGTGAGCTCATCCTGGGTGACTGGATTTGAATCTGCTAGCCTTTCATTGTTTCCGATATAGGAATATGCGATCTGCAATAGTCTCTTTCCCACTTGAACTTGATTGAGGTATATGGAAGATGAATCCAAAGTAGGAAACGTCGGAATGGGTATGGATGCTAGAAGTGATTTTGGCTGTGATTGATTGTTCGCTGGGGCTGCTTGTTGTTTGAAAGGTGCTGAGATTGTTCTTGATGCTGGTGGCTTCGATAGAGTTCCTGAAGCTTTTGCACGTAGACTGCTTGTCGATGTTGTATGTCTTACGTTACCAGCACTCGGACCTGTAGATGGAGCAGCAGCCGTTCTGGTCCTATTTGGTGGTGCTGCCATCGCATTAGGACGTGATTGAGGAGGATTAGAAGATGGAGCTGTATTTGACCTTGCGGAGGGTGCAACATTTGTACCATTCCTTGCCCCGTTGCCATTGGGTATCGGAACCATCTTTGCGATACTCAGCCTAAGTTACTATAGCTGACCTCTTGTATTCGACATTGAAGCCTCTATAGCTATCAGCTGTTATGTGTTGATAGCTTGTTGTGTAGGCTGTTTAATCCTTTGACTTTTGACTTACTGATGAGATGATAGGAGGAAAGGCATTTGTTGATCGTTGAAGTGTTAATGTCTATGCAGCGTGTGTTGTTGTTTGCTTATTTAAAACATATACGCCGCGTAGAGAGAGACACCCTCTCTTAAAGGAGGGAAACAGTTAAAACTCTGAATGGTCGATCGACGACGCGTCTTGAAATATAAAGCAACCACCAGGTGTTACGTTTTGTAGTCTCCAGGCACTGCTTTCTGAATAATAATAATAAATTTGTGAGGTAGAGAAAGGTGGGTAGAATTTACATGTGATATGAGACTATTTATAATTGACAAATGGGCTAATTATGGGCACCAAGACTGTGGTTCGTCAGCCTTTGTGGCGGAACAGGCGTTAAGGCGTGATACGGCGTGATACGGCAAGTGACGCCTGTACACGTGCCAGGCGTACCGTATACGTCATATCCTAACACCCCTCCTCGCAACGAAGGTTGATGAATCCGTTAATTTAAAGATAATAAATGTAAAGATAAAGAGAATTATTAAAGATCGAGAGGTTTCGTTAAAGTATCGGCTAATTAAGCTATCATATAAATTAGTTATAGTTTAATTATATTTATATTAATATAATAACGAATAAAATAAAAACGAATATTAATATATCGTATATATTAAGTAGCCGAATAACCGGTGGTAATAGTACGAGCTACTTGATTATCAATAAATAATAAAATTAATAGATTTATCTTAATTTATAAGTATTCTATAAGATCGAGAATAATAATAATATAAGTTATAATAAGAGTTATTATAATATACTCTACTTTAATAGAAAAAAGTATAATAATCGATTATTTTTATAATTTCTAATTAATTAATATATCTTTATAATATAGAATAATATTAATAATAGAATATATAGAAGAATCTTTAGTTTAATCACTATTAAAATAAGTTAATAAAATAGGATTTAATATATTATATTTATAATCGATACCGATTTCTAAAGATTAAATAAGATAATATATAACTTAGTAAATAACTTCTAAATAATAAAATTATAGTTTAATTAAAAATTATAAAAGTTAATTAATAATAAAAGAAAGATCTAAATATATATAAATATTTAAATAAATTAATTTTCTAATAATTAAATAATATTTTATATATTTATTTATTATTAAGATTTATAAAATATTATTAAATAATCTTTTTATAATTAAATAATTTATAGAGATTTAAATAGAAAATATTTTCTAAGCTTTTATAAGAAATTAATTAATAATTAATTTTATATATTTTATTTAATAAATTTTAATAAAATTATAAGTCTAAATTAATTAAATTCTTAAAATATAATATATTTATTTTTTATCTATTATCTTAAATATTTCGATAAGATATAATTTAATTTATTTTAATATAATAATATTTATAGTAAAAATTATTAAATTATCGATATAAAATATAATAATTAAAATAATTTTTCTTAATTTATTATATTTTAAATATAAACTAAAATCTCTTTTAAAATATATAAAATTAATTTTATATAAGAAAAAATCGATTTTTAAATATTATTATTATCTTATTTACTTTAAACTATAAAATAATTTTTAAAATAAATAATATTTATTTTTTAATATAAGATTATTATTAATATTTAATAGTAATTTTATATAAATTTCTTTATTAATTTTATTATATAAATATATTATATATATATCTATTTAATAAATAAATTAATTTAATAATACTATAAAAGCGATAAGAAAATATAAAATTATAATTTATATAATAAGTATATAAGTTTTATTAAAATCGATATTAAGAATCTATAAATATCTTTAAATAATAAAATAAGTTTTATATTTATTAATTATATTATCTATCTTTTATTTAATCTTAAAAATCTAATAATATTTTATAATCTAATATAATTTAAATTAATTTATAATAATCTAAATATTATTTATAATAAAAGATAATAATTTAACTTAAATTATTAATTTCTATTATTTTATATCTAGTTATTTAAAAGCTTTATAAATTATCTTTAATTTATTTTTATTAATATATATTTAATATATAATAATTAATTCGATTTAATTTATTAATTTTATTTCGAATTTAAATTCTTTATAATATTTTATTATTAATATATTATTTTCAATATAATTTAATATAATTAATATATTTATTATAGTTTCTTATAGTAGAAAATTTATTTCGATAAAAATAATATTATAATTTATAATAATTTATTTAATTATAAGATTTAATAATTTCTATATTTTTATTTTTTTATTTATTCTATTTCTAATATATATAAATTTCTTTAATTTTAAAGTTAATTTATAATCTTATTTAAATTAATATATATATATTAAATAATTAAATACTTAAAAATCGATAATATTTAATTACTATTTAATCTATAACTTAAATAGAGTCTTATAACTATTTCTTTTATTTATAATTATATTATATAATATATAGATATATATAATAGTATAAATCTAAAATAAATAAGATAGATTTCTATATATAAGTAAAATTTAGATTTTATCGAATAAAATTTAATAAAAATATTTAATTTAGTTATTTTACTAAGGTATATAAGGTATAATTAATTTATATTTAATTTTTATTTTTATTATATATTCTAATATATCTTTATTCTTAAATATTATATTATTATCTATATAAATCTTTTTAATTCGATAAGATTATATATATTTATTTATATTTATTTAAATAATAATTTCTTTTAATAGTTAAGAAATAACTATAAATAGGATAATCGAGATAAGTCTTAAATAATTATTAATAATTATTAATAAGTAATATTTATTATTTAATATTTTTATTAGAAGAAAATTAATAATATCTATATAAACTAATTTAAATAGTTTAGTTATTTAAGAATTATTAATATTAAATAATATTCTTTTATATTTTTTAATTATATATATTTTATAATATTATTTTACTAATTTTCTTTAAATTATTAATCTATTTATATTTTTAATTATTTTTAAAAGAATATAATATAAATAATATTTAATTCGATTATATAATATATTAATTAAAATATTTTATATATTTATTATAATAATATTTAATTTTGATTAAGCTATATTTAAATAAATATTTACTTTATAATAATAACTAATAATAATCTTCTTATTATCTTTATAATATATAAAATAAATATTTCTTTTATTTATATAATAATAAATTTTATTATATTAATTATAATAATTTATATAGAATCGATATATTAAAAAAAGATTTCTTATAAAAGTAGATATATAAATAATATTTTCTAAGGTAATTTATTTACTTTTATTATTTCTATTTAAAATATCGATTTTTATAGTTCTTTAATTAATCTTATAGATAATTTAATTTTTATTAACTTAAATTAAAATTAATTTAAAACGATAATTAATAAATTTATTATATTATATTATAATATAATTAAATATATTATAATTAATTATCTATATACTAGTTTCTTAGATTATATTAATTTATATTATTATATATTCTAAAATAATTATAATATTTAATCTATTTATATATATTAATATTATTAAATTATTTATTTCTTAAGCTATATTTATTAATAATTTATTTTATTTTAATTTATTTTATTTATTTATTTTATTTTTCTTTGATTCTTTATAAATCTTAATTATATTTTAATAATACTCGATATTTAAAATTCTTAATAATAGATAACTTTTTAAGTAATAACCTTTATTTATATAGTTTCTATATATAAAATTTATTAGATTTTTTAATAATTTTAATAATTTAATAGTAGTTATAGTATAAGCTATTACCTTTATTATTAATTTTAATTATTTTATATTATTTTATCGATTATTATTATTATTATAATTTTATTTCTTAACTTTTTATTTATATTTATTTTATTATAATTAATATTAATCTTATAATTTATATTTAAATAATAAAAATATCTTTATTTCTAATATTATATTAGTTATTTTATTAATTTTATCTAATAATATATTATAATAACTATTTATAAATAATAATATTCTTTTAATTATCTTCTTAATATATTTATAATATAAAATAAAGTATTTATATAATTTTAAACGATCGATTAAGATTTAAAAATATTAATAATAATTATTAATTAATTTATCTTTATTTAAATAGAAATAAAAGAATTTATATTATACTTTTTTATAAAGTAATTTAATAGAAATCGAGAAATAACTAATTAAAATTACTTATATAGATTCTCCTTATATAAGACTTTATAAGATTCTTATATTATCTATAAGCGATTTAAAATAATAAATTAAATATATAATTAAATATTTATTCGATTCTTTATCTTTTACTTTCTTTTATTTATATTCTTCTAGTTTTTATCGATAAACTTTTTCTATATTATTCTTATTAACTTATTATTATAATAATTAATATTATATTAATATTTATCTAAATATAATTTTTAATTTAATATTTTATTATAATTCTTAATTTCGAGTTAAGACTCTAATCGGTAGTATTTCACTCTAATTAAACTCTCTAGAAAGAGAAGTTATACTTATATCTAGTTTCTTTAATTCTTCTAAGATACTAGTATACTTAAATATAACCTTATATACTTAATAATCTTTTATTTATAACTATCTTTTAAATACTAGTACCTATATATAAAAGTCATTCTTATATTCTTTTAATATAAAAGTCTTTACCTTTAATACTATTAATTCTTTAGTATTTATTAATATTTTTACCGAATTACATTGATTCGTGATGAATCGTTAATATTATGCTTGATTCGTTAGAGAACAGTGATATTTTCAGAGCCGGGCAAGTAGAGCTGTTAACTCTGTTACGTTTTGTAGTCTCCAGGCACTGCTTTCTGAATAATAATAATAAATTTGTGAGGTAGAGAAAGGTGGGTAGAATTTACATGTGATATGAGACTATTTATAATTGACAAATGGGCTAATTATGGGCACCAAGACTGTGGTTCGTCAGCCTTTGTGGCGGAACAGGCGTTAAGGCGTGATACGGCGTGATACGGCAAGTGACGCCTGTACACGTGCCAGGCGTACCGTATACGTCATATCCCAACACCAGGCTTAAGTAATGAATTAACAGTAACCGAATTAACCTCACTTTTGTTCCGCACTTTTAAACGCAATTCATTCGGCGCCTACGATTCCGTTCCAGAACGTCAATTACCTTCCTTTGACCTCTTCTGTTAGGATGAGTGAGATTTGGATACAAAATTAACGCTTATACCTTCTAGAGATTGATGAGCGTATATGTGAGTGTATCTTCTAGTCTAACTGATATGCAAGGTCATACCATCTGAAAAGAACAACTAGAAAGCGGCGCAGTTAGAATTGAATTTCATTAGTGCCAATTAAAAGTGTAACTTTCGCGCATATTTCCTGCATGAGTAACATAACAGTTCAGGAGAACTACCGGAGAGAGCGAGTATATCATACTGTCTATGATCCAACATCATCACTTCCTCCTTTCCTTTCAAACCAACAAATCATCAAAGACAAACAGATGACGGGAAATGCTGAGCATTTGTCAGAAGTCTTAGGAGCACATTTCCATTGATTTTCATTTCACTTGGTGTAAAGGCTATCCGGCCCGAAAGAATTGACATTGTGCACCCTACATCGCAACCTTTTCTCACTCCTGTCCATGCTGGCCATCAGGATCGACTTCATCTAGGAACGAATCTTTTATGTCTTAATCTACACAATTCTCAAGACATGCTCTAAAAGAGGAATTCATCATGTCAGCTACTGATGATACTTCGGAGAGGCGCTCCAAAGCACAATCTTACTTTGATCGATATCCAGAGAGAAAAGGTCAAGGTCCATACATACCAAAAGCAAAGTTAGTACATTCTACTTCCTCCAAATCGGTCACAAAGGATGTAAAGGCGGCTGAAAAATGCAAAGATCAAAAGCAGATCGAGAAGCCTGAGAAGCCTATCTGCGAATCAAGAGCGTATCTTGACAGCATTCATCGAAGCAGAGCAAGGCGGGATCGTGAAGATACTACAGACTCTGTACGGCAGTGGCACAGTAGATCTAGTGACAAGTCTGGTTCATCCAACGAAAAGAAATCGACAGATAGCACTTTCATCAGAGCAGAAGGAGCGCCAACATTGAAAGAAGTACGAAGCAGGGTAAACCATGCCTTCCCTGCTTCTTCAAATCCCAAAACTACATCTCTTTCTAATAGCTCTTCAAGTTTACCTCCACAAAACATCACTCGAAACCCTAGAGCTGAGGCAACACTCGAAGCAAACGCAGATGCCACCAATTCGGAGATCCGAGCTGCACGCTCATGGACTGTCACTGACGAGAAGATTTCATCTGGTCTGCCCTCGTCATCCTTCCCAAACGGGAAGGTTGCCGCCTTGACTTCAGAATTTGAAAATTCAAGAAAATTCGATGTCCATCGTCCAAGAAAGGCTGACAGGAATCGAGGCGATGTGGCAGCATCTACACCATCTTTCTTTCCTCAAGATTATGGAATGTCTAGTGAAACATCTCGAGCACCTTTGGCTTCTTCGATCCCTCCCAAGAGAGCAACAGATGACCCATCTCTGCAGCGAAAGGGTGTGCCCACCATTGATGATATCATTCGGCGAAATACACCCACGCTCGACCTAAGCGAGAACGGTACAGTTACTATACTTCAAACGAGATCTTCACCGCCCTTTGAGCGAAGGCCTAGCGGAAATACGATCTATAGCTGCTCATCGGGAGAGGCATCAAGCAGGTATACTTTTGGCAAAAAGTCATCAGGAGAAGCTTCAGATCGCTATACGTACGGGAAGGAATTCGTTGAACCAAATGGAGGAGAAGAGTCGGATTCTTCTCTAGATTCCGTAGAACGTGAAATTCAAAACTCGCTGAAGTTTGGAGGAACGTCACTTTCACGTAGCTCAGGCAGTCAAGATCGTAAAACGATCGCTTCCGTTTCACCTGCTCTACAGGCAACCTTTACCGGACCTGCGCTTCCTACAAAGGAGCGAGCTAGATCACCTTTGCAATCGGATCATCTAGAGCGTGGCGGATATGACAGTTCAGTTCTTAGACCCCATCATCATCTCATGATCCCTTCTGCTTCGGCACCTATACTATCTCACAAAAAGAGTACCCCTACCCTGAAATTTTCAACGCCTCGCTCACCGCACAAGCACAAAAGAGTTGGTTCCAGACATAATGAAAGGTCATTTTCCGACGTATTTGGACGGCAATACCAGAATGGTGCTAATAGTGGACAGGATTCCGATACTTCAAGCGGTCTAAATGTCCCAATTATTCATCGCTCAAAGTCTAGTGCAGATCTCACTGGTGGTATGCGCAAGGCTTTGTCGCCTTTGAGAGACAAGAAGAACAATAATTCGTCCACTTCTACCCTTCCACCGGTTCCTCAAGTGCCCAGTAAACATGCAAATGCACAAAAGGTGCAAACGAGTTCGCCTTACGAAACGAATGAAGCAAAGATGATCAGAAGATATGTTTATTCGAATCGGCTCACACAACTTCTCACACTTTCTAGATTGCCCTATGCTGGCAAGACTGTCAGTTTTGCAGATGTGGGCAATGCGAATGGACATGTGGTGATCATCTTTATGGGTCTGGGCGCCGTACGTTATTTGATTGGCCTATATGACGAAATGGCATCAGCGTTGGGATTACGTTTGATTTGTATCGATCGATGGGGGATGGGTAAGACGGACGATTTACCGTCTGATAAGCGGGGAGTTCTGGAGTGGAGTAATGTCGTCGCTGAAGTGACAGATCGATTGGCAATCCGAAAGTTTAGCGTTTTAGCACATTCAGCAGGAGCACCTTATGCAATGGCTACAACATTGATGCATTCTGAACGTTTGGTAGGGCCAGTACATCTTTTGGCTCCTTGGGTTAGTCCGGTCATTGAAAGTGGATACAAGTGGCTACGATATGTGCCAGACGGGGTAATCAAGACAGCTCAAGCTGCAGAATGGAGAATGCAAGGATGGAAACTGGGTGTAGGAACAAGACCTTCCACCGCTTCTGGCGATGACGTCGATTTGGACACATCTTGCCTTTCCCAAGATGGTGGACACGACATCAGCCCTGAGGATCATTCTTTCGAGCGGTATGGAGGTTCATTCACCAATTCTACTGTTGCATCAACTGCCATGTTTCCTCAAAGGAGCTTCGACAGTGCATTGAGTACTTCTTCGAGTGCTAATGCAGAAGTGCTCACAGGATCTTCCTATGAAACCTCGCCGACAGCAACGTCCGTTCACACAATCAATCACAATACTGCTGGCTTGAGCAGGTCCCACAAATCACATCACACATATGACAGAGCATCCTCTTCCCATCAGAATTCACCACCTTCGCGTTCTTCAATGTCAAGTTTAGCAGAGCATTACGATATTCTGAATGCATGGCAAGCTCAACTTGGTTCGGAAGATTCTGACCGACTTCCTTTGCCGCCTCCAAAGACTCCTACAAAAGATCGGTTGGGTCCTGGAGCTGCTTTGGGATCAGCATACTCTCCATCATCCAATGCATCACCGCATGCAAACAATCTCAAAACATCTCCAAATGCAACAGTTGATCTTCCAACAGAACTTTTACGTGCTTCGCATGCCGAAAGTGGTGGAAGTTCGCATGATTTACTAGTTATCCTTGGTCGTTCATCACAAAAGCCATGGGGATTCGCTTACACGGATGTAGACCATCCCGTTCGTGTTTGGTATGGCGACAAAGATGAAAGGATCAGTATGTCAAGCATTTTATGGATGGAAAGAGAGATGCGTGATTGTCAAGTAACATTTGTCAAGAATGCTAACCATAGCTTGATGACCAACGTAAGCGTTGTGGTAGAGGCTTTGGAAAGCATTGCATCTTGTTATTCTTCTTTGACATAGTGCTTCTCTCTTTTCAAACAATATACCCTATTCATTTTCTCTTTTTTTTCGGCTTCTCTAATTGCATTCACACAGAATTGTGACACACAACAAATACCACTCATTTAGCACAAACATCTCTTCATGTACTACTTTGCAATCGTGAAATTCTTAATCGAATCGGATATTAAAAGTACAATCGATTGCCTATTGATACATTTGTGATTACATATCTTCTTGACTCCAGGCTTGATGTTCCGCCTTTCTTCTTGCCCGTTCATTTCTGCGTTGGAATAGCTTATTTTCGAAGCCGTTGCTTCTTTCTACTCCATCCCATCTATAGCCCGGACGTATACCGAATCTGTTAGGAGGGAAATGACCCTTGTATACCGGCTTCTGTGGCCCTCTTGCCTGATGCGCTTCTTTGTTCTTCAGAAAACGAGCGGCAGGATCATTCTGTCGTTCAACTTTGCGTAATTGGGCATTCATTTTGGTATCATCGGCATGTCTAGCGAATGAAGTGTTCCGCTCCTCTTCCTCTCTTCTTCTCTGTTCACGGGCATTGCGTAATTGTGCCTCGCCTTTATTCCAATCCGTCTTTTCTCGTTCAAGTTTGCGTTCTTCTTCTCGTTTCTTTCTTCGCTCTTCATCTTCTTTTTGTACATCAATTCTTTTACCTGTAGCATCTCTGTATACTGTTTCTTGCTGCCGCCTTTCACGTTCGGCCTGCTGTAACGCTTTTTGCTCGTCTTCGTTTGTTGATTGAATTTGTCCCGATCGTTTCGCCTCTTTCTCTTCTGCTGCTTTGCGTTCACGTTCTATTCTTTCAGCACGCATCTCTTCCCGGGTTTTTAGACCTGCCCGAATAGCACTATTGGATGAGCTGGATCCTGCAGCTGGATTGGCTGCCAGTTGCCGTTCCGCTGACATTTGATCATTTGCATCTAAATTCATGCCTTGCTCATCAGCGACTTGAGGTAGATCTCCATCCTGCAAAACATCATCTCTCCCTGTGCCACTGCTTTTACCCACTTTTGCCCAACGACTCTGTTTTCGTTTAGAGGTTGACCCTTCGTCCTCTACTACCAATGCACCATCATCATCTAATCTGTCTGCTTTCCAAGTCTCATCGGAATCGTCCACTAATCGGAACCCTGATCCACTTGCACTCTCTTGCTCCGGTTTGACCTTTTTACGCTTTCTTTTCCTCTCCCCATCTGTGCCATCTCTGGCCAAGATAGCCTCAGCTTTAGCACCATCTAGATAATGCTTAGCCAGATAAGCGTTCAGAGATGGATCTGGCATGTTTGACGTATGCTGAACCCCTCTTAATCATTACTCGGTCGTGATGGAAGAGAGGATAGAGTGTTGTTCTCAAGCTCCACCTTCTGATTAAAATCTTTACGCGCTGCATTAAATTTTGATTTCATGCACAGACTTTTGGAAGCTTTTGCGTGCTTTGCGTTTGTCTTCATCACTTGCTCTTAACCATCAGCAGGTTGTAGCCATGTCGAGGGCACCAGATGCAGATCGCAATCAAGAAGCGACATGTTATATAGGTAACTTGGACGAAAGGGCAACGGATGCGCTTGTATGGGAATTAATGATTCAAGCTGGACCGGTTGTGAACGTTCATTTACCCAAAGATCGAATTACATCAAATCATCAAGGATACGGCTTTACTGAATTTCAAACTGAACAAGATGCAGAATATGCATGTAAGATCATGAACGGTATTAAACTATTTGGAAAACCGTTAAGGGTGAACAAAGCAAGCTCAGATCGTAAACAGATCGATATCGGTGCAAACCTGTTCATCGGGAATTTGGATAGTGGTGTTGATGAGAGGATTTTATACGAAACCTTTTCTGCTTTTGGAAATGTGGTAGGGATACCAAAGGTTGCCAGAGATGAAAGTAGTGGTGTATCGAGAGGCTTTGGATTCGTTTCTTTTGATGCTTTCGAATCTTCAGATGCTGCAATTGAAGCATTGAATAACCAATTCTTGCTCAATAAGCCGATCAACGTTTCGTATGCAGTCAAGAAGGACGGCAAAAATGGGGAAAGACATGGAACACCAGCAGAAAGATTGCTTGCTGCTCAGGCCCGAAAGAACAATGCATTGCCTCCTTTGCAACGAATTGTTCCACATATTGCACCAGCCCAACAGCAATCGCAGCATTCACCTCTTCCTCCTGCAATGGCACCTGGACCGCCATCCCAACCTTCCGCACCTCAACAACCATTTGGAATGCCACCGGGATCAGCTCCACCACCTCCACCGCCCGGCATGCCAGTTGCTGGAATGCATGGCGGTCCACCGCCACCACCGCCTGGATTCAATGGATACACGGGAGGCCCACCACCACCTCCTCCATCAAATATGCCGGCATACTATGGTGCTCAACAGCCGCCACCTCCGCCTCCTGGCATGTATAATGGCCCACCGCCAAATCAATATTATATGACGGGTACTAACAATGCACCTTTGGGACCACGGCATGGGTAGACAGACGTCATTTTCATCAATTGTACAATATTTCAATCATTCGAATCGGGTCTGTATAATTCATTGAGTCAATTAAAGTATTGTGTGTGCTTATATATATTACAGATCATATTAGAAGAAGGTGCCAAAATAAGGTTATTATACATATCTATATTATATTTCAAGCTTTTGCGTACTTTTCTTTGCCGAGTAAACGGACACGAGAAGAAGTAAGAAAAGGTGTAATGCGATTGCAAGAGAACAACCAAATTTCTTGCAAATCACGAATGCTATTGACCATATCCGTCACGATACCATCGTCAATAGCTCTGCAAAAGCCTACGTCGAGCATTTTCAAGCTACGGCAATTTTGGGCAATTTGCTTGAACCCATTCTCTGTAATTTTGTCGCACGAGTTAAGATTCAATTCGACCAGACTTGCACCGCAAAAGTCGATCAATGCTTCGATGACCGAATCATCAACAGCCAAGCATCTTTCCAAATTGACATGAGTCAATTTTGCTGCACCTCGCTCTTTCAGTCCTTGGAAAAGCGACACCCAGTGCTCCGGTAAGATCTCTTCTGCATGCATCTGAATGACACTGAGCTTTTGCAAAGAGATGCAATTTGCCAAAATGCCGTCTAACAAAGTCTTGCTTGTCAGGTCAGCATTGCGAGAGATGTCCAGATGGACCAATCGCGGGCCGGTAGCCTGAAGCATGCCAATCACTGCATCATCTTCCAGACCTTTGGGTGGCACACCAGGTGCCGACACGCCGGGATCCGAAATGTCAAGGTATGTCAATTGATGACCATAAGCTTTCAATACTGACAGACAATCGGCATTCAGTGGTCCGATTTGCGCCAAGCCCAGTTCAGTGATATTTGGACAGAATTCTACCATCTTTTCACAACAACCTTTATCGAATCGCGGACTTTCGCGAATCTTAAACGTTGTCAAACGTTCTCCCATCGCTTGAAAGAAACGGTGCCATGCTTCCACACGCACCAAAAACGGTCCATAAAGTTCAATTTTGCGCAACTTTTTGCACTTTTTACTCCAGGCATCAATCGAAGTGTTATCGAGCATACCGCAATATTGCAAATTGATGCTCTCAACGAAAGGACAAAAAGCTGGAATGCTTGCCAATACGTCACAGTCAAGTGCACTGCAATCATAGAAAGTCAACTCCTTCGCAGAAGATTGTAAGAAAAGATTGACTGTTTGACTGTTCAAGCGTCTATTTTTAGAGATACTCTTGCTGATCGAATCCATATTCTGATTGGCGATACCAATCAATCCTTCAACATCTTCGATATTGTCTGCAATAATGTTGATGCACATTGATTGTAATGTAGGCAAGCGTGTCTTCTCGAACATGAGCTGATTCGGCTTACGACGTGCTTTCGATCTTTTGGCCGGTGCTGGACTTTCAGACGGACTTGCATCTCCTGTGGTGACTCCACGAACACCTGATGCTCTACCGCTTGTAGTCTTTCTGCCATTCAGAATCAAGTCCTTGCATTTGTGGCATACACCTCCTTTCTCAGTATGGTGCGTATATGCCGTCACACTGAAGCGTTTCGCACAGGCAGCACAAAAGTCAACAGCGCCTGCTGCCGTATGACGTGATGAATGATCTCCCAAAACAATGGCACCGTTGGAAGCGGAAGCAGAGGTGCTCGCACTTGCATTATTAGATACCTTTTGTTTCTTTGCTGCTGATGGTGTTTCTTCATCATCTGATGCTTCTGAATCCTCTTCTTCGAAGTTCATTGATTGATTCTTTCGTCTTGACGCAATACGTGCTAAGCGTTCACTTTGTGAGGTGGCCTGCGGTGTACTACTCGAAGATGGTGTTGCGCTTCCAGAAACGGTTGCATCAACAGCAGCCGATACTTCTTCAGCTTGAGCCACAACTTGACCGTTCTCACCGATAACAGCTCCAGTCGTTTCATCTAATACCAAAGGTCCAGTATCATCTCTACGTCTAAAACGATTCGCATTAGGAACACGAATATTTTTGCTTCGCAAGAATGCCGTCAAGGCTGAAGTTGGACCTCGAACCTCTGAGCGTTGATTTGCTCCGTTATTTGACATCTTTGGCTAATTTTGAGAGAGGCCCTATGACCACTTGATCGGATGGCGGTGGCAAGAAGTGAAATTTTAGCACTGAAGTCACAAACTGAATTGCAATCAACAATTTACGCTAATTTATAGTGTTCCAGTGCCTGGGAAGATTTGATGTCTTGTGCATTAACTATGCATAAAACCAAAAATTCCTAAAAGTGTTGTTCATTTACGCGCTTACGTACGCCGACGTGTATTTATAGAAGGCTTAACATGACCAGCAAAAGAGATGCAGGAGTTGTGATTTGTTCATCACACGAATCACCACAAGACGATAGAAGAAATATCTCAGCCGGCACTCTATTCTTAAAAAGACATTGAATGCGAAAACGCTTATCTCTTATCTCGTAAAGCAAGCTTCTGCTAAGTAGAAAACATTACCATTGTGAATGTATACAAAGTACAATTTTGCACACTAAGGGCAGCCAGCCCGACGTTTGGATTGCCAGACGTGTGTACAAATTGGGTAGTAGGATCGTAAAATGATTGCTAAGATTGAAAGAGTCACATTCTTCTTTTGGAGAGAGGAAGGGTGTTCGCAATAAGATTGTTTACCAATCTTCTCAGAGAATAGTTGAGACGTTCGTCATTGCATTTTTGGGTTCATTGCATTAGATGGACAATCCGTTTATTCGGTACGGGGAGCACCACGGCCAACACCACCGAAACGAGGGCGGAATTCACCAGATGGGGCTTGGTCCTTCTTGCGGTAACCATCTTCGCGGTCACCACGGGGTGCACGGTAACCACCTTCACGACCACCTGGAGGACCGGAAGCACGGACTGGGCGAGCAGGGCGCTTGTGAGTTGCTGGAACGATCTCGGCAGGCAAGTGCAAGTATTCACGCAAGTAGTCGAGACCCTATTTAAAGAAGCAAAAGGTTGAAAAGTCAGCATTCCAGATTCTGTGCGAAGGTCAAGAGAGATAGGCTTTGCACCTACTCTGAGGACGCATGGATCCATCATATCATTCGACACTTACCTCGTTGGTCAAGGTGTAGAAGTACCATTGCCAGCTGAATTGGGTGTGAACGTAACCACGGCTGGTCAAACTTTGGCAAGCCTTGATGACTTCCAAGTTTGGGACGTCCAATTCGGGATGCTTGATCTCGAATTCTTTTGGGGCGACCATAACACCCTCTTGGAAGAGAGATGTGTAAATCAATCTGCGGTGCTCTTTTGAAATGATCATCTTGTCGAGTTGGCTATAGATAGGATGGTGAGAGAGAAGGTGTAGGCTTTTGTGAATTGTGTGTGTAAACTTCTCATACTAAACGCGGGTGTGCTACAAACGCACATTTGACCGCAGGCCCTACTGCAACCTCCTCGGCTATAGACTAAAATCTGTAATGTGTGCTAAAGTGTATTCAATAAGCGCGCCGCAGCCTAGAGCGTAAATCGTTCAACGCGAGCACCTGACCAATCGCACAAGCTTATAGCGTGTAATACAGAATTTGTACTTGAATTTGTATTGAAGTACTTTTAGCAGTTGGACAAATTGTATTGCTCTAGAGGCAAGATTCCCGATATTACTGTAATCTTTGAATACTTCACTGCAAATGAACTGCGCGCGCACTTTCTCTCACTCTACACGCCTGGCTTCTAGTTTTTGGGTATACGCAGCATCGATTCAATTCTCGTTTTCTGTTTAACATCATCCATCGCCATCGTATTTTCGGTACGCTTTTAAATGTAAGTGTCATTGCGAAGTCAGCATGCTGAACGGGAAGAGGATCTGAGATGGTCTGCGGGAAGAAAGGGATGGTGGTAGATCGCATTGCCATTAGGATATCGACTCGATTGTACGACTTATCGCCACCGTTGCTCGACATACATTCGCCTTCGATCTCGGACTGAAGAAGATTGCAAGGAGGCGCAAGAATGTCAGCGCCATCGATCTTGATTATTTGCCAAATCGCCATTCCTCAGCCCTCCTCTTCAGCAGGATCTCGATGTCTCGATTCTCTCACCTTAGTATGATTCATGTACTTACATTCATCCTCCTCCTTTAATACAGTCGAAGCGTCTCAAGTCGATTAACATCATCAAAAATGGGTAAGGTGCACGGTTCATTGGCTCGTGCCGGTAAGGTCAAGGGTCAATGCCCAAAAGTTGAAAAACAAGAGAAGCCCAAGCAACCCAAGGGTCGGGCACACAAGCGTTTGTTGTACAACCGCCGTTTCGTTAACGTCGTTTTGGGACCCAGCGGTAAGAGAAAGGCCAACGCTCAAAGCTAAACAAACCTTTTCTCTACTATGATTCGATTCTATCAAACATGCTTCACCGTCTCAAGTCCTTTGATTTCCTTGGAACATCTACGGTGATGTCAACTTGGATCGATGTTGTATTTTGGCATTCCCTATGAGCAAGCTACGGCTACCATATGTACACTTGTCTACTATCATGACGACGCAAAAACCACATTTTTGCTTATATTAGCAATTCATCATCTCAATATAAACACATACATCTCGCTTTCTGTGTGAAATGCCCCACCATTGCTTGCGTCTATGCCCATTATCGCTCGTTTCTATGCCCACTATCGCTTGCTTCTATGCCAATCTTTTAGACGATTCGAGCCTCGATGATACTCCCTCCTAAGGTATGATAAGTTGATTAGAGCATACAAGCTGTATTCTCAACACGGCTTCTCATGCGCCGCTTACTAAATGAGAGCGACAAAATGACGCATGTTGCAGTGCAGGCCAGTGCTAAAAGCTTAACGCAACGCCTACAAGAGGCTGAAGCCGGGGAATTACATGCAGCTTGGAAACAATCCCATGCCAACCTACAGTTGCTTCTTGGACTCTCATCATAACACCAATGCGAGTGTATCACTGCTGAAAGAAAGGTAGACGATCTTGTTCAGACTTGACAGATCTCTAAGCCGGCTCGATTGCTGTCATCGGCTTGCCATCATTCCAAAGGATCACATTCAGGCTTGACTCCCTCCACTTCATCTTTTTCCAACCATGCCATCATCAAGAGTACCTCAAGTCTCACCAATCTCAGGAAAGCCTGTAAATTCGGATTATTTGCATTCTTCCGATGTTCATTTCCGGGATACAAATGGAAGAGCAATACTTTTACGTGGTGTAAATTTGTCAGGGAATAGTAAAGCACCTTTGAACGAACCAAGTTGGGATGGCAAGCAATTTTGGGAAAAAGCCGAAGCTGGTGGAGATAGCTTTATAGGAAGACCGTTACGACTGGATGATGGCTCTGCAGATGTCCACTTGACGAGACTTAAGCTTATGGGGTTCAATGCGTTACGCTTCATCTTCACATGGGAAGCAATCGAGCATGCCGGACCGGGTAAATATGATGAAGAATATTTGGAGTACATGGTCGCAGTCTTGAGAAAGGTGAAATCGTTTGGCTTCCGTGTTTGGATGGATCCTCATCAGGATTTGTTCTCACGATTCACTGGAGGATCTGGAGCACCTTTTTGGACTTTAGTGGCTTGTGGAATGAACCCTCGTAATTTAACCGTTACACGGTCAGCATTCATTCATTGCGAATATCCAGATCCAACTGAACCAGATCCTGAAGCATTCCCGCCAATGATTTGGACAACAAATTATTCCCGTTTAGCAGTCGCAACGATCAATGTGTTCTTCTTTGCCGGAAAGACATACGCACCACAATGTATGATCGATGGAGTGAACATCCAAGATTGGCTTCAAAATCATTATCTGGCCGCCTGTCGCAAATTAGCCATTAAATTGAAAGAAGCAGGCGATCTCTTTGATTCATGTATTATTGGCTGGGACAGCATCAATGAACCGAACCCTGGTTTTATTGGATGGCCAGATTTGGACAAATTGCCAGAAAAGCTCAAAATGCGAAGAGGACCGATGCCGACTCCAATCCAAAGCTTCAGATTTGGTGACGGACAAGGTCAGCGTGTGGAAAAGTATGATTTTGGATCGCTAGGGCCTAAGAAGGTCGGCACAGAAGACATAGATCCGCTAGGCAAACGACTATGGCTATCGCCCGAAGAAGATGCAGAACAAGGCGGGAAACGATGGGGATGGAAAAGAGGAAAAGAATGGCCCATCGGAAGATGTGTATGGGCCACACATGGAGTATGGAACGAAGAGAGTGGAGAGTTGTTACAGCCAGCCTACTTTACCTCATTCGAAGGGAAGCCGGTAGACTTTGTTAGGGACTTTTGGCTACCACACTGGAGGGCTTATAAGGCAACAATCAGGGCCGTGCATCCTGAAGCAATCATGTTCATTCAAACGCCCGTCTTTGAGCCCCCACCAAGTGAGATGAACGAGACAGATCTAGAGGGAAGATGTTGTAATTCCGCTCACTTTTATGATGGCTTGACCCTGATCACCAAACATTGGAATTGGTTCAATGCGGACGCCGTCGGACTTTTGCGGGGAAAGTACTCCTCTATAGCCTTTGCGATCAGAGTTGGATTTCCTGCTATTCGTAAAGCGATTCAAGATCAAATCGGCTATTTAAAGGGAGATACGATCGATGTTCTCGGCAAGTACCCGACCGTGATCGGAGAGCTCGGAGTGCCCTTTGACCTGGACCATAAGAAGGCTTATTTCGGGGATAAGCATGGAAAAGGTAAAGGGGACTATCGTAATCAGACAGCCGCACTTGATGGCACTTTGAACGGATGCGATGGTGAGAACGTCGTCAATTATGGTTTATGGAATTATTGTCCCGACAACAATCATAAATGGGGTGATGATTGGAATGGAGAAGATTTGAGTGTTTGGAGTAGGGACGATGTTGAAATGCATGGCGTTGATCCACGAAAAGCAGCGCCTCTTTTGTCCACCATTGCAACCCAGAATACGGGCGTAGATAGCGCTCGTAGCTCACGAAGTGCATCTATACTAAATGGAGACGGAACTTCCAGTTCCAGCAAACCACAAACGCCAATGAACTGGCTAGCAATCTTGGCCGGAACAAGGGCAGCGCCTGCTGTTTGTAGACCTTTCCCAACAGCAACGGTAGGATCTCCAGCCAAGATTCAATTTGACGTTGAGTCTTCCAAATTTGTACTAGAAGTTCTTGTCACACCGCAAGATGTTCAACAGGCAGCGGAAGATGGCATCGGAACCGATATCTTCTTGCCTCTATTGCATTATGCTCCGGAACATTTGGCAATTCATTCTGAGCAATTGAGTAGCTTGGATTTGAGGCAGAACTCTATCAGCGCTTCAAAGCTTGAATCAAGCATGAATGCAAGTACGCAAGCGCTTTTGTCTTCCTCTGCAGCAACGCTCACGGGAAGCGGAACGATCAGCAAAGATGATAATGCTGGACAAATTGACGTTGATGTCGATGTAGAGGCTAGTGCGGGTCAGTGGAGCGTTCATGGTCAAATCTTAACATGGACTTTGGGCGAAAGTGACGTCCAAAAGGTTTCAGCAACTGAGGAATTCCGTCATACCATCACCATCAAGCGAAGAAAAGGTCCTTTAAAATTGCAACAACACCCAACGACATTTGAGACTCTATTTAAAGATCTTAACGAGCTTATTTCCGGTAAATAACACAGTGAAAACATTTTGTACAGTACACTACATTACGATCCGATAATATACACATTTGGGTTTGCTTCTCTCGATTCTAGTGATCTTCTTCATCCTCACCAGGGCAAAGCGAATCGAGCTCTTCTTCACTTGCATAACGATGTCCACAATAAAGGCAATAGTGGTGAGCACGTTTGAGATGGGAAAGAGTGATTTGCAGTCGAGCCTTTGATGGAAGGAAGCAGAATCGTCGAGCGTCATCTGCACGTTTGACGGCGACTTGCTTTTCCTCGTCTTGCTGCTCGATGGGATCATCGTCTCCGGGGAGGGAAGAGCTTTGCTTCTCTTCGTCTTTCTTGTCTTCTTCCCCATCGAGCCCTTCAAATGCAAAATCAATGAGCTTTGCTACATGAACCGGCAAATCATGTTTTGACTTTTTAAGCGCTTCAGGATTGATCCATAACGGTGAATATGTCATACTGTATGGCGGCAGACTATCCAATTCCTGACAAGTCTTTCGCGCGGTGACCAAGAGAGCTTCGTTATGTCTTCCTTCTTGGGCTGCTCTATTACGAATCCGGAAGTCTTCTTCGATGTTTGAACTTGCATTCTTTTCATGATCAATAGCTCGATCGATATCTTTACTGATAGCAGCAGTGGCTGATTGAACTCGTGGTGCAATACCAATGCCTGATCGTTTGTTACGTGGATCGAGCCATCGTTCATCAATATTCAGTGGGTCTATAAGTGGCTTCGAAGTAGGAATTGCAGGTTCTTCCTCGGAATCGTCTTCGAGGTCCGAAATATGAGCTTGTGGGGAAGGTCTACCAAGTGCTTCGCCCGGCTTGAAGCCCATAGCTAGCATCGTACGCATTGCTTTACTCCCTTTCTGCTCCTTTTCAGCGTTTTCTGTATCTGTAGTATCAGACTCCTTCCTTTTGTTGGATGTCGAAGCAGTTTCTTCTTCCTCGTCGAACTCGCCAAATAGATTCTTGGCCAGGCCCTTCTGTCTTGCTTCTCTCTCTCGTTGCGCTCTAGGCAAGATCTTGCCACGATCGTAATCATCATTCAGCTTTCTCCGCCTTTGCTCTGTATACCCTTCATTCCTGCTGCTTTTATCACCATCTCTTACGCCAATCCGATCAACCTTTGCAGCCTCGATGATATATTTGTCCGACATGAAATCTTCTTCATCTTCACTAGCCTCCTGTGTCGACTGAGATTGATCACCAGCATCCTTCATTCTGCCTTTGATCTGCAAGAATAGAAGGTATCGAGAGCATACAGGCGGTCGTTCGGAGAAAGATTGAATATTCCAACGTTTTGTGGAGAAATCTCGAGATCAACACTTTTACAACACACGCGTAGCGTCGGTGCTATGTCATTCCTCATGCGAAACACCATCAAGACAAACACAGGCTATGCAAATCTCTTATTATTTCATGTCATTTCCTAGCATTTATGAGCAGTATACAGTGATGATCAGTGTTCTTAAACAGCAACCAACTTCTCTTCGATGAACGTCTTGCATTGATCTTCAAAAGAGCAGAACAATTCCAAGGCATCAAACAATCTTTGTTTGGTAACGGGATCTGCCTCATTTGCAGCATCGAGGGCAGCCCCATTGTTCGTCAAATAGTCCGTCTTGTACGTTGGCAAATCTGCTTTAGTGAAAGAAGTTGATCCTGTCAATGGATCATTATTCAGTAAAACTTCCACTTCTTTTGAAATATCAGCTTTAGGATCACGTTGAAGAGCAGAAGATGAAATCGTGATTAATTCATCCAAAGTTGGTGGTAAAGCAGTAACATTTTCACTTCCCAACATTGCACATGCCATTGCTTCTTGCCAAACAACAAAGCTTGCAGGTTTCATTTGAGGTTGTTTTTTGCCGTTTTGTTCACGTTCAATGTTATAAACATGACGAATTTGAGCAATTCTGTTGGACATTGGATGTTGGGTTAAGAAATCTTCCACGTTTATGCGTAAAGATGGATCACCGTGTGCTTTGATTTCGTTGTAGTATGGACTTATTGCATAACAATTTGCCTGACTGGCAGCAACTGCTTGCGTAACACTAAACATTGCTGTTCCTAATGTTGCAATCCCTTCAGTTTCTAGTTGTTTTGCCGCATTCATAGCCGGACCTGTGGTTGGAATTTTGATTGCATAACGATCTTTACTGATCCCAACATGTTCGAATGCTTTTGCATATTCTCTCGCCCATGAAAGTGTATCTTCATAATCGTATGCACCTCTTGGACTGACTTGAACCAAGACTCTACCACGAATGAAAGGTAAAGTACGTTTACAGAACAAAGCTGCAATTCTGCAAAATACGACTTTCCATCCTTGTTTACCTAATTCTGCAATGACGCCATCTACAATATCTTTATTTGCCTCATCGCATAACATGGCTGCCATTAAGAACTGATTGGATGTCATATCACATGGTTTTCCATTGATACGATTGGCATATGAGCTATCCATCGTATCGATATCAATCTCGCAAATGGACGAAAGTGCATCTGCTAATGTCGAACCATTTCCTGATTTTGTCACTGGGACAGGTTCAGTATCCTGACTGGTCTGATTAATCGTGCCTGGTGCCATTTTGGATGAAGAGCGAGTGCTATGATGGAGAAGAAGACAAATGCTTTTGAGAAGCTCCTAGCCAGGTATAAACTTTACCATTTCGGACCTCCGAATCTCTTTCTCCTTTCCCCCACAACAACAAAATAAGGTAATGATTTCGGCTAATTCTCGGTCAAGTGCAGGATAATGGCGTTGAGTGATGCATTGTACCTTATGCCACTCTCTCGATTCTGCTCTTTCTCTCTTCCTCCTCAGCCTAATTACGACTTCGGGCCGTTGAAGAGGCTTTCTTGGATGCATACTCTGTTGCGTTCCCCCCACGTTTACACACCGCATAAACTCAAACGCGAACGATTTACCGGTCACCGGTTTGACGAGTCAGGCGTCGGTGCCGATTGATTGAACTGTACTGTACATAAGCAAGTACCTTGGATACTCATTCCTGCGGCCCTGGAGAAGGCAAATCGATCAATTCTCTAAAGTGTATGAGGCTGATCGGATGCTGTAGTACGTTGTGATTGGCTAGGAAGCATACTCTACATTCTTTATCTTATCTTATCATTCTCAGATCAGATCAAGCCCAAAAAGTCTTCTTTCTTAACCTCTTCTTCCTGACAAATATTCGTCTATTAAAAAAAGATGCATAAACAGTATGCGTACAAATGTATGATGCAAATTGCGTTAAGAGAGATGTATGAAGATGATTTCCAAATGTGCAAAATATCGAGCATCTGATATTACCGAGCGTTCATAACTTCATCAATTGGCTTTCCTGTCCTTTCAGCAATCTTGGCTGCGATCGTTTCGATCAAAGTCCACGTCAATCCATGCGAAATGAAACTTCTCAATGCACTAACGCCCAAACCTCGATATAGCCGCAAGAACCTTCGCAAGAATGTATCCCGCTGTGTTGGATTTGGCGGTGGTCTTTCACGCATTAGATGTGTAAACAGTTGCATGCCCGTTAGCTGTTGTGGATGTCCAGAAAGCGTTCTTTGTTGAACATTGGTTTTGAGTAAATCTATCGGATAAACGAAAAGCCAAGACGCTATTCCAGCTGTCGAACCTGTAAGGAATGAAACGACCGGCAGTGGTAGCCCAAACAAACCTTCCTTCTCACTCGGTGAATTGCGCTTGACGACCGATCGCAAAGAATCGTAGAAACCGAAATAGAATGCCGTTCCTAGCGTATCACGACAAAGATGAAGCGGGAAACCGATATAGAATCCTTTGATTTTTCCATGATATTTCCATATATCACCTGCGGCCGCGAAACCTGACTTGGGCATAAACCTTCCTTTTGATTGTGAGACTATTCCTTTCTGTACAGCCGTCAGATATTCTAGCTGTCGTACCACTTTGACCAACTCAAAAGGAGCTGAACCACAACTGATAATCACACCACTTGTAGCACCTCCTGCTAATCCACTCAAGGCTGTATTTGATAATTTTGAAGGATCATTCAGAAACCCGTTCTTATGTAGCCAACTCTTTGTATTGACGTAAATTGCAAACGAGCTAGTCCTAACGAATGAAATCGTGATCAAGGGTATCGTAACACCTCTAAAGAAACCTGCAAGTCCTTCTTCTTTTATTACCGCTTTTCCACATGCCCAAACGCTTGGATAATGTTTTACCTGTAATCTGGATTTTAAACTGTCAAAAGGAAAGGAAGCCATTGTGGAAACCAAAGAAGCCGTTCCTGCTGTTACGATCGTTCTATAAGACCATAACAATTCATCAACTTCTCCTTTTGTCCATTTTGAATATTCGTACCATCCATGATCTATCTGTAATCCGGGTCTAGGTAGTGGAGTACCTTCGTTTGAACGAAGTATGGATGGCAGTCCCCATTCTGCTTGTGGTTTCCCTATAGATTCTAGAGAGGAAGCTTTCTGCCGTATTCCATCTCTAACGCCAAGCATTCGATCTGAAATATACGATGTTCCTGCTTGGGTTAGTGGAGATAAAGATGAAATACTTGTCGTCGAAGGAGCATACCCCGAAGAAGTGGAAGTTGAAGGGGTGGAAGAACTGCTCCCAGGACGAAGAGCGTCCATCGTCCTGTTCGAGGTATGACTTTTAGGGGCAGACCAGATAGAGCTTTAAATTCCAACTCCTATTCGATCAGTCGGCCTTTGAGTGATGATTGTTCACCTGCGTAGGTGTTAATTTGGTTCCGATTTTATTGCCGGGATGATGACGGGCGTGCCGAATTTAATTCGTGCTTGATTTGTTCTAGGTTATGGTGTATGTTTGATATACCTTTCCCATAATCTGTTTGCTGTTGTGCTATTCAGAGTCTTGATGGTAATGAAGATGAGTTAATTCCCGGTTGATGAATTCCCTGGCCGATCTGAACATCTGTACTACAGTATATATGCTGTCTCTTGTCTTGGTTTATACTGCTTGAAAGCCACCGCTGAAACGTTTGTCTAACTTTACGCCTGTGCGTATGTAAGAAAAGAGAAAAAAAAAAGAGAGGAAAATACAGGCTAGCGTGGTAGAACAGTGTTCGGACTATGGCGGATGTTTCTTAGGCAGATTTGTTTGCTGCTAGTAGCCGGACAGGGTAAAGGGCCACAGAGGCTTTCAAATCTTTCTAAGCGATTGTATGCATGATTTTCTTCTTGACTAAAGGGAAAAAAAAAAAAAAAACTCCACTACTGTTTATTGCCCAACAGTTTGTGATTGTTTAGCTGACTATGCATGCAGGCAAACCCTAACATATCCGACACAATTCCAACCTTCCTTCTCTTCATTTAACGCCTAGTGTGACAATTATATTCTAGATTGCCATCAATCACGATTCACACCTCAAAGCTATGAAGGTCGTATGGCAATGATGCAAAGATGTCTAAATCGATCGTCAGGGCATTTCGATCGGGTTTATCGGTGACCCGATCATCTCACTTGGTGGGATGTAGGAGAGCGATACACACTCCAAAAAAGATACACACGAGTACAATTGGAGTTGACAATGAAGCACGAATGAATCATGTGCTATCAGCATATCCTACATTCAATCTCAACCCAGAAGAAAATCTAGCAAATGACAGACCTCTAGGACCTCGTAAGGGCGATGAAGCTATCCTTACCTTGTCAGGCGGCGTGGATTCTTCTATGGCAGCCTATCTTGCATTGACAAAAGGAGGCTTGATTCCCCATAGGACAATCTTTATGCGTAATTGGAACTCTCTAGACGAAGCCGAAAGCTTCGAGCCAGGCGCAGGAGGAGCAGAAGGATGTCAATGGTTACGTGATTGGCATCGTGTAGAAGCGATGGCAAAGTGGTTGGATGTCAAGCCAGAGTTAGTGGATCTTTCTATTCCATACTGGAATTCCGTTTTTGCTCCAGCTTTGGATGAATGGCAAACCGGTAAAACGCCAAATCCGGACATTGCCTGCAATCGGGAAATCAAGTTTGGTGAACTTTTACGACAAATTGATGCCGAAGAGCAGAATGACACCTCTTTCGGAAGGTATAAACCACGGAGATGGCTCGTCACTGGTCATTACGCTCACGTCGGCTACTACTACCCTCAGCAAGATTCATTGCTCCATGCCAGATTGCTCCGTGCAAAAGATTCAAACAAAGATCAATCATATTTCTTGAGCGGTGTTTCATCCGTACATCTTGGCAGGTCACACTTCCCTTTGGCCAATGTTGAAAAGGATCATGTTCGAGCTGCAGCAAGGGCACTGGGTATGCCAACAGCCGAAAGTGAAGAAAGTATGGGTCTATGCTTTGTCGGGAAACGAAACAAGCGTCAAGAAGATCAACCGAAGTCACTCACTCGCAAGGAGAGAGGCTCTGCAGCAACACAACTTGGCTTTGCCGGCTTTTTGGGAGATTATATAGATCGAAAACCTGGTCCGATCTTGACCTTGGAAGGCAATCAGGTTGGCACTCACTTTGGTCTACATACGCTCACTGTTGGCCAAGGTGCAAGGGTAGGCGGAGCACAACAAAAATACTTTGTTGCTGCAAAAGATGCCAAAAGCAATGCTGTGATTGTTGTACCCGGTACTGATCATGCAATGCTACAATGTACCTGGCTGGACATAGATGAATTTTCTGTGATTTCTCCTGCAACATACAACTCTAATGGTACCCTATACGCTCAAATTCGACACCGTCAAGATCCTGTTGCCTGTCACATTGAGAAATGCGGGGACTGCACTCGTGTTCACTTTGAGCAGCCCATTTCGAGTGTAGCTGAAGGTCAAGTTTGTGCTCTTTATGATGCCAGTAACACTGAATGTTTGGGAAGTGGTGTGATCACCGCCGTTCAAACCCTTGCTTCTTCGGAGATGCAGTGATGAGCTTTTGTCTGTTTATTCCTGCTGTATACTATCTTTTTGTATTATGTTTCGATAATTCTATTAATGATTTCATCCAAACGATACCCATTCCATCAAGACGATTATGAGGATTGTTTGACTGATAGAATCTTCTTAACGCGGCGCCGGCACACGCATACAATGACGCGAAGGAGTACTAGGCTGATAACCGGCCGCATAAATGCATGCGTCAATGGGGAAGATTAACTCTTTAAACCATCACATTCACATTCGATAATTCTTTATGCGGATATAGCACAGACTTTATAAGTTGAGAAGATGGCGACTTCAGTCGTTGCAGGAACGCCGATTGGAGGAACAGGGGTGGGAACATTGCCAGGCACGGAATCACCAGCGGAATATCGTTATTTGTACCTACAGGAAATAGCACAAATGGTAAGTATTTGCGGAGAAGGGATGCACATAAAGAACAACAGATCACTGACAGCTTCTCCAATTCGCATCAATAAAGATGTTTGTGTTTGGTGATATTGTCGATCCACATCCTGATGTGCTCAAATTGGTAGAAGATATCGTACGCAATCAAGTGATCGAAATGTTACTGCAATCAAGGGCATTGGCAACCCGAAGATCATCACGTTATCTTTCTCCAGAAGACTTGCTATTTTTGATCAGATATGATCGTGCAAAAGTGAACAGGTTGCGAACTTACCTAAGCTGGAAAGACGTTCGAAAGAATGCAAAAGATAGTGGTGATGCAGGAGGAGCGGGAGCGGATGTTGGAGATGGAGCGGGTGGTGACGATGGCGGAGGGATGGATAATCCGATCAGATCAAGAAAGATGAAAATACGGCTACCATGGGAAATCTCTACCGTCTTTAGTGAATATTTGCACTCCGGTATCGCAGCAACGGCAGCTGCCGCACAAGGTGAAGATTACGAAGAAGAAGATGAGGATGACATTGAAGCACATCAAGATAGTCTTCAAAGGCTAAAAGCGGCAGACGAAGCAACTCGTAAGATGACAAGGGATGAGTATGTTCACTACTCTGAATGCCGTCAAGCAAGTTTCACATTTAGGAAATCAAAGAAGTTTCGAGAATTTATCAATGCGGGCGCTTACTTGGACGTTAAACCGAACGATGATATTATCGACGTTCTGGGTTTCTTATCGTTTGAAGTCGTGCGGGAACTATGTGTCGGAGCGGTTGCTATCAAAGAATCTTTCGAGGAAGATGCAAAGAAGTTTAAACGATTGAATGATGGCAGTCGATCCCGCAAAGATATGATCGAAAGCGGACAAGGGATACCCGGAAAACAGAGGGACCAACAGGATGATGGGGATGTTGATGGGCCAGCGACAAATGGTACGATCACAGTAGAACGAAATGGATCCACCAGCACAACGTCATCTCCGGAGAAGAAACGCAAAGAACTTTCAGATTCCGCAACCACCAGTTCTGCAAACAGTTCACCGACTAAAAAGCAAAAACAAACTGAAAAGAGCGAAGAGGAGATCTCAAGTGAAACACCATGTGGATTGTTCACAATGCCTCCTGCTAAATCTAGCCCACTGATGACAAGTCATGTTCGTGAAGCGTTCGCTAGACTGCAAAGGGATCGATCAAGCTTGTCGATTGGATCAGGTGGAATGGCAGGCGGCTTGAAACGAACGCGAGTGTTTGTGATCTGATTAGCAGCTTTGTACCTCTTCTTCCTGGTTCTGGACACTTTCTACTGTATTTCTATCCACATACAAAACATACTATATCCGTTACTTATCTCGAAAACATGATGATATTAGCAAGAAAAAATGTGTGAACAAGCAACGAAGCAAGGGAATCTTTGAATGAGTGTGACAAATCTGCGAGCAACAAAAGGGTACTACAGCAAGAAGAGAGCAATTTAAAAAAATGAGAGTGATAGTGTGTTAAAAATAAATTTTGTGCTTTTCCTCCTTCCAACGTCTATCTGGAGATCTCTGCAGAATCAGTAGTCGTTTCCTCTAACTCTTCCTCCTCTTCCACCATTGATGACAATCTACGTCCTGCATTTGAAGGAGCGGTTTGCGGCGGTTTACGCAGCAATCGACTGATTGGGATCTTGCGTGCGCTTGCACTACTAGGTGATACTCTCACGAAACCTCCGCTTGATTGTGAAGAATCATCGGTTGAACTACTTGTGCTTTCGTCCCCGTCAACTTGAGCTGGAGCAGTTGAGGGTCTACTCGTTACCCTCTTGACAACGTACTTTCCTGGGGAAGAAATCTTTTTCGCATTTTGTGCAATCATACCACCAAATAAGGCCAACGATGGAGGAACGGCGTTCGAGGTCATCTCTTCCTCTTCTCCTTCGTCTTCATCAAGATCTCCATCTATATCGTTTTCCTCCCAATCTTCATCTCCTTCTTCCTCAATGGTTCCATGATAATGTTGTGAAGGGCCATTGTAAGATTGTTGATGCTGATAAGAGGACGATTTCGGATTAGCAGGAATAATGTTTTGACGTGCTTGCAACGGTCCCCAGTCACCACCGTAATCCTCATCATCATCTTCGTCATAGTCGACGGAAGATGAAGTACCTCCTAAAGACATTGGCGTTTTGGGAGACTTCGTTCCAGGATTATCGTGCGAATCTTGCATGCTTTCTGCGCGATTGAAACCATCATTGGATTCCAAATCTTCCAAGAAAGATGATCCAACGTTTGTCTTTAACGTTTTGATCACTTCCCGTGGCATTGCGTTAGCAGCTGCTGCTGTTGCAGCCGCACGACGACTATCAGGATTGGAGGATGTAGATGAAGTGGATTCATTGCGTTCGTGTCCGTTGACTTTTCCGTTTGCGTTTCCATTTCTGGTAGAATTGAAAAGTGCACCTGCGAAAAGAGGGTTTCCAGCTGGCAAACCTGAATACTGAATCGGGACAGACTGCGATTGTGGTTGTGGCTGTTGCTCTTGTTGGAAAGTACGTGTTTGTGAGGCAGATCGATTGACTGACGTTGAAGATCCATTAAGAGAAGGCAGTCCAGCAAATAGAGCAGGACTGGCACCTGGCAAACCAGAAATAGAACGAGTCGGAGAAGTGGGCATCGACGAATTGTTCAATCCAGTCAAATCACTGCTTGATTCATTGCCATACGTAAGGGTCGTCTTTGCAGTAGTTGGAGTGGGTGGAACAGAGCCAGTCTTATATGCCTCTTCGGCTGCCAAGACTGCTGCAAATGCTGGTGTAGGTGCAGGCATAGGTGCACGATTTGGCATTGGAGGAGCTTGTCTTGGATATGAATCAGATGTTATGCTGGCTGCACTGCTGAAACGAGGAGACTTTGGCGGTACTGGCGGTGGAGCATCGAATGATTGACGACCACTTGCAGGACGAGAACCAGAAACACCATTGGTTGCATCATCAGCATACAAGGAGATGATCCTGCCTTTGGGTGTCTTATCACCCACGTCAGCATTACGTGATGTAGTAGTTGCCGCATCCATTGAAGTTTTTGGCTTATCTTGGGTATCATCGGGGAATAATCCAACTGTAGCAGGACCTTCTAAGTGGGCACGAGATAGACGTTTATAATCTGTATCCTCTCCAAATGTTGCTGATAAAGGTGTGCTGGATTGAGTACCATCGTTTTGGAAGCTGAACCTTGGGGATGCTTTGATCGGATTAACATTGATAGAACTTTGTTCGTCCATACTTTGCGAATATCCGTGATTCTGTCCAGCACTGCGTGGTTTACCCAGAATTCTTCTCTCAAACAAGGAAAGTGGAACACCATGTGGGGTACCTCTAAAGACAGGATCAGTGTTCGAAGTTGGTGTTGTTGCAGATGAGGCAAGAGAAGCGCTAGATGCAGAAGTAAGTGGATTTCCAGCGCGTTGTTGACGCAATGATGATCTTGACGATTCCAAATCTTTTGCAATAGCCGCATAATCTGTGGCTGGAATGGCGGGAGATGTACTGGCGTCTGATCGGTTTCGTAAATGCGGTGGCCTCGTTGGTGTTGTGAGAGCAGTAGTACCATTCTCGTGTAAGTTTGGCGAGCTGAATGTTCTGCTCATGATCTCTTTCAGATCATCTTCTCCAAGCTTGTCGTTATGCGCATAGCCAGTATTGGCTCTAGCATTACGACCCAGCGAAACAGTGCTTCCAGCATAGGAAAGCCCATTTAACTCCAAATTGGTGTCTTGCGAGGGATTCATCAACCTTTGACGAAGATTTGCGGCTTCGTAGGCATCTGCTGAACTTGTTCGAGGCAATGGAGGTGCATCCTTCTTGATGTTGGAGGAGCTTGTGCTTCTCAGCAGACGACCAGAATTAATGTCAGAGGCAACGGAAGATGCAGCTTGCTTCGCTTTTCCAGCTGCCAGTACAGTTGCACCTGCAGTGACTGAAAATCCGGTCTGCAAGCCATCGATGAATTTTCTGCGAGTACGATCTGTAAACTTTTCATTCTGATGGACATCTTCATCCCATTCGGCTTCGATGTCTTTACTTGCATCTCCGCCATGACTTGAACGGGCAATACCGTTACCGTCAATGTGAACGTATTCATCCGTGCTTACAGTAGAGATACCTTGACCTTCAATCATGCTCTTACCAGTATCTGCTGTGCTAGGGCGCAAGAATCGTTTGCTTAGAGAGGGTGGCATGCTACGATTACCGAATTGTGTTCTTTGAGTTGAGCCTTCGCCTGAAGCGGCTTCTTCTGCTGCTTGTCTACTCTTCATCATCAAAGTGTCTTTTGGTGTGATTGGTTTGCGGGCTCTACGAGCCAAACGCTTTGCCATTCTTTTTGCAGTGATACGATCGGCAGATCGTGTGCTTCCGGCTTTTCTAGGTCCTGTATCACGCTCTGCCAAGACATCTTTCGGCGTGCGTAACGAGAGATCACATCCTGCTTGCACAAGAATGCGTGGTAAATCCAAATGTCCTCGCGTAGTAACCATTCGATGAGTGAATGAACATTGGAGACCTGGACCAAGAATGAATTCTCCTCCCAACAACTTTACATCGCCTGGCATACGAATTGGCATATCGACAACGCCCTTTTTAATGGCAACCATACTTGCTTTGAATGTTCCCATCGTTTGGTAGTCCGGTCTAGAACATGCGGGACCTGCATCATTGGTTCGAAGAGTCATTCCCAAAGCGGAATAAATCTTTCTGGTAGGATCAGAGAATACTTGTACGAATTGCGGAATTTTCATCACTTCTTTGTAACTCTTTGTGACATGCCAATGTCCTTGTCCGACGACAATCAAACCCAAATTTGCACGTTGTAATGGTAGAGGATCCACTTTTTGAATTGATTGAGCAAACATTTGACAGAATGGGCAGAACCAATGACGAAGGAAGATGACCAAAGTTCTCTGTTTTTCGAACAAGCGTCCAAATCGGACCAATTCTCCATCTTCATTGTATAGACTCAAACTTGCTGCTTCTGCCAATCGACGGTGTGATGGAGGATGAATGGCGTAGGAGCCTGGTGGAGGAACGTCATCCAACTCGTCTGCATCATAAATCATTGGTTCAGCATCAGCAGCAACAGGATTCTTCATCCCTCCTTCTAAGACAACCATGCCATCATGACTAGTCGCATGTGAGTCTTGCGTAGTAGCCGTTGTAGCAAGTGTATCGCTTCTTGCACGTAATGAATGTGCACTTGAGAACTTTTTCAGATCTTCATCCAAAGTGAACATTTGACCATCGATCATCAATGTGGCACGATTACGAGATGAGAGGGCTTTTGCTGCTCCGTTCGGTAGAGCAGGAGCCGTTTTGGGCCTTTCACGATTTTGACCGCTTTTGACATGCCGGCCCTTTTCACCACGTACCGTGACCGTATTCGATCTCCTTCGGCCTTGAACACCCGCAACGAATACTTCATCGTGCATTTGATCAAGTTCACGTTGAGGGATATCAGAGCTGCTCATTCGGCGTTTGGGCAATTTTCTCTTGATGGACTTCTTTCCTGCACTTGTATTGGAGATATTTGACTTGTTGCGAGAATGAGTTTTAATTGTGGAAGCATTCGATGCATTACTTGCAGTTCTTCGCATTGCATTATCGTAAGAAGAAGGTTCCGAGATGACAACGCTGGAAGCCGGTTTAGAATGTGACGGGCCGGCGATCGCACTCCGCAAAGAAGGGTTGGACGTTGTACTTTTGCTTCCCAGACGCTTTTTCCCTGGACCGCCAATCGGTAGCATATAACGTACCTGTGCTGGCGATTCTGGCGTAGGCGCTTCGGACCGGATTTGTTCGACATCATCATCGGGTTTAGTCTGCTCTAGGCTTGAATCCACGCTTTCTTCGATTTGTTTGCCTTTTCCTTTGTCTTGCTTTGGCTGACTGTCAGCGTGATCAATTTGGTCTTCATCTTCGTTTGAGCGGGGTATTTCCTCTGAGACGGTTTCCGCTTCCGTCTCGGGTTTGTCTTGATGAATGCCCTTCAGCAACGGATTCGCTTGCTCGATCGGCGGGGCAGCTGAAGGTGGTGAGTCTTCTCCGTCATTCTGCTCTTGCTCGATTGCTTGACTTGGGAATGATTCTCCACCCTTGTCAGCTTCGATTTGGTCGGATTGAGGATGGCTGTCAGCAGCTGAAGGTGGTGAGCCTTTTCCGTCATTCTGCTCCTCGTCCTTTGCATGACTTGGGGATGATTCTCCACCCTTGTCAGCTTCGATGTGATCGGATTGAGGGTGACTGTCATGCTCGACTGACTGTCCAATTTGCTGTGAGCTATAATCCTTGCCATTTGATTCGAGATGCTCTGAATCGTGATCAGACATGATGTAATGCAGCCTTGATGGCTTGTTTGATGTGATAATACGGAATACAAGGTTGCATCGATCAATTAAGGTTTGCTCATTTGTGTTTTGTCAGGTTGCTCTTTGTGATGGTGGGAGGGAAGTTGAAGTGGTTGAATTGGGAATATAGGTTTATGACACTGGCCCAGGAACGAATGCAAAGAAAGGGGAGTGAGGTTATAATGAAAGATGGTCTTGCGTAAATGAAGAAGAGAGCATATTGCTACCGTGCATGAATGAGTAGTTAACTGTATTCAGTCAGATTCACACCTTTTACCCACGGATTACGCTCTCTTCTTGTTCTGCTGCTGCATTTGTTAAAAATTCCCACTCCGACTTTAAAATAAAAAGGGCGGCGTTTCAATCAAAAGTGGAACAGAGTGATCTTATGCTTTTTGCTCTGAAACAGGAAAGTTGAGATCCGTGTACAAATGCACTGCGCAGCGAGCGCTACGCCGTCCGAAAAAAAAAACACAAAGACGCAGTCAAGCTGTCTTCATTTTGCTACAACAGTACGACCCGCGTGCGCTATGCTGCATCACATTTGTGTGCTCTTATACAAACAAAAGAAAAGATTGGGCGTAATGACGTGCATCCAAGCGCATAAATAGCATCCAGATCAGTCAATCAAATAACCGCAATTGGATTGGACTCTTGAAAGAGGATCCGCAATTCAAAAGAAGATCATATGCCGCATGACCTGATAAGCATTACCATGTGAACTCATCATAATACAGTATGGTTCTGGTCCCTGATTTTATCCTTTAGCGTAGGTAAGGCGATGCGGTGCTTTGTGCCTGTAAGAGACTAAGTGTTGGTCTTGAATGCAGTGCTTGACGCTAATAAACAAAAAGATGAGCTACTCTCGGGTATTTTTTCTCACTTGTCTTCCGAGAAAACACAAAGTGTGACTTCAGAGCCATTTTGCCATTATGATTCTAGGTGTATGCTCATATCCTATATGTTGATAAAAGTTCATCACCTCTTCGTTTGATTGACGGATCATCAATTGTACTTTTGCAATTCCGCATTTACGTAACCATTCTTCACCTGCATTTACCATCATTTTACCAATCCCACTTCCACGTAAAGAGGGAGATGAAGCAACGTAATACAACCATCCTCGATGACCATCATGACCGCACATAACCGTTCCGCATATAGTGTCACGTTGAAGCGCCACTAGAATATCGGAATTTGATTTGTTCAGTGCAAATTGAAAATCCTTGCTTGGATCGTTGTAAGATGTTGTTAGATTGCAATCATGCCATAAGGAAATGACTCCTTTTTCATCTTGCGGTCTAGCAGATCGAACCGTGATCTCTTGCTGTGCTATCAGGCTCATTTTTCTGGACAGGTGTACTATTTGGGAGTATGCTTGGGCTCTACTACATAGAGGGAGCAGCACGGGAGATTTGAGCATCATGGTTTTAATTCAAGTTAATCTTGGTTGCATCTCTAGCTTTTTGTCGACACATTCCATCACGCGCTAGCGCTATCCAAGAATGACAATGACTCGATCGCATATCATTCAAGACAATATCATGCAATGAGGCAATTCTATTCACAGAAAGTATCAATCTATACATGCACATCTCAAGAAGATTGTTGCTTAGGTGCTGATGACCCTCTTCCTGCTCGTTCCTGTGATTCATCTTCTAATCGATAGGCTGGCAACCATCGATGTTTATGTCGATCTTGTTCATCAATTGGCTCTCCTTTGCGTGTGTCCAGGATTGGGTTGGGAAATGTGTTGTACGTACTTCCTAAACTTGTATATCCTTCATCGTACAAACTACAATATGGCACTCCATACGTTTGTCCCCATTGCTGTTGCTTTTCATCACAAACTTCATCTTGTTTCACAGCAAATAATGGACACCGCAAAAATTCCCATACATCTTGATAGGTCCAATCCAATATTGGCTGTATCCGTTCCACATCTGGCCATCCTGGATCAGTTTGTTTGCGTGGTGTTAGATCAGCTCCATGTGGATCTGTTCTTCGGGTTCCTACAAAGATTGCTTTCACGTCTCGATGAGGGTGATGCCCGTTTTGCTGTTGTGATGCGGTATTGGCGGTAGTGGACCTCGTACCTGCTGCTGAGCCTTCCTCATCTCCTTGTCCGTTAAGGTACAATTCCAATGCTTCTTTCATGCTTCCCTTTTGCCGAACAAGCAAGAGATTGTATCTTCGTATCGATTCTGCAACGAAGTCTTCCACTTCCTGGAATGGCGAGGTACAGGTTATATATAGCGATGGTATGCATTCCAGCATGTTATCCTCTGTGATGCTGTTTGTAGTCCTCCTCTTCTTCCTTCGTAAGACGGCTGCCAATATGTGTACCAATACAGTACAATCTTTCCCTCCATTAAAGCTCAAAGTGCTATGATTGATGCCTAGTTCATCAATCACTTCTTCACATAATTTCACTGCATCTTTCACCTTTGTTGCCAAATCACCATACTGTTTACGATTTTGTTCCTCTTCGAATAAAGCGTACGTGTTATCAATCGCTCTCAACCAACTTTGCGGAGCAGGCTGTGAGGGACCTGCAGCCTGTGCGTCCATGATGGAGGGTGAATAGTTGCTGGTGATGGTGATGGAAAGCAAAGACGGAGCTGATGACGATCTTCCAAATGAGCAAGAGGTGGAGCGTGCATTGATTATTTTGCTTACAAACCAGAGCTTTCCTTCTCCCAAACGTGTTACAGGCTTGCAAGCGTGCGTTGCAATAGGCCGAAAGCCCCGTTTGGCTTAGCCTTAGATCCGGCCTTTTAGCAAAACAGATCCCCGCAACGAGATTAAACTTTAATATAACATCTTCCACCTTTCATTGTTACCCTCAATACCCCTCTTCACCTCTCTCTTCAACATGGGCCGCGATCAAGATCCATTAGGCACAAAGCCAGACGAACAAATCTTGCAGGGCAAGACAGCATCAAAATACACAGATCCATGCAAAAAAGCAGCTGCTTTGAGCATGAAATGTCTAGAGGACAACATGTACGATCGAACAAAGTGTGCTTATGCATTCAATAATTAGTAAGTGTGACAAGAAGGATCGTGGATCCACCAAAAGCTAATGGAACTCTCTACCCTCCTATCAACCACAGCCGGGAATGTAAGAAGCAATGGATTGCAAGCAGGAAACAAGGAGGATTACCACCACAAGAGAATGCCTGAGGTAATCTCATTCGATGTTTCAACCAGCCACTGTATTTCTACGCATTCCAGAATGATATTCATGAGAAAAAGGGAGTACGATACAGATATGAGCTCATCATTGGAACTGTTTCAAGCCTTCAGCCAGATGTTCTATCGACTTGCGACAATCTCTTGTCATCTCAGCCACAATCTCGTCAGCATCTTTGATTTCATGTACCAAGCCAACACCCGTTCCAGCCCATGTGACAATTCTACTCGTATCTCCAGACTTTTCGGCTTCTTTATACACCGCTCTTCTTGCATCTCCATCGCCGCCCTTGTTGCTCATATAATCGTTGACTGTATCGTTCACCAATCCTCGACCATCAACACCTTCTGGCCAACCAAGCGTATTGCGTGCTTCATCAAAAGCCATCGTTCGCAATGTTGAAGTAGGACCGGCTTCAATGAGCATCTTCTTTTGCGCATCACTATAAGCTGCTTCCGGTGTCATTAGCATTCTTGTTCCAACGACGACACCATCTGCGCCCATTGCTAAAACACCCGCCATATTTGCACCTGTCATAATACCACCTGCACCCAGGAGTGGTGGAACACTTTGGGAAGGATTGGTGATTTTGTACGTACCAGAATCCAATTTGTTGGCTAGAAGTGGCACGATGGCAGAAAGAGGAGGTGAACTTCCTAAACCATGTCCCCCTGCTTCGTTTCCTTGAATGATTAGCACGTCTGCTCCGCAATCTTCAACGCCACTTCTTGCTTGTTTCTCATTACCGATACCGATGAATAGCTTGACTTGATTTTCAGGTCCATGATCACCATTTAAGAGCGCATCACGTTTTCGCACTACCGAACTCCAACCGATCATTTCTTCTTCATCTCCAAAGCTTAGCCAGATGGCAATTGGGTTTATGCGTAAAGCTGCATCGATCAATTGAATAGCGGGACTATTATCATCTTCTGCTTCTTTCGACGAAGGTTTCTTTCCGTTATTCAACACAGTCAAACGCCAAGTCAAGAATCCGATACCTAGATGAACTCTTGGGTGTTTTTGTTGTGAGGAATCTTGTTGTTGTACACCGAGAATGGCAAGTGCTTTGTTTAATTCATCTTTCATCTTTTCTGCTGTATAATAACCTGCTCCAATGAAACCTAATCCACCTGCTTTTGATACCTTACCGGCCAATGTCCCACCTGCCGCGTTTGCCATCGGACCAAGAAATATACTTGTCCTTAGACCGGGTAGAATGGATTTCAATGGAGTTCTCATTCTAGTTGTTGTCATTTTGTCTTGTTAATATGAGTTGTTTTCTTTACACTTCTTGGTGGTGATCAAGACAAGTGTTACTCCCAGTGGAGGCGGGGTTAGGGTTAGCAGTCGTTAGCGTCTTATATCCGGCCCAACCGAAAACACACACAGGCACAAGCACGCGTAAAAGATGCCGAGTTTATTGCCTTAAAATCCGATCTCATTCTCAGAGTGACAGCATATATCTTTCCAATTCATCTCTTTTTCGTTTATTCTCTCCTTTGTGCAGATCATTTAATGTCTCCCCTTGATGCAAAGTCAATCTGATAACATTCCAAAATGAGATGCAACAGGCACAGAAGAAGAAAGTGGCTGTGAAAAGGCGTAAATTGTCGTAAATATATGCACAACTCCATTCGTCATGCAATGCTTTTTCACAACCAAACATAAGGATACTCGATCTGTGTAAGAAATTTGATGTCAATATTCTCCTTTCATGGAACCGAAAGCGGAAAAATGTTGACGCCATAACAAACAAAATCTCCGCCTAATTTGGCAAATTCTTTTCAGCCCTTCGCCAAACGTAATTTAAAGGTCTTTCATTTCGGCGTACGGAAAGAATTGAATTCGATGTGAAATTCTCTTGACTATAAAATAAGAGATCTAAAATGACTTCTTTTTCAGCCTTTGACAATCAACTACTCCTACCAAACCAACGAAAGTCGATCTTTCTATTATTTTCCAAATCGTTTTTACCCGACATTACCGATTCTGTCAGATTGCTCACCTGAGATGGGAAAAATTTCTTGATTATTTTAACATCAAGTGCGAAAAAAAAACGACAATACTAAATTTTTCAGTCTTTCCAGCATCCTGAGAAATGTCTGCCAGGGCACAAGATGCCCAGGCTGAGGAGAGCGGGGCCGGTGAAGAAACAACAAATGTTGCAACTTCCATTGCTGGACATGATCAAATCGCCAGCACAACCGCAACAGAACGACCTAGAAGAGTAGCTCATCGTCATCATCATAGACCCGGTCATGGTGCTTTACATCAGCATTACAAGCATCACCACCATCATCGTTGTTGCGGTCGTCAGGACGAACATTCTTGTCCCGATCAAACCGGACGCAGTGCCAATGCTCAAATGCCAAGCGAATCTCAGCCTGCTTCGGCTCCTCATAGCGCCACTTTTGGCTCTTTTGCCCAAAATCAAGGCGGCGGCGGAACAAATCGATCTGGCAATGACGGCGCAGGCGTTGTTGACGTTGGCGTACATGGAATGACGAATAGAGAAGGAGAAAGAGGCGGAGGCGTAAACGAATTCGTTTTTAATCCGCCTCATACCGCGCCTTTACGCATGATGAGTGATCCCGAACAACATTCTCGCCATTTGCCAACTTCGCCACAAGAACAAAGACAAATATTAAAGACGAGTAGTTCTAGAAATTTGCTCGTTTCCGAAGGAAAATTTACTCCCGCTCCAAGTTATCGAAGCAATTCGCTTGATCATCAACGTGATTCAATCTCAACTCATAGCAGCAGTGAAGGATCAGTCTTTTCCTCTGAACGTTCATCGAAGAGAAGTGGTGTCATCCTTAGACGTTCACAATTGTATGGCTCTTTAGCTGGATCAGATCAACTTAGTGAGCCTGTCCCAAAGCGATCTGCAACGTTGGAATCTACTTCATCAACAAGCACATTTGGTACAGGACAACAAGTGTATGACGGTAATGCCTTTGTAGTTCCTACCGATGCTGTTAACGCTCAAAGACAAAAGGCAAGCAAGGTTCACTTTAAAACTTCACGGTCTACAACGATGGATTCAACAAATTCACACAATGCTCACAATCAATTACGTGTACCACCTCAATCAAGTGGTCAAAAGTATGATCGACCAACACGATCACCTTATCGATTGTCAAACCAAAGCGCAGCTCGTTCTAGAACAAGTGACCATACACGCAACTCATGGTTATCATACGAAATGGAATTGCAGTCCCGTGATCGAAGGATTAGCGCAATGGTAGAAGATTGTTTGCCAAACATGATGCAAAGAGGAGAAGGTGAACAAGCCTTACGTAAACGAACAAAAGGACAAAGTGAAGACAAACATAAAGGCAAAGGATTTGTTGATAGTATGCTTGGATTCGATAAAATAACTCCCGCTGACTTGATCTACGGTGAAGGTAGCAAGGTTGATGGAGGATTCGGTTTTGCCATTCCTGAGAGCCTGGCTCGTGAAAGTACAGTTTTGCTTGATAGCAGAAATGACAAATATCGTGCTTCTGCATCTACCAACCGTAGTAGTACACCTCATCGTCAGCCGCCACAACGAAAGGCAACATCAGATTCGTCAAGTTCAAGGTTCAGCGCTGATACTGCTTCGATCATCAGTTCAATCTCTGGCTATGTCATGCGCGGTAATAATGGAAGAGAATCTGGTGATGCTAGACGTGTTCAACATGAGTCCAAAAGCCAAAGGGAACGTGACCCACGACAATCAGGCTCTAGCTTTACAAGTAGTCTGGCAAGCTATATCCGTCGTCCTTCCAGCTTATCAGACCGTGTAAGCGATCAAGACATTCGACCTAGCAAACTTGATCTTAATCGAAACGGTGCTCGTGGCGGCGGCGGCGGTGGCGCTGGTACCAGAAGCGCACCCAAGAATGCGCGCTTTCGTGCTCCTTCAGAGAGTGAATATGGTAGCTCAAACAGTCAAATGCCAAGTTCCGCAAAATGGGAAGATGTTCAATTGGACAGTCATGGTAAAAATGAACGTTTGGCAGCTGCTGTTGGCGCACGCTTACCGCCAAAGCGTCACTATTCCCGTGAAGATAGTTCAAATTCTGAATTAACTGTCATTGAAGAAGAATCTTCTGAAAAAGATGGAAAAACAGGAGAAAGAGGAATTGTTGAAAATCAACTTCCACGTGATACATTTACATCGGGATATGGTACGGAGAAGAATTATCACAATACCTATTTGAGCGGTCTTACCAGCACTGATGACGCTCGCACAACGATGAATTTGCCTCCAGGCTTAAGCCAAGCTGACATTGTTGCAATCTGCTTAGTTCAAGGTATGGTACCACCGGGTCTTCCACCGGATGATACGCTCGTGACTTGGTCTGGTCCAATGTCGCCATCGAACCCGAGAAATTTTTCCACGGCTACAAAATGGTACGCATGCATTCTCGTTTCATGGTCAACATTCTTGGCAAATGCAGCAACAAACATGATTGCTCCTGCCTTGGGATTGATGAGTGTAACATACAAGGAGTTGTACACCATGTGGATTCGAGGATCGTTGATTGGGAGTTACATCTTTGCATTCACCTTTGCGCCGTTGATATTCGGACCAATGAGCGAAATTATGGGAAGAAAGCCAGTATTGATCATTGGAACAGTGGTATTCTTCGTTGCTTGTCTATTGAGTGGCTTTGTTACAGCTGTTTGGCAATTGATGCTTCTTCGTTTCCTTTCCGCATTGGGAGCAAGCGCACCGATGTCAATTGGAGGTGCAGTTCTCACCGATATGTTTGCGCCGGATGAACGAGGAAGGGCAATGACTTTGTTTGCTCTAGCACCACAGCTGGCACCGTCTTTAGGACCAATTATGGGAGGATGGATAGCACAAGAAGCAAAGGAGTGGCGTTGGATCTTTTTCACTGCTGCAATTTGTGGTTTCACAGCTGCCGCTCCAATGTTTTTTGTCAGGGAAACTTACACTCCCGCCATCCTGGCAAGGCGCGCGAAAAAATTACGAAAGGAGACTGGAAATACACAATTGACAACAATTTTCGAGCGTCGTCAAGAGACCAAGAAGCAAATCATCACAAGAGGTGTTGTAAGACCGTTGGTATTGTTCACTTGTGAACCTATAGTGCAGCTTTTGACGCTGTACGTGTCTCTCATTTACGGTATCATTCATTTGATGGTTGCTACCTTTCCTGCAGTGTTTGGAACGATTTATGCTGAATATCCGGGTTGGGCATCAATGCATTTTATCACAATAACAATCGGAACAATCGTAGGTGGATTCCTTGGAGGGTATTTGGTTGAAAAACATTATCACAATCTTTCACTTAACAACCGTGGGATCGCCAAGCCAGAATTCAAGTTTTACTGCATGTTATATACTGTTTGGATTCCACCGTTTGGCTTGATGGTATACGGCCTGATTACATATTACGGCATTCATTGGATCTTTGCCGATATAGGGATTGTGATCTTCTGTGTCGGTATCAGTATAGCCGTGGTTGCCATTCAATCTTACATGGTCGATTGCTATTCGCTTTTGGCCGGTTCAGCCTTGACGGCAACGATCGTGGTCCGCTCAATTTGCGGAACTGGCGCCACCATAGGTTCGGAAGATTTGTTGTTACATGCTGGAATGCTTTGGAGTAATGTAATTTTAAGTGCCGCATGTATCTTCATCGGCGTCCCAGCAGCATATGCTGTTTACTTCTGGGGAGCTTCAATGCGACAAAAGAGTCGTCATGCAACACACAAACGATAGATTCCTTCCTCCTCATTTGTTTCATACTTGTGTATATCTTTTGTACTTATCCTCTTGATGACATCGAATAAAATTTCCCTTTGTTTGTTCGGGTAAATTACGCGATCCAGTAAATTGGGTGAAGCAAGCCACACGGCGTATGAATTACGCGTTTTAAATCTTCTCAACGTTCACGTATGTATTGTTCCTTCGCTGCCTATAGTACAGAAAGTGTTTTACTCCTCCTCACGGTAAATCATACGTACTAGAACCTATAGATCGCCAACAGGGGTATCAAGATAATCGACACGAAAGCCAAAATGAGAATGGGATGATGATGCAAGATTGGAATTTGTAACACAGACTTATGCAATTCAACTTCCACATTCCCATTTCGAAGCTCGTGTCGCCACCATCATAGCTGTTTGTTCTTTGCATCATCTGAATCGGGCGGTGGAACGTCGGGCGTAAGCCATCTGCCGAACAGGCTCAAAAATCGTAGTGGAAATTGACCAATTTCCACTTGGAAGGGTCTGTAAGGCTTTGATTCTCCATCAATGCTGATCAAACCTCCCATCTTTAGTCGTCTGTGACCGGCTTCCAACCTTGGAACAACACGATAAGCCTCACATTTGATGTATACCATCGCGGGATCATATACGACTATACCCGTTTCTGCTGCAGAGATTCCACGTAACTTGGCTGCTCTTCCGCCGTCATGCAATAGCAGAGTAAGATCGATACATCCATCGTGAGAAAGGGCGAAAGGGAATTGCATGAGATCTCTTGCCACGTAGGGAATCTTACCTGCGTACAAGGATGAGATGGGTGCCTGAATTCGGTACCACTGTGATGGATCAAGCGAGGCTGTACCATCAGTACCCAAGACGGATTTCGGCCAACTCGGATCTATCGGTATCAAGGTTGGCAGGTCTTCACCTAATGAATCTAGAACAGAGCCATTATTCAGCAATTGCTGATGCTGTCCAGACTTTTGGTTTTCGGATTCGCGTTCATCAAATGTGGCTTGAACTCTTGCTCTCATCTCCGATTTGTTGATTGTGCCATTGGTACCCAATTTGACGTACACATCCACTTCGCATTCTTTGTTTGACAGCACTTCACCGATGAAACCCAATACGAATCGTGTATCACCAAGCATGCGCAAATGTTCTGTGCCCAAATCGCAATTTGCTAGAACACCAATTGCCTGACTTAGAAAGCTATATCCGACATCATAGGCTGGCGATGCCATGGCTTCGGCCTCTGTGGTGGACCCGTTGGTCGAAGTTGGAATGCTTTCAGAAGTGTTCTTCCTTCTCATCATTGATCGTCTCTTTGCAGCAGCTTTTGCCTTTCGAGCAACATCAGTCGGATCGATTGGCTGTGTAACACAGCAAACATCCACAGGCATGGGCTTGCCCTTGATAGCATTTAGAGATGCAAGTGCCAAGTTAAAACCTTGATCCACACCTAGGAGATTCAATGCAACAGCATTCCCACTGCCTGCAGGGATTGGAACGAGTGGAATCTGTAGAGCGATTTCAGCATCCTTTCTCTTTGCTAGCCCGTTCAAAACTTCATGTAGCATTCCATCTCCGCTCACACAAACAATTGCATCGTACTTTTCATCTAGACTGAACGTTTCCGCAATCTCTTGGCCATGAAAAGCATGCGTTGTGATTGTGGCATCAACCGTACATCCTGCAGCATCCAAGATTGGCAGAACGCGAGATTTGTATAGCTGGACTGCTTTTCCTGGTCCACCGATCGGATTGACAATCACTTTTAGCCTTCTGTACGGTTTGGTATCGGGGTATGCTAGCTGTGTCAGCTTTTCTGCCCATGCACTTGCTTCGTCGGATAAAGCTGCTGCATCTTGACCTGCTAAACGAGCTTCTATTTTGACTAGTCGTAGATTCGAGCATGGCCCGCTCAATTGTGCAGAAAGACGTCGGGTAGGCTGATGAATGTTTTCTTTATCCAAGGATGTTCTCATTTCCACCACTCGAGCTGCACGAGATTTGCTTAATTTGAAAGGCGGGATCGATGATCTTTCCACACCAGTAGGCGGTGCCAATAATCGCAAGAGTAGAGAGCCACCATCGGAATCGGCAATAAAGGAAGAATGCAAGATGAGCGCATGAGGGATGCAAATGTATGCTTGTGAAGCATCCGAAGCTTTGCCTTTCGTTGCGGCATTTATCCTATTTAGCCAGAACAGATCACCATCAAAAGAAACCGTTGCCGGTTTACCTTGAATGTTTATCGGTAAAGATTGAATTGGATCTGTGGAGGAAGTGTTGTTCTTTCCATTCCCATTGCTGGTTTTGGTTATGCCACTTGAGGCTTGCACGTCTGACGACATTGTCAAACACCCTTTACCACAATTCAAAGCAGCCGATTGGATGGCCTTGCGTGATGGTGGTGATCAATTAGCTTTGATACTGAAGCATCCTTTACTGTTACCAACATAAAGCTCAACAAACATTTTTTCTCCGAAGTCCAGACTTTAGACTTCTCAGGGGCCGTGTACTTTAACACGCGTGGATACAACCACCACTCAAATAGTACCGACTTCCGATCATAAGTACGGCTTGGTGAAGCGGGAGGACGGTCCATAATGTGCCGTCACCGGCTTTACTGAGAGGTCAGCCAATTAGGGTCAGGCTTCATATTCCACCTCCTGAATGGAGTAGGCGGGGTTTTATAAATCAAAGTGTTCTCTGTTAAAACCCATCTAAGACCACAAACATTCATATTTTGAACAGGTTGTATGTACATAGTCATTGTCAACTGTTTACCCCATACTCTATACGCATTCATCATTCTTCGGGATGCCAGTCTCTAGCCTCTGAAAGTCTTACAGTCCCACTGCTGACATAATCCCGCTGTTCCTTAACTTAAAGCGAAGGATTTCCGATAATTTGGGGGAGTTGTGATTTCTTTGTTTGGAACAAATTGGTAAAAGAGGCATGTGAGCAAAAATGCACTACTTTCTTGCGCCGGAAAGAAGTGGAAATGAAGTTTTAAGCGGCTGCATGCAAACAAGTACGGTTGTTTAATAACTTCACACTCTGGACTTTTGCCGCCCCGCAAAACACAAGGCACAAAACCCTGAATCTGTCTTTGAAGTTTTACCAATTTGAGAAGCAAAAGCCTTAGTACAAAAATGAAAGTTCAATTGAATTTCTTAACACGCGTTTTATGAATAATATAGAGGCGAACGAGCCTTGATCGAGAATGAAAATGCATACAACCCAACCAAGAGTGATTGGATGCCATTTGCACCCTATTTCTTCTTTTCTTGACGTATTCGCGCACTGTTTTAGTGATCGATTGCATTTTTGACACTAGACAGCTTCAGCCTTCAGCGTTCAGGCACTAAACATTCTTAACCCCCATTTTCAAAAACGCCGCCGCCGGAGTGGTCTGGCCTGCCTGTCTGCCAGGTTTAATAAGAAATTCTCCTGCAAAAGCGTTTTTCTTTTGCTAAATTGGTGTGCAGCATGCATTCATGATTCCGGCATTGATCGAAGGGAAAAAAAGGCTGTGCTTGAGTACCGTAAATTGAAGGGAAGAAAATCTTTTCATTTAATTATACTTATTGCCTGATCATTTTTCGGCTTCTAAACAAGGGAGGATATTAGTATGGATGCAAGCATAGGGAATACGGTGCAGCACCTTCTTGTCTAGGCCGTGTTCAATTTTGCACTTAGTAATGGTTGTTTAATCACCTTATCATCATATACGTACACACACAAACCTCTTACTCTGTATGCTTTGATCACCTCGATACAAAAAACAACACCATTGAGACACCTATCCTTTCAACCGTGCCAAGTGGATGGTCTCGAGCATAGGTAAAGAGTAAAGTCAAAATGTCTCCTTCCCCATTCACCCCAGAGAAGGATACACGCCGTCAAGCAGTTCACCTTGACACACATCTTTCGCCGTACAGTTCCAATGAACTCGACTCTCATTCAATCGCCATTGGATCTCCAACAGAGATGACTGAAGCCAGTCATGCGGATGCTGCATCGAATGTAGGCAGTATCCCTCGCAGTTCACGTAGGCGACCTCCAGCCACAGCCATAATGATGGATCATCCAGCCGGCAGTGACAGTACAAAACCGGATTCTGATGATCATTTGAGTCTTGCATCAGAAACAAATAAAGACGCCCATTCAGATCAAACAAGGGTTCAACACGATGATCTAGGTACTCTAATACCCCTTTACAAGAAAGCTTCTTTTGGTGCAGACAGCACAAACCGTAAGCCATGGTCAAGACCAATCTCTTCACCTTATGGCGCGGCAAATAAGATGATGTGGAACTCGTACTCCAGCAGCACAAGTTCACCCGCAGCATCAATCACACCTATGATGGGAGCAGCAGGTGCAGCATTCGTTGACGACCATGATCCGGGAAGATGGCACACAGACGCCAAAGAATCCGACGATTATCTACACGATCCCGAAAAACCCGTTCCTAAATCACCGATAGGCGCGCGTGGTATTTTGAACGTTGGTACCCTGGGTATCTTGGCTTGTTCAATCTTAATGTTGTTCATGGGCTACCCCTTCTTAACAGCATTCTTCTTCGATCGTGAAGGTAAGAAGGGTGGATTTGGTTTGGGAGGAACAAATATGACGGGACAGGTACCAGATCTTGCTGCGTTGAATATGCGACAAAGTTTAGTCGATTCTGATACCCCCAACGCAGCATTGACAAAACCAAATCTTGGACCGACTGGAACAGAAACATGGGATTTAGTGTTCAGTGATGAGTTCAACGTCGATGGAAGATCATTCTACCCTGGTGACGATCCGATCTGGGAAGCAGTCAACCTTTACGCTGGCGGCACAGGCGATTATGAATGGTATGACCCTGCCGCCATCACGACAAAAGGAGGTGCTCTACAAATCAGCGTCATTCAAGATCCAATTCACAACCTCAACTTCCGCTCCGGCCAATTGACTTCATGGAATAAATTTTGCTTCACTGGTGGTTATTTGGAAGCTTCTGTCATCTTGCCTGGTGATCCAGACATTTCAGGTTGGTGGCCGGCTATTTGGACGATGGGTAACCTTGGTCGTGCAAATTATGGTGCCACTACGGATGGTACATGGCCATATTCTTACAACAGTTGCGATATAGGAACACTGATCAACCAAACAGATGCTGATGGATTAGGACCACCAGCTGCAATCACTTCTGGTGGACAAACGACATTCAACAACAAATATCACACAACAGATCTTTCATGGCAACCGGGTCAAAGATTGTCTGCTTGCACATGCCCTGGAGAAGATCATCCAGGACCTCAAAACTCCGACGGCTCATTCGTCGGAAGAAGCGCACCGGAAATTGACATGTTCGAAGCACAAGTAGATACAAATACAGGAGGAACATTATCTCTATCTTGTCAATTCATGCCAGCAAGTACAGGATACTATCTAGCCAACGCTACCGGAAATGAGTATACTACAAACATTGTTCATGGTGAAAAGGTTAAATTGAACACGTACCGTGGTAGTATTTTGCAAATGGCAGCTTCAGGTGTAGCACGTACAAATCAACAGTCATACCAAAATACAGGACAGGTTTTCAGCGTTTGGGGTTTCGAATATGAACCTGGAAATGACGGTTACATTACCTGGTGGATAGACGGAGTTAAAGCATGGACGTTGACTGCTGCTGCCGTTGGAGCTGATACGTTGGCCGGTATTGCTCAACGACCAATTCCTGAAGAACCAATGTACATCATCATGAACGTTGCCATCTCATCTGGATTCGGGACGATCGAGTGGGATCAATTGCAATTCCCTGCAACGATGCAAGTGGATTATGTTCGATTGTATCAATCCAAAGATAGTCAAAATGTCGGCTGTGATCCAGAGGGTTACCCAACGGCAGATTATATCAATAGACATCTTGATGCTTATACGAATCCCAATTTCACGATTTGGGGTGGAGAACAAGCAACGGGAGGATATGGTCAAAATTGGCCAAGAAATAAACTGTACAACGCTGGAAATGGATGTGCAGAAGCACCAAGGAACTATCCTGGAAGATTGAGACCGAATGGAATCAGTCAATCGCCCGGCTCTACCGTTCCAGCACGTTATTCCGGAAATACTGCTAATCAAGATGATAGCGGTAGTGAATAAATTATAACAACACTATGGACACTTTTTTTCAGCAATTTTCAACGTTTTCTTTAATTTCACCTCACATCAATTTCTAACAATGTCTACTCTCTTTTTTTCTTGAGGAGAAGGTCTTGTCATATTCCCGTCATTGTTTTCTTTTTCTCTTCTTTTCACCTTTTTTGGATTCAAATTTGGGTGCCCTTTTCTTATAATCATACATTTGTCTCTTGTACAATACTCGTTTTCACATTGTCAATTCATACAAAGTCTCAACAAAGGAGAGGCTATTGATATATAATTGTTGTGTGATTTGATGATGAGTAAGCGGAGAATGATTATGAAAGATTGGCGAAGAACGCGGTCAGACGGCAGAGCTCCACCTGTGTGAACGGAAAGCCCTTGCCTGTCTGCGCCTTGGCTTTTGATCTTCCGGAAATCGTTTGGTTGATAATAAGCCGAATTCCGTTTGAAGAGAGTAAGATGATCAACGTTCCTTGACTATCATCACAAAGATAGGTATTGCGATGGGAACAATCGTAAACGGAGCAGTGGGTGGGAGTGTAAATGGTACAGGTAGCATACCACCAGTACAATCGGTTCAGCAGCAAAAGATTACTGTGCCTCCTTGGGCATCGTTAGCATCTGGAGCAGCGTCTGGATTAGCATCATGTTTGTTATTACAACCGATGGACCTGCTCAAAACTCGAATGCAACAGGAACAACAAGAGGAACGGAATCAAATCAAGGCGAATGAGGCAAAGACTGGTTCTATACCGCGTAATCGTGGTGGACCACGCAGAAGGACACAGAGGTTGATCAGGCTTACGAAACAGGTCGTTAGGGATGATGGCTGGCTTGGTTTGTGGAGAGGGACTGTTCCAACAGTAGCAAGGTGAGTAAGTGGGAAACAATCTTATGAAGCAGGACGACTTGCTGAACCATCTCTTTTCGCTTTTTGTTCAGGAATGTACCGGGTGTGGCAATGTACTTTTATTCGGTCAGCGAAGTGAGAGCGCTATTCTCTAGAGCAGAGGTGCCTTACCTCTCCTTTTCATCTTCGCCCGGTAGTGGTCAAGACAACAACAGCAAAAGTGGAACTCTCGCCAGGCTGACAGTGACTGGCAATCTAGTAGCAGGAGCATTGGCAAGAGTAGCAGTAGGGTTTGTTCTATCACCAGTGACGATTGTGAAAGCGAGATTTGAATCATCTCATTTTTCAAAAGATGCTTATCCAAGTTTAAGCAAAGCACTCATTCAAGTTTATCAAAGTGGTGGTGTTCGAGGTTTATTCAGAGGTTTTAGTGCAACTGCCTTGCGTGATGCACCTTATGCTGGATTGTATCTTGCCATTTATGAAAAGTCAAAAGATGCTCTTTCAAATGTTGCAGCAGCAGAAGGAAGGGATAGAGGAGGATCAGCTGTCGTCAGTGCAAGTGGTGAGTGTATGCAGGCTTTCTCCAAAGATTGACTTTTTGACTAACACATCATCCCTTCAGGACTCATTGCTGGTACACTGGCAACTCTCGTTACACATCCATTTGATATCATCAAGACTAGAATGCAAACGCTACCACAAGATGCAATTAGCATACCACAGAGCGGCTTAGCAGCAACGTCTACTGGAAATGCATCACAATCAGCTGTAAGGACAGCTCCGCCTTCATTGATCGCGATGATGCGATATATTGCACAAACAGATGGAATGGGTGCATATCTGGATGGATTAGGACTACGATGTGCACGTAAAGCAGCTAGTAGTGCGATCGGTTGGACGATATTTGAAGGAGGTCGTGGAATTTGGGTAAAGAAGCAACAAGAAGCAATTCAACAACAACAACAACAACAAAGCAGCAACACAACTGAAACACATCATGTAGTCTAAATCACATTCATACGTCACACCACTCTGGGTTTTGATAATATTGTACTTTTATATTTTTTGGAATTGCATGAGCACGTATTCCATAAGCCATCTATTATTCTCGAGATCATAATGAAGGAAGTTATGAATAGTGTTGATTGCCAGGATGATCACGGGGGGTGACCTCTTAATAGGTTTCTGAGTGTAATCTTACGCGTGAGAATGAAGCGCCTGTGTGAAATTACCCTGTATGCACACGTGAGGGAAATTTTTTGGAAAGCGTACAAAAATTAAGAAGGAATTTAGCTCATGAGAACAACATCAATAGTAGAGCCCTCTATACCATCATTCGCTCATATAGTCGATCGGGATCACAGATCGGAGGTGATAAGCAAGGATGGCAGAAGTGTCAGGACCATCGTCAGGTCCACCGCTCAGGACGACGTTCAAGCAAGTTTCTTCCTTTGAGCCTTTGTACACAGGTGGAGCCGCAACTGCAGTAAGCTCTGATGGAAAATTCTTATTTGCACCTGTCAATGATGCTGTTCACGTTACATCGGTCCAAAGTGGAAAAACAGTAGCCAGAATACCAAATGATCTGGAAGATATCACATGTTTAACTTTGACACCGGATCAATCCACTTTGATCGTTGCTTCTAGAAGTTTGGCTTTACGAATCTTTTCGTTGAAATTCAGTGTGGATGAAAATGAAGAGCAAGATTTGAAATGGTCTTTGCAGAGAAGTATACCCAAAACACACGATGCTCCTGTTGTGGTGATGAAAGTGGATCCTACCAGCACTTTGGTAAGCACAGGGTCTTCGGATACATGCGCTAAAGTATGGGATATCCGAGGTGGATATTGCACACACGTATTCAGAGGACATGGCGGAATCGTGAGTAGCTTGCAGTGGAACATGCCACCGTCGTCCACTCAAAAGATCAACGGGAGCTCATCCATGCGACAAATCGAACTCTTGACTGCTTCAATAGATGGACGTGTGCGTATTTGGGATCTACGAGCCGCCAGTGGTTCAGCGGGTGGTTCGAAAGACAAAGGTGCAACTGCTGCAAAGCCAGTTGCCACTTTGGAATCTCACTTTTCCGTCGTTCGTGGTATCGCAGTCACTCGTGATGGAAAGCGAATCGTCACTGTGGGTCGTGATCGTATGGTGACTTTGTGGGAGTTGCAATCCAAAGGATCTTCAAAGAAAGACAAGAATGCAAACCCTTCTTGGCAATCCGTTGAAGTGATCACAGCTGGAGAATCTTTGGAAAGTGCAGGTTTTCTAGACGATGAAGATACCTTCTGGACAGCGGGGGCGGAAGGAGAGATTCGATTCTGGAGCTTCTCTCGAAGAGGTGTAATTAGACAGCAGCCGGGAGGACGATTTGCAAGTGGAACAGTACAAAAGAGAGCGGCAGTAACTTCAAATGAAGACGACGAAGAGGAAGAGTCCGATGAGAACGAAACGAGAGCAATCACTGAGGTCCACTACCTCCCCTCTTCGGACATGATCGTAAGTGTCCATGCAGATCAAGACGTCGTCTTCCGATCGGCATCTACTTTACAAGGTGTTCGCCAATTGGCCGGATTCAATGATCAAATTATCGATGCTTCTCTTTTATCCCCCATCAATGGTAAATCCGACACTCACTTGGCTGTTGCGACAAATAGCACTTACATCCGCGTTTATCGGTTAGGAGCACAAGAGCATACTGTTGATGTATTGCCAGCAGATTCTGGCTCCGAGGAAGGTCATACAGGATTGATCCTCTGTTTGGACAAGACCAGTGACGGAAAGCTACTCGCTAGTGGAGGCAAGGATAGAACGGTGAGGATATGGGCATGGGTGCCACAAACAGTGTCTGCAAATGTGCTGAACGTGGGTGACGAAGATGAAGAGATGGGAGAAGTCGTGCGACCAGGTGAAGTGAACGGTAATAATGCAGCTGGAAACGAAGAGTACGGCTGGAGCTGTGTAGCTATTGCTCAGGGTCACACAGAAAGCGTTGGTGCGATCGCATTTGCCAAAAGACCGGCGGCAAATGGTCAAATACCATTCATCGTGAGCGCCAGTCAAGATCGAACAGCAAAAGTTTGGGATTTGTCCACTTTACAGAGATACATCGACCAACACTTCACCTCAAAGTCCACCACCAGAACACCGTTGAAACTGTCTTCTCTCACCACACAGAAGATTCACGAGAAAGATATCAACGCTTTAGACGTTTCACCGAACAACGCTCTCTTACTGTCAGGATCGCAAGACAAGACTGCGAAAGTGTTTACGATTCAGTACCAAGCACCTAGTAAATCCAACCATCATACAGCCACTGCCTCGTTGAAGTTGGTCAAAACGTGCTCAGGGCATAAGCGAGGTGTATGGTCTGTTGCCTTCTCGCCTTCTGATGCCGTATTCGCCACAGGTTCATCAGACAGAAGTATGAAACTATGGAGTATCAATGATGGTTTCACTTGTGTAAAAAACTACGTCGGACATACAAATAGTGTATTGCGTGTCCGATTCTTGCCAAACTCAAACGGTCTGCAGCTTTTGAGTTGTGCCAGTGATGGGCTGGTGAAAGTATGGAACGTCAGGACTGAAGAATGCTTAGACACCTTGGATGGCCATGAAGAGCGTGTTTGGGGTTTAGACTGCACACAGTCCGGAGAACAAATCATCAGTGGAGGCGCTGATGGAATGATTCGATTCTGGCAGGATTGGACACAACAAGAGCAAAGCGAAGCTCTTGAGAAACGCCAAGAGGATGTAGAACGGGAGCAAGAGTTCGGTAACCTTCTACAAGCCCGCGATTACACCAATGCTGTTGCTTTGGCTTTGGCTATGCAACAGCCTAGAAGGTTGTTCGAGCTGTTCAAGTCTGTTGACCAACAGCGTTCACACGGAGATGATGGAACCAATGCGACAGCTTCGATGTTGAGTGATGCAATTCAGTCAAGAACTAAATCCACTAACGGTGTATCATCTCTTCGGGATCCCGCTTTGGCTGAAGTTTTGGCTCGGGCTGGTGTTCTCCCATCTGCACCGGTGCCCACATCTAAGCAGGCTCAACCGGCAAATGCAAGTCCTGCCAGTATCACAGGGTTAGAGGCAGTCGATCAAGTGATTGCAAAATTATCACTTTGGCAACTAGCTACTCTGCTAACATTTGTCCGTGATTGGAATACGTCTGTCCGTACTTCAAATATCGCACAAACGACTTTACATGCTATCTTGCGCTTCCATTCTGCTGATACGATTATCAAAGCATTTGAAGAACAAGCAAGCGGTGCAGCACAAGAAGGTGCTTTGCCTGCATCAAAGAATGCTTACAACAACAGAAAGAAAGCACCGGCAGATTTGGGTAATGTGATCGACGCCCTTTTACCCTACACCAGACGCCATTACGATCGAGCCCAACGAATCCTTACCGAAAGTGCTATGCTCGAATACACTTTGGCAAATATGGATGCGGTTTTGGGTGTAGATGAAGACGATAAAGAGCAAAATGGGTTGATGAATGGAAACGGAGACGTTGACATGCAAAGCGTTGTGAGCAGCAGTGACGAGGAAGAAGAATCTGATGAGGATTGATGCATAACAATGTACCATAGTTAACATCCGCAATATATTTTAGAGATGCATTGGTATTGTATGCTTTGTGTAATGTACATATGCTAAGTGGTATCATCTTTGCATTTTCAAAGATCGTAAGATTGGTCTTGCTTGTTTAAGTGATTTAGACGCTTGCTCGCGTAAGTATTGTCTATTCAGTAATGATGATGTCGATTCGCAATCCAAGTTCTTGCCACTTCTAGACTGCTTCCCGATCTGCATGGCCGCTTTCCTCATCTCGCGCTTCAGAGCTTGTGTCACATTCATCTTTTTTGTCGAAGGTCGCATCTCCAGGATAGAGATGATGGAACGTAGCGCTATCCAACGATACGTCACCAAAGGAAACTTCCAAGCTACAGATACGTTGCAGGGAGATTGCTGTTGCTGTTGAAGACGTATCTGGTTCATCTTCGCGCAAGCGTGTGCGTATGAATGCTCAATATTAGCCAAGATGGATTCATGGATGAACTTATCTCCTCGAGTTTTTAATTTGTTGGTCGCATCTCGCTTTCTTAGCTCTTGATAAGCGGAGACGAATTTGATTGTTGCCACAAGGTACATCTGATGTATGTTCCGCAGCACTCCTGATGACGAGTTCAACGGAATGTCAAGATAGATTGGCAAATTTCGCCTTTGTACTGATTGACCGATTATATTCGACAGCAGATTCTTGAATGGCTTTCGATTCGGAATCGTGAGAGAGTCTGCCACACATGTGTTCCTGTACCTTTCCAGATCATACCGTACAGCTAGCGATTCTGTATCAATCCGGTAGCTACACCAGGGGAACGAAACATCCTCTTGGTCAGAGTGAGAACGGGTCTGTACTGCCAAAGCGGCGTTTCCAAGACTGTTTTCCATAGAGGCATCGTACATCCTGAAATTGCATTCCGTCTTTTCGGCAGCGATCGAACAATTGAAATCCGAGCTACCCTGATGTACCGATATAAAGAATCGTCTCGCCAACTCTTTATTCGGTGAAATGAATAAAAAGTCATCCGTGTACCGCATCAATAGACTGTCTCTTGTGCCCTCATCGCTAGATCCAGTCAATTGCAGGTCACTTTCCATTCTTGCTAGATAGTAACAACACAACAGTGTGCTTAATGTACTGCCTTGGGGAATGCCTACACGTTGTCGACAAAAGTCTTTGCCAACTTTGATAAGATTGTTATTGATATGCTCATTCATCAACCAGATCAAACTCTTGCGATCACATTGAGGATACGTGACCGAGTCTGCCAGGATCGTGTTTCGCCAAGCTTGCATTTGGGCTAAATGTTGTGCTAGGAATTGGAACGGCTCGTGCTCTTCTTCAGCACATGCAACTCTGGGCCATGACCGAAAGGGTTGTCCGTTAGACGAAGTCAGCTTGTTGTATCGCTGAACGATGTATCGATCATGTCTCACGATCCCATCGACGATCTTGAGCAATCTGCTCTGATCTATACAATCGAAGGCGCCTGCAACGTCCATTTTGACAAAATATAGTTGAGGAAATTGCTCTCCATACCGTGTCTGAAGCTGAGATTTGAAATTTGAAAGCCTCAGGAATACGTCATGCGGACCAAAGACGGAACTTCCCAAAGCGTTCGGATTATCTTGTCGTTCAGAATTGAGAACCTGAAATGTTGCATTCATGATATTATTGATCGAATAGTTCGAGACCACTAATTGTCCCCATTCGTCATTGGAGCTTTTCTTGCTTCTGGCAAACTTATCCCAGCTCTTCTTTGTCACAGCAGCGTTAAATTTGCGGTCAATTTTAGTACTCCTTCTCCGTAAGTTCACAATCGGCCGCATGCCGACTTCTTTGGGCAGTAGCCGCACGAAAGAGTACCCAAATGCACGCCTGCTCATGATCCCTACCGCTTTGTGCTTACCGATCTTTTCAAATCGATCATCTTTTAGGTTTTCGATGATAGGTTCGGTAATTTTGCTCCAAACATCAGCTCGGAAAAACAACACATGATTACGAAACTTGGCAGATTCGGTTGCGTAAAAGTTTGTTCGCAGAAGCGGCATGAGAAGGCTGTCAAAGAACCAGAACAACAGCTCATTAATCAAGTTTTGCCGTTTTGCACTTTCTTCTTTTGTTGGACGCTGATCTCGGGCAACTTCATCCCGTGGTAATAACCATTCGCAATCCAGAATCCGAAAACCCTGGCTGATCTGGTGCAAGTTAATGGACTCATATCTACGCATTCCAATGAATTTATCGCATGCTTTGAAGACGATATCACGATTATGATGAGATCCAAACAAATCAATGGGAACAATGGATCGTAATACGTATCGAATAAACCGTGCAACACATCCGTGCGGTGTTTTGTACTTTGTATATCGCGGCTTTTGAGCCTTTTTGGTTGGAACCTCAATCTTCTCCTTGACCGAATCATCATCATCGCTATCCATAACCATGCTGTGGCACTGCGTCTCGATTTGAGTTTCTGCGACTGTAATGCGGTCTTCTTGAGATTCTGCCGTTCCCTGTACTACACTCTCGCTCAATTCTTCCACTAACTCCTCTCGTTCCGCTTTTGTGAGATTTCGTTTGGGTATTGATGTGGGACAACAAAGCTCTAATGCTCTTCGATAGTCAAAGCGATCATGATTCACGATCATCAGCTTTAGCAGCTTCTTGCAACTCAGCAGTCTTGCGGGCGTTCGAATCTTTCCTCGAATACGCAGTTCCTCCTCTCGGGAAGACAGTGACATTCGCAGCTCATACTCTTTCTGTGCTCCATCTTGAGCACCCCCGCTGGCAAAGACGTTTTTGAGACCATATTCCCGCGGCCATATATGCTTACTCAAGAGTCTTGCACGAGCTTCAAGCAATGTATGCTGATCCAATGGTTCTGATTTCGAAAATTTTCTTAGAAGAAGTCTCTCTGAGAATGATCGTTGTAAAACGTGACTGACTGGTAGCCCTCTGACAATACCACCCATCCGTGTACGTGACAATTTCGCATAGAAAATCCTATTTCTCAAGAGATCAATTTCAGTAGGTTTACGTTGAGGTTGTGCAATACTGTCATTTTTGCGTTTTTTGGTCGGCAGTTCGGTAGCTTTCTGAGAAGCTTGCTTCCTCTTCCGTTTTCGACGTGGGCTATCATCCTGACTTGTAGTGTCCGGTTCGTTGCGTTTGGAGGATGTTGGCAACTCCTTCATCTCGCCAATACTGTGTCCCAAAATTTGCACAAGATTCGACTGTGCTGGTGCATTCAGAGGAACGAAAAGAGCCGTGTGTGTCAAAATATGTCCCATCGCTACTTCCCCCAATGCTCTTAAAAGCGCAGACCATTCTTGTCCCATCAAGATTTGTGTAACACAAGCATTCACATGAACGTTGCTAATGCATATACTGTCTACCATTTGCATCACTGTTGAACGATCATCTGCTTTTCTGTATCCCAGTGTAAGCATATTACTACTGAAAGTCGTCCCTTGCTTTCGCAATATTGTCGCTTGAGCACGAAGGATGAGTTCTTTCAATGTTTCGTATAGCCATTCTCCATCTTTTTCAGGCTGACAATCGAGGTTTGGATCAGGAAAGTGTGGTATTTGATCCAAATTGCATGCTATGACAGCGTTTCGTAGGTTTGAAAGCTTCAGTGATAGATCTGTGTCTTGTTCTGAATTCACCGAGAAAATGTCCTGAATCTTCTTTGAATCCATATGTGGAAAGATTCGAGCCAGATAGACTGGAAAAGGCATCACATGTTTGAAAAAGCGCGATAGAAGGCCGTTCACTACCGGATTCTCGTTCTGAGCAGCTAGCAAGCCCCAGTCGATCTCTTGACGATCAACTTCCATCGTCATCACTTTTAGGTTTTGCGTGCTCTTTCATCCTCTGTCATGATATTGTCAAGTGCGAAGAAGTCCAATAAAAAAGAACAACACTTTCTGAAAGCACACTTAAATCTGAGCATCACTTTACGCGCTTTTACGCGTTACGATTGGGATTGGATGGTGGAAGTCGGAATTGAGACTGCTTAGTCAAAATGCAAGTTAGGGTTAGAATTCAATTCTAACCCTAACTTGGTTTTTGTTCTTTGTGCTGTTTTCAAGAGAGGAAGATATACATGAAATATGTTTAATACTATCAAGTGACCTAAAGATGGAAATAGCCGCGGACCTTCTTTAAGCGGCGAGTAATGGACGCAAAGCCATCAATTAACACATGCAGGAGACCAGGCTAATCGGAAGCAGGTACGCCCAGCCAAAATCATGGTCCGAACTGAGTGCCATGATGGATTGGAACACGTTTGCTCATGAGGATCATATAGACATGATAATCACTCTCTCTCTTATAATCAATATGGTTTACGTCAGATTGATGAATGAATGCATGTGCAGCATGCTATATAGTAACCCACACTTTTGGATTGAATGGTGGTAATGAGAAGAGAGAACCCTTCTGTGAGCTGCAACAATAGCGCGAAATGAATCCAAGTCCGTGCACTTTTCTCGATCTTCTGATATATTTTAATGACAAAGCAGCAGACCAGTCTCGGATCAAATTTCTTTCATTTCAATGCTCCACATTTTTGTTCATTTCGTGGCGCCGATGCAGTCTGACAAAAACGATTGCTGCTGCCTCTCCCCTTGTCATGAGTGGAATTCTGCTGAGTTGAAGTAAAATAATGCATGATGACTGAACCAACGAACAGCCTTTTCTCTCTCACGCAAAAACGTATGACCCCGTTTTGACTTCACTCTCTCACCTCCCCACCACGATCATCTTTTTCATCTTTCTTCTCCTTTAACAAACCCATTGGAACCTTTGCAAAAATGAATATGATCTTTGACGAATTCATCAAACATCAAAAGGAGCCTGATGTAGGCATCCCAAAAATCCCACATGAAATTCAACATCCCGAAGCAATCACTCAAATCGGTCAAACTTACTTGTGGATCGTCTTTGCTGTAATGGCAGTCGGTGCTGCAATCTTTGCTGTTACAGGTCTCAGAGCTTCTTACCGTTATCGTCCAATTCATATCTTAAACTTTGTCATTGTCTCAATCGCAGCTGCTTCTTATTATGCAATGGCAACCGGAATCGGCAAGACAATCGTTCACTCTGATCCTCACAACCGTAGCGCATGGCGTGAAGTTTTCTATGCACGTTATATCGATTGGGCATTCACAACTCCTCTTTTGTTGCTCGATTTGACATTGTTGGCCGGAATTCCAATTGGTGAAACCATTGCTTTGATCATTGCTGATTTGTTCATGATCGGTACAGGTTTGGTTGGAGCTTTGCATCCTTCTCTCAAATACCGTTGGGGATTCTTCGGTTTCAGTTGTGCGGCATTTGTCGTTGTCGTTTTCAATTTGATTTCTTCAGGCCGTCATTATGCTTTCGTTCGTCATCCAAAAGTTGGCTCTTTGTACAACCAAGTCGCTCTCGCTTTGGCCGTCGTTTGGACAGCTTATCCAATCGTTTGGGGCTTTGCTGAAGGTTCAGGCAGAATCTCTGCTGATAATGAAGTTTTGGCCTTCGGTATCTTGGACATTATCGCCAAGCCAGTTTGGGGTCTTTGGATCGTTTTGGCAACACCACCTGAAGGTCACGTTGTTTTGGCTGAATGGCTAGCTGCTCCTGGCGGCGCTGTTGCAGGCGGTGGTTACGGATCCATTCCTCAAAGTGATCAAGCTTAAACGCAGGTTCAAGAACATGCAGGAAATAAAGCTTTCTTGTGTGATATCCTGTCACAATAGCAAACATTGAGAATAGCACATCTTCTAAGAAACAACTTTCCCAGAGAAAGCACGACCCAAACAACCACACATTCCCATCCCTTCAATTCTATGTTTCATACCATATCATCTCTTCTTTTCTGTCAAATTTTCTGAAATGCTGTAAATTATGCTTTCCTGATGAAATTGAAACGAAAGTTTTGCAGCGTGAATAAGAAAAGTGTGCAATCAAAGCCTGAAAGTAGGCAAAAGATGCATTCTAGTAGTACATGAGGTATGGTAATCCTGGGGCAATCTGTAGTAATGTAGCCGATTATTCGGGCATGGTTGAAGCATTCTGTGAGAGGCAAGATGAGGAATAGTGAGCATAATAGAGTCAACCAGATTTAATTGAAGTGCACTCACCTGTGTTGAAACACCTGCTTCGGCATCCCTTGGTGGGATGAATGCCAACTTTTCTCCAACTTTATGAATTTGGTTCTTAATCTTTCCCGCAAGCGAAACATGTGCTTCATCTGAAGGATCTTCTTGAAATTCTGCCGGTTGATGAGCATATTCTCCCGTTTTAGAATCAACTATCGGTACACCTTTGTCATCTCGTTCAACACCATCTACCACACCACCGCCGCTATGTGCACTGGAATGTCGGCCGTGTGACGTGCCGGTTTCTCCACTACTGGATTGTGTTGTTACACTGCTCAATCGTTCTTGTTGTCGTTCTTCCCATCCTGGTGGTCCTGCTGCCGTCGGTCCTGGTGTGATGATCGGTTTGGGTGCCATGCTTGTTTGGTTTTAATGTATGGGGATATGCAAGAACTGAGATGGTGGTAGTGTTGTTTCTATTTCTGCACCTTGACAATCGAATTCTTTCGATACGCGGATCCATAGCAGCAACAGGCACAATCAACAATGCACCAAAGTGCCTCGCCGCTTCTGTAGCAGTGCTCTAAACGCGTGCGCGGCCGAGACGGCGTTTATAAATTAAACAAGACACCGCCCTCGCTTCCTCTAGCAAGTGTATTTTAAGACCGTGACAGTGAATTGCATATGGTGGTCATGAACGCCCCGGAGAATTTCCATCTCAACCATGAGATCTGAGGTAAAGCATAAATTTTAATCGCTTCTTTTTTCTCTTCATATGCATTAAGATCATCATGATGTTGAGGACTGGTTCTATGAAAACCATTCTCATCCTTCTTTTTGCTCGATTGACAAATCTAATAGTGCTTGGAGTATCACCAAGACAGACAGGAAATCAACCGCCATCACCAAAAGCAGCTCTTCCAGACTTGAATGAAGTACCACAGCCTGATCATGATATCGCTGGCCATGAAGCTATGCAACCGATTCACATTCTTGAGTCAACACAGCATGCATCTGAGCAAGTGAACAGAGAGGATCCTTTAAAGAAAGAGAGAAGAATGATGCTGCGCAGGATAAATGCAAAAAAGTTCTATGCGGCATTGCCACCCGAAAAGAAGAAAGCCCGCTCTCGTCAAGTTTCTATGAATCATAAAGCCAGATTTGCATCATGGGTAAGTCAATAATTTGATCTTTTGTGTAGACTTGCAACGCTAAAACAAAATTCACATGCCGATGTTCTCATTTGAATATTAGTCTGAAGAGCAAAAAGAAGAATTCAGAGTTAAACAAAAAGAAGCAAAGGTAAAACATTATTCCAATCCATCACCTCGACCGTATGAAAAGAGAAAAGGACAACATGATTTGACCACTCATGGAGATACTCCTCCGTCAGTGCAAAGCCCCGCCCTACCCAACCTGAACGAACTGCCACCGAGCGAGCCGGAAAATCGATCAACTGGCCAATCAACGACCAAGCGAAAGCAAGATGCTGCAGGATTGGCAGAGCACGATCCAGCTCAAACAGAAGCAATGAAACCAGCAAAAAAGAAAAAAACTCCTTCTTACCACAAGTTGACACCTGAAGGAAAGTCAGCACGTAATCATAAAGTCTATGTTAGACATAGAGAAAAATATAACACATGGGTGAGTAAAAAAGTTGACTTGAATACTGAGCTCTTCTGATCCAGCTTCCATCTCCCTTACAGCCTGAAGCAAAAAAGAAGGAATACAGAGAAAGAAAGAAAGATATTCAGAGAAAGTACCTTCGGAATAAAGCGCAAAAGAAATTAGATCAGCATATTGGAGATTGACAACTGATTCATGCTGTTGAGATATGATATACATAAGCTTTTTATATGCGGCTGCAGAGTTTACGAGATCAAATATCCGAATTCCAACAGTCTAAGGCCGTGAATTTTGCATACGATCATGAAAGCCCCGAAGAGGAACAAGCTCAATGTGCAATCAGTGTGAATGATCTACTTCTCTTTCCTTTGCACACTCATCGGTTTCATTACAATGCTGCGTAAAGTATACATGTACATCAATATCATCCTTCTATTAGCTCGATTGTCATCAGTAGAAGTGCTTGCAGTTTCACCAAGACAGACAGAAAATCGAGCTTTGTCAACGGAGACAGCTATACCAGACTTAAATGAAACACCACAAACTTATCACCATGTCGCAGGCGACCAAGCCATACAACCAATACATATCGATGATTCTGCAAAACATACATCACCTGCACCCATACAATTGAACACCGAAGATGCTGTAGCGAAAAAGAAAAGACTCATGCAGCGTAGGAAATATGAACAGGAGTATTACGCAGCACTATCACCGGAAAAGAAACAGGCTCGCTCTCGCCAAATTTCCATGCAGCACAAGGCCAGATTTGCATCATGGGTAAGTCAAATTGTCTTTGCTGGTATCGAAGAATGAAGGCTGAAGTACTTTAACTTACTGATGATCCTTCTTACTGAACATAAGTCAGAAGAGGAGAAGCAAGAATTCAGAAAGAAACAAGGAGAAGCAAAGAAGAAGTCTTTTCACAATCCAACACCTCGACCATATAAAAGAACAAAAGGGCAACACGATTCAACCAGTCTTGGAGATGGTCAGCCAGCGGTGCACAATCCTGCTTTACTCAACCTGAATGAAATGCCACCGAGCGAGCATAAAAGTAGTCCGACTAGCCAAACAACGAGAAAAAGGAAGCAAGATGCTGCTGGATTGGCAGAGCACTCATCAACGGAACCTATGCAGTTAAATACCGAAGATGCTTTAAAGAGAAGAAGGAAATATGAACAGAAGCTCTACGCAGCACTGTCGCCCGAAAAGAAAGAAGCTCGTTCTCGCCAGATTTCTATGCAGCAGAAAGCCAGATTTGCATCAATGGTAAGTGAAAGTATGATTGCTGATGTCGAAGAATAAAGGCTGATGAAAAGGTTTCACTTACTAACAATCTTCTTAAACATCAGTCTGAAGAGGAGAAGAAAGAATTCAGAAAGAAAAAAAGAGAAAGTAAGATGAAGAATGCTTCAAATCCAACACCTCGGCCATACAGAAAAAGAAAAGGTCAACAAGTCTTTACCAGTCAAGAAGAGGCCTAGCCATCGGTATAAAGACAGGAAATGACAACAGATGATGTTGAGGATGTATGCTGTTGGTATGTGAATGATAACCCTACTGTCGGCTAAAATGCACGCGTATCAAATTAAGGCACCGCGTAAATGAATCAGTCGAATGGGAAGAAACGGGAATCGGAAGAAGAATTCAAAGAAAAAGACAATTTAACACATTCCTCCTTCTCAACACCATCATCATCTTAGGAGGGGAATCAGGATGAACACTAAGGAAGACAAGGATGCTAAACCAACATCAGGTGGTCCAATCGGACAGAGTATAGCATCAGCCCTTCCTGAAGCATCAACGCTACCTGCGATCAGTATTCCACAAGAAGCAGCGATGGGTGTTGTGAAAGGATCACTTGGATTTTCTGCTTTGTCGGGAATAGGTGGAATGATTTATGGTGCTTTACGTGCTCAACCTGCAATCTTATATGGAATGCAGTATGGACTCAATACATTTTCGTTTGCATTTCCGATCTTTGCCGTTCGACAATATATCGCTATTCCATGGTATAACGAAATACTACATCAACGATTCGGACCGGATCGTATACCTTCTTTGCATATGCATAACATCATTCCTACAACCATTTCCGGTGCTTTGATGGGTGGTGCAATGACGACTTACTTTTCTGGAAAACAAAAGCTTTGGGCAGGCGCAAGGACGTTTGGTATTATCAGTTTGGCACTTCAATTAGCCAGTAATGAAATGAGCGTTCTGCGTATCAACATGCTGGCCGATCAAGATGGAAGAAGTTCGATACCTCTGACTCAGACGGGTGGATCAGAAGTACAAGCTCCTGCTTCATCCGGCAACAATCAAACGCAAATGGAAAAAGTTTCACTACGTCCGAAGGATGAAGGCGTGAAACAGGAACAGGGCTTCTTAGGAAAAGCATGGGACAAAGTTGCTTCTTGGTCACCCGTGCATCGGATAAGCGATGAAGAATATGAGAAGTCCCTACTTCGGCGGAGAGAAGAAGTGGCAGAGCAATTACGATCAGTCGATCAACGGATAGCAGAAGAAGAAAAGGCAACACACAAAGTTTAGGTCCGACGGCGTCACTTGTTTAATATCACATTGTACTCTATAAACAGCCTCGTCAGAAAAATTCATTCATTATTGCATCATCCGTGCGAACGCCGCAAATGTCCTTTTCACATCGGAGACTACCAGTCTGTATGGAAGGGACGTGGTTTGATCAAGGCAGTGCAGGTCAACAATCAAAAGACAACTAAGAATTCAACCTTTCACTTTTCCCTTTTGACCACCAACTACTTTGATTGTTTCTTTTCTTAGCAAAAATGCAAGAAATTTCGATCTACTTCTTCAAAGCTCTAATGCTCTGCTTTTTTCTGTTGGGCAGTCAAGTTGATTCTGTTCCAGTGATGAACGAGTCGCCAGAGATTGGACGTCCGATCCCTCAAAACAAAGCAAGTCCAATTGAAATTATTGCTTTGAACAGCGGCAAGAAAGGTAAACCATATGTCATCCAAAAAAGATCACCAATTGTAACAATGACTCATGCAGAAATGGAGGCAATCAGAGAACATGATCGTGGTAGACGTGCACATTTTCAAAAGATTATCACGGAAAATGCTGAAAAGTGGCATCGCGAACATGGCAACTAATTTGCAAAGGTGAGTTGATATAGACAGAACGTTTGAAGGCCTGCAGATATCCAAAAGCTTGGTTGTTAACTTTTTTGTTGTCAAGAATTCTGCAAATTGGGTTTAGATCGAGTTCAGTCATACTCTCCCACAATACATCTCTCGCATCTGCCAATCATTTTTATTACTTGACTGTATACTGGCTTATACAATCGCACATTGTCTCTTCGTTTGTGTGGACGTATCGTGTTTACCCAGTGGCATAGAGCGTTGAAAGCCCTGATAATGGATCGTCGCCCCGTTGAAGATACACAGCAGCAATTGCATTTGAACAATTTCGAGTTCATGCAGTACCACCATCTCACTGATACAGAGGGTCGGGCTTCTGGTTTAGTACATAAGGGCTGAGAAATATTTGTTCTTCAATCGTTACCTAAAAATGTATCTTTTCCGAGCCTCTTTGGACTTCATGCTTTTCATTGTTCTGATAGCGTCAGCCGTAAAGCCCTCACAAACGATCCACTCATCAAAGCCACCACCAGAGAATATGGAAAAAGTTTTTACGACGAAAGTACCTGACCTCAACTTTCCACCTCCCGAGGAAGAAGCGGTAGAAGTACAATATTCTGCAGAACATGGTAAAATCAGCATTGGGGAGAATGTAACCAAGAGAAAGAAGAAAAAGCGAACAGGCGCTGCATTAGAAAGACATCGTATTAAGGATCGACAAAAAAAGCGAGAAGCAAGAGCACGCTTGAGTACAGAAGAAAGATTGGCACTCTTCAGAAGAGAGCGTGAAAAGCAAAAGGAGAGGCTTGCTTTGGTAAGAAAGTTCAGATAGAGACAGATGTAGTGACCGTGTCTGATCAATTTACCCTCCCTTCATACCAAAGTCTCCAGACTTGTTGAAGAAGTACACGCAAGTCAGTACAGCAAGCTCAAAGAGATATAAAGCGCGCAAAAAGGCAGAAAGAGAAGGAAGAGAGGTAAGCCCCCAAAATGCTAAAAGACGACAATAGAGTAGATTCCGTTCCGGGATAGGATACCTCGTTTAAATTTGTCAGCTTGCCTTTGAAATCCCATATGTTGATAAAATTTTTCGTTAGCCCCGACTTTTTTCGAATTTTGAGTATAATGTGTCAACGAGTGTGGATTTTCTTTTGTTAAGCTTCTTCCACCTACAACGAAGCATCTATTCATATGACGATCAGGTGGTACAGTTTCTTCCACTTTTTGATCTTTGCGCAATGTATTGGAATTCTTGCTGTCAAGGTGTCCGAACGTTCAAAAGCAAAAAAGGCTCTTTCGGTAGAGAAGTCCGTAGCATTCAACTCGGGAAGAGCCAATGAGCTTCAAGCCAAACCTATTCCAGATCTCAACTTTCCACCGCCGGCAGAAGATGTTGAAAGTGTGCATAGTGCCTCACCGAAATCTGCTCCAAAAAGTCCTCAAACAATTCCGCTTAACGAAAAAAGCTACTACTACAGGATGATAGAACGTAAAAAACGGGAAGGTACCTTACGTGCATGGACGACAGCAAAACGTGAAAGAATGAAGATTTATCGAGCAAATTTGCCGCCTGAAAAGAAAGCTGAAAACCTGCGAAAAGAAACGGAGTGTAAAAAGAAAAAGTTAGCTGAAGTGAGTTTTATGTGTAATTCCGCTTTAAAGCGGCTCCTGATATCATTCTTTCATTTCTATCTCAAAAGTCTTCAGCGTATCGTCAAGTGACCAGAGATCGTACCCGAGAGGCTGTGCGCAGATTTAGAGCACGCAAACACGCAAAAGAGCATGGAACAGAAGCAAGTCCAGAGTACGCAATGAGGCCGAAAGGCAGGCAGCCTTTTCGTCAATGAAGCGATGAAAATATTTCCTGTAGTAGCATTGGACGTCCCTTTGATGCACGTATGCCCGTCATATTTGCCCCGACTGAATATTCCAAAACTGCTCTCGGTCGAAAAGAAGTCAGGCACACGTTTGTCGTCCATACTCTCATCAGATATGCGGTGGATTTCACTTCTCTCTTTCATATTCTACTTGTCCTGCACTTGCATCTTTTATAATAAGTATGAAGTAGCTGCTGTGAAAGCAAAGATGAAGTCGTTGAATGAGAACAATCAATCTTCGCAAAATTCCCAACAAAACATTCCAGAATCAACGGGCTTGACAACGACAAACAAGGCACCTATTCCCGATTTGAACCTTGATCCTCCTCCAGAAGAAGTACCAACTACGTCCACGTATCGTAAAGGCGCTTTTTTAAAGAAGGACAAAGATGGGAGGATGAAAACAAGATTTGCCATCTACACGCAATCAAGAGAGAAGAAAGGAACTCTGAATGAATTTCGATTGAAAGAAAGAAAAAGACACAAAAACTACCGCAACGCTTTACCCGATGACGAAAGAATAGCAAAATCAAAGAAGTATCAAAAAACTATGTTTGACAAATTTAAACAGGTAAGAAGTCAGTGCTATATCTCTACAGAAAATTCTTCTGACTTGATATTTCTTTTTCAGTCTGCAGAAGCTCGTGAAAGGCGTTACATTTCTGTTCGCAAAGCAGCTCAAAGATTTTACGCACGCAAACGTGCAAAAGAGCTTGGTCTAGAGATCAAGCCCGAGGATGCAGTCAAAAGGAATTTCAAACAACCCTCACCATGACCAAATAGCTGTGTCTTTGGCTATATGCAGTGTTTAGCGCAAGTTCCTCGGTGGAAGAAGAGGCTTTAATCTGCAACTAATTGCAAACGCCCCGACAGTACTCTACACAGTCCATTGTACACTTTGTCATCTAAATACATGGTTTGTTGATATCCCTATCACTTCTTACCATTTATGTACCTAGCGATGAATTGGAGAACTTTGGTACATCTCATTGTAGTTGTGATCTGCTTATTTTGGCCAGAATCCATGGCGCTTGCAGGATCGCCAAGAGATGCAAGGATTAAATCAAAGGAGCAGTTACCGACTCAAAGACCGATGCTTCCAGATTTGAACGAGATGCCTCCCGTGGTTGACGAGACCAGCCCACATCACGAACAGCAGTATTCAGAGAGGGTTAGTGCAAAAGCTGCTGAGGCGCAACCCAATCGTATTGCAACGACAACGTCAAAGAAGAAGAAGAAGAAATTACGCCAGCCGAATAGTCAGAGACCGTATGCCTCTTTGACGAATGAAGAGAAGAAGGCGTATTCTCGTTATCAAACAATCAAGACTAGAGAAAGATTTAATAAAATGGTGAGTTCATTAAAGGTGACATAAATAAAATTTTTGAATCTCACCTAGCCAATTTAAATTCTATATGATTAAAGACTGATGAGCAAAAAGACGAATATCGAAGGTTAAGAAATGAAAGCAAAAAGAGATTGTATGCAGAAAAAGGTCCAGATGCGTTACGAGAAGCGAATCGTCATTATCAAGCCACATTTCGAGCAAGAAAGAAGTTGAAAATCCTGGGCAAAGACAAGGAGGCTACGCGGGAGGATTAAATCTGTTGGCTTTCGAGGCTATAGACCGTTTGTGTACGCTCGCTTTCACTTTCAATAGTACTTGCGATCGCCCCGGATGTCTCAACACTCTGTGAATGGTCGAATGCGTTTTTGATGTTTGTATCTTGCTTTATCATCCTCGTCTTACTTTCAAGACTATGTTGAAGTCATGGCTAATTATGAGCGTTTTCATCTACATACGGCTTGAAGTTGGATTTTGCGTAGATTTCGAATCTAACACACCTGCTGCCTCCTCGCCATCTCGCGACAACGGCCTAAAAGACAAGGACAATTTACCTGATCTCAACGTGCCGCTCGACGGCCTTTTTGCAGAACAAGACACAAATACGGAACCTACCACTGGATCTGCATATTCGAGGAGGATGAGTAAGCTGAGAAAAGTGGGAAAACTTGAAGAATACAAAGCTAGGGAAAGAGAAAGATTGCGAAAACAGTATCACACATTGTCTCCGGCTCAAAAGTTAGCCAGAAGCCGTAAAAGTGGCACTCAGCTTAATGCAAGGCTAAACAAGGTGAGTATTTGAATCAACATAAATTGGGAAGTCGGTACTTATGAAAGCTCTTGTCTACTCTACTTCAGGATATGGTATTGAGAGAATCCCTTAAAAAGTCACGATTGGACTCGAGCCGTCGATTTCGAGTCCGTGAACGGGCAGAAAAAGAAGGGAAAGCACTGGGTCCAGCATATGCGAAAAGGAAACCTGGTAGACCTATCACTACTACATCGCCTTTGAATGGCAAAGATGATAGTCATGCAGGACAGTAATCTCGTTTTATATCTGAAATGACGGGGATGGCTATGCAAATATGAATAAACAGCTGCATAGCCTTGAGAACCGTCTTCCGTTGCGAAAATACATATCATAAATTGAATTTTATAATCCTTTGAAATCGAGATATAATCCTTTGAAATCGAGAAGCCCCGAAAAAACACGATAACCGCGCTTTGTACGCAAATTATTCAAATTATACTTCCTAATTATGAAGGTATACTTCACTCTCTAGTCAATTGACGTTCCGATGTTTTTTAATTACACAATGTGTCAAGTTTTGTTAATCCTGACAGCACTCGCTCTACTGGGCCTTACAGCACAGGGAGGTCACTCCAACCCTTCATCTCCGCACTCACCTGCACGAAAACGACCAAGACTGGACCTGAACAAACTGCCAAATGAACAGCAGAATACTCTTGAAGATTCTTTTGGGCAACCAATGTACCAAAACGTACCGTTAGATGGTGTTCAAGGTGCAAGTACTACAAGTCAAGTTGGACAGGTACCATTGAATAAACAGCTTGATCCTAAAGCAGCTCACAGGTATAGAACGGCAAGGTGGTATGCAGGCCTGACTCCTGAACAAAAAAAGGAAAGGCAACGCCGAAATGCGGAGAGAGCGAAAATAAGGTTTGCCAATATGGTGAGTTTTATGGTATGATTTCAGTTAGATTGGTTTACCTATGAATGAAGCTTTGCAACTACTTCCCACTAGCCAGACGAAAAGAAAATCGAATACAGAAAGCGCAGGAACAAAGACCTGATCAATTTTCGATCTAAGAAGACACCAGAAGAATTACGACTTATGGCCAGCAAGCACATGAAGACATATCGTGCAAAACGGAAATTAAAGAAATTACAGCAGCCTAATCCGCCACACAATCCACACTGATCCAGAGTGCTTGTCGCTGTAGCCACATGTGCATGCATATACGCTCTGACTACCATCTTTGCTTCTTATGGTGGCACTGTTCAACAATTGCACAGATGCAGTGCAACTTCGTAGCCCCGATCAGGCACTTGAAAACCGTCTCGAATCTTTCATTTTACTTTTACAAAGAAATACCATTCTTTCTTGCGATAGGCAGATGATAAAATTTCCCCATCGAAGAACTCCAGCATTTTTTGCTCTAATTGTCTTGGCAGCCTTATATGTCATGCTGGCCTCAGCAGTTAGCAGTCCGAAACCAGGCAAAGATCGTCACGGAACAATCTCGAGTGAGATTCCCGACTTGAATTACCCTCTTCCACAAGGTGACTTGGTAGATGTTCATGCATCAAGCATGCCTTCTAGTCAAACTCATAATGTTGATCTCTCCAGTGATGAGGCGGTAGAAGAAAGTGCATCGGAGCATCGTTCTCACACAAGCAGATCTTTGACGGAAGAACGTAGGATTAGAAACCGAAACTATAAAAGGGCGCGAAGAGCAAGGATGAGTACGGAGGAAAAGCTGGCGTTGTATAAAAAAGATCATGAGAATCGCAAAAGGAAATCAGCAGAGGTACGTGGAGAACATTTCCTTGCTAGCTTCTCTGGTGATCAGATATTTATCTTTACCATCTCTTAGTCAAAAGAAGCAGCTCAAAGATATAAAGATATATCTAATGCATGCACCCGCCGATGGAAAGCAAGAAAGGTTGCTGCAAAAGAAGGCAGAGAAGTAAGCTCGGAAAATGCTTTAAGAAGACCACGACCAAAAAGAATCGTGCGACCAGTTCAATCGTGAGCTACTACGTAAGGTGGCTGACAAAGGCGGAACGATAAGTTCTGCACAGCTATTGTATACAGTATTCTATCACGATCCGATTTGTATTATGTCTATAAGCCCCGTTTATGTAGTCATGTACCACTCCTGAAATCATTGTAGACTGTTCACCATCATCGTATTCTTCTGTGCGCTATCTTATGAACTTATGAATTTCGTAATCATCAAGTTGACATTTATTTTTGTGTTAGCACTGAACGGCTGTGTGCTAGCTGTGAAGAATCGAAAAGAAGTTGCTAACGCAAACCCTTCTCTTAAAAAGAAACACGACGATATGACTGCTGAGCCAGTCCCTGATCTCAATTTTCCTCCACCAGAGGAAGTAGCACAAAGTACTGGCGGTGTTCACCCATCAGCATCTTCAAGTGACAGTGAGAAGGACTCTGTTCCAAAAAAGAAAACGTACTACCAAAGAATGAAGGAAAGAAGACTTAAAGATGGTACTTTGGACGAATGGAAAGCCAGGATTGAAGAAAGACGGAAGTTGTTCTGGTCTAAAATGACGCCAGAGCAAAAGATTGAAAAGGGAAGAAAGTATAACAAAACAAAGCTCAAAAAAATTAGAGACGTGAGTGTCGAAAAATATGGAATAACTCGTGGGCTTGACTTCTTACCTTTCCTCTACTTTTCCAGACGCCGATCTTGAAAGAGAAAGCGCAAACATGCAATCGATTGTCAATGCAGCGTTATCGAGCACGTAAAAAAGCAAAAGATCGCAGTGAAGAGATAGGAAAGGAGATTGCCATAAGACCAAAAGGAAAGCGTCCTTTGCACCTTGATAAAATGTAAAGCTTCGCTTACAGAACAAAGATCTTATGTACCTTAGAGCACATTCGACGACAACTTTACGTCCTTGAAGACCTGCAAAATAAGATCGTGTACGCTTCCGCCACCAACATCTGCAGAAAAAAACCATGCCCCGAATTATCGAGGTTGGTGTCGACACTATTATCTCAACAAATATCCTGTTATATTGTGTATCTACCTTCACTTCTCCCATTTCCACGAAAAATGAAAGTGCTGTTTGTACTGCAAGTATTAGGAGTGCTGATAAACTTTTTCATTATTTTTGACTTCTCTAGCACACATTCAGCTGAGGCAACAAAAATTGCTGAGAAGCGAAAACCTGACCAAGAATTGCAACCAGAAAGCCTGGCTCAGCCGCCATCCTCAAAGAAGGCCGAAATACCAGATTTAAACTTCCCGCCACCTCCCGAGAAAGAAAATTTGAAATCCCAGAAGGATGACAAATCCAAAACGAGGTACTCTCGTAAAATTCAAAAAATGATTGATCAAGGGACATATGAAGATTTTTTAAATGCTGAAAGTGCTCGAAAACGTGCGCATTTTGCCAATCTGACCCCAGAAGAAAAATTAAGAATTTCACGAAAGAATCAGATCAGTCTTTATGAAAGACTACAAAAGGTAGGTTTACACAGAGTAGTGCTATTTGAAATAATTCCTCTCATCATCGACTTCCTCTACAGTCTGAAGAACTGCAAAAAAAGCGAAAAATAGCTGTTGCTGCCTCTCATCGAAGGTACACTGCAAGAAAGAGAGCCCAAAAGCAAGGATTAACGGAAAATCCTGAACATGCTAAAAGAAGCAAAGGGAGGCAAAGAATGTTTTCACCAAGCGCAGACCCATCTCTGAAGTAGTCTTTCGTACACATGCATGTAAACGTTTGCTGCTCTTTAATTGGCGATACATAATCATTGCCCCGAAGTGTGGTATTGTTGGTCTAAAAGTTGTTGCGCAATCGCTAAAAATCTCTGCCTTTCATCTTCGATCTTTTGGGATTGTGTCGACCGATATGCCGTACATTTATCTCATTTTTCTCTTCTACTTATTTAATGAGCTGGCATTGCTTCAAGCTGTAGCTGTCAAGGATACGAATGAAGCGGAGGGAACAAATACTCCTAAGAAGTACAATTTACGTGTTCGAGTACCAAGAAAGCCAATCTCCTCTGTCTCTGTCCCAAGAAGAGAGCCCATTCCTGATTTGAACTTTCCACCCCCAGCTGAAGAAGATCAGGTGAAGCTCACTGACATGCAAACAAAAGAAATCTTGCCAAAAAGTCGAGGTGCAAGTGCATATGCACGATTTATAGCAAGACATGTCGAAAGGGGAACTTTGGAAGCGTATAGAGAAGCTGAAAAGAGTAGAAGGAAGGAATTTAGAGCAAGATTCACAGCAGAGGAGCTGAAAGCGATCAATCATAAGCACGACGCAATCAGAAGAGCAAGAAATGCAAATGTGAGTTTGATGACAGGATTTTTATGGTCCTTCTTTTGACTAAATACTGTTTCATCCTCCTCCCATCAAAAGTCTAAAGAACGGCTTGAAAATGCCCGAAGGATAAGCAGACTATCCACAAGCCGATATAAAGCAAGAATGAGAGCAAAAAAGAAAGGATTACCAGAAGACCCGAAAGATGCAATAAGAAGAAAACAAGCCAAAATTGTTTCTACTCCAAATGACAATGCCTCAGGATGAAAGTGGTTGAAGTACAAAGCGTTTCTAGGTACGCAAACAGGCTTGATATGCAATAAACAATTTTTGTCAGGTGGAAAAATTGCCCCGAGAATTCCTTACCAGTGCTTTAGAATATAAGCTGATGGATTTTCTTTTTATTACTCTGATCCTACAATCATGTTATTAAAGCTGCACTTTCGCATCCTGTTTTACCTTTATAGTATCCTTAGTGAAGTATGTGTATTTCATGTAGATGCTGTCAAAGCTTCTAAAAGGGGTGATGATTCCAAAAATCTACAAGTGCAAGCATCAAAGAACCCCGAACTTTCGGAAAAAGGTAAACAAACGATCCCAGATCTTAATTTCCCGCCGCCACCTGAGGAAGAGCAGCCTGAAGATTCGAGGTCGACTGATCCGCAAAGTAAGCGCAGTACATACGCTTTGAGAATGGAGAGGTACAAAGCAAATGGGACCTTGGAAGCTTATAGAGCTGCTCAAAAGCATAGACAGATGGTCTGGTATAACAATTTGACAGAAGAAGAAAAGAGAGCAAGGTCACGTAGGGACGCAGAAACTAGAAAAGCAAAAAATGCTCAGGTAAGAAAAGGGTTGCAGAATGCGTTTGTGGTATTTGACTTTCAGCTTAGCTTATTAAGACTCCTTTTGCTACATTGCTGATTTCGACTATCAGTCTAAAACCCGTTCTGATCGATTCAAAGAGGTTAGCAGACAATCTTCGAAACGATACTACGAGCGAAAAGTAGCAAAACAGAAAGGACTGCAGGAGAAGCCAGAAGCCGCTCTTAGATTGATACGCAAAGGAAGGCCTTGATCGTGTATGCCATAAATCTTTTTTCTTCTTTTGATTGTTTTGTGTATTGCTGTGATTTGCAGCCCGTGAAGGGGCGCGGCTTGAGAAATCTCAACTCTACAAAGTGGTTTGCTGATTGCTGTAAATTTAAGTCTTCTGTCCACCTTTAGAGCTTGTAATTTAATGCCATGATCATTGGTGAAAATGCTAAAGAATTACCACTGCTTGTTCTTCTTGCTGTGTCTTTTCAGCGCCTACAGCAAGTTCACTATAGCAGTAAAAGGACAAAAGAAAGCTCAAAGAGCCACTGTTCAGAATCAACTGCCTGAGCAGCTAAGCAACCAGTTCAAAAATGCAAAGAAAGAAAACATTCCAGATTTGAACTTTCCTCCACCTCTTGAAGAGACTGTTCTTCAAACTGTCAAAGGCCGCAGAGAACCTATCAGAAAACTAGGCAATAACTCAGGAAAGAAAAAATCCATGCATGCTATAAAGGTGGAGAAACTCAAGGAGGAAGGAAGCTTACAAGAATTTCTAGATTCTGAAGCTAGTCGAGTACGGGCTTATCGCGAAAGCCTAGGCCCTGAAAAAAGAAAGGAACAGTCAAGGAGGAGTCGTAATCTCTTGGCTGAAAAGTTTAGAAAGGTAGGTTTAAAGATATGATAATGGGAAAGCCTACTCATAATAATATTCTTTCCCCTCTAGTCTGAAGAGGCACGAAACAGGCGACGACAGCTAGGAGCTTCAGCTTCACGCCGATATAGAGCACGAAAGAAAGCAAAAGAGCAAGGTTTGCCAGAAGACCCAAAGGATGCATTACGACAATGAAAAGCAGATTAGACTGTGTGCTTACATCATTTGTACGAATGCAATACCGTATGTGCGCCCCGAAGAGGGCTGGTGCAAACAAGCAATTGAACGCAGCGAACCATACTTTTCCTTGTCAAAAGCTCAACAAGACTCAAATGTTATAACTCAGACCGTTCCATTACTGTCATGCTTATACAGAACGTACTTTCTTGTTTTGTATAGCATGACAGGATTCTGGACATTAATCTTCTTTCTACTTTCTGCTTTTTATGCTTTTACAGAAATAAGCAAATGTGCAACCTCGAAAGAAGGCACTAATCTGGTCTCAAACTCTCCGAGTGAAAGTGGGGAGCAGATCAAGCCAGATATACCAGATCTCAATATACCGCTAGTAGAAGAACCTTCCATAGACGAAACTACTTCTCACAATAACCCAGGTTCCAGCACGACAATAAGCAAAGCTTCTACTAAGAGCAAACACGCCAGCAAGGTTTCATCCCGAATACGAAAAGGTACCTTGGCAGAGTTTCGTGAAAAAGAAAGGGAGAGAGTACGCCGCTATCGAGCTAACCTTTCTGAGGAGGCGAAGAAAGCACATGGTAAGAAGGTTGTGCAAAGAAGAATGAAATTGATGAAAGATGTAAGTTGGCAAAAATATAGTGCTCTAGAGGTGTATGTTAATTTTCCCTATTCCCGACAGAATCCGGCATTGCGTGAATCTTATCGGAAAGCTTCACAAGAGTCTTATCGTCGCAACAGAGGACGTACAAAGGCTGAAAAAGAAGGTAGAAGTATTGAACCAGAACATGCAAAGAGAAAGCATGGGAGAAAGATCAAACCTTTACCGCCTAACAACTAGCATCATTTGGTAGAGGCAGATGCTAATTACTGAGTGAAGGGTTCGTGTGCGAATTACCTGAATAATATAGGCATAAACGCATGTCTCAACTAGCACACAAATTTTCGTATTTTGCCATTTATGATTGCATTTACGGCACGAACACCATTGATGGTAGGATCATCTTCTGTGTAACAAAGTCTTGCATATCTTTACATTTATATACATCATCTATCGACAGAATATTTCAGACATGTCTGTGATGAAAAACTGTCTGAACTCCCAGTCTTAATTAATTTTGTCTTCTTGTCCACTGTTGTTATTTTTGATCCAAATAAATTGTCTTGAATCAACCAGGCGAACCAAGCCCTCCTTCAACACCGGATGGTGCACTTCTTTTGCATAATGTTATCAATTAACATTAATCCATCATCACCGAATTCCAGAAGTCAATACTAATTTTCAGTTTTATTGAGACTGGCTGCAAATGCTGATTATTGTAGAAGGTAGGGGACTAAGTAGATTTGCAAAAAGTCACACAGAGCACATTGAAGCCCCGATAAGGCTTTTCAACTCGTTCTCACGCCTCTTCTTTCTGTTTTATGATATCAAACCCTCATCCATCGCTCCTTCATTCGAATATGCGTTGTATTAAAGATTGGATTCTATACGTAGCAGTCTCGTGCTTCAACTTGAATATTATATTTGTGGATGCTGTCAAGACCGTGAAAAGCTTTCAACAAGCTTCACAGGATTTGGAACAAAAAGATATTCAAGCTTCCACAGATCGGCACCGAATTCCTGATCTAAATCATCCACCACCATTTGAAAGCGAAGATGAGCATTCAAGCCCTCCGCTGCATAGTGATCAGCCCTTAGCAATATGCGATGATACGAGATCGACCGATATTTTCAGCAGTTCAAAAAACCAGTCGACCAGCAAAGGTAGAGAGAAAGAGCAGGAGAAGAAAGTACACAGACGTTATTGGCAAAAGTGGTATTCAAAGCTAACTCCAGAACAGAAAAAGGCTCGCTCGATAAGAGATAATAGGACATACCGAGCCAGAATTGGAAGACTGGTAAGTGTTGGGGAGAATGGTAAAGGGAGTGAATTTTCTGCTTATGCTATCTTCCTAATTTTACGCCAGTCTGCTGAAGATCAAAAGAGAACTAAAGAAAAGGTAAATAATCGTGTGAAGAAATCTAGAGCGAGCAAAGATCCAGAAGAAGTAAAAGAGCTGAATAGACGTCATGCCAAAGCCTATCGTGAAAGACAAAAACTCCTTCGAAAGGGCAAAGCATTGTCTCAGACGCCGTAAAAACAGTCAATGCGGTGCACAGCCAAAGATGCAATTATCTCCATTGATATTGCACAATATTCAAAAATTCAGCCCATTTTGCTACTTTCAAAATACATTTACATACTTTTTGGTCTGAGTTATAGCTAAGGTGAATTGGGATGGGTCATTTCTAGCGAGTCTTTGTGCTTCTTTCATTGCAAAAAGTACATCTAATACTATGAGTGCGCTTCTTATATTCTTAACTCCAATTCTCCTATTCCATGACTCGAATGCGCGAAGAGCCAATTTGTCGAAATAAGAAAGGGAGATCATAGGTTTGAACCGAAACGAAACGCATAAGAAACTCTTACTTGCAGTGAGTAAAGATGGTTAAATGCTTTCAGGTATTAAATGTTCTCTAACAACAAATACATCTGTAAAGTTTCTCACTCGAAATGATGAGCATAAGCGGAATCCCCGAATGGCGTTGAAAAGGTATCGTGCTCGACAACAAGCTCAAAAGAATGGCACACGGATCCAACCTGAAGCCGCACTCAGACATCATAAAAAAAGGCTTGTTTTGAATAACGTCGGCCTCGCTTTAGTGTATCTAGATTTGAGGATGATACGTAGCCAATTCGGTAGGCTCATAAATCACGTTCGTTATGTTCCTATCTTTTTGAAGTACGCACCTCACTTAGCCCCGGCCTTTGATGAAAGCGTCCCAATAAGCTTCTGAACCGAGCAGCATCCCATCATCCCATTTAAGAATACCTGCATCGTCATGAAAGTTAGAAAAAGCCTTCTCGTAATAATGTTCGGTGAAATTCAGTTTATGATGATGCCTGCTTTTGATGTATCTGCAGTAAAAACAGCGGAACAGACGGCGAAAATTGCAAATTTAGAAGCACCGGCACAACAGCCTAACCAAAGATTGACAACTCCTTCAAATCTTCCCAATATCAGACACAGTACAAAGAAAAAAGTTTCAGGTCACCAAGGAGGTATTCGGATCGGAGATGCGTCACCAGGAGAGTATATTGAACAGGGTCAAAATTTGCAATCAACTCGACCAAAGAATCTTGATCTAAACAAGTCTCCACCCAGAGAAGATGACTCTCATCCTACTCAGATACCAATTTTAGAATCGTCTTCGTTAGTCTATTCGTCCTCGTTAGGTTTCCAAGAGCATCCTCTGGATAAAGGATATACTTCTGAGATGATCGAACTGTCAAAGCTTAAGAAGAAGAGAACATCAGAACTAAAAGCATTGAGATGGAATCGCATAGACCCAGCAACTCGAAGTGCTCTAGCCAAGAAGTGGAGACATACAAGAAAGAAGAAGCTTCAAGATGGGGTAAGTATCATCATTTCTAAGATATGTTTCTACTTTGGCTGACATTGGCTACTCATCCCTAGCCTCCATCGGACCTAGCTGAGCATCGACGAAAGCATAATGCTGCAGTAAGGAGATATCGTGTACGCAAGAAAGCGAAACAGCAAGATGCTCCAGTTGAAGGCCCGGATAAATAGATGCGGTGAAGACAGGCGGATCATTAGCAGCCTGTATAACATCTGCTGGCTATGCAAAAGCCCCCTTTGACAGAGAGCACTCTTTCTAGTTTTGCATTTCTCTTCAAGAACACTTTCAATAAAAATCTTATTCTCCTTCCTTCTTATAACCTCGAACGTCATGGTGAACAAAACAGCATCATTATTCTTACTTGCTTTAAGCATTGTATTTCAAACTTTGAGCAGTAATGCTAGCGTGGGAGGATTGTCAGATCGAGCAAATGAAAATCCAACTTTAAAAGGGCATGGCCAGGTTTTTGTTGTGCCGGATCTGAACGAGTTGCCTTCTGAAAGTGAACATACGTTCGATGAAGGTCATCATACGCCACCGAATACACATCCTATTATCTTTGAAGCTATGACTAGTCACACAGATCCAATTCATGCTGTCGAAAGGGGACAAGTGAAAGATACCGAAAACAAGGTGAGAGCCAAGAAGAGGAAAAGCTATTCTCAGCTTCCCGAATCTGAGAAAGCCAGAAGATCAAAGAACAATGTGCGAAGGATTCAGGTCAGGAAATCAATGATGGTGAGTGTACATCCTCCAACTAATGAACCGAAAAAGAAGCTGATTAGTCCTACTCTATCTACAAGACTGTTGAGGAGAAAGCAGCTTGGAATGCTAGGAGCTCTCAATACGTAAAGAAACATCGTGCACAACAACCTAAGGCTAAACTGCAGGCTCAAAATAAAAAATTCAAGCAAAAAGCTAGAGCAAAGCAAGAAGCAAATTTGAAAGCCGTCCAGCTTCAACCGATCTCAAGCCAATAAAGACGGATTTCACTCTCTAAAGCATTAGGATAAAACGTTCGTATCGGCTGTGGAGCTGCATGTCACGGCTTGGATAACTGTGTCGATTGCGTACTCATATGACAACCTGGCTGCCCCGAATACTACTGCAATCATTTCTGCACTGCATTCCTAATGTGAATTCAATCTTCAGAACGAACGAAAGATCCTCCACCTTTGTACTGATATCAATCATACTCCCCTAGATAATATGCAGCTATTCATATGGCTTGCATTCTGTACCTGTGTGTGTTTAACAACCTCAATAACGCAATCACCGAATCAGAATGGTTTTCAAGTGGCACATGTGGACCAATCGAAAGAGCCAGTAGAAGTTCCTGATTTAAATTTTCCACCTCCTCCAGAACTGAAAGTCCATCAATCAACTGAGGGTGAAGCTGGCAATATTCCAACGCAACATCAGGATAGCTTTCCAAAGAAGACACCGTTGAAGCGTGTGCCTAAGAAACTAACGACAGAAGAGTTCAGGAAGCAAGAATCGGATAGAAAGAGAGAATATCGAGAGCGAAAAGGTGAAGCATGGAGAAGGGTCGCGTACCGTAGAGGAGATGCAGCCAGAAGACTCAAATTGGCAAAGGTAGTACTTCTAGAAAAGAGTCTCAGAGTAAACTTGATTTACTGAATTCCTTTTTCAAATTGTCCATTCGAGAAGTCTCCTGAACTTCGTGAAAAGCGCAGAAATCAATTCCGAGATAATATGAGGCGATCACGAGCACGAAAAGAAGCAGAGAGGTTGGGCAAGCCAATAACTCCTGACATTGCTTTGAAGATCGTGCAAAGAAAAAAGAAGCCATAAGTGAGTGATTCAATCGTGATATGCCTGTAGAATTCAGTATCTCACACTTTAAGCTTACCAGATGATTCAGTCTTTGCAGTCTCCAATTCTCAACGTTGGTTTTCATCGCGTTTGCAAGAATGCATTTTTGATGGAGTGAATTGGGTTTAAGGACGAATGTTTCGCCCCGAGAGCATATTTTTACGCAAAGTATTCTTCTCTACGAAAGCGTTTTGATTCGTCATAACGTCGAACCTTATTTGTCACCACACATTCCTTAGTATGTGTCAGATTTTTGAATTTAGCTTCTTATTTCTGGTTTGTTTCTACTGGTCAATGACAAAAGTCCTTTTGGTGGGCGCAGTCAACAAAGATGTATCTTCGCCAACCACACCATCTGGTCAAGTCTTCTTTACGCCTGATCTGAACGGACCGCCTCCGTCTAGTGATGATGAATTAGCCACGTCCAAAGACGCAAATCAACCGCATCAGCATTCCTATTCAGGAAGTCTACTTCATCAACGAGCACAAGGCATCTTGAAAGTCCAAGATGTGACGCCCAAAGTTGAAGCAAGGAGGAAACGTCAGAGAAAATACAAGGCAAAAATCTGGAAGAACTTATCGGTAGAAGAAAAGAGAAGGATCTTATCTGTCAGGAATGCTAAAAGATCCGAACGTTACCATAACTTGGTTAGTGATTTTTCTTGTTTTAACTCTACACATGTGACTTGACCTTTTTCCTTGCCTACCGTTTCCTCAATCGTCAGCCTGAGGAGGAGAAAGAAATTGAGAGAGCCAAATCACGTCAAAAGCAGAAAAAGTCTCATGACAAAGATCCAATTAGACATGCTGCTTATCAAAAGAAGTACAGAAAGGATCACCCGGAGAAAGCTAAAGCTTGGGAACGTAATAGAGAAGAGAAGAGAAAAGCTCTTCGGGAAGAAAAGAAGAAAGCAACTCTCAAAGCCCTTCAGCCTAAAGAAGATGACAAAAGTTGATCATTGCATATAGTGATTTTAAATTCAACAAGAGACCTGTGCGGATAGTCTATCCGAAACGCAGAACTCATCTGCACCTTTCGTATCGACCATGTAAAGCCCCGACGCAAAGTGCTGGTGTTGAAGAATGTCGTAAAGAATATAAAAGATCCACAAAGACATCTTTCTTACTCCAAGCCATGAACTGGTATAGTCTGTCATATATAGCCTTTGACCGATAGCAATATTTTACCAATAAGAGGATGCAGCTTTATCTTTTAGGATTGCTTTACATTTTATTGTGGTCATGCCCCATGATCGCCGTCGATATGGATGACGAACGAATTAGCTCAAAAGGCGATGTTGACGCCTCGTTGCAACCTAAAACGACCCTTTTCGATCTTAATGTACCGGCTCTTCCCATAAGTGATAGTGAAAAGGAAACAGAAATAACAAATCTCACACCTAAAAGTTCTTCAAACAAAAAGAAGGGATCAAAAAGAGTTCGATTTCCATCTCTTACCAAAGAAGAACGAACGAAACATTGGCGAGAAGAAAAACGTAGAACGCGAGCAAAGTTAACGCCAGAAGTTCGACTTGCACGTTATAGACATGATCAAGATGTAAAAAGGGAAAGATTCAAAAACGCGGTACGTTTTACACTCTTTTTTCTCTTCTCATTGCTGTCATTTTCAGCTTAATCCATCCTATCTCTCATCGCTCCAGAAACCAGAAGAGCAAGAGGCTTTACTTGCAATGGCAACCGAAAGGCGATTGAAACACAGACGAAAAGCGAGAGCAGTCTTGCAAGCAGAGAGAGCACAAAAAGGCATCAAGTCCACATTTTTTTCAAAGTACGATCCCTAAGCAAGCTGACTCCACTCATCTCACTCAAGGTTATAGTGCAAAGATGCATTATTACTGCGTCATAATACTGATATTGTCTACATAGATCGAATGAATAAAGAGTCTGGGAGTTGCAAAAGTTGAGTAAAGCATGATGGTCCAGTGACCTTTTGTGCCATTGTGGCTGGTTTAGTACCTGTAAGTCAGAGAGAAATGCGATTAGGACCTGATAAGCACAATTCAGGACATGAAGAAAGTCAGTAAAAAGGGGGAGATAATGGCCACCGATTGCACCTGGTACTGATAAATTAAGACCTCGATACTCACATTTGGAATTCTGCTTTGGCCTTGATAGGTTGTGATCCGTCCAATTCATATTCAAATACAATGTCCAAATCTCTATTGTTCTTTGCGTTGGGAGCACAACTCAATGTACCCGAGATCGATTCACCTGCACTAACTGTCATCATTTCGGGAACGTAAAAGACGGTTTGTTTCCAGTGTGTATACCGAGAGTGTGGACCAGTTGAGAATTTGACTGGCTTATGGCAAGCGTCGAATGAAACATCGAACCATCCCAAGAAAGCATGAATGTAATCGTTTCGGGTGACGTTTAGCTTGAAGGAATCCTTGAACGTTAGCTCCTCCTTTGTGACGGTTAAGAGGTTGATGTGCTTTACCAAGCAAGGATCACAAACGACGCTCTTGAGTTCAACAGTGTCCACCAATGGTTCCCTTAGAGCAATCTCTTTTATACAGCTGTAATCGAATCCGTACACGTCATCCCAAAAGCCAATCTTTTCTTCGCGATATTCTTGATCTTCGATAGCGCTCAAATAAAGAGAGGCAGTATCGGGCATCATCACACCACCGGGAGCCAAATATTTGTCACGAGCAGCCAAGACTGTGTCCAACATGCTCTCGTATAGCAAAAAGTATCCCATCCATTCACTGATGATCACATCTACCTTTTCTCCTGGTGCCAATGGTAGCTCCACTTCTTCAAGTTTACCCTTGACGAGGTGAATCGCTGAAAGAGAATAATGACTCAACAAATTGGATCCCATATCATGCTCTCGTCCCTGTGTACTCACTATCTTTGAATCCATTTGCTTCTACGATCTGACGGGCTTGTACGATGATGTTACTCATATCCACACCGATTACCTTCTTTGCACCAGCTTTGGCAGCAAACATGCACAAGATTCCCGTTCCACAACCAACATCAAGAACAGTTTTACCTTTGAAAAGATGAGGATTGTTGCAAATTGCATTTCTGTACGAAAGCGTTCTAACTTCATCCTTTAACATTTCTTCATGAATACCGAAATGTGCATATGAATCTGCATAATAATCCTTTGATGTCATCTCGTTCAATGCTGCTGCAGAAGCTGATCCTGAGCCGTTTTGGACGTCGGCCATGGCAGTCATCATTGTAGTGGAAGAGGTGAAAAGACGCAATGAATGTAAGAAGTTGAAAGGTGATGTTGATGTTCTCCAGGCTGTGTTTGTGTTGCTGACATTCTTTCGCCGAAGAAATAAAAAATAAAACTTTAAAAAAAAGTGTGTCTTCTTGAAAAAAACTTCCTAGAAAAACACACTGGTCTTAGACAGTCTCACTTTGACACAGGCCTTGTATGCACTGTGTTGACTACGCGTACCCGTGCACAAAGCTTAGCGGTGGTGCGGGAGGGAGTCGGCGCATTTTACACCAACAAACCTGCCGCACCTACGCGTCACAGCCAGGCCCAGCCCATTACGGATGTTTTTGTACGGGCTTCAAAGGCAGGCAAACAAGTAAGGATGTTTGACCATAAGTTATCCGCAATCAAGAGTAAAAGCCAAGGCCAGCCCTGCACTGCACTGCTTAAATGAATTGCATTTGCGTGCTTACATCTTAGATTTGAAATGAAGCTATTGATAAAATTGTGGCTGTTCGTGAAGTGTTACGCCGGATTCGGTGATATTAGCCTTTTATCTAAAACGGCGTTCTGCAGACGCGAACAAAAAAAGTGGGTCGAGGACATTCGGCCCAAAAAATTTTTTAGGCACTTTATCCTTAAAATCCATTTTTTTACGCGCATGCACGATTTTTCGGTATTAAATTTAAATACAATTTAGATTTTGTATTAAATTTTGCGCGCGCCTGCGCGCGCTGCGCGGTGCGCAGGGCGTTCGTTGAAAGAAGAGGACATGAATCGAGATGAAGCGACCGGATTCGGCGCGTGTCAGTGAAAGTATAAGACCCGATCCGATTCTGATAGAGTCAATCATAGTTATATAAGGTTTTAGGTTAGGGTTAGTAAAAATATAATTATATCAGTAAAATATTATTATATTAAATACTTTAAAGGGTTAAGGTTCTATATAATATTATTTAAGTATATAAAAATAACGACTAAAGATATATAATATTATTTAAGGTTTTAAGATAGATAATATAAGAAGATTCTATCTAAATTATATAGACTCTAATAGAGTCTATTAAAGATCTTAAGTATATATACCGATTTAAAATATATATATTCTTAAATTAGGTTATATTAATCTTAAGAAATATATATATTTAAAGATATTTCTTATCTTTTTTATTATTATTATCTCTATTACTATCACTATATAACTATCTAAATAATAGTAGATATATTAATAAAATATTATTTATTAATTAATCTAATCAAGATAAAGTCTTTATTCTATAAAGAAAAGTTATTTATTTTAGATAAAGAAGAATATATAAATTTTTAAGAGTAATAAAAGGATTTTATAAAATATAGTATAAAATAATATAATTTAAATTATAAATATAAATCGATATTATATATATAATATTATTATAATCTTTATACCGAGTTAATAAAAGAATAAATAAGATATTAGAATATTTTACTAAATAAATAATACTTAAAAATAGGAATCGATCGAAGCGATTATCTTTATAAATTAATTATTAAGATTTAATATAATATAAGTTATAAATATATTAAATATTTTCTTAAGAAAGATTATAATAATTATTTAGATAGTATAATATAGTTTAGTTAAAGAAACTTATTATTTAATAAAATAAAAGCTTAGATTTAAGAATAAGCGATAAATAAAAAGAAGTTAGAGTATCTTAAAGATTTATTATAACTCTTTAATATTAAATAGGTTTATAAAGATCTTTTTATAAATTATATTTTACTATAAGTTTTATTTATCTCTAATAAAACGATTTATTATATTTTTAATAGTGTTATTAATAAATAATTTTAAAAAGATTAAAACCTATAAAAAAATATAGAATTATAGGTAAAAGAGATAATAGATAGCTCTAGTAGATAAGGTTTTATTAACTTTTAACTATCTAATAATAGTATAACTAATTTTAACTCTAATTATATATAAATAATATATTTCTCTATAAAGTAGTAGATAGAAAAGCTTTAAGATATAAAGATTATTTATTTAGATTTAATATATTATACTACTTTTAAGATAAGTTATAATAAAAAGATTTATCTCTATAATATTATTATATATAATATAACGATTTAAAGAGATTTACTAATAAGATTCTTAATTATAAATATTAAAGCTAGTTAGCTTATTATTTAATAATTAAAAAGGCTTTATAACGATATATAATTTAAATTAGAAATATTTATAATCGATTATTTATCGGTTAAAGCTTTAGTAATTAAGACTATTTAAAATAATAATATTAAAATCTTATAATATTACTTCTATATTTTAAAGATAGTAAAGAAATAACTTATAAAGAAAATATAGTATTTAAATAGAATAATAAAGGAAAGATAGAAATTATACTTTATATTTTATTTCGATTTATTTAAGAATCTTCTTTATAGTAAATTAAGTTACGATAAATTATAATAAGAATAAGTTAATTATCTTTATCTTATAGATAAATATAATTAAAAAGATTAGATAAACTATCTTATAAGAATATAAGGTTCTCTATCTAAATATTAGAGATAATATAGATATAATAAATTTATTTTAAAATAAATCGATATAAATAATCTTATAGAAAGATAGTATTTTATCTTTAAGAAAATATATAAGATAGATTTAAATCTAAAATATACCGATTATCTATATTTTATACTAATTAAAAGAGTGATTTATAACTATTATTAGAATAAACTATAAATAGAATTAAATATAATTTACTATATATATCGATTAAAAGAAATAGAGGTAAAAGAGATAATTAAAAAAATCGATTTTAAAGATATTAGAGTTATACTTATATAATCGTTTAATAGTAGTTACTAAGTTTAATTATTTAAAGATAAAAAGGTATAATACTCTATAATAGTATAGTTAGATCTTTATCGATATATTCTATACTACCGAAACTATAAATATAAGGTATTTAGATAATATAAAATCTTTTATAAATATTTATTCTTTCTAAGAAAAGGTTTAAGATATTAAGTAGAATTAGAAACGATTATAGCTTAATTAGTTATTCTATAAAATAGTTAAGACTTTATTATATTAAATAATTTATTTTAAAATATAAAGATTATTAATCTTTATAATTTTAAATCGTTTAAAAGTAATATAAATTAATTTAATATACTAATATTTAAAGTTAATTCTATTATTTCTAAAGGTGATTTATCTAATTTATTATCTGATATTTTATAAATCTTAGATAACGATTATAAAAAAAAGCGATAATAGATATATTTAGATCTTTAAGATTTAATAGATTATGTTTAATAGAAAATTATAAAATAGTAAGACTTAGATACTATCTTAAGATTATTATTTTAAAACTAGCTTATTAAACTTAAAAGTATTTATAATAAATAACTAGAATATTAATAGATTATAATTATATATTTAAATAAATAGAATATTTATATATAAATTAAATAGAGTTATAATAAGTTATATAGAGTTATATAGAGATTAAAGTGATATATTATAATATAATAAGAAATAATATAATCAGTAAAAGTTATAAAGAAATAATAATAATAAGATACGATATAAAATAATATAATTAAAGAGTATTATAGAGAGGTAAAGATAATATATATAATATATTATAAAATAATATAATATTATATAATATATTATAAATTATTATAATACTATAGTAAATATTATTTTAGAGACTCTATAATTTATTCGAGTCTATAAGTTATATCTATATCTAGATTTAATTTACTTTTATAAGAATATATAATATTATTTAACTGTCTAACGATTATCACTAACTCTATTAATCTCTTATCTAATACCTTTATAATTCTATTTAATCTTAGCTTAACTCGATATTCTTTTTCTTATAATATATAAAGATTTAATAATAATAGTATTTTAAGATAATCTAGATTTAAATTATAATTATTAATATCTACCTTATATAAAATATATACCGAGTATTTAATTAAACAACTATTAATAATAACTTTATATATATTATATTTATAAAGATAGTAAAAAGAATATCGATATTCTCTAGAAAGATTAAATATATATTATCTTTTATCTCTTCTTCTTAGATTTTAATCTAAAGATAACGATTTATTATAATACACTATTATATCTTTTAAATTATCTTATTTATTATTTATATTATTATAATTCGATATAATATCTTAATATATTATACTGATTTCGGTATTTACTTAAGTATTTTATAAGATAGAGTTATTTAACCGTTTCTACTATTAAATATTTATATTTTAGTTATATCATAATGGTATAAAGAAAGATATAAACGATATAGTTATAATAAAAATAAGATAATATAGATAATAATAACTAATAAGACTATTATCTTAAAAACTATATATTTATTATAAAATATAAAGTATATAAATTATTTACTTATATATTTATTTAATATTTATATATATAAATTAGCTATAAAAGATAATAACCGATATATATTAAATTATAAAGACTAAACTTATATTAATATATTTTATATATATATTATATATTTTAATATATTAGATATATTAGTATAGTATAGATATATACTATTATATAGTATATATATAATTTAATATCTTATTATTATTATTATTTTTTTATTTTATCTATTAATAAATCTATATATATATATTAAGATAACCTTAATAAATATATAGAAATCGCTATAATTTATTTATTAATTATATCGAATTATAGAGAATTATATTAATCAGTATAATTTAATCTGATATAATAGTTATTATCTATTTTTAATATAGTAAATTAATTAATTTTAATAAGCTATTTTTAAAATTTCGATTTATAGTAAGTTATTTCTAAAAATAATTAATATATAAATAACCAAAATAGCTTATAAAACTTAAAGAAATAATTATCGAAAATAGCTATCGATATTAATTTAAAAGGAAAAATAGATAATTTTTTTTATTAAATTATATTTTTAAATAGAAAATAGAATTAATTAATAAACTATTTTAAGAATATTATATTTATATATATTATAAAAGATATATATTATTCTTTTAATATATTAAGAATAAACCTTTATATTAAATAAAAAAAAAATATTTAAAAAATAAAAATAACTTTTTTAGTTAGATAAAAAATATATAAATTATCTTTTTTTTCTTAATTTTATTATAATCTTATAAAATTTTTTATAATAACTTTTTATTATTTATTATAGAATTAAAGATTAGATCTTATAGATTTAAATTAAAAAAAATAAATAAGACTTTATCTCTTTCTTTAGTTTAATTTTTTTCTCTCTAACCTTATCTCTTTTTATCTTACCTTTTTTAACTCTTTCTCTTTTAAACTAAATTAAAATAATATAAATAGAGTCGACGATATAAATTTATTTATATTATTAAGAGATAATATAAATCTTATTAATATAAGATTTATAAGATTTTAATAGAGCTTATAATAAGATAATATAATAGAAATTATTATAATTCTTAATAATATAAGATAGACTCTACTATAAGATATAAATAACTATATATAGTAAAATTAAACTAGTTATATAGAAGCGATCTTATATAATAATATAAGATATAGATAATATAAAAATACTAATATTTTATTATATATTTTCGAGTACTAATATAAAGATTTAAATAAGTATAATAAGATTTAATATATTTTATATATAAATTAGAAGATTTTAATACTAGTTTATAGGTTAAATATTTAAAATTTAAGAAGGTTTTAAGATTATCTAATCTTCGATATTACTATTAGTTAAAGAGAATATCTAAAGCCTCCTACTACTATTAGGCGAGCTACTACTCCTCGCTTAGTATAAGAAGAAATAGTAGCTTTATATATCGTTTATAAGGTCGTTGAATCAATAGAAGTGTAGGTTACGACTAACCCTATTCAAAGAGGTGATGCTCCGCTTAATGACTACATTAGAAGGCTCAATCGCATACTACCACCACGAACCCCTCCCCCTAGATAATTTTTTATAGTTTAAAATTTCATTTATTATCTTATATTTTTACATGAGTGACTATGAAAATTGATGGCAATGAGATGGTAATACAAAATTTAAAATGAATACATATGCACGCGTGCATAATCGTGCATATGTATTAAATGTTCACACTGCATGAACACAGCTCAAGTGCCATTTTGGGCCGAATGAGCATGACCAAAAAAGTGTGTGTTTAAGCCGGATTGGTGTATGTGCTATGCATTCAGTGAATATACATTATTACTGCTGACTGGCTTTTACTGAATCAAATAAAATAAAATAGAAAGCGTGGGTATTATCAAATAGCTGCAGAACGGTACTTCTTGGCTTTATGAGTGAAAAACGGTGCCGAAAGAGAAACAAATAGTAAGATAGAATTCCATAATAGCGTAAAGAATCCGAAACAAGCGCTTGATGAAAAGGGTGAAAGGAAGCTATTCCTTTACTTCTATTTGGTAATGCTTCGATGAAAGGCCTTCCCATTCACCGACTTTAGCCGATATACCATTTTGAAGACCGGTCGATCTCATTCGTTTGTGGCTGGTCATTCACTCCACCGACGTGCTACTTGAGCAATAAAATTGGCATGCATTGAAATTGTCCGAAAAGAAGCATACATAACACACGCGTGCCCGCTCATTTCTACACTTGATCAGTGTGTGATTTGCCTTTCTTTTTAATTAACGCGTGAGCCTCAGTGACCGACGCATTAATCGTGCGAAATGTACGCAAGAGTAAGTTTGACGCATTAGACCGATTTACAAGACGCATTTGTGTTGTAAAGTGGCGCACTGCACGCACGCAAAGTACACACACTGTACACGGCAGATTCCTTTACTCCAAATCCGGCCACTTTTTTAATTATTATTCAATAGCATTTACCAGTCTCTTCTTTGCCATAATTTCTTTCCCTTCTGCCAAAAAGGTTTTTGCTTCTTTTTGTATGTCAGGGTGATCCGCACTGGGACCATATTCAAACCTAATTTGGTCAACTTGGTCAGCAATTGGTTGAAATCGGTTTGTATTGGACGCATTCAAGCAGTGGACAACCGTAAAAGCGGGAGCATTTTTGACCAAATCCGTTTTCATTTGTCAAGGAGCTCTCCGACCGATATCCCATGTCATCATCCTAGACACTTTTTCTATTGTGTTCTGTACCTGTCAGCACAACAGTATGCACTCCCATCTTGACATACAGATCCATCATTAAACTTTATTCCACTTTATATGCATTTCGCCTGTTTATTTCCCCGTTTTCTTTTCTCTTCAACCAGATCTGAATCGAAACTGCAACCTTTGTCTACGACAGGTAAACACAATTCGTTTCACCTATTCAACACTTGATCCACTTTCTTCTTTTCTGTCTCATCACCATCACCAACGCTTTTTGCTCGGATTATTGCTATCCATCATCATCATCATCTTTTGCAACATTTTATTCGCTAATCAACACAACATTATCGCTTATCACTGACCCGATTTGGGTCTGATTATGCCCTATTCGAATCCAACATTTTCTGCATCGTCTGGATTTGACTCGTTCAGCATACCAATCAAGTCAAGCATCCAATCGGAACCAATCACCAACCAAGCACCAGAGTTACCTCAAACAACGACAGTGACTTGGTCTTCCAGTAAGAAGAGCCTTCCTATCGACAAAACAGGAATCCATCCAACAGACCCTTCAAGTCATTTAGCCGGCCACGTTCATTCTCAGAGCGTGCCAAGAGAACCAGCTGGCCTCGTGATGAGCAAAGTTGCAGGTCCACAAGCAATCAGTGCAAACGCTTTACGTTCATATCCTTCCACTTCAGTTCATTCATCTTTGCCAGTGTTGACAGCAATGAGTGGCGTTGCAAATCCAACAGGTACAACATTGAATCCGTCTTCATCCGGATGGAATATGGCAGGTAGCACAGGCACACCTGTTTCATCTAATTATCAATTTCCTTATTCTGCTTCCAATCAAATGGCACCAAACAGTAACAGCACATTCGCCACACCTTCAAGCAATTCATCTTCTTCTGCTTATCAATATCATCCTCATCATCAACATTCAAATAGCTTGGGGAATGCATCAAATATGGATTTAAGCTCCAACAACAATTTCGCAGGTCATAGACGTGTCAACACCGAATCAGCCATGCCATCCGCACAATACATTAGCGGATATGCTGGAAACTTTATGGGAAACACAGCAGATCAAAGCGGTGAGTAGAGTGGTTTGAATTTGCACTTTCTTGCTTCACTTTACCATGTCGCATGGGCATCACTCTTCCAGTACAATGGTAATGGAAATGTGATCATGCATATAGTGTCAAACGAGCGCAACGCGGGAACGCTTGTTGTGAGGAGTATGCATATATGACTGACTGTAGTTCAATTGGGCGTTTTCGTTGGCGCAGTACGCTAACACACTTTTTACCTTTCTCCCAGGCACTCAATCATCCATTACAGCCGCTACTCCTACTTCAAAGCCAGTCTCTTTGGGACCTTTACGCGTTCATCAATTCTTTCCTACAACAGGTGAAGCAGGCGTACCAGTAACTGTTTTAGCAACCGTAAAAGCTGAATGGGCTCGTCAAGTTGGATTGCAATTAACAAGTGGCATTTATGGCGGAAATGATACGCAAGCTGCAAGAACTCACGGTGGCTGTAGGTTCACGCTATGTTTTGGTACCACTGAAGTGGAAACTAGAACAGAACGCAGCATTGGAATGGGAGATAGTCCTTTCAATACAATGACAACTCTGGAAGGAACATCATACCTTTCCAATAATGCAAATGCAAAGGATGTCGATTTGACAATTATTGCACATGCTCCGCATTATCCTGGACCACAATTGCAAAATCCCAGTCAAGGTGGTCGCGTACAAGTTCGTATCAAGGTTGTCGGTGCTCCTTTAGATGCTTCTTTGCGTCAATTGATTGACGGTCTTGATGTGGGTGAATTCTGCTATTGGCAAGTATCTCCCCGTACAAATCTCAAAAGACCTGGAGATGATCTTTTGGCCGAACAACATGGGTTGAGAAGACCAGCTTCATTCCCTGCTTTAGGCTCACAATTTGGTCAATCTGGTAGCGGAGAAGATGCTAAATTCGTTCAACCAACTATGAATGCAACTTTCCCAAGATCGCAAACCGTGGGAAGAATGACTGAAATAACAAGCCCTTCATCTTCCAATCCACGCAGAGCCGGAATACCTGAATTCCCTGGCTTGGGTAGATTGGCTTCTGCAAACGACATTCGTTCCGTTGATTCCATGTCTACCATTTCTGCGCAAACTTTACCACAAGGTATGCAATCTACCGGACAACAATATGGAAGTGGCTTTACTCCTGGTTCGCAACAATACTCTAATTGGGGAGCTCCAAGTGCATCGCCTTCTTCCAGTCTTCGTCGGAACAGTATGGGTTTCTCCAGTTCTGGTTTGGGTCCTGGTTCGGATATGTCTAGACCCTCTTCTGAACTTCCTCCTTATCCATTGAAGCCACAAGAAGGCTCATACGCCGGCAATGTTACTCCCATGGCTGACAGTGGTCATCAAACGCCTCAATTGATCCGTTCCACTCAATTAAATCCTACTTCACCTCCTACAAACGCATTGTCGCAACCCAACAGCTTCAAGCATTCATACAATGCTAGCGTCTCCACAAACTCTTCCTCATCACCTCCCACTGATCGTTCTGGCTTGCCAGTTCCAGGGTCACAGCGAGCTAGCTTGGAGCTTCACGGAAATATTCAGGACATGGCCGTTGGATGGAGTCATGATGAATGGAGATCACGCAGAAGACTTGTTCAGTTCTGGCGCAAACAAGAGGGTACAACGATTCATGCTATCTGCAAGCCAATCCTACCAGAGGAGTACATCCAAAACAGCGTTGTGGTAAGCTGTATCTTTTGGGACGTGACAAATGAATGCTACATAACTTCGGTTGATGTGATTTACTTGTTGGAAGCTCTTGTGGCCAGCCGATTCAATGTTGAGGAGAAGAATCGTATCCGCAGAAATTTGGAAGGTCTCAAACCAAAGACTATCAGCAAAATTGCCAAGAGTGGAGATGATAAATTGAACAAAATCCATGAAGAATTCTTCAAATTGGTCATGAGTTTCCCCAATCCTAAACCAAGACATATCGAAAAGGATATCAAGATTTTCCCATGGCGTGTTTTGGCATCTGCATTGAATAAGATTATTTCTAAGTACAGTGCTGCTCCTTTGATGGCCGCTGCAAATATGCAATATGCTTCCGCAATGGGAATGCAGACGCCTTCATCCGGCATGCAAATGCAAACACCATCGATGGTAGGAATGGATGCAGGACAACTTGGTTATGGTGCTCAACAAAATCAACAAAATCATCAAGAGCATCAAAGGAGATTCCCACCTGGTTTGAGTATCGATGTTGATGCCTCTAATGCCTCTTATGCTCCAAGCTCTGCACCGCCTGCTGCCAACCATGGTCACGGTGCACAACAACAATCTGCGCAAGGACAAGGATCACTTTTGTACCCTCCTCAATCTGCTACGTTTGCAAGAGGATCGAATACCCCTGGTGGTTTTGGCAGTGGTGGCATGCAAAGCTATTACTCGCAAAACAGTCCACGTAAACATTCCTCGAGTGGTGGATTGCCTGGATCCTCAACATTTAATTTTAGCGATTTTGTTGTTTCGCCCGTTGCATTTGGTCAAACGCCTTTACAGCAAGCTCAAAGTTTAGGTCATTATCCCGCTGCCGGCAATCAACAATCACAAGATCAACATCAAAGTGGCCAAAGTAGTGGCTTAGGAATGGATTTGGGTAACGTTTACAAACCCGAATCATGACCTTTATTCTAGAATGTGTTCGCCTCACATGCTTATAATTTATTTGTACTAGTATTTTTCTTTTCTTTGCTTCGCATTCGTCTTTGCTTTTGGCTCTCTTTCGCAGCATCAAATTCAGTCCGTACACTAGATCTCATACCATATATATTCTTGCTTCGCAATCGATTATATTGAAAATCACCCAGTATCATCAGAGAGAATGTGCATTTCAATCATCTTTTAAAAGTACATGTCACAACAGGTGCCACTTATCACTTCCGCCTCTTCCCGTCCGTGTTACTTGTCCTCTTTGCCTTACTGCTCACGTCTGCACCTGCTTGTTTATTCTGTGCTTGGAGATCCCTCTCACGCATCACTTGAATAGCACGGGCAATGTTTGGCAATCTTGAATCATCACGACGGACGTAGTACAACTTAGCACGACGAGCACGACGTAAGCGTGAATCACGTTTTGATCCAACAGCACGTTGAACGACTTTGATCTCTTTGATCAAAGGGCTGTACAAGTTGAATCGCATTTCCACACCTGTTTTATTGACGAGGTTACGTAAGACAAACGAAGTACTCGTACCACGTCTTCTGATCGCGATCAAAGCGCCGGAGAAAGATGTGAATGTAGTTTTGGTCATATCATTCCATGTATCAACAATCACGATCGAACCTGGAGGAGTACGATCGAGAGAATTTCTGGCGAAAAGTGCTGTTAATGAACCATCTTGATCGTATTGAGCACGTAATTGAGCATGCAAAGCAGCCATAATTCCTCTATTCTTTCGCTCTCTTCCTGATTTTGTAAGGCTTATTTGTGGTTGTGCTTTTGCTACGGCTGATGATGTTTCTGCAGAAGCCAGACTTCTTGTGATCACAGAAGATGAAAAGGGATAAGAAGATGCACTCGTTGATGCATCTGCTGATGATCCTGGTTCTGTCGCAGGACTAGCTTCAGCAGCATTGCAACGTGAAGAAGCATGCAAAAGTCTTGTCTGTATGATCTCTTGACTTCTTGATGGTCCAGCCCTGCTCCTCCCAATCCTGGCGACACATCTTCCCAAAGGCGAACGTAAAGACATCTTGCTAGCTTGGCTAAAGATGATGATGATGACGAGCTAATAGTAAAAATTATTCCGCCAAAATTCTTCTTAGAGTCAGTGACGCCCTTTAAGCTTGTAAACGCGTTCGGCCGAATCTTGACACGCCCGCTTTAAGAGGTAAATTCATGCATCCACAAAGAGAGATGTCCGCTTTTGGATAATCGCGTAAAATATACTGTTAAAGTGCCTTATTTCATCGCTCAGCGGGCATGGGCCATTAGGCGTGACATTGACCAGGAATTCCTAATTAAAGTCATCCTTTCTTGTCAGCGCGACTTTACAACCATCATTCAAGGCTACTCATTCGTTCAAACATGGCGGCAAGAAAGCTAGCAGGTGAGTGTGACTAACTCTCAAAAGAGAAGAATTGGAACTGACTAAGAGACTCTCTCATTCTTCTCACAGCCGAAATCGACAAAACGCTAAAAAAGATTGGAGAAGGAGTACAGGAATTTGAGGGTATATACGATAAACTACAAAATGCAAGTACTCCTTCTCAATCGGCAAAGTATGAATCAGAACTAAAAACATCAATCAAAAGGCTACAAAGGCTAAGAGATTCTTTGAAAAATTGGCTACAGAGCAATGAGATCAAAGATAAAAGTGCATTGATGGAAAACAGAAAGTTGATCGAACAGCAGATGGAAAAGTTCAAAGCTTCAGAGAAGGAATTAAAGACCAAAGCATTCTCCAAAGAAGGACTGGCAGCATCCAGGCTAGACCCAGCAGAAAAAGCAAAGCTAGAACTGTCACAATGGCTATCGAATCAGGTGGATGAACTGGCCCGTCAGGTAGAAACAACCGAAGCGGAAATCGAGCAGCTGGCAGGCGGAACGAAGAAGAAGAAGTCTGGAGGCGCATCAGAAAGACTCACGCAGCTGGAGCACCTCAACGATAGACGGAAGTGGCATTCATCAAGGCTAGAAATACTCCTGCGAATGTTGGAGAACGGTGCATTGGAAACTGAACGGGTGGAAGATATCAAAGAAGATATCGGCTACTTTGTTGAGAGCAATGGCGATGAAGACTTTGAAGAAGATGATGGAATCTACGATGAATTCAACTTAGATGAAGAAGAGGAAGCATTCGGATTGAAGGATACAGATGACCTAATAAGTCATGATACCGTTTCTGTAACTGACGAAACGCCGCCACCGCCAGCCAAGCCAGTCGTCAAAGAAACGCCAGTCAGACCGGGAAGAAGGGAATCAGAAGATATGAAAGTGCCGGAAGAGAAGCCAAGAAAAGTATCCGGAACATCGACTGTAGCAGCACGAAAAGGAAGCGGGTCGATGGATGCAACATCTGTTGTCAAAGATTCCAAAGCAATTCCACAGGCAAACTTTGCACAAGCAAAGCCACCAGGAATACCGACTACTTCAGTAGCGCCGCCCACGATCAGTTCGCCAGCAAAGGCCGCATCTACGACCACTCTACCGCCAATCCGATATGCAGCCGCTGCTGCAGCAGCAGTGTCTCCTACTACCCAGACTGCATCACCTATATCCGGACCACCCGGAATATCGTCAAGGCAAGCGTCGGATGCTGCAGGAGATGTATCAGTAAACGCAGCAGCAGAAGCAGCATCGAATACAAACGGACATGCTGCCACGCAATCGCCAACTACGTCACATGCACAAAGCCAATCTGTATCTTCGACACCTGCTCTGGACAACGCATCAGTTGCACAACAGCAATCGGGCGACAGCTCTTCTCTTGGCGGACAACCTCATTCTCCTTCTTCTACCAATGTAGGTGCAGGGCCGCCAGGACTGAAGCCAAACGGAGTTTCACCTTCGCCTCCCGGATTGCAATCAAGCGCGGCACCCGGACAAGAAGTGCAGTCAGCGATCAAGTCACCGTCCAACTTTCAACCTGCTCAATTGGCTGCTAGCTCTGCTGCTGCCGGACTCGTTCAACCTGCAGGAGGTGGTGCAGGCACGAGTGTTCAACAAGCAGCAGCACAGAGGCAACAAGGAACAGATGCGAGATTGCCAAGCAGCCTTGCCGATTTGGTGTCCAGTTTCGAATCTGCCAAACAAAATTCGATGGTCAGAGATGGAGATCTTGGACAAGTACACAAATCGTTGGAGTCCAGCTTAATGAACGTGCCAGAACCACAAGATTCGGATAAACCAAAGTATTATGTCCCACAAAATCCTTATCCGGCACCACAATGGTATCCGCAATCACCTGCAACAATTTTCGACAATCCAGCAATCTACGATAAGTTTGATGAGGATACTTTGTTCTACATCTTCTACTACTCCCAGCGTGACTACCATCGCTATTTGGCAGCAAGAGAATTGAAGAGACAATCTTGGCGGTTCTCTACGCGATATGGTACTTGGTTCCGCAGACATTCTGAACCAATTTCGATTAACGAAGAGTATGAAGAAGGATCGTATGTTTATTTCGATTTCGAATCTTCATGGTGCCAAAGAAGGAAAAACCACTTCAGATTCGAATACAAGTATCTAGAATCTGAATTGGCTTAAACAATTTTTGGTACGATGTTGAAGAGATCTGAAAACCAATTGCAAATTCATCATTTGGGATCGATGCGGTTTCCGATAAGTCTGATTTGGGAATGTTACTCGAAGTGCATTCAGTGTTTTTATTGTGGGAATAGGAGGTGTAGCCCATGTTTGGATGTGCGAAAAAGACGCTTGGCGGTAGTCAATTTGCGCATTCCGATACAGTGATACATCAAATACCTTTCCCCGTGTATTCTCTCAACATCTTCTTTCTTGTATTACAGCTGAAGTCTTTTTTTACATAAACAAAGTTTTGACGTGATCATCTTTGTCTTTTCTTTACCCCCTGTGTTCATTATTTGGTACAATAAAAATGAAATTTGTCAAGAAAAGAACAAGTAACATGAGAACCAATCTATGAGAAAGTTTACTGAAATGGAAAAGGTTATGGGACGGGCGATGATCGTTGCCGCTGAAGGTTTGTACGGGAATGCATACTTATATATCGCTATGTCAATCTTTGGCGCCTCTTTGTTTTTCGTGTGCTCCTGAACCGAATGGTGAGCCTTCGATACCGCGATTTTGTGGTGAATGTTCAGAGAGATGTCTGCTGAGATGCATTTTAGAATCTTGATAATGGTTTGCGAAAATTTCGTGATTCATTAAATGATTTCTTGTTGAGCCTGACTTACAAGATGAGCAACCTGATCCACCACAGTGAGGACATACTGGTTGAGGAGCTTCAGGTTCGTGTTGTCTTGCTCGTTTGACGAATTGCAATTCTTCTTTTGTTTGATCAAAAGCAACCTCTGGCAATGTGATGACGATTGAGCCTTCGATTTGTTCATTGTGAGGTGTGTACATATAAGGTTCTGGGATCATCGCAATCATTTCTGCTACATTCTCTGTTGGTCCCAATCTCACGGCTGAGATTTGGTCGCCACTTTGACGTGGGATGGGATGAGCATAAACAAAGATAGCAATACTAATCAATGAGAATTTGAAGATGTCAAGAAGCGCTTGCATATTGAAAAAAGCTTTATGAAATATCTTAGCACTGGGTAAACATGAATACCACCGAAAGATTATCGCGCTTCTTATATCTTGTTTCGCATCAGTGTCTCTCTCCAAGGACATGCACATCGAAGCATGCTGAGGACCGCTGATGACCAAAATAGCGTATCTTTACGCAAAAGGGGCTTACAACCAAATCGTGAGCGCCCAATGGCATTGTTTTTTGACCTATCTGATTTAACTTTGCACTGCCTACAACGCCGAATGCTATGCTCTTCTGTGTTGTTTCGGATAATTTCTTTGCAGAACGGTGTACCTGCATTGCCTTGCAATGTCCCATAAGGTACTCAAAGCGATATTCCTCGTTCCCTACTCGGTCAAGCTCGATTTGTTTCGGTGAGATGTACAGGCTTTGATAAGTTGAAGTGGAAAAAGCAGAGTGTACAACATATGTGCAGCAACAAGCGTGAAGTAAAATTTGAGAAGGAGTTTTCCATTGCGGTCCGCACCGTGCTGTGATTAGCATGTATGTCGTTGCCCCGCAAACTTGTGTTGAGCCTAATGATGGCGCAATAGCATACTGGTTGACTAATCTTGATACTCTATGAAGTGTTCTTTCTTGATTTTGTGTTTGTATTTTTCACTTTGAGTCTCTTTAGATAATTTCTTTGATTTCTATTCTTTCTCTCACGTTCTTTTTCATATTCTTCATCGCTCTTGTGTATAGGAAAAGGTTGCAGGATGTGTAAACAGTCACCCCTGTCGTCTTTCTTTCGTCAACATCATATTTTTGTACTCACAATTTTACACATCCGATCTTTATATCGCTCATAATTTTTATCTGACTCTTGCTTCTTTTGTTCTTTAGTCATATTCTTTCGTCTTCTCTTTTGTACTCTCCTCCACTTTGCTTTGATCTTCTCGGTCTTGATTCTCTGATGTTCGTCATCTGTAGTTCGTTTTTCCACGCCTTGTGGAACATTTGCACTCTTATCTGATTGCAGGCTGAAAGAAGGCAGTGCTCCTGCAAATCCAGCTATTGAAGATTGGTCAACAGAATCAAAATGATGACTTGTGGTTTGGCCATCATGTCTTCTTTCTCGAAATGTTGAACTTTCACCGGATCCTATCCCATGCAAGCTGTGATGTGATCTAAAACGACTTTCCAGCCTAGTCTTCTCGGCATCTTGAAAATGCTCTTTTGCACTGACCTCATTCGTCTCAGGGGAAGAAGGTGGAGAGTGATTCAAGTCTGGTATATTATGCTTCATTGCCAGAAATGGACAAATAAAGTCTAAAGCGAGCCACCAGATGAGGATTGAAATCATGGCTGCTAGCAATCTATAAAGTAAGAAGTAAAGCTATGAAAAAAACAGTAAAGAAGCAGTAAAGAAGCAAAAATTCGTTTGGAGTTCTGGTTTTGCCGAATAGCAAAGTGAGAAATAGCCCCGACACCATCCAATGAAAGAAGCGAGAATATCTATTCGCAAAAGCCGATACAGCAATGGCAGAAATCAGATTTCTTTCGTGTTATCTTTCTCGGCTGGATTGTCTAAGCTGTGAGAAGATTGGGTCTGAGAAGACGGAGTCAGAGCCGAATTCCTTGTTTGCCTGTAAGTATGCTCACCGTCGATATTTTCTTTCCTCCCCTTTGAACACGACGCTTTTTATTGATTTCCTCTCTCTTTTCTTTACTCAGCTTACCTCGATATTTTCTTTGTTTTGCTTTCCATAATTTCCGTAATTCTTTAGTCGGCAAAACTTGTTTAAGACGTTCTCTTGCCACTTGTTTGCTTTCTCTCCATTTCTTTCTTTGTAAGTCACTATAAAACAAGTTGCCATTGATCAAAACTTGATTTTTCTGAGAAGACATAACTTTTATATTCTTGTGTTTTCGGTTAGTCATTGTATGTAATGGTTTATCAATTGCTTGTATAGAGGTTTTTCGCTTCCGCTTTCCTTTTTGCGTTCCAACATCTTTCTCCGTATAATCTTCCATAGATAGAGGAATGTTTAGATCTGGTATAGGCTCTTTTGTTGCATATGCAAGGGAGCATATGATGGAAAGGCTGAAAACCAACACTTTAAGCCAATGTCTCATAATAAAAAATGACGGAGTGAAAGAGGAAAAAATTTATCATCAAGAGTAAACATTTAGACAAGGACAATTTCGGGGCAAACTAGAATTTCGCTTTTTTTGTCGTTTGCTCAACGCCTTTTGCTTTCAATGCGGCTCTCTTAGCCTTCGCTCTTGCGTACTTTTCTTGATTTTTAATCTGTTGTCGAGCATTATGCTCTGCTCGGAGTTGGGGCTCCTAGACGAAACGAAACTATATGAGCTATTTGATCTATTAGTAATTTTTCCACATATGAACTTACCATTGCTTCTATTTTTTTTCTCTTTCGATGATATTCTTTCCTGTGAATTGCTTTTCTTACGTCACCACTTTGTAAGCTTCTTTGTTGTTTCTTTAAAATCTGCCATTCCTTTCGTTGCTCATCGCTATAATATCTTTTCCCACTGATCGAAACAGATTTCTTGCTTTGAAATAGACCAGTTCCAACGAGATATTCTGGAACTGGTCTCATTTCAACAGGTACTCCCTTGTCATTGTGGAATTTATTCGTAAAAATTTCTACAGAAGCTTTGTTTTGAGCTTTTGCCGCGCTGTGCTTTGGTATAGCAGCCTCTTCAAGCGAAGCAGGTAGGTTGAGATCAGGTATTTCTTCTTTGTCGGATGAGATTGCTGGTCTCAAAAGTAGCATTTGGCAATAAAAAACGACAACGACAGCACTTAATAGCAATTTATGTTGGAGATTCTGTAAAAGACTGGTAACTGAATGCACTTCGTTTTGTTAGAAAGAATTGAGTGCTCAAAGTATTCGAACATCTATTCTTATAAAGTAAAAGATGCCCCCACTCGGGGCGGATAGATTCATAGTTATGGGGCTTATTAGCCGTGTCTAAACTATATCTAAACATCTAGAGCGCCTTCTAGAAAGATGCAAAGGAGGTTTTATACGATTCTGTTCGCCATCGTTAATTGTACAACCAATCTTTTAAAAGTATAGCAAATCTGCAAACGAGCCTATTGCTTATCGAATTGATAATCGGATAATCTTTTCAGCTGCTCTGCCTGGGTGTGATTGATGTTATGCATAATCGGGCAAAAAGCACGGATCGACCGGAGAAAAAAAGAGACGCGTATAGTGCACTCACTTTTCTCCACTTAAATCAAATCTTTGACAGGCTTTTTGTGATAGACTCATTCCTTTACTGAATACCATCATCTCTTGAAGCAGCAAACCTGAGAGAAATGTCATCGCCCACTTCATCATCACCGGATGTACCAACTTTGAAACTTCTTTTGGTTGGAAGTAGTTCGGTTGGTAAATCATCTTTGCTTTTACGTTATACGGATGATGAATACCTAAATCCAGAAGAAGCAAGTGCAACGATTGGAGTGGATTATAAAGTCAAATCAATCAATGTTGGAGGGAAAAGATATAAGCTATCAATTTGGGATACAGCAGGACAAGAACGATTCAGGACATTAACCAGTAGTTATTATCGAGGAGCACATGGTGTGATCATAGGTAGGTTCTTGTGTTCTAATAATGAGAAGCATATATTGACACAACCTCTCACTCTTTGCGCAGTGTACGACATCACCAGCAGAGAATCATTTGATGCTTTACCCACCTGGTTCAAAGAGCTAGACGTATTCACCGGAAGCTCAGATGTGGTCAAGATCGTTGTGGGAAATAAGGTAGACAAGGAATATTCTCGCGTAGTAATGGAAGATGAAGGCCGAAAGTTTGCCGAAGAACGTGGATGTCTGTTTGTTGAATGCAGTGCAAAGAAAGGTGTTGGCGTGAATGGTGCATTTGATGACCTTGTCAATCAGGTGAGTAGTGCTGGATACTACCACGAACACAAAGACGTGCAACTGACTTTCTTTCCCTTCTCAGGTCATTTCCACACCCTCCCTCTGGCAAAATACAACAGGCGTACGACCGGGTGATCGAATGCCAGGAGGAGTTCCGGCAGATCATGCTGCTACATCCAGTCGTGGAAATGTTTCACTAGGCGATCCAACTGGGTATGTGCGCGAAAATTGCAACTGTTGAGGTAGTGGCGTCCGTAGTATGACCGTAGTAGAAATGTCGAGCTCCTTTTTGTTCCTTTAACCCCACAAAGTTTGTCTATAATATCCATCTATACCTCTGCAGCTTGCAATTTGCCGTTCTTGCTGTTGATCATTTTACTGAAATTGTATTTTCTCCTTCCTATTTGGCATCTTTTTTTTTTTTTCAATCTTGCTTTACAGCGATGATGCTCGAGATGGACAGGACGCTGAGGATGGAGCAGAACAAGCTGAACGTGGGATTGAGAATGAAAACGTAATAACAGAAGACGATGAATTAGCTCGAGAAGATGAAGGTGGAGAAGATGATTATTTGGACTTAAGCCTATTAAGTGAAGCAACATTACCGATCAGCAATATATCAAGATTGATGAAAAAAGCCTTACCAAGACAAGCAAAAGTATCAAGTTCAGCAAAAGATTTAATTCAAGCATGTTGTATTGAATTTATTTCATTTTTGACATCCGAAGCAAACGATCGTTGTTTGGCGGAAAAACGTAAAACGATTAATGGAGATGATATTTTATTTTCAATGAAATCTCTAGGATTTGAAGAATATGAAGTCGTTTGTAGGATTTGGTTAAGTCGTTATCGAATGGCTTTGGATATGGCAAATCGAATCAAAGAAAAGGAAAAAGTTGGTGGTGGTGATGGAAGTAGGGCTAGAAGTTCATCAAAACGTGCATTATCCACTGCCAGCGCAGAAGGTGATCAGATAACCGAGGAGTAGCTTGTATTATAATCATTAATGGTATAAAGTCATCATGATATGCTTACCAAGGTCACAAGGGTGTGCCATGTGTATGTCTCAAGAGTGTATTGATATGAATCAATCATAGGATATATTCTATATTGTTTTGTGCCGTTAGCGCGTGTAAGATTAAAATGATATGTCGCGTCGATCACTACTAATCATTTTACCCGCATACGGCATCACGGCTTCAAGGCAGAGAGAAACAAAGAGAGCAGCTCTGTAAAAAATAAGCTAACCAGATCAAGAGAATTTTACAGAGAATAAGCGCCGTTGATATACACTCTATATGAATGAATATAACCATCATGGATTGATTGTATATCGGGAGATGGTGGCTCAATGGAAAAGTTGCCGATAGAAGCATGGGCGGAGAATATACCACAATACTTGCCGAAAGTAAAAATTGACACTATTATACCATCAAAGACGCTAAAATACAACAATGACGAGAAAAGCACAATGCTAGATTCTACTTTTATGGGTTATACAGCATACTGTTCAAGTCCCACAACCTTATTGACATTCAATTCCAAAACCAAAAAGGCATCTTTGATTACAACAGGGTTCCTTGGATAACGCTAGCGTAAGAGATTGAGATTGAAGAGCTTTTTGTGACGCTTCCGGCGAAAGAATTCATTTGATTCGTTTCACCTTGTACCATCATCCCCAACCTCTTTTTTTTTCCTCTATTTTCTTTTTCTTCAAGGTCATTCGATCTTTTTTAATCCTCTTTCTTGTTGTGTTGATCACTCAAGATTTTGGAATTTTTATTCTTTCTTACAACTTTCATCAACCAACTGGTATTTGGCGCGAGAAGCAAATTTTGAATTGGCTTATTTCGTCAGATTATCTAGTCCTCTCAGCTGGTCAGAGTCTGGACGATAAAATTATCAAATAAACAGTTGGATCGTGGTGAAATTGTGTTTATTCGACGATCACAAAGGAAACAAGTTCACGGCGCGATATAGGAGATTGCTTTGATAGCATCAACAACGTCAAACGCTGGAAACATGAACCCAGTCTTACTCAAGCATAAACGAGCAGGAAGACAGCAATGGTCGTCAAAATGGATGAAAGCGGCAGCAGTAATAGCAGCGATTGCATCTAGTCAATTAGTGCCAAGTGTACATGCAGGTGATCCTTCAATACCAGTTGGGGGAATGGTACCGCATTTGCTAGAACATAATGGTAATGCAACATCTTTTGTTTCATCTGCTTCAATGATTGCAACGGCGGCAGATAGCCAAGCAACATTACAAGCACAAAAACAACAAAAGTTGAATGCATCCGAAGCAGTTCTTTCGGCTTTTTCGGCTGATGGTGCACCCCATGCAAGTTTGGTTAGTGAAGCTGTTTCATTAGCAGGAACCAATGCAGGAACAAAGACAGATAATTCATCAGATAAAAGTGCAGGTTATACACGAAAAGTTGAAGAAACAACGAAAACATCATCAAAACACCAACCAACAAACAGTAAAAGTAAACCAGCTCAATCAGACGCAAACCGTGCAGCATTTCCAGAGGTAACGTCAAAGAGTGATTTCACATCTTCAACTTATGCTGCCACTTCCGCTTCTGCATCTCAAGCTTCTACTACTCCCACACCTGCACAAAGAACAGCAAGCTGGCATTATTGGGGAGGTGCGTTGGGTTGCGCTCAAGGCTCAGCATCCGGAACGGCTTACGTTTGTCATGCAACAGGGGTTCCTGAACCTGCAAATGAAAGGCGTCAAGAGCCAGAAGAGAGGGCAATGGAAATGGACGATGAAGTGTTCGAGGATATGATGGATAAACGTCAAAGTTCGGATAGCGGAGGTGATGATCCATCCGGTAATGGCGGTCCTCCTCTGGATATTTTGAATAAAGATAGTCCGGATATTGGATGGTTAGATGTAATCGTTGGTGCGGTTCCATACAAGAATGGTGATTTAGCACCAAGTATCGTTTGGATTTTAGCAACTTTGCTTTTATTCCCACTTTTCATTATTCGTTTATTCCGTCGATCAAGTTTAATCGCTCACGTTTTGCTCACTGTTTTCATTTGGGGTATTGTAATGATTGCAACTTTTGCCATTCGTGCTGATTTGGCCAATAAAACTCCGGTAACAACTTTGATCAGCGTTCAAAATATCACACTACAAATTTTACCATGTTTGTTGATCGAACCTCTTTTGAACCTTTTGGCTCTTTATGCACAACAAGGTGGATTCCCAACAGGTGTACCAAGAGTTGCTCTATTTTTGCGTTTCTTAAATTTGGTCGCTTTGATCTTGTACATCGTCGGCGCAGCTTATATGGCCACTTGGCTCAGTGATTGGAATTCAGCCTTGCAAGATAATCAACAAATCGGTGATCGAAGCAATTTCCCCAATTCAGAACCTGATTCGATCAGTAGAATTGGTCCAATCGCTGGGGCTTTCATGCAAGTTGTTTGTATTCTTGGTGCTTTGATCTTGATCCCAATCGCTCGTGGTGAAAATGGTTCAATGCGTCCAGGTGGTTTTATTGCCGTTTTGGTAATCTTGATCACAATTCCAGTCGTTTATCGTGTTTTACAAACATTACACGCTCAAGGTGAAATCAACAGTGAAGATGGTGGTGATCAAAACCCATTCAAAGTTTTGGCCAAGAATGGAGCAACTATGAGTGCAGCTGCCATGAATGCGGTTATGAACTTGGTTCCTGTTGCTGCGATTGCACCGCCAGGAATGTATAATTCAGACGTTTCCGGTATCGATTGGGCGCAATTACAACAAACTTTGGCAAGTAGAAGTAACATTCAATCACCCTTGGTGTTCAATTTGGTTTACATCTTCCCACAATGGTTGATGGTATTCTTCTTCTTCTTCGTTCATGCTCCTGGTCGTGAAAATGACGGTAAATTGGCCGCTGCTTCCGCTCAACCTTGATGAAGTTCTTTATTCCATCCTGTATTTCGCTATCAATCATGTTTCTTTCACTCACAAGATTGTCAAATAAATATTTATACACATATATAATCACATTCTTTTATCACATTTCGCTAGATAAGATAGTACCTAGATAAGGAGGACAACAAGTCAGCAATCGAATGATCCATTTGCGTTTGTTCCCGCTCTCCCACTCTTCAGCTCGTGCCCAATATCATGCTTTCGATCAACATTTGTCAGGTGATTCAGATATATATAAATGTGTACGCTTTCATATTTGTTATCAAGCGTTGAAACCTTTTTTAATCCTTCAAACGAAGATCGACTGCAATGCGATGAGCGAGTGAGCTGAAGAGATGGACTTTTGCATCCAAGACTGAATTGCCAATGCTGCAAAAGGATATAGATGATCAGATACTCACATTCAACATATCGCCGATCATCTTGTGATCGACATGATGGGCGGGAAGGAAGCTACATCGCGCTCGCATTAGGCTGTAAATTTTTCCTCTTTTTTCCTTCAAAGGGCGTGAATGCGTGCGTGCGGCAATCGGTCAAAGAATAGCACGCTTACGCTGCACCGCACACGCACGCCTTTTTCTCTCCACATCTTTACAGCCTACTGCCTGTGGTATCTTAACCGTTGAGGATAGGCTGAGCCCCTGGATCTCATTTACGGACAACGTTCACTCTGTTTCTACCATCATCCCATCTCATAATGATCGTTCTAGCGCTTGTTGCAAGTGGATCTACCATCCTCAGCGAGACGCATGATGAAGCACATGCTCGATTTTTAACCGCTGCAGAGACCGTTCTTACTCGTATTCCACCTAATGCTACAAGATTAAGCTACTCCTACGAGAATTGGCTTTTCCACTATGTTCAAGAAGATGGAATAGTGTACCTATGTACAGCAGACGGAGAGATGGGAAGACGACTACCGTTTGCATTCTTGTCAGAAGTTCAGAAAAAGGTGAGTGCTGAAAAGATACACAAGTTGTAAGATTGATTAAAAAGCTAACGCCATCCCTTTTCACAGTTCACAAGCACATTCGATGCCACTCTACTCGAAGATCCTCAACCGGCCGACTTTGCTTCATTCACATCTACTTTGTCGTCCACCTTGAATCGTTTCAATACACAACCACAAAGTGATCCTGTCAAAGCTGCACAAGCAGAATTAGCAGGAGTGAAAGATATTATGACGCAAAATGTAGAACAAATCCTAAATCGTGGTGAACGTTTAGATCTTTTGATGAATCGTACCGATCAAGCAGCAAATCAAAGTATGGCTTTTAGAAGAAGAGCTGTTGGTTTGCGTAGACAGATGTGGTACAAGAATGCAAAGGTTGCCGGAATGGCTGTATTTTGTGTTGTGGTGAGTGCTCAATCATGTCTCCATTGATTCAATTGTTCAGCAAACTAATCTCCTTCTTCTCCCATCGCAGGTTCTCATCCTCGTTCTTGCTGCAATCTTTGGCTCATAATATTCTGCTCGCCTTCTTTTAGACACGCCTGTATACCCCGCATGGTCATTTGTATGGATAATGAAATGATGCATGGTAGTTAAGTAAAAAGTACATTTTTTTTGAAATTCTAATTGAATACGACAGTCTTTGCACCGTTCAGGATCACACGTCGTTCTGAATGCCAACGAACGGCACGAGCCAAGACACGGGCTTCAATATCAGCACCTGCTTTTGTCAATTCCAAAGGAGGAAGAGCATGATTGACACGTTCGACATCTTGTTCGATGATTGGTCCTTCGTCCAAATCAGCAGTGACGTAATGTGCAGTTGCACCGATCAATTTGATACCACGTTCGTATGCTTGATGGTATGGTCGAGCACCCTTGAAAGAAGGTAAGAAAGAGTGATGAATGTTGATAATTCTGCCAGACATCACTTCACACAATTTTGGCGAAAGGATTTGCATATATCTTGCCAAGACAACCAAATCAATCTTGTATTGAGTGCACAATTTCAAAATTTCACTCTCTTGCCATTCTTTCGTCTTTCCGGCTTTTGTATCGATTGGTAGATGAACAAATGGAATCTTATGAGCGGCTGCCAATGCTTCGTAATCAGCATGATTTGAAACGATGACCGGAACATCGATCGGTAAAGAACCACTGCTGACACGGAACAGCAAATCGTTCAAACAATGTCCGATCTTGCTTACCATGATTAAAGTTCTTGGTTTCTCATTTGCGTTATGGAATTCAAAATCCAACGAATGAATGCCAGTTTGTTGTTCAAATTCTGCTTTAAGAGCACTTTGCGAGAATGTGAAAGGAATATCACTTTCTGCATGAACACGCATAAAGAATCTCTTTGTGATCGGATCACCAAATTGCGCACTATCACGAATGTTCAATCCACGTTGTGCCAAAAATCCAGTAACTGCATGTACGATTCCTTTACGATCAGGACATGATAATGTCAAAATGAAACTGTTTGTATCGTTGGCTGCTTCTGCCTCTTGGCCAGCAACTTGTGGATTCTGTGCTTCGCTCATACTTTCTAGTTGTGATAGGGAGCGTAAGAGTTGTCGAGAGGAGGTCTGAAAGTGTCGAGGTGAAACGGCAATCTGTTTTTGTAGTTGTGGTGTTGTTCGCAATGAACTAGTAGCCACTTGTCTAAATGATCTCGAAACAGACGAATAGGTGAATAGCGATGAAGAGCGTTGTGCTAATGGTGATCGCAATAGGCAAGTTGCCATTCCCAGAGCACTGTTTGTGTTTGTAAGATGGAAGTGAATACAGTAATAGCAAATGTTCTGGAATCTTTGCCGGAAAATTAATCTTGTGACTGTGCACATTTCGGTTAGTTAATCTGACGTATGCTTGCAGTGCACAATACCAGTATAATTTTTATTCTTGGCTGCCGCGGGCTTTTTTTTTCAAGATCTTCTCAAGCTAAGTTCTCATAATAAAGTGGTGCGGGAGAAAGCAAGTGTCATAGCATGTAAAATACAGATTTTTATAATTCACCAATCAAGACGTTCATCTTCTTCCTTGATTAACAGTGTACCTCCGCCTTCCGGTCCCTCTAGCTTGACAGCAGCAGTAGGATCGACATTTGTTTCAGCCGCCACTTCCTCTTCTTCTGGTAGAAGCTCAACCTTCACACGAGAAGCAATTGATTTTGGATCCACTTTTCGATACGAAGGGCAAAGCTTTGCAGCACCCAAAGCACATAGGTCACAACGTGGTCCAACAGGTTGACAAATCACTTGACCGAATCCTACCAATGTTTTGTTGATAGTCCTATGCAACTCTTTGGGTAGCCAGCTCTGTAATTGCAATCGTGTTCCTTCTGGATCGTTAGACTTTACCCATTTCAACCTGTTTGACACCCTGTGTACATGAACGTCCACTCCGATACCCACATTGATATTCCATGCGCTTTGTAAGGCCAAGAATCCCATCTTTGGACCTACTCCAGGCAAAGAGCACAATTCATCAATCGTTTTTGGAACATCTCCTTCAAAGTCATCTCGCAAAATTTTTGCAGCGCTTTGTATATACCCAGTCTTTCTTCTCCAAAATCCAACTTTGCTGATATTGCTAGAGATTTGATCTTGCGTTGCATTAAGGATGCTGTCTAAGCACAAACCATTTGGCAAATTTCTCTGTAAGTTGTGTACAGCTTCTGCTGTGACCGGATCTTTTGTCTGCGAGCTTAACATGAGACTGACCAGCGTAGTGAAACGTGCTCTCTTTGCGGATTCTTCAGGTGATTCCATCATTTCCCGCAAATCTTTCCTCTTTTCATCTCTTCCGTTCTCTTCGCATCCCAGTGTATCCACAGGAGCAATGATTCGCTTTCTTTGTTTTGTCAAGACTTCTAATTGCTCTTTCCATCGCTTTGGTGCAGGCTTTATCTCATGTTCTTCTAAGTCCAGCTTGATCGGTTTTACGCTCGTCTTTCTTGGTGAAACTGCAAATGGATCTGCTGGTTCTTTTTTCACCTTGGCTGTCTTCTTTTTGGGTGTGGAGATAGACCCTCCAAGCTCCTCTTCACCTTCTTCCATCTTGAACAATGGCTTTATCTCCCCTGATTCTGTTTCCGTTGCTCCATTTGCGATACCATTTCCATTTATCCGCCTTCGTAATGAATATCGTACAGGAGTTGCTGGACCGGGTTCTATCACGCTTTCTTCTTGCTCTACTTTGACAGCTACAGGAGCTTCTTCTGCACCTATTGCTGGAGGAACATATCTTGTTCGCTTTGATCGGATGGCAGTTGCTGGGCCATTAACCTCGTCAGCAGCGGAGGTGGAAGAAGTAACTGAACTAGTTGATGCTTCTTCTGACTGTGCGTTAGCCAATGTCCGCTTTGAGGTAGAAGCAGCAGATGATGATATGGATCTGCTTGAAGTACGAGCTGTCATTCTGATAATCCTTCCTAGCATATGGACATGAAGGTGAGAAACAAAAAGCAAAGCATATATTCAAGAAGATTCTCACAGCACGGATAGATAATACAAAACACAAAATACAAAAAGCACGCTAATTACCCCGCTTACAAATCGAATACAAATAAAAAACGAACGAACGTCAGAACGAATCAAATCTTAGCAACCAACAAAGTCCATTCATCGTAACCTGTTTGGACCTTTACTCTTTGCCTTTCCGGTATTGACACTTGTATAAGCTATAGCTGAAGGAGCTTGAATATTCTCTATTGGATCAATAATTCCATCATGATTTGTATCGTATCCGTTGAAATAACTCCGAAAGCCTTTGTCCATTTCTCTTGGTGAACCGATGCAAGATTGACCGGCATCAATTACGCCTTTCTACAAAGTCAAAAAGGATGACTATAGTTAGAATTACATCATTAGCCCACTACTTGCTCGCCACCACTCACCACTGAAGGATTGCAAGGCATAGGATAGAGCTCCCTTGGCGGTGGTACGATTACACAATGTCGAAGACCGGAAGAAAATAAGAAAAAGAATAAAATAACTTGAATATTTCTCATGTTGAACATTTTCTGAACAAATGTATGAATAATCGAAGTTATGAGGAAGAGGGGAAATACAAAAAAGTGAAATCGGTATGCCTCTTTATACTTCTTTCCGTATAGCTCTACCATACACATGTGGCGTATCTTTTCACAGCCATCGTTATCATCCGAGTCGATCATTATTCAATGAATATTGTGTGGGGCTATTAGGTTTATTATCTTTCAGTCAGACTTTTGCGGGGTATAACACTGCGATTTATGTCATTTATGTTATGAAAGACCCGGTACCTTACGTTTTATGTTACATCTCAGGATTATTTCATTTCAGCCTGGGAGAACAGCGCTTTGATCGCTGGGCGTTCCTGGCGATCAGACTGACAACAGAAGTGATGATGATACTTTCTTGACAACGTTCTGATCTTTCTCTCTTCCCCGCCGGCGGCATTGCTTTTTAGGCTAATTAATGAGATGTACCGCGGCTAAAACAGTCAGGTCCCACGCCACTTCTCTTTCTCTTTCTCTCTTCCTTCGCCGCGGGGTTAATTTCCGATTTTCCAGAATTGAACGGGGCGGCCGATCGGGAAAGAATTACACACGCGGGGCTACACTAGAGAAATGCTGTTTTATTTTAATTAAGCGAAAGATACGCTTGCTGCACATTGCCTGCATGGCCAAGATAGCAGCCGGCCAAATGAAGTCATTTTGATCAAGATATGCATGTATAACAAACAATAGCAATCATCTTGGCATTACCGCCATCATCATCTCCTTTTCCCCCTCAAAAAGACAGGATGGGATCAAGATCATCAGACGAAAACGCCAACAAAACTTCCAATGAAAAAGCAATGGTGAGCTCAAACGTGATTGGTGAAAAGAATGATACTTCATCGCCACATCAACCATCATCACCACAACAAGGAGATGCAGCAACTGAAATTTTCCATCGTAAAAGGTTCTCATCTTTGGCAATCGTAGGTCTAGCATTTGCAATCTTGAATTCTCCAACAGCTGCAAGCGCTTCTTTGAGTGTTGTCATCGTTTCTGGTGGTCCGGTCGCTGCGATATGGGGAATGCTAATCTCCGCAACGGGAGTGTTTTGTATCGCTGCCAGCATGGCAGAGTTGGCCTCTACGCTCCCCACACCAGGAGGTCCATATCACTGGGCGTACAGACTTGCTCCTTCATCCTTTCAAGTCGGACTGGCATATTTCACCGGTTGGTTGGCTGCTGCAGGTTGGGTTTGTCTTACCGCCACAACTTCAAGTCTGGCAGGCTCGTTGATCGTTGGTATAATTGCTCTACTGCATCCAAATTACCAGGAACAGGCCTGGCATGAATTCTTGATCTATATCGCATTTGCTATTGGTGCCTGGTGTGTCAACGTTTTCGGTGTCAGAGCATTGGACGGGATTAATAAAGCAGCACTTATTTGGAGTTTAGCTGGTGTTGCATTGATCATGATCACAACGTTAGCATGTGCATCACCTCAATATCAGACTGGAAAATTCGTATTTGCAACTTATATCAATCGAACAGGTTGGAGCGATGGTGTAGCATATATCTTGGGTTTATTACAAAGTACTTTCTCACTCGTTGGAACAGATGGAGCGACACACATCATTGACGAAATGCCAAGACCACACATTTACGCTCCTCTTGCGATGATTATTGCACCGATCATTGGTTCTCTAAGTGCGTTCATCATCTTGATCGTATTCTTATTTGTTTTGAAAGATTTCGATGCTGTTGCAAGCAGTTCTGCCGGTCCACTACTAGAGATCATTTATCAAGCAGTTGGAAATAAAGGAGGTGCAGTGGCATTATACATGTTTCCCGTCTGTTCAATGGGTTTCGCTGCAATTTCAATCTTATGTGCAAGTTCACGGCAAACGCAAGCTTTTGCACGAGATTATGGCTTACCGTTTGCCCACTTTTTCAGCAAAGAAAGTCGTAGATTCGGCGTTCCAATTCCGGCAATCACTCTAACTTCATTCTGGGTGATCGTCTTTGGTTGCATCTATCTTGGAAGTACGAGCGCATTCAACGCAATCATTTCAAGTAGTGTCGTCATGTTGCAATGGACATATTGCATTCCCGTCATCTTGCTCATGGTTCGTGGACGTTCTTTGTTGGATAAAATCGCGGCAGAAGAAGAAGAAAATGCAGTACGTGAACAAAACGATGTTATTCAAGGAACGATTGTTGAACCTGGAACACAAACAATCCTTCACGTTAAAAGACATTATAATATGGGTAAATGGGGTTATTTGGTAAATGCATATGGTGTTGCATTCAATATCGTTACTTCAGTCTTCTTCCTTTTCCCACCACAATTACCTGCAACTGGCTCTACGGTAAATTATGCCGCTGCTGTGGTCGCTTTTGTTCTTTTGCTCGCAGTCCTTTCTTGGATCTTTGACGGTAGAAAGAAGTATTCTGGTCCTCGTGATCTCGCTCATGCTCTTGCCCGTGCTCGCAATGCTAGAGAAGAATAAGTATGAAAAAAAATGCTCTTCTGTGCATAATTGTAATTTTACCACATGAATATCAATGTACAACAATATAATGATTCAATATATCTTCCAGAATGATATGATACAGCTTTATATCCTCAACGAACTTGAGTAAGTGTAGGGCCTTGATGATGTGGCATTGTTTTGTCTTTCATATTTTTGCGCCTCTCTATTTCTGCTGCTAATGGCGGTGCAGGCTTCTTGCGCCATCTTACCATCGTACCTCTTTGTGCAACATCTTTCAAAGCGCCATGTCTTGCCAACTTCTTTGCCAGTGCAACATCCCTTGATCGTACATGCCAGAAGCGTACATTGCAATCGATCACTTCATACTTTCGCACAGCTTCATCCAACACTTCCCATAAATCACGATCAGGTACAGAATCACCCGGGTTTCCCAATGGGCCTTGTTCGTTCAACTTCCAATTTGTATGACGCCAACGCCAAATATCAACAGTGATTCCACGAACGATCCATTCTTGTTCAACTCCGATAACAATCTTATCAAATCCTTCTTCTTCCCAATTTGCCAGTTCAAGTGCGGCTACAACTGCTCGTATTTGTGCTCTTCTTTCTGTATTACGTGCGAATGTTGGAGCACTTTCCAATCGCTTGCTTGTGTTTACTTCAAATCGAGGGTCCAATGACTGTAACTTTTCTTCATCTTGACTCAACGGATCATCGGAGGGGCAATACAAGATTCCAATGCCTCCTCGTGCTTCTGCCGAGAGGGACAATTTACTCAAAAGCTCTTGTGCTTTCTTTGATCCATCTCCCACGCCTGAAACGTCGCTTGCATCTAGGCCAGCTTGACGGGCCGCTTGGGCCGCTTTGATAGATGCGACCTCGTTCGATTCTAGATAAACACCATTGCACAGCAAAAGCACTTGACGTGGATCTGTTCGTCTGATCATGCGTAACGGTCTTGTGATACGAGGATCTAATACGAACAAATCTGCAACGTCCAGATGTCGAGCATCTGTCTTGTAAGTGCCTGTCGTTCGAATCGTGGCACCGTCATCTTGTTCTCTTTTCGTCTCAGCAATGGAAGGTGCTCTTCCTTGACCGTTTATATCGGCAAAAGGTGCAATTCCACGTTCAATATCCTTCTGACTCGGCCGCTCAAATGCACGATGACCGTTCCAACGCATTGCTTTCCAGGGCTCTTGATGATCTCCTGGATTCTTTGTGAATGCTGGAGGAACAGTGAAAGGTGCATTGTCCTTTTTTGCAGATGTATTCCTGAACCAATCCGGCAAGGAACTGTCAGGCATTTGCGTGGCCAGAGTGGTAACAGTTGCCGTTGTTCGTGTACTTGCAGTAGTCATCTTTGATTGACCGGCAACAGATGTTTTATCCTCATCTCCTTCTTCGATCTTGTCTTGATCGTGTATCTCATTCCATGCTTTACCTCCTTCTGGTCTACCTTCCAATTCTTGAAGATTGATACTTAATGCATACTTTCGTGCTTCAGAGATAGATGGATCTTTGACTTCTTGACGAAGTTCTGGTTCAAAGTCATACTCCTTTTCCTTATCACGCTTTGAAGCAGACTTCACAGGTAGGACGGCAGCGCCTGTGAAATCGCCTTCTGATTCATTTTCGTTGCTATGTTTAGACGAACCTTGTCCGATTTTGTAGGGGATGAACATACGTTTGATGACGTTATGCGAAGAAAGGTCACTAGGTGAATATGTCACACCACCGGGAGTATCCAGTCTGACCTGTACCTTGCCCGGAGCAGCACTCGCTGCAGAAGTTGTAGAAGTTTTGCTGCTCATGACACCTCCCCCTCCAGGAACGGCATCGTCAAATCCGTGTCCACTTGGTAGAGCAACAGGTTGATCATCATCAGGCTTTTGCACAGAATTGATTTTGCTATCGTTGGCTTTTGAGCCTTTACGGTTCCATAATTCAAAGTAACGAGGATCTGCCATTTTGACAAAGATGGAAGAGAGCAGAATGAATGCATATCTCAACGTTCTCCTGTTTATATTTTTGTTGTTCGGCCCGAACCTTAAAAGAAGTACGCCCTACGCTGCTACTTCAGCCCAGCTGCTTAAGCTTAACTTCACGCGCGGTATGTGCCGCGCTATAGAGAACAACACTTGACTCACATATCTGGAAAACTAAGGCCGATCGTAATTTGATACACTCATCACTGACTGATAGCCCTTTTTCCTATAACGTCAAAGCGGTCAACAGGAGGAAGTTTATCATACTGATTCATCTTGAAGAGAGCCAGGATTAGGTACATTTACTGCCTCTTCATAAATTTTGAGACATTTTTAGACTTTGAATAGTGCCAGTCTCTGAAAACGGTGTAAGGAATCAAGTTGGATG